TGGGAGCGTGTGCCTCAGACAGGGTTTTCTTCTTGAATTCACCACATTGACTAGCCTTTCACTTTTACACCTCTCTTGCCATCAGCCAATATATCTACAGTGATATCGTAACCACTATCCAACTAGTCATTAGGACTCAATGATGACCGACGCGATCAGCAAGCGAAGTATTAGCTCTGTTGATTCCAACCACCACCACCCCAAGCCGTATCATAACAACAGCTATGGTGACCCAAAACGAGTCAAGTTGGCGTGAGTTTCCCCCATGCCATTTAAATTGAATGGTGCTTCCAGTATCGCATGTAACTCAATTCACTTCTCTTTAGTGACTCAACACCCTCGGATCGATACATTAGCTCATATCCCCCGCTAAATTCCATTCCAAAGACCGCCAGCAACCCTCTACAAAACTTTAGAATTGATGATAGCATACCGCAAATCAAAAATCCTGCTGTGTTAGAAGCAAGAAGCCAATTATTCGAAGAACCCACTGCGTCGTTTAATTCAACGGATGCGAAAAGCCCTTCCGCCATGTCGTTAGCCCTCATAGACGCAACGTACCCACCTCTGTTATGTCCCTCTTGTAAACACCTTGCCAGCAGTCGCACTGAAGCTGATTACCATTACCGATCTACCCATCATGGTGAACGAGACTTTGTGTGCATGCACCCATACTGTCAGCGGACGTATCGATCCAAGGGAGGGTTGAAATACCATTTGGAACAAATGCACACAATTAGCCATATACCAGAAAATAGCGGCGCTACTGCATCGTTACCTCCCATTGTCCATCGACCTCCTTCCATTCCATCGCCGCGCGTCAAACACTCCACTCCTCATACCATGAAACCTCGACCGACGTCTAGTCATGATTCAAAATCAGCCGCTAAACGCGAACGAAAGCGCCCAAAACCCGCCTTGCTTCCGGCGTCTGAGCAGCTGTTGAACTCTGCTTACGACCCGCTGGTGTGCCCTGTGTGTCGAGCCACGTTCAAGCGAAAAACCAACGTCATCAATCATTTGGTCGACTCACATCACGGCGAAGAACCCTACCATTGCATCATCACCGGCTGTACACATCCAAAGTCCTACGCTACTCGAGAAGGTCTAGTGTATCACATTGCCAACCATCACGACCGAGAAGCCAGTGGCAACGACAGTTCCAGTCGATGACCCCACTGAGTCTCTCTGCACTTTTTTTCTGAGAATCCCTTTTTCTTAATGGTTCCCCTGTGCTTTAGCAAATCGTTCCCTCTCCCTCACCGTACATTTACATCCTCTTTTGTTGATTATGATGACGTTCTGGCGACCCATGCCGGAACTTCTCACTGTACATTGGCAATTTTTTAATAATATTTTTTTCTGGAGACTTGTAGTAATGTGAGATGGAGGAGACAATGGATTTGGGGGTTGTGGACTTGTTGGTTAAAGTTCAAGAGTGCTACTTTGCGAGAAATAGAAACGCGAGAATAGTCACTATTAGGTACTAACTGAGGCATAAAGGTAGAAGGGTAGTCAGGTTTGTGGAAATGTGATAGTGCACTTTCGTGCCTTGAAACACACATAACGTAGGCAGAGTTTAGATGGGGTGGTACTGCAAAAGGCGGCACCCTTTAAATACCGTGTTTATTACACCCAGTTACACCATTGGCTTCAGCAAATGCATTATACACTATGGTCTTTATTTTCCATTCGATAGCCACTGTAATCAGACGTCTCATCGTTAGTATCCGTACTCCAGAGATCGACTTCCGCCCCGCCCCACTTACCTTGAAGACACTCGAAAAATCTAAACCACGGTACTCCTTCTCGTTGGAGACGCGATTGTAGACCTGTGAAGCCAAGGCGCCCATCAAAACAGTGCTGTTGGACTCTTGCGCAGCATTCATAGCCAAACGAAGATCCTTGGCCATCAAGGTGTTGCCGAATCCACCAGTGTATCCTTTGCACGAAGGCGTGTTGGGTATAACGTCAGGGCAGGGGTTGTAGGTATCGGAACTCCAGCAACGACCACTGGAGGTGTTGAGGATGTTGGCCAACAGCTTTGGATCCATGCCCATCCGGATGCCGAGCTGCATCGTCTCGGAAACAGCGATCATGGAGATGCCGAGCAGCATATTGTTGCAGATTTTGGCAACTTGACCATTGCCGTTCGCTCCACAATAAACAATGTTCTTACCCATCAGCTCCAACAATGGCTTGGCTTGGTTAAAATCCGCTTCGGACGCTGCGCCCACCATAAAGGTCAACGTTCCAGCCGCGGCTCCAAGGATACCTAAAGATATCAAAAATGGATGGGCATCAGCTTTTAGACATGAAATATCCAAAATGAGCCGTGCCTGAACGTACCACCACTGACAGGTGCATCCAAGGCCACAGCACCCTTTTCAACAATGGCCGCAGCAAGCTCCTTTGCGACAAGAGCATCGATGGTAGAAGAGTCAATGACCATGGTATCCTTTGCCAAACCTTGCAATACACCATCTGTTCCGAAATACACTTCTTTGACATGAGGAGATGCAGGCAGCATGGTGATGATAGTACCGACTCTATCCGCCAGTTCGGCCGGCGTAGCAGCAATCTGCACATCCTTATTTGCATCTTTGAATTTGTCCAGTGTACTCTCCACCACGTCATGTACAATCAGGGGTCTACCCGCCTTCAACGCGAGGTTATTGGCCATGTTATAGCCCTATACACAAAAATGAGTGAGGAGGTGAAGTGAACATCAAAACGAGCGATCCAAGTCTATACCATTTGACCTAGGCCGATAAAGCCAATGGCATCTGCCTTGGTGTGCTTAGGAGAAAAAATAAAAATGTGGGTATCGCGGTTATAAGGGGTGGTGTTTCATTCTGTGAAAACCAGGACCAACCTTGGCTGCTAAATGGTTTAAATCATGATGAGTATGAATCAGGTAGAGCGGTGTACAAGCGATATTAGGCCAATATTAACCTGTGGAAGAGTAGAGTCTCGTCGAGGAGCGTATTAAAGACAACATGAGGAAGGTGAAAAAAGTGTGAGAAAAACTCAACGTCAAAGAAACTCAATATCATTGCATCGGATGTTGAAAAAAATTCTTATTGCTTATGTGTGCTTTGTTTGCAGAATGGGATGGAAAAAAAAGACTCAATATGTACATGGAAGAAAACGACTGGAGAGTGTAATGTAGCTTAGACGAAGTGAGTGTATAGAGGCACGATGAGTGCACATTCAAATAAAGTTGCTATAGAAAGCCCCTAGCAAGGGCAAAAGTCAGAGCTGTGAGGACCAGCACAATTTGAGCACTTTGCTTTCTTGTCCTTTGAGGTGTCGGCCGATGTAGATGTGGATCCGAACATGCCTAATCGCAGATGAAGAGTAGGAGACAGATTGGGACGAGGAAAGTTGTTGAGGATATAACCCTCGGTGACAGTTTCACCTGGAGCTGGGCCCTGTTGCTTATGTGGGGTTTGTCTATTAGAGGTGGTAGCAAATGGTTGCTGGCGCTTCAGAACGGCCGAGATAGGGCCAATACTCTTGCGAAGGCGATCAGGCCGCGAGGTGGTAGAAAAGATGCTACCAAAAACGGGAAGCTGGAAGATAGTCATGGGAGGCAATTGATTTGAAAGAAAGTAGAGAGAAAGAGATCTGATTATAATTATTTTTTTGGCGCTGGTGATTAAAGAAAATGCATTGCGTGGCATCGGTTTTATTGTAAGGGCAAGGATAAATTGTGTTCCGTGCGCAGCCGTGGTTTTTGACTCATCCCGGCTTCCCAGATACAGTGCGGAGTGAACACCGACCCCACGAGGACTGAACACGCTTGGCTGTCCCTGTTACTTGGCTCTTGGCAAGCAATTGTTTAATGTCATTTTTATTTTCCCATTCATCTATCTCACAAAATCGTGTCTTCAGAATCGTAATTGTCATTGATCAATCTAATATGAAAGAGAAGAAAATAAAAGAATTTAGCCGTTTCATTCCTAAAAAAAAAAATTTTAGATAGCCGCGCGCAAAATTTCAACTCACCTATACACATAACTTGGTGGTGCTGATCCTCTGCAAGAAAATTATATGAGCACGAGGCAATGGAATTATCGTCGTCATTTACTAAAATTAGGCAGCATGGCAAAACTTACAGATTGTGCACAAACAAATTGACGAATTCAGGTGCGACAAAGTCGTAATAGGGATTTTGAACATCAGCTTTGTCAATAAGCGTGCCTTCGCTGAAAGAAAGCACTTGATCAGGCGTAACGCATACATTGAATAGATCAATGTCGTAAGGGAATAAAGGAGACAATTTATACAAAGCAGTGCAAACAAGCACTGGCGTAGCATGATGCTTTGCCGCTGCTGCCACCATCTGTGATCCCGTGACCGCAACCAACCCGCCATTGGCAAGAACTAGTCAACCAAGTTAATACCTGAGCCACCGTGACTCACCCGCTTGTGAGGAAACCTTACCTGCATGCGCTCCGATGACAACCTTGTTGACTCTTGACATGACGGCATATACCGCCGAGTCAGTAATGACAGTGGTTTCAATTCCTACAGCAGCCAAAGCCGCTGCCATTTCCTGACCTTGTAGTCTGTGTGATAAGAAAACCATTAGTATATCAGGGACCGCTAGCAGGGATCGGCCAAAATAAGAGCCTTACGTGGGAGACGTTTCTGCGACAATGACTTGAAAATTACGTTTGAGTGCCGCCTTTGTTAAAAAGTCTTTGACGGTTCGGGAGTATCCAATGGTCATGATCACCTCACTAAGGGTAAACCAGGTATAAGTCGCAGGTACCAGAAAAATTGTATGCGCACCCATATAAAAATGACAGCTCATCGTTTACACTCACTTTGCATGGATATGCTCTAAAGCTTGATCTGCAATACCCTTGTACACGGTTTCCAAATCAGCAATAATTTCTTCGTTGATTTCCTGGATGATGAGAGGTTTCATGCCATAGCTTTTAGCAGAGTAATCGACATTATCCGAGTGTTGATCGACCAAAAGGTTGAACATGGATGATTCGGTCTGAAGTTTGGGTCGTGCTGGAATAGCATCGTTGGTATGATCAGCATTGTCATTCGTGTCCTGAGCTAATATTGATTTGAACTCGCGATCCGAATCCTCCTCGTTGTCTTCCTCGTCATCATCTGAAAACCCATCATCAGACTCCTCGCTTGTTCCGCTATTCATAATATCATCTGTTTCTAATTCGCCTCGCACCACTTCCTTGATAATTTTCAAGACTCTTCGTACAATGTTACCGACCGCAAGCTCTGTAATACGCATAATGAGTCAGTGGCACAGTAGGTGTTTTTGAGCAACAGCAACAAAGCAATCACCTTTAGGTTGAGCAGCAGAGAGTCGACGTCCAAGGTCTTTGATAATCTGAATCAACACGGTGGCATCACTCCATCTGGTAGTCGATACGACTTGTCGAAGAATGATGGCAGTTTCCTTTGCGACTTCGTACGAACCGACGATTTGCCTAATGAAACGACATTATGGTAAATGTCGAGTCTGAGTGGTTCACTGCTTGTAGTTACATTACCTTCGCTTCAATCGGGAGATGAAGCTTTCTACGTGGGCTTCTAATGCCTTGGACAGTACCATTGTTTGTCAAGGTCAACCTTGAGCTGTGGGACTGCGAAATTTTCCAGGACTTTTTTTTTTTTTTTGGCTGGGTGGTTAAACAAAAATTGACCCACCACCGTACGAGGATTTCAGTCGCCAAAGGCACTTTACTGAGCTCAATGCTATAACCAAGAAACGAAAACATAAAAAATTGGAAAAAATAAAAAATTGGAAAAAACAAAAAAAAAAAAATTGGAAAAATGAAAAAAGAACCAAAAATTCATAAATTGATGTTAACGCATTAAAAGCTCATATGTTTTCATCTTGACGCCGCTATGCTATGGTATAAACACGCAGACATTGAACAATTCTTCAGAATAATTTTTGTGACAAGGGTACCAGCTGAAAGCATTGGCTTTGCTATCTCCGCAAACCCGCTACCCCACCGATGAGAGTGGGAGCAGAATATCTATCCTGCTGCAGAGTTAATCCCGGTTTCAAATGTACGACGGACCTGGTGCAGTGCCGCTGAGTAACTAAAGGGCCCTGCGCGACAATTTTTGGCTTACTCTGTGACACTGGCCTCTTTGGTGCACCTTTAATGGCGAAGTAGGTACTGAATGCCTGGCACGCAGAGTACGAATAACAGAGTTATTTTTGGGCTTACCGCCAAAATGGCGGGTATGTAGCCGGCGGTCTTCATGTTGCCATTTATGGTGGCCTGATTCTTTGCTGGTACCGAATATATTTTTTTTAGAAAAAAGATGATCGAACCTATCAGAAGAGATCTGTGCCTTTCCTCGGTTGCGATATCGCTTGCCAGTGTGGTTAGGAACGCAATCCCATAACATTAACAGTATAACTCAGTGGTCCTTTACATCATTCAACATCGTATGATTGAAACATCCAGGTTAGTTCATAAGTAGAATAGGCTACATAAGCCTTTTTCGCCGCAAAGCACGAATATCATGGTTGGTGTTCAATTCGTATATCAGATTTTCATTCTACCATTTTAGTCACCATCACGCCGCAACCTCCGACTCCAAGCTGGCCAATGAAATTGCCGATGTTGGCAACATGTGAGTCTGACCGTTAAATTTCACTCAAATCATGGCCGGAGATCCCATTGAAGTTGAATATCAGTAACAGATTTTATGCCCTCGCTTAGCGGAGATTGATTGAGAATAAATCGTTTTCAAAACGATGAGATCTAGTGTACGTTTATTAAGTGGTTGAGACGAATGGGTGTCTGGAGAATGCAAAGGTATATGTATAAATGAGTTGGGGAGGAACTGAAACAAATCTATCTTAGACTACGCGAAGGTAACCCTTTTCTTGCAATGTCGTTTGTGGTCCGACTTTCGGGCACAGGCAACACTACACAGGCGAACACGTCTGCAACGAGCACAGACAGGCATGCGCTCAGCCTCAATACCACATGCAACACAAATGTGTTCGATATCGCTACCGTCCGAAGAATAGATGTGTTTTTGTGCCTGTGTAAGCGCATCCAAACTTGCCTTGGCCATCCGCTGGGTTCTGGAGGCTAGAGGAATCTCGACCGGGACTCGGACAGTTTTTGCCTTTTGGTAATAAACAATGGCTTGCTCGTATAACATGTTGGCTTCACATCGCAGAGCTCGGTGATGATAGATGACCATGCGTAGGGTCTCGGAGAAGGCAGTGGGACAAGGTTGGTGCTTCAAGCGTTTGGCGAGTTGATCGAGTAATGACGACACAGGCTGCCATCTAGGGTTACTGGCACATTGTAAGAGATGGGTGGATATCTGAAGGACAGCGTCCAACACCCTTTGGTCAACATTTATATCATGGGATGAAACCAGTATAGAAAGGTCATTTTGGCATTGTTCTGCATCGTGGTACATTTTAGAGAAGAAGGTGAAAGAGAGGTATTCTAGACGGTCGCTGGGAAAGAAATACAGGAAAAGCTAAAAAAAAAAAAAATTGGGAAAAAAAGCCCGAAAGAAAAAAAAGAAATAGAACCAATTAGTTTTTAACATAGAATTTTTTCTTTTTTGGCTGTCTCCCATTGTTTTCGCGCGCCAACTTTTCTTGAAAGGTCAAATGCTAGCTAGCTTAGCATAGCATTACAGGTATAACGAGTGTTGCTTGAGGGAGGAATACCAGCTTCTCTCGGTGAGTGGGAATGATGTGGAGTGTGAAAATGGCATGGTAGCAAAGCCGGTCGGTATTTGTCTTCCTAATGGGATGCTAAAGAGGTTCATTCCATCGGCTCGGGTGATCTTGTTTGTGGTAGGTTGCCGTACGGTGAAGGCATTAAAGAGGTGTCGCTTGGTGCCACGCTATTTTCCTTTCTGGGAGATCGGTGCGGTGGCTGAAGATCCAATGTGGAACCATGAGAAGAGACAGAATCTCGACGTTTCCTCTTTGAGACACCCGACTCATCATGATTCACTAAAAGTGATCGCAACACCTTGTTCTATACAAACAAAACACCGTGAGTGGATGTTATTCGAAAAAGTGATGGTGCCAGTACAATTACCTCAATTTCCAAATCATGGACCTTGCGCTTTAGAGCCTCATGGTCCTTCAACGCACGGATGGATGCTCGATAAGTGGACACTTCAACTTCCAATTCCTTGTTTCGCTTTTCCAATTGTTGAAGACGGTCGTTGCCATTGGGTGTATTCAACGTAAAGACATGTTGACCGACTCGAGCATTGAGAGGAGGAGGAAAGGTCATGGTACGTTCATTTCGTCGTTGCGGTACCGGGTATGTGTATGCTCGATAAGGATCTTGATGTTGGGATGGGGAACCTTCTAACACAGAAAAGCTAGATGATCTTCTCTCGGCCGTTGCTTCCTTCTTTTCTGGAGACATCGCCTTGGTATCTTCTCCCAAACTATTGGAACGACTATTTCCACCAGAAGTGCCACAATTGGTCAATCGCCGTCTTTGGGCGGGTGCGACTCCGCTGCAACTGGTTCCTCCTTCTGCGCGTTGATGGCGATTGAGCGCGTCCAATCGAGCAAACGATCGCATACATATTGCACATATATAAGGTTTTTCACCGGTGTGTAGCTTCTGATGTCGTTTTAAATCGTGATGTCGTCGGAATTGATGATGGCATTCCTCGCACTAAAAAAAATTATCAAGTGGGGGATATAAATAGAGTATTAGGAAAAATATCTCGCTCTACTTAGAACAGAATTATTTGTAGATAGAACCCCTCCAATCCCACTCTCTAGGCCATTTACCTCGTACGATCGTTCGTTTGAGTGAGTCGCTAGGTGCGACTTGAGATTGTGCGGTCGACTGAACGTTTGGTCGCATTGGTTACAGGCAAATTGCTTGTCGTTTGTGTCCGGTACAGGTGATTCAGAGGGCGAGGTCGTCGTCATGGTGGGTAGGTTTTTTCTTTCCATCGGTGGTTTTTCATTTAACCAGTCAACGGACCGGCGAGTAGAGGAGTGAATAGGAGGCAATTTAGTGGATAAAGGAGACGTAGGTGAGTTGGAGGTTAAAATTGGAGGAAAGGACGGTGTAGACGATTCTTGGTCATGACTATTCAATAACGATGAGATCGACGCTTCATGATGTCTTTGCTGATGTGGGGCAGCTTCCGCCATGGCAAAAGACTATGGTGCAGTGAAAGGGAAGACGCAGGGTCACAAAAAAAAAAGAAACTGAAAAGCGCCTCAGCTCTTGGCTGGTGGTCCCGAGTCACTTGCCCATTGGAGTTGCCTCTGATTGGCTCCGGAAACTGTGGCGCATCCCGGCACGTGCTTGTCAACGTCATCATCAGCCTCTTGAATGTGGCATCGATCAATGCTACTTCTGTGCACAAAGTAGCAACATCACTATGAATACCTTCAAGAACGAAGTATACAACGTATGCATGCGTAGAGATAAACAGATACTGGTTCGCAATGTGTAGGAGAATCAGTGCTCTTTAACGGCTCTGTTATCTTGCGCAGAACACTTTGATGTGGCTGCTCGTTCCTGACCGCCCATTCACGCTGCGGACTGTGTAAATTGGTCTGGATGGTCAAGGGCCAAATCCCACAGTGTTTCTCCCTGACCTACAGATTCTCCTTTTATTCTAATTTAATATGAAATAGTAAAATGAACGGACGAGCTTACTAGATAGATCTCACTGTGCTAGCGCTCTGGATAGCCACTAATTTACTGAGTTTGATGTGCTGCTGTTGTCCAAAAATAAAACTACAGAAGACAAAAAATTTAGGCTGTCAGTCTCGACATGGCTTTGACCTGCATGCAGATATCTACTTATTTTTTTTATTTTGTTTGGAAATGCTAGACGTGCAAAAATATGTTGTTCTCCCTCTTTGCCAACCCTCGTTGTCGAGTTCAACTATAATGCCCATAATTTTAGAGAGTGTGTTCATGTGAAAAAACCTAAACCGGTATATCTAGGTAAGGTGTCTTCTCAGAATCCTTTTTTTACATTATCTATTTGTTGCACGGCTTGTGTAAAGTTTTATCTTATGTGTCCCTTATATAAATGCAAGGGTCGCTTTAGATCTTTTCAGGGCAACCCTATGTTTGTCAATAGTAGTCGCTACTGCTTATGACTTAAAGACTGAAAGATCCATTACGTTGTGTGTTGCAAATGTAAAGTAAAAATGCAGGTGGATCAGCGCACTATCTCTTGCAACTAGCCATCATAGTAAGCAATTTATTATTGAAGTGGGCTCATATCCGTCGTAACTGCGCACATCGTGCGTAGATGCTATATTCATTGTATCATTTTCCTCGTTGTACTGCTTTCCATTTTTAACGGATTAAGGCCAGTGCTGTGTTTCTTTATCAACATATCTCAACACAGTCAAATTGTCCGCATTAAAATGACCCCCTTCCATGCTGAAATGCGCATATACGATTCCTTTGTTATGATGATGCCAGTAAACTGTTGAATTGCACTGTAGCCCACAGGGACCAGTGTCGAGATATCCCTGATTTTTTTTTTCAGCATTTGAAAGCATCGTATGCCCCTCTTTAGCCGCTGACTCCTATATTTTAAATTTTAGTCCCAACGTACTGGTTCATGCTACACCAATCAGGATTTTCATCTTCGGGATGCCACCTACACTACAGGGACGCGAGAACAAACCATTAACATTAAGATGCAGTCTCATGCTCATGATATACTGATTGAACTGATTTGTACAGAAAGTAGTGCAATAAAATGATTATCGACTCGCGTGCTCAGTGACAAGGGAGGAAGACAAAAAGTAGGATGAAAAATGAATCATACAGAAGAAGGGGGAAAAAATGGCTCTAGTTGAATTAATGATCAGATTGAGAAAAAAAGTAAGAAAAAAACCGTCAAAGTAAAGAACGAAAAGCTAATTGACAGCCATGGTCCGGCCACACTTCGTCTTTCACTTTGCCCGCTTCTTTTTCGAAAGAAAATCTTTCTTCATAAAGGTGAGACGAAAAAAAAAAGGCATTTTGGAGTTAGATGATGCTAGAGCACATCTTGACGCCGGACATCTACAAATCCTATCGCGATGTTTAGTCAACAGAGATCATCCAATGCTAGCTCGTTTCAAACATATCTACACACCTGAGCTTCTAGTAGTCGTGTTCATATCTCCGTTTTCATAACCTTGCATCTCTTTGTTGGGCATATTTGTATTTCCTCCTGCTGAAAACAGGTAGAATGCGGATTGCTGAGAACCCATGGGAGGTAAAGCTTGGCTGTAGCCAGCCGAACCGGTAGCTTGTTGCTCATTCTTAGTTCCTATATTGCTTGGTGGGGATGACCCTGTCATGGATGGAATATATGAACCACTGTTTCTGAGATTAGAGTTCTTTGCAATATAGAGCGGTCCCGATGACTCTCCGTTTTCCAGTCCATTGTCTATATTCTCTTGACTATACCCTTCGGTCTTTCTAGATTTGTCGACAAGTGGAGGAAGGCCGACTGAATAAGAATTGTTCTGGCTGTACGATGTATGCGGATAGCATTGATCTGGAGGCGCGCCACTTTGCATCTGCGAGTACTGATATTGACTGTTGTTGGGACGAACTAAACCTCCTACTGTCATCCCTGGCGATGGCGATGACGGATCGTTTCGATAAGGGTGCTCACTTGTGGCCTGCTGATTACGGTATTCCATTCCTGTCATCAAGCCGAGGTCCTCATGTGAGCCTAATGGCATTCTCGCCGACTGTTCTGGCGTCCCTAATTTGGCCGACTTTGCCGACACAGAAGTAGGTGACATTTGAGAACGAGTTTCTAGGAGATACCCATAAGTGAGATTAGGCTCAGGTACCCGATTCCTTCAAAATATTTTTCTATTGACCATTACCTTGTCTGGAATGATCATATTGCTGTCTATCCCATGATGAATTGTTGAACGTGTTGAGGCACGGATGATTTCGGTAATGTCCACTGAAATTCGGGAACTGAGACGCCGACGTACCCGCAGCCTGCGGTGACATGTACAAAAACACACTAGGATCATCCACAAACAATGGATAGAGCAACTCGATGATCTTGTATTGAGCAGCTAAGGCTTTGGCGCGAGCAAAGGTAATCCTAGTGAGTGTGGGTAGTCAGCATAGATTTCATTTTGTGAAAATGATCATTTTGGAATCCGGTCCTCTTTGCTTACCAGACGCCCTTGAGATGCATGGAGCCGACCTTGACGACAACGCGACCTTTTTCGTTTTTCAGTATCCCATCACGTTTGCCTCGAGACATTCCAACCACATTGAGAAGCTTTGTGCCATTGATCATGTCATTATCTGTGAAGAGAGAAGACGGTAAGGTTAATCTCCATCGGCTAACCGTGTTTCGACAAACAGGGTTGTCGCCCTTTGTGTTGTGACCCTTCTTATTGTGAGCCAATCAAATAACTCCTCACCTTGTCTTCTGGCAACACAGATGCTCCTAGCGTCTACCTGATAGCAAATTGTTCCTTCGTCTTCCCATAAATGAGTACTTAATTTTGGTCGTGGTGATATCATGGATCGTCCTCTTTGACTTTGCTGAGAGTCAGTCGGGGACTGCGGGGATTGCCAGGACATGGTATCACTTTGCTGTCCCCATGGTGACGATGGGCCATTATCAACCACACTTGAGCGATAATGTGAGTACATATCTTGGTTTAATGGCGGGGTATTATTGGAGGCAGATGACTGATTGTTATAATAAGAGTTGCCGTGGTACGAGTACTGATCACTTGTATGACTGGTTCGATATGGGTTATCCATCATCATTTGGCGTGGTTCTGTTGTATTGTTTAATGCGTCAGGAAAACTGGTTGAGCGAGTGCAACAAACCTATTCGTCTTAGTTTTACCGGAACGAAAAAATAAAAAAAGTTATTGAGCTAGAATTTTTTTTTTCTTTTGGGCGATCACACAAATATTGCTGGCAGGGCGTCAGAAGCTCGGTGATTGAAACTTGTATGAAGGTAAATGTAGATTCTAGTAATCAGCTTCGAAACAGATTAGCGAAAGTAAAAACGAGACGAGGTGAGGTGATCAACGAATAAAAAGGTGCGAGTTTTTGTTGGTAAACACGATATAGAGTCGCTTTCCGAGCAAAAGCAGAATAGAAGATGGAAAAACAAGCTTCTAGGAGCCAGGTTCTTCTCAGGTTTGCAATAAATAAAAAAATAAAAAGGTACCTAGAAACAAGAAAAGGACCCCAATAGGAACTCGGATGATGAGAAAGGAAGAGAGGAAAAGGAAGACCCTAGAGGGGGGAAACAGCTACGAAGATCCCAAGATTGCACTTTATGGAAAGGGAAACGATCCAAGCGTGTAAAACAGGAATGATGAAGAGTAGCACGGCACCTTTGGGGCAATGGCTATGTAATCTTGCACCGTGGTCGGGATACTTTTACAGTCTCTTAAATTTGCCATGATTGGTACCGCTTCCCACTCTGTTATTTTAAATTGAACTGATGTCGGTGATTGTTCACATTATGAGAGAAAGACACAAAACAAAAATACCGAAGCAACACCACCCAATTCGGTCCAAGCCCAACCAAACCACCTAGCACCCTACCAGGCTATCTACCCCAGCTCAGCAGCCCGTTGTATGAACATGGCAACCCAGTGAGGCGTTGCTGTCCCTTGCCAACAAATTCCCCTAGCTTTAAAATAACTCAGAGGAAGATCTACCTATTTTCTGGACGCCAACCCTCTCCTTCCCGACGAGGAGACACCAGAATTTGTTTTCTTTTGCCCAAACCGCGTCCTTTTTGGGAGTTGCAAACCCAAGGTATGAGTCAAAAGGAACAATTTCATTCTACTATAAGGAATACCATATAAGTCATTGTCACCAGCTCATCTCAGTGCAATAAGGATGATGTGGTTTTTTTTTCTAAAATGGATGGAAGGAGGGGGCCATGGAGCGTCAGATCCTATCTTATTCTTCTTTCATTGGGCTTCAGCTGATCTTAGGCATGTGTGCGATATAGATTATATCAAGTCAAGTGTTATTCAGTCAAGGTAGTGCCCAAGATCCACTAGGCGCTGTAGACCTCAGTACCCCCGCTCCACATTTTCTCGACTCCCTCACCTCCCGTAAATCCTTGTTCTCTGGCCGTTGACCTTTATCAATCACCGTCATGAGGGTTCAATAATAGAATGATGAAGCCAATATGCACCATTACGCATAAACGTGCTCAACATAGCATGTGCCGAACCTATTGCCGAGATAGCTAGTATTCCTTCTGTCACAGCGTCTAAACTACAGACCGATCGAAACAATTACAAACCCGTTGATGGAATATGGTAAGCCAAGCTAATATTTAAATCTTAGCCTCGTTTATCTTACAATGTTGGGGACGATTTTCACCTCATGAGTTAAGACGCTCTTTATGTCATGTGTGATGATAGGCCGGCAGAATGGTAGCATTCTGTCAGTGGTGTTCAGTGTTACCTAGCAAACCAAGTTATCGCTTTTGAACCCTACTGGTGAGGCACTCCGTGTTTGATGTTTCCTTGCTTTGGGCTGTTCTACTCGATTCCGATGCAGGGTGAAACCACTATCCGAGAGACTTTACCGCAATTTGATGACTGGCTCCGTGCACGCCCAATATGCATAACAGAACACATTGGGTGGGGGAGACTTGTTTTAATCCAAGCAAACAAAGAGGGTAAAAAAAAAAAATTGGTTGCAAATGGCGACGTTTTGGCCATTTATGAATGCATTGCAAGTGATATTGTTTTGATTGTTCACCTCATTATGTATTGAGAAAAAACGCGTAGCTTGGTTCATCATGTGTGTACATTAAAAAAAAATTGGTTGGGGTTGGATGTTAAACTATTACAGGATGCTTTAAATCAAAGAAAATGGTTTGAATGGAACGGATGTCCATTAAATGCTAAAAGAAAGAATACGATGCGTATTCAGAATAAACCAATTATCAATTTAATTAGCTGGTGTGGTGTATGCGGAGGTATGGGGAGATACATGTTCGTTTAGTTGAAGCTGACAGAGCTCGGGGATCTTCTCATTCGCTTTCGCATATTCATATCCTCCAAACAATCATCGCAATACCATTTTCCAGCTGGAGGCTCCACCAAACCCACACACTGGTAATGAAACCATTCTCGCTCACACTGGGATAAATAAAAAGAAAAGAAGAGAGAGCGAAAGAAAAAGTCGGATTAGTCATAATGGCCGTAAAACGCATATGGTAGCCGTGCCAAAAAGGTACAGCTTGAAACATGAACTTTCAGCCCAGAATACTCACACTCTCACTATCGCATGCCACCATGTCTCCAAATGAAACTTGATTACAGTAGCAGTAAGTGGGTTCATTGGGGTCGATATCCAGGTCGGGTACACCGTCGGACCCTGCTTGGTTAGGATTAGGTCGAGACGAATGCGCTGTCCTGTTACTATAGAAATTATCAATTACTCAAGTCCTTCTTTTCACCGTCAAAGACCGAAATTTGAACATTACCTTTTACGTGATGAGCTAGGCACAAGTCCATGTGGCCTCTTGTGAGTCAAACCTGCGTTCATTTCGTTCACTGTAATCAACATTAGGCGCTTTGTACAACATAATTGTCCTTTCCATACAAGCCATATTTCGAAAGCTTACCATGATCCATAAACAACTTGTCGTTTGAGGGTGCTTCTTTCTTTGTTCCTATCCAGTCGACACCTGACACACCGCTCTTTGTTATCTGAGAATCCAATCTCTCGATGTGCCGTGATATCAAGTCATACATTCGCATGGCCAGGTCAATCTTGTTATCCTGCTTCTGCATTGCTACTTTGTACTCCTTTTCAATTTGTAGTCTGGAGGCTACAAGGTTGATTGGCGGTGGCGACGGAGACACTGGTGTCGATGCGGGTGAGTTTGCAGTTGGTCGCGTTTGTTTGGTATATGATCGCCGGTGCTTGGTATAAGTTTCTCTGAGTTCTAAGAGAAAGGAGGCGAGCATCAGTATCACTCCCATTTTGTCAACAGCCCAAAAAATCACTCATTTACTTTGAAATTCCTCGTCCATCGTTCGTAACTCGTGCATGTTTTGATCCATCTCTGACGGGAGATTGTGTAGCGCTGAGTTCGGAGTAAGATTAACAGGTAAGTTCTCAATGACTACAGGTTTGCATAATACGAATCACAATCTACTTACTCTCAAGGTAATCCTCAAACAGATCGGCGATGGAAACACTCATGCTGACCGCTACGAATTGGGGCAAGAAGAAGGGAAAAAGGAACGTAGAATGGAAACCGTTGAAAGAACTGACTCCGCCTTTAACACTCAGATGCAAAGCCACAGCTGTCACAATTGGTCACGTGTGCGCCGAACCGTGGTTGGATTTCCGAGCAAGGCCACTGAGTCGAGTGCGGCCAGTAATAATTAATTTTGAAATCCACCATACCAAGCAATGTCGCGCATTGTTGGTCCAGCAACGCTGAAGTGGGCCAAGAATACGTCTAGAATATGTCAAAGACATTTTTCCTCAACCCACGGCCAGTTTGTACCCTGGTCGACCCTCCTCAACTCATCGACAACGGCTCGCCTACGCAATGGTAAAGTAAACCCACCTTAGCCTTCCTTTCATACAACACTTGACGTCGATAAAGACACATATATCGTGAATATCGGCTGACTTTATGTTTAGATTTTGTTCCCTCGTTGGCTGCTGCATCATCGCTTTTTCAACAACAGGTTCGTTAAATACGCTGTCAATGTGAACTTTTTGCATGATCATTTCTAACCGCTTTGTCAATAGCAGAGGTCGTTTCATGCTACAGGTAAATAACAACACTCAGCATTAAACACATATTGCGTTTCATTTATATCTATATTATTCCTTTGCCTAAAACTTGTTCTCCATCCATCATATTTCTATTTTAGCACCGTCAAATGCGATGAAGAAGGATCCATATGAAGTCTTGGGTATCAGTAAAACAGCTTCACAAGGAGACATCAAAAAGGCATATTACCAACTGGCCAAGAAATACCACCCGGATACAAACAAAGACAAAGATGCACGAGAAAAGTTTGTAGAGATTCAAGGTGCATACGAAATTTTATCAGACGAATCAAAGAAAGCCCAATACGATCAGTATGGACATTCCTTCACCGATGGTATGTACGATTACCACATTTCAGTAACGGAATACATTTACAATGGCTCAACATGTTTATTGAATATCCTTTTTGACACATAGGACCTGGTCCAGGAGGATTTGGAGGAGGTGCTGGTGGACCTGGCGGTTTCCCTGGCGGTTTCGATCCAAACGACATTTTCAGCCAATTCTTTGGTGGTGGATTCGGCGGACGTGCATCAACAGGCCCTGGTGGCGTCGGTGGCGATCCATTCCGTACCGTGGCAGGCGAAGATATTCAGACACCATTGACCATTTCCTTCATGGATGCTGCCAAAGGTGCCACCAAACACGTCACGGTAGACAAGATTGTCGACTGTCCCCCATGCAAGGGCTCAGGCGTCAAGGCAGGAAGCTCAAAAGAAACGTGCAAGACGTGCGGAGGTTCAGGCGTACAGACTATCATGGTGGGTGGATTCCATATGCAAACCACTTGCGGTACTTGCGGAGGTGCAGGAAGCGCCATCCCACCTGGCGCTGGATGCACGTCATGTAACGGCATTGGCAGAGTTCGAGAACAAAAGACAATACAAGTCAATATTCCGCCAGGAGTTGATAACAATTCCAGAATTCGAGTGGCTGGTGAAGGTGATGCTCCCATGAAGGGCAGTGGTCCTCGCGGTGATCTATTTGTTTCATTAAATGTAAGTACTCGTCTGTTCTGAAGGTGGCTGCTGTATGCGGGCAACAGCGTGCTCGAATGGCACGCTGAATGGCGCGTTCAAGACATGCTCAGTCCCTGGTGTCATTTCAAATGAAGCGGTCAACGTGAAACTTTTGGCTGACAATGCTCTCTAGATATTACCATCCAAGATCTTTAGACGACAGGAGGCTGACGTCTTTGTAAACGCCAAGATACCATTCTACAAAGCCATTCTCGGTGGCACTATTCGAGTACCAACCATTGATGGAGATGTCGAACTCAAGGTTCCTGCCGGATCACAGCCAGAAGACAACATTTCTTTACGAAGCAGAGGTATTCGTCGTCTGCGCAGCACCACACGCGGCGATCAAATTGTTACATTGAAAATAGAATTGCCAAGGTGAGTCAAACTTTTCTTTGCTGCAGTGATTTCTACTTCAGCAGTCAATAACCTATCTACGCCGCCCTGTTTTTAGATCCTTGCCTGAAAAGCAAAAAGAGATCATTGAGCGATATGCAGCCATTGTGGATTCGGATTATGCACCAAAGAGTGCCTCGGACGTATCATCGGAAGATCACAGCAGCAGTGCTACGGACGATGAATCAAAGGGTTCCACAGACAAGGACGGATTCTTCAAGAATGCTTTTGGCAAGTTTAAGGGCAAGCTGTCTTCAGACGAAGAAGAAGACCAAAAGCCCAACAAAAAGAAGGATTAGTGTATCGATTGTGTTTGGGGTGGCCATTTCAATGGTTTCCAATGATTTCAACGGTCGTCGATTGCTTTTCAGTTGCCTTACAATCGCTTTTAATGACTTTCATTTGAATAGTGTTTAGAATGATAAAAGTATCATGGTAGAAAATAAAAATAAAAAAAAATCACGTAGACAAAAAGAAGCCCCCTTTCTTTACCGTTCGCTGCTCTGGAAATTGAATTTTAAAACAACGACTCGCTGTACATGCCGCGCCTTTCGTATCCAAAACTCGCCAACATGGTCAAACGTGGTGCACTCATTGTGCTTGAAGGCTGTGACCGATCCGGGAAATCAACACAGTGCTCCAATCTCGTCAACTACCTGACTGCATGCAACATTGACTCGAAGCTTCTAAAATTTCCAGGTAATTTGACGCCAAACTAGATCGTTGGCCCCTGCGAAATCCATAGCCTTGCTAACGGCCAAGATAGATAGAACAACCAGCACAGGACAAATGATCAACTCATACTTGACCAATGCAACCGAACTAAACGACCAAGCAGTCCACTTATTGTTCTCTGCTAATCGCTGGGAAGCCATGTAAGTTTCAAAACTTTGGATAGTCCCGTGCTCTCCTCCGTCGTATTGGCACGTTTGTCACTTTTTTAATTAACCGACATCCGCGCACAGGGATAATATGCGCTCAATGCTTCTCTCTGGTACCACGCTGGTCGTGGATCGATACGTATATTCAGGCGTGGCATTTACTGCGGCAAAGGTAAGCAAAGAGTCGACCGAAAGGCAGTAAGCGGATGGTAGTTCTGATCACGCTACGCGTTAGGGCCTGGATATGAATTGGTGCAAGCAGCCCGATGTCGGCTTGCTCACACCTGATCTGGTGCTGTTTCTGGATTTACCCATTGAAGCTGCTGAGCAACGCGGTGGATTCGGAGAGGAGCGATATGAGAAACGCGAAATGCAAATCAATGTACGAGAGTTGTTTTTGCAACTTCAGGACTCTTTGTGGCAGGTAGGACCGTTAATAGTTTTGCAATACATTCTCAAGCATGCTTTAACTCTCTTCGATATGTGACAGTTGATTGACGCCAACAGAACCATGCAAGAAATTGAAATGGATATTCGACAACGTGTTCTATCGACTCTTGACACCATCCATGACAAGCCTTTAAAGCAAGATTTGTGGACAAATAAATAGATGGGACTATATAATGCTACTGTAGGTTGATTTATAGAAGGAAATAAAATAAAGAGAAGAGAGATATAATAACCAAAACAGGCGTTGAAAAGATGGCGGGTGTTTCTACTTTCATCTACTACTTTTTCTACTTGCCGGCAAGCCCTCGCATTCGATCCAATTCCTTTTGAACGTCCTTTCGGCTCATTGGTGCTCTCCTCGTATCATCGCTACTAGTTCGTCCACTGGCCGTCGGTGATGTTGATGATGGAGTGGGTGATGCTGCTCCTCCAGACGATGCTTTTTTGGACAAGAGAGATTGGAAAAAATTGGCAAGCACTTCATTTTGAGATGGTCCACCTGTACCATTTGGAGAAGCAGGTCCACCTGGACTAGTAGGACTCGTTGCTCTTTCTCCCAATGTTGAGGGAGAGTAGTTGGATTTGGCACTGCTGCCTTTACCCAATGATGATTCCTGAGAGAGAAAAAAAAAAAAAAAAGCCATACTGTTAAGCCCATAACGTCGACAATTTCAACCAGTGTGTAAAACATGCACGCGTACTGACCTTAACTCGGCCGAGTTTGGCTAGACGACCAGCGATATCATCAGTATCTAGATCTCTGTCCGCTCCCATGTTGGTAAGGTTGATAGCGGTGGTCGAAACTCCCAATGGTCCCATAACACTCGGCATGGTAGACGATGCAAGAGCTCCAGTGCCTGGTCTGCTCGGACTCTCAGATGTTCTTTGCAAAGTTTCAAAATGTCGCTCAAGGAACACCTGCTCATCCTCTGCCGCAATTGCTGGTTGAAGATTCAGAGGCTATCAATGAAGGGGATGAGTGATACAGATAGTTCAAGTTGTTTCCACTCGCTCATTTTGAAGTCAACTCTCTCACTCCATGCCTCAGCTATTTCTTACCTGCTCATCCGCTTCCGGGTCTGGTATTACTTCTTCAAAGACTTTTCGAGCTCCTCCTTCATGTTCATCATCTTCGCCAAGATCATCATCCCACTCGCTGCTGGCACCTTCACAATCGAATCCTTCTCGAAGCACCCGGATCTTGCCCCACGAATCCCATCCTGCTGGTACCAGCACAGTGTCTCGTTCTACTACCATGGCTCGTGTCGAAAATGGGTACGGTTTGGTTGGTACTGTCAGTAGGCGATGTAGAATATATTGTCGCAAGTTGTGGAAGGTATGGGGATGCAGAGTAGACGTATAAAATAGGGCTGCTCCGTCTAAAATTGGATATACGTTTATGAGATGAGTCGCACTTATAGCATTGATGCCACTCCGAAGCTCAAAACTCACATTTCATACTGATCGTTCGCAATGTCTGCTGTATAAAGTCAAATTGCTCTTCTTTGTAATCTTGGGTATGTTCATGATGACTGATGAGGTCGCTCTGTACACGATGCACATTTAATAACGGTGACTATACTCTTTAAGTACGCAGGTTATCTATTGAAAACTGACCTTGCAGCACACAATCGCTATGGGTATTCCAAGGTTCGTGGTCAGAGAACCTTGCGTAAGTGGCAGAGTGACTTGATCTGCCGTCGTTGTCGTAGTCACTAGCGGAGCAGAGGCGGTGGGCACGGAGCTAGAAAAAGTTGAACTGGACGCGCCGTTTGCATTGACATTGAACGGCTCCACATAAGTTTGCAAATAGTGTTCCACTGTGTGATCCAAGGTCAGCATTCAATTTGAAGTTCATTGTTCGTTCTTTGTCGTCCTTACCCTTTTCCTTTAATTCGTCCACAAGTGCTTGTCCTCGGCTCCACTCATGCTCAGATTGCGCTTTGCCTTCCTTGCATACATTGTCTATTAATCCTTCCAGCACCTTGATCCATCGTTGTAAAGTTTCAATAAAATTCCATGGCTTCGACCAATCAAGCACAAGTACAATCATGGAATCAGCAATGGTATGAGTATTGATGGCAAAATTGAGTAGAGGCAAGTATTCAGGGGCAGACAGGCCAAGCTGGTATAACGCCAAACGTGCAATGGTATCTAAAGACACGAGTACAATCCGTATATGACATGGTCAATAGCTGAGATACCGAGGTACACTCGGTGAATCTTCCATAGACGACTTGATCCTTACCTTCGTTCTCATCATCTGCAACTTCAACGTAGGTGAATCCGAGAGCAAGCTCATTCTTTGTGTCTTCGTCCAAATTATCTACCGACATAGGTGTAACCTGGCTGGTAGCAACATTCAATAATGGTGTTGGTTGTTGTTCGTCTTGTTCCGAGTCGGCAGGAACAGGTTTCGGTCCAGTATCGTGCTTGATATTGTGTATCAGAGTCGATTTGCCCGAGTGAGGGTCGCCTGGAAAAAAAAAATTAGCAATCTTCTCTTCTAGCTAATAAGTTGACTTCAAACACGACGATGTACCTAGGATGAGTACATTCTTAGTAGGCACCATCTTTGTAGACGCTACGCCTTGCAAAATAGTCGACCACGTTTCTTCTTTTGTTTGCTCAGTTCCATTAACAGCTTGCTGTCCTCCGTTGGAAACACTTGCAAGGTCGGAGGAATCTCTGGCAAGCGTTGAAGCCATTTTGGATGATGAAGCGCTAAGCATTTGGAAGCCAATATCGGCCACCTTTTCCACAAACGTTTTCGAGTCCAAATGCTGGTCGCGAATCCTATGGACCTGAAATTGAAAATCCTTGCTGATGTCACCCCAATTATGCAAATCTGCATTTCGTTCAGGAATACTGGTTCCAAAATCACCATGCCTACAAAATCGAAAAGCCATATTGTCTCTCGGAAATGCTTCGCAAAAAACCAAAAAATAAGGAAGTTGAATCATTCCCGTCTACCCTGGCTGGTTTTGGGTACTACGTCAAGCCTGATGGATCCATACGTAGTATACAGTCAGGTATGCTGCATCGCCTTTCAGGATTCACAAAAGGTACAAATACTCATTCATCTAACCTTGCTTGCCACCCACCAGACACACCTTACGATTTCGAATATAAGCTCAAGGATAGAGTTTATAATGAAGCTAGATACGAAGCTTTCACAAGTATGATTCTATTCTTTTGCACCTGGCTGCACCCTCCTTCTCTCCAGCTTCTTCTGCGTTCTGACTTTCTTTTCGTTAGGGATCATCGCTGACATGGTAATCCAAAAGTTAGAGCAGCTACCTCTCAATATGATCAAAGCTCCTGTCCCTTCCAACGTGACAATTGGATCCTCCGAACCACATACCTATATTCTTATGACACGAGACGCCTTGACGACTCCAGACAAGCTCCTAGTTCTCATCCCCGGCAGCCAACTTTCCATTGGTCAATGGTCCAGACGCGTAATGTGCGACGATAATATTAATGAAGGATCCATGATTACAACATGTTTGAAAGCGCTAGAACAGGGCTATCAAGTCATTATAACAAACCCAAATGCCAACTATTGGTCCGCTAATCAGAGCTGGGTAAGTATTACCTTCATCTGGCCGCGCTTTCTTCCTCATTTCTCATAATCACTCTTGTAGAACAAAAGAATGGGGTCCAAATCTATCTATATTTCAGAAAGCGACACACCAGAGAACCACATACACCACGTATTTGAGCATTATATCAAACCTTCGGCCGCTTCGAACATAGCCATCATGGGCCAAGGCTGGGCTGGACATCTAATCGAAGAACAACTCAATTCCAATTTCGATTTGTTCAAGGAAAAGGTTAAAGCAATCGCATTAGCTGATTCTGTCCACTCAAGGGACATGGTAGAAGGTGATGATAAGCGCGTCTTTTTATTTGAAAAGGTTACGAATTGGATGGCGTCCGTAGAAGAAAAGAAAGATGCCATTATTCGTGATCCTCGCTTTGGTTGTACTTGCATTTCAGCTGGTAAGTAGAAAGCTTAAAATGTTGCTAAAACGTGGATGCAACTCGCTCACCACTCCTATTCAATACCTACTCTTAGGTGTGGAAATTGCAGATTTTACTCTTCCGACCTCACTCAACGATATGTTCAAGTTTTATCAACGCCAATTTGGTGAGCAAACATTCGAAGATGAGATAGTCACGAATAGCGCCAGACAAGAGATGGAAGAAAATGAGTTAGAGGATCTCAATGAATTTATCACGGTAGTTGATCGTGATGAGAATGTGGAAATTTAACGGGCGAAAGATTAAACATGTAAACGCTCAGCTGTCGAACACAACAAGTGCTTTCGACCAACATTTGTGTCGGCTTGCACCAGCCTGTAATAAGACTATATTGTACATAATAATATTTTTTTTCACCTGGGTCAAATTTCAGTTTTGCATTATTTCTCCATCTTTAGATTACTATCCTATTCTCGAGCTTTTCGTTTCATCATATTCAAACTTTTTCCACCATTTTCATACTCCTCCACCACCTTCCTTGTTTCATTCATTTTCATGTTAAAATTAAAATAGACTGTAGCGTAAGCACGGACTGAGGTCGTCAGGAAAATCAGACACCAGTCTTTTAACTTAGGCGTCCTTCTTCACTATAATTCAGGCAGTGTGCATCGATGGAAGAAAAATCAATGCTACCGCAGACATATGCGTAGTGTTCTCTTTCAAAAGGTTTCTGGCTTGCCATGAAGTCCGCTATGGTGTTTGAAGGGAGGCTTTAAGCGCAAGTTGTGGGTCTGTAAATACCAAGGCTCATATGCTATACCTGAATAATTTGCTAATAAACGCTGGTAGCCATTCTATTAAAAATCATTTTACTTTCAAGTACCAGTTCCATATATCTTCCGCACATCGTCAATCATTGTATAATACACTTTCTTTTAAAGCCGTCGGAGGAAATTGTTCTCAGAGCCAGTACCGACGGTTGTCAAAAAATCACAATCCGCAATCTGACCAGCCAACTACAATGTCGAATTATTCACGAAACAGACTCTTGCACTCATATAGTGCAAACGCTTTTATTCATATAATGGGCTTTTCCCTATACTATGACTCTGAACAGAACAACAGCTAGAATAAAGACGCTATATCGAGTACCCCTCTCGACCTGAGCCACTAAGTCTAGCTATCAATCAAGACGTTGCTTTTGCAAAATAACGGTGGGCGGCGTATCGAGACTTTGACACCGGCATTCTGCTGTCGCGTTGGTGCAATGGGCGCAACCAAAACTAGATGCGGGACCCCAACCATACTCTATGCTTCCAAACTTCACGGTGTCGGCAACACTAATGTATTGGACTAACTCTTGCAAAGGATCGATGACAAGCTCAAGATCTCGCCCAATCATGCGTACCGAGCGAATGGTGCCTGTGATTTCCTTTATACCTGGATATTCCGGACCAGATAGAGTGCGTTGAAACCACTGAGACGCCGCATGGTCATAGTTAAACGTAGAAAACTTGATGGTAATGGGATACTCAGGTTTGAGCCGGGGATAACATTGGACGGTTTTGGGAGAAACTCTTCCTTTGAACAGAATGGCTTCCGTTGGCCCGTAGTACTTGAATTCGCTTAACACAGCAAGGGCCATGGACGGCACATAAGGAAGTCGTGACCCAAAAGCTTCTCCTTGGCGAATTTCTTGATCAGGTGGCAATCGTACAAACGGTGTGTATGCACTATGAATATATCCTTTATCGGCACTGTTCGTTAGAATAATACCACATGGCCGATCATGTCATCTTAAACAGCATTTACCAAACTTCTCTGGGTGTCGCAAATTGAGATTATAGCCTTGATCAACCCCCATACGCTCATTGATGAGTCGAGCGGCAATCACTTGTGGCGTCTCGTCCTCTTGGCTAGTCCCCAGAGCTACAAAAGCTAGTACAAGGAGCACCGTCTTGGCTGGAAAGGAGAAATACATATTGTCAGTGAAAGAGGAAAAGAGGTCAAGAATCTAGCCCTCTTTATGGCTCAATGGTCAATTTTACCTAGGGGTAATTTTAGGATCTCGGTCACGATCAATCCCATCTCGTTCTCACACAAGTTATACTGGGTCCAATAAACAGGATTCTCACTATGTTTTTCTATTCTCGTAGAAGCACCTCTATCCGACTGACCCTATTGACAGTGGACATTTGGAATGCGTCGTTTCGTTCGCTTTCTCTCAACATCATTTCCACTCAAATCCTCTGAGTTTTGCTGATATCCCTCGCGTATCTTCCATATCAACACTGAAATCCAAACGCGGTGGTGGTACTCTTCTGCTTTTGACACCATCGTTCAGCTTTGTTTGCATCGGCCGAACTTAAAAACTTGATCGTAACGCCATCGCTGGAAATACGCCATAAATGGTAAGCCCATAGACATCCACAGTAACATCGCGATATAACCTAAAGATAATGAACGTCACATCGACTATCATGCAACCAGCACTCTCACTGTCTTGTTCTTCTTCCAACTGCTCATTGTGCAGTGACTTGCAGAGAGCAAAATGCAACTAGATTTCCACTAGGTAAGTTCGTGCAAATAGGGAACGTAAAGTCAAGGACTGAGAAGAATCTTCCATGGGATTGCCGAGCTCCACAAAGGTGGCACTCTGTAAAAGCCGTCGATATCCAATCGGATGAAAATATATATATAGTTTTATGCAACCTTTTGTTTTATTTTGCATGGAAATGGTGTCACGGAATACAATCTGTTCGTCGCGTATCGACTCGCCTTTTGCAAATACAATCTCACAATTTGAGTCTTTAAACCAGCTGCTATTAACACCACTTACATATATTCCATTCAATATCTTCAAATAGATAGAAATGTTAATTTGTACTTGATCCACAATTTGCCTTGCAGACCGATGATCTTTCGTATATTTGGAAATAGTCCTTAATGCTGGATTTAGGTACCTCAGCCTGACAAGCTCGATGTAACGTAGCTTTGTGCAATACAAGCAAACAGAACCGTTCCATATTACTTTGTTTTCCGGACAATGTGGATACCAACAATGGCCATATTCATAACCCCTTTTATACAAGCGATCGCAAGATTTTTGATGAACGAGAACCACGGTTTCAAAAGCCGAAGATTTTGCAGTCAGAGATTTGCAGGTGACAGCAAATACCAAGGGATGCCATCAACCTCTCATCCGTCATTTTTCTCACTCAGATACGTCCAGTATTCGATGACCATGTCAGATCTTTAAGATATCTTTGAGATCTCTTTTACTTGTCATGAGAATAGTATGTAACACATTCTCAATTTTACCTCACGTCCGTGACACACCAACCCGCAAGCAAAATATTTACTTGTTGTACTTGTTGATCCCGTTCGGCGACCTCGTAGCGAAGCTTAGTCATCGGTAGAGTCTTGAAATCCTCAGTTAAGGTCTTCTTCGCCTTGCTGACCATGAGATGCTCTGTTCGCCTGACCATGGGAATGTTGCGCTCTTAACAGGTTTATCACCTAGCCATATCCTTTCAAAATCTACGTTGATAAGACTGAACAATCTTTGAAACTCGTTTTCTTCTATCTGGCAGCATTGAATGGGGCTACAAATCTTCAATGGTCGCCCTTCGCCTGCCTGTCGGTCTGTACCATATATCTCCACCAGCATGATGGATCTTATGTTTTGTATAATTGCCACTTCCAAAGATGTGGAGGCTTTGATTTTAGATTTTTCCGCTGTTTTGATAAACTCGTCTATTCCCAAATACTTGCCTTTAGCAAACCTGAGGACCTACCAACGACCCAAATTATCTAGTAATGTCTTCTGTGCAATTCCGCTAATGAGCTGCACTACAATGGATATTCCCAAATGACTAACCGTTGAAGGTGTCGCAGCCTGCACACATCTGGCGATCAAAAATTTGGTATCTGATATAGCCGGTAGGTGATTGCCAGTGATTTTTTTTGTAATGGAAAAACTCAAAAATGACAAATCGCCTTTTTGGATTGCGAGCTCGTATAGCAACCTCTCTCGAGACTTTAAGCCTTCACCATATGCCAATGTCAAGTGTACCGATAATATACCCGTCAATGCATACGTCATATCTTCTTTCCTTGTCGTTGCTCGTGCATCCATTCTTGCCAATATCTCAGCTGCATTTCCTGCTCGATAGTATAGATGAAGATCCAGTGTACAAAGCTCTTGCTTCTGCTCGACTGCCAGTTGTTTTATCGAAACAAGATTTCCATCATCCGATATTCCACATAGGACTCCAGCTGCAGCTCCTTCTTGTAAGCACCAACCTCTCTCGCGCCATACCGCAAGAGGAGTGCCAGAATCCAAAACGACCGCCCGACAGCTAGCATACCACTTGTACATTGATCGAATAGCCTCGTCGAGCTCAGAGAGATTGGATTTGTCAATGCAGATTGTATCCATCAAAATGTAACGAGTATGAGTGAACAAGGCATCTCGGATCCTTCGCAGCTTTTCCGACATACCACTAATTGGACCAGGTTGGTTCGATCTTCTTTCCATAATGTCAGCATATTCTATCTCACCATCACTCCATCTGTGTGTTATGAAGATGACCTTAGTAGCATCAATGTTTCTTATCAGTGCATCACAGTGCAAGTCCCACACTCTGGTTACTGTTTCCATTGGTCGATCCATCCAAATATCAATCCCAACAGCTTTAGCAGCAGCTACTGCTGATAATGGACGATGAAAAAATTTCGAACTGCATCCGCACTTGATTCGATTCAAAACCTGCCAATCTGTTGGTATGGCAACAGGTACGCTATTTTTGATGGGTTCTGGTTTATCAGCTAAAATAGCCTGAACCAACTTGTCGACAAGTTGGTGGCCACTAGCAATGCTGAGCACACTAAGACCAGCTATCAACATGGCACGCAAGTGAGTCGTAAGCTTTGATTCCGAGCCTCCGAGTACGTCTGAAAATGCGTCCTGATGTAGCCGACTAGACCATCTTCTACATACATATACAGCATCAATAAAGCAAAGAATTGGATGGCTGTTTCTATGCCATTCCGGTATCGATAAGATGGAATTTTTGGGTGGTATATGTACAATCAATCGGCCTGGCTCTCTCACAATCCCTTTGATCATATCAAATTGCAGTGCCCACTTTGGAGATGTTCCACTACAGCTTAGAGTGCTTTCAAGCATAAAATATTGCTCGGATACAAACAGCTTGATACCAAGGTATTCAAACAAAGACCCTATAAACATCTTGGCTCGTTCGTCTATGGACATTGTTTCAAATAAGGTGAACGGAGGCGAAGACTTGTTTCCTCCTACAGGACCATGCACACCGTCGTCTTCGTCAATGTCCGGAGCATTGGATAGCTGAAGCATTCTCGATGTTGGAAATCCACGACCGTACTTGTGTATAGTATGATTCAAACGTCTCCCGTGGTTTTGACCATCTTTATATGAAAATTGCATCAGCCCAACAGAAATAAACTTGTCGTCCAGCTATATAATTAAGCACTTACTTTGATGTTTTCCAACCTCTCGGTACTCAAATTCCTTCAGTATCATACTGTGTTCGCTATGTTCATCTGTACTCTTAGCAGAAACCTTTAAAGGCTCCTTATCCCGAATTCGTTCCTTACGGTTCTCATGAGACCAGACCGTACTCAATGTGGGGTAAGTTTTCTTTAATGCGTCATTCAACGTTATGTTGCTTGTGTCGGCGCCAGCTTCAATTAGTAAAGTAACCACTTCGATGAATTTGCTATCCTGCAGGTAGGATCTGGGCCATTCGTTTTTTTTGGCTTCCAATATCGTGTCGCTTAATGCTGTTTCACCATAAATATCAAGTGCATTGATGTTCGCTCCGGCACCTAACAACACCTTCACCATAGTGGGACTACGAATCAGAGAGGCGTCGTGCAAAAGAGTTCTCCCTTCCGCATCCTTGACATTAACGTAATCTACTTCTGAATACCGGTTTAGCAAGGCCGACAACCAGGTAATATGTTGCTTTTGTACAGCAACATGGAAAGCTGTTGACTCATCTAGATATGTCCTTGCGTGAACGTCAATTCCACAATCAATTAGAAGATCTGCTAGTTCAAAGAACTCACAATGCAATGCTATATGAAGAGCAGTCTCGCCATTACTGCTCTTGCTATCAATGTCAATACCATTTTCTATGAGAATAGCTGCAACCTCCTGACTATTTTTGTACGCAGCATGATGAAGAGCTGTATTACCGTTATCGTCGATTGCTTGTATATCACAATCACAATTCAACAAAAAGCGTAAAGCATCAGCTAGTCCTAGAGATGAATAATAATGCAGAACAGTTTGATTTCGACTGTTCCTCGCTTCTATATCGGCTCCTCGGTGAAGCAAATCCGATAACAACTCGATATTCTCACCAACCATGAATAGTGGTGTCAGTCCAACATCATCCTTTGTTTCAATATTGGCGCCGTTATCCAAAAGATGCAATACGACATTGGATTTCTTACTTTTCAGAGCTCGGAACAGCATCGCTTTTAAATAGTAACCTTTGTCAGATCGCGTGCTGACCTTCTCCAGAGCTACTTTAACCGCCTCAATTTGTCCAGCATCCGCAGCAAGATAGCATAATTCTAATTCTTTGTCATATTCGTTACCAAGTGTACCGCCTAAATCCATCAGCAGCCGTATTAAGTTTGCATGACCTTGCATTACTGCAACTTGAGAAGGTGTATTTCCTTCATTGTTCCTGCTATCAATCTGCGCTCCATGTTTGATTAGAAAAGCTGCAAGCTCTGAATGGCTGAATTTGGTGGCAACGTGGAGAGCAGTATCCCCAGATTTAGTTCTGGCTTCCATCTGCGCTCCCTTTCGCAATAACACGTCTACAAGATCGATATTTCCAACTTTGGCTGCCAGATGCAGAGCTGTTAGTGACGTGTTGTCAGCCGCTTCTATATTAGCCCCTTTGTCTATCAGCGAAGTTATCATGTCTAGCTGTCCAGCTTCTGCAGCGATGAGCAAGGGAGTCTGTCCTTTCGTATTGCAAGTCTCAATATTGGCACCATTGTTCAAAATTATATTGGACATATGGACGAAACCAATTTCTACTAGTTTGGCCAAAATCGTATTTCCGTCCTTGAGCCTTTGATCAATCTTTGCACCGCCAGCAAGTAGCGCAAGTATTGTTTCCTCACTTGGCTCCATTGCAGCAAAAGCCAGTGGTGTCATTAAATATTTACTTAGCGCGTCGACAAAAGCACCACGATCTAGTAATAAGGACACTACCTCCTTATGGCCACCAGCGGCAGCGTCGTGAAGCGGAGTCTTTAGATCCCTATCTTTCGCATTCACGGAAGCACCACAATCTAGCAATAGCGATACCATTTCCTTCCTACCTCCAGATGCAGCCATATGAAGCGCAGTATCAGGGTACGAGGTTCTTGCGTTAACATCAGCACCATTACTAAGTAGCAGAACAACTATTTCCGTAGATCCTGCTTCAACTGCCATTAGCAAAGGAGTCCATAAATATGCATCCTTTGCGTTTACATCAGCACCATGCTCTATCAGAAGAGAGGATATTTCCAGTTGCCTATGAATTGCCGCCTGATGAAGTACAGTTCTCGAATCGAACCCCCTTGCATCAACAGCAACCCCATTTTCCAGCAATAGTGATACTACTTTCTTGTTTCCGATAGCTGCAGCGATATGAATTGCTGTGTCTGAATAATAGTTCTTGGCTTGGACTGAAGCCCCGTGCTTGATCAGCAATGCCACCAATCCATCATGTCCACCAGCAGCAGCTCTATAAAGCACTGTTTGCGATTCTGCGTCTTTTACCTCAGTATCAGCGCCATACTCAAGCAGAATGGAAACAACTTCCTGGTGTCCTGCAGTCGCAGCAATATGAAATGCCGTGTCTCCTTCTTGGTTGATTGAACCAATATCTACACCATAATTTATCAAACTCTTTATGAGGTCTCCGTTACCATCGGCCGCTGCGCGGTACCATTGACTCAAATGATAATCATCTTCGTCAGTGCTGCTTACAGGTTCAGAGGTATTTCCAGTCTCGATTGAAAGACATTCTTCGTCTGATATTTCATATTCTATGTCTTTTTCTTCGATGTTAGAAGATGTTTGCATCGTTCAAACGAAACGTTGAATACAAGGAAAAGAGAAGAATTGAGAATAGCGCAGCAATTGTCGAGTTATCCAATTTCTTGTACAACAGGTCTCATCATCTGATGATAGCGAAGACGTAATGTGTAATCAACATCACCGCTTGAACCGAAAGATGCGGCTTTTGAGCAGAGTAAAAGCGGAGGCAGATTATTGACCTTGTTTGAAGTCAAGTCTCGTCTGAGTCTTGGGAGTATGAGCTTTCAGCTCGTACATTTCAAATCGCGTTTACTTTTACAACGCTTTAGCGATTGCTCAGATATCTTCATCGAAGCATGCGCCTTCAAGAATATTTATCAGCCACTCCACTTGATTAGTATCAACGTGATCCACTACAGTAGTCAATTGTTGATTTCACGTATAGTGATCTCAATTCATGCCCTGTTGTGACATGTTTGTCTAAGTGAGAATATGGTGTCATGGCCATCAAGGTTAATTGCTAAAGCTAATCCATCAGCACTTGACAATCAACAATGGTACCGCTTCGCTAAGTCTAAAGTGTTCTTCAACAGGATAGCACTCTTCATCATCACAATCTTTTTGCCAACATTAGCGCCATTGCCTATCAGTGGTACCTTCTGCCAAGCGGCTTTCTGGGCATCTTGTATCTTGGCATTATCGCTAGCATCAGGTCGTGCGAAACATAAACACTGGTGATAGATTGTGCACTCGAATTATTTTACATATAATAGGTTTCATCAATGTGCCCTTAAAAGCAAAAGCGCAATGTTGGAGTATATTAAGCATATAATTAACATAGTATAGTCTGATTGGCTTACGTTCATTGTTCTTTTTTATTGTTTGGTGCTCTCTGAGTTGATGAAAAGCAGCACGGCCAGGCTGATAATCTTTGTGATAGCTGTACTGATACATCTTCATACTATTTCCCATTGATACATGGGACACGTCCTGCGGCTAAGTGTATTTTAGTGTAGAGTAATTTGAATCTTATGGAAGCAACAATGTCGATTCACTTTAGACAAAGATTTCCTTTTTGAATTTTTTTATTTTTTTGCCCAGAAAACATATAAACTCTGACTTGGCAAATTATCAGCCTGGAGACTTCCTTGGCTTCTTCCCAATGACCGTAAAGAATCACTATAAACCAGGCATGTATTCCAAATGACACTCATATGCAAAGAAACTTCAACCTGCTTACATTACCCATACAATTGTACCTTAGTGAGCCAATCGTCTCAGCCTACTGACGAGCAGTCGGCCCCACCACCATATAGTGCTGTTGACCATATGGCATCTCCTTCCGCCCCTCCAGCACAATACATATCACCGTACCCTTCTAATACCGGCGACGTTATTCGCCCTTCAGAGTACGAGAATTATGGCTCAATACCTTCCAACCTTGTAGACCCGGCGAACAGCTTTTCACGCACGGCAGTTCCACCTCCGCGTAATCCTCGTAAGATAAGAATTTCATTGAAAGCGCCGATTTTAGCTGGGGATAATCTTTTCTAACCCGGCTATCTAGACATACCGTATGATTTTGTCGATCGACCTATCAATCAACCTGATATGCCACTTCCTCCTCCCGTTCCATATACGCCAGACCGATTACGCGTTCGAAGACAGAAGAGAGGATGCTGCGCAACCTATTGCACGTGGTCTTGCTTTGTGTTCCTACTGTTCTTGGTTGTGCTCAAGCTCAGCGTAACTTTTGCTCCAAAATGTACCTATCGCTCTACATATACATCCGAAAAAGTTAGTTTGAAAGGTGTAGAGGATTTGAGCATCGATGTCTCTGGTATTCCATCGTTTGGCTCCTGGATCACTTTTAAAACCAGCAATCAGCCTTATTTCCAGACAACTATTCTTTCACCAAGTGATGATGCTAACGTCAGGTGGACAGTCAAAGATGGAAAAGCCCAACTCAATATCAAAGTTGACGATATCGTATTTACATCCTGCGTTGCTGTACAGGTTACAGTCAGCCTTCCCAACAATTTGCAATCTCTCAAGATCAATGCTATCGACACTACTGTCAATTTCCCTGACGGCCCGGCCTATGTGAAGGACATTGATGTCAGGGTAAAGAATACCCGCCTTGTCAGCAAAGGAAATTTGAGCGCCAATCGATGGTATATGAGAACAACCAACGCTAGAATTGAAGGCACTTTTTCTGCTGATACAATTGACCTTGGCACTAGCAATGCTGAAATCAACGCCATTATTCAAAATGCCACCTATGTCACACTTGCCAGCAGCAATGGTCGTATCAGTGGCAGCATCGACAGTCGTGATACAGCTAGTTTAACGACTACAAATGGAGGAATTAACCTCGGGATGATCACCGCAAAATATATTTCACTCATTACATCGAACTCAAAGATTGAGGTGGCCAAGGCTGATGTCGGAAATCAATTGGATGCATCGACTTCCAATGCAAGGATAAATTTAAGCGTGTGGAAAGCCGGCAAGGATGCCGTTATAACATCAAAGACCAGCAATGCCCCGAACTCAGTCTCCTTGGTAAGTCGAGATGCATATCTTCTGTGCACAGTCCTATATAATCAACCGTACATTCCGCTAATACACTGTTTCTTTCGTCAGTCCAATCTATATGATGCACACTTCTACCTTTTCACTACACACTCGGAAACCAAAGTGATTGCACGTGAAGGGGAAGTCCAGTATGACCTGAGTTCGAAGACCGAGAAGGAAGGCGATAAACTCACTCAGGGAGGCTCGGTGGGCAAGGTGGACGTTTCTTTAAAAACAACAAATGCTGCCTGCGAACTATCGTTCCGCTAATGGGCCTCTGCCAATGTACAAAGCATTCTTTTCAAATTTTTCTATTTATCGTGATACATTGCTTGTCGTTAATACCCCCCCCTTCCATTTAAAACGATTTCATTTCGTTGAAATAACAAAGATCAATATGCATGACGGATTTGTGAGTTTTATTGATGAATATTACAATTGTGCAAAAAGGGAGAGAGGAAACTGCGGATTGTCGGTTGAGATAAGTCGACGGAACTAATATAAAAAAAAAAAAGGGCGAGAGAGGCGAACACTGTAATCTAGTTGTCCATCTCCATACGATCCAATTTTTGTTCTTCGACCTTTGCGATTTGGTTCTTGACTCTTTGAGAAGCAGCAGGAGCAAGCTCGATGTTTTGTTGCAAAATCTTGATGTTCTCTGCCTTTTCTTGGTCCTTGTTGCCAGCCATTCTCTTCTTGAAGAAGGCACGCTCGCGCTTGGCACGGATCTCTTGCACTCGCTTCATGGCCTTGACAGTTGTGGCCATGAGATTTCGGTCATATCGAACAGGTACATTACGGCGCTTCTCGAATTCGAACGTCGAATCAATGGTCATTTCCTTTCCAGCTGCCTTACGGAAAGCCTTGGTCCATCTGACCTTGCGTGGGTTACGCTTCATCTTGAAGTTCTTGTGGCATTTTGAGCGGCAAAAACGGAAAGTCTAGAACGAAGAAAATATTGGAGATTAGTTTGGGTCTGCATGGTGCTGGAAGCAGGGTGAAGTGAACAATGCTGTACCTTTGCGTCGTTTCGAACAAACATGGTACCGTGCCCCTAAACGAAGTAAGAAAACATGTGGTTAGCTTTCTGGAAGTGGCTTTGAATTCTCTATTAGCTTCTTGCTTACTGGGTAGCAGGGTCCTGAGCAAAAGTAGCAGCGAGTAATGTGCATGGTTCAGTGGGTATCGATCTGCAACAAAGACTGAGTGCTCGAAAATTTGTTCCAAAAGAAAAAAAAAAAAAAAAGGTCTCCAATGGATTGAATTGACAGTCCGGTCACGTGTGTGCTCGTTATTGGTGCAGTTGGTTCTCACTACAATTTTATGTACAAAAAAAAGGCTGGCTATTTAATCATTAAGCGATACTGGACTCTTGAGAGCTTAAAATATCAAGTAAACGAGAGTTCTTTCTTGATAAAGTAGTATAACTTTCTTGTGACGCAGACGTGGAGGAACTGTTGCTTCTTTGAGATGAAACACTAGCTGACCGCTATTAGGGAAGACTGGATGTTAGTGATCATGATTCCAAGCTAGAATATCCCAGTAGCTACTTACATCTTCTTTTGCTCTCGATGGCGCACTGAATCCAACATGAGAACCCGTCTCACTTGATCCGCCAATAGAGCCACCAGCCTCCTGGAGTAACGTCTTGAATTTTTGTAGTTTTCCGGGAGAGCGAAACAATGGCGAAGAACGAACTCGGTTGGTTTGCAGCGGGGATGTGAATTGCTTTTTGGTCACCTTCCTATGCGATACCGTTACACTTGACCATGTGTCCTCTTCTACATCGTTTGAAATTGGTTCTTCTGTGAATACGGAGACTTCCTCCATGACAGTCTCTACCTCCTCGTTGATGGAAGATTGCTATAATGTAAATCAGTCATGAGTACTTTTTCTTGCGGTGTATGTTTGGATTAAGTTACTCTGTCACTACCTTCATAGCTGCGAGCGTTTCTGAGAATGTAGAAACTTGATGCTCATCATCGCTTTCGTCCTCATCATCCTGACCATCGTCATTTACGGGAATAGGCTGACTTTCTTCCTCTTCACCGTCGCTGAAGCTGGGTTTTTCATCCTCATCAATATCAACCTTGGATGCTTTAGCGAACGCAGCGGTTTGTGGGTTCTCCGCTATACTTTTGCATTAGCTGACAGTACCGCTTCGTATATCCAAAAGTATGACATGCTGTTCCTTACCAATAGCCTGTAGAATGTTGCCATTCAATAGTTTTCGTCGTTTCGCTGCAGCTGCTCGTCGCAATGCCACAAGATTGTCATCCATGTCATCAAAAGTGTCATAATAATCCAATTCATAACCATCGTTCATAGCACCACGTCGCCTTCGTAGGCCACCACTAACGACATCCTTGATCAAACGCTGGATCATATTTTGATCGCTGTCCGCTACTTGGTTGCTAATCGGGAGTGGAAATTAAAAGGCATTGTGAGCAATAGTTGCATGCGGATATTCATTGAGGAAGATCACTTACTTGTAAGCTTGACGAAGTTGTGCTTCATCCAACTCCTCATCGTTGGCGTGCACGACAACATCGTCTTCGACATACTCATCCGGGCCATCATCCTCACCATCAACACCGCCTAACCCCATGTACTCGTCTTCTTCTTCCTCAGCTTCGTTTTCTACAAAGTCATTCTTCTTAAAGACTGCCTTTGACCGGATAGGCTGACGAGGGATGGATGGTTTCTGGACATCATTGTATTGGACGGACTGTATGGGAGATGATGATGCTTCACGTGTCGGAGTTACGTCCTCATCAGATTCATCGTCAGAGATAACGGCTATTCTTCGATTCTTACGAGCAGGTGCTGGACTTGCAGGTACATTTGCATGATCAATTTCAATCTCATCGTCCTCACTGTCAGCAAATTGGTCTTTGTCAGAACCACTGTCGTCTTCCCAGTCTTCCTTTTCGCTGCCGTAAGAGTCGTCTGCATCAGAGTCTTCACCGCCCGACTGATCAGTGTAATTCTTTGCATTCGGTTTTAACGTTTTGGCTTGCATGCGCTCCACTTCCTCATGGATGCTTTGCGCTTCTTTTTCTCGATCGAGATGTTTGCGAGCCAACTCTTCAGCACTTGTGTATAGACCCTTCTCCTTCAGTCGCACCTCCATGTCTTTTCGACGTTTGAGCATTTCAGCAGATATAGCCTGCTTCAGCGTTGCATTAAGATCCTTATGCGTCATGGCTGGTGCAGGATAATTTGCACCTTTCTTAACCGGTGTTCTTCTAGTTTTCTTTGGTGATACTTGTATTCTGACCGGCGAATAGGTGGCCACAGCCGAAGACAGAGTTGTTGGCTGGTCTGCAGATCCAATGATTTCCAGATCACTGTCGCTGTCACTTTGCACATTGCTTTGTATGGCAACTTCCTGTATAGCCGAGTCGAAGTCTGGAATCGCTGAAGCTTTTGCTCTGGTTTTTTGTTAGGCCATTTTCCTAGATATTTAGGGAATCTGCAGCACGAAATAACTTACGATTCAAGTTTCTGTTCACTTGCTGATTTCTTCGCTGATTGCATTTTTTCCAAAAACGATGCCATGGATTTTTTAGGCAGACTATTCACATGTAGCCTCATATCAGCTGATCGGTAAAGACGTTCGCTTTCTTTATGGAGCTCCATTTTCGCTTTAGTTGAGATAATTTTTGCCGCCTTTGGAGTATCGTCAGCTCCTTTGGAAGGAGTGGTGCTTTTCTTCAATTTCTCAATGGGTCTAGAGATTTTTTTAGGTGTGCGTTGCTTTTTCTGAGGAGTTAATTCTTCTCGTACTCTATTCTGTCGTGTATAGAGGCGCTCATCATCAGATTCGTCGCTGGATGATTCTTCAGCCAACATATCGTTCAGAATCTTCTTGAATTGTTCTTTGTTCGCCTTATTCCGGTTCGGTGGGCTGGCTTCTCTTTGAGGCGTTTTAGGTAGCGAACTTACAGACAAAGTGGCAACGTCTTGGGCAGCAGTAACTGACTGTTTAGATAGCTTATCCTCTTTTGGTTTAGAAGGCTTACTCCAGTCAGTCCGCTTTTCCATTCGATTGATGATACTGCTGGTTGGAACGCGAGGCTTCTTTGGCAGAAACAGGGGTATAGAAGGATGCTTTGGTGCCGTTACTTTGGCTGAACCAGTGACCTCTTCATCATCATCTTCTTCTTCTGAGGAAGAGGTATCAATGTTGGTATATTTGAGAAGATTCTTGATCTTGCTGTTTACGTTGAGGCCTTCTAACATTTGACTTGCGGTGGTGTCAAGTTGGTCATCGTCCGAGAGATCGGAATCATTCGATGACAGGTCAGAAGATCGGTCTTCAGTGGCTCGAGTTGGCGATGTCTTCTTGGCATCGCTACTTGAAGCTATGTCTGCCGAGCTAAAGGCTTCCATTGCTTGTGTGGTGAATGTCGAGAGTTAAGGGACGACTCCAAAAAAAAAAAAAGAGAAGGGGAAAAATTGGCGCGTCGCGTATTTTCATGGCGCGACTGGTGCACTTTGATGTGACTCGCACCACAATAGAGCTACCGCGGTCAGCTTATGCTACTTTCTCAAGAAAAAGACCAACATCATGAAAGCCTTGTTGGTCTATGTCTAATCAATATTATTATGTATTATATAAATGAGATATTGCCTAGGATGAAATTGGCTTACATAGTAATGTTGCTTATATTGAAAGCTGCCAGCACTAGCGTCAAATCTCACTTGCCCATCGGGAAACGTACACAGCTTATACTAACTGACTCGTTCGAGTGTATGTAGATAACATTAGTTTAGAGCTTGTTACTGCTCAACTCAAGAGAGCGTAAAGGCCTTTGCCAGAACACTGCCAATTGCAGATTTGTTTCAAGTATGTCTTTGTGACTATCAATGTCAGTTCATTTTTTTTCTTGCCATTTTTTTTTACTTCAAGCTTTGCCTCTACTATTGCCCGATCAGAATGCATAAGCTTGCCCAAAATGTCCTAAGTGCGTCCGGTGGGAAGCGATCTCCTTCTGATAGAGATTCAGAAAACGATGAGACACCAGAATTGAAGAAGACTAAGTCAGAGGATACCGCGACTGCGACTAATACCGAGTCTCCTGATGTTGCAGAATCAGCCATAGAAGCAGTCAGCTCAGAAGCTTCAGCTGCAGTTCCAAAGTTCAAGTATTTAGTCAAGGCTAAGAATTTACCTCACGGCCAAGTCAAAGAAATGAAGAATTTTTTCACCAACTTGGGCTTCTCCAAGTTTTCTAAAGCTCCAAATCAAACTTATGCTTTCCTTTCCTTTCCTGTAAGTAACCCTCTTGCTTTGGACTGCAGTGGCTGTCGTAACGTTGACTCGTGTTTCTCTAATTATAAAAGACTGAGGAAGAAGCTCTGGCAGCTCAAAAAGTTGTGGAAGGGATGATGTATCGAAATAAGCACAAAATCGAAACGTCAATATCAAAGGAGAAGGAGAGAGTCATGCAGCCAAGGCCAGCCAAGGATGTTAATGATACTAGGACCCCCACCGAAAAGCTGCTAGATCAAGTCACTCCTTTGCATAAGTAAGTGTTGAAACAGTAGATTCATACAAGTGGATGCCGCCATTTCATTAATACCACTTGCAACAGACTCTCTTACGAAGAGCAGTTGAAGAAGAAACACGATGTGAATGTCGGTTACATGAGCAGCATCAAGCGCAAGCTCAAGAACTTGAAGGGTTTATCACGAGAAGGAAGAGATGAGATCTCCTGGGTGTATGAAAAGTAAATAGCATTTTTACTCTACCGGGAAATACTCCAAGCCAATATCCAAAGTGTCCCATACTCATCTTCCTAACCAACTTAATAGGACTCCTCAACAACTTCCATGTGAGCTAATGGAACCCATTGCTTCTCCCGAAGTCAATGGATACCGAACAAAATGCGAATTTTCCATCGGTACCAATTTGAACGACGAAAGATCTGTTGGCTTTTTGCTAGGAATGTACAAGGACGGACAGACACGCGTTCAATCACCCGCTGAACTGTCCAATATTCCAGATATTGCTAAAAAGATTGCGAATGGCATGGAGGTGAGTGATATGGTGTTCGTTGGAAGTAAGAAGTCGGCAGTGACTCGATGATCTAATCACGTTTCCTGCAGCAATACATTCGTCAGTCTGAATATCCTCCTTACGACAGAGTCAGTCATGAAGGCGTTTGGCGTAGTTTACTCGTTAGAAGCCCAAAAACAGGAGAAGGTGAGCATAAAGGATCTCCTATATTATTTTTCTCTCACGCTTTATACGCCCGCTCTAACTTTGTGAATAGTTATGGTTATGGTACAGCTACAAGAAAAAGACATGACTCCAGAGCAATTGGAGTCAGAAAAGAAAAAGATTGTAGAATATTGGGCAGAGTTCGAGAAATCAGAGAACATCCCTATCAAGACATTGCTTATTCAGACATGGAGTGGAAGCTTCAACGGCATTGTCAATGACGACAAGGCTACCACGGACATCATGACTGGCGACGGCTTTGTGCACGAAGAGATTCTCGGGTGCCGTTTCCGAATTTCGTACAACTCGTTCTTCCAGATCAACACGCCAGCCACCGAACTCCTTTACAAGACCTGTGCTGACTGGTGCAACATCGACGAAAGCAAAAAATCTGTTTTATTGGATTTGTGTTGCGGAACTGGTACCATTGGTATCACCATGGCAAAATCCGTGAACAAAGTCATTGGTGTTGATATTGTCCCCGAGGCCATTGTTGATGCCAGAGCGAATGCTGAAAGAAACGGTATCACGAATGTAGAATATTATGCTAGTAAAGTCGAAGACAAGTTAGATGTCTTCAACGCTAAAGACGACGAAGAATTGGTTGCTATTCTTGATCCACCAAGGTATGTAGTCATCTGTCATGCCGTCATTGCACGTGCCCTTTTACTGAACCCCTTCACACAGAGCTGGTGTTCACAAAAGTGTTATTTCGGCGGTGCGAAAATCTAAATTGAAGCGCCTGATCTATGTGAGCTGCGACGCCAAACTTGCTCAGGATAATTTCCTGGCGTACGTATTATGAGCTTTGTGTGTGTGTGTTTTATGCCAATGACGTGATGACTGATCTGACCTCTAATGTTTTAGACTTTGCCGACCCTCTTCTAACGCATATCCCGGCAACCCTTTCAAGCCAAGCAGAGCCGTAAGCGTGGACCTTTTCCCTCATACAGACTCGTGTGAATTGATTATCGAATTTTCACGAGAATAGAATGAATAAATATGAGAATGTAGAAGACTATTTTTTGCCTTTGCGGGGTAAATGATCGCCGGGGTGGCGTAGGTCCGACCCCATATGCGTTACTACATTCCAGCTGGCGGGCTCACCCCGCAAAACCGAGAAAATCAAAACGCGCAACCACAGTTGATTGGAACACGGATATGAAACTACATTCATTTATGTGGAAAAACGATTGTTTCAAGTAAAGTAAAAAAAGATAGTGTCTCACTTATGTACAAGAAAAGGTGAAGGAGGAAGAGAACTAAAGCAGGGGAGTGCTGCAAAAGGGGGATGAGTTTCAGTATGGTAAAAAATGGTATGTAAGTAGTGTAGCTCTTCCTTCTAGGTTATATTCGGTTTGAATCCATGAGTAACCAGTCTTCACGCATGTCCTCTAACGTTTCGCCAGGGTCTATTTCGACCATCGTTTCAAGCTCGCAGAGCACACGACGGCCACCCATCCACCAAGCAGCCCAGACAATCCATTCCCCTAAAATCCAAAATTGCTGGTCACTGGACCTCTGCCAAAAATCTTGCCAGTCCATGTCTCGCTTGACATACACCAAGTCAAACATTCGGTGACGGCTGCGTAATATCCGTCGGTTGCTTTGCAGGAACATGGTCATGCGGGCTTGAGTGTGTTCGTCTTGGATATTGACTTCATCGAAAGCATAGTGTAAAGCATCTACGGGATCCGGAAATGACATATATCGCTGTACCGCAGTAGCGTGTAATAAGCATGGCTCAATGTTGAAAGATAGTCTTGCGCTGCTGGGATCGAATTGGAGTTTGGGTGCAAAGCTCTTGCCCTCTATCTATAATCAAAATATTTTTAGTATCAGCCGCGTTTTGCCACATAACCCTAAAGATCTCCAGGTTCAGGCAAGAATGTTGGAATTGATACTTACATACATTCGCCAAGGAATGTTAGTAGCCCTCGTAATGTACTCTTGCAGAATGCGAGATCGCACACCTTGAAGTGTCCGGTTGGCTGGAAGGGATAATAATATCGGCACAGGAAGTTCCAGTAATATAAGTTCCAATACTTCGACTGGTAAATCGGTGAAGGTGGTCATGAGGGTCGATAAAATGAAAAGATACAGTAAGAAAGTAAAGAAGAGAGAAACAAAGGAGACGAATGACCGCTTGGCTCAGTGTTATTTATCGCCGCTACTGTTGCTGAAAGACCACACCTTGACGTTGTTCTCGTGGTCGCCTGTAACCGTCACAATCTTTTCACTGTCAAATCCTATCCAATCCATATTCTCGCACAGTCCATTTTCGATGCCCACCACCAGATCATTGTGGCTTTCCAAATTCCAAACCTTGATACCAGCTCGATCTCCACTAACAAGTCGTCCAATGCGTGCGTCCAGCGCCATCGCTCCAACAGAGCTTGTATGTCCCCATAGTGTTCGAACATGCTCTATTTCAACTCTTTGTCCTTGTTCGGAACATATCCGGTAATGTTGCATGGTATTGTTGTTGTGACTAGTAACTACATAAGGGTGAGCATAGCTAATTTTTCGTATGGGGTCATTCGACCCGTATCGATGGGTCCGAGAACTGCTGTGCCTTGAGCTAAGAATTACCGTTGGTGTAAATATAACTTCTTGTATACCAAGGGTCCATGAGTCTAAGCCTGCAGACATCCCAAAACAAACGATGGCTTGATAGGAGTTATTGCTCTTGGCGAATATCTCTAGCGTCAACGGCTCCCACGTCATTGCACTAATTAGGCTGTGACATAACCTTGTACCTTGGTCTTCACAGAGATATGTTGACAGCTCCATATCGGAGGAACATGTCATCACTATCTTTTCACATAGAGCAATTGACTGTACACCATGTCGATCGCAGTCAACGCTTGGCCTCGCCGCGTGACCTGCCAGTTGCATGATACTGCGCTTCTTGGCATCAATTTGATACACCGTAAATCCACCATTAGAGTATCCCGCTACAACCCTGGTAGGGTCGGTATTATCCCACTTGATGCATGTTACATATGCTACAGTCTCCACTGAGGGTGGCGCAGTTGCTATGTGCTGTATACTTGACCCTTCTATCTGCCATACATCGATGTTGGCTGAGTCAGTGCTGGCTGTGACAATGATGTCGTTGCATACTTGAAATAAAAAGCTGCCTGTTGCTTTTGCCTCCTCTGATAGATGATGTTGACGACTGTTGAGCCTCGTTGTATGAATAGGCAGTTGTAGTTCCTCTACTTTACAGTTCCCTGTGTATCAAAGAGGACTGTTGTGTTAAATTTATAGCCCCGTAAGGATCTTTTCAGTACATCCTTTTCACTTGCCTGTTTCCCAATTATGGTTAACCTTGTATAGCGTCTTCCACTTCTCTTGTCTACCATGTCTATTTAGGCCAACGCTTTGCTTGCCGTGTAATTTTTGCGATCTCAGCTGTTGTACAAGCATTTGCCTTGGATTGGGGAACCGGTATAGAAACAAGGGCTTCCAAAGCTAAATAGTGTGTGTGAGCTTTCATGTACTCCCGATTGAGATGAATGGAGCCTCGCTTACCTGTTCATCGCTGGCCGCGGCATACCATTTCGTTGAGACTCGAGCACACGTGGTAAGGTCCGCAGCGTCAAGGAAACTGAATACAAGAAAGACAATTTCCTGTGGCAAAGTCAGCAAATCTCGTTTGATTAATGCCTTCTTTGGACCCGATAATCGTTGTCGCTTTGCAGCTGGCATTGACATATTTGGTCGTTCGGATTAATGCTGGCGAATTTTGCAAGTGTCGTTGTGCTTCTGCTGTGCAGTAAATTCAGGAAAAATAAAAACCACTGCTCAGAAATTCAGCCAATCATATGGGGTACTCTTCGAAAATTTCAGCAGTTAGTAGCACTTATTAACATGCGTATGGGTCCGTCATACGTACACTGCGATGCGGTCTTATTGGTGAAGTGCTCAAATATATTTTTTAGGGCCTGAAGATTGGCGTTTATCACAGGCTTGAATATGATACTGTCAATCTGATGAATTTTGCTATCGTTATGCAGTATACAAATGTCTGCTCTATGGGAACATCATGAGCTAACTGATAGCCGTATTAAGATTTACCAGGAGCGACATTTATTGGATAGCGGAAAGGAGTCAACGATAATGTATGGTTATGTTACTCTCGAAAAATGATTATTCAAGTAAGATTGGAAAATAACGTAATAGCAATGCTTTCATAGTACCGGCTTGTTTGTTTATAATTAAAGGAAGAAAAGTGTCGCGTCAAGGTGTTTGTGAGCTGCATAATGAATTTTATGTGAGCATCTCATGACCTGCAACAACTTTTATGGAGCTGACGTCGCCTAGCCCTCAGTAATCTACATATTCAATACCTATACTGGCACTTTCCCGGAAAACTTGCATAGAAAACATCGTAATGATGGATCACTTGTCAAAATTCACAACGTTGGGATGTATAAAAGAACAGTGCACAAGCTTTTTCTATAATATATTGACGTACCTCTGATTCCTGACTACCAAACGCAATGAAATCCATGTGTGAATTCGTTCGACAGCGATAGTCGTCAGCAATTGGTTACAGTACAAGCCAAGAAACAAAAGTACCTCCAGTTGTAACATGCGACCCATTGTTTAGAAAAATCAGCTTCTGCGCGATAAAAACTAGTATTTAATTTTTTTACCTCGTTTTAAGAACACTTAAGCATTTTGAGGTACTTTGAGCGAACAGGTAGTGGTATTTCCTTTCAATGAGACCTTCATCGCTACCTTGGGTACGCTTTACTGCTCCACAGTAAGAAAAACAACGATTGTAAAGCTTGATATTACTGATTGACAAAAGTTGCTTCATGTTTAATCAACTATGATATATCAAAATTGCGTGTATCCTAACAAACCTCGAGATAGTGTAGCTACAATTAAGGAATGTACTATTTATTTTTCAGGACAATAAAACTATACTGGTCTCAACTTTCGCTCAATGCGATTTGGCGCAGAGGAAGCGCGCCAGGCTCATAACCTGGAGGTCGCCAGATCGAAACTGGCAATCGCAATACTTTTTGATTGGATATCAAATTTTTAATCCCCGTTTTGATTGGCTGTCAGGTCAAAAATGGGTTTGATTGGTTGTTTGTGTGCAGCACTTTTATTTACCGCAGCAAAGTAACTTTGCTTTGCAAGCCATACTTTATACCAGTGATTCCTCGGTTATAGCTTATACTAAAGAGAAATTATTTTGCCAAGCAGTAGTAAAACCAATATTTAAAGCACTGATGATAATTAGCATACAAAGCCAGCTAATAAATGATCTGAGAGCAGCGAAGAAAATATTAGCTTCTAAGGTCTCTACACGCTCCTGTTCACAGGTAAAGTATACTGTCTTCTAGAAGAAATAAGAAGGGCTTTTATATAAACCACATATGGGTTCTTTTTTTTCAAGGAAATAGACATAACATTTTTACTTCAAAATACATTATTTCGCTGTTTATCAAATTTTAACGGTTGGAAGATTCATTGTCAGTTGGTTTGACAGCTGGGTGGACCACCATTGTAGCAGTAGTAACTTCGGAAACGAGGCAAATGGCTCATGTCACTGAGACCTTTGGCATCCAGACAATATGCATGGCCGCCGCAGTTGTTCTCGGCATACAGGTTGCATGTATCCCACCAGCCTTTTGCAGACAATAGATGTGACTCAAACTGAGGTGGCATAGGATGGCAGCAGGAGGCGCCAGTTGGAACAATTTGACAACCTTCAAAGTTAGCTCCGGAGCAGAGTGTTAGCTGGTATGTTCCATCTGATAAGCAGGCAGCAGTGATCAATTGAACCAAGGAGAGAAGAATTGAGAGCAGTGACAGAAAGCAGACACTCATATTCGAAGAGATATTAGCAATCTGAAGAGTATTGCACTATAGAAAAGTATGTAGTTAAGTGTAATGTTGCTGGATGTAATGTGGTTTTTATTTCTAAATGTTGGCATCTAGGGCCGTTACGGGGAGGCGGATATTCGCAGGATTGAAGGGGTGTCAGTAACGTAGGTTCCTTTCATGGCTAGCTTCTATCTGCAAAGTAGACATCATGCCTTGAGAAACTTTGCCCGCATAGTAATTCATATAGAAATTTAGCGATCAGCGCCTCAGCTATAAATGAATGAATTTGAAAGCGAGAATGTAAATTATAGTCTACTTGCTTTTTGATACAGTTTTTTTTCTTTCTATTGACAATTTTTGGCTTAACCTGAAAGACATTTTCCCCACAAATACCTAACACCGAGATGGAAAACCATTGTCCCCTTGATTTGGGGATTTTTGTTCCATTACTTTCTTTCTATCATACGTTACACTATATCTGTCTCGATAGATTCAACTTATTCTATAAAAGACCATAATAATAGGAGAGACCTTACAAGAACTTGCACGTCATATTTGTCAATGCTGGGAAAGCTTAAAAATATGGCGTATTAAAAAAATAATAACGGTAGAGTGATCGCTACCATCAACATCATATTATGGAAATGATAAGGGAGGCATTTATGGAAGGGCATTTCTGATCTAGGAGATGGAGTAGTTGGGTAAACCAAATACGCAAAACAATTTCGTTGTCTGGTACAACTTTTAATGTAGTTCTTAGAATTCCTTTGATTTGCACTTGCGTAATAAATGCAAGTGGAACCAACGAAATTAGAAATAGAAGAAAGAAAAAAAATAAAATAAAATAAAAAGTTAGTGACGAGCGAGTTGACTGATACGCGAATCCTACCAAAATAACTGATCACTTCATGGTCGTACCTTTGAGATACTAGACGATGTGGATTCGTGTTTAGGGCCGAAAAATACTTTGTTAATCACGAAGATATGCTAGAAATTCTGCAACCAGCTGTGCGAGGAGTGCAGTAACATTGGGATGCATGCAGAACCTTTGTGCGTTGGTCCTCCTATTTAAGACCAGTTTACTGCTGGATTGGCCTCCAGGAGGCTGCTTGTCAAAGCGAAGTCAATCGGATGATCGCTTTCATTTTTTCGATCAGAAGCGAAAATTAGCCGATCTCCTTTCCAGATAACCTGCGTAACATCGTCATTTTGTTTCTGGGTTTATTGTATCAAACCATACTTGCCTGGGCACTATGTCCTGGTGGATGTTTCAAGCTAACCTTGTGCAAAAACACAAACTTTCAAGGGTGCACAGTTGGCAAACCTAATGCTCACTGTTGCTATCATATGCCAGTACCTTACAATTGCTCAAAAGTCTGCAAGGGGTTGGCTTAATACGTGCGACCTCCATACCGTAGCCAACTGTCAGGGGCAACGTCAGTGCATCGATGAAGCTGGTTGCAGGGACATGAAGTTTCCTGCCTATCATAGTTATTTTGGTCAAAACTATGGACTATCTAGATGCCCGTGGTGAGTTTATTTGCTCGATATTGTGGTTATTAATGTATTTGCCAGTTCTAAAGCTGTGACCATGGAATACTGCGCATGAGATCTGTTTACACGCTGATCTAGCTTACTGCTTTGACAGGATGCATGTACTGATTGTTGCATTCCTCAAATATGGAAAATGGCCTAGTGATAATGCTATGTAAAAAAATTCATATGGCGGAACTGATAAAAATAGAAAGTAAAGATCAAAAACCCCAAAAGTGTGCCATCAACGGTACCATCAACGATAGAATTTTGTAATCCAGCTACCAAAATTCAAAAATCCTGCCGTTCAGTGACTGTCCATTCAAATCAGAAATCTCGCTTCCTTCGCTTTAGGACCATGGCTACTGAGGGTGCAGACGAAAGCAACCTGCATACAGAAAAGAAGTACCAAAAGGATGCCAAGATCGGAGAGGGTACATATGCGGTTGTATATCAAGGTAGGATTCAAGGATTCAGCATACTTTTTTTTTTTTTTCAGAACGAGCATTGTTTAAATCTCTCTCTCGACCCTTAGGTACACAGATCGCGACAGGTCGCAAAGTCGCCATTAAAAAGATCAAAATCGGACAATTTAAGGATGGTCTTGACTTGACGGCCATTCGAGAAGTGAAGTTCCTGCAAGAGTTTAAACATACAAATATCGTCGAGCTTGTCGATGTTTTTTCGCACAAGACCAACTTGAACCTTGTCCTCGAGTATCTTGACTCTGACTTAGAACAGATTATCAAGGATAAGTCCATTCTTTTTATGCCGGCTGATATAAAGAGCTGGATGATGATGATGCTGCGTGGGCTTGACCATTGTCATCAAAGCTGGGTCCTGCATAGGGTATGTGGATTGTAATATGATTGTTAATGTAATGGGTCAAACTTACGCTCCTCTGTCCACTTGACAACCTATAGGATATGAAGCCAAACAATTTGTTGCTTGCAAGAAATGGACAACTCAAAATTGCAGATTTTGGTCTTGCTCGCGATTGGGGTGATCCGGGAAAGCAAATGACTTCACAAGTAGTGACTAGATGGTACCGAGCACCAGAGTTGTTGTTTGGCGCAAAGGAGTACTCGTATGCCGTTGATGTATGGGCTGTTGGCTGTATTTTTGCAGAACTCATGTTGCGAACGCCCTATGTTGCTGGAGATTCTGATATGGATCAGCTCACCAAGATTTTCCATGCACTGGGTACACCGAGTGAAGCTGACTGGCCCGTAAGTCTCATATTTGATAGCATAAGTTAAAGAGAACGTAAATAATCAACCCATTGATGTTTAGAACATGACTACGCTGCCAGACTATGTTCCTTTCCGAACGTATCCAAAGGTGCCGCTCGGACAGTACTTTACCGCTGCTGGCAGCGATGCTCTAGATCTCTTGGAGAAGATGTTAGTGTTCGATCCGGCGAAACGTTGGACGTGTCGCGAGGTAAGTGCATTGATACTTTGAAGGCTACGTGGTGTTGACTTTTACTCGTTATTTACATTTTCCTCATCCCAGTGCCTCAATCACAGCTATTTTAGCAACGCTCCACTGCCCACAAAGCCAGAAAAGCTCCCACAAAGAGCACCGGAGCCGGAGAAGGTTGCGGATACATTGAAGCGAAAGGCCGGCGCTGTTTCGACAGATAATGATGATAAGCTTGTGGCACGTAACAAGATCGCTCGAAAGCTTACGTTTGAGGACTAATGCTGGCTATCCATCTAAACTTGTAAATATTGAATAAAGCGGTACTTTATAGGTGCTTGCTTTGGGTTTGTCCTCAAAGCCAAAGGTGAGATGCATTATGTAGTCGTGTCTCTCAATACAATGTAGCGTGCTGATGAGGTATAAGGAGTTCACAATACATATCAGTTCACTGATGGGTGTTATTACGAAAGATGCTGATATAGCAATGACACGCTGTCATTAGCTCTGAGGTTGAGCAATTTATTGTAGTAGAGATAAAAAGGGTATGGGCGTGTGTATGATGGATTTAGTATACTTGTCTAACTTTTAATGCTGGACATCGGCTGTAGCATTACCGACATTGAGAACGGAAGTTGACCAGTCTGGCACAGTGCCGTTCCACCGCTCTTTGAGCACTTCAGGACCGGAAGTTTTGAGACTACCAGCTAAGGAGCCTAATGATAATGAGTAGAGAGAGAGAGTGCATGTCAGAGAACAGATCTGACAGAGAATTTGGTTCAAACCATCACAAAGTTGGCAAACCTACCTCCAATCCATGCACGAACATTGCTTTTGAAAACATCGCCGCCATTTTCATCAGCAAAAGTCAGGTACTGATGAAGTCGTAAAACCGATGAATAATGCCGTTTCTCACTTTCAGTAGGTGATCGCATCACTCGCAATAGCTCTTGATGTAACCGAGTTCTGAATCCAGGGAGCATGGCTGTACCTCCAATGAGCAAAACATTGGATACTAAAGGCTTTCTTATATCGGGTTGGACTTTGCAAAGAGCATCGAGAATAGCTTCCACCACGCTTTTTTGATCATCGTCGTTGTCGTTTTCGAATAACACTTCGGCAGCTCTTTCGCGAACCCAGCCAGGAACAAACAACCATGACTTGCCTTCCCCTGTCGTCGCTATGGGGTGATACAAATCTGTAGCGGCGCTGAAGTCCTTCCAGAGATCGACAGGGTCAGAGAGTGAGTCTCCCGAAACCGGCACAGGCGACACAATGCATATTCTCGTTTTGATATCTTCAATTACGTCCGGAGTAAGTAATGTCTGTGGTATATGGGTTCTTGGTGCGATACTTCTATGCAATGTTGAAGGAAGGATGAGTCGACCGTGGTCCACCAAAAGCTTTCGCAATCGTGCATTCATAGCCCTTCCAGCCAAAGGACTTGAGCAGGTGAAAGGGATGAGTGGCCTTGCGGCGTAGATCTGTAATGCATGAAAGAAAGACAGGTCGAGTTAGTTTCCAACAAAGTAATGCTTAAGCGTCAGGGGCATTCACTGACCGGCAATACGGTCATTTCAAGGTGACCACAGTCGATGACGAGACCAGTTGTCTGACCAATGGTCAAGAGAGCGAGAAGGTGAGCCGATGTGAAGGAAACAGAAGGGACGTGGAGTTTCTGGAACAGGACTTTGGCGATGGTTTGTTTTATAGAAACGGGTAATAATGGAGACTCCAAGATAATGACCTTGGAGCTTTTTGGATCAGCAAGAAGTAAACGATAGTAGATGTCGTGTAGCAAGCGTGCCAGGCGTTGCTCGAATGCGTTGTAGTTGCTGCTTGAACGTGTTGACATGTCCAATTCGTAGAGCTCTGAAAACTAGAGAAAAAAGTACATTAGTATGGCCAGTTAGGGGATGTAGCCCGTACCCATCAAGCTATCTCACCTCGCTCGAGATGCAGTATGCTTCTCCGTCGGATGCTTGCGATCGACGCTGCCTTGACCACGTAGGAAGTATATGTCGTGGCCGAGGTTCACCTGAAAATCCACATTTGATGTATAATGAGCCAATGTCTAGAACAATGCGGTCTTCAATGCCGTAAATGGAATGGCTTCTGGTGTATAACGAGCTTGATCCCGGCCGTATTGATGACGAAAAGGCATCTGAGCTCATGGTGGTTCGGTAGAGCAAAGATGTAGGAACTAAGGTAGACGTGTTGAGCGGGGTGAGCCAGATTTTTTTCCAAGCGGTGGTGCGTGTACCCCGCTCTTTGTAATTAGCATATCACAACTTACTTTGCATATGAATACTCCTCTAACCGATCTCGAGAAATTACCAACGGAGACCATACTGTCAGAGATTGGAAGGCTCCAGAATTCAAACAAGCATTTGATACGATCCAATGCAGAGATGCAAGAGTTCGATCCAGCATTGAACGACAGTGATCTTAAGCAAGCTGTGAATGAGAATGAACAAGTCATTTTACGGCAACAAGAGCAAATGCATAACTTGATTGAACTCATTCGACAACGACTAGGTGATCACGCTGCTCGAGAAATCGAAAGTACCGTAGAAGAGTACCGCAAGCAGGATGAAGACTTGGTCAATGGCAGCGGTGTATTTCTATAACAAGATAACCTCTTTATTCAATCATAGCAAGAGCTTTTATATATGTATATAATAAAGAAGACAGACAAGAAAAACTGTTGTTTTTTGGTAGAAAGGCTGTTTGTTGGGTGAGTAATTACGCAGAGATGTTGTACGCTTTGCCTACGCGAAGTAATAATGTTCGTAGCACCACACGAATCTCAGGTATCAAATTATCCTGTGCCAACATATTGACAGATGATTCATAAAACTGTGGCAAGTGTCTCGAGAACTAGGAACATTTGTGAGCAACTTTGATGAAAAGAAAAACCAATGGTTTGGGGAAGGACTGTAGAGATTACTTACGTCTTGGTCTTGAAGATTGGTGAGTCCATGCAAAATTGACACTACAACAGGAGTCCATGCTGCAATGTTTTTGGGCTTTGTCTCATGGTCCAGCTCAGAGTACAATGTAAAGATCTCATTGCAAAGCCTACAGGATGAGGAAATTATGAATAAAAAAGTCAAGATAAACTTGTTTTGAAAGCCGTAATAGAATCACATCCGGGGTGCACTTACGGAATCAACGTCTGTTCAATCTCTTCCCGTCTCTCATCACGATCGGATATGTTTTCAATGTTGGCAAACATTCTCATCAAGTTGGCGACATAGCATGCTCCACTGGAAGTCTCTTGCTTCAACAGATTAGGAAGTTGCTTCATGAAACCTAATCAAAATGTTAGTTTTTGCTGCCTACGAAGAGTCAATACAAGGAAAAAAAAATGTCACGTACCAAATCGCCAGAGGGCCATGCGAAGCTCAGTGTCATTGTTAAATCGCTCAGCAAAGTGGAATGACTTGCCAAGGCAGTCCATGACCACCATGAGATGGTGAGCAGGGAAAGCAATATAAACAATGTCCTTGCTGAGAAGGTCGTTGACGGTCTGGATTAAGAGCAGTTGCAAAACGCACTTCATAATGATGTGCTGGAAGCTGCGCTGTCTCTCATCGTTGACGGTTTCTTGTTCTTCTGGGTTCTCCTTATTTCGCTCAACTAGATCCTGAGTGTCGTTAAACAAGCTATAAGCCGTGGTCTTTTCAAAAAGATCCACAAAAGTCTCAGTGACCATATCCCAGGACTCGTTGTTGAACTTTTCGACATTGGCTTCGATGTATTGTTGCAAGCACTCGCATCCGATACGTGCAAGTGTATCATTTTCTGTTACAGAGGAGACAGGTTAGCCCAATGTGATATCTCTGGTCCGTGTGTTAACTGCACAATACTTGCCTTGGGTAATGCACATGGAGAACAAGCTCAGTACATGCTTCATCATATCTCGCATATTTTCAAAATAGAAGGTATATAGATCGACAACACTTCGCAATGCTTCAATCATGGTGGTGGAGAGCCACACGCTCAAATCTTCATCGCTCATGGTACGGTGATGCTCGGAATCAGGTCGCAAGTCTTCGAATAATGGGAATACGATTTGCCTCGTAATGGTGTTCCAAAACTCCGGAGAGAAAGTTTTGCCATGCTCCTTGAGCGTTTCGAATAAATATTGAAGAGCCCTCCGCCGGACTTCAACGTCGTCGCTCTTCATGGTGACTTCCTTAAAACCGAACAAGATGGCGAACCAAAACTTGACCAAAAAGTCCTCACCAGACTGGACAGTTCGACCAGCGTTGGTATTTGCATCGTTGATAACGATGGCCTGGCTATCACTAGCGAGATCGAGCATACGTGGTATGGTTGATTTGATCATGTCAAGAGCGGGCAAGCTAATTTTCTGGAACTTGCGGTTCTTGGAGAATTCACTCAAGCAAGTAACGAAATCAGGGAAAGTACCGTTGGCAACGATGTCTGAAAATCGTTCATTTGCCAGAGATCGTACAATGTCAAATGTCATGGAAACAATAGATTCTGAAATAAAATTAAACGACGCACAATCCATGTTAGCGTCTAGTTAAAGATTCTTCTCTCTCTCTATCATCAAGCTATATGTGCTCCTTACCTGAAGACTCGCAGGCTCCCTTTGCAAACACAGCAAACATAGTCTTCCAGCCTGATCGAATGTGATGAGCACGAGCTTGAATCATCTGGGTAAGACATCTCAAAACCATATCCTTGATAGCAACATCTTGATTGTTGGCCAAAATGTATTCAAAAGGCATCAAAAAGTCCTTTTGGAACTTGAAGTGAGCCAATTCTTCCTTCTCCAAGAACTGCATGGACAGTTGTCGCAAGGAATCCAAAGCAAAGAAAGCAATGTTGAAATTGGACTGACAACCAACTTGATTAAAGTGTTCACCAAGAATAGCCCACACATTGGACCATTCCAGACGAATACGTCCCATGTTGTAGTATGAGATCTCTACCAGTTTTTGTAAACTGTACATGCGTGGCTGCTCTAAGTTGCTTGAAGAGATAATCTCTTCCCACGATGTCTCGCACAAGGCTCTAACAAAGTCGACGATGGCTTCACCGTTCAAATTGACTGTGGATGTAAAAAGTTTGTCGACAGCCAATACAAGCGAATGTGAACTTCCAGCTGTTGCAACTTCTTCGGTAATCTGAAGCAAGGAAAATTAGTATGACATAAGATGCGATACAACCTTATTAAAAAGACAAGCGCAAAACAACTTACAATGGTGTTCGTTCGGTTAAGTTTTCTACCGTTGACAGTAGTATTGTTTTGTCGTCTATTCAAGTCAACAGAGCGACCACGTTTACCAACCATTTCGCCACCTTGATGGTCACCGCCAGCACCACTGGTAATAAGTTGGAAACGTTCAAGTTGACTGACAGTGGTCAAAATTTCTCTCCAGCTGCCCTTGAGATGGTTGCCATCCGTTGCAGCAACATCCAACAACGCCTTGATGGCTTGAACGTTTTTGAATTTCATTTCACTGTAATTGGTCAAGAAGGTGAACTTGGTCAAAGTGGTGACAAAGGCATCGCGCTGAAGGTTCATATCTTCAGACTGGATGGTGTGGAAAAGACAAATGGTTCGAATAGCGTATTTGAAGCCTTCCAAACACAAGTTGACAGTCTCACTATCATCAGACTCTTGCAAAGGGCCAGAAATACCAGCCAAAAACGACATCCAAGCAACTTCGAACATGGGGCGAACGTGTTCAATATGAGAGGCACTATAAAACGTGATAGCGCCAGCACCGGTAGCTGCGGCACGACGGCGCTTACTACCCAACATGTTTTTAAACAAAGCTTCAGTCTTGGAACCCATTTCTTCCGTGACAGCTTGATAAGCTTCACCTTTAATATCGCGTGTGATACCTGCATTGACCAAGGCGTTCTGCAATCCAACCATACCAAGGGGACCTCCGGCGTTGTTGGTGGCGGTGAGAAGAGCATTGGAAGCAGCGACTTCTTGTTCATCTTTCATGATGATTTCATTGCTTTTGATTTCGTTGTAGATACCAAGTAGCAATTCTTCGGGAAGATCCGCATTGTCATTGATACCACGGTTATTCTTGATGAATTCTTCTATGGTCATGGGTTTCTTGACTTGAGGACTGTGTTGATCAGTATTGAGCAAGATAACAGAGTAAGCAAGAATGTAGGCGGTGTCAGCGTTGGCAAAAGTGCCAGGGTTGCCATCGAGATAACGTTCAGCAAATTTCAACATGAAACGATCGATCTTTTGCGCTTCACCAGGGAGACGGAAAGATTGCAAGAACTGTCTAAGAGCATCTACGAAGAGCATCTCGGTGAAGTTGAGTTCATCCACAAATGCATGCATAATGGCAATGTTTTCAGGTTCGCCTTCACCAAGGTATTCACCAATCATGGTCTTGTTAAGACCATCGGTATGCAATAAGAATTTGGCGACATCAGCAGGATCGCTGGAATTGATGAAGCTATGCTTGTGGAGGAACTGGATTCCCTTTTTGGCCTTCCAATTGAACTGACGAATGCCTTCTTGAAGCATTTGTTTACGATGCTTTTTTGACTCGAACTGTTCTGGATCATCCATAGCGGTTGATGACGATGTTCCATTGATAGCAATTTGAACACTGGATGATACTGGTGACAATCGAGACACAGAGGTATTGCTATGGTTGGTGATGGCTTCAGTTGAGCCGCTTGGTTGGTCTTCACTCTCTCTTGGCGTGGCCTCCTCGTCTGGGTTAGTAGGTACACTGACGGCACCCTTATTGTACCATGCCACCATTGACCTCAGCACCGCTACCAAGCTTTCGAGCGACTTGTATTTCAACGCAAGGTCCGATGGCTGATTGGCTTGCCCACCATGCTTCTCGTTGGGTTGAATAGTGTCGGTGGTTAATCTGGGTGGTATGACAACAGAAGACCCATTCATATGGCCACTGCTAAAATCGGTGGAGTGACGCATATCCGAGTTCTCTTTAGACGGTATATTGACAGCATGTGTGGTCGTGATTCGTGACAAAACATTGACAAGTCGCTCATAAATGTTATCCAAAGCTTCCTTATCACAGTCGTAGTTGAGATAGATTTCCACTAGAGTCTGTGGATCACTGCATATTCGAAGGACAACCTTACTGAGCAGCAAGTGTTTCTGCTGAGAGGATGCATTGCGCATTTCAAGAATGGGAAGAAAGATGGTGGTGAAGAAGACTTCAATTTCTTTTTTCAAATGCATGCGCAAGTTCTGCACCACCTTCCAAAAGATCTCAAGACTGACTTCGAAGACTTGAGGTGTGACCGATACCGCATTTCGACTTAAGCTAACACACAAATTCTTCTTGGCTGCTTGGATAAATGGCGTGGCGATAGCGGTGCCATTGGGTTGAAGAGACATCAAAACAACGCCGGGTGAGGTGAACACAGCATGATGTGAGGTGAGAATAACGGAAATTAAGTGGAGAGAAAGCAGTTTTGAGCGCATGGAATAGGATTTGAGGTCACTGCTGTAAAAGAGTTCATGTCGATGAGAATTTGAATGTTTCTACGGTGAAAGGGCTCTGGTTTACAGTATACATACCCGTCTGTGGTAATTGGCTTCATGGAAAGATTGCACAGTGCTCTAAATACAAGAAAAGCATCCTTTGCAAACAAGTCGTTTTGTGAATTGTATCCAGATTTACTGTCGGGACCATAGGAAGTACGACTTTCTCCTGTTTGTCTATATTGATACCGAAAGTGTGTCAGCCACATACTGGTCTCTACCGGCGAGTGAGTTAGACTTTTACTTACGGTTGTTCCACCTTGTCTTCATCATCATCATCGTCCTTCTGTTCTACATCTTGGGCATCTTCGCCATTCTTTTCTTCGGGTTTCTTGTCATCTTGGGTATTCACAGATGTATTAGGTTCTTCGGGTGGTGGTTGGATGGAAGCGCCAGATAAAGCTTCCGGCACACTTTCGTCTTCGAAAACCAGTTCAGTATCTCCCAAAATATCAGCAGTCGATTTACTGTCAGGACCATTGATAGCTTCTCGGCGCGCCATGGCTGCTTCAGCAATGATCTCGTCTTGTAATGACTGGCGCAACGATTCTTTCTCCGCTTCAGTTGCTTCTAGACTTGGTTGCTTTTCTTTTCCTTCATCAGGTTGAGCGGATGGTTCATTCTCAGAAATAGACGTTTCCTCGTCGGCGGAGACAGCATGAACATGGCCGTTAGACGAGATGGATGATGGAGGTTGGACATCAGTATTAACGCGACCAAAGACTTGATTCACCATTTGGTTCAACGTCGCTTGGGCAATAATTTGGTTGGCGCTGTTTCTCGATAACAAGAAAATGTTATAGGTTGTTCTTATCGCTTTGAGTAACGAAGATTGGTGAACAGGGCTGGTAGTAGACAGTACGGCATCCAACAAGGCCTACAACACAGGGGTAAGCAAACACTATGTAATTTTCACCGTCATCGTTTCAAGAATGTACCTTGATAATTTGCAATTGAATCTTCTCATCTGTTCCTTCGCCGACAAAGCATTCGCATATCAAATCCACTACGCTGTCCATGGCTTTTGGGTCGTGCGACACATAATTGTAACTGATAAGTTTGCCTAAACAATCTAGGGCGGTAACCACGAGGGAGGTTGAGCCGGTGCCAATGGTGCCTTGCATAGCAGTCAGAATGACAGAGAAGCTAAAGGTAAAAAAGTTAAGTTGAGGCTTATGGTCGTGGCGGGCTGAGTCTTGCCATGCCGCTAAGGCATGACAGGCACCACCTGCCAAGCTATCTAAAAGCTCACCGATTCTGGCCATCTGGAGCAGGCTCATTGTCCTTGTATATCGCTGAAAGTCATTGATACAATGGTTAGCAATGGTTGGAGGGCTCAAGGCGATGCATGGTTGCAGGGATAGAAATAGCTACCGAGGGCATTTTGAACCGATTCCTTCAACTGTTTATTTCGACGGATCTCTCTAGCGGCCGCAATCTTGTCGAGGGCATTGACAAGAAATACTGCGCTGCTCGTGGTTGTCTGCGATTGCATTGAAGAACGGGATGATGACAGGTTAACCGCCGATGCTGACGGAGAAGCAGCCATCTGGGTTGAAGCAAAAGGTACGACAGTGAGTGAGAGAGAGAGCTCAGGGTTTCGAAGAGCGGGCGGAAGAAGAAATTATAAAATTTTGAGTCCAGGCAGCACCATTCCCAATGAAGTGTAGATAAGTTATTAAAGGGAAGGAGCAGCCTATTCAGGATGGCAAAAGACGATATCAAAGGTCTTCAATTATGCCGAAAAGGAGCCAAGTCATTAAGTGAAGAAGGTGAACTTGGGGACGTTCCATAGTAAATGACATAAAATACAGGGCAGCCCACGTTCTCAACCTTTGTTCTTTCTTCACTGCACGTAAACTTCACGTTTTTTTTTTTTTTTTTGGCCACTGGCATCGATCTTCAATCCATTCCATGCCTAAGCTCGAGCTCGAAGGGGATTACAGCGATCGGTTTCTCTTTAATGCCAAAGCAGGAACCCAACCTGAGTCCAAGGATCTCACTGCACAAGATCAAGAGGATTTAGTGTCACATTGGGCCAGCGAAATCGAGAATGATCCAAGCAAGCTGCAGCAATTAGCGTCGCAGGTCGTACGCGAGCAGAAAGTACAAAACAACAACTTCAAAACCGTCCAAATACAACCTATAGCTGGCTTTGTATGCAAGACCAAAACTACTACAGCATTGAAAGGGTTCCCCATAGGGACTAAGGTGTTTATTAACATTTGCCATGCTCCAGAGGTACCCGAACCGACGCCGACAGCCACTGAAAAGGATATCCAAAAAGCATTACGAGCGGAAGAAGGAGCCAATTACCAGGTGCCGATGAGTCTCGGAGCGACTCGATATGATTTCGACCATGCCGAGAAAGCATGTATGGTCATTGATGCATGTATCCATACCCAACCGTTCTTGCGTGCAGAGCGGGATCTCGATTATCGACTCTATATTCTGGAACTGGCTATGGAGTTGGTGGAAGAAAGGGATAAAGTGCAGCTTAGCCGAGAATTTACAATGCCCAACATCTCCAGCAAAGGCACTATACCACCACGTATGCTGCAAGTACCCAAGAGTAGCTTGGTCACTGCCTTGCCTGAGCAAGCTACACCGTTCACCAAGGCGGAGATGTATATGGACAAGGGACATCTGGTCATAGCGGTAAAATTGTCACCTGCGGTAGGTTTTTGGTACATCTCGGTTTTTGGGTGGAGTGTCTGTACTAATTCAATCATCCATATAGGAAGCGAAAACTGTAACCGTTCACATCCAACCTGAATGTGTTATCTTCACATCGAAAGATCAAAAAAAGCAAACTACGAGGTTTCCACAGCCTGTCGATATTAATCATGCTAAAAACACCGCGACTTATCACCAGAAAAGTGAACACCTGGTTCTTCGCTTACAAGTTGCATGAATGAGTTGATTTATAGAAGTGTTTGTAACAGTATTATAATTTTTCTTTGAATAAACGAAAGGTTTTCTATTGATGTTCACAACACCTATGTATTTTCGTAAAACTTCCCGTTGTCTTTATCAGAGACTTGAGCTGGTTAATTTGTTATTGACGCCTGGTAGAGAGATGCGAAGTCCGATCGTTTTATCGAAAGAGAACTTCATATGAAAACATGGCTCGCTATTGACTTCACATCATGGAGGCCGTCGGTGTTTCAAATCCAGGAAAAAAACCAAAATTTAAAAAAACCTTACTATCGGAAAGGCACTGAAATGGGTATTTGATAAAGAGTCCTGTGAAACTACCCTAACAGCGCTTGGAGGCGATGACAAGCGATGCTCCATCTAAAAAAAAAGCTATACTGAGAAGAAAAGAATACGTGGATTTTCATTTTGTCTTGTCGCCAATTTACCTTAGGAGGTGACCCGAACTTTGCTTGCAGCTGCTGATCAGCCTGCTGTTGTGCTTCCGTCCGTGATGATACGAAACTGTAAATACAACCTTGTGTATCTTACTTGAATGTTACAGTAAATGTGAGGATATACTGATCTGTCAACTTGTCAAACATAGAAAAAAACAACTTCTCAAGGGATATCTTGCCATATCACTGCTGGCCAAGAAATGAATTGGTTGATAACTTATAAGACAGGTTCATAGCCAATGTTATCAGATGGTTCATTCACCCCACTGACAGTATTCCAAATACCCTTATATATCCGCCCCCTTTACAAGCCTAAAACCAACCTAGTGTCATTTTTCAGTGCCGATGATGTGCCGGGATGAAGCTTGCTTCTACCTTCACTAGGTACGTCCATGTATGCGTTACTATCGTCCTCCCAATGAACCTAGTGATCCTTCTGTGTCTGATTGTAAAACTCTGTACTTAAAACACACGTTGCTCTTGGCGTCGACGCAATATAATATTGTATCATTCCCAAAACTTTTTGAAAATAAAGTAACAAGACGGTGAAAATAAAAATGCGATGCTATGCAGATGCAAAACATGTCGGTAAGAAGAAAGGTAAGGATGCCGAGCTGGCGGGAAACATATTACAGTCAAAAGAAAAAGGGGGGCATCTTTCCAATGAGGCAGCAGAAGTGGATCTTTCTTTCATGCAAGGAGAAAGGTATGCGTATAGGAAAGAAAGAGATTGTAGAATGGACCTGCTTTAAAGAAGACGACGAGGAAAAAAAAATAACATGGCCCATATTTATCTTACAGTTCAAAGTGGTTGGGGGAAGAAAAAAAATAGAGAAAAAAAAATTGGTTACAAAAAGAGGGAATTTTTTAGGCCAGTGCTAATAGGTTAGAGACAATGGATGGTTGTGGCAAAGGGAGATGGCCAAGGATATATGGAAAAGAGCTGAAGGCAAGGTCTTACTCAGCTTTCACGAACTGGAAAGGATACCTTTTTTTGGTTGCTTTTTGTAACCATCCCTAACGAGACGATGAAGATGAAGAAGGCACAGAATGATGATGTTTTGAATCTGGTTCATACAGAGCGAAAGTATCATCGAGCGCGGACTTGCGCTTGACGTGCCTATTCATCGTGAGATCGATAGCACAAGCGCCAGTACATATGGGCGATCCATTGGCATCAACGGCGAGATACTCTGACCCGCATTTCTCACACTTGAATTGCCGAAAATCAATTTTACAACCACTTGCACGGTTTATCGCCCAACCAACATCATGCCCAGCGAGGTAAGCAACAAAGCTTCTTGCTCGAGTGACAGCCATATTCATGCTTTCGAGATCGGAACGTCGTACTCGATCGGACTTGATAAGGGAATCCTGGACCTGGCAGCGAATATTGGCTATGGCTAACCTCTCGAAAGGAGGGTCATCCAACTCTGTAGGTAATCCAAATCGACTCAACAGACGAGACAAGCTATATTCGTCACTTGCCGTCGTCTCTTTGGCCTCCAATATCGTAGCGACTCTTTGTTTGGCCTCGTGCACTTCGTTTGCGTACTCTCCAAACAGGTGTGGGATGCCATTTTGCGACTGCAATAAGGCGAGGTTGTAAGAGAACGCTTCGAGATGATCGCAAAGGTTGGAAAGTTGATGTGGTGAGAGGATAAGCTCGATATGTTCAAGGGCATGTGCAAATCGGTCAAGTAGACCGAGGATAGCCGTGTCGGTCAAGGGTAAGCCAACCAGTTGAAGCTTTGTAACGGCAAAGGAACGAGGAATACTCTTCATAAAATACGTGGCCACTGAGTCGCTAATACGGTTGTCGTTGGGAGGAAATAACAGGGATTGCCCTGACCATGGCGCGTTGGCGTCAAAGATGACTTGCTTGAAAAACCGGGAGGTGGCTCCCAGGTGAATGCGATCATCGAGGTTAAGAAATTGCAAGAGGTCATGTAGTACCTCTTTCTCTAGCATTTGAAGTCGACATGGCAGTGACATTGAGAAGGGGGTAAGGTGCGAAGAGGAGGAAAAAAGGCACTTTTTTTTTTTGACTGGACGAGGGGTGGGAGGGTTAGGTTTGCTGTGAAGGAAGTAAAGTTTTTTGGAATAGCAAAGAACACAAAAAAAGCATATACACAACACAAACGTACACACATACACACACACACAAAAAGTACTTTTTTTTATTTATTTTTTATTTCCAAAGCGTACCTGGCTGGCCTAAGTAATATTATATAGAACGGTGCAATAGACGGTTGCTTTTCTTCTGCTTTCAAAATAGAATCCACCATCTCGAGAATTATTCTTCCTTTACCATGGTAGGAAGGCCTGTGCTGAGCTGTTGCGGGTTTCGAATCATGACGATCGTGCATTGACTACCGACTTCTTTGGCTAGCTTTTCACCTAGGGACGATCCAATATTCACTTTTTTGCTGGCCTCGCTCGCCACCACCATATTCATACCACTATGGTCTCGAGCAAATCGAGGGAGAAGTTCACGTGGATCGCCTGGGATAACGTGTTCCTCGTTGGTGATATCGGCTTGCTTCAAAGTATGGCCAAACCGTTCGAGGGTGTCCCTTGCTTCATCCACATCCTCCCATACGCCTCCGGTTGCCTCGTGACCACTGTTTGAAACGACGGTTGAGGCTGCGCTGCCGTTGGTGCTGGGGACAGGACCAGCCATGGGTAACGACAAACGTCGTCTCACTCCATCAAAGGAGCCGGTTGAAGACGTGGATGATCTTCGCCTTCCGCCCTTTGGAACACAAGCAAGTAATACAACATGATCTTTTCCTGGACGGAGTAGATTTTCGTGCGTCCATTTAAATAGGGCTTCGTCAGATGCTCCCAGGTACAGTAAAATTTTCCTCTTTTCGTGAAGTGGAAGGTGCGTAGCCATGTTTGATTTGTTTGAAGGAGAGAGAAAAGTAAAAAAAGACCACCAGCGTGTCTAGGGCAAAAAAAGAAAATCGCCCACTGGCCTTTCCTTTCCTTGCCTTGAGCCCAGTGCATCTTCTCACGCACTCACTTTTTTCATTATCCTTTGACCATTTTGGGACATCCCCAAGGCGTTTGGCTGATCCCGTTTGGGCATGGCACCAGTTTAAAAAGAAGCGTTTTGCTATACGGTCCAAACATCGGTTTTATGAGTCAAAAGATGGAGCCAAAGATATATATTAAACGATAAGAAATGGCAAAAGGGGAGGTTATATTGAAACAAAAGATAGATGGGCTGCCGCGGAGTAAGCAGAACAGCTAATACGGGGATGCATGTGGATGCATAGGCGGCGAACCATAAGCAGGATGGCCTTGCAAATCATCTTCATCCAGAAGCTCCTTCACTTCCCAGACGTTTTGCTTGCTGCCAACAGAGAATTCCAGATCTTCTTTGGTGATGGAGTCCCAGTATTTGTAAACCATCATCACCGCCAAAAGTGTGCAGATAGTACCAAAGAACAACCCATCAACGTAGTGTTTGACTTGATCACAGATGGCGACCGAGAAAAAGTACATGATCACCTGCCCAATAAGGAAAAACGCGGCTCCAAAAAGGATGTCGCCCAAAGGCCATCTGTCGTCAAGAGTGTTGACCACCAGAACAATCTGAAGGACCACATACACGAAGAAAGCCACACCATTCACGATAAAATAAAACACCCACAGGACGGCGGGGTTAGCATAGCTGAAAGGTCCAAGGTTATTAAAGGTGGCTATGGCGATCAGGCCAACGATGAGGAACACCACGAAGGAACTAATACGGATGGACTGATAGGTGGTGTCAGTATGATGTGTTCAGGTAGCTGTGCCTAAAACCTCTCCTTACCCAGAGTGACCATGGGGTGCCATCCTCAGCAAATTGAAATCCGACAAAACCGTTGAGAAGTAAACACCAAAATGTTGCACTCATGAGGCCAATATGAACGGCAGTAAACCACTAATAAAGTCGGGTTAGTTAGCATAGCAGTGTTGACAACTTGAGATGAAAAAGCTAAATTGAGGCTTACTGGATAAACACTGGAGGCAGTCGGAATAATCCCGGTGACCAGTAACATTTCCAGAAACGTCGTCATCATATAGAGGTAGAAGAACATGACTATTTCTTTACGGCCTAGGTAAGGGGGTTTACAATGCATTAAAGCTCAAGCGAATAAAGGGTCATTATTTGTACATTCTTCTGGACAACAATACATACCTACGGCGGTATATTTAGACTTGATGTGATAAATCATAATAGCAGCCATGACGATGGCCACGACATCAATGATGAGAGTCGCTATAAGGTAACATTAAAACAATGGGCATACCATCGGATATATTTTGTCATGGTGTCCTTACCTGGTTGAAAAATAAGAGTGCCTGCCAAATCAACATTTCGTGAATAGCAAACCGGTTCGATGCCATCGTATTTTCCTATTAAGGGACACAGTGACAGGGCCACCGTCTGACAGATTCCGTCAAACTTGAATGCTTGGAAATTGGTGGAAATGATGCTCATGATGAACTCCAAGCTCTGTGTTTTTACCCGCTTACAAAGATAAGAAGGAGAAAAAGAGAAAAGGATGACATGAACGGGGCAGAAACTAAAATAATTCTGCCCTTGCCCGCCCCTTCCAACTCACTCATCCCACAGCCAAGGAGTCGACTGAAATGAAAAACCTTCCGCGCCATCCACGTGATTCCAATCCAATACAAAAACCCATTATTCTCCGTGTAGTGCAGAATTCCGAGAGAGTTGGAGCAAGCAGAACGCCAGGTGTTGATCTATTCTCATGTATAATGGATAGTAGTAGTGGTAGATAGTGTCCTTCGTTGAATTGACTGGGTAGTCCATGCTATACGACGCTATACAGACCTGTATAGCAGCTCAACCATACGCAAGACATGTTACGATGCATGAGTCAAACAATCGCGCTGGTCCTCGAACATTCATAGACACAAACAATAACATTCATTTTCGAAACATATAAGAAACATAGTTTGCCGCCCGTTGTTTGTGTATCCGGGACAATGTTTTAGCCCTCTATGAGTGTACTTTGGACGTTTGGTCGTCACTGAATTCAATGTAGTTCTTCTACGATAATACATAATGGATTGGATCAACTACAGCTGTCTGTGTTACCAGATGACACAAACTGACACAAAGGAACCGGGGGCGGTGACTGCGGGCCAGATTTTTTTTTAGGGTTTTTTGAAGGCCAAGTTTCAACGCACATCGTTAGGTGACCCTTTTCTACTTACTCGTCATGACGTCTCAGCTCGCCCGTGAACTGGCAGATTCTGGTAAGGGCTCTTGATAGCGTCTCACGTTCTGCCACCAAGTCATTATAACTGAGCCCATCCATCGTATCTGTAGTTGTGGAAAGGGAAATTCAGCACTTTCTCGAACAGTCTGAAGTACGCCTTCCTAAACCATTTGATATTGCCTCCATACACGTTCCTTCCACGCCTCTCACGGAGAGGACTGTGAGCTATGCCAACGAGGTGCTGCACCCTGCGATATTCAACCATTCCAACCGCGTCTACTACCTTGGAGCAGCAATGGTTCAAGACTATCTACCGCAATGGAAATTCAAATGGGAAGATTACTTCCTAACTTCCATTTTACACGATATCGGCCTTGCTCCAAGTCTCCAGCTGAATAGTCCACTCTCATTCGAATATATCGGAGGCATTCATGCAAGAGAAAAGTTGGTGGAATTTGGAGCTCCGCAGTTCCAAGCTGACGAAGTAGCGGAAGCTATTATTCGACACACTGATGAAAGAGAGGGATATATTCGACAAAGCGGATACATGATACAGATGTCTACCACCATCGATGTAACTGGCAGGAATCCTCAGTGGTATCACCCACATACCATTGATCAAACGGTACAAAAGTTTCCGCGCTTAGGATTCAACAACGTCTTTGCCGACGCTATGGTGGCTGAGTACGAGCAAAAGCCAGGCAGCAACTTATGCAAGCGTGATAAACACATCTACCTAGAGCGTATAAGGAACAATCCTGTGATGGAAAGGTATGACAGGAAGTAAAGTTGAGTAAATGCTGGGCATACTCTTGTGTTGGGCTTAGATGAGAAGGAAGTCCAGAGTACGCTACTGTCATGTTCCTTGAAACATAACAGGAACTACTGGAAGTATACACGTTAGCAAGGAAGTACCCTGCAGAAGAACCCGAAGGAAGCATCCCCCATACAGAAGAGAATCTACACAAGTGTAAACAAACAGCCGAAAGACTTGCAAGAAACGTCGTAACCAGTCATCAGGACTTACTGGAAGACCCCCAAGAAAACTACCAAGAAGACCTTCAAGAAGAAGTAAGACCCAATATGTCAAGCCCCAAAGACATAACCGCAATAGTAACAGCAGCTGTGAAAGCAGCCCTAGAAGCTAAGAAATCGTCCAGATTCAAAACCAAACTACCCGAACCCTATAATGGAGAACGTAAAACCGCAGTACTAGACAACTGGCTATTCGCTATCGAACGATATCAAGACGCCGAAGACTTGAACGAGTCGGATACCATCAAGTTGGCCGTAACCTTACTAACAAAAGAAGCCGCTACCTGGTGGTGATTGTTTGTAGGCAGCAGGAGCGAAGTAGTAGTCAATACCACTAACACCGAGTGGGATGCGTTCAAGGAAGCTATCACCGCTCAGTTCCGTCCCACCAATGCGCGGAAGTTAGCCTTGGATAGACTAGCCACGATCCGTCAAAAGACGTCCGTCGCCGCATATGCCGATGAATTCCTAAAAATTGCTTTGGAACTTCAAGGAACAGACCCCGAGTTGCTGGTTGACAAATTCGTTCGTGGACTCAAAATGAATACCAGGATGAAAAGTAGAAGAAGCTGAACCAGATGAACTGGATAAGGCCATCCAGATTGCCGAACGATACGATCGCGCCAGGTATCAGAGGATCGAAAGTGAAAGTAACTTCCGAGGACGACCACGTTGGCACCAAAACAAGAACAGTGATAACTCCTTCCGTAATAACAGAGCAACCGTTGACGACCCCATGGAATTGGATATGATGGATTGCCCTGACAACCGAATATGCTATAGCTGCCAAAAGCCAGGTCACATCGCCCGTTTTTTGCCCTACTAAGTCCAGACAGCCAAGCAGAAGCCCGAACAAACCTCTGAATCGACAACAACTATTGAGCATGTTAGCCTTGTTAGAACAAGAAGAGAAGGGAGAAGAAAAAGAATATGACAATAAAGCGGACATTTCTTCGTACATAGAACCGGTTAAAGTGGGAAGAACTATAGAAGGGCTCACTCTGAATACGAAAGAAACCATAAGAGTTATGGACAGTGTCTCAGAAACTCCTATAGAGCGAATCTGGTCGTTATCCACCAAGGCAGACCTTACGATATTCGAAGGACCAATCAACGGCAAAATGGCCCATATCCTTCTAGATAGTGGAGCCACTGGATGTTTTGTTAGCACCAAGTTCATTGAAACACGCAAGATTACTCCAGAACGATTAGACTCCTGAAAAAGTATCAGTGGCAAATGGTAAAATTCTCGACATTACCGAACATGACGTTCAAGTTAGGAAGGTATCAACATAGCCGCGTATTCAAGATATTCCCATTGCTAAAGTTCGACGCCGTACTAGGAAAAGACTGGCTCAGAGACGTAAACCCCCGCATCAATTGGAAACCTATATCGTTCCGTACCAAGATCAAATGGTGACAGTACGACCTCAGAAGATGGAAACACCATGACCGAAAGCACTCAAATGATATCGCACCAACAGCTAAAGAAACAGTACAAAACCGTAGAAGAAGTATTTCTGCTCCATTTGTACCCAACATTGGAAGAAAATATCCGTAAAACAGAGACCGCCATGCCCGCAGCATGGGCAATCATAGTCCACAAGTTTCAAGATGTGTTCCCCAAAGACTTACCAAAGTGTTTACCACCTCCTAGGGACATGGTAAAGTACAGATAGATACTGGAGATTCAAGGCCGGTAAGAGGACAACTTACCGCATGTCCCCAAAGGAACTGGACTGTCTGAAGGAACAAATGAAAGAATTACTAGGCAAGTACATGATCAGACCCTCAGTATCACCGTGGAGCTCCCCAGTATTGTTTGTACGGAAGAAAGGTGGAACCTTACGCAGGTGCGTCGACTACCGCGCCTTGAATACTGTGACCAACCGAAATAGCTATCCACTACCCCTATTAGACGAATCCTTCGATCGTTTGGGAAAAGCCAAGATATTCTCCAAGATCGACCTGAAACGTGGATACTGGCAAGTACGAGTAGAAGACGGACATATACCCAAGACAGCATTTAATACTCGATATGGACAGTCGTTTCTGGTCATGCCATTCGGGTTGAAAAATGAAACATAAAAAGATATATTGACTACGATGACTGTATTTTTTTTTTCTCATCATACATGTGGATACGGATTGGGATGGTAAGGGTGTTCAATAGCATACATATGTTGATAAAATGATGATTTATTGGTTAAATAGAGGATATAAATATAAGATTAATCGGAAAACGCAGCAATAAATAGACGATAGTATGCGGTCCATGAGTTTTTCACGGCTAGGTAAAAATGAATGGCATGTAACTTTCTACTTCTGTTACAGTGACGAGGAGGACTTTGGGGCATCCAAAGGCTTTTGTCCCAGATAGGACCATAGACAGACAGTGGCTTTGGTAGGACCCATAGCGTCGCAAGCACGATTAATTTTAGCTTTACACACGTCGACTTCGATATGGAGCTGTTCAGCCAAACTGGGAGCAATGCTTATGTATAGGGAACGCATGTTTTCGGCATATCGAACACTTCGTTTACTTCCCCAGCCTTAGTGGGCGGAAAGGTAACTTAGGGGGTTCTATGAATCGTTCAGGATACTTTCAAAGTCTAAAATTCACCCATTGGAACCTCAATCTGGTTATTATAGATAGCGTTGAATCCAGCAGCCTCCATCTTTGTAGCCATTTTGGGCCCTATATCAGAGTCTTGGCCTTTCGATTTCAGTAATTGGGAGACTAAATGTGGGATAGTTAGTGGGATGTTTATTACTGAATAGATGTTCACCGTATCCGAAACATACAAGCGTGGTTAATATCTTGCAGTTCAGGGTCAGTGGTACATTTCTGGGCAAAAAAGTTTCGTTTGTTAGCATCAGTTCGGTATGCCTGCCTGCATTATCCTACAGTGGTATATATTGGCCCATGTTCTTTTTCTTCTGAGGGTCTCAACTTCGCTTACCACAACATTTGTATCCAAAACTTGGAGGTAACCACCAGGCTTCAACTGATTATACAGGCTGGTGTAAGCTTCATCCCATTCGTTTGCACGCAATGCTGCAGCAAAATATCTAGTTGTAGTGGTAGAGACGTTCCAGATGGTTGTGAACAAAGAAAGGATAAAATGGGCGGTACTGCTGACCACTAATGCATGCATGCTTTACCTCATCTGAATAAAGTCAAAGCGTTTTCCAAACGGATTCTCTTGTAGTACATTTCCAATGGCAAAATGACAGCTTTCAGGATAACTATTCTTTGGAAAAATATCTTCAAGCTTTACGATTTAGTGATAGACCAGAGCAAAAGGATTAGTGGGTATGACAACAGAGATTACCACATATATCTGCTCCATAGTACTGCGCACTTGGAAATTCAGTTGCCATGTCAAGTATCCAAGTAGCTATAAAGTACCCAATGTTTCCCGTAGATAAATTAGTGAAGCTGGCACAGCAGTGAAATGACGTGAAAGTGTGGTTATTACCTGAACCGCAACCAACGTCATAAACATCGATATTTTTTTCAAACAGAGGGTCAAGAATCTCTGGTTGCAGTAGATTTCTGAGATCGACGATCAGTTTAGCTTATTGTTTAAATTCAATGTGGTTTTATCAATGAACTTGATAAGAACATGTTCTTACCCAAAATTCTCTTTGAACCCAAAAGTGTTGCTGTTACAAAGAGGATGAATTAGCATATATATTCCTACAGACTTTCCCTTGTACAAAGCCTGCAATCGGAAAACCTATTCTACCTCATTTAAGCGATTCTTTTCAATGTCATCTTTGGCTAGCACATAGACACTCTTGGGGTCATTATGGAATTCTCTCTCTCCGACAATACGAGATGGGATCGTCGTCGTTGCGCCCAGTACGCTGTTGGAATTCAAGCTCTTCTCTTTTGATATAATGTATTTACTTTCATCTTCTGAGCGCTTACGTACAACAAATGAGCAGGCGTTACCCATGTTGAGTGATTTGAAAAGTGAAAGATGAGAATTACAGGAGTGAAGAAGGCAATGTAGGTATATATTTGAGATCGAATTCGTAAGCTGGAGGAAGAGTCTAAGAAATATCATGTAAATGTAGCTCTCCTTAGAAGTTGGCTCCAAGCATATGCTGATAAGGCTATACAGAACACGTCATGCATCTTAATGAAAAGTCATCCCATGTTTCCTCGACGCAAAAGATGGTTATACTCGAACGAATTACATGTTCTATGCCGGGATCATATTTGTATTTGTGTTACTAATTCGAACAGGAAGTTTCGTGAGTTGAATACCAGTTACCAAACTGGAACAAGACTTCCATATCTCCGGTATGCACCACCTTTCGGAAATGCAATGATGGATGCATTTTTAAAAATAAGACTACAATGAGTTACGTGAATACTAACAAGAAGGGGCTATAATAAGTGATCGATCGATCGCTTGCGGTGATTGGTAAGAAAAGAAAATTTTGGTGGACAAGTTGGCTTGCATATAGGAGACATGGTAGTAAAGTACAAGTATGTAATCTCAGCACGAGGATTAATGTTACCGGCTGCACAATGGTAATCAGTTTCATAAAAATAAAATGATATGAACATAAAAGACGACAAAATTGCACAAGAACGTATGAACACCAAGTAATATAACACACACTTCAAAGTAACATGCATTGTTCAGTCATAATGAAAGATTCGGCAGCAGATAGGTAAGAAGTATTAAATTCGATCATTTAGAGGCAAAATGTTCGCAATTAGTGAGTTACCTTTCATATCTGCACTATAGTACTGACCATGAGGATATTCAACTGCCATGATCACAAATTTAAATAGCTACAAGGCATAAACATTGGGTATATGAGTTACATTCAGGTATACCTAAAGTGCTGACGGGCCTAAGATAACATAGATCAAGACGATACCTGTGCCGTCATTTTCTTTTCCAATAATGACCCTACAATCTGCCGCTGCAGCCGCAGACTAACATGAATGCTCATTATGGGAAACCTCCCTAAATGTTAACCCATTTGGTGCTTCCCGTACATGTCACATATTGTATACCTTTACCCGAGGTACCCCTCAGCCAAATGGCTTGCTATTGCATGAGACGATGAGTTAGGGATTTGTACCGCGTTTACGACAGGTGTGGTTGGGCTAGAACTACGTATTTCAAGCAATCGTAAGGAGAGGAGAGACGTAAGCCATGTTTGGCCAAGATATAGACAATCTTTGCGTCATTATAAAATCCTCTATCGTGTAAAAATTGAGACTGATCAGCGTTTGTGAAACGAAACTGGATTCAATGTGGTTGTTCATGATCAGTAATTTTCAAGTGAAAAGAAGTGACAGGCAGCTTGGTCAAAATACATCGCTCATCCGTCGTAGCCGTCAGCGAAGCACCCCTTAAACATGGAACCATGATCGGAGAGGTAAGGGATTGATCGAAACTCACAAAGCATAGTGTATTTGCATATGCGTGCCGACAGATCGGTACACTTCATTTGAAATCTGCAACAAGGAGCAATTTTGATTTTCGACATGGTAATGTATGACTCTAAGTGGCTGCTGAAAACGTGCTCATTCGTCATCGAAATTTTGTATCAGCATGGCAAATGCTACACTGTTATTAATACGAGAGAAGGGAAAAACGATAATTTGTCTAATGAGAATAAAATCCATCGGCTAAACAACTACACATCATGTTGCATATAGATGAACATACTGAGTACAACAACAGGTGAGATATAAGTATGAAGCAAAAAAAAAATGTCTTCAGCAACCCTCTTTACACTGCTGAGCTGGATGCAGGAGCTTCCAAAGGCTTTCGTGCCAAAAAGGACCATAGATTAACGGTGGTTTTGGTAGGACCCATAGAATCTACAGCTCGATTAATTTTAGCAGTACATTCTTCAACATCGATGTTCAGCAGAGATGCCAGAAAAGGGGCAATACTCAAATAAAGCATGCGCATGTCTTCCGCACCGCGAGTACTGATTTTGTTACCCCAGCCTGAAAGCAAATGCATGGTTAGGACCTCATAAAACTCACGTTTGGTACCCTTACAAACCACCATACTAACCTATGGGGCTCTCAAGCTTATTCTCATGAATCACTTCGAAACCAGCAGCTTTCATTTTACCCACAATCTTGGGACCAATGTCATAGTCTTGCCCCTTTGCTGCAAGCAATTTTGTAACTGTAGAGAAAAATCAATTAATAATGGGCATAGTGCTACTTTCTTTCTGTTATCAGAACACTATAGCTTACAGGCTGATATGATCTCATTAAGGTCAGTGTTGGAGGTATTCATCTGAAATATAGGAATCATTGGTCAGCGACATCTTGGTACGTGTGCCCATCATATCCCCACTTGCTGAGTATTCGCTGCGTCTCCTTTTTGCTTCTTGTAGCATCCCTGGACTTACCAAAATACTGGGTTCCAAGCTTTGAAAGTAACCACCAGGCTTCAACTGGTTGTACATGCTGACGAAAGCATCGTCCCATTCATTTTCACGCAATGCGACGGCAAAATATCTAGTGAGCATGTCAGCAAGGTTGCCTTCTACGTCCATATCAACAGTATTAGCTCCATGTGCCAGCACATGCCGTACCTCATCTGAATAAAATCAAAGGTTTTTCCGAAAGGGTTCACTTCCAGGACATTTCCAAGCGAGAAATGGCAGTTCTTAGGATAAATGCTTTCTGGAAAGGTATCTATTTCTTGGCATGTCAGTGACATTGGATGGGTGCGGAATTGAGATCTTGTGAAACTTGAACTTACCTGCAATATCTGTTCCGAAGAACTGCACATGGGGATATTCGGTTGCCATATCAAGGATCCAACTGCCTAGAAGGTAGTACATATTGAGTAGGCTGTGAATCTCCGAATCTACCTTCGCAGTACAGATTGGTGAAAAAAAAGAAGTGCATTACCTGGACCACAGCCAACGTCGTAAACGTCGATGGAGTTATCGAAGATAGGCTCTAAAATCTGTGGTTGCAGCAAATTGCTGTTGGACCCCATTGCATACGCCATTGACTTACTTGTCAGAGATAATGCACATAGATACTCAACGCCAAAAGTAGTTTACACGTACCCAAAGGTTTCTTTTATCAAAAAGTGTTGCTGATGCAGCGAAACAAAAAAATGTTAGCTTCCATGTTGTTAGTATAAGCAATCGCCAATACTACTATACCTCATGCAAACGATCCTTTTCTTCATCATCCTTAGCGAGCACATAGACGCTCTTCTCTTCGGTGTGGAATTCTCTGCCTCCAATAATTCGAGATTGAGTGGCCTTTGCGCCGCTGTATGCACTGCCCGGTACGCTGCCGGAGCTTGCGCTCATAGCTTTTGTCGGTTCGGTCTCCCTTTTCCCCTTTGCAGAGTTGCGCTGTAACGCTGAACGAGCGTTTCCCATGATAATAGAGGGGGTTGAGAGAAGGAAAAGAAAAGAAAATTCAAATAGGGTAAATCGACAGCAGGGCAAGCAAAGAGCGGAATAAATAATAAAAAAAAAGTGGGTTTTGTGGTAGGGTGCATCAATCGAGTCCCTCCGACCTTGGTGGTGCTACCATGTAAGGTCCATTGACCTTCCTGGAGCATGCGTTGATAGTTATTAATGTTCATCCTTGCTCTAGAGTACCCATGCAAAAACACTGATCCTCGGTATAGGACACGGTCATCATCAATGTGACCGGCTCCGCCAGATGGCTTGAGTATTGGCCTCGCACTTGCCAATGTAAACTTAACTGAGATACAAACAATTCAAATGTGGGTTGTACAGACCAACGTCCCATCGAGAATGGAAATAGAAATTGCTGCATGTTGTCAAAGGCTACACAGTAGGACGAGAGTAAGATCAACCTTGTTGAAGTTGAAAGATCAAAGCAGTCGTCGGCTAACATTTGGTTTTCTGTTTTCATTACTCTTTTTAATGTAGGCCAAGTCGCTAGACCAAGGCAAAGCTATAAAAAAAGCACTAAGAATTGGGCGGTATTAAAGTGATGGAATGATCATTACATGACTATAAGAAAAAAAGGCGAGAAAGAAGGTTTGGACACGAAAAAGATCACAGAGTATAAAAGTGATAAAGAAATTACATGCAAAAGAGAGAATTGGCTCTGAGGAAAAGCGATTAAAAGGGGAAAAGAGTGGGACTAGAGTAGTTGGGTAGTGTATCACATTATACAGAAAGGAAACTAGGGGGGAAAGATGGATTACAAACCACAGCGAACCTCATCAACCGCCTGCCACATATCCGCTACCAGATTATCTTCGCCTGTATACTTGTTGGGAAGGTCAGGTAGCAATTGGCCATCGATGTGTTCGTCAGGTTGAAATGAGGAAGCTGGGCTCTTGTTGGGCAGCTCGACGCCAGGTCCTGCAGGGGAGATTTGCCGGGTAAGGTTTAAATTGGAGAATTGCATGGTATTAATGGAAGAAAGTGAGGGAGACACCGAGGTGGAAGACCTAGACACCAAAGGTGTGTTGAAAGAGTCAAAACTTTGTCGAACTGAATCGTTGGGAGATTGCAACAGAGATGGTTGAACTTCAACCTTGATGGACGCAGCTGGGGAAGATGCTGATTCAAAATCGAAAAGGATAGGTTCGCTTTTAGCAACTTGTTCAATATCCATCATATTGGTATGTTCAAAGAGGGAAGCTGTTGACATGTCGTGAATGCTACAATCATCCTCTATAGTAATCGAAGGATCTACGGCACAAATGGTCTGTTCCATAACGAACACCAGTTTTTGAGCCAGTTCAAAGTCAAACACAAAAGAGTTGCAGGTCTTGGACACCTGAATGGACCGGCGTAAATTATGTCGAGCAAATTGCCTGAACCGCTCATCGGGGTATTTCAAAAGTCGAAGATACACCGTATTGGCAAAAAGAAACCCTAGAATAGGCACGTTGCAGTCATTGCGATGGTTCACCATAACGTCAAGTGTCTGTGTGATGGCATAGGCAGCTTCAATACATGTGCATAAACATTGCAGAGCGAATGCTGTCGTCGGGAAGTGGTCCGCCGGGAAGAATGCTTGATAAAGCAGAATCTTGTTGATGTTGTAATGAACGTGAAGATTAAGAATACAGTAGCTGGATAGCTCGTTCAGATCATTCTCATAATGTTCTTCTACATTATGATATCGATCGGCTATGACACTAGGGTCACGGGCAAACATCATCGGTTGGGGATTTTGCCAAGACGCAGGGACTTCCTTGTAAAATTCAAACAGTTTGTCCTGCATAGCAAAAAGATCAACTTGGGGTCCATGTTCTTCACTATTCATTTTCTGCGCAGATACAAGACGGGACATGAGATCATGACGCAGTACTTGCAACTTGAATAGATGATGCCAGGCCATATTGACATGCTGAGCAATTGGGTCGGCATTTGATCCCAAGTCCACAGACGGTAAAGGAATTTGCGGATAAAACTGACTGGCTTGCAGAGTATCACTTGAACCTCCCTGTAGAACGCGATACCAGGTATTATGGTAGTAGAAAGACCAGATTAGCATGGATTCTTCATGGGTCAGCTGCCGGTCAGAGTCATAGAGTCCTAAATCTTGAGCCATAGCAAATGCTACCCAGTCGTAAATAGTGTTGGAGCTGGAGTAGCCATTAAGGTGATTACAGTAGGATATAATAAAGGAAGCTTGGATGGTTTCCAGTTTGGGTTCGTCGAAACATTCGGCTAACAATTCGCGGCTCTTGACGCAAAATGCCGTCGATAAGACTTTACCCATGTTTTGCTGTGGTTCGTCCTTTGCACGGACGTTCCAAACGTGTAGTTGGAATGCGTTACGAGCTGTCATAGCACACACAGCAAAGGTAAGCATATCCGAAACTTCTTTTTCTGGAAGAGAGTAACGTTCCAGAAGATCGTTGGCGTCAATGATGGAGAGCCGCAATTGAGAACAGCATGGAGTACGGGCGTACAAGTGAACAAGACTATCAATCAACTGTTGTGAAATGTCAAGGGCGTAGTCATGAGGTAAAGAAATGTTAGAGTGCGCCCATGAATTCCAAATGGCAAAACCAAGGTCAGAAGCAGTGTGAATGGAGCTAGTATCATCGAACATTTCAGCTTGGTGTTTGGCTTCTTCTTCTAACGGATCCTTAGGAGTAATGTGCATGGTACGCTTAAATTGATCAACAAGCTTGGATAAATCATTGAAAGAATTAACACTGCTTTCCATAGACAAGCCACGCCCAGTTGAAGTAATTTTCCAGGCAAAAGGCCGGCGAGGTTGCTTCATCTTCATATTGGCTCCCAGGTCTCGAGTTTTTTGAGCAAAATCTTTTGCCATCTTGTCCAACGATTCTTGCCACTGGTCGACCACTTTGTTCATTGTGGTGAGAACTTGCGAAACGTGATTTGCTTTTGGAACTGTTTTCGTGTATGTACACTCAAATCCATTTTCCTGGCAGCGCTGACAAGTCGGTTGTGTCAAGTCGCACTGCTGAAGGTCTTTGAAGCACTTGGAACAAGGATAAACAGAGAAAGAGCTAGCTGACGCTGGCGGCGGCGATGGGCCGCTTGGTAGCGAGTTAGAAGATGCTAGGCGTTGCAAAGAAATGCCTTTGGAATCTTTAGTCAAAGGGTCTGTCGTCTTAGCGTCTGTCGTCTTCAACCTATCACCAAATTTTTTAAGCCGTTCGCCTAGGGTCTCAGTTGCCTTTTGAAGCTTTTTGAGAGTTGGAGCAGCTTCAGGATAAGTGCAGTCAATACCTCGGCGCTTGCAACGGGAGCATGCAGGTTTCTTACGATCACAGGCATGTCTGTATGGAAGAGGTTATTTCATAGAAATAACATTTAATTAGTAAGCCAGCGACATGGCATTGAAATGAACAGAAAAAAAAAAAAATGTTATGAATGCCATACCGAAATCCTCGACACCGGTAACAGGCGGCTCCTAACTGGGATGAATCCTCACTATCGTCTTCCATCTGATCACCCAGTGTCTGCTCAGCTGGATCGTCTGCGTTGGAGGGCGGTTTTGCAATCGTCTTTAAATGAATGGGAAGCAGAAGGCTCTAACTTTGATGAGTTAGAACTCCGTCATCATTTGCCTTTTTGTCGATGCCCCGCATCTGATTACAGCCCCAAGCTTTCACCCTGTTACGGCTCTACTCTCCTAACGATGATATTTTGGCAGTGATTTGGATGTTCTGGCTCCTTATAAAATGTAGAAGCTATTCAAACTTCGTTATAAAAAATGCAAGCATAATGGTGTCGCAAGTTTATTCCACATCCAATGTTCTATTACCATCTTGGTGCGGCACCCTCATTACACAGTTCCTGCAATAAGCAAGGAAAAACTTTAATGGGTAATCTACAAATAATGGCTTGGCATGCAATGTGAAGGGAGGGTTGATATATCCATTACAAAAAAAGTGATCCTACTAATTTTTGACAACCTCATCTACTCTGAAGAGCCAACTTCCTATGGTCGTGCCTATCATTGTTTGCAAGATTTTCTAGACCGGTAAGGCTGTGTCTATTTGGCCATATGGCTAAGTAACGGACTGAGATGCATAGCCGTCAGATCAGTTCATCCAAACATGCTATCAACGGACCAAGTAGCAGAGTGTATGGAAGATAAAGGAAACCGGGATTCCAAAAATGCGAGCGATGCGGCGCTGCATCTTTGTACGGACGACGACACCGACAGAAACTGTTACTCAAGCAAAAACGATAGAGCGAAAACAAGGATATTGTGCAAGTACTGGTCAAGATTCTTATCATCCGATGGGGCAAATGATATTATTCCTTCTCATTGGTGGCCGAAGAGATGTTTGTGAGTGTTTACTTTGGCCACACAAATAAGTTAAACGTAGTTTGACTACTTGAGATTGCTCGCTAACATCTGAAGCTACAACCAGGTTTTTCATGCACAACTTTACATTATATCATCCGAGTTTGCAATACCATAGTTCTTGATTTTATGAGTACGTACGCCGCCGTTACCGCCGCCAACATTATGCTGCAGTCATGGTATCCACATATCCGGGTCAGGCTTAGCTTACATATTCCCGTAGATTTTGTCAGTACTTGGCCAAGAGATAAAACCAAAATTTGGCAAAGGTATTGCCTCAGGCTCTGCCTAACTTTCGATCTTTTGATGCCTTTGAGCGATTTTTTTTATTTTGGGAATTTCTTCACCTGTCGAACCTTTCAATGCGGAGCCAGTTGTTATTGGCTGTAGACTGTGACTTGCTATGTTTTTTGAAAGTTTTCAGTTCAGACTGACACCCAAGCACAGTATCTCGACCAAGCAGACTCCAGCACCCTGTTCATGACTGAACATATAGACAAAAGAATCAAGCTAGACGATTCCATGGCCCAAGGTTAGCGTCTTTAATGGTCTGAATCTTGATTCCTTTTCCATTCTGATTTTTCTATTGCCGTGTTTGTTAGACAATTCAATAGTCTGTGACGACCAAGACCGACTTGTCGGCCTGACCGACAAACTGCATAACTTTTTGAAAGGTTATCAAAGCCTCAAATGTGATCCATGCAAGGTTGTTTCCATTGTTCGAAATGCGTCCTGCTGCTTTCGATGCGCACTGCGAATGCTAGGTTGCCGAGAAAGTGATTTATACGTTTTGACGGAGAAGGTGAGCCCTCAGAGCCATTGCCACGGATCAGAACCGATAATTCGAATATGAAGTTTTTCTCACTCTGTGCGCCAATTATAGGAATTGATAGAGGCGTTTGTCAGTTTCGATCCCAGTGTCTCGTATGAACCATTGGAAGAGACTTGCGCTGCATGCGTCGGCGTCTTACAGCAGGCAGATACCACTCGAGTCATTGACGCGGTGGTTGATCGACTTACCACCGAGGATTACCAGACGAAAAGCTACACTTTTTACGTCACATTGCCTGTCAGTCTGTTACCGCGCAACCATGCATTAGCCCTCCACGTGTACAATCAATTGAAGGAGCAAGGATTGGATGTCGAAGCAGCTACAGCGGTGCGGAACGATCAAGTCGACGCCAAGGAGCCAGTTAGAGCTGTTGTTGGTCAGCAGTTAATGAACAAGATGGGAATGCAGCAAAGTACTGAGGCTGGGCTTAAGATGACTGTGGTCTTCAGTCACCCAGAAACCGTTGGCGATCATGTCTTCCTGACAACCGTCAGTAATCCTGTTGTCAAGTTGTTGAAGCAGCGTAAGAAGGTACAGAGTGTTCGTGTACGGGATAGTTGGGGCATTAGGTGTATGACCATGCCTGATAGATGTTTCATTCCTATATAGGGTCAAGTGTTCTTTACCGGAGACTCAAGAAACACCATTATAGAAGGACTCAAGTCTTTAGATGACAAAGAGGCAATGAGGTCAGTAGCAGTATAAATGCGCAAAGCTTCTTCGTGTGCGGTTACTAATGGTTAAACGCAGTGCCATGCCGGTTCCTCCCAAGCCAGTGGAAACTGCCTTTGAATTGAAAATAGAGTTATTGCATGAATCCACTTTGGTTGGCGGTATGTATCTTTTATCCTAAATAGGTGAAGCGTATGCATGTCTTGACCGACATTCACTTTTCGTAGGTCGATACATCAAATTGTCAAGAGAGTACAGTCAAACGCCTTGGTCCATTCGGGGACAACGATTAACAGAGTTTTCAGTGTCAGAGAGTATTGGTGAGCCACTCAAAAAATATTTCAAGTGCGACGATTACAAATTTGTTACGGCTGGACGTGAGGATGCGAATGTACGAATGCTTGGCCACGGTCGACCGTTCTATATGCAAATGGTCAATCCAAGAATACCAGAAGTACCAGAAGATTTATATTTGAAGATGGAAGAAGAAATCAATCATTCAAGCAACTCTGAGAGCGTGCTTGTTCGGCACTTGGCACGGATCCAACCGTAAGCAAATATCTGAGTTGAAACGTTTGAGCTCTGGAGTTTTCCATTGGGAGAAATATCTAATTTTATCCATCTAGGGGAGATGTCAATATTATTAAGGAAGGTGAACAGACCAAGCGAAAGACCTACAGGTAAGAACCGATAGTTTTTGGTCCTACCATCGATTCTCACTAAGCGCACTCATGGCTATAGTGCTTTGGTATGGCTCGCAAAGCCTTTTACCGACGATTTGATCGAGAAACTGAATGCTATTGGTAGTACACAATTTGAAATTTCACAAAGGACACCAATCCGAGTCCTTCAGCGGTAATGCATGCTCTTCTCCATCTTTCTGTATGTTATCCGATTAAGTGGTTTCGTATTCGTCTAACCCGATCCACCGCCCTATCCATTCTACAGCCGCGCGCACATGGTTCGACCAAAACAGATATATCATCTCAGCGTCCAAAAACTGCCTGCCAGGATTCAAGGGTCAGACGAACATCAAGAAGCCAAAGGCCACTTTGCCCGTTTGATTATGGACACGGAAGCTGGCACGTATATCAAGGAATTCGTCCATGGCGATCTCGGCAGAACAAATCCCAGCTTTGCGTCGCTTACAGGGGCAGCTGCGGACATTTTAGATTTGGACGTATTGGAAGTTGACCTCGTGTGGCCGCCACATATAAAGACATCTATGTAAATAAGCTCGTGGCCCTTTACCCTAGTTATTGACATCCGGTTTGCTCGTGGCTTTGTCCTTGACCGTAGCCCTTGAACATCCCCCCACTGTATTTTTCTCTGAACTAAAAAAAATTAGAAGAGCATTGATGAAGTGACTTTGTGACATATCAAGTGTGACAACCATGCCATTTCAAAGCAAGTGTGGTGGCGTTTCTATTTCAGTAAAGTTCAATTAAACATCATTGCCAACGGCCGTACAAAATCCCACCGCTTGTTGAATTCTTTATAGCGGCGACGATGGTTAAACACAGCTTTTGCAATCTTCTCGTGCAACAGTGACAATCTGCTTTTTAAGGCATTTTTTTAAATTCTGGATTGCCGTTAAAGGTTCAATTTTTTTTATTTTCGTTGAAAACATTGTTTCGGTTGCAGCAATTGCGCTGTTGCTCTTCTTTACGTTATGTCCTACAATCCTTTACTGCCATCGGAAGCCCCGTCGAAGAATGTTTCCTTTGTGCCATATAACCAACCTCCTCCCGCCAACCCATATCGAAGACCACCTCCCAACGACAATCAGTATACCCCTCCTTCCTATCAAAACCATCCTTTGAACCGTTCGTCCCCGGAGCATAATATACCCATCAACCCTTCCCCCCCTCGTGGCCAATCTAAATTCAGTCGAAGCAAGGTATGAAAATATGATGATTACTTGCCGTTCGTGTTCAATGACTTACAAAGGCTATACACAGTCCGTTCGTCATGTAAAGCTGACTCAAGGTAACTTGGTCCTTGATTGTCCAGTGCCTGACAAGTTGTTACGAAATGTCAAGTACTCGACAGGAGAAGAATTTACCCAAATGCGATATACGGCTGTCACTTGTGACCCCAATGACTTTGTAAAGGATAGATATACGCTACGACCCTATTTACTGAACAGACAAACCGAACTGTTTATTGTCATGGTAAGCACGGCTTTGCGCAGTAGGCTGCGATAATGAGGCTGAGCTCTCCACTTACTTCCTTTCAGACTATGTACAATGAGGATGATCAACTTTTTATGAAGACTATGAACGCTGTGGTCAAGAACATTGCTCATTTGTGCAGCCGAACAAAAAGCAAAATGTGGGGTCCTGAAGGATGGAAGAAAGTTGTCGTCTGTGTCGTATCGGACGGAAGATTGAAGGTCCATCCACGTGTCCTGAAGGTCCTTGGAGCTATGGGAGTTTATCAGGTAGGTGGATGCATCCATAGGTTTCGGAAAAAGTGTTCACGCATACTGACGGTTCGTCAATTTGGCTGCGTGTAGGAAGGAATTGGTAAAACAGAAGTAGCAGGCAAAGGCGTCACAGCTCATTTGTACGAATATACGTCGCAGGTGGTTGTTGACCGAGAGACAGGAAAGCTTGGCGGGTCGGACAAAGGAACTGTACCGATTCAGATTCTCTTTTGCTTGAAAGAAAAAAATGCCAAGAAGCTCAACTCTCATCGATGGTTTTTTCGAGCCTTCGCGCCACTTTTGAATCCCAACGTTTGCATTCTGCTCGATGTCGGAACCCGCCCAAGTGGAACCAGTCTATATCATCTGTGGAAAGGTAAGCATTGCTGTCTGCTGCAAACACCTTCGTTCTCTTTCTTGCATGTCCTCATTTCCATTTCAATAGCGTTTGATCGATCTAAATATGTCGGAGGAGCTTGCGGCGAGATCTGCGCTGAAGTCGGACCGAATTCTCGAAACTTGTTAAATCCACTTATTGCCTCACAGAACTTCGAATACAAGATGTCCAACATTCTAGACAAGCCGTTGGAATCAGTGTTTGGCTATATCTCGGTCTTACCAGGTGCATTTTCTGCATATCGTTACAGGGCCCTCAAGGACACAGCACCAGGCATCGGTCCGCTATCATCTTACTTTAAGGGCGAGGCTCTTCATGGAGGTGGCGCGGCTGATGCAGGTATTTTTGAAGCCAACATGTACCTTGCTGAAGATCGTATTCTGTGCTTCGAACTCGTAGCCAAACGTGGTGAACAGTGGTTGCTAAAGTATGTCAAGGCTGCTAAGGCAGAGACGGATGTTCCGGATAACTTGTCAGAGTTCATTTCTCAACGTCGTCGATGGCTGAATGGATCGTTCTTTGCATCGTTCTACGCTACCTTTCACTTTTGGCGCATATGGACATCTGGTCAATCCATTTTCCGCAAGTTCTTCCTTATGTTTCTCTTTCTGTACAATTTGGTCAACCTGTTTTTCAATTGGTTTGCATTGGTAAGTATTTGTCCATTGATGATTTACAGTCTCCGCTATCTTGGTTCATCATCTAAATGTTATGTCTTTTTTTCCAGGCCAACTTTTATTTAACGTTTTATTTCTTGACAAAAGCATCCGTCCCCGTCACGATAGAGGAGATGGTGAACGGTGTGTTGACTGAAGTGAAGCAAGCGTCAACTGTACCGGACCCATTCTTTGGACAAGGAGATATCATCTTCAGTGTTCTTCGAGAGGCATACTTCATGGTCATCATCATCATCGTTATATCGGCACTTGGTAACCGACCGCAAGGTTCCAAGTTTATCTATATGACCTGCGTTTTCGTCTTTGCTTTCCTCATGTTGGTCATGCTATACGTCGCTGTATTCACTATCTATCAAACTGTACCAAAAACTCTGGCTGGTTGGAAAAACGTTGGCACGCTGTTGCACACTTCACCAGCTTTTCGAGACATCATCATTTCACTCGGTTCTACCTACATTTTATACTTTTTCTCATCCTTTTTGTACGGCGAACCGTTCCATATGTTCACTTCATTCATTCAATATCTCACACTTCTACCATCCTACGTCAATATCCTCATGGTAAGTTTAATCACTTCATACAGACTATAGACTTTGCCAAACTTACTTACACAAATTTGCTTTCGGTTTTTTTTCTAGGTCTACGCCTTTTGCAACACTCACGATGTTAGGTATGTATCGTATTTGTTTGCAGCTTGCTTTTTGTCCATAGTATCTAACCTGCTGTACAGTTGGGGAACAAAAGGTGACAACAAGGCGGAATCACTCGGTACTGCTCAAGTATCCGCGAATAAAGATGGTCATCAGATCGTAAAGGTGGAAGTACCCACGGAAAAAGAAGACATCAACGACGGATATGACAAATTCTTAAGGGCCTTGGCTGTGCCTGAAGTCAAAGTCAAGGAGCGAAGAGATGCTAAAACAAAACAGGAAGATTACTATCGACTGTTTCGTACAAGGCTTGTTCTCTCTTGGATGTTTTCCAATGCTCTCTTGATCGTCGCTATATCATCCTCTGCCTTTACTCAGTATATGGAGACTCATAATCCCACCCCCGACCAAGCCTATAACCCATACCTCTCCTTCATTTTCTGGTCTGTAGCTGGGCTGTCGGCTGTCCGCTTCTGTGGAAGTACATTCTACCTCATATTCCGATTATTTGATTATATATAGATCTTCAAAAAATAATTAAAAGAAAATAGAGCACATTCAATTACAAACCGTTTTAATGCAGATTTTGGGAGAGTGTTGTGACGTGAGTTGTACTCCGCCAAACATGCAAATTGAGTCGCCACGTCTGATTTATTTTACCTCACTTGCTCCATTCGAATCAATCCGCCATGCAACATTCAAGAGCTTTTATTCTCATAGCACTGCTGGTTTGTCTATGCCAACAAGTCGCCTCTCTTGCAATCGACGTCCGTGCAAATACCCAAGAATGCTTCTTTGAAGAATTAGATGTTGGCGACAAGATGACCGTTACATTCCAGGTACGACTGCTTTACAATTGAGCCAACCTCATCATAAAGCATGTACATGTCCGTGATGGCAGTATCGTTGGCTCCGCATATGCAAAGTTGATCCCTTTGTTCTGTTTTATGTCCATTAATGTAATCCTTTTCACTATCTCTAGGTTGGCGATGGTGGTAATTTGGACATTGATTTCGGGGTAAGCCAAGCAGCCATTATTAGGTTTTGCAATATCCAGCATGTAGTCTCACGTTTGTCTTCAATAGATATATGATCCAGCAGAGCGCACCATCAGAAGCGGTCTTCGCGAATCAACTGGTACTCACGAAATCACCGCCAGCTTGAAGGGAAGACACACCTACTGCTTTAGCAACCAGATGTCTTCCGTCTCTGATAAATCTGTTAGTTTCAACGTCCACGATCTTCAAAAGCAACTAGCTGATTCAGGTAGGCACAACAATCGTTGCCGTGTTATTTTCAGTCTCAGTCTTTGAGCCAAAACCAACCTCATACTTCTGATGCCCACAGCTGTCATTGATCCATTGGAGAGAGAAATTCGTGAATTGGCAGAGTCCATGTCGGCTGTCAAGGACGAGCAAGAGTACATTGTCATCCGCGAACGTCAGCACCGTGACAGTATGTATCCATTTGTTTACTATGTGATCTACTCTATACCGTTTCACATCTTGACTAATGCGTTTGTTCCACCTTTCTTTTAGCTGCGGAAAGCACTAACTCCCGTGTTAAGTGGTGGTCATTGGGCCAGCTTGCTTTGCTTGTTGCTGTTTGCTTCTGGCAAATTTTCTATCTTAAGAGATTCTTCGAAGTCAAGCGTGTAGTATAGATGGTGCTTGCCAAGCAAGAAAAAAAAATGTAATGTTCATTTTAACCCTCCACCAAAAAACCAAAATACATATTGCCTTTGTGATTATGGGCGGAAACAAGCTATGTTGCATTCACGTTGTGATATTCGAGAAGTTAAAAAAAATGTACAATGTAAGGAGTGGACTGTGACATATACAATACTATACAAAATATAATAGGATAAGAATGGCAAAATATATACGTGACTAATGTGTTGGAGGGAGTAGTGGTGTCAGTTGGTTGATGTAGGTGTTTTTCAAGGCAGGATAAGGACATGCCAGTAGTAGCGTAGCAATGTCGTTGAAGCCGCATTTGAAGAATTGACGACGCACGTTTCCTTGCTCTAATATACCGTACTGTGATGACTGTTTCAAGGCTGGAACCTCTATTATCTTTTTCATGAGTCTAAGATGTGTATTCTATTCACAAAACATTGCTCTGGTCAGTGGAAGACAGAAATACATATAAGGTTACAGATCATCAATATTGGCTTACCAGGTATAAGATGGCGGTATTATCGATCAATGCCGCCAGCATAGACTGTCCATTTACATCATTCAATGCGATTGTATCGTGCTGGTCGGTGTCTGTCGTGGAACTATGACCGTCATCTTGTTGAGCTTCAATACTCTGTTGCAAAATGTCATTGCTACACTCAGTATTCGGCTTTTGTATATCGAATTGGTAGTCCAATACATCGGCTAAAAAGCTTGCCGGTTTGACGGACTGCTCAACGGTAGTAGCAAGTTCTCGCATCCAACAATTAAATCTAGGCGGCTCGGATGAGCTTCGCATGCTCTGAGAGCTTGTATAATGCCGTAATGGAAAGCTCCGATTGACCAAACTGGCCGCAGACTTTTTAGATTTTATACTGGAGGAACTGCCATTCTTTTGAGAAGGCTCATCGCTAAGGAGTTCATACATGAGTCGGTATCCATTGCCAGTATCTTCATGCAAAGCAACGTCATCCGCCAATTGCAACTGATTCAGAACTTGTAAAAGGGCGAGTCGCGTTCCGACGTTGAAGGATTCCATTTTTTCGCCGCCAGGTACACCGAAGAGCAAGTCTCGGATGATATAGATAGGTTGAAGATTAGCAAAGACTGCTTTCGCTCCAGCCTGTAATAAAAATAATTACTTTTGATACAGACATAGAATTCATATGGTATGAGCTTACCGTATGTACCAACAGTGTTTTATAGCAATTTGCAATTTCTCGCAAAAGATCGTCCAAGGATTGCCTTGCAGAAGGATTGGGTTTTAACCTCGTTAGTTTTATATTGGGTATTGCCGCTCGATTTTCAGGCAACTTCATTCATTACCTGTTTATAGAGGACGCTATTTCCCAAAGCATGAAATTGAGAGCTTCATAACCTCCTGCCTTGAGGAAAGCTTCTTCCCAACTAATTATAGATGTGTGTGTTATGAATGTCGTGCATCATGAGGTCATATAGTCATACAAAGAATAATGGGACACTTACTCTCCATCTCCGTTCTGAAGACTATGTTGTAAATCCTTGATTTCAGCTACAGTGATGTTCCTGAAGCTACATTCATTTAACTTGGCTGCCGCGTGAGAGGCTGTTTTAGAGTGCAATTTCTTATGACCGACGCGTCGACTACGTAAAATGGAACGTGCACGGCCCGTACTTGGTTTGGACTTCAATTTGACAGAGTCTACACCGCGTAGTATATCTGAGACTTTGTCAGAGTCAGGGTCGTGTTCTGGCGATGATAGTGCCCGAGAACCCCGTACAGTTGACTTTGTTCGCGGTAGTGACGCCTTCAAAGTGGTGAATCTCCGAATGGATTTAGTTTTGGGTGGTGGAACGGGCGGTTGCTCATGCACAGTGAGATTCTTCGCTGGAGACGAGGTTCGTTTGATAGTTACGGGAGGAGTATTGACATGGTCCTCATTCGACGTAGAATGAAGAATAACTGGCTTTTCAGCACTTGAAACAGATACGGCCGAATCCTGTTCTCTTATCGGACTTTGTTTTGGTGAATCACTGTTTGTCTGCCGGTGAGCAGGAGGGCTAGGTGCAGGCGAGTTCGTTTCAGGAACCAGCACAACCGCCAATTCGCTCTGCTGTCCTTGACGTCGCCACCATTTTCGTTGAAAAAATATAGCCACTTTATCAATTATTCGTTTCTGTGGTCGATCCATTAACGTAGAAAGGAACAAAAAGAGAAGAAAAGAGTCGAAGACAACCTCCTTTGGACAAAGGGATTTTTTGTATTTTAAGTGGAATTACCAAATTATCCAGGTATATCCATGTCAACAACAAATATGGCCGGTCGAAGAAAAACAAATCCTTTGGAGGGCGGGATGTCTTGGAAACAATGCCGAAAATGGTAACTGTGTATTTTCTTAGTGCAAAGAAGTGCTCATCGTCCACCTCTTGGCAAAGTTAGTGTCTCATTTCCATATACCATATTGGATATCTTGTAAATAGATTGGAATCCGTTAACCAAAAGGGTGTTCCTGCACAACGTTTTGACCAGAATGCGTGAGCTAAGGTAACAGACCTCAAGTGGCTTTTGTAAACGCGGAGTACAGTGGCGTGGTACAATCGTAAGGATTTCTCATGAACATCGTCACACACAGAACACAGCGCACTTGAGAATGAGGTCATCCTGGGACGATGTAGGGTGTTGATGTTCTAGGAGGATGTACCTGGTTCTATCTAAGGATTTCTTCACATTTTTAATTAACTAGACTTATTTTCATTGAATGTTGTGGAGCGCATCAAGGATCTCCGCTTAAAATGCATTTCACCAATTTTGGCATAGAGAGCGATGCGTTGAGCTGCAAAGGGTTGGCAAGCTAATAGAAAGCAACGCATTGTTCACTAGAGCTAAGCAGATACTAACTAGTGTAAAGATTTAATGTGATGGTCAATGCCCTCAGCGTCTCTTGTTGATAATAAGGCAGTTCTCTACTGGCCCCAAACTGATGGGATGGATGAAATAACCATAATGTAGGTGAACGCACTCAATTAGCAGGATTCCTCGAGCACTTATTTTCGAATTTACTGCTACAGCTTTTGCACTCAGTTTAATGCCTGAAAGGTCTAAATTAAACTCCACAATATAACAGCAGTGGGTATTGTATGACGGGTATATTGAATGCCTTGAAGGATGAAAGCTATTATGCCTCTCACAGCTCTTCTTAGCATCATAATATTGTGCTGTTCATATCTCTTGATGTTCCTCGAACATAAGATAGTCCTCGATCATTCGTTTCTTTTCAATTCAAACCGTGGTTGCAAACAGTCATGTCCAACGTGTTTCTAAGAGTTTGTGTGACATTATCAGGCAACTTGATGTTCCGCTCCAAGATTGATGCCAGATGCCTGTCTAAGTTGCAGGTTAAGGCAAAAATTGATGATTATCCCAGTTAAGTAGATACGCATAGTTCGGTAAACCAGGAGTCAGCTAAACATAAGTTTGCCACCTTGATCAGTCACATCATAGCCATACCGTCAAAGTTTACCCAGAGTGTAGTCTGTGGACTTCTTTGTTCAAGCGCCATTAATTATAGGAAATGTAGAACGTGTCTTAACCTTTCTCTCTGTGGGATGTCTGGAATCACCGTTCGGTGCAACCTAAAGAATAGCTGTTTCTAGACATTCTATATTGTGCTGTATTCAGAAGTATAAGTAGGCTTAGAGACTTTTGATTTCTCCTCTTTACCACCTTCCTTTCACCCTTCCGGTCCCCATTCCTATCTTTTAAACATGAAATTCACCCTTGTTGCCGCAGCCATCGCCATCGCTGCCACTTCTGTCTCTGCACTCACCCCTGCTGCTGGATGCACCAAGTTCCACACCGTTAAGAAGGGCGATACCTGCTCTGCTGTTGCCCGTAGCAACAACATCAGCGTTCCTAAGCTCGCTGCTCTTAACCACGGTCTCCACTGGGGACCTGGTCACTGGTGTGATAACCTTGACATCGGTAAGAAGTACTGCGTCAAGGACCCCAAGAAGTGCGCAAAGAAGGCCAAGGCCAAGGCTCTTGCTGCTAAGAAGTCTACCAAGAAGTCTACCAAGAAGACCACCAAGAAGCACACCACCACCAAGAAGCATACCACCACCAAGAAGGCTACCACCACCAAGAAGGTTACCACCGCCCCCAAGGGTGACACTACCGGTCCTATCGCTCACAGAACCATTGCTTCCTGCAAGACCTACCACTTGGTCACCGACAAGGATAGCTGCACCAGCCTCATCGCCAACAACCACATCTCCGCTACTGACTTCTACAAGTGGAACCCCGGTGTCCACCACGCCGGCGACCACCAGTGCGATAACTTGGACACTGGCAAGCGTTACTGCGTCAAGGCTTAAGTCAATGACTTAAGTCATCCTAGTATCTCCCCCCTGCTCCATAAATCGTTATGGTTTAATGTATGAAATAAATATTGTACTGTTTATATCAGAAATCAACCTATGAAATGTAAAACACTACCTCACCATTAATATCTCTGGTGGCAACCAGGATGCTAGTCGCTTCTCTATTGTTTACAATGGACGAGGTAGCAGCTCATATAAGCCGGAGAGGTCCGTTATCACAATTTATTCGGTATTTCCTACTTGCTAATGCTCAATTACAAAAGGTATGCTTATTTCATGAAAAATGAACTGCTTTGCAGGTTTGGAGCGTTGCCTTCTATTTATGACGATTTGAGCGCTATCGACATACTACTGATGAGGTTTACACAGTTCAATAAATCAGTATACTCTCTCTAAGGTGGGGTACGTTGAGGATCAAAGGTCCCTCGAAGCTACTTGCAAAGCCGTTGCTAAATTGAAAAGCCAGGTTCTAAATTCGTTTTTAAGTGCGGGGTTGCAATACGCTAGAATCACCAACTTTAACTCGTTCCATCAAAGGCAGATCATCTGAATTGCGCAATGCTTATCATAGGAGTTGCATTTGCCTTTGTTGGCAATGCAGTCATTGGTCTGGGTAACGTACTTCAGAAATACGCACTGCTAAGAGCAGCAAAACCTCCAGATCGACTAGGACCGCAATTACCAAAATCAGCAGCCACCACTACCTCAGGGCAGGACTTGACCCTGTCCGAACGAGCCAGGCTTGTGGTTGCTAAGCGTATCGACTCTCTGCTACAATCCGGGTATTATGGAAACCCTAACCAGCCATATTCTCGCTTTAAAGATAGACTTTGGTGGATTGGCTTCTTGGCTACTTATGCTGGAGAAGCTGGAGGCAATTGGGTTGCTCTTAGTGTCGCCAGCCCTTCGGTGGTAACCCCTCTTGGTATTGTCGGTGTCATTGCAAATATTGTGTTCGCAAACTTGCTTTTGGGAGAACAAGTCAACAAACGCCATCGTATAGGGTGAGGACCTATTTTCTTTATTATTTGTTGAAGCTGACGCAAAGTTCTCATTAGTTCGAAATAATCATTCTCCACACTCTCAAAGATATGGCTGGATTGTAGCTGGCGTCTTTTTCTTGCTATGGGCATCACTGAGTACCGATGAAGATGATGTGAAGTTTGAAGATACCATGGACGCTGAAGGCCTTGATGGATTAAAGCAATTCATCTGTTCTACCCGGGTTCTATTTATAGCAGCTATCCTTGCCATTTCCATTGCTGTATTGATCCAATATATGAGAGGCCTTTACAAAGGTGGCAAAGAGCACGATACCAAGGCGAAGAAGAGACGCAGTATTATTGTCTCCTCTACAGACGAAGATCACCCTGATATCTCAGTTGTATCCCATTCGACTCTAGGTGCGTCACGACGCTTTCACGGTGGAGACGCAGACAAGGGCAGCAAACATGATTCATTCCACGCGTTCTCTGCAAGTCAAGAGCAAACTTCGACTGTTCTGGGGGTTCATGTGCTATTATGCTCGCTTCTAGGTGGTGTTACTGTAGTTACATCCAAAATAATGGTCACTTTCATAAGGTGCTGGCTCGCCTATGATGGTACGGAATCTACTTCAACCCAACTAGTCTGGTTCTTGCTCTTAATCTTCCTTTTGATTGGCACCATTGCAACCCAAGAAACGGTGAAGCAACTCACACTTCAAAAATTCTCCTTGGCTATCTTCCAGCCATTATTTTACGCTCTGTATGTGACCAACGTAACCTTACTCTCTCTGGCGATTTTCGAGACGCAGCCATACAAAATATGGCGTTTGATTAAGGTAGCGCTTGGGATGATTCTTATATCCAAAGGTGTGGGCATAATTTTGGAACAGGATTCACTTGGTATTCGCAAGCGAACAGTGTACATTATGAGGATGGTGTATAAATCGCTCACTAGTATAAATGTATTCCAGCGCCTACTGAAAGGGCGGAGTATGCACCATAACGATGAAGCAAACGCATCCAATGAATCCATAGAACTAAAATGAATAATTCAATAAAAATAGCATGCAACTGAAGATAGCGCAGCATTGTTTGAGATCTACTGGCAAGGGTTTTGCCAGGTGGGCTGAAGACTGTGGCGCATTACAGCTGATGCGCACAAAAAGCCAAGAGCTGAAATTTCATAAACAGCAGTACTGTGAAACGCTCCCCATTAAACTACTCTCTTCCCTTTTCCCCCATTTTATCTACTCGTCTTATGTCTGCTCTACCTCCAGGTAAGTATTATTTCACTGCTTTGACGTTATATCATCTCTATTGACTTCAAAGCTATGGTAGGTTGGGATGCTCGTCAAGCTCCAGATGGTCGCTGGTAGGTTTTGTCACTTTAATCCTATTTTGAAGCCCTTAGCAAGGCTGACCGTCCTTGTTTTTAATAGGTACTTCATTGATTTGAGAACCAATACAACGACTTGGGATGATCCCCGAAGTCATCCTCAGCAACCTTACAATATGCCTTCGCCTGCACCTTCAGCGACATCGACCTATTCTCAACAAACTCCTTCATATTACGGTAGCCCCAACCAAAACTATCAGGAACAAAAAGGCCCCTCTGGATCATACCAAGCGCCTCCATATACACCACCCGTACAAAATTCCTATCAGCAGCAGCAATCGGTTCCTCCCCCATATCCACAAGGTGCTCCCGGCGGTCAACAATCTAGTTATTATGGTGGCCAGCCTTCTTATCAGCAGTATTCGTCTCCTCCACCACAGCAATACCAACAGCAGTATGAGCAGCCCCCATACCAACCAGCACCTTATCAGCAGTCTCCTTACCAACAGCCACCACCACCACAACAGCAGCAGCAACAGCAACAGCAACCACAGCAAGGGGGTAACAAACTCAGCAATTTCCTTTCAGGTAAGCGATGATCGTCTTTTGCGTATGACAAATAGCTCAAATTGACGAAATTAAAAATTTTACAGGCCCTAACAGCGGTATGAAGACCGCAGGCATGATCGGAGCTGGTCTTCTTGGCGGTTTGGTGTTAGGAGAAGTTGTCGAGCATCATCATGATACTGGACGCTGGTGAACTTTGGGATTTGTCACCTGTTGACAGTGTAGTGCAGTAACACCAACTTTATATCCACATACAAGCGCTTCGATTTCAGAAACTCTAATAAAAATGAAATAGTTTGGTGAGCGAAAATGATAACCGTCCACGCATCGTGATGTCGCAGAAGGGTAGCGATGGCTTTTTTTCATCTCTCTGCGCAGCTCTATTTTTAATTGCTTGAATTCGGTTGGTCCAAATTTGCCTGCATGAGGCAATTTTTTTTTGTCAAATAGGATGATGGAAGAGGCATCAGAAAAAATTCACTACACAGAGATGCCCATCATATCAGCTTTTGACTCGGCAGCCTCTTCATAATACTCCTTCTTATTCATGTGTCAAGCTTTGAGACATTTAAGGAACCGTGTATTACTGCTTCCTGGATTATGAAATGCATCGGTAGGTTAAGGTAAGTAAAGTGGATGTAAACGTAGGAGCTATAACAAGTGTCGTAAGGTGTGAATTGTGTTTGAAGAGGCGGGTAGCCGAGTCAAAAATAGAATTGTCTAGTTGAATGATACACACTTAATTACAATTATCCTGCAAATGTGCCTGCCTGTTTCAAAGCTGTAAATGGTCCGTGGGTTTGGGACAGTGTTTGACAGCCGCCTTTATCAAAGTGGAGTAAAAACCCAATGTCAATCAGCTTTAAAAATCACAAAGTCATTATTTAATGCGTCTGAGCACATTGCCCGTTTGTTCGCAGGGACGCCTTCGTGTTTCAATAGCTTATTGAACACGATAACTAGACCAGGCAGTCAATAGTTGAATGAGGTCATTTGATTACGAAGTGCCGCCATGACTGCTTCCATTACCTCCATAATAGCTTCTAGAAAACGCAATGCAACCCTGGCGATGGTCACACCACAAGACCTACTTCCATTATCTCCATCCTGGTGACAAAAAGACCACGAGTAAGCAAAGAACTGGTCGTTAGTTGCGCACCCCGGACTTTCAATTGCGGCCAAGAAAGCGACTGTGATAAAAATTGATTTTTTTGCTTCCGGGGCTTTTTCCTTTATATACCTTCTGAAGAATAAAAAGAGTTTACTGTAGGGCCAGTCGACCTTTATGACCTCTGAACAACAGCAGCTCCAGATTCCGCCTATGCAAGGCAAGGAAAATGTGAACTTGGACGGTAACGCTGTTGAAGATTTGAGCGCTGTCAAACCTATTTCACCTACACCTTCACAACAATCACCTCTGCGATTATCTATGCATTTGAATCTGCATCCAGACGGCATCATGATTGAGGAACCGCTCATTGACTCTCCTCACGACATTGGTCCTACTGATCGTATTTTGTCAAAATCGCCGTCGTTAACTGCCAACCCAAAAAAAAGTGCCACTGCCAACGGTATACCCACTGCATCGTCCAACGGTCGATTATCAGAGTCTCTACACCCAACACGTGCGGCAACCACTACAATGATACCACAACTTCAAAAGCAACAGCAACCGTCCACTAGCATGGATTTAGCTAGTTCTCCAAACAGCATTGCCAACACTCTCTACAAAGTGGATACCTATGGCAGCATTCGGAATCCAAATCGAACGTCATTAGATAAATTGGAACGTAAAAGTACATTTGGCCCTGATCTAGGTGATCTAGCTCCTGAGGAGCAACTCATTTTAGAGCAAGAAATAGCAGCTCGTAGAGCTGCAAGACGAGCATCACGGAGGCGTCTGGAAGAAGAAGACGATGAAAGAGTCTTAATTGGTACTATGGTTGCTGAAGGCCACAGGAATTATCAACTAATGTAAGGCAAACCTCGTGGAATACACTATGCTCCATATGCCCTTGCCACCGTTCTAACACTTTCAATGCAAAAGGTACGATATGCTGACGGGCATTCGAATAGCGGTTAGTATTGAATTAATTGCACAATGACATCGGTACCTATGCTAATTGTTGGTGGTTTAGGTTGGACGTGTATCGGCCAAAATGAAACGAGATTTAACAGACGAAGACTTTTATGCAGCACATAAACTTGTATTTGACATGTAAGTTTCACAAAGCCACTCTACTTCCTTTCAACCTATCCCCTTATCAATTATACCCTTCACCCACCCTAGTACCGGTAATGAACTTACACCTGGTGTGAAGTACGATTTCAAATTCAAAGACTACGCTCCATGGGTATTTCGAAACCTCCGCGAAAGTTTCAAGATCGATCCTGCTGACTATATGGTAACCATTTCTGTATAAGGGCGGCGCATGTAGTCCATGTCTAACTTGAACCATGTTAGATATCCTTAACCGACAAGTACATTCTCTCCGAGCTGGGATCTCCTGGCAAAAGCGGGAGTTTTTTCTACTACTCTCGGGATTACCGATTCATTATCAAAACCATTCACCATACCGAACACAAGTTCATGCGAAAAGTTCTTCGCCAATATTATAACGTAAGTCATTTTCACCCAATGGCGGATTTTGATCCCAGTGGACCCTTTGATCTAATTGACGTTTGGAATAAGCATGTTGTTGCCAACCCCAATACCCTTCTTTGTCGCTTTTATGGTTTACATCGTATCAAATTACCTCATGGCAGCAAGATCCATTTCGTCGTAATGGGAAATGTTTTTCCTGCCAATCGAGATGTCCATGCGACGTTTGACTTAAAGGTGAGAGGAAAAAAAAAATTATAGAGAGAATTTTTCCATTGAAAAATGAAATGGGTCATGGTTTGCTAATGCACACTCCACCTTTGTATTTAGGGATCAACGCTTGGAAGAGTCACTCCTGATGAAGAGGTTCAGAAAAACCCCAATGCGGTTATGAAAGATCTCAACTGGGAACAGAAGAATTGCAAATTGCAGTTTGGCCCTGAGAAGAGTGTGATATTGATGGAACAGTTACGATTGGATGTTGAGGTACAGTAGACTGAATACGGTTGAAATGGCCGGATTGACATGCACTAAACAATTACTATCGCAGCTGCTGATCAAACTCAACATTATGGATTACAGTCTTCTCGTTGGTGTACATGATTTGAGGCGCGGAAATAAGGACAATATTCGCGACAACCACCTGCAGCTCTTCCAGCCCCAAACAAAACGGATGGAGCGGCAATTATCCTTACGCAATAAACGGGAGAGCAAAGCTCAGATCGTACGCAAAGCCATTGCAAGTGCTGAAACGACAAGGCTAGACGTCTCTAAACTTCCGGAGATCATATCCACAGAGTGAGTCTTTGTATCTTTGATTTTTTGGGATGGATGGCAAAAGACGGTGTGTAGCTAATTCTTCTTACCAGGCGACGGAATTGTATCTTTTACGCCGACGATGGTGGATTTCAGTCAACGAATGAAGAGAACGAATCGACTGACATACTGTATTTTGTTGGCGTGATTGATATTTTAACGCCATACAACTATGTCAAAAAAGTTGAACACGCCTGGAAAGGGCTGACGTTGGATAAGGTAAAGGGGGGGGGGAACCCGATATGTCGATTTGTTACTCCCTAGTGCTAACATCTACTGCCTCCATTTTCAGAAAGCCATTTCTGCTGTTCCTCCACCAGAATACGGTGCACGATTTTTACGATTCATGCACCATTCCCTCAAACACCCTGAATATATTATGTCACCCACCTCCACTTTGGAGAAGAAGGCCCAATAATTTACTTGACCTCCCCCTTTTACATAGCTTGCATAGACTTAACCCCAATACCCGCACAAATACGTGCTGATACATACAAATTTTGAACCCTCAATGCACCCACCAATACAGTTTTAACGAACGCAATGTTTTTCATTTGTATTCTGTCTCGGTGAGGACGTAATTCATTGTTCCCATGGTTATCAATGGTATTCGTCAACCAAAAAAAATGTAACACAAATGACGCAAGCCAATGCTTGAAATTTTCGATGTGTCGATTGAAAATCATTCCTGTCTATGTCATACCTGTGTCATGAGTTGAAGTGCCAAGAACACTCCAGTAACCGAAAAGCGTTGCACCACGTATTATATTTCACCTGAAAATTTTGAAACGTAAAGGGCAGGTCATTTTTTGGAGTGCAAGGCATGCCAAATCGGATTCTGAGTACCAACTGCTGCCTGACGTTTATATAAAAGCCGCAAACATGACACGTTTTTTTTCACTTCTTTACTTCCTTTTAGCCCTTTCCACTTCTAATGGTATCTGCAGAGCAAGTTTTGAACACCCAGTTGGCGGCTGTATTTATCACCTTCCTGCTGTGGGTATGTAAATAACATGTATGCCGCTATTCTTTTTGTTTCATGTGGTTTTTCATCGCCAATATAGTTTTTCTCATTAGGGCTCATGCGATCAGCCCAGAAACGGGCCGGTTACGACAATAAGAATCCACGACATAACAATGATGCACTGGTAAGTTTAGGTGGAGGATATTTGAAGTCGTTTAAAAGGATTTTAGCCCTGAGAACCGACATTTATAGGAAGGATGGGGTGCGAGAGCATATGCCGCCAATGCAAATACCCTGGAAGCACTGGTGTTTATAACCTCAGCCACGGCAATGAACATTTTTGGTGCTCGTAAATACGGTGGCGTAGCAACCGCAACCATGGCTTTTTCCATTATCTTCATTGTTTGCCGCGCGGTACGTATTTCACTGGCCATTCGATGCATGCTGTTTTTTTTGTGCTCATTCTGACGTCTCCTTGCGCGGTGGGCAAATAGATCTACCCATTTTTGTATCATTATGATAAGGATGCTTTTCGTACCGGTGCATGGGTATTGTCCATGATATCTGTCCTTGCCCTCTTCATTATGTCCTTTATTCACTAACTGGACAAACCTGCAAAAAAAAGAAACAAAGGGACGTAGCGCAGCTTCAGCCAAGTAGATCTGCAGATACCCAAAATGTAATATGAATCAATATTTCCATCCTGTCTGCATGTGCTAAGGAGTACATCATGTCACTGCAATAAATGTATAGTTATCTACACCACTACCATAACATGCCACGCCGATTGCCTGTGAACATAGTTTTTTTTATCATAATAAAAATTAAAGCGTGATAGTTAAAGTATACCGACCGATTTGAGCAGTCAATCGTTTTATGTCAAGGGAATTAATGAAATTTACAACGAGGTAAAGTGACTGCAGAAGAAACAAGTTTGGGATAAAGTCATGTCTGCGAATGAATCCTCTAGCAGTCTCGCCTCACATGGCCAGTGAGCCATTGCTAATCAGCCAACATGGCATCTTAGGTTAAATAGGGTTACAAAAAAGGGAAATAAAAGTTGGATCCACGGGGGTTAGATGGCATATAGGTAAAAAGGAGTCATCGCCATTCTACGTCCTTCTTTTCTGGCTGTCCATTGATGGAAAAAACGGTGAGTTTATGCTCATTCGTAGTATCGCTGGGAGAACGCAAGCTTTCAAGACTGGTCCTTATCCCGTCCATCCATGATTTGGCGTGCCCATTCAAAGGTTGGTATGCAGACAATGGTGGTGATGAAGAGCTATATAAATTCAATGGAGGGGTCGATGGGCAAGATGATGCTTGCTGATGCTGAGGTGGCGCAAAGAAGGATAACTCAGATGCTTTGACATTGACGAGATCTGCAGTGCATTCTACTATATGAAAAGATGAAAGCGTCGGTGATTGTGTTCCATTGGATAACTGCGACCTCGTAAATGACGATGAGTCGCTCGATGAACCAAATGAGGATTCAGATCCTGTTTCTTGATAGGATGGGTCATCAGAATATGGAATTCCTGAAAATGAAGTGGTTAAGTCTAGAGATGAGGGAAAGTGGTACAATAGCAGAAAGGAGTGTTCATACCGAAAGAAGGCAGTCTGGAGCGATCATGTGCAGGGGCTGGTAGGGTATGAGAATCGTCGTCAACATCAAGTGGCACCTTCATTATATGTCGCCAAGTAGCATCATTGGGAAACGGTGATTGCGTATGATGAAGGGGGACATTCGGCAGCGCTTTGTAAAATGTGATGGTCTGTGCTTCTTTATCGATGGTATAATCTGTGAGCGACAGACAATCCTTCAGAGGGATATATAGAATTCTCCTTGCATGTATAGAATCATTTGTCCATAATCTATTCGCTTTTTTGAGCTTTGAAAGCTTTGCCATGGTACCAACATTAGCCAAAGGGTTAAAGTTTCCGAGTCCAATGCAAGTTACTTACCGGGATGCCATAAAACAAACCGATGCCAGCAACAGTGTCATTCTTTTTCACTTTGTGAATTATAGCTTGTACAAATATGCTGTCGTCGGAATTTCTCCTCAGTGGTTGGTGAGGATATTTTCGTCTATAAGCATGTGTCCATTTGGACAATGTTATTTCTGGGGTACTATTCTGCGAAACTAGTATATGAGGAGGGGGTATGGATTCGGTTGCATCAGGTGAAAGTGGGTGATCAACACATGGAATGTGCCTTCTTGTCATTTAGATAGCGAGCTACAGATGCCTAGAGCTTGACTCAAGTGGGCAAAATCAGAATGCTAAAGGGAAGGCGATCAACTTTTGAAGAGATACCAGCTGCGAACACTGTCGCACGGATCTGAAATCGGTAATGCGGAGTCTGAACCCAAACCAGTTTGACCTATCCTATACTATGACGCCGGACGATTCCAACACCATGAATATATGAACTTATAGCAGTTCCTCAAAGATCAACCAACAAAGGTATACGCAGAGTCATGAGCGATTTATGGAGAGAATGTTTATAGAGTATGCCACAAGAAAAAGTGTGGCATCGAACAAATGTCCAACCAGCAGTAAGCGGCTGGTATGCTTTTACTGAGCTGCGCTTGAAAATAAATTCATGTTCAAATGTCATCGAGCTTATTCATGTATATCGTTAACATGAAAGATTTCAGGTATGCCTTGCTTCAGGCACCCAAGGGGTTACATACGTCTTTCCGAGTCAAAATTTGTTGTTTTAACCTGACTTTTAGGAGAAGCCTAAACACATTACATGAGTGAATTTTTGTTGGTAGTTAGTGTCCAAAAGCTAAGCGTTTGGCAGGCTGATTAGTCTAGCAAACCCACATTGTGACAGTCTGATAAGCATCACATCAGAAGACTAGTTGTTTTTATTTTTTGGCAGGTGCTCGAAGGTTAAGTACTACACTGTAATAAATACTGATATTTGCACCATGGATGCCCATTTTGCATCTTGTAGAGCGAAACCACCGAGTACATTGCAGTTTAAAATTAGTCAGAGAATTAGGATTTACGAAGCAATACAGAAACTGTGTATTTGGTTGAGCCCTAATGGCGTTTTGTTTTTAAAATTGTCGGACTGATATTTCTCGGTTCGATATCTTTAATTGTTCTTTTGCTCAATGAGACATACCTGAAGTAGCTGGGGTCCCCTTTCTAGTAGGTTGATGTTACTTTAATTACAAACTGCTATACACTACATACAAGAAGGAGATGTTATATGGGTGATGGCGATTAGGAAAAAGTACAAGTCGAGTAAGCGTATTCTTTTTTTTTATTCCGGCCAAATATCGCATTCAGTTGCTCTCAGTTTAATTTCAACCACTCGTTCCGGTGCTTGCGTGGTATCTTTGGAAAGTGATGTTTGAGTGTGATTTTCTTCATTGACTGAGCCATCGTCGAGCTCGTCCTGCGAACTTCCACAGCCATCTTCGGATCCAGACGAGGAGTTTGTTTTACACATCGATGCTAGTGTTTCGTATCCACTGCGCCGTCGAAGTGGGCTGACAAGAACTTCCTCGTTGAATACAAATCCTTGCTGCCTTGCCATAACTAGAACAGGAACTGGTTCATAACTGTATGAACTATAGCCTACGTTATCGTCGCTGTCGAATTGTGATCGATAAGGGGAATCAAACAAGCGGCATTCAAAGTCGTCGGTGAGCGACATTGACCGTTGTCTGACTGCTATTTTGTGTCGAGAGTACGTTCGGTGTGGAAGAGACATTGATGAAAGAGAAACAAGGAGAGAAGTTGTCCAAGACTACTTTTAAAGGGTGTGGCCGGGTCTGGTCTCTCTCAAATTTCACATTGACAGGTGACCATCAATTTGGGGGGGGGGTGAGGCGCCAATGGAGTGATGTCACAGAAATTCACGCCAAAAATCTGATAGTGAGCAGACGTCAAACCAATCACTACTTACCGATTTTCTATCTTCGTTGGGTGTTTGCACTGAAACAAGACTTCTGTAAAGGGTTGATTTCTTTTTTTTTTTTATCGCAGTTCACTGTAGTGTGTGGTTTATGGCAGAAGGAGGTGGTCATTGAAAACATTTACCAAGTGCGGCGATAAAGTGCGGTTTGTAGTCCTTTATGTTCAAAATATTATGTGAGGGCTCGCCACCCAATTTGAAGTCAACAAGAAGCTGTATAACGTCAAGTAAGCTGGAGATACAAGTTCCAGGAATTGCGTAAGAGAGGAAGATTGCTCGTCTTTTGTGTGCTGACGGCGAGTTTTCGTCGAATTGACTGGCCACAGCGTTTTCAATATGTCCGCTGCGTTTCAGGTGTTGAACGGACGGTAATAAACACCCGATGTCCCTAAGCAGATGGCTATTAGATCTGGTAGTTGAATGACAACGGTGAACAATGAGCAATCGACCAAGCCAACTTGTTTCTTTCAGTAAATCGCAGCGTCAAATATGACAGAGCAAGGTTGTTTGTCCAAGTGGAAAAGAATTGCCTATTTTTGGGTAATACGAGCGCATCTCGTGCAGAGCAGACCCAATTTTTGAAACGGCGCAAAAAGTCGTTTCATAAAGTTGCCAGTTTATTTTCACTTGCTTTGCCGCTAAATGATCTTCGCACGACAACAAAAGACGCCCGTATCAGCTTTCAATCTAAGCTTGTGCAATCACAGTCCTACCGCATTTGGTCCAGGATCCGTTATCAATGGTAAGCGTCATTACAAGCGCTGTAGCATTTTTCTCAGACTTACTAATTCCTTTCTATAGGTTCATTGGTTCTAGAGTTGGGAAAGCCTGTCAAGGCAAACAATATTAGAGTTGTATTCGATTGCAAAGAAATGGAAAAGTCAAAGTGTCTTGCCACTATATTTTCTGTTGAGACAGCTGTATGGTCCGCCGCAGGTCAGTGTTCTTTTTGGTTCTACGCTCATTACATCGTCCAAGCTGGCTGAACCGATACGTTACAGGAAAGAGCAGCGAAAATGACACACTAGAGAGTGGCAGACATCTCTTCTTGTTTGCTATCAAGCTACCCTCTGTAAACTACCCACCGTCGATAAAGGAGCCGCAGCTCAGCCATAGTATCGTCTATTCACTCCAAGGATTTTTCAACGCCAACGATCTTGCACAAATGTCATCTAATACTGTGCCCATCGTATACTACCCTCTTGTCAATTCTCAAGACCTGTCACCAGCTACACCTAGCAATCAATCTTCCAAGATCGCTACGTTTCACCTTGAAAAGGATAAGCTGCCTATTACCGTCAAGGCTGAAGTGACTAAGCCATCTTATTGTCCAGGTATGTATTGGTGAAGTATCCATTTTAATTTAAGCGGGATTGTTGACATTTTATTTTTCCAAGGTGATGTTTGTGTTGTAAGAACGACTATCTGCAATCCCACCGACATAAAAATTAGTCACGTTCAGATTTCCTTGGTCGCTAATACAAGGCTCTATCAAGGAAGTTTGACGCCATTCAGCACACACAATTCAGAAGCACCTATTATTGCTGCCAACTCACAACCCAGCAAAAATGTCACTCAAACATTGTCCTCGGAGAATGTTTACATCAATATGCCAAGGAAGGGCCATGAAGCTCATAATGTATTCCGTGTCAATATCCCAAAAGATTGTCCGCCATCAACTGGGTGCAACATCTCGCGAGTAGTTGAAAGAAATTATGACGTTGTTATCCGACTTCCCATTTCGCTCAATCAGCAAAGCCCTCGGTCATCGGGAAAGTGGTCATTCTCAGGACTTTTATCAGCATCAGCCCAAAAAGACGACAATAATGACCAGAACAAGTCTGTTCAGAGTAAAGAAGCGGTTCTTTCCCTACCTGTCAACGTCACTACAGTTCCAAATTCGCAATCCCTGCCGCCTCAACTCAAAATATCGTTACCTAGCTTTAACGATCAACCAGATCTGCTTCCTGTATTTGTATCGGAACAGGAGTCTCCTCTAGCTAGTCCTATCAGCCCATCACTAGACGACGGTTGGAGTATACCAGGAAGCCCCCTATCGACTAGCGTGGAAGGAATGGATAGTTTCTATAACATAGATGATGTTGCCATGGCACAAAATGCCTCAGGCCACCTTATGGTGCCAACACTAAAAAGCAAGCATAGATCTAGCGTCTCGACTACATCCAGCTCGTCGACAGACCAAGATCACGGTAAGAGGGATATCAGCCGAGAGTCCAGCAACCAGGTTCTGGTCAATTGAGGGGGTTCTCTTAAAAACGAGAACTGGACACCAGACAAGAAGATTTGTGTATATACAACCGTCAGGGGGAGTGTATCGTAACAATGAACGTTTATAGTGAATACTTTTTTGTTTTTCCTAAAAAACCTTGAGAGGTGGAGAAAATGTCATTACCCACCTGGTATCATTAGTACGATTCCATTTTGTATATCTAATACGTATTTTACCATTGTCAATGATAAATGTAATTCTTTAAAAGCTATATGACGGATGGAAGAGTGGGTTTAGAGTACCTCAATTTTTTTGTCGTGTGCCCTTCAAGTTTGCTGGTAACGCGGAGCTTGAAAATTCTCATCAGCAATAAATCCTCTAACGCTAGCAAACTTGAATCGTCCTCTTCCCCTTCAAAGGTAATATATCGAACCATCCATCCATCCATACATCCATCCTAGTCGAATCAAACCGCCACACACACTACCGACACCATCGCATTCACAAACGCAACGATATCTGGAAAATTTGTAGCTTTTTCATAATCCACATTCACTGACTCGAGATTTCAACTATTTTCATTAGCGAACATGGCTGCTCTCAATTTGCCCGCTGACGTTATCGCCAGCGCCGATGGCTCTCGCAAGCTCTTCAACAAGTGGTCCTACGAGGACGTTGAGGTCAAGGACATTTCGCTCCAGGACTACATCCAGGTCCGCCAGCACATCTTTGTTCCTCACACTGCTGGTCGTTTCGCTTCCAAGCGTTTCCGCAAGGCTCAGGTAAATTAAGCGGGGGGAAAAGAGATCTGCCAGGTTTACTTTCAGCCACTAATGCTTCTCTAATCCAACAGTGCCCTGTCGTTGAGCGTCTCACCAACTCTCTTATGATGCACGGCCGTAACAACGGAAAGAAGCTCATGGCTGCTCGCATTGTCCAGCACGCTTTCGAGATCATCAACCTTCTCACTGACCAGAACCCCGTTCAGGTTCTTGTTGATGCCATCATCAACACCGGTCCCCGTGAAGACTCCACCCGTATTGGTTCCGCCGGTACTGTCCGTCGTCAAGCTGTTGATGTTTCTCCTCTCCGTCGTGTCAACCAGGCCATCTCTTTGTTGACCACCGGTGTAAGCATGATTTCTCGTTTGATTGAACTCGTATTTTCTTGAAATTGCTAAATATTGATTCCTTCTTTTAGACCCGCGAATCTGCTTTCCGCAACGTCAAGACCATTGCTGAGTGCCTTGCTGATGAGCTCATCAACGCCGCCAAGGGATCCTCCAACTCTTATGCCATCAAGAAGAAGGACGAACTTGAGCGTGTTGCCAAGTGTAAGTTTGAATTCAAACATGTCATTGATTTTACAATGAAATTTCACAGCTCACTCTTTTCTTTTCTCTCCTTTAGCCAACCGATAAATGCTTTTTGGTTTATACTACTTTTTACTTGTCCTAACGTGGTGACTTGGGCCATTGAAATGAAATGTGTGTATATACACAGAATAAAACATTGATAAAACCTGGATATCACGGTGTTAAATATATGCGTGTCTACTTTGGTGTGTGTGTGTAGTTTTAAGAAAGCTGTCATTTGCAACGCAACAATTAGTAGATGTACAGCTGAAGTCAAAGTGGTTTCGCAAATGCACCAAGTCAAACATCAATCCGTTGAAACAGGAGAATACTGGCGTTGTGCAAGTACGTAGCATATCCAGAGTCTTTACAGAATAACATACCCGACTCACACTGAACTCCCTCTCATCGATACCACCATATCATTGGCTTACTTTTAAAAAAGTGTTGGGAATTGAAAAATTGTAGTTTATATACAGAATGAAAAAAAAATATTATGGAAACTAATATTGTTTTATTTTGAGTCGAAAGCTAAGCTGCACTGCAACAAGCCAAACCAGAAACAAATTACTGACGAGCAGCAATTTCCTTGGCGGCAAGAGCAGCACGCTTGCCCATCATGGCCTCAGACTTGGGACCACGGAGACCTCCACCCCATTGGCGACGGTGCTCCTCGAACTTCTCGTTGTAGTTGGACTTGATGGCAGAGACAACGGCAGCGAGCTCAGACTTGTCAGCATCCTTGACCTCAGTGAAGGCAAAAGCAGTAGCAGTCTTCTTGTGGACAAGAGTACCGAGACGAGCCTTACCCTTAACAATGCAGTAAGGGACATCCATCTTGCGGCAGAGAGCGGGCAAGTACAAGACGAGTTCAATGGGATCAACGTCATCAGCAATGACAACAAGTTGAGTCTTCTTGGCCTCGATCAAAGCAACGATGTGGTTCAAACCGTACTTGACGACAGTGGGCTTCTCGGTTTCAACCTTCTTACCCTCAGCCTTGGCAGCAGCAGCAGCACGGAGACGCTCCTTCTTTTCAGCGGTGGTCTCGGGTCTGTACTTGGCAGCAAGCTTGAAGAGTTGGGTAGCAGTGTTCTTATCCAAAACCTTGGTGAACTGGTTGATGGAAGGAGGAACCTTGAGGCGCTGGTTCAAGATCTTCTTTTGGCGTTGAAGACGAACATACTCGGGCCACTTGACGAAACGAGAAAGATCACGCTTGGGTTGGATATCTTGACCAACACCGAAGTTGCGGCTACGCTTCTCAATAAGGGGGTTGGAGGGAGCCTTGGTGGCGGTCTTACCCTTGACAGGGTATGGGGCGGGAGCAACCTTCTTGCCAGTGGACTTCTTTGCAGGGGGCTGGTCATTGAGGAAAAGAAACCAATATTAGTTACTCGGAAGCAACTGACATGGATAATTCTCTCCTCTAAAAGCAAGAATTTGTACCTGATGTAGGTACAAAGTTCGAGCTAACAGCACAATAAGCACCAATACTAGGTCATCGACCTTTGTAATGGGCAAGTGATGATAGAGATCTAGCAATACGAGCCAGATGGCATGGATTGAACTAGAGTTTGGAGATGGATGGATGTTCACTTACCATGGCTATGGATGGATGTAGATAAAAAGAGAAGGTCTAAAAATTTTCTTGCGCGGGCAATTTTACACATTTTGCTCAGGTCACGTGAAGTACAATTTTCCAATTTGCTTCTCCTTCAATAGCAGAACCCAGCTACGACCCGTTCGCCAGTGAGACTTTAATTACTTTGATCGGTTATAACATGCCTCTTGCCAGACAGCAGGTGAGTAGGTATTTCATTCAAGGTTTTGCAATGGATGTGTTTTGTAATGTTGATCTGCCATAGGTCACGGAATCGGAAGTGGAAAGTGTCCACAAAGAAGAAATCCCAGAGGGATCTACATATAATATCTGGAGTGGCAAATGGCAAGGCGGCAAGCGAGAACAACATGCAGTAAAGTAGGTTACCTAGTCGCTCTGTTCAAAACCCCTTTCGACTGCAATGACTTATTCTTGCGTTTACCCAGATCGCGACCAAAGTACCGATGCAACATTGAAAGAGATGCTGGAACAACGGCTGGATCAGACAATCCCCAGTCCTACTTTTGTCTTCACTTTGCGCGTGGAATGTGCTCGCAAGGACCTCGGTGCGCCATGTGGCATAGTATCCCCACTGAGTCTGATGAAGTCGAAGCAACCATCGATTGCTTCGGCCGAGACAAGTACCTAGAATACAAAAAGGACATGGGTGGCGTTGGATCGTTCAACTTTGACAATCGAACTTTGTATGTTGGAAGAGTGACAGTATCAGACGACATGGAGGATATTGTTCGACGTCACTTTTCTGAATGGGGCCTCATAGAGTCAGGTAAGGAAAGGGTTTCGTTGCCGTTAGTAAAGCTTTTGCCAAAATTAACCTCAATTACATACACAGTCAAGGTATTGAAACGGAGGGGCGTAGCCTTTGTAACATATCAAATGCGATCGAATGCCGAATTTGCTAAGGAAGCGATGAAATACCAAAGCTTAGATAACAATGAAATGCTGAACATAAGGTGGGTCATACACATTCAATGCTATACGGTATTTTATTGTAGCGTTCTGATGCGTTGGTTGTGTTGCAGATGGGCAAGTGACGATCCTAATCCTACCCCGGCGGTATCGGAAGTTCCAGAGAAGAAGCGAAAAATACAGTCCCAGTACACAGACGATGGCGAGTCAGAGCTGCCAGCAGAATATACGAGTCGAGCGCAGGAGGTGGATGAAGATGGCTTCATGAACATGGAGATGCGAATAAAGCTAGAGAGAGCTGCTGAAGCAGAAAAGTTAAATAGAAGCTTGCAAGAGCAGGCCGCCGCTCTCAATTACTGGAATTACTACCAACAGGGACAGCCTGTGACCACTGAGCCAGAGGCCGCACAAGTCCAAGAGACAGAAAAGAAAGATTCCATCATTTCATCACAGGCATTAGAGACCCTCAAGCAATTACAACAAAAGAATGCAGGTGCTGCAAAGAAGCAAGGTGGTGGTTTACAAGCGCTCGCAACGTATGGTTCAGATAGTGAAGACGATGATTGATTTCATACGTTTTATTTTTTATACTTTGACACGCTTGCTTTCTTTTTATAAACAATTGGACAAATTAATGTTGCTGCACAACCGATAGTGATTGCGTTGATGCTTGTACTAAGGCTGTATGAGGTATTCACGCATTAATTCGAGATATAAGTCGTTACTTGCCTTCCAGATAGTCAAACATGTCGGAACAGTGAGTTGCTTGACCATTCGCACAAGTTTATGGCATTGTCTGTTGTTACTTATTTATGCTTCATAGCCAGCACGTAAATTTCAAAAAGTTGAAAAGAATGTTCCGTAGTACATTCAACCTAGCCCTGATCATTTTCGCTTCAGCATCGATAGGGGCTTACCTTTTGTTAAATAACCTCCTTCCATAGCTACGAATGTCTGTCTGATATAGTACATTTCGCATCACAGCGATTCGTATACACTAGGTTTTAACGTCAAAGACTCTGCCTTTTGGATCGGTGCCCCATAATATCATTTTATCGAGTACATACTTTTATACAAATATAGCAGAGCCTGTCAAAGGAGGAAACGAAACATTTCAAATACCATGATCGTGATAAAATGAATGGGATATCTAGAAAGGCAAAATACGTGTGAATAGACGATACTAGAAACTGGTATACAAGCGTTCCTGAAGCAAGGTGTAAGCTCAGCGGCACAAAGTACATCACTGACGCGATGAACTCATATGCCGGGCACAACGTATTGGCATCAAGGCAAAAGCAAGATCTTTTGCTACAGAACAAGGATGAAACGATCGTTCTCATCGTTGCTTACACGAAGGGGATGTAGGGGTCTATGAGAAGATGCTTTACCTGGATGACTTTGGGCCGATGGAAGGAATTTTCTGAATAATCTTTTTTTTTTTCTGCGGTTTTCTTTTGACAGTTGAGTTTCGAGAGGAGTTTCTTTTCTGTTGTTTTTAGCTGCGGCAGAAGCATTAATTTTTTTTTTTTTTTTTTAAATGTGCGGGCAAGCGGGGCAGACGCTTAGCGTTGTGTTTGTTCAAATTTATTGGCAGACTGCGTCATCATCCTCACACTTCTTCTTTGCTTTCGCCACTACTGATTCCGTCGCTGAGCCTAATCCGCCAGCCAGCTATACAAGACCATTTGTACTCGGGCATGTCCAATAGCAACGACCAGCCAGAAGAAAGTTCACCTACGCAATTCAACGGTCAAAGGGATTCTGGGCCTGTTTCCTTGGAATTCACCGATTCTGAATTATTTCGGAATGACACCGTCTTTGTGCTCAGTTCTGCTTCCGTCGTCAAGCCAGTAGGAACAGCTCCTGGAGAGATGTGTCCTGTGGCCGACATTAAAAACAATGCCTACTTTGCATTGAATGACAATCATCCCCATTGGCGACGTATGCTATCCAATAGTTATATGCGCACCATGTTTACCAACTCTGCCAAACCTTCTCAAAAGCAAACACGTGTTCTTAGGCTGTTTGACCTTGACCATCGTGGTTGGGCGTCAGTAGAGCATTGCTTACAATATTCGAGATTGGAGCCAATAGACCCTGAATACGCTTCGCGATTTTCTATGGGAGATACCAAGAGTCATGCGCTCAGTCGTGCTGAAGCGTCTGTAGCTAAAAAAGCCGGTCTCAAAGCTATACTGAGCGATGAGCAGGTACGAGATTGGGAAGACCGACGGCCTCAATGTACACTACGATGTCAATGGGCGAAGTATTCGCAAAATGAAGATCTAGCTCAAGTTTTGTTGGCAACTGGCGATGCAAAACTCGTCACAATAGAAGGAAAATCAAGGGTTGAACGAGTGGAAAGAGAGCTTATGATTGTACGAAAGATGTTGCGTGAAGGAAGGGATGGCAGGGCTATTCTAGGATCCACTACAGAAGAAGAGGTCACATTCGACAGTATTTTACATAACATTGACGATGATGAAGAAGACCAGGTAAGTTTCACCCCACTTTTTTATCTCCGGTTCACGCAATCGTTATGAAGACCAGGCTTCTTACCATGACTTTATAAAGAGCTTTTCCGTTTCGTACATGATACCGAAATACTCCAAACCAAAAACTTCAACAAATGGCATGTCTGTCAGTCTGCCACCAACCCCAGTCTCCTCAGCGCCAGTCCCTTCATCTGGTGTCAAAAAAGACACCGAAGGTGCCGCCCAACCTGATGAATCGCGATCACAACCATTGAAGCCTATGAATGTTACAGATGCTATGGCATATATACAAAGTATTCGAGAGCATCGTGATCCTTCAGTCTACGACGAATTCTTGAAAATCATGACGGAATTTAAAAGTCAAAGGTATGTAGATATAATATGTTGCGTTGCATGCATGTTCCGATACTGATGATGTCTTGGTTAGAATAAATACACCGCAAGTTTTGGAGAGAGTCGCTACACTATTTAAAGGTCAACCTTCCATGATTCGTCAGTTCATGCAGTTTCTTCCACCTGGTCATGTTCTGCAAAGTGCTGACGTGGAAAAATCCGACGCCCAGCCTATCTATGTTCTGACGCCAGCAGGATCAAGGATTGTAATAGATCCATCTACAGGAAGAATACAAACGTGAAGCAAGATTCTTGAAGAATGCTAACTTTTTTTATTCTTTTCTTCATTCAACCATGATATCCTACCGCATTAATACGTTTGCTTTCATACTGGAAAGTTTCTTTTGGCATATTCCCTTCTTGATTTGCTTATCTTGACTATAAGCGCTCACTCTACCCTTCATTTTCTTCTACACCTCTTTCTTATATGTTTTCCTTCAAACTTTGAATCGCTGATTCACCATCCATCCTCCGTTTTTCCTTACTTTCATCCAGAGTACAGTGCCTGCCCATAGCTGTTTCTGAATAACGTCACATTTGACATCCCAACCTTTTTGAGATCAATATGCTAGCGTTCAGTTGTAAATATACTACACTCAATGTCAACGATGACGAATCTTTTCTTTTAAAAAAATTTCACATACTGTTTATTGAGTTTAGGACTGGGGGAAGAAATAACTGCTCAGCTTCGCCGCATTCTATGCATACGCTTTCAATTGTTTTGTCTTATATGGTTCCGTTGAGGTATCCCGCCATCAGTCGTACCCAGCCGTAGCATACACCCAGTGCAGTGTATATGCTAATCATCATAAGGGGCAGGAACTCAAGTTTGCCAGTGCCGAAAATGACGGTGTGCAAGACGTCAGTGTAAATTTGTAGCACTACTAAACCAACCAGGTAAAGGCGCTCCAGTGGATGAAGAACAGCACGTAATGGACTGTGAGGAAAGGAACGGTTAAATATATGAGAGCATCCTACATGTACCACACTAGTATCAGCACTTACGTGTGTAATGTCCTAGCCAATGATGGCAAGACAATCAAGAGCCATGTGAGGGTAAATATGGTCTTAATAGGTGTTTCTAGTACGTAGCAAAAATTTAAATTCGACGATGTCTCTCACACACACAATCATGGTCATACGTACCTGCTGAGTGGAAAAGAAGAGGGAACAATGAATATATGCCTGAAGCACTGAGAATGATAAATATTTTCAAATGCGCTTTCGTATTGGCGGCCATGAGACTACACGGAAAAGAGTAAGTTAATAAATGACATGAGCTTCGTTCAGGATAGAATGGCAATGCATTACCTGTACGGAATCAATATGAGCAATATGGCCTTTTCGTGCACATGCCATCCAAAGAGGAATGACGCAAATCCACAGAGTACCAGTGAGGTCAAAAAGTTGTTAAACGTGGGCTTTCTCCAAAGGAGTTGAAGAGGTATCTAACAGAAGGAAATTAGAACCAATGGATCTAACATTCGACTTTGTACGGGGAAGAGAGTCTTACAAGTTGCGCAATGACGGTGATAATCAAGGTGTGTATAGCATCGATTTGAGGAAGAACAGCAAACTTTGTATCACCAACGAACCCTCTTGTCATAGATCCCAGCGCATCCTGGTTAAGAGACCATCCAAGTCTCTTTCCAATAATAATCAGAACGCGATCGGCGCCAGCATAGAGAGCCCAGAAGTTGGGCGCCCAATATGCGTGGCAGAGACCTCTTGTGAATGGGAACAGGCGAGACAGGAGCTGCGGGATCTGTCCCATATACACAAACGGTCCTAATGAGATAGCAAAGACCACTACAACCGTTGCACCCAATTTTATGAAGTTCACCAAAGAAAACCGGCTGACATTCGCATAGGCTTGTCGATCTGCATTTATGTCAAACGAGGATGGATAAGCAACAAACATACCATGTAGTATATATTAATTCCTTTCGTACCTGCATGACCATTTTCAGTTGGAGTAGGTATAGGTTGAAAGCAGTAAGCCTTTAGCAAATAGATAAAGTAAGCTGGTGCCATATACAAGTAGATGTGTTTGAAGTTCAGCAGGGCGGCGAACAAGAAGCCTGAGAGTAAATATCGGCGCTTATAGGAGAAACAAAGTCAGCTACTTTGAGTGACATTGGCAAAATCAGTTCCTGCCTACATTGACTAGTCATACCTTCTTCATTTCAACGATAGAATGCAGCAATATGCCATACAAGAACCCATTATACTGGAAATGGAGATGTTCAGTGAAGTCAAGGAAATGATCGGCAACGGGTGTACAAGCATGTCAATGTGAATAGTAAAAAATCAGACAAAACGGTCAAAGGATATGATCCACAATGAGAAACCCGGGGTGGAGAAAAATGGAGCCAGCGATGACCCAGTTGACGTACTTGGAACCGAAGGATCGTCGATATCTGCAATCAGAATGACAGTTCAGCCAGCTGTCAGAATGAGCGCTGCATGAACTCGGAGTGGTTTGAGGACAGTGTACCTTAGAATAGCCCAGTACAATACGAGTTCACTGACGATGACGGTCAAACGTTGAAACAAGACAGTGTTTTCGCTAGCATAATTCAAATTGTCGACCTGCAACATTTTTCCGTCCGCCAAAGGGGCAAAGGTGGCGAGCAACCGCTCAAACCAAGCGAAAAATGGCGGGTAGTCCAGAGTCCATTCTGATGTTTTCTGCAATTTTTAAATTTAATCCAGTGCTCATCATAACTAGAATTGAATAAATCGAACGCACCTCATAATACCACTCTGATATCGGCAAACTGTACGTTATAGCCAGCCAGTTGCGATGAACTTCAAAGTCGGTCGATCTGCTGTCGGATGGTTTAGGTAAAGGCACTGAAAGCAAGGTATGATAGTTCTTGATAGACTCTTACTACGCGCCAACTAATAGGAGCTTGAGGATGGAGCTCACCACCAGTACATTGAGCATCTTCACAATAAGCCGCGTGCCTTGACGACCTGTGGCAACTTGCACGTTTGGTGCTTAGCGGAGACCCAATCCCAATTTTTTCAGACAATTTTTTTTTTTTTTGAGGACTTCACCTGCCATTCTTGCTATTGATCGATCGGCTCCATGAATAACACAAAGCTTCTTTCGGCCGGCAGTAGGATATATGCTAAGAAGAGAAAGCAGAAGCAAGAAACGGTAGATCGAATCGACTTCGATTTCGATGCCAGACAGTGAGTGACAGCTTTGGGGGTAATGTAAACTGGGATCGCAACCGATCAGGGTGGTAATGACTTTTTTTTTTTTTTACAGGGAATTCTTGACAGGATTTCACAAACGTAAACTAGACAGAAAGAAGAAGGCTCGAGAAATTGCCATCGAGCGAGAACGAGTGGACCGGCTTCAGGCCAGAGCAGAAGCTAGAGAAGAAAGACAGCGATTAGCAGACAACAATATGACCCAAATGGCCGCGCTGTTGAGACGTAAGTAGACGTCAATTCCGTAATTTTAGCCTTCCAAACCTGGTATTGAAGTACATTTTTCTATTGTATAGAGCAACATAAGTTGGAAGACGGAGATGGCGAGGCTGACGAAGAAGATGGTGATGATGTGAAATTTGATTCTGACGAAGAAGTGGAAGCAACTGAACCAGCAGCCAAGCTTGAGCCTGCAGTAAAGGAGTTTGCCACATCAACATCGCTCACCACTGTCACCGTCATTCAAGATCTGGAACTAGACGACTCATACCAGTCATCAACGAGTAATAAACGAAAAGCTGAGGAAGATGTTGCAGATGAGGATGGTGAGGAGATCAAAACGATACCTTCAAAGGTGAGAATAGATAGCATGCTAGAAATCAGCCCTTGCAAAAGCTAATATCTTGAAAAACACATCAGACCAAAGAGAAGCCCACTAAAAAAGTCATGACCAAGACTCCAAAGTAAGTATGATTCCATCAAATCAACCATCTTGTTCAATGCTGACCATGGTATGAAATTAGAAAAAAATTCAGATACGAGACTAAAGCAATACGAAACACCAATCAAAGTAAAGCGAAGAACGCAAAGTTTAAGCGAAAGGAGGACTTCAAGAAGGGAGGTGACGCTAAGAGGGGAGGCGACGCAAAGAGGGGAGGCAAAGGAAAGAGAAGGTGAAAAACGTCGAGACAGCCTGCGCAATGTCATGTCGTGTAAATTACGCTGCTTTAAAGCAGCCCTTGTGTTGATAAACAGCTCTTCGAACTGAGCAATGACATTGTCCTTCATTTCAAATTGTTAAACAGCATAATAAAAAGTGACGTTTGGCATCAAAGTAGCACACCAAACTTTAGACATATTTTCATGCCTTTTTTTTTTTGCCTTTGAGGTTGCCAAATTTGTTTGTGCTTAAATTAAAGAGCAGCGCACTTCAGTAACAGTGTCTTCAGCAAACTTCACAATGGAAAACATCACAGGCCAACTTACCGAGATTTTCTCATCCCTTCCCGAGGGTAACCTCCCCAGATGGCTTCTGTTCACATCTGCCTTGGGCATCTTCAACAGTGTTCAAAACTACTTCACTTCCAAGCTCACCAAACAAGTTTATGCTAATAAGGCAAACGAAGGTGAGCTGACAGGTGCCACGCGTTTACTTGAATGAATATTAACTCAATGCTCATCTAGTAACTCCATTGGCTGGTCGTTTGTTTGCCACATGGACTTGGTCCGTCAGTATGATCCGCATCTACGCTGCATTCCATCTTAACAACAAGATTATGTACGACCTCGGCATCTGGTCCTACACCATTGCTTTAACTCACTTTGTTAGTGAGTTGTTCATTTTTGGAGGATGCAAGATTAACGTTCCTTTCATGTCACCTATGATTGTTGCTGGTAAGTGCTTTACTGTCAAGAATAATCAATTGATCGCTCGTACAATACTGACATTTCCCTGCATGACAGTTACATCTCTTACTTGGATGATATCCCATTACGACAAGTATGTTACCAACTAGTTAATTAATAAAGTATACAGTATGAAGTCGGAAAAAGGTTTCGTAGCTCTTGATTCGATGTACAATAAAAGGTAGTTGTAATTTGGTATCAAGGCAGGCGGTCTTTAACGCAGCCAATGTAAAATAATGGTATGTATCCGCCTATGTAAGATAGGATGTGCATGAGAGGGTTTATATGTTAGATAAATATTACGATATAGCTTGCGGGCCAAGAGTGCCTGACTTCAGTTCGGATGGTGGGGTCTCGAAATTTTGTAAAGGGACAGAAAATTGGTTGGGCAGTGGAGCGGAGTTTGCAGCCAGGATTCGATTATAGCCACTGTGCTTCTGCGACATCTTTGAAGCCTTCTCTGACATTATTCCAAATGGTGCGTATCAACCCATGGCTAAAAGTAACGATGAACGATGCAAAGCGAATGATGCGTACGATAATCGATGGATGGATTGATAGACACAATGACTTTTCACAATACCCCAATCCGATTGACTTCAGCATTCGACATTCTATTATGAACGTAAACATTTTTCAAAACTGAACATTCCAGCCAGCCACATGAATGTCCTCCCAAGGAAGCGACAGCCGACTTTGCATCGTTCATCACGAATGCAAACTCGTCTTCATTACGAATACCTTGACTAATCTTCTTCCATTCCCGAATGCAGGTCGCCGTTAAAGCCCACGAACTTCGCAACAAGAACAAGGCTGAGCTCACCAAGCAGCTCGATGACCTCAAGCAGGAGCTTGCCTCCCTCCGTGTCCAAAAGATCACTGGAGGAGCTAGACTCCAAAAGATGTAAGACTTTTTTTTTCAATTGAGTGATTTTTGAAGTGTAGATCTAACCAATCGGCTCATTGTATATTAATCTATTCCTTAACAGTGGTGCTACCCGCAAGGCCGTCGCTCGCGTCTTGACCGTCATCAACCAGACCCAGCGTGAACAGCTTCGTTTGTTCTACAAGTCCAAGAAGTACACCCCCTTGGATCTCCGTACCAAGAAGACCCGCGCCATCCGTCGTCGTTTGACCAAGGTTGAGGCCAACAAGAAGACCGTCAAGCAACAAAAGAAGCTTGCTCACTTCCCTCAGCGCAAGTTTGCTGTCAAGGCTTAAACGATCCGACTTTTGTATGAACAATAAAAAAATTCATTCTTTCTTAAATATTAAAAAAGGATTATTCTAATGACAAATACAAGTTTGGCCTATGATGAAAGTAGGCGAATGACAAAGGGGTACTAGTACATGCTGTATGATGAGGAGCAATAAGATAGGAGTACATGGTATATACATATGGCATGACAGAATGTGCCAAATGGAGTTGTGAAATGCTGGTTCAAAACACCCTTTGAGAAGAGTATGCGCTGGATGAGGTAGGAGGACATGGTGCCGACGATGATCGCACTTGCATGTTTTCGAAAAGACCAGTCTTGGCCGTTTTCTTTGGCTTTTGACGATGAGGACGCCATGGCTTAATATACAAAATTCATTGAAGAAGGTCAGAAAGTGCTTCTTATATACCGGCCACTATAACATATAAGAATACGTACCACACCACTGCGATCAGCATCTTCATCAGAATCGCTGGCATCCTTTTCATATTCATCGCCACTATCCAAATAATCCAGCGGTAATCGTCGTCTGGACATTCGCTGTCTGGTTACCGAAGGAGCCGGCACATGGCCGTCGAGTCGCTTAGTAGCAGTGACTTCGCGCTTGGTAGCCAAAGGTCTTGGGCGAATGAAATTTCTTTTTTGCCTTGGCTTTGAAGATGTTCGTGGACGCCAGCTCTGTCAAAATCAAAATAACAACAATAATGGATGAGCTATCATCATCACTTTACCCCGACGAAACTGATAGCTGCACGCTCACCAATCCAGAAGTGAAATCATCCGATCCGCTGTCATTGTCTTCAGAATCCGTTCCGTATTCAACGTCTTTCATCTCTTCCATTAAAACAATGGCATTTCTTTTGACAAAATCGTCGTTTGGCGGGGGGTTTGGTTCAAATATATCGTCCTTCCACCCAAATCCGTTCAGTCCGTAAGATTCAATGGCCGGAACATAGCGTACTACTGCTTCTCGCAATTGTCGAGCAAGTTTCATCGGCTGCCATGCAGGCTTTGTTCTTCGCAGATCCGACCTCTCTCGCACCAACGGCTTGGTTTTGGGCATAGATCGACCAGTGATTGCTCTAGCTGGCCGCTCCACAAATGAGATAGTCAACTTGATCATGCCAAATGTCAAAAGCTACATAGAGTCTGCAATTAGTACATGTCGGTCTTTATCTAGAATTGTCGTCTAATGAACTTACCGATATCGAAAAAGTGACCCATACACCACCCAGAATTTTAATTTGAATATCATTTGCTGCGGAGACTAACAGCAAGGGAAACGATACCCGAAGTGCAAACAAGGCGCGTTGTGCGATCTACTCAACAGATTCATGAGATTTGTATCCCAGAGTTATGACCCTATGATGTAGATCTACTCACCTTGTACTGCTTAAAGTTGTGAAGTTGCACTCGGTCATGACCATACCATCTCAGAGTGAGAGGCTCCCAATCCATCCAATATAGAGATGCCAAGGACATCACCATCCAGTACTGCCAATACTCCCATTCCTTGTCCTTAAGAGACTGAAATGGAATAGAGAAGGGTGATTTGCCCTCTGCGACCAAAAAGTTTCTGACGGCAGATGGATTCCATAGCGCTGAAGGATCCCAGGCATATTAGTCAATGGACACCATCTTTCACGTCCCATCATCAACCCAAACTTACCTAAAGAATATATAATCAGAGAGCTCAGGTGCGTTAAATGCCATAAAAGTCCTTTGACTCTTGATAGTACGGTGAACGCAAACGAGGGCTTTTGGGCCAATTTTATAGGTTCTGGATCAGGCATTAAATCCAGCCAGCTGTCGTCCTCTTCATCGTCAGCCTCGCGTTTCATGGCCGGTATATTCTTCTCCTTCAACACTTGTTCTACTTTTGTCGAGCAGTCTTCACATAAAGGATACTGCTCTTCCAGATCCTCCCTTTGCCAATTTGCAACCTGTAAAGAAAGCTTGTAATCGGGATCCTACCATGCGATATATGCGGTCAGTCATCCAAGTTAAAAATAAGGTGCTGATAGATCATGTATTCAACATACTGTTTCGTCCTTCACATAGTGTCTGGATTCATTGTAAATAATTTGCTGCTTTCTGACACAGTCTTCACATAGAATGTTGGACTGAAACCGCTGCGAAAGATCGCGTCTTGGGAGAACTACAAAGGGAATTGCATCAATGCCAAATGTTTAAACGCCTTCCTAATCCTCCGATATGTTACCTGGGCGATTAGACTTGGCGCTGTACATTTCAGGGAATTCATCCACTATGTCGCCATTCTATGTTCAACGAAGCGCAGGTGTTAGCTTTCCAGCGCAGAAGTACTTAAAAACATAGCTAGAAAAGCAACATACCTCGTCTCGAACATTATGGTTCTCACATTTCCTACAATACCAGCGATTGGAAGTCTCTTCTCCTCTTGCCTTCAGGGCGGACTGCTCGTTACAGTACCAACATGTGACTTGGATTGGCGGGTACACAATGTCATAGATCAAGAGGACGACAACGGCACAGAGCGCACCGAGTGAGAATATAATTATAGCCGAAGCAACTTTAGATAAGAGGGCAAAAAAGGCACCTATTCCCATGGTCTTGAGTGAGAAGGGAAATTGGGCCGGTTGGGGGATCGATGAGGAGGGTTCAAGCAAAGTAGCAGAAATTTTTCAGTGACCGAAATGCTTCCCAATGCCGAATATGGATCAAGTAGGGTTTGGGTTGATAGGAAAAAAGTTCGCTAGGCTAGCTCACGGAATACCGGACCTAGTGCTCTTTACAATTCTACATGGACACTGAAGACAACGTTAACGTTTCAAAGCCGGAACAGCGATGGTTACCGCTGGAGTCTAATCCTGAGGTAAGGTGTCATTTCCCTCATTAGAAAAGGTGACCGTGAACCAGCCGCGGAGAATCACCACCGTATGCTCACTTCTTGCTGTTATCACTGCTGTCTAGGTGTGGAATAAGGTAACTCATTTTTGATTTAATATCAAGCGAAAACAACCTCAGATAACTGTATGAATATATTGACAATGGATTGTTAGCTTGTTCACAAACTAGGAGTAGCTGAGGAATGGTCATACACTGATGTCTACGGTAAGGACAGATACTCTATTTCTCGTGGGATCTGTCAGCTAACATAGCGTCACTTCTAGGCCTTGAACCTGATCTTTTGGCCATGGTCCCGCAGCCTGTGCTCGCGGTGTTGCTCCTATTTCCATGCTCCAAAAATTACGAACAGTTCAAAATCGAGGAAGAAGCTCGCCTAACCAAACTTGAGCAGAACATCAGCCCCAAAGTGTACTTTATTAAGCAAACTATTCAAAACGCATGTGGCATGATGGCCTTGCTTCACTCCATCGCTAATAATGAAAAGATAGTGGGTAAGTTGTAACATGACGTACATGGTTCATTGTGACAGGCAAAACGTCCTAACCCATTTTTTCCACCTGGTGCAGGACCTGGCATCCTTCAAAAATTTATTCACAAAACAAAGCACTTATCCCCAGATGAACGCGCAGAGTTTTTAGAAAGCTATACTGAACTCGCTGATGCTCACTCTGAAGGGGCTCAACAGGGACAGACCGAGGTAAAAAAAAGACATTCTAACTTGAAGTAAACACCATGGCATGAAATTGACAAGTTATAATGGGACAGGCTCCAAATCTGGAGGATGACGTTGATCTTCACTTTGTATGCTTTGTTGAATCGGATCATCATATCTACGAATTGGATGGCAGAAAGTCATTTCCTATCAACCATGGCAAATGTGCCAACTTGCTCGAGGTGAGTTGAGTATTTTTTCGCCCGGAGTTGGTGTATACATGGTCTCATACGCGAGGGACCAATCAGATTGCTGGGATAGATGCGTGTATCATACTTGTATTTGATTCCGTTCGTAAACTGACCAGAATATTTTCATTTCTATTCATTCAATTAGGGATCTGCAAAGGTCATTAAGCATTTCATGGAACGAGATCCTGATAATTTGAATTTTACTGTAGTTGCTTTGGCTCCCACCTTGAAATAAAGTAAAAGAAATCTTTGCAACCCAATTTTTTTTTTCTCTTCTCCAAACTCGGACAGTAAACCGAGATTGAGCAAAATTTTATTCTCTTATGGTTTGAGATCAATTGCGCGATTTTTTCATTCATTCCTTTTCCTTCTCTTCCTTATCTTTTTACATGCCTGGAGCCATTCATTGCCATGAGTCGCTACTCCCTAGTCCGTTGGCCACGTCTTGTCACTGCAACACAATAGCCGTTCCTAGCAAATTACTGCAGATCATCCTTGCGCTGGCAAATACTATGCAGGAAACATATGAAGAAGAGATCGACATCCATTGTGTAATACAACACCATGCATCTCTATTGTTCAAAATAGTCATGAACCAGAAACTTCTCGAGTGCTGGAAACTGGACTTGACCCACTTATCCTACAAGGACTTGGAACTTAACGCTATTCAAGCACGAATCCACGTCTACCGTTCTAAACTACCCAACAGACCATTGTCAGTTAAATCAATACGTATCCATCAAGAAATATGTGAAAGCTATTTAGAATTCGGCCATGATGCCCTCACTGTCAAAACGCTCGCTACAGCAAATCCCTCAGACCATGGGAGTTTTAGTCTGACTGTGGAGAGCCTAGACAACGTTACACGGCCCGTGCGACTCATCAGTGAATTCCCAATCAAGACCAACCATTTTCAAGAACGGGCCACCAAACCACAGAACGTGCCACGAGTAGTTGCCAGGCGGCGCCTTTCTTGCTTGTCGCTTTCGGCTATTCACGATGAAGATTCTCCCAACAATCACGAAGACCATTTTCGCACCACCGTGACAGGAAATAAGCAGTTGCAATATACCATCGCCAACCCCGCCGCTGCCTTATCTTCATCACCTCCCTCTGACATAGGGGCCATTGATATTCCCTCGACCAGAATGGTACGACGCAAAAGTACCGTGGAACATTTCGTCGGCAGTTTTGAAGAAAATTTACTGAACAATCGGATGTCCACCACGCCGGCGGCTACCATCCAATTTCACGCCACGATTTGTGCAGTGGCAAGAGGATCGGTCAAGAAAAGAGAAAATTTTCGACCGTCAGGACCTCAGTCGGTTGATTTCGAGGCTCACATGTACGAGTGGGACGGTAAACCGTTGCCGTACGCTGGAACCATCGACCTTGGGTTTATGCATTCTCAATATCGCATTCCTCCAAAAGGTCAGCTTCAAGTGATGATTACGCAAGGTGATCGTGGCATGGTCAAGGCATTTATTGTTTCGTACGATTTACGAGATATGCCAGCCAACCACTCAACGTTTGTCAGACGACAGGAGTATGTAACAACACGGGAGAGTGGAACGAAAACTCTCAAATACGCCATCCATATACCAATTAAAACCTCCAAGCACAGACAGCTTTATCTCCAGGGACCCATTCGCGTCGTGTTCTGCAACTACGCGAACAATGCGGACGACCATGTGGAAGTCAAAATGGAATATCCTAGTGTATCTTGTAAATATTTACCCATAGAAAATGTGACGTCTTCTTCTATCTGATTCAATGGATGGAAGCACGTCGATAGATAATAAATGGAAGTGTACAGTCGGTATCGACCGCCGTAAATCTAAACTATGGGGGACAATTTTTGATGGGTCCATACACGTGAATTAAAGCCAACCCAACGGAGTGAGGATTTGCCCAAAAAATTGGGAAAAAAAAGCCCAAGGCTATTTTTCTCACTTTCTACATCTCGGGAACCTTTCGATAATGAAGATCACTGTCAAGTCACGTAACCCAAAGTCATCAAAGTTTCCTCTGACTCTTGAGCTTCCTGGCGATGCTTCAACTGTCAAGTTGGAAGATCTCGCCAAGGCTCTACAAGCAAAGTTACCCAAGTACTACCCTGATCGCCAACGATTGACAACCGAAGATAAAAAGGCTCTAAATCTCGACCAAACTTTGGCTCAACAGGGTCTCTCTGACGGCTCTGTTGTCCTGTTCAAGGACCTTGGTCCTCAAATTGGATGGCGTACCGTGTTTTTGATCGAATACGGTGGCCCTCTCCTTGCCAATCCTATCTTTTACTATCTTCCCAAACTCGTGTATGGAGCGGAATTTACTCACTCACCTATGCAGAAGGCTGTTTACGCTATGGTCATGCTCCATTTCCTCAAGCGTGAATTGGAAACTATCTTTGTTCACCGTTTCTCACACGGTACTATGCCGTTTAGAAATGTCTTCAAGAATTCCGCTCACTATTGGTTCCTGTCAGGCTTTAACCTTGCTTACTGGATCTATGGTCCCTGGTTTGCTGCTGGTAAAGCTGCTGCTGTCCGAAGTGATGTTTGGTTGTATGGATCTATTGCTGTTTGGGCTGTAAGTAGATCACACCGCTGTTTGAGCAACATGAATGTTGACGTTTCTTTTTACTGATGAACCTTTTCTTTTTTTCATTGTCTTGCACAGTGGGCTGAAATTTCAAACTTGTTGAACCACATCACTTTGCGCAACCTTCGCCCTGCTGGCACCCGCACGCGTGCCATTCCCTATGGCTATGGATTTGACCTTGTCTCTTGCCCCAACTACTTTTTCGAAACCATTGCATGGCTTTCTGTTTGCTTCTTGAGCACTAGCTGGAGCGGTAAGTGTTTTCTGTGGCTGTAGACGAAACAATAGAAGCAAAAGCCCATTTGTACACCATTTATTTTGTCCGTGTTGTAACTAATCACACCCAATGCCCTTTTCTAGCTTTCCTTTTCACCTTTGTTGCTGCTGCTCAGGTACGTTATAATCAGACCACACTGAAAGCATGATGTAAACCGAGACTAATTTCAACTTCAATTCTTGAACAGATGTACGTTTGGGCCATCAAGAAGCACAAGGCTTACAGAAGAGAGTTCCCGCAATACCCAAAAAACAGACGTGCCATGTTCCCATTCCTTGCTTAGACGCTTTAACCCATATTTTTGAAATACACGCTCATGTGCAACTGAGTAAATGAATTAGATAAAAAATAACTTGTATTTTTCTGTTCTGTAAAAATGTTTGTTATGACGAGATGGAGGGTTTTGCTTTTGTAGAAATGGGAAGGGAAAATGATAATAACATCAAGCAGATAACAAGAAAAGAAAAGAAACGTAAGCGAAAGGGAGATTGAAAGGAAAAAAGATATGTGCGATGGTTTCACGATAAAAACTACCAAAGCGGGCCCCAATCCCGATTGTCAGGTCGAGTGGACCACACGCCTTGAGTTGGGACATTTGAGTTATTCATTTGGCTATTGTAACTACCTTGGACGGGCCTCTGGTCTTGAAACTGCATGTCTTGACCAGGGTTTGGGTTGTAAAGCTGCCCGTTGCTCTGCCCTGGAGATGGTCTTGCAGGTCTTATACGCATGTTATCGACATAAGGAGATGGGGTGAAATCCTGCAAGCCCCATGGCTCTGCCGAGGTATTGGTATTGGGATTCCACACCCTCGATAAAGGTTGGGATGGATGTTGTTGTGAGCTGGGACCTGCGGCTGACATGGAAGGAGGGATGGAAGTGGAATTGGCTGTTTGTGGTCGTTGAGGTTTCCAATAATTTGCAAAGTTGGGATTGTTGGGTTGAACCAAATTTGCATTATATGGGTCGTAAAGTGGTGTGTTTGAGTAAGGAGTTGTTGGATAGCCAAAAGGGCTGTTGTTGCGTGAGTTGTTATATGCGGGTGATGGTTGCTGTGAGGCATAAGGTGACGGCTGGTACGGTGATGGTTGACTTGGTAAAAAGGGTTGTGCTTGCGCTGTAAACCGATTATCCATTCGAGGATATGAATTCGTAGCGTCTGTCGTGGTCTCCTTATCTCTGGGTGGCGGCCGTTTGGAATTCGTTTGAGTACGTGGTGCGAACTGCTTGCCTCTGTTGCTAAGATTTCGGGACATTCCAGCCGTAGGTTCTTCTGGTGATTCATCCGGTGTCGATGTCCCTGAGCCTTTTTTCTCTACAGCCGCTTTAATGGCAGGGCTGCCTGTACTCGAGCTCGGCTGGCTGGCTGCTTCCACCTCGGAGCCTTCACCACTGTTGGACTCAAAATCTTGAAAAATCCTTGCCCGAGCCTCTTCGTAGGCTACCTTTCGCTCTTCTAGCGTCATCTGCTTACGATCCAATGCACTTTTGCTGTCGGAAGACAGATTGCTATCGGACGGAGAAACATCCCCTTTACGATGGCCACGGCCTGACGATAGTCGTCGCATGATTTGAAACTTTGGTGCAGTGGTGATAGGTTCCTCTTCTTTTTCAATCAGATCCGAAAATCGAACTACAGGGCTATTGGATAAAAAGTGAGTAGGCATCCGACAACAAAGGGTGAAAAATATATATCCTTACATTTCGGTGCTGACATTCTTGCAAAGATATATTGAACGTCTGACAGGGTCAAACAAATGAGTCAACTTGAAGTAGGTTGCAACTCTATGTACAATCAATCGCTGGTATGAGTTCATTTGAGGGAAGTCAAGTCTAACTCGTCTAGATTGAAGTATAGGTCAGCGAATGAATAGAGTCATAAAAAATGTGGTACACCAACTTACTGAGGATTGTTTATGAAGTTCTCAAATTCAAGGTCCAGTTTCAGTAAGAAGATTCGGTCCTGGGGTTTTCGAAGAGCAGCAAGAATAACAGCATCCAGGGCAGGATTGACCATTTCTACGCCAGACTGCTGTTCATTGGTATCTTGATTATCGGTTTCAGAAGTCGACGGAGACGATCCTTTATCTTCTACCGATGGTTTGTCCCCTTCAATAGTAAGTTGGGCCATTTGCGCGACAGCTTCTTCGTCATTGGATGGCGAAGGAAAAGCTGACATTTGCTTGTTGTTGATTTGGAAATGGAGTGTAAAAAGTTTTCAATTGAACTGGGAAAAGGTAATCCAAAGAGAAGAAATAAAATGTAATAAGAGCAAATTGATAGTGTATGTGTAGAAGGAATGATTTGCAAACTTGTAAAACAAAAGGTCTCCAATCTATATCATAATCTTTGAAGATTTATCATTCACGTTACAGTTAGGAATGGAGCTATAGAGAATCGAGCGTAGTGGAAGCTCTCAAGTGTAATCAAAGGTCCTTTCTCCGCGTTCGTCTCTGCTGTCAAAAGGAATTTAGAGTGAAAAGACCTTGTTGAAAATCCAGCGAAAATATAAAAAAAGTGCGGGAGTAATCTGAAATTTTTCGCTTGTATAAATAAAGACTGAAGGAAGGGAAAATCGCAACGCTGGCGACAACAAAAAAAAAAATTGAGTTTACAGTAACAGGTACGAGCCGAACAAAGGTCTTATAAGGCCGTTGGTTGACTTGGCATCCATGATTGAATCGTTCATGAAAAACTCTTAGCTTCATGCTGCCAACAGCCTTTTGCAAGTTCTCCACTCTAGTCGGTACTTTTTTAGCCAGGACTGTATCACGTCAGTATTTACCAGTCTTACACTTGTTCGCTGAAATAATGCAATGTTTTTTTGGAACAGAAGGCATACTGCGTTATCCGTGTTGAAAATTCTAAAATCTCGTTGAGGATGGACCTGTTGCTACGGAGTCTTAGCAAAGCTGGGCAAGTAAACAACGTTTGCTGCGCACCGTCATATGCAGGCACCCACGCTTTTCATTAATTACTCTAAGCCTTTCCTGCCAAAATGAAATCCTCGGTGAACAAAACATATACTGAATGAACAATCAATACAAATTCTCACATACAACAGACAGTAGCTATCCTTTACTCTATGTTACTTTCAGGTATACTAGGGTGTTTCATCTTCTATCACGCTGCCATTTCACCTCACATGATATAACTTGGTCATTCTTATGGCAGAACTCTTTCAATATGCGTTGGCAATACCTGTATGGCAGGTTAGCCACCTCATCCGTAACATCTGACAGTTATGCCTCTTTACTTTCTTGGATGTGATCGCCTGACGGACTTGGCCACTGACAAATCAGAGCTCGAAAATAAACATTTGCGGTGTCATTGTTTCGGGGACTCTCAGCCGAACTTCCTGGAAACCGAGTCTCTCTTAAGTTTTCCCGGTATACTGTTGTCATCAGACAAATAATGATAGATATCTTCTTTGAAGGAGATACTAGGTTTTCGGTCGACTGTACAAATACAGCAGGCATTCTCGGTCGTTCAATAAGGAAATTAAAAAAAGATAGGCGAGTGGAATGGATGGCGAGTTATCACGTGACGGAGTCACGAACGGACCATCCAATCGTGGCAAAGGAGCTACAACATGGTGCCTGGGGGGTTTTTTTGGGTTCACAGGACGTTTCTTTTTTCTCTCTGTGCTTCTTTCTTTCTCTGCTCTCCATCGTCTTTGTTTCCCTGTGGGATTCCAACTCTCACCCCAACACTCTGCTCCTTCGCTCAGCTCAGGCCTGCTCGGCATAGAGCGACGTTGTAGTTGGCATGGCCTTTCAACGTCCTAATCCTCTCCTCATTCCTGAACTTGCTCGTATGCTGTGCGACTTTGTTGATCAGAGCGATCTGTTAAATCTTGCTTTGACCTGCAAGTTTCTGTTTTACCCAGCATGCGAGCGCTTGTGGAAAAGGCTCAATCCCCGCTCGTTAGTAGCGTTACGAAAAATCAAGAACACATTAGACGGCAAATATAAGCGTCCTTTTACTATCAATTACAGTGCCTTTGTATGGGAGTTCTTATGGACTGCAAGCAATGATCAGAGAGCTGCCCGCTTTGAGCGCGATTTCTTCCATATCTTTCGATTTCCGTTTCTGCAGAGACTGGAATTTTCATTTGCTGCAGCTCAAGATGCCACTGTCGTGAATATCATGGCTAACACTCGACACTTGCAACACGTTGATTTTTCTCACTGCTATTGCCTGACCACCGATGCCATCCGACCCCTTTTAACTATGCCTCCAGGTCAACTCAAGACCCTCATTCTCTATGGCTGCGGCCAAATAGACAGACGTGCTCTAGTTTACCTCATTCATCGGCATGCCTCCAGTCTCACCTACATTGGATTGACTGACATCAATGACCACATTATGTTTGCCATCCAAAAATGCCCTCAACTGCAAGCGTTAGGCTTAGAACATTGCTCTGATACAGACTTGACCGAAGATGCCATTACACAATTTTGTAATATCATGAAAGCCAAGAATATGCGTCTCCAACAACTCCGAGTTCGCGATATTCAAAGCCTCACCACAGAGCATGTATGCGATCTAGCTCGTACATGTGCTGATACACTCCGCCATTTGGATATGAGTGAATGCGTTAGGGTCTCTCAAACTGCATTTTTAGATCTCTCCACGTACTGTACTCGCATAGAGACTTTCTCCATTGGTTATCAAGCTGAAGTCACAAACTGTGCCATCTCGGTAAGTTTTGTTTCTTTTTGGGGGGTTCTTCTAAACATCCGCTGACATTTGCTCATTTGTTGACACTTTCCTTGCTTAGAAACTGTTACAAAACTGTATGTCCTTAAAGAATCTTGATGTCGCAGGATGTTTTAAACTGTCCAGTGAAGCCTTTCAACCCATTTTGGACGACGAGTTGACCTTTGTACCTTCCTTGGAAACCCTCAATATAACTAATCTGGAAACAGAAATTTCGTCTTCAACCGTGATCAATTTGTTGAATCGTCTTAGAGCCATACGAGAGATTACCCTTGGAGTTGCTTACGACCTGTCAGAAGCTAACAAGATTGTTCATCATGTTAATGCTGTCAGACGGTTTATCGTTAATGATGATGTTGATGATGGCTACCATGACCTAGCAGACGACCTATTCTTTGTCGATGTTGAGCAATGCCACACCATACGCAAGCTCTTGCATGAATGACACTCCCCATATATACACCCCTCTCTCATACTCGCACACACAAACTCACATACACACACAACCCACCATTTACTCCTCCTACATGTATACACACGCTTCCCAGACCAACTCACGTCATTCATGAGCAACTTCTTACACCCAAATAACATGTCATATCCCAGATGACATTGTGAAGCTTTATGCACAATGTTCAAAGTAATTTATATCTGCAAGTATTCGCCCCCAATTGCTGGGCGAGATTCCTCTTTTTTATAACCACTCCATCTCTCACTACCAGTGATAAACATCAACTTCTCATTGTAAATGATCTTTCTAGTGCCTTTTTTTTTTTTTTCTAATTTCAACAAAAGAAAAAACTTCATCATCAAGAAATAAAATAACAATTCGGTTTGAACTACAGTAACAGAACGTTTTCATCACCTCGATCGTTTTGCCCCAAGATATCGATGGTAATAAAATGACAAAGATTTGCTTAATATGGCGACGTGAGTATCATGTGGAAGATCAGCAAGACGCAGGTAATGTGGTTTTTTTTTTATTTATTCAGGTCGTTATTGTAAGGGTTCCGCAAATGGTATCAGGCTTGCAACGGCAACGATCTACAGCCACTGCCAACTATTTTATTACTCTTTGTTTTATTGCGGGATGTCCTACATCGCACACAACCGGACTTCAACCAACCAGCCCAGCCTTATCTGAACATCTCAGTCAAGGATATTCCCTTGTACCCATCCAAACAAAGATCAGAAAAGACATAAATAAAATACGCCGGCCAGCCAGTTGGCATTTCATTTCTTTAGAGTGGTGCTTCATGAGAAAGATTGGAAATGGCAGATGACAAACAACAAGGTCAGCCGACCTTTTTATTTTTTATTTTTGCTTACTTTTGAACATGCTGAGAGGAAAGGAAAAAGGCCATTCATATGGAAGTGCGTAATGATATATAGGACGGCCATCTGAAGCGACGAACGATTTTATATACTATAGCATATATGCTAACCTCGATCGCCCAAGACAACACATATCCGATGGCTATGGGAAGATATGCTGCACATGACAGGTTTAACAGATAATAAACAGAAAATCATTACGTGCATGCAATTAACATGAATTGCATGAGCCCTCATCGGTTGGATAGTTTTCCATGTTTATTTTCGTTCTTTCAAAACAATGAATACATGCCCTTTCATTATAAGTTAACAATTTTCGACCTGGCGACAATAAGTGGGGAGTTAATTTAACGGGGAACTACTAGCGAGACGTGTGTGAGATAAATTTGCCATACCTGTATTCTACAATGTTGTCGTGATCGAGAATGACAAGATCTCGCTTGGTGAGAGGTTTCTTTGTCAGTGGACAAATGTTTCTCTTACCCTCCCAGTTCGTTAGGCATCGCACCCAGCTATCGTATCTATAAAGCGAAGGGAGTTTAACACAAGTAATTTCTGTGAACTCCACGATGTTAGCCTTAGATTGGTACATACCCCATTACATGTCCATATTTTGAAATGGCAGGTTTGACTACTTCGTCCAAAGTAATAGGATCAACAAATCCAGGCAATGGATTGCTGGCATCCGGGGCATCAGAGTCGTATTCTTCTTCGTCTTGATCCATATCACCACTGCCTTCCGATCCAGCATCGGCTGTAGTACGAGTCGATGCTCGAGTCCTGGTGCGTTTGGTTGTCCCCCAGTTACTCATAGTAAATGTACCAGAGTTGTCATTGTAATCTTCGAAATCATCAGACTCATCGTCGTCACTATCCCATCGATTGCCTCTACGCTTTCTCTTTTTAGACTTTTTATCGTTGGTCGCCGGTGCAGCCTTTGCCCGCGTGGAACGTGGTCGTGGAGACTCGGACGCAGACGCATTCCCACCACCACCATGTTTGCTGTGAGTGCGGAAAGTCTTTTCAACTTGACCGTTCGAGTTCTTCTTGTCGAAGAGATAATGAGCCTTGCCCTTCTCATCCAAGACATAATTGGGATCAATGATTTGCTTAGTCTCCACAAGGAGCCGATAAAAGTTTGAGCACTTTTCGTGAGGGAAGAAAAAAGTCAGTTGAGAATTATGTGGCGGTTGAATTGTAAGGCAAAGCTGGCATTACCTGATAACCAACACGGCCAGGGACAGACATGGAAAAGATTCCCCATTGACCGTTTGCTCCAACCTCTTCTAAACGTTTGTAGAAAACCTTTTTCTCCTCTTCGGTCCATTGTCCCTTTCTCTGTTCTTCGTTGGGAGCATTGAATCGGTAATAATAGCTGTTGGGGTTTTGGTCAATCATTTGGTAGGCTCGAATACGGGCTTGTGACCATCCCTCAAACGCCTTTTCGAGATCAAGGTTGTTCTCTCTGACTTGCTTAAGCGCATCATCCAAAGCCAGTCTGCCTCCCATACGATATTGTCTATACAGGAATGGTGTTAATATGGGGGAATGGTAGGTAGTCGGTTAGTGATTTGTACTTACTTCTTGGCCTGATCAGTACTAGTCTTCTTCAAAGTCTCAGAACGTTTTTTAAGCAATTGCTGGTATGCTGCTTTTTGCTCATCGTCCATAACATTGCCTAGTGTAATTGAATTGAAATGAATATTTAAAAAGGAAGTAGCGTGGTGACCTGCGGTGTGCACTCTTACCCTGTGTTTCAACTTCTTGTGCATACTTGGAAGCAATGACTCTGCGTATGCCAGTCAAGTAGTCTTGGCGTGTGAGACGGAACATAGCCTCATCCTGTTGCCAGTAAAAAGTTAACAGATCAATTATAGCCATCCACGCATGATTCAGCTTCATACCTCATCATTGCCACAATCGAGCAACATCTCATCTATTTCTTCGTCGCAGACATAATCAAACATGGTACGGATCTTTGAAGACTTTCTCATCTTCTCTCTACGCTCGTACTGTGCAAATCGCTGTTGTTGGAAAGCCACACGCTTTTGGATGACTTCCATATCCGATTCCGTAACTTCTTCACTGAAAACGCTTTCTTTGCGAATTTTTTCAATGTTATCACTATCGAAGAGAATGGTAAGTTGGTGGTGATGAGGGGTGTAGGAAGAATGGGTGGGCACTGACCTATCGTCTAAGCTTAAGGTGAAGTCTTCCACAAACTCTTCGTCGGCTTCCTTAGTTACCGGCTTTCCAGCGCGCAGATTGGTCTGGTAAGTGATATTATTAGTAATGCATGCATCATGGATGAAGCGTTGGTAAACCGCTTCGACTTACAAGAAAGATGCCGATTTTAATGCAAGGAGGCATGGGAGTGGATCGCCATGTCAATCCTTGACGCTTTTTTGGAGGACGAATGTCTGAATACATTGAGTGCATTAGTGAGATGGAAGACATGGTAGAGACACTAGGACTTCCAGCAACCAACCTTCAGGAAGAAACTTGGATACAAGTTTCTCAGTAGCCTCGACTGAATCCGCCTTCTTTGTCTTGGTGCTCATTAGTTCTACGCGTAGCAAGGAGGAGGCGTTGTAGGAAAATTTTCATGAACGCGACCAAAAATTTATCCCAACTGGATGAATGTACGCGAGTGGCACGTGCATCCGAAATGAACAGAAAGATTGGATGAAAGCTTTTTCACTTTCTCGTTATATTGTCATTTTTTATTGTAAAGAACGAAGAAAAAGATTATGAATGCGTCTAAATGAGGTCAGCAACGTTCATGGGCATCTCCTCAATCTGGGTGTTGTAGAATGATTCAATGTCCTATAAGAGAAAAAAGGTTTTAGTATATGGGAAGTACGAAAAAAACGCGTAACGCTAAAGTTAAACTTACTCTCAACATGCGGACGTCCTCGCTGGTGACAAAGTTGATAGCAACACCCTTACGACCGAAACGACCACCACGACCAATTCTGTGGAGATAGTTTTCACGGTTTGCTGGGAGATCGTAGCTGCAGGACAAACAAAAATTAACATCGACGTGTGGTTAACATAGGTTATTAGGAGGTGAAAATAAAGTCAACTTACTTGATGACAAGGGAAACTTGTTGGACATCAATACCACGAGCCAACAAATCGGTGGTGATCAAAACTCGGGAAGATCCAGAACGGAACTCCTTCATGATGACTTCACGCTGCTCTTGGCTCATGTCACCGTGCATAGCAGAGACGGTGAATTCACGAGCGTGAAGCTTGTCAGTGAGCCAGTCAACCTTTCTGCGGGTGTTGCAGAAAATGACAGCCTGGGTAATAGTAACAGTTTCGTAGAGATCACTGAGGGTGTCGAGCTTCCACTCTTCCTTTTCAACAGCAACGTAGAACTGCTTGATACCTTCAAGGGTAAGTTCGTCACGCTTGACGAGAATACGGACGGGTTCGCGCATGAATTTGGTGGTAACTTCCAAGACATCTGGTGGCATGGTAGCAGACAAGAGAACAACTTGTGTCTCAGTGGGGAGAAGTTGGAAAACATCGTAGATTTGCTCTCTGAAACCGCGAGACAACATTTCATCAGCTTCATCGAGAACGAACATCTTCATGTGGTCGGTCTTGAAGGCACCACGGTTGATCATGTCATAGACACGACCGGGGGTACCAACAACAACGTGGCAGCCGCTACGGAGCTTCTCCATATCCTCACGGACGTTAGTACCACCAACACAGGCGTGGCACTCAGCACCCATGAAGTCACCGAGAGCGAGAACGACCTTCTGGATTTGAAGAGCCAATTCACGGGTGGGGGCAAGGATAAGAGCTTGAGTAGCCTTCAAGGTAACATCAATGCGCTGGAGAATGGAGATGGAGAAGGTGGCAGTCTTTCCGGTACCAGACTGGGCTTGAGCAATGACATCGTGACCCTTGATAACGGGCATAATGGCACGCTGTTGAATGGTGGAAGGGCGTTCGAAACTGAAGTATGATTTTCGATTTGAAAAGTTTAGTACAAAAACAAAAGATATGTAAATACTCCAGTAAAAGGTCCACGTACCCGTAGGCGTAGATACCGCGGAGAAGCTCAGTCTTGAGGTTCATGTTGTCGAAGTTATCAACAACCTCTTCCCAGTTGGACTGCGGTGCAAATAAAAAGTTAATATTTTTTGCTGGAACAAGGTGCAGTTTGCAGTGGAAAAGAGCCAAAATAGAACAGTGTACTGTCTAACACTCATATCCAAAATATGATTTTGATAAGTACCTCAATCTCAGTGTCCAGGACTTCCTTCAATTCTTCGTTGCTGCAACAAACCAAAACAGATGATCAGGTCAGTACCATTGGATAATTTGGTTGGGGGCAGTCAATGATGATGTTGGAATTTCGAGGTTGTTGGCAATTTGTTTCTGAAAGAATGGTTCTAGTAAGCAAGGAGACGCCTACTTACTTGCTCATGTTTGATTGACAATATTAAAAGGAAGGTTTTTGTGTTTGCTTATGGGCCGGATTTTTATCAAAAAAAACTTTCGACTGTACAATCGTATTGTAAATTATACAGTCACAAACACCCAAGTTTGGTAGATGCTCAATTCGGTCACCGCTTGAATCACTCGACAAAAAGTCGCGGTATTTGCTATTTGCAAAAACCACCAGGAACGCGCGTGATGGATTTGTCTCAACCTGAAGTCGCCTTGCACATCCGCGCAGCCCAAAATGCTGCCGTGCGAGGCCCGCATCTCGTTCTACAGAAAAGAAACTTGGACAAAACCTATAATGTTAGAGTTGATAATATGGAAGGTATTGTTGCCCGACAATGGCTTATGAAAGCAGGAATCCGTCACTAACATTTGAATCCACTGAACTCCCACATAGAAATCGACCCATATTACGATGCTAGGTAAAGTATGAATCGTAGAGCGGATAATATGTTGTGCTTAATCTAATTCGTGTCTATAGCCAGCAGTATCATTTTACAGCCTGTTTAAGTTCGAAAGACAATGATATTTCAAGCATCAAACAAGATATAGACATGAGTGTACAGTCTGCATTAGATGGTAAAGTGATAAGCTAAGGATTGGATAGCAAATTGAGTAATAGGAGTTAATTTGCAATCTTCAATTATAGGCTTCAACACTGCATTGATGATTATGTCGTCAGGGTACGCTTTGACTTTAAAGAACCAAACTTGACTTCTATTTATCATACTAATGGCTTTATCAACATCAGGGTTTCAAACAACTTTTCAGACAGGTGAGATTAGCGGACAGAAATGAGGCAGCTATCGCGCATGAGCTAAATGCCTTGATCTGAGGATATCTTTGTAATCGCTCAATGCTGATTTCATTTTTGAACACTTTTTGCAGATCCAAGATCATCAGCCATGCCTTTACATCACTAAACTCGCAAATACAACATCTCGACGAATACCGAAGGAAGAAGAATGAGGCACCCATGGCAATAGAATATGCGTAAGTAAAATAGTCCAAGGTGAATGTGAACAGAGCAACTTCTCATCAATGCGTTATTCTCATTGATAGCTATCTTGGAGTCACGGACGATTGCTGTTACGATTTACGCAATGATCGGCGCATCAAAAGTAAGAAATTGGCATTATGAATATCAAGATATAACCCGGTACTGATGGATTACGCGATATTTAGACGAAGTCATCTTGGAGAGTGGAATCGACTCTTTGATGAAAACTGTGAATTCTGTGGAGCAGATATGGGAGAGAGTCAAGCTGGGATCAAAGTTCCCATTTGTTCTAAAAGTGAGGATATCTGACAACTCCAGCATCTTGGGCCATTTTGTGATTGTCGATCTGCTCAATACACGCTTTATGGCGAATAAATCCCAGCTCCTTGATGGATATACCTTTCACGATTCATGCATGCGTCTTCGTAAGTAAAATTTGCTTGATGCGTAAACGATGTGCATTGGAAACTCATTGTGTCATAAACAGGAGAAACTGTTAAGCTGGTAGCCACTCCTAATTACGTTGGCTTAATACCAACAGATACCTGCGTGCTGACCAAAACCTTGGGAGCGTACTTGAGTGGCATGAGCCGCTTGAATGCATTCTTATATGTGGAGGTAAAGCCGTATAGCTTTATGGCACTTACAACAGTCCAATGCAAGCTAACACCAACCTTTGTAGGAATACCCGGAAATGGCATTAGAAGAAACGCTTATTGCACTTGATTTCGCTCAGCACCTTCAGAGAATAACGTGTCGATCAGTGAGAAATCTTGTTGATACCAGGATGACAGAGTATGCATCGAAATCAGAATATTACAAGGAGAGATATTATAAGCACCAGGTATGATTATGCATCCACCACTTTTTTAAGCCGGGTCGACCTGTCTCTAACTATGGTGCGCCACGAAGGCAACCATCGCTGAACTGGAAGCCAAGAATCGTGATTTGCAGATGGATTTGGTTAGAAATAAAGCGATACTCCAAGACAACTTTAGCAACGAATCTGATGTCAAACTTCAAATCGACGATCTATCCATCAAAGAATCAGAGGTCAGTAGATTCATATATCTGAGCTGCCGGTGATTTCAGGTGAAGGATACGTGGCTAACGAAATCATATTAGCTCAAATTGAAAAATCGAAATTTGGAACTCGAAGTGGTTTATCTTAGATGCCACATCAAAACATTTGAAGGGGATGCTGATGAGCAAAATAGGCAGCATCAATCTGAACAAAGTATGTGTCGAACATACTAGTAATGTGTTACAAGTGCTTCTCACACGCTCATTTTTTACTATTGCTTCTCCAGTTTTGCGAAAGTACACACAGCAGCAAGCTTTGAGCGAAATCGAGCAGCTAGAATTAGATTTGGCAGAGAAGGAGGTAAAGCATATATAAATGAGTGGTGTTTATGAATTTTTGCAGATTCTGATTAGACTGAGCACTTGTAGCAAAGAATAACGGATTTAATGACGGCACTGAACCAAAAATCACACCAATTGGAGGAGCTACAGGTTTTTGAAAAGCAAGCCAAAATATTACTAAATGAGTCGGATAGCAAGTATGCCAAGGTGTTGAGATACTGTGAGAGGAAGGAGAATGAAGTCAAGGAAGCTTTCAAAAAAGAGCAAGCGCGATGGTACGAAAAGCGATCGGATATGCAAACCAAGATTCGAAATTTGCAGGTAAGGCAGGGTTGAATATATTAGATTGTACGCTCAAAGAGACTTATCTTTAGTCATCAACCTTGGAACTAGGCTGAATTAGACGACCTTCGCGCACGAAACGCTAACAGTCAAGAAAAAGCGCCAGAATGGAAATCAAACCAAGAAGTGCGCGAGGTTCGAACATTGAATTTGCCTGTAAGTTTCACTGAAGTGACTGAAACATATGTATGATTACTATTAACAATGCTGGATAGAACGCAGCAACGTCGTCGAAATCGACACAGCCGGAACTTATTGATCCAAACACCCCTGTCCAGCAGGTGGTCACGGTTGACGACATCACTGCCTTAAAGGTAGGCATATGCTATGGTTAGTAGTAGTACTTTTACGTTTCTGATCTTTGTTACTTTGATAGCGCCAAGTACAAAAACACACTGCTGAATTGGAAAGATATAGAGCTCAAACACAGTTGAACGATGTGAGTGTGATTCTATGCTTTGTCAACCTGTACTTGAATGAATGGTTGACAATGGTATCCCTGTATGCAGCCTATAATTGAGGATGGAGAATCCGACAATCAAGATCGAAATATGCAGGGGTATTTCGATCAGCCACGACGCTCAACTCCTGAGGCGCCAGTAGCCATTTCAGACCGGCCTGCATCAGTTGCCCAAAACGTGAGCGAGTCAATTGAAGGAAATATCAGCACAGATGCTCCACGTTCATCGAGTGCTGGTGGTAGAGGAAGCAAGACAGCGGAGGAAATGGTCAACTCACCATCTAAGCGAATGTCAGATAGGAAGCACGAATTGGCAGTGAAAAGAGCTGAATCGAAGGAAGGTAGGCGCAAAAAGCCATCAAGAACCTCCAGTACCTCGAGTAACAAAGCAAAGAAAAGATCTGCTGAGACTATGAAAGGAAAGCAATCGACTAGTGGCATCAACAAAGTGTTTGGTGACAATATAAGCATCATGCCGGTAGAGCTCGAACAACGTACACCCGGCGCTAAATACCTGACGTCCACTCAACAACTTGATCAAACAGACGCTAATGACAGATCATTATCACCAGAACTACTGGTCAATGTGAAAGTGGCTACTGTAACGGCTCCAACCACCGTAGTGACCAATCCACCAGCAACTAATTCCCTCAATGCGATCAAGAGCTTAGAGGACGTAGCAAAGTCAAGACTACCAAAGAAAAAGCGAAAGCTAGGTACTCGCAAAACTGAAGCTCAAGTAGACATGCCAGCCAGCGATGTAAGTCGATACAAAGGCCTCATTACAGTCTCCTACCAATACTAATAATTGTTCATAGGGTATTATTGATGATACTAGCATTATCCTGGATGCTAAATGAACTCAGCTTAGCATTCGATAATCTACGGTTCTAATTTATATGACACACACTAAATGTATAATTGTACAATATCTTTAATGTAATACTTAATGACAGGGATAGCCAACAGAAACTTCAGTAAATATCGGGCATTTTTTAAGCTTCGTCCAAAGAAGCTTGAATTCGGTCATTCCCCAATTATAAATTTTCTTAAAAAATCGACAGGAATGTATCTTTATAGTAACGGCACATGGTGTGCTAACAAAAGAAGCGGTAGATACCAGCACCATCATTTATAATGCGCAGCACGAGTGCCTTTTGTTAATAGCCGAGAATAATGGTTGTGTTTCCTGATGATTGGATTGGCGCGATGATATAGATTTGGAATCAAGAACTGCTATAAAAATAATGGGTAATCTGTATAAGAATATCTCTTGAACATATTCCCTTTATCATATTCAAACCTCTTACTCCATTTCGATCTTATCGCTCATAAACCAGTTCTTGAGAATCTTAATCATAACATCATGTCACGCAATGAAGATCAGCCACAATTGGTTGATTCTCTGACCATATCTCCTACAGTTCTCCATCATTTAGTGGAACAAATGCAAACCCTCCAAATGCGACTAGAGCAGCTTGAACGACAAAAAGTCATCAGCGATACGCAAAGCTTGGCGGAGATCACTGCTGCTTACGATATCTCACCTATACCTTCTCGACTCTCGATAGCCAACGCAATCTCGAAAGTTGATCTGAAAAGAAGTCTAATTAAAACAAGAAGTCTGATCAAAACAGGGAAATTTGCAGTCAATCATCAGCGCAAAAAGCAGTTGGAAACTAGGTTGGATGCAGACGAAATCACCCTTATTGACGAAGAAGATGAAGGCGGCGCCGCTCATCCTCAATCACTATCTCCACAGAACATTATTCCTATAGAACAAATGCGAGGAGGCGACGTGGTATCCAAGCCTGCCAACGACAATGCATCTGTTGAGACGTCCACTTTGTACTCTGATACCATGGATACAATGTCCGGCTGCCGAACGCCATCACTGGTTTTATCAGGATCAATGGAGACAGTATCAAGCAATGATACACCATCCACATCGCAAATCTTGCATGTTTTTCCAAGAGTAACAAGCCTAGAACATTATGATACATCTTTGCAGTCGTCGGTGATAGAGAGTCCCCCAGGCGTTGAACAAGATGATGGACCATCTACGACTGGAGCTCGTACAAGACAATTGACCTCGGTGTCTGCCATTGGAGCTAGCCCTGTGTCCCAAATATCGGAAAACACCTCTCTTCACACAGGCCAAATGCCGACGTATGGAAGATGTTATTCTTCGTTTTTTCCCACTAACTTCATCCCGCCTTCACCGTCATTCGCGGGAAGCACTGGAAGACTCTCTTTGGCCACAAGTATGCGTGAGCTGAGGCCAAACTTTGAGCAGTCAGAAAGTTGCCTAAATTTACTCGATCATGTTGAGATATCGCCAAATTGTTCATCTATAGAACTGAGTGCAATGACCTCAAGCAACTCGACATTGAATCTGCCACAACCAAAGAAGCTGAATCGAGCAAAGAGATGGCTTACCAAAAAATTGGCTGTGTCTCCCAAGCTCAAGTCATCGACCAGTGCACCAGTACTAGGTACGCACAAGCAGCCAGGTCTACTCTCGCGAAAGTGGTCCAAGCTAGTGGGTAGAGTGTAGAAGTAGATCATGTTTCTTTTGTGAGCGAGGCAACCATGGCTGGTCCAACTGTCTGCGCTCATTCCATATTTGAAGAAGATATATTTTATTATGTTTACATTTATGGGCACTTCCAAGATTTCATAAAAACAACAGCTACAAAAAGATAAAGTAGTAACATGTATCATGATTGGATATAAAATGTGTATGTATGTGAATGTGAGAATGTATACGTCAAGAGCCCAAATGTCGTTTATCGCTTCTTCAGTTGATTTTCTAAAATCTTACGCTGGCGGCCAAGCCATGATGATGAAGTGGGCCGTCCAGAGAGACTTGAGCTATCTCTCTTTTCTTGACGAGCCAGCTCATACCACGATGAGATGATGAGTTGTTGTTCTCTCCTTGACTGAAGACGTACATCCTGGATCTGTCGCTGGAAGTGAATGCTTGTTAGCGTCATTCTGCACGCACTTATAGCTGAACAATGTCTTACCTTGAGCAACTCGTTCTCTTCCTCTCGGTTTCTTGGTGCCTTTTGCAGATAATTGAGGTCATGTGGTCTCATGCTTGAGGCCATCGTTTCCTTGAGTGTCTTGTTATACAGCTTTATCATCTCTCTTGCTTTTCGGATCTTGCTTTGGGTTTCATTCAGTTCTTCTTGAAGATGCAAAACTTGAATTTGCAAAGTGGCGTTGCGTTCTTTGAGATTCTCCAATTCTTGACTGCAACGTGGAGGCAAGGGGGGTCAAATCAGTGTTTCTATGACCTAAAATAGTGTTCACCTGGAGTACTTACTCGCTCATGCCTGGAGAAGTGTCGGCTGCATCTCCACTCTTGTTGTTGGTGCCGTTGAGGTAGTTAGCTTCTATCAAAAGTCTATTGATGTCATGTAATTGCATCTTTGTGATATCTTCCAATCTATTGATGCGCTCTTGTTGCACTGCATACTCCTTTTCGAATGCCTCCAAAGTAGTGCTGTCCTTGTTGGGAGCACGCGTCGCGTCGGAAACCCGTCTCTCAAATGCAGTAGTGGTTTCACTAAGATGCTTTCCTTCCTTCTCCAAATCCATGATTCTAGTCCTAAACGACATGATGGCCTGCATCTGTTTAGGCACAGTGTCTGGTATTCCTTCCCTAATCTGTAACAGTTGCTGTTGTAGTGCTTCAAACCGTGATTCCAGATCAGAATGCTTTTGTTGCCAATGTCGTTCGTTTTCGGACGATTTCTCATACTTCGATTGTAGTTCATTGATCTTCTCTCGGCTACCTTCGGTCGATTGTTCCTTCAACTCCACGATTTGATCTTCTAATTTCTTAATTGTCAATTGGCTGCGTATAATGTAATTTGAGTCAATGTGGGTACGTTAGAAGAATGAACAGAATGTGTTGGAAGTCAACTTACAAATCCGACATATTGGCCTTCTTCATATCTTCTTCCATACTGGAAGCATTGATACTGGAATCCATTGCTACGCTTGATCGATGGTTGACAATCTTATCCATGGTTTGCGCTAGCAAAACAGATATTAGAAACTAAGGCTATCATGCTGTCATCGTTGAAAATTCGTATTACCTCCTGCAAGCTCTAATTCAGCAAGTTGATCTTCCAGTGAATGGATCTGTTCTTGATCTCTAGCCTTATCTTGTTCTAAAATATCGCATTTCTCTTCAGCTTTTCGAAGAGCTTCATCCACTTTCTGTTTCTCCATCAAAATCTCGGCTTTGTCGTTCTCCAAGTTATGAACTTGGTCTTTATAAGAGTCCATGAGCGTCTTGAAAGCAAGCACTTTACGATACTCATCTTCGACTTGATGGTTTCTTTCCATAAGAGTAGCATTTTGTTCCTCAAGTGCCTGAAATGGTGGTATACTCGTAAATATTGGAGATTGATCGGAAACACGCTATTTGCGATCATAACATACTTTGATCTGTCTCTTTAAATCAGCGCTGTCCTCTAGTCGCTTTTTATACTTTTCAATGGCATTTTCCATCTTGTGCAGCTTTTCTTCGGTATGAGTGTACTCTTCCAGCTGGTCTCGTAATTGTTCGACTTGGTTGACAGTTTTGGACATTTCCTCCATCTTTCGTTCATGTTCTGCGATTTTTCTATTCTGTTTTTCAACCACAAGTTCAGTTTCTTGTCGGCGATCTTCGCTTCGTGATCTAGATATGTACAACATGAGTCTTTGCTATGGTGATCAAAATATAAGGGTTGAAATTAAAGGTATCTTACAGATCTTGCTTCAAGTGTTCAATTTCAGTTCGCATGATAAAATCAGCTTTTCCAGTATCGTTGGCTTGAGTGACTGCAGCATCCATATCTAGCAATCTCGACTTCAGGTCCTCCTTATCTGCCTCCAAGTCCTCCTAATAACAAGCCGCTAAACATTAGCTTCAAGAAACCTTTTTCTTCCATACTGTTCTGCAACAATAACATACACAACGAGATCGAATATCTTCATACTGCTTCAGAAGCTTTTTTTGCGAGGCTTCAAGTACGTTTCGTTCCTTTACAAGCTTTTCATATTCGGCTTGGTATTGCTGGCTGTAAAAAGGCATTAGCAAGGGTAATTTATAAAAATGTAGCTCTGCAAAGTAGACACGTGTACAACATGCAGAGTCGGTTTCAAATCTCGTACCTGGATGCAAGTGGAGTGGAGGAGTAGGACACTGTGTCTTCACCCTCGTCGTTCAGAGTTCCATCAACGTCGTTAATTTGACTCATGATCTACAATGATGATACTGTCAGTAAATTTCGCTAGTCGATGCAATGTAGTCATGGATAATTGTCGTTACCTCTTCTATGGAGACCATCAAGGCATGTTGACTCTTTTGAGTCAAGCTTTGTATCATTTCAATATACATGTTATTATTGTCGGATTGTACAGCTAGAGCTACCACCAGCTGACAGAGTCTAAGTAAGTCTTTGGTATCGGCATCTTTTGCTATAGCGTTGAGGTTGACGGAGGGTATAGACTCAATGTCCTGTCCCAAAATCTCTTCGTAATATCGGACAATGAGTTTGTGAAGCTTTTTGAGATTATTAAATCGAAGCATCCAGTTGTCACTGGTTTCTGTGACTGGTGACAGTGCTTTAAACCATGTTGGATCTCTGAAAAAGTCATAATGGTGATGAGCAGGCGGTTGGGTTGAATCGATATTCAGAGACTCGGACAACTCACATCTCTTGAAGCACTTGTGATAAAATAACACCATCCGTTAATTCCACAAGTGAGTCGACATCATGAGACTTGTGCTCAAACGTATTAATCTATAGGGGAGAATAGTCAGGTCGATTGCCAATGGCTATCGGTTTGGGAAGGCACGGTTGGGAGCAACTTACCCATTCAACGAACGCGTCCGACATGGCCGCCTCCGAAATTGAAAAGCTCATGACTTGCTTCCTGATCTTCCTTATATTCCCAAAAAGAAAATAAAAAATAGGAGAGTTTTAAAAGCGCTGTAGAAACAAGCAAAGCAAAGCGAAGCAAAGACGTTGGCGCTTGAACTCGCTCTTCGTCTTCACATAGCCTTAAGAAACGGTTGTACAAAACCCGATCTTGCCACAACTCCGATAATTGGTATATCACTTCGCCTCGCTTCTTCTACGAATGCATGCCTTTCATTTATACACTGATCTCTCAGATAACATCTATTCAGATGCCAAAGCAGTGCTACCTACATAAAAGGATTTTGCTTTGCAGTAATCCAATTTTATGCTCTTTTGTTAGAACGATTTATTAAACAAAGGAGGTGGGATGGTTTGGCAAACACTATACTATAGGGGCTGCTCATTGCAGCTTATAAGGATATCTTTCAACGACCCTGTACATAACGAAATGCAAATGCTTTTATACAAGTGAAGTCAAGTGTCTAATTCTCTCTAATAAATAGTGCGAAATATGAAATGAGATATGGTACAGAATGTGTTGGCAAATAACAGGATACTGGCAAAACTTCAAAGCCATCTAAAAGAGCTGGCTATTCTATTTGCCCACGGAACCCCATGGCAACGAAAAATCCTTCCGTTGATTCTTTGCGTGATGCTTTTGGCTTTTCGTGTCTTACTGTTTCAAAATGTTTTCGAAGAAGTTGCCTGAAATCTTGTTCGCTTCCTCCCATGAAGAACTGGGTGGGCTGTTAGCATACGCATGTTCATTGGTACTTTCATACACAGAATGATGGCTTACCTTGCAGACAAAAACTCCATCTTTTTTTAAAATATCTGTAGCAAAAGCCAACGCGTACTCACAGAGTTCCTAGTTCATACAATTCAATTTCAGTTAGGTGCTGTCTGAGCTGAGAACACGTTTTCCGATGGTCCAGTTAAGCAAACTCACCATGGATCTTGCGTGGTCAGCCATGTGGTGACCAGAAAAGCTTGGTGCCATATCCGATAGAACAACATCTACTGCTTTACCATCAAGAATCTTCATTATGCTCTGTCGAGTTGGTTCTGCGAGAAAGTCGCCTTCAAGTATGCTTACCCCCGGAATTGGCTCCATGGGTAACAAATCGACAGCAATGACAGTCCCCCCAGTTTTGGATGTAACATCCGTTTCTTCTTCAGATAGCTTCTGCTTTCCTTTGAATACTTTCTCTGCAATGACTTGAGTCCATCCACCTGGGCTTGCACCTAATTCAATGACGTTGGCGTTCCGTTTCAAGAACCTATGTTTATCGTTCAGCTGTATTAATTTGAAGGCGGACCGAGCCCGATATTGTTGGGCGCGTGCATCTCGCACAAACATGTCGTTAGATTGCCGAGAAAGCCATTTCTTTGAAGACGACGAATAAAGTCGAAGTCCGAGTTTGCATAGGTTCGTTGGGAATTGCTCGCGAATATAGCCTAACATTGCACCAGAGCCATGTCATTGCTCAAAAAAATTCTCGGGTGTGTACAAATTTTGTCGATGCCAGTCCCGGTAGCTAGCCAGTGATGCTTTTCCTACAAGCATTTTTACGCTAATAATGAAGTCGATGCCAAAATATAGGATCATAGCTGTCCTTCCATATCTCAATAAATGAGGCCAATAAATATATGTCGTTAAATATAGCAAAGTGAAAAAATATCAATGGTGCAGATACTATAACTGTTCTACATAAATTCGATGAGGTATCACGAAATGTCGTTGTTTTCAGAACTTCACGTTTGATAAGTTTCAAATTGTCATTTGCGCTCTCTGGTGGTAAAAAAAGTTCAACGCCTACGCATACGTTCTGGCGCGATCAAACATGCCTGTAGTGCAGGAAATTTGGCAGTATGTCAAAGCCATAGCAACTGTTTGAAAGGTGATTTACATGCCAAACGTTTAAAAGACAAAGATAAGGTGTAATTCGATGTGAATCTATTTATGAAGACGGAAGGATTTGAAAGATGACAAAGCTATCTTGATCGCGTCAAAGTATTTTGGACACAAGACCGGACATGGCCGTTTGGTACCTGGCGAGAGAATTATCCAGTGCGTACAGAAGAAGGTGGAAAAATTAAATGATTACATTGCAATAAATTCATTGGCAACCCTCAAATACAGTAAACTAGCCAGCTACACTTCTGTGCAACTCAATCGTACGTTCAACAGGATAGAGTTGGTGTGGGGTGGGTTCGCCGAGACAAATCACGTGCAACTGTTCTTGCAATGCTTAGCCAAGCTGGGCTCGAAAGAGGCGTTCTGAATTCTCGAGGATAGTCAAAGTGGAGTCAGCGAAAAGCATTTAACTTTACCTTTCCCTCCATTTCAGCACAACATGCCTTTCGGCTTCTTCTCCTCTCAGTTTGATGATCAGGGTATCATGGATGACGGTATGTTATAACGATTTGAAGACTTTTTACTCAACGCATCTACTAATCTGACGTCCGTTGGAAAAAATAGGCAACTGGCAGTTCTGTGGCCTGTCCAGAACCCAACGCTTGTATGCCTTTGGTGCAAGGTATGTTCGAAGAGAATTTTAAAATAGTGTGCGTAACGAAACTAGGTGGCTCATTCCATTTTTCGATATCAACCATAGCTTCGTCGTCGGAATGGTTCTTTCTATCTTGGTAGGTTTAACAACTCGTATGTTTCAGCAAATAATGTCTAAGCCATTGCTGACACTTTCGGTCCGCTTTCTTTCTATATGTGTAGTCTACATTATTCCTGCTTACGGCCAATACGACTGCTTTTGCCATCATCTACAGTATCGGAAACATTGTATCCATCTTCAGTTTGACGTTCGTGATTGGTATCCCAAAGCAGATCAAGACGATGTTTGCCCCAGTTCGATTTTGGGCTACAGTCGTGTATCTTGGCATGCTGGTAGTTACTTTGGCACTTTCTATTCTGGTAAGAACGTTGTTGAGTATGATTTTTTGGCTACTGAAAAGCTTAACATTTTTTCATCATCGCAGTTGCACAATTTTATCTTGTCCATTATCCTTGTCATTGTGCAATTCTGTGCCTTGGTGTGGTACGCGTAAGTAACTCTCAGACTTGTATGGAGTGAATTTCATATTTATCACTCACTGACATATCTGTTTTCCAAACTACTCAGTGCCAGTTATATTCCCTACGGCCGGTAAGTTTATATACTGATGAATTGGAATTAGGATGAATGGCGTGTTACATATTTGTTCATGGTACTCACGCGTTATTATCATAATCTAGGGAAATTATCCGTCGTTTCTTCGGTAGCTGCGTTACATCTATCTAATAAGTTTGAAACCGCTTAGCTGATTATGGTGATCATAAAGTAAAATACACGTAATATAATCTCGTACAATCCGATGTCTACTCTATGCTATTTTGTCCCTGTTTGCTACAACGAATGTGATTATTTTTTTAAGTTGCTACTGGTAACCTATGTGTGCCAGCCAGTCGCAGCATGATCAATCCAATGTTTTTTCGTAGATAACACCTACGCAATTGGATTTGAAATCCGTCAACCAGCCTCACGACAGGATTAAATCAACTGTGTACCTAGGATTTTTACCGATTTATCCATCGCCTCATGAACCATGATACTCATTTAAAGCACGCTGTTGAACCCCAACATAGTTGACGATATAAATATACCCTTTTCTTGTCACCTAACGAACATAATATCTAGATAGTCGTCATAACAAACAATATGTTTTTCAAAACAACTGGCTTACATACAAAATTTGACGGTTTGTTGACCAACAATAGCCTGAATGGACCGAGTTAGTGCCGGTAGCAACGTTCATCATCTAAGACAATAAACAATAATTCTAATTAGCTACGTTTTGCCATTAATGTCGTACAGCAGCGTAGGATCATGAAGCGTTTTGACATTTTCAAGACGGAACAAGGCATGCAAAGGCAGCGATGTAAAGAAGTAGGCAGTTGGAGTTAATTAAGTGTGCGATGTGTTTGTTATTAAGCAAACGCACTGGATGATCCGTCATTAAGGCAAAGTTGAGGGTACCTGACCAAAACTGAATTGAGTGCTTTTTTTTTCTCATGTCACACACATGTTTCCAATGGAGGCCGATTTCCGTTTTGGGCTACTCAAAATAACAGGACATGCCGAATTCTCCTTCCGTTTTCCCCGTTTGCCTTTGCTTTCGCTCACTCTTTCCTCATGACAACTGAGAGCTTACCAATATCAGCGTCGGAGCTGAAGCACCAATATCAAGATGCGCACAGTAATCTGGCAGCAAAGAAACCCAGAAAGTCTAATCGCGACTCATCTCGCCATTCCGCTGGCCCGCTTAAACCAAAGCAGTCGTCACCAGAAGCCCAAAAACACGAAATACAAGCGTCTCCTCCTCCATACAACGACAAAATTCGCCCGCTTCCGAATCGAAATACCAAAAAACCCGGTGCTCCACTTCGCAATGATCAGTGGAAACAAGTCAATTCATCCACGAATGATTTGCGAGTACGAGCTCCTACCTCGGAAGCAGCGAGTCACATCGAGCGCTTCAATATAGCTATGATGCCTTACAACGTGTCTCGAATAGTGTCTGAAGTCGATGATAATGGGTCGCCAACCCCGCGCAAAGTCATCACACCTAAATCAAGCAAAAGCTCCATCACCGCTACATCCCGTACTAGTCCCCTGGCATTTAAAAAGGGGCGAAGTCAGAACAGTAAATCTTTCGATGCCACTCCTCAATCTACCAATTACGTCGATTTGGATATGACAGATAACAAGCCGAAACGATCTTCCAACTTATTCGCAATGTTGCTGTCAAAGCGCTCGCCTTCAGCTGATAAAATGCGATCTCCAAAGCCGTCAGCCGCCTTTATTGGTGTTGCATTAGAGGATAATTACTCTTTCACTTCTGTGGACGTAAAGGGCGATAAGATCGTCGTTCCTACTATATTGAATCAATGTTGGATGGAGGTTAGAAAACGAGGTAGGTGACCATGCAATGACGATAATCTTAAAAGTAAAATTGGTTAGCTAGAACGACGTATTTCATCTGCTTAGGTTTGGAGGTCGAAGGTATCTTTCGCATCAATGGTGGAGAGAAGGAAGTCATTGCTCTATGCGAAGAGTTTGAAAGAGCTCCTGTTGAAGTCCATGATTTCTCTGCCATGAATATCCATACTCTTCCTTCCGTCATTAAGAAATACTTAGGCGCCCTTCCAGAACCTGTCATTCCCGTTCAATTTTCGACCGTCTTCATGGAAGTTGTCGGTAAGTAGAAATTTACAGTCCTTAATGATGGGTTGAAATTGAATGCTGATATTTCTCAACAGATTTGAACACATCCGATTTTACCAAAATTGAAGCACTGATCGAGCTAGGATCGCTCATGGCCTTCCCACATCTACATCTTTTGGTGTATCTTTTGGATGTAATTATCAACGACATCCTGGAGCACTCGGAAAAAAATCTGATCACATCTGAAGCATTAGCTGTGCTGCTCTATCCGTCATGTAGCGGTCAGGAAATACTATCCGTCGCAGCAGCGGCAGCGGCAGCTCGCCGACCTTCGAATCGCCGAAATTTTCATGGTGTGTTTCAAGGGTCGAAAAATGAGGACGCCGACTCCATGTTGAATGCTGCTACTCGAAATAGCGCACGTTGCATGCAAATGTGGGAATTCTTGATGGACAATCGAGAACCGCTGACCAACGGCTGGCGGAAAAGCATCCGCAAAGTTCTGACTTCTCAAAAACGATCAACAAAAGAAATCATTAGCTTCGTCGCTGGCGACAGGTGTCCATCACAAAATGAGATGCAAAAGGAACAACTCTCCAGTATTGATGATCGAAAACCTATCTCAGCAGCAACAGATCGTGGTCCAGAACCGCAAAATACCACTGATAATCATTCCATCTCTGATGCCAACCCTTCGATATCAAGCAAACACCATCCCTCATCGTCCGACGTTAGTGCAAAAGACATTGACGAAATATACCCAGATCATAAACCCTCCAAACAAGATGAACATAAGCAGCTTCGCCTGAAAGCATCACTCTCTACACCGACCGCTTCCTCCAATCCTGAAGAAAGCAACCCAGCTCAAAAGAAGGGTTTCTTTGCTCGATTGCGTACTACCTCCATGACGACACGCAATGGTCCTCCCCCTGTGCCAGCTCACCAGCCTCCTCCTGTACCTATTCACAATGCTGATGCACAGCGCAACCGGCCACCTCGACAGCACATGAAGCAGCCTTCATTTCGGGCCCGCGCCGCTGCTGAAAAGGTGATCAAGCGAAGAAGCGTTGATCTGTCCAACAAAAGACCTCCTGAACCCGAAAGAACGTCTGTTCCAAATAACTGGGTGAAAAAGACATACAAGGTTGCCTTCAAAGGCCAGCCCAATGAGTAAATGCGAAAAAATCCCAAAAAAAGGAGAAGATAATGTAGTCTCATATACGATACCAGTGTTTTTTTTTATTCAGTCTTGTAATTTTTCTGTACATTATTTAACGGACTCTAACGCATTGTATAACTTATACAATCGTTATCATAACTGTTTATAAATTTGAGTTAATGTTTAAATAGAGTCTTTGCAAACGGGTTTTTGATGGCACGTTTAACGTGTCTATAAGTCAAACTAATTCTTGTTTGTCTCGGTAATAGGGTACGATTAGGGATTGTATGATAGTTGATTGGCGGTCTCTCCGCCAAATCGTCCTCAGTTACCTCAGCAATGCCGTGGAGATAGGTTTGGTAAAGCTGGCCAGTCTGAACGAAGAGTGATCGAGGTTCGAGTAAGACCGAGAATTCAGGTTCGCTTGTTGCCTTCTCCACACCGTGTGGATAGAAATTTAGTATCGAGTGAGAATTCAAAGTCACTGTTGCAACGATCGGGTTATACAGTGGTCCGTCCTGGTGAGGCATAATGCCTTGACCAGGCAGATACTCGTTCACCAGGACGTGATTCGGCTCAGTGGATGGACTGTCGCCAAAAATGACTCCAATGCTCTGCAGTTTCTTGAAAATAGGTTCCTTCAGCCATGTCGGAATAGGTTCTTGTAACATTTTTCCGTCTTCTACTTTAGGAGTCCCGCCTGTTCAAACGCCAGATTTAATGGTTGTTAGCATCAAGCTACGTTTCTTTTGGCTGCGGCTTGACCACGTACCCCAATTCTGTAGCCTAAATGGATGATGCACTTGGTTAGTATGCACTGTACCATTTAGATGACGTGGCATAAAGAGCCATACCTCCTGGCTTTTAATGAGACCCATTTTGGTGCTGGTGCAGTTTGTACCTGGTGCAAGTGGTCAGTGGATTCCCAATCAGAAGTACGAAGTGCATTCCCCATAATCTTACCTTCGAGATCAAGTATTCTTCTTCGGCCGCCGAGATGAAGTTTGGAATGTAGTACGCTGAATCTGGTATACCTGGCAGTTTATATGGCTCTAATGTTGGATTCATGACTTTCCAGTAAGGCGAGTCAGTACGAAATTTCAGCTACCGTCGGCCCTAATATTTTGAGAATGATGTCTAAGCGTCACAAATGGCGATAATCAGGGTTTATTCAGTAATCTAACAGGTATTACATATTTACAATGCGTCATAGACTCCAAGTGCCTGGTAGCAAACTGCTCGTTGCTCACAAGCATCTTTCTCTTCTCTCAAAAGCAAAATGGTATAATCATTCTCACCACTTGTGAGAAAGCCATGCTCTCGGCCGCGCCATGCTATAGGTGAATCACGATATCCCCACACAGTTAATGCGCCCCAGCATTGCTTGGCTTTTATCTCTTTTCTAATGATTCCATATGAAATACGCACTGGATTAGTATTTATGATTGATTGCGTAATGAGGTGATAGAAAAATGCTATTACCTAAGAGTGATCAGCAAATTTTGAATGTACTGAGGGGTGACCAAACCAGCGCATCGAAGTAATGCAACGCTGCCAGTTGTATATGGCTCTGGACAGCTGTATACTGATAAAAATGGATCCGGCTTGTCGTTGACAGATAGTCTAATTGATAAACGGGCCATTAGCAAATGAAGTATTTTCACGATACATGTAGGCCGAGACTTGTACCTTTGTGATCCAAGTGTTGCCATTCCCAACCACTCGTGCGCTTCTAAGGCTTCGTCTTTCCATCTATTGTCAGGGGTAGCGCCCTCAGGTAGTTTCAAAGTTTCAAAATTCGGTAAGCGGATCCCTTCCAATTTCGAGGATGTCCATGATACTGATTTTTTGTTGTGCTGTACATTGGAAAGAAGTACATCTAGCGACGCTCCAGTATCTGAATAGACATCAGTTAGCCACACATGGTACTGCGCACAATGAATATTACCAACTTACTGGTATCAACTCGGGTCATGACCATTTTGAAGGATCGCGATAAATTGTTATCCAAACACCATTTTGTTCTGTCAAACGTCTTGTTACCCGGTCGAAACGTCGGTGCTGATACATCGATGGTAATGACTATGTAGTGAAGATGGCATTAGTATATCCGCTTTTTAACTTCAGTAGGTACCGATGCCATCATCATAGTACTAACTATATCTTCGTCCGTTTCCAGTAAATGTAGCGGCCTTTCCTTCCAAACCAAAAGCCTCGTAAGTTTCTTTTTGCAGACTAAGTACGAGATGGCCGTCACCATCAATAACTGCCACATCTTCAGTATCTAAGTACGTGTCTATTGTATGCATGTAAAACATTGAAGTTTTCTGATCCGAGCCGGCTTCTATAATTTGTCTTACGAAATGAGAAATCGACAGTGCAGAGGTATACTGACAAAAGCAATGTCCTTACTCTTTGTCAGATTTTTCTCCAAAAATGATGTATCTAAAAACATTGATAGCGGTGCTTCGACCTCGTAAAAGAACTGCTCATTTTCAGTAATGGATCGAAGTAGCACCTCAGCTTGCGTGTCAGCTAGCAGAAGTTGAATCTATAACGCGATTGAGTCAATGGTCTATTGTTTGGTGACTGAAAGCGCGGTTTGGTACTTGCCTCATGGTTAAATGGATGACTGTTAATGAGTTTTGAATGAGGCTTCTTGTCAGAGTCAAGTTCGAAATACGTCAAGAACAAGTGGCTCTTGTTTGTCGGTTGTGGGAGCATTAAGATTAAATAGTCTATGGTTTCTATGGTATTTGACAGGCTTTACCGGTTGCCACTTTCCCAAAAATTTCAAAGCTCGACACAAAATTGAACATCGGATTGGCAGGAAACGACACCTTACGATTACTCCGTTATCCAACCGTCCATTGCATTGTTACGACAGATTAAAAATGATATTAATAACAAACATCAAACGAGCTATTGGTTTAAACATATTTCTATTCGTACCAACCTTATATCCCTCTTAATAAGCACACAATGGGTGGAGCATGGGTGTGGCTTAGAGCCATTCAGCGGTCACAGACTTGTTTCAGAAGGCGGCCTATGATTGGCTCCGGCGGGTGCTCACGGGACGTCGACCAGATTGCGGTTTACGATTTGCCAGTTGGGTGTCTTTCCACACTTCTCCAAACCCTAGTATTCTACCAAAACTGACTCTACTCACTCACTTTCAACCTTTACCAATTCACCAAGAATGCATATCGAGATTGTACAAGCCGCCGAATTCTTATGTAGACTCTTGCAAACGAAGCTAGACCCTGATCCTCTATCCAAGTTCAAGGACAGACTGATTGAAGTCCTGAAATCCCGCTATGCGGACCATTGGGATACGACACAGCCATATCGTGGAAATGCATATAGAGCGATTTCAAACTTCAGTGGAGTGATGGACGATGCATTGTTAGCAGGTAAATAGACCCATTTATGAATATTTTCCCGAATGTTGCAACGGGGGGTGGCCGTCGGTCATTGGGTTTAATATAGGAATGTTTGGGCGAAGAAATGATTTTGCCCATGGTTTATGAGTGTTCACATTGAACACCCATTCCCCTCTATTCTTATTGTTCAAGCTGTTAAAAATACTCCAAAAAACATTTTTTTGAAAAGCACCTCACTAACTTTATTTTGTCTATAGCTGCAAAGAAGGCCGATATTGATGCTAAATTACTTCACTCATATCTTCCGCGGGATTTCGTTCTTTGGATCGATCCATTTTCCGTTGCATATCGCGTTGGTGATCACGGAAACATCATGACCTTATTTGAAGATCGTTCAAGAGGCCGTATCACCTTCAAGGTTGATCCTGCATCAAACCATACTGAAAGCCTTATGAACGGTAGCCCAGCCCTCCCTGCTTCCGTTATCAATGGTGCTTTCAAAAGTCCTGTGAATAGTCCTAGACTGCAACATCTTCAGCCTCGAAGCAATGCAGTTAGAATAACCCCTCCTAATAGTCCGGAAAAGAACGACCCAACCACCAAGAAATCGCGAGGTCAATCACAGACGTCACAGCAGCAACAAACAGGAGCACAGGAGCAGCAAAACCAACAGCTTGTTCTGGCAAATTGATCAAGGTGTTGAAGCTGGTCATTCGAGTCTAACGATGAAGAATCCAATGCGATTTTGTGGTTGCTCGCTGATAGCCCTTTCTTGGACCATCAGTGGCAAGGTATTCTTTGACTTGGGAACATTCCCTTTTCTTTGTATAGTATATTATATTTTCTCTTGTTCCCCTCCCTCTCCCCTTACTTCTCATTAGATTCCTTTGCTCCTCCATCGCCTCCATGATGTTTACCTTTTCATCTGCACTACCCTGAATTATGTATCCTCTCGCTATTGTTCTGTCTTTATTTTTTCTCTCTCTCTCTCCCTTTCGTTCTCATTTGACGTTTGTTTTATTTCATTTTCGATTTGCTCTTTCGAGTTGTTTACTACGGCACATCTTGTACATGATTCTCAGTTTTATTTTCTGAACATAAATGAAAGCAAATTTGTTTTAAAACCATGCATGCTTGCGAGTGTCGTTTATTACAGTAGACGTGCGAAAGCTTATGCGGCGGAGACGAACATGAAGGTGGATGGAGCCATACAGCCGATACTCTACGATGTGCAGTAAAGTATACAGAAACCGACATATCTGTGCGCATTCAACGTCGATGTGATACACAGCCCTTTCTTTGGGTTCATGTCTGACTGGATTGAAAGGAGAGTTTTAGCATGGCACAAGTGAGCTTGGGGTGGGCAAAAGCCATGACTAAGTAATTTTTGTCGTTGATCAAAAGTGTCCATCTGAGGTTCCCACAGACTATATCCTTCCTTCTCTCTACGCACTCCTCCTTTTATTACTATGGCCATAGAACTACCCAAAGTCGAGCACTGCATCCTCTCTATACCCGAGCCACACATTCTCCTGGTCACCATCAACAGACCAAAGCAATTCAATGCCTTGCATCTCGAAGCGAATCAGGAATTAGGAAGAGTTTTTGACTGGGCAGAAGATAACCAAGAGATTTGGTGCTCGGTGGTAAGAGCCACATACAACAACATCATACAACAGTTTGATACAATGAATAACACGTTTTTGTAGATCACTGGTACAGGTGGCAAGTCATTCTGCGCTGGTATGGACCTCAAAAGTGCCAACCAGGCACAGCAGTCCAATACTCCCGGAAGCAAAAGCAGCTTGTCTGGAGGCGAAATGCCAGCCTCAGGTTTTGGAGGGCTCAGCAAGCGTAATCAAGCTCGTAAGCCTGTAATTGCTGCTGTGAATGGGTTTGCCTTAGGTACTGCATGGTGACAATGAAAAATTCCCGTCCCGATTCAACCCCACATTTTTTTTTCTAACATTGAATGTCACTTAGGCGGAGGTACGGAAATTGTGTTGGCATGCGATATAGTAGTGGCCACAGAGAAATCAATTTTTGGACTTCCTGAAGTCAAGCGCGGTGTCATTGCTGCTATGGGCGGTATCGCTCGCGTTGTGAGAATCATTGGCTATCAACGTGCCTGTGAGATGGCCCTCACTGGTCGTCACTTGAGCGCCCACGAAGCCAAGAACTTTGGCTTCGTCAACGAAGTCATCAGCAACGATCAAGATGTCGTTACTGCCGGGTTAAAGTGGGCCAAGCAAATTACTGCAAAGTAAGTATTGATATCCTCTTGTTTCGACCTTTTGACATGTAGCCGAGCCATCCTCTCAACTTTATTTTTCTTTTCTAAGCTCACCTGATGCAGTGTTTGTCACTAAACGCGGACTTTTGCTTGCCTTGGAGCGTGAATCACTCACAAAAGCTGCCAATGAATTGATGGACACTGAAGAAGCTCAGAACTGGACATCGGGTCAAAACTTGGCTGAAGGACTTCAGGCGTTTGTAGAGAAACGGTCTCCTAATTGGACCAATCCTCAACCTGTGGGTAAAAGCAAATTGTAAATTTGCCACCACATGATATCAAAGCTGTTGACAGCTACGAAACAGAGAAAACATAAAATTTGACAATAAAATTGTAATCGTGCGTGGGCTATGTAACATTACAAATATCGTTGTATGAAGACCAAAAAAGAATAATGTTCAGAAACTTCCTCTCCGCTGCAAATGTTCTCTCGCCGACGTACGAAATGGGTATCCTTCACTCTAAGATGCGATATTAGTTGCCACGCTGCCCCTCATCTTACGATCGATATCCTTCAACCTACCCTTTTGGATTCAATGGAGGCAATCCTTTCTAACGGAATTAAAATAAATATATACGATAATATTAAGCCTGCTACAACGAGAATTATTCCTCTCTGTCAGGGGTGGTGGTATAAGTAAGAGGAGGTAAGTAGTGGCGTCTAGCCAGAGTCATAAAACAAATGGGCGTACCTTGTTCGATGAAAGAGTAACATCTACAAATTCCTCAATGACACTGCCGAATAGTCCATACTGTGATGTCAAATACCCCAAGCTAAAAGCGATAATGAAGCCAACGATTATTTGCATAGAGCCAGGACCAGATTAGGAATTAGACCTCATCCAGGCAAATAATAAGGAAAGAGAGAAGGTTTTCAAACGAGATGCTGACAAGGACAAGGATGTCACAGTAGAAAGAATCTTGATGTCAACTGAATCTGTTTGAAAACGTCCCTCCACCATACGCGAAAGAGCTGGAGAAATTTGAATGTGAAGTGAAACTCAGCAAACTCTGGCCAATCAAAATTACACTTTGAATGTGAAGAGGTTGTGGATAATGGATACACTTTGATGTTGACATGTCGTTCATAGAGTATGTTGTGCCTTTCCATGCTGACTGGAATGCACCCGAGTAACAGCCCAGCGCAATGACTTGTTGATATTTTCGCATTCAATCAAATACTTTATATCTTGTTCTTATGCCCATACAACTCTTTTCATTTAACAGTAAATATAATCTATTCATCAAGGTTGGAATATTCGCTCCATTCAAAAAACACTGTCAACTTTATGAATTTTGGTTCCGAGCCAGGAAGAGGTGATCAGTCGAGAACGAGGCGGTGTTTGAATCGTGACAGTGAAAACGGCAAGGTTGAACTTCTCGATCTACTGCGAGATCTTGCTTTGCCTTCTTATTTTCAGCTCACTAGCTAATGGGTGTTAAGAATTTATGGGATATCCTTGCACCCGTAGCTCGCCCTGTACAGCTTGATTCTCTAAGACAGCGAAAACTAGCCATTGACGCGAGCATTTGGTTATATCACTTTTTAAAGGCCGTTAGAGACAAAGAAGGCAATGCCCTCAAGAATGCCCACATAGTTGGCTTCTTTAGAAGGATATGTAAACTTCTATATTACAACATTAGACCAGTATTTGTATTTGATGGAGGTGCCCCGGCTTTGAAGAGACTTACAATCGAAAGTATTCATTGACGGACTTGAACCATGCTTCGACTACCCCTTTAACACGTCTCTTGTTTTTGCAGAGGGAGCGACGGCAACGTAGATCAGAGAGAACAAAAGATCTTAAGAAAACTGCAGAAAAGATACTTGAAACCCAGTTGAAGGTTCAAGCCATACGTGAACATGAGAAACGGTAATTTTTGCTGGAGGATGCTGTTGAAACTTGGCTGAATGTGCACTGACCTCCTCGGGCCCTGTTAGTGCTAGTACTGCAATTGCAAGCAACGACGTGAAGGATGTCATGGCTGGAAATTTTACCTACCTAGACGAGCTTCAAGCTGCAGCTGTTAAGAGTCGGAGGTTTCGCAAAGATCCATATGAACTCCCAGCCGATAGTGGCGAAATCAAGTAATGACTAGCATCTCCTGTTTACGCAATATGAGGAGAGCATGGTATTGACCAAGGTATCATCAAATTTTATTAGGAAAGCCAAAGAGAAACTAGATCCACGCTTTGCCACAGATGAAGAGCTTCGAGAATTTATCATGGAATTCAAAGTATTTATTACCTGCTTTCATATCTTACAGTCGACCTATCTTCACTTTATCAGCGGACAATTTAACTGACATTGAGCATGTCGTAGCCTTCAGATTTAAATGTGGATTCCGACACATTTCGTTCATTGCCAACCGAAATCCAATACGAAATTATTCAAGATTTGAAGTTAAAGTCTCGCCAGACTTCTTGGGCTCGATTGGATGAGATGATTCGCAAATCAAAGACATCGTTGGACTTTTCCAAGCAGCAAATTCAACACTTGATGCATAGGAACGTCATGACACAGCGTCTTCTTGATGTCAACAGTGCAGTCGGCAATGTAAAAGATCTTCAGCCTGTGAGAATTGCGAGTGAGAGAGGAAAACAATATGTACTAGTGAAAAACGAAGATGTCACTGAAGGACTTGGATGGAAGCTACCAGGTCTACATTATGATAAAGGTACTGCTGATAAACCTTTGCTGGAAGAAGACATTCAGGAAGAAGAGGAAGACTCGGATGATGACACTAAGGAGACAGCGTAGGTTATAATTTCTACGGTTGTACACTCGTGTATTTGTCTGTGTTGTAATTGACTTTCGTTCAAGTGATGGTCCAAAGGATAAAGTTTTGCAGGCTATAGAGAGCAATCCTACCCTGAAGCGGTTATTGGAATCGATGAATAAAAACGATACTCAACGCGACGCTAATGCCGCTGACAACGATGCTGATGTTGTCGACACTGGTTTCAGTGACGAAGGTAGCGAGGACGACAATGAACTGTTTGTCCAAACACGACCAGAGCATGAACGCAGTATTCAAGATTCTAGCATTCAAGCTGACATTTTGGACAATATGAACGCCTATGTGGATGACAATCTGAGCATTCAAGAAATTATGGCACGTTTCCAGAGCAAGCAGGACTTGGACGAGAAGCTCAAACTTCAACATGACACTGCTCTCAAGGAGCCTTCACCAACTCAAGAGACTGGACCTGATATTGAAACTATGTCTGGGCCGGAATTAGTCAATTATTGGATTAAGCAGTCCCCGGATGCATTTATTTATGAACATTCGCTCAATGATGAATACAAACATATAATAAGAGATGCTGTGTATACGCTAAGCGTCGAAGACATGGAATCGAAGCTATCAGCCATCAGCCGTAAAACTGGAAAACTAGCGTTGCACGATGAATTACGACAAGAATCGTTCAGATTCTACATAACAATTTTGGAAGGAACTATGAAGTGGAAGCGATTGCAAGTTCAGTTACTGGAGCAATTCGAAAATCAGGACAAGCCAGAAATGGCCGATGGTCCACAATCCGACAAAATGGTTTGGGTTGATAGCGACGATGACTTTGAAGCACTAGATTATAGTTTGCTTGAAGAACCGACAGTTCCGTCAACTACTCCACCTGGTCAAACCACGATAGACCATCCAGCGAAAGACTTTAAAGGCAAGGAAAATGAACATCGAGGAATGAGTGCGACTTCACACCCAATCATGCCTCTTTCCAATTTCGACTTTAATATCAATATACCAATACAGAAGTCCAGCTTGTTACGCCCAACTAGTGAAAGTGTCATGGAACATGAAACAGTTTCTTCTCAGGAACAATCATCGATACATGAAACACATGCCAACCATGAAGTGGTCGAAGCAGACACCAGCGATATCATAGAATTGGAAGAATCCGAAGATGAACAGTGGCAACAGGTCGACGTAGATCATGATTCTGATGTTCAAGTTTCATATAATAACATCGTTCCAAACTTTTCGCCATCATCATCGAAGAGCAGTTCAGCAGAGGTTGAGCTGTTTGTCGAGGAAAATAGTCATGGAATGGCACATATTCCGGAGCGGGAGCATGGTCATAATAATAACGTTTCAGATAACGATGACAGCCAACCACAGTCCATAACAGTGGATAAAGAAATTCTTGGAAATATTGATGAAGTTGGAGTGCAAAGTAACGCTAAAGTCAATGATCTGGAGTCGGAAACCGAGCCTACAAAGATGGGCGAGTATGCTGAAGACCATATGGAAGGTATTGAGAAAGATGAAGCTGAACACCAACTCAACAGTGGAGCCGATGATGCCCCTGAACGTGAAGCTGAAGAACTAGGCAAGACACTTCCGCAGCCTACTAACGAAATCACAAATGCTGAGATGGAGGAAGAAATTGAAGCATATATTGCGGACCAGGCCCAAGTGTCTGGCGAGCATGACGGCTATAATTCAGAGGAAGAACTTGGTTCAAAACTAGAAGCAGAAGACAGCGAGTACGCAAGATTTGTTGCCGAATTTGGCTCAAGAGACTATACTGATGTAAGGCAAGAAATCAATGATGAATTGAGAGCGTTGGGTAAGGAGCAAAGACGTCAAAAGAGAGACATGGATGAGTTGACTACACAAATGATTGAGGATGCTCAGGTATGTGTTTGAAAGCATGGTCAAGGCGACTGTGAAACATTCACTAAAGCTGAAGTACTTGTTCAGGAGTTGCTTCGATTGTTTGGTATACCCTACATTGTGTCACCCATGGAAGCCGAAGCACAATGCGCTGAACTCTTACAGCTTTCATTGGTGGATGGAGTTGTCACTGACGATTCGGATGTCTTTCTATTCGGCGCCAGTAAAGTTTACAAGAACGTATTTAATCAAGAAAAGTTTGTAGAATGTTACATGTCGAACGATGTTGAAAAAGAACTAAGCTTGGACAGGCAGCGATTGATCCAGCTGGCCTATTTGCTTGGAAGCGACTATACTACTGGGTTTGCAGGAATTGGTCAAGTTGCCGCCATGGAAATATTAAAGGAGTTTCAAGGCGATCCCGATGAACCGCCTCTCAAACCCTTACAGAGGTTTAAAGAATGGTGGGAGACTCCCATGCTACCCAAGGATGAAACGTCGGATTTCCGAAAGAAATTTGTAAGTGCCATCAAGGAATATACAATCAAACTCCATTTCTATTATTCCGCCATACTCACTTATATTTGCTTTGGTAGCGTAAGAGACACAGCGGTCTAGAAATTCCTGAAGACTTTCCGAATCCACACGTTAGAGAAGCATATATTAGTCCCCACGTCGATGCGTCCACGCAAGAGTTTGAGTGGGGAATGCCGGATCTGGATGCTCTTCGACGTTTTCTTTACAGTATGCTTGGATGGGATGAGAAAAAGGTCGACGGCTTAGTTGTGCCGGTCATCAAAGAAATGAACAGTCGAAAGGTAAAGGGATATGAACGGTCAATCTTCATTTTACTACTGTGTTTCATACATTAACGTGTTTGTCTCCTTAGGCTGCGGCGCAGGCGTCCATTGGGCAGTTCTTTGATGTTACTATTGATAGACCTGTTCAGCAGCCGGTTCGCAAGCGAGCGTACAAAAGCAAAAGATTGCAAAAGGTTGTACAATCACTCAAAGAGCAAGATCAAGCGGCTAGTAAGAAAAGAGCAAAAAGTGGCGACGATAGTAAAGACACTGCCAATTCGCGCTCTACCAAGCGTAGATAAAGCAGACCTTGTGTATATATTGTGTGAAAATAAAGTGGGGAAACGGTGAGGTAATACAATAACCTCACTCATTATGTACAAAAACCATATGATAGTCATTATAAGTGTATACGGGTAAGAGAATGATTAACGGTCCTCGCTAGCAAAGGGAGCTGATGCGGGTGGGCCAAAGATGCTGTTTTTGAACTTGTCGATATAATGATTAAAGTAATTACTAACAATCAGCATGGTAGTGGCTGATCTTTGGGATTTGTGCATTTTGGTCTCCAGCAGTTCAACTTTGCTGTAAAAATTAGTGACATTTTCCTCCACGTCTTTCAGCTTGTCGTTAATAACATTCATTTCGTAGAGCAACTTTGCGCTGCCGTCCTCAAGACCTTTTACAGTACTTTCCATTCGCGCTTCCTCCTCCAATATCTCATTAGCAGCTGCTTCTGTTTCCTATATGTTTATTAAAAGGTTGAGTCTATAGCCGTGTCGCTTTTCCCATCCTACTGTGATGAATAACCCACCTCAAACATCTGCTTTCTGTGAAGCCATGTCGCCTTTAATCTGCGGGCTTGCTCTTGATACATTTGTGACGTATGCTGTGATATCTATGCAGTCAGTATTAGGAAGCATAAATGGTTTGAAAAACAAAAATCTACTGACCTCTAGCTCTGTGACAGCGGCAGTCAATTCAGCTTGCTGATCAAGCAGTTTGTCATACAAAATATAGGTCTTTACATCCATTGTCGCGTATTTTCTGTAATACCATTGCAAAACCAGTTAATGTGAGTTGAGTAATGTGCTAAAAGGTGAAACATTAGGGAAAAGCATACATTACCTTGGAATCTGGGTTAACATCGGTACGGAAGTGAAAGAATGGGCGCGTTGGAAAAGCAAAGAATGCTTTTTGTTGTAAACATCAACATCATCTGTATCTGAGAACACAATGGCATGTCCTTCATCCGCATCGTTGTGTAGTGAATCATCCATTGGCTGCGAAGATACCGCCATAGGTAGCATACTATCAGATACGGATCGTAGCATTCTGGGTCGGGATTCCGCTGCAATTACTTTGACAGCCGGTGTCTCCGCTTGGTGGGGTACAGCATCGTGGAATTCCTCGCTCGGCGTCATTGGGGAATCATCGTCTGCCGTTTTCAATCCTGTCAACTTGCTGCTAATATTAGAGGTTTCCGTTCCAACTCTTGATAACTTCTTATTAAACGCAGAAGGAAGATCTAAGTGGGCAAAAGAAAGGTCAAAAACGTTCAAAGAAACGGTTGGAGCTCGCATGTAAGAGATCTACCTTTATCCAAGAGCTCTAAAGAAGGCCGCGCACTGTCTCTCTCCGAGTCTGACGCCGAACTTTGCAAACATATTAATATTACATACAACTTTGCGAAACAGCAATGAAATTGAAGGCAATACGGACTCATCATTCTCAAAACCAATTCCGGGTGACTGTGGAGGTGATCGTAATCTAGATTTGTCTTCAAGTGGAGCAGACGGAGAGCCTTGAGGGGATATGGACAAATCGGAAGTCGTTGGAAATTTCTGCAAGGCTTCTCTAGAGCTAGCGCCACCCGGATGAAATGTTCGAGATTTACCACTTCCTCTGCGAGTCCTCTCTTCAGACGGTAGCCCTGGAGCCCAGCCGATATTGTCGTTCATAGAGTAATTATACCAGGTACTTTTATTAGAGTTGTGCCTATCGAACCTGTTGCGAGGATCATGCGCTGCCATCCTTGTGAAAGAACCAGCTACCTTGGATATCATCCCAGCAGCTACCTCGCTTGTTTTGGTCTTCATTGATTGTAAGCATAATTGATTACACACTATATGATAATGTACAGATGACTGCTTACCGTTCTCGCCGATACACCCCGAAGAAGAGACTTGCTTCCTTGAATCCAATCAACAGGAAAATCGACATCATAGTTGTTGCTTCCCTTCAATCTTGGCCTCCAAATTACGCGAAGACTATCGATGGTGGCATGCCTCGAGAATATATCTGGATCCGAGGTTTCACTAACCAAGGGTGAATTGCCCATGCCTAATTTTGAACATTAGCATGTGTCCATTATCAATAAGATACATATGATGTAGCAAACTAGTTACCAGAAATATCATCCAGCTTTGATTTTATGGCCTTCCTGACTTTTAAAGGTCCCAGGGTGTACTGATCCAGTTTTTCCAATGTGGGAAGGTCAATTGCCCCTGTCCGTAGTAGACCCTTGGAACGCTGTAAGTATGTGAAAAACGTGGGTCAGCGTATGAAGAAAACCCCATGAATATCCAGTCAATGTTATGCATGGCATTCTACCTGAAAATTAGCGATGTTGTAGGAAAATGTCTCGTGGTCCGTAAAAGGATCTTTAACCGTCTGAGAGAGATATTTGTAAAGAAAAATCAGCTCGTTGTTCTTTGATTTAACACAATTTTTTGATTGTTCTTACAGTAAATCCTAGGTTGTAGAGCTTTTGGCGACACATTATGAGTTTGGTGATTAGAGCTGTGAGTAAGTGTGGCTCCATCCAAGCTTCGCGGATCTAATTTCGGAAAGGTAAGGTGAGAACAAGGCGACGTATCGAAGCAACGGTAACAATACTACCTCTTGTATATCTGCTGGATTATATTCCCTGTAAAAGCTTCCAAATGCCTTCATTGTTTCATTACACAGCAGCCCGTCTATATACTCTTTCTTCAGTAGGTGAAATAGGAATAATGCAGTCTGAGCAACCGTCACCAAATTGATCACCGCATCGTCAAACGGTACGACGTCTGAAATTCGGTAAAGGGATCTAAACTTGTCCTGCGACGCTTGACTGTTATGTTCAAATGTTAGGTTGAGGAACAGGTCGTAGCGGTCTTTATACTTCGTTAAACTCACTTTGCATGGTTCAGATTGAGAGCACTACGTCCTGTGCAATTGCATTTTCGTAGATTGATGTTGACATACACTTGCTTTATACATGCTTCGTAGTCACCATCCGGTATAAGTACCATGTCCATATCGTATTCGCTAGGATCTGTTAACATGATTTCACCAAGTCGAGTCTAAAGATCAATAGAAACATGGTTACACTGCTGTCAAGCGGATGTGGATCAACTTGATTTCAGTATCAGCTTACAGATTTTGGTTTTAGAGAACTGTCGTTCCTGAATATCTCTAGATGCGAGCGCAGCTCTGCATTGGGATTCTGTAGATCGGCGCTGGTGATCGCAATAACGCAGACTTTGATCTAAACGAATTCAGTCATCAGTATCATCAATGTTAGACTATGTGCCAGGGAAGTCCGACATACCCTATGCGAGGGATCTCCAGTAAACACCTTGATGGCATTAGAGGTGACATTTCGGTCGCATATCCTGTGAATGAGTTGATAAGCAGGTTGGTGAGATTCAAAATTCTATTACTGAAAAAGCTTACCATTGTTCAACAACATATAACTGGTATCCCTCTAGCCACTCTTCTTCAGCGACAATACCAAGACCACAGCTATGAGCCAAGTTCAGGACAGCCCGCCGCTCGACAAATACGTGCTGCTTGGTGTCATTCATGCAAGCTGTGCAACTTCTGGGGATTCGAGGATGGGTGAATAACTCCGACTTTGTTAAGAATCAGGTCGGTCCAGCCAGCCAGCCAGCGATTTTCAAAGCCCTTCAAACATCCCAAAACTCTGATCTACGCTTTTATATCAGATCCCAATGGCATTGTTCGATAATCCACTGGCTTTAATAGCTTTGGTGGTCCTTGTTCTCGCCATCATAGCAATAGGTAGATGGAAATCATTATGGCTCTTACGGTAAACTGATCTTACGAAACAGCAACTAATCCTCAACACTCTCTCAAGGCTTGATTTTCATTGTTCAGAAGAAAGCAAATAACAATACATACTTAATTCTTGGAGCAACAGATGCCGGAAAGACTGCTCTATTTACTAGAGTAAGTTATAACGCTCTATTGGAATATTAAACACGTTTACTTTTACTTATGACTACCACGTTTTCTCGATTTAGCTTCGATATAACAAGAAGTCGCCAACCATCACGTCTATGAAGGAAAACGAAGCCACTATCCAACTTGTAGATGATAGCGTATGAAAATTGTCATTTATTTTATTTGTAAATGTCAACACAATGGTCTGAACTATCTATGTTTCAGGGAGCTGCAATCACCAAACAACCAATTCAACTCGTTGATGTCCCCGGGCATGAGCGCTTGCGTTTCCGATACGCAGACTTTATGCCCATCGCCCGTGGTGTTATCTTTGTTGTCGACAGCACAACTGTTGGACGATCCGCTCGTACCACTGCCGAGTAAGTCATATATATGACCTTATTTTCAGTATTTGACGGCCGTGATCACTGACTTTGTCATCAGATACTTGTACGATGTCTTGGCCAACCAACACACTACCAAGTCTCGAATCCCAATAATAATCGCTTGTAACAAGACTGATTTATTTACCGCTTTGCCTACTAGCAAAATTCAGACTTTGTTGGAGGCAGAAATGTAAGTTGAGGAGATAGGGCTGTGGATAACCAATTGGATGGTCAGAATATTGACCAATAGCGCATATGGACGACCATAATTAACGATCTATTTCTCACTAGTAACCGACTGAGAGCAACTAGAAGTGCCGCTGTTGAGCAGCAAGAGTCATCCGGAGACGCTATAGCTGACTATTTGGGGTATGAGGGTCAAGACTTCAAGTTTGAACATTTGGAAAACGATGTCACCTTGATCGGATGCTCTGTTGAAAATGGAGATCTCAACAGCATAACTGAGTGGATTGCAGATTTGTCGTAAGGCAAGATGCCTTACGTAGATTATCCAAAATTTTATGATTGTAAATTACTTGTAGACGTATCGTATCATCACACTGTGATATATCGCCATAGTCTAGAGACAAAAGCAACATTTAGCAATACTGGCTTTAAACAAAAAACCAAACACACACACAAGAAGACAAACAATAAAAACATAATGATAACAAAACACCTCTCACATGTTCAACCTTTATTTCACAACACGAACGATGTATCGAGATACAGTGGCGGCAATCATGCTCATGCAACCACCAAAAGCAAGAACATAAGTGATTCCACTTTTTGCTGGGTGCGCGGGATCTTCAGGAGCCACGGAGCCGACGACGACGAAGATGACTGCAGCGATGATAGCAACTGCAAATTGGGGGAATACTATATACATGTTGTGAACTCCAAGAATAAGTCCGGCATCAAATTCTTCTTGGTTCTGCTCTTCATCTGCTTCTTTTGGTAAAGGAGACGAAGGGGCAGCGGCATCAGTAACGGCTCCATAATTAGCTGGAGTAATGGATTTTTTCTTTCGCTCATCTTCATAACTGACGTATTCTCCCACAAGTGAAAATGGAATCCACAAAACTATAGCCCAAGGAATACCCATGGTTGTGAGTACTATTGTTGCCCCAGTGACGGTTTCAACGTAAAAGGAAGACAAAAGCGCGATGGCAGATACGATATGGCCGAAGGTGTAAATGTTCTTTAAAGAGAATATGGAGTGCTTGGACACACCATCTTTGGTAACCAACATGGGCAGAACGACGCCGGCAACCACAGAAGTGATAGCGTAACAAAGCATCGCAAATGATCCGGCACGGGTACCTCTAGCCCATTCGTCAGGATTACTGCCATCAGTGGGATGGGTTTGGAAATAAATTTCAGAAACCCATTCGGTGCTGGTTGAGAGAAAAGTTGAGTCGCATCAGTATGCAGTGTATATTGATGGTGATTTTTGGAGTCAGTTATATACAACTGAAAGACTCTGACATACCTGTAAAACAAGAAGGGGAACCAGCCCATCCAGGCAAAGAATTGTGTATTGCACAATGTCTGGATGGGTCGTGGGAGGAATCGGAAAGCCTTCCAGATGTATGCGAATGTATGATACCATGGTCTATGCGTGAGAGTTAGTAATTTTGTCCGCCATAATGGATTATCATCACATCTACTTACTGATCCACATCTTCAGGAGATGGTTCCTGGACTTGTTCTTTCGTTGTTAGACTGGTAATTGTTAAAGTGGTGATGAAAACAATGATGGCCACCACGCAAAACACCTTGACTTGAGTATCACCAAAGAAGGGGAGGATATGGACGAGATCCATGAATCCAGTAAAGTGACCAATGACGGTAGCGGTATTGCTGAGCCGGGCAGACCATGCATTTACTCTGTCTTGCTGCCAGAGAGGAGGGATGTCCAAGATAAGGGCTCTGCAAATAGCTTGGACTGCGTTCAACGTAAAGTCCAAAAAGTAAAAGCTTGATACGCAAATGATAATAGCCCATTGCCGCCTCTGCAATGATAAAATTGGCTTGTTAGATTGGAGGATTTCGGATAGCGATTAAGTTACTGCTTCCAACGAAAGTATAGTATTAAGTGAAAAGAAAATATCGCCGCTCTCTCCGTCTATTTAATATATGCCTTGGCAAGGAAGAGGTTGAGATATATATATATAAAAATAGGGAAATTACTCACTGCAGCCTTTTGAGATTCGTCATCTTCGAATGTACCATTAGCTACGATCCAGTCTGCCATATCACGAGCATAGGCAACACCGAGCATAGACAAACAAGTCAAGATACCAGAAACGAAAATGTAAGGGCGTCGCTTTCCGAACCGTGAGGTACATTTATCACTGAAAGCACCAATCAAAGGTTGGACTAACAAACCAGACAATGGACCAGCAAGCCAGACCAATGCCGTTAGTTCCTTGGATAGCTCTAAAGAAAGTAGGTATGGAGTGCCATAACTGTTGAAGAATTTTTTGTTTAATTTCACGGCCACTGCATTTTTCGGGGCATAGCAGGAGGTCTTGATGACCAGGGGAAGAAAAATACTTACGAGAGTTCAACAGTCCCTAAAAGAATGAAATGGATGCGCATCGAATTAATATACCTTTCCAGGCTGGCCATACGGGTGAAGCGGATGCAATATCAGAAAACAAAAATCCAATAGCTTACATGTGAATTGAACACCAGCCATGCAAAGGGTCAATAACAGAATCTGAGCTAGAGAAAGACCTTTTTGATCATCAGGCTGTGCCCCCACTTCAGAAGTAGGTTCATCTTCTTTGATCCAGGGTACTGTTCCAGCATTGTAAACAGTGGCATCAAAACTTGATCTTCTTCGACGGTAGGAAGGTCTTGAGAACGGGGGCTTGGAGCGGCCTTTGCTTGACGATGGCTGGCCTGGCAGAAGTGGCGCACTGTCAGAAGAGTGAGTCATCTTTGCGTAAAAGCGTTCAATGAGAAGGGAGGGTGGGATTACAGGAATTTTTCAATGGAGGGGTTTTTAAATGGCTATGAACGCTAGCTTTCCGTTCAATTCAGCGTGTCCTTGCTAGGATGGCTTCCCTATAAAAGGCATTTCCAGGGTTGTCAAGTAGGTGGTGTTGTTGTTGAGAGGGCAATTCAATGTACGTTCTGCTGGGTATATTCCCTGCCCTTGAGGGTCATTTGATACCCCAAAGACTGGCACAGTGGCAAGCGACGATATTTGGCCGAGGTCAAACAGTCAATTCCATTTGGCCACAGCATGCCTTCTCCGCGCGTCTATACCCCCCCTCAAAGAACAGAGGGGGTATGACCTGACGTCTCAAGGTACTTTTCTTTGCACGATATAGAATTTATTACTGTGACATAATCTATATCCTGTCTATCCTGCCCTCCTGGCCACACCTCCTTGGATCTATTACGTATTTCAGGTGGGTTCTCCGTGTTTATTGAGTGAGTGGCATTATGATTAGTAGCATAAAGTTTGTTCATTTTGTTCACAGCGGTAGAACACGGTTTTACTCACACTGGCAATAGACCATTACCATATGGGAAATTTCTGCGATCAGGGTCTGATAGATTTTGTCCCACACTGCAACGGGCAATTTTTCACTCAATAAGCAACTACAGCCTTCCGAATATGCGTTTTCGAGCAAGTAAAGCAGGCTTATTGAAAAGTAAACAATATCGGACGGACGAGGTCTCTGGTATGACCAAGCCAAAAAGTATTTAGACTCTCCTTTCGTTTGCAGTCTGCACAGTTAACCGCTTTTATGGCGGAGAACTCCCCACCGTGCGATAATATTTTCATACTGTATCTGGGATTCATTTTTTCTCTTAAGCTTTCCTTCTATTCTCTCCGTAATACAGTGGAGTAAGCCAATTTGACGCTAAAGCTTAGATCCCAATATCATGATCGATAACTGTTAAAATTGAACTATACTTTTTTGAAAGTTTTTAAATGCACTGATTATAAGGATATTTGTGTATGGTATCACCAATAAAATATACAATGGCTATTTTTTCTTTATGGACGACCCGTTGTGTGAACCTCATTGCTGGATGTCACATGATGGGTGAAACCTTCGGAGATGTCTGCGCCGCCTCAAATTAGCCGTCTACCACATAAAATCCCAAAAAGACTGGCAAACAAGCTTTTTCCTTCCGATTTTCGCCTTTCAATGAGCTTGCGCTCTTCTTTGCAATGACTGACATATCAACCCCAGTGGCCGTTAACCGTAAAACACAAAGCGCATCTACTTCTCCCGTCTTATCGAACAATCGACGTCGTCAATCATGGCTTCGAGGAAATTCTTTCCTATCGTTGTTACCGGATTTTTCCAATTCAAAGAAGAAACGCCGTTCACAATCATTAGGCAACGTACGAGCTTCCATTGACGCTCCAAACCACATACACTATGTCAACAGCGACTTCGACCCCACTGCAGAGCAAATACCCGGCAGTGGCCGGAGACGAAGTAGTGATCGAAGCACCATATCCTCCATTTCATCTTTGTTCGCCAAAGTTGCTCGTAAGAAAAACCCTAGAAAAAATTCCATCAATTCAGCCTTCACTCCGGCTGCTATCCTAGCATCCGATCAAAAACCCTACATCCCGTATGTGAGCGCATTCGATGATCATGTCATAGGTCATCGATGTTCACAAAAACGAAATTCAACAAGCTCGTCTGCGACCGCCGTTGGTGAATATCAAGCCAATAAGACATCCCCTATTTCATTATCCCCACGCATCGCCTATGTTGAAGCACTTCAGCCTGACAAGAAGTTGGATCTCGACGAAATTCGAAACGATGCTTATCCTATCGAAAATGACGAAGTAGAAGTTGATCGATTGCAAGCAAAGAATGATCTAGTCAAACTTGCCTTCGATGGGTAAGTTGGGGGGGGGAGGGAAATTGAAGCTAATCAGTGGACATCTTCTGACTTTGAAATGTTTTATCATGCAGTGACTACTGCGCGCCACTAGATTTCAATGCTATAGAGTATCCACGCATTCTAGATATAGGTATGCATATATGCTCTTCCTATTGTCTATCTACTGTTTATATTAACAACCGTTTTCCATTCAGGATGTGGAGCTGGAAGCTGGTGTATTGATCTAGCTCAGCGATACCCCGACGCCACTGTTTTCGGTCTTGATTGTCAAGATATCTTTCCCGATCCAAAGAACATCCCACCAAACTGCCACTTGCTAGTTCATAATGTTCTTCATGGACTCAAGCAATACCCTGAAGGCTGGTTTGACTATGTACATTGTCGCTTCATGATGTTGGCCTTCTCACCTGAACAATACGTACAAGTCATGAGCGAATGCCTTCGAGTCACGAGGAAGCATGGGTATGTGGAAGTGATGGAAATGGATTTACGGATATACGGAGATCCAACACCTGGGCCATTGACGCAACGCCTCAATGAGGAAGGTAAGCAAAAGTTTCTACCCATTGTCTGACATGAGTAACCACAAATTTACCTAACGTGTGAATTTTTTTTTTTTTTTTCTTTGTTTCAGTTATTCATGCTACCGAAGACTTGAGGTTAAGCCCAAGAGTAGCAAGAAACCTTCCAGGCCTTTTTCCAGATCAGTCGAAAGTATCCTCCGCCAACACTCGCTATCTCTCTATGCCTATTGGCATGTGGGGTGGTCGACTTGGTGTGTTGTTCAAGGAGGATCTGTTCATGTTCACTAAAAAATGCCAACCAGCTGTTGCGCAGGCTCGCAATATCCAGCAGCGTACAGAAGAAGAATTTCAGAACGAGATGGAGAGAGTGTCACGTGAAGTCGAGGTTTATAGGTGCTTTATGAATTTTCACGCGTATTGGGTCGAGAAGGCATGATAACGTCAAACATTCCCGTCGCACCAACCGTTTGTTGAAACGTTTGTATATCATCTGACTCAACCGTACTATCCACCCTGTCTTTTTTTCTTATACCAATCTTTTTTGGTTGTATTTAATTCCGCTTACACACTCACTTCATGTGTATTTTTGTCATCCACCATATTAATTCTTGGTATGATTGTTGTACCTCCGTTTTCTCTAATCATTCTCTTTTTGTTCTTGCAAGTAATACCCATCCAGTTTTTTCCTTCTTCCCATCGTGCTGAAAACAGCATGTACATTATAATTATCAACATGGAGACATACGTTGTAAATATAAATCACTTTGAACTTTTTGTGTCATCATTTTCCAATGTCAACTTGAGATGAAATCAAAAACTTTAATAAGAAAGGGAATAGAGTAGGATGTAAGGTCAATGGTAAGGAAAGTGTGATGATAAGAAAAAATGTTATGCTACAAGGGAATTATGCTTGCGAAAATGGAAAAGAAAAAAAAATGGTATCTGAAACCGGTAAAACGATGGAAATGAATGTATGCCTAACATGATGGAAAATGCTAAAAAAAAAAAAAGGGACTTATTGTCCTTCTCGAAGTTTACCCCATTCTCGACCTTTGGCTATCACGATGACGAGCAAGCCAGACGAGAGAAAGAGCACACCGCCGCAAATGGTATAAAGAACGCCGTCGCCCAAGGCATCGTCAATAGCGGATGCAATCAAGGCACCGATTCCCGCCATAAGGTATCGAACAAAGTTGTTGCAGGCTGTTGCTGAGGCTCCACGAGTACGGAAGCAATCCACAAGATAAGCCGTAATGGCGACATTGGGAATCATCAAGGCAAAACCGACTGCAGAATACCAGGTGAGTACAAAGGGATCTGCACACAATTGTTAATGCAAATCCACACTTACGGAAAAATTGACAAACAAGCCCCCATGCAAAATGAACGTTCATTTTAATGCACCAGCCGTAAGCAATGAAAGCAAGACCTTCAACAGCAATGGAGGTCCACATAACCCAGCCGCCCAATCTCTGTTCAGGCCAGCTTTCGCCATTGGCTTTGGCCACTCTGGAACGATAAAGTTTGTCTGAATAACGACCACCGAAAAGGCCGCCTGACATCGCCCCAATGGCTTGAGGGAAATAGCATAGTCCAACAATGCCACTGGAAAGTCCGTATTGCAGTGTATAAGTACGAGTGAATGTAGTGTTGACCAGATAGAAGAACATAAATCTGTGAATGGAGAAAAGATTCGCGTATGTTTATGTCAGAACCCAACTTTTCTATTTCCATACTCAGATCAAAATGCTTACGTGAAGGCCACAAAGGTGACAACCAGTTGGATGTTTTTGTATCTCAAGATATCCAATGCTTGCAATGGATTGACACGGCGCTTCTTTTGCGTAGGAGCCGATTCAACTTCTGTTTTTTCCTTTTCATTGGTGGTAGGTAATTTCTCTGGAGGTGGTGCGGGTCTGAATGTTTCAGGCAGCAAGAAGAAGATACCACACAGCAGCAGGAACGAGAAAATCACCAAGAACCAAAATGTACTACGCCAGCCCAAACCTTCATTGAGATATCCACCTATAATTGGTCTGCATGGATGATGAGCATTTGCAATAACCATGCAACACACCAGTAGTCTATTCACTGCACTTACCCTAGAGCAGGTCCAAGAAGAGGTCCAATGGTATACCATGAAAAAGCGCGACCACGTTCATGAGGGTGGTAAATATCACTGATAGTACCAGCTCCTAGTGACATAACCTGTTGACAATGGGTGAGTCAGAGGTAAAACGACAAGATGTAAAGAGAGTGATATGTTACCGATGAGGATCCAATAGCGCTAAAGGCACGGAAGGCAATCAGCATGCCGATGTTGACAGACAGAGCGCATCCAATACTGCCAACCACATAAATGGAGAACGAAATCAAATAAATGTTACGCCGGCCTAATAGAAATGCCGAAAACGGGTAAACCATTGTCAACAACATATTTGGGAAGCAAGACATTCAGATCGACAGAATTTTTATTTTCCACTTACCATAGATGTCACCAAAGCTTGCCCACATGAGCGGCTAAAGATTGCAAGGTTTCGGTCAATTACTTAGAAGCTGCGAGCATGAAGTCAAAACGTCTACCACTTACAAAGAAGGCTGTAAAAAAGGTGAATATGGAAACTGGATGACAAAAGTTTAGAATCGGGGTTTGAAGCTAGTGCCAGAGCCATTTTTTTTTTCGTTTTATATTTTTTGTATTGGTACTTACGACTGGCATTGACAGCTGTTGCCGTCGTATTAAGCTCTTCTTGCACAGTGACCAGTGCTGGATACTAATGTTGAAAAAAAAGTGTATGGTATATTTTGAGTTTCAAGTAGCTGAAGTTGATGATAAACAAATCTCACCAACTTACGTAGATAGTCGACGAAATAGGAGAACTGCGTGTGCGCATTAATGCAGGTCAGTGAGTGTTTTCAACGCAAAGGAGACACGATTAGATTGCTTACTTACATTGAACCAGCCAAGGCAATGACGGCGGTGATACTGATCTTTTTCTTACTGGAATACGTCTTTGGATCAACGTCCATGTTACTCGATCTTCCTCGCCACCAAGCTTTTTTAGCGTTAGCAGGCTGCATTATGGACGTATGGGAGGCAGATATCGATGCTGCATCATTATCTGTGCATTTTTGCTTATTGACAGAAGCTAAGCTGCCAGATTTCTCGTTGTCCGAGTAAACGGATGTAGGTCGGCTAGCTTCTTCGTTGGATAATACCGCAGCCTGTAATTCGGTGACGGCGACTAGATCAGAACCGTGTCCAATGTCAATGACAAGATCTTCTTCGATTCTCGTCTTGGACGACTCGTTTTCATCCGACATGGTTTTGATGTAAGAAAGAGAGAAGAGAAACGATGATAAATCAAGGGCCCAAAAAAATTTATAGACTAAATGACTCGGATAGCGATTTATCCTCAAAATCTTTTTGGTTCCGACCACTTTATATACCCGTGGAAATTCGTATAGCCGCTTTGTCACAAACCTTCAGCCACGAGTTCATTGCCACCATTTTATTTTCATGGTCGTACGTTCGCGTTTCTATAACATGGTCTAAAATAGTATTGAAATGAACAGTATATATACACATGGGATATGATCCAGCACCTCATCATGTTGACTTGGACTTCTTCTTTGCAATGACATAGTATGTTGTGCCCAGGTGCCATCGGCTGACCTTCTCAATGTCTAATTCGCGAGTCACTCTTTCGTCTTCAAATACACTCATGAAGTCACGATTCCACCAACAGCCCCATTTACTAACGTGTTTGTCGGCGTTCTTGTCCAGTAAATTATTGAGCCAATCGTAATGTGATCGACCGTGCTCGAGCAAGAGAATACGAGCGTCCTCGGAGTCCTTGCACGCATTGACCATGCCTAGGATGGCTTCGACTGGATCTGAACACGAGCATAATCCAAAGGTATCAATGACAGTGTCAAATTTCATGGGTTTGCCATCATCCGTGGTCAAGCTTCCAATTTCCTGCACATCCGCTCGTTTAAAAGCTACAAAGGCTTTTTTGAAATTGCTGTTGTATTCTTCGAATTTCGACTTGGCTTCCTCTAACATGGAAGGACTCTTGTCGGTGAAAGTAAGGGACGTGACGTGATCAGGTTTATAGTGTTCAAAGTTTCGACCAGTTCCAGCCGATACTTCTAGAACATCTCCCTAAAATGGAGTGGGGGGTCAGTGACATATGAGAGGCGAGGACGTGGAAAATTCATAGTACCTTCGCTTTCCCAATCAACCATCGACGGAGTAGTCCAATGCCCATCCAAAATTCATCGGTGGCAATCTCCTTGTCATAGTCGGCTGCAATTTTGTTCCAAATCGTGCTTGTATCAAAGTTACCAGGCGTCAATTCCGAGTCCTCCACTCCTGCTTCTCGTCTTTCAATGTCATTTTGTGTGTCTTGCTTGCTTTTGTAAACTAACATGGTGGTATAAGTAGCTCCAAAGTAGAGCAATGCTCCTCCAACGACAAGTGGTAGCACCTTTGGCCGGAATCGTGGGTTTGCATCGGCCACTTTGCCTGGTATTGGCTTCAGCACACTGGGCTGCACCTTGGGTGGCATCCGAATCGGACGTTTGGGTTTCGCCATTTCTTGTCTTTGAAAAATAAAGAGTAGTGTGTGTCCTTCAATTTTTCTAGGGATTTGTGACGCGGAAATTCCTTTCGCCCGCCCTGCCTGCTTCCCTTCTTACCAACTTGCATGTTAACTGCAATTCGGAAACTCGGACTTGCGACGAACTTTAAAGCGAACATCCATTTTAAACCATTCCCAAATCCAGCTCCCTGCTCACCTTCTTTATCTCGACCATTTCACTCCAACATGCCACCTCGCGTCGTTGTTACTAGAAGACTCCCCCCAACCGCTCAAGCTGCGCTTGAAAAACTCGACGCCGATATTTACCAGTGGCAAGAGGATTGCGCTATGCCACGGGAGACCCTACTGAAGGAAGTCAAGGGTCCGTAAACATCTTCTGATCTAGACTGATAAGAGCAGTTTGGACTTAGCTGACGCCTGCATGACTTTATTCAGGTGCACAAGGCATTCTATGTATGTTGACAGACAAGGTGGATGATGAATTGCTCGACACTGCTGGTAAGTCGTGTGAGCCATTCCGCGAATTTTCTTCAGATGCGTTTCCTTATATGTTATATTGGATCTCCGTGTCCCTACTATGTCACTATAGGCCAGCAATTGAAAGTGGTGTCAACCATGAGCGTTGGCTATGACCATGTTGACATGGAAGCCATTAAAAAGCGAAAACTTCCTTTAGGGTATACACCGGATGTATTGACTGATGCCACTGCCGATTTAACCGCGTTGCTTACTCTTGCAGCTGCCAGACGGATCAAAGAGGTTAGAAATTGTACGTGATTATGAGCAGTTCGGTTTATGGAGATGCTAAACGGCGTTTTTCTATTTAAAAAGAGCATAGATGCCGTTAGAAATGGAGAGGTAGGGAATCGTGCAATTTGTAACTCTTTCTGTCAAGGCACCGTAGCTTAACTTTTGTGATAGTGGCGAGAATGGCGTCCCAACTGGCTTTGTGGTAGCCAATTTACACAAAAGACACTTGGTGTTGTTGGCTTGGGAAGAATTGGTGAAGCAGTAGCCCATCGACTGAAAGCATTTGGTATCTCTCAAGTCCTTTACAGCGGACGCAGCGAAAAACCTGAAGCATCGAAAAGATTACAAGCTCAGTTCGTCCCGTTCGACGAATTATTAGCAAAGTCCGACTATGTCATTGTCTGCTGTGCATTGACAAAGGAAACAAAGGAAATGTTCAATTATGACGCGTTCAAGAAAATGAAACGCTCAGCCGTAAGTAGGATGAGCAGGTTGCTATTTTTGAGAAACATACGAATGGAATAATTTATTGTATAATGGTAGGTATTCGTCAATTCAGCCAGAGGCGGTATAGTACAGCAAGACGATTTAGGTATGGACATATAATTGTACGGATTGGAGGTTCCTGTCGGGCCGAAAAAATGTCTGACGGATGGTTTCTTTCAGTGAGGGCTCTTGAGGACGATTTGATTGCTGCTGCTGGTTTGGATGTTACTACTCCAGAGCCATTGCCACCCACCAGCAAGCTTTTGCAACTTCCAAATTGCATTGTCGTGCCCCATATTGGTAAGTATAACGCCGGCTTCGAATAATGAGGACACTCATTCTTGACATTTTTGTTATTGTTTTTTGGATAAATAATTAGGAAGTGCAACCTTGGAAACCCGGGATCAAATGGGTCTCATGGCGGTTAGGAATTTAGAGGCTGGAATACAGGATAAAGCACTGCCAACGTCAGTATTGTAAATGCTTGTTTAAAAGAATATAGTTGTTGTAATGGTGATGGTAATCTGTGATGTTTACGCATGTGAAAACCAGCGCCATGGTAAGAAGATGTTTGGATGTTGCTTGTAAAGTCTTTGACTTCTATCCTTTCTCGATGGTTGTGGGGGGTTGGAGTTGGAGTGTTGAACAATAACGTAGCTACATCGGAGAAGCTGAGCCATCGAGCAGGCGCATAATCCACATTCGAAACGCCCTTGTAGATACACGTTCTCGTGTGTTCTAATAGCCCAACGTACTGCATGCTGAACTTCTTCAGTCGAACCGTTTGTTAAAACGTACATTTGAACATTCTTTGTTCTTACAGCACGGTCAGTTGTACTATGGACAGCCTCCCATCCTGCAAGAGGAACTTCCTGTTCGTAGTTTGCTGAAGTGTTTTCCATATCCTTTCTGTTGCCAAACCTGTCGCATTTGCGATGTCTTGCATTATATGATTCCCTAATTCGGTGAACACAGCTGTTCATAGTAGGGCCAACGACATAGCTTCCTGGTTGGGCGCCGAGAACAAACCGTCTTACAGCGTCTCGATCGGATGGAAAGTAGACAGTTCGACCGATGATGCAAAATAAGTAGGTCGCGGCAAACGATGTACCAATCAAGACGGGTACAACGCTGTACCAAGAGGCTATAGAGGCAATAAGGGTGACATATTGCTGGAATACATCGCCTCCAATGAAAGCCATATTGAAGATTTGAGAGATCAAGGTCTGTGTAATGTTGGTCACTAATGAGCTGAAGTAGCTTTGGTTTGCTGTACAGAGTGTTCGAATGACACTCCACTGGCCACAGGAGAGAATATAAATCAAATCCAATCTGCGTATGAATGGCGGTATCAACCCACGGCTCTTGTCAATAGACACTGAGATAATGCTTGCGATACAGAATGAAAACAGCAAAGAGGCTAAGGAAAGCAAGCCATAGTAAATCGAGATTACTTGTCTTGGCGCCTGAAGTTGATAATTGAAAAGCCCAAATATTGTCATCGTTGCGCTCGAAATGATGCACGTGCACAGGATAAAGACTCTGAAACCTCGATATTTTCGCCGCTTCTTTCCAGCAAAGGTGGTTTGGACAGGAACACCAGTTACTGGATGGCAACGAGGTATATATTGCAACCATAGTTGACCAGCAACTTTGTCTTCATCCGTTACTGGCAGAAAGTCTTTATCTTGGCATACTGTAGATACCTCGCTATAGACGGTACTGTTTCGATCGATCGATACGATGGTTTCTGTATGGGATTGTACTTTATCTAGATCTGACTTTTCGTTATACTGGTAGTCCGTTTTCGACATGGCGACATGAAGACGATGTTGTAAAAGTAGAGTGGTGTGGCAACAAATAAGAAATTGAATTTTTTTAAGTCGGCTGGTGTTGAATTGCGCAGTAACATCATCTTGCCCTATCCAGGAATCTGGCCCAAGCCTTAAAGATCACTTGCATGGAACATTTTAAAAGGTTCGGTATATCTCAACACATTTATTGTCGACTCAGTTTTATAAAGAAAAAATCGAAGCTGTATTTACAGGGCAATGGTAAGAAAGAACTGGCAGGGAGGAAAGCAGCAACTGAGAACAATAGGTTACTTTGAAAACTGGAGTATTTTCAAATATAGAAAGAATACAAATGGTTCCAATAGAAAGGTGGTGGTGTGGACCCTTGCAAGCCTTTGGAAGGCATATAGCCTTTGCAAAGTGCTAATGGAGATGTTGAAAAAAAAAATGTAGTATGAAGGGAATTGAGTGAATAAAAAGAAGACCTCCCAGTAACGTCTATTCCCATGATGTTTCGACAATTTCCCTAACCCGTCTGACATATTCTTTGCGATTCTCCCTGTACAAATTAGCAGCCTCTGCATTGGCAGGAGAGTTAGGATTGGGATCGTGAAGTAGCGATTGAATACTGGTTAGAATGGCTGCAACATCGTAGGTTGGGCTCCATCTGTTCTGAAGAATGTCAAGGCAAAGTTCTCCATTGGCGTAAACGTTCTGTTGATCAAGATATATTACGTTACCAACGACATAACAAACAAATGCTTAAGCAAGCGGGATATTTACCGGATGAAACATTTTGCTGACGAATTTGACTGAAGGGGGCTTATTGGGCTGGATTGTAAAATAGTAAGTTGATCAAGCTCAACCTTGGCTAGAAAGAAAATAAGGCCACATTGAAAACAAAAGGTTTACTTACATAAGTTTCGTCGAACTGAAGGACAAGCTTGAAAGTTCCATCTTCAAAGGGAGTTTCCGCTATAAGAAGGGTATTAGGACAAGGGCTTCAATGGCTGCTGTCCAATTGAACAGTCATTTTTTGAACTACTCACCAGGACCAAAGATAACTGCATTCCATAGCATAATGTTATCTGGGCATGGGGCACCTGCATTAAGAAGGTCAGCAATAGTCATTTAAACTGGATCGACGAAAATGTTGCAAATCATACCAGAGATTCCAGCTGTGTGATCGATGAGAATGGCACAGTAGACGTTTAGTAAGACAGGCTGAACTTTGGCATGGGTTCCACTTGTGATTCAACAACAATTTGAAAGCTTACCAGGCGGATCCTTTTGGAGCCTCTTGAAATCTCTCATAAGACGTCTTCGACTTGGAGTTGACATGAATTTTACTATGTATTTGGGGGTAAAATGGAAAGCCAAATCCACTTGCGCGGCCGCCTTAAAAATGTCAGCCAGTCTGACTAGTTTGGATAGATCACGTGCCGCGAGTAGGGGTTGCAGCGGCGTTTCTCCCAAAAAAAAAAATGCGTGCGGCTGCAAAAGGAAACTGAGCTCCCAAAATTAATTGCGCTGCCGGTTCCTGACATGTCTGCAATTGTCAAACCATTGCCGGTCATCCAGGACACGCCTCTGACCAAGACAGATCAGCATCTACAGGGTCAACATATATACAATAGCAACATCTCGCCAAGTCAATACCATGAGCTAGCATCAGAAAAGGACATGTCAACATCTGGTCCGAGTACGAAGAGTAACGTTCTGTCGAGATTTTTGGCTAAGTCAAAATATAGACTATGGATCTTCATAGCATCCATAATTTTGGTGTTATTGGCCATTATTCTCGGAGTACTCGGTGGTCTGGGAAAGCTGTCACCCCACAGTAGCTCAGATCTAGCCGTTAGTGGACCATCTATCGGAGCAACCAAGTATCCAGGCACCAGCAATGGAACAGCTACTCCAGGTCATTTTGATATGTATGGATCTGGAGACGGAACTTACTATGGTACATAGCTTTGCTCAATTTAAATACTGCATAAAATAGCTCCTCATCTTTTTTTGTCATGTACTAGATCCAAGCGTCGGTATCACCGCATGTGGTACTTCCAACCTAGCCACCGACATGGTTTGTGCTTTAGTACGTATTTTCCGTATGATACTAAAACCTGATTGCTTTGAAACTAACCTACCCACCAAAAAGAATTATATTGATTATGGAACTTATGCCAACCCGAACGATAGCCCAGTTTGTGGTAAGTAAAAAGTGCATTATCGCCAGTTTCTCCTTCATAATGCACATGGCTGATCAACCTTCGGCTCCAGGTGCATGCATTGAGGTAACAGGTCCGCTGGGCACAGTTCAAGTTACCATACAAGATAAGGTACGCGAATTAATTTAATCATTGAAATTCGAAGAAATATACTAATAAGATTGACTGTGCGATTGTTTATCAGTGTCCAGGTTGTGGACAAGGTTTGTGCGCATGATCGCTTTGTATGTTCTCGTATGCATTGCGCTTACCAATGAAATATTTGATTAGGATCGCTGGATTTGACTCCATCTGCTTTCAACAAGATTGGAGACCCGACGCAAGGGAGAATTCCTGTCAGTTGGAAGCCCTGCTAAAACGGCCGAGCTACACTACAGCATAAACACGACACTCTCAACTCATATTTCACCCATCATTTACACTCTTACATTGTAATTATTGTATGCTTTTTTTATTTATTGTACCCTGCATATCCAATCTGCCAATTTTGTACTCGAACTACCTAAATAACCGCAAAAATAAAGCAAAAAAGCATCATGTCGTTCACTCATGTGAATTTCGTATACTGAGCATTGGTGACTGCACACAATTATACATAACCAATAGCGCGCAGTGTATCTCTTATGCGCGGCTAAAAAATGCAGTATACAATAGAACCACATCGTTCAATATACATTTAACAATTTTTATGTTAGTAGCTCCCAACCTCATTGCAATGTCACTATTTCAAAAGCTTGAAGAGTGATTATAGGACAGGAAGAAGAGCAATTCATAAGTAATGAAAAGAAACTTTGGAAGGAAGGGACAGATAATAAAGCAACCAGTAGGACACACTTCTTATAGACTAGAGCGATCATGATGTCAAGCTGCTGAGGGTTGCAGCATTTTGACACGTCGGACCGCATCACGCTTCAATGCGTGACAAGCAGTCACGCATGAAATCGGCTGTGGCCACGTGCACCCTTGAAGAAATTGGCGCGCCATTTCTTTGCGAACTTCACTAACTGCCGTTCATTTCTGCGCCGACATCATGAGTGAAGAGCTATCACACTCCATTATCAACGCCGGTACTGCTCCAGGTGCTCAACCTGTGTTTGACCTTGCGAAATTTTGGCAAGAACAGCTCAGCCTTGCCGATAACTTTGATTCTGATTTCAAAAATCACCCTTTGCCATTGGCGCGAATCAAGAAGGTGATGAAAACCGACCAGGATGTAAAGGTACGTAGTAATCGTACTTTATAAGGAACCAAGCGCGGAATTGGCCTGCGACATGACTTCTTCACGGTTGAGCTTGGAGCATGGTCCGACTGAACTAATAGGCATTGCAACACCTGGCTAATCCCTAAATATCTCTCATATCCATTTTGTCGCGATTTTGCTTGTGTATTACAGATGATCAGTGCCGAGGTATGCTTCATATGGTTTGATATGTTATGCAATTTTCGATCAAGAACTGATTTTCCTGTTGTACAAACTTTCACAGGCTCCAATACTGTTTGCCAAAGGTTGCGAAATCTTCATATCAGAACTCACTCGTCGCGCATGGTTCGTGATCTTTGTTACAGTAGCTTGCCAATTATTATATTACTGAGTCATTATTGTCAACAGGATCCATGCTGAAGAAAATAAGCGACGTACACTTCAGCGATCGGATATAGCTACAGCCATCTCCAAAACCGACATGTGTGACTTTTTGATCGATATTGTCCCGCGTGAGGAAGTATGTGAATTCATCAGTTAGACATGAACTATGATGATTATTTGATTAACTAATGCTGTTTGAAAGCAACAACAATCACAACAAGGTAACCCTGGATATGATCAGCAAACCACTTACGCTGCTGCGTACTATCCGCAGGCCGGCTTTCCTCAGTACACCGCACAGGTATAGACCACTATGAATCAGATTGAAGATGTTCAACCCGAGTATGATGTTAAAAGTACCCTTTATAGCAAATTGATGCCGCTGCATACTATCCACAACTGTCTCAGGTAAAATATAGCGATTTAGCATCATTTTGTTCTCAGTTAGGCGGCTTGGTGATATAGATTGTATCTGACACATGAATTCTCCTAAAGTTGACTCCAGAGCAAATGCAACAGTATCAACTCCAACTTCAACAATTTGCAAACCAGCAACACCCATATGCAACGCAACCAACAAATAATGCTTCTCATCAAGGTGCTTCAGGTAACCAGGCGCAAGGAGGAGGACCAGCAACTGGACAGCAATCGGCCAATGCAGCTGGAAATCCTGGAGGAGCAGGTATGAATATCTGTTTTTGGTTGGTTTGGAGCTGGAGTGATTTATGCACTGGTTAATAACTTGTAATCTTTTTTATTTACAGGCCAGACACGGTCACCTTCACAAGATGATCATTAAGATTAGAAACAATATGAATTTAATATCAATATACTTCGTTACGCTTTCCATTTACCTTGATCGACACATCGGTGTTGTGCTGCAGTGCAACAAGGGGTTCCGCTTCAGAAACTGCAAGTCACAACCAGTTACTTTTTTGTGCTGTGAAGCTGAGTACTGACAGCTCGACAGGATTAGCAATGCTTTCTAGATACGCGCGAGTCAATCCAGCTAAAGCTCACATCCGCAACCTATGGACGCAAAGAACTGCCTCTCGTTCAGAGCTGGCACAAGCTGTAGCAGTGAGCGTAGCCGACTTACCTAAGAAACCAATCGACGTTTGCGTCGCCCTTGTATCCCAGTCATTTCCCGCCAATGACCTTCTCAAGCTCAACACCGAATTCTTCAAACATATCAACCCTAAAATCTTCATCGGGGCAGTGGTTGACCGCGTGCCATCACCGCAATCTGGCGGTCACGGTCTCTCGGTGCTCATTGGCCAGGAGGAAGATGCCACCGCTTTTGTATTAGACGATACCGCGGACCGAAAGAAGTTCAAAAGCGTCAGCGTCGGGCGCTGGGGCAAGGTGCAAGATTTCAACCGCTTCAAGTATGAAGAGAACGATATCGAAAAGTTTGGTTGGGATGCCTTCAAAAGTGTAAGCACGAACGTACACGGACATGACCTGCTCCCCCAGTTACAAAATTTGTAAGACTTTGGACCGTTCATCCACAGAACTTGATATATCACAACCTCATCCAGTATTGTTAACTTTCTGTATCATTCCCTCATATTGCATAGAAAACAAACGCCCAAGTTTGCTTGGATATTATCCGACCATGAGCCATACCAGCTTATCGAAACCCTAGACTACCATTTCCCACAGGCTACCAAAGCTGGATTAATAGGTGCCTCTACACCATTTATCACTGGAACTCCATATACTTTATTTTATAACGAAAAAATGTTACCGGGAGGCTCCATTGGATTCGTGTCCTCTTCAGTGCCAAAAGTAAGATCCAGTGTCCAACACATAGCCTTGGAAGCCCTTGGTAGTCCAATGACTGTGACGAGGTATGTCAGGTGTAGAAGGGTAGTCGTGCTGAAAGGAGGGCCAAAATTAACATGCACTTCCATTAGATGCCGGGGTAACATTATATTGGATTTGGATGAAACGAGTGCCACCGGGTTGTTGTTGGACCTTTTAAATAAGGGCCACAATGCCAAAATTTCTAAGGACAAAGAGTTTTATCTTGGTGCATGCACCGAGGACGCCGGCGATAATGTACAACTGGTAAGGAAAACAATCCTGGAAGTACTAGTATGACCCATATGGAGTAACATATACATTTACAAACCTTAGACGTCAGTCCATCGTGTTACAAGTGGTGATCCATCCAAAGGAAACATGTCAATAGATACGACAAAGGATTTCCAAGTAGGTCAGAAAGTGCAGGTAAGCATGATCTGACATTATTGAAAATATACAAAAAATTATCCATGGGCTAACACCATGTCTTCATCTACGAATAGTTTCTCCACCGTGTGGATATTACTGCCAAAACCGAGTCTGAACAGTCAAATGGCGAACAAATAGTTTGTACGGTGGCAGAAAAGGATACCACTTATATCGGAAACAACTCGTTTAAACCAGATGTGAACTCAACAACATCCAATGTTTTCGGTGGAAGTAGTGAAAATGGAATTTTGGTTGGTCAAGCAGACCAGACAACGTATGTCTTGGATGCCCCTCACTCCGAATATACAGTTAAAATACAATAGAATGTACATGATAGGATTTTTTTTTCTTTTAATCAAGTGTCCTCTTAATAGAAATCTCAAACGTTAAACCGCATTACTAGTTCGTGGATTCGAAGTTTGACATTTTTGTTCGTTGACCAGACAAATTCGACGTCTCGCAATTGTTGTGTCGGCGTCATGTTGGCTAGAATATCATGTTAATCAAATGTATTTTCAGAACAGTCAGTCTCAGAGATCTCTTACCTTGCTCCGGGTTGGTGAGTGCAAAGTTGAATGCTTTGTAAGGTTTTTGTGAAGAACCCGCAGACGGTCGTCTCTCACTGTTCTTCTTGGAACCTCCTCCTGTGACGCTGGAGAGACTGTTGGCAAGAATACCAAATATACCAGGATTGGCATGCCAAATGAACACGTTTGCATCATGCAGCGAGCAGGTTATTATCCATTTACCATCAGGTGAAAAGGCAAGTGCGATGACAGTTGCAGTATGACCCTATAGTTGATAATATATGTTAGAGCAAAGGGAAGTAAAGAAGTGTGGTAGGGAAAAGCTATGCATTTACCTCAAGCACAAGACAACGCGTAGCTGTGCGAAGATCGTAAATGATAGAAGCTCCTTCTGGTGTACCAACAGCAAGTTTTTGGGAAGCGCTATGAAAGTCTACAAATGGATACCTAAATTGAGCGCAGTATGAGTACAATAAATTGAAAAGTTGCAAAAGCTCTTTTCAATATTTACGTTCGAACCAGTTCATGAAGAATGGATGTGGCTGGCTGTATGACAGAGTCGCGAACATTAGGAACATTTGGATCTAGTGTCTTCACAACAGCCTCCACCACGCGCGGTATACTTGAAAATAGTAGCTGTGGTCTCTGAGGAGAAGTGCACCGAGAATACATTTAGTGCATGTGCTATCATTATTTCAAATAAAATGCAATTTACCTTGCGAGCAAACATGTTGATGACTTTCATGCAAGCCAGTCTATCTTCCATTTTCTGTGCATTCATCATATCATATGTCAAGGTCCCTATCACCAATGGCATATGAGAATTGGCAATGTGGAATATAGCAGTACGAGCAGTGCGGTTGATCTGTAAAGACGACGCTTGACTGTCTCCTGCATACATAAAAAGTGTTCTCAGAACTTCGGATGACTTGATGTAAACTTCCCAAGTGGAAAATCCTTCTGAGAGTAACTCCATGGATGCAGTCAGTCGTGCTGCTACAACTTGTGAAATAGATCCATGCGATGTTGTATTCTCTTTCGATTCACTAATATCCTGCTCAGTATCTGATAGTAACAACGTCAGTGAAAGGGCTGTTTCCTTTCTTGTTCTAATTTCAAAGGCTTAGTAAGAGAATTATTTTAAATACGAAGATGGAGTGGCAACTTACTCAGGTGCAAGAGCCTCAGGATTGTTAGAGCCAATTATAGCCAGAATAATTGTCGCACGAGCCATGACTTGTTGTCCGACAGACTCGATGTCACTGGAGGTTGGTACTGCAGTAGGAAGTTCAATGTAAGAAAGATAATCATTGAGACAGGTCGACAATAAATCAACTTACAGAAACGCTCCCAGTATTCTATGACCGCTTTCTTTTCATCATCCTTCATCTGGCAAAGTGCACTGGCAAACAAAGCTCGTGCTGTTGAAAAATTTGTATTAGCAATGAGATGACATGTTAAAGAAAATGGGTTGTTGAGAAAAGTGCTCACCAGAAGTATCTTGCCAATATTTGCTAAGGAACAAGAAAGATGGGAAACAATAACCGGACCCAATCCTATCAGGAAGGAGCGTGGTATAGTGGGTCATAAGTTCAATAGAGAGGTCCTCTAACCCTGTCATGATAGAAGGCGTTTACAAAAGTCGCATAGTAGATCACAAGCTAGAATCAATCATACCTGAAACGCTTAGCATTGATCGAACCAGTGTCACAACTGCCATTAGTCTTGATGCAGTAAGAATAGGCGATGTCTTCCAATACGTGGTTTCATCTTTACTTGGAATCATGAAAGAGAAGTTGCCTTCAACACTATTGAAAGAAAAAGAGATAAAAGAATTTTGAGTCATGGCAGTATAATAGATGACTACTCGACATTCATCATAACGTACCCTCGAAGTCCAACGGTGACTTCTGGTCCCAATCTTTGTAAGCCAAGCCTGTCGACGCAGGTATTCTCGAGCTTTTCGTCTATTCCCCAAGACATTAACGCAGAAACAATGGTCGCATACAGTTGAGCACGCACTGAATCTTTTGCCGTATTCCAATCTACCGATTGCGTGTCGTCTGGTACGAGGTCAGCAATGTGACTATCGTCTACGCTCAGACTGAGGTTTCCCGTCGTTCCGTTAGATGTACTGGACTGTAGCGCATTTTTTGCATCTGATCTCATGTTGCTCACTAAATGTCGCAGATTAACGGCAAATACTTGAATAAAAGGTACTCTGGCATTTCCTAAATACATAAACAAACTGTTAACTGCTGGCTGTATTTCATGTATTTCTTATCAACTCACTTACTGTTGTTTGAAGACGAGACAGAAAATGTCGTGCACATCCGCTTGAACGTAGTTGGTCTGTCATTGAGTATATTATTGACCTGGCTGAGTGGCCAACGAGCATCCGCAAGGACATTGGTCGCGGTTGAGCCAGTAAGTTTGCGATCCAAATGGGCAGTTTGCATCTATAATTCTGTCACATTAGTCTGTGAGGTTTATTCGCTAACGGTAGCCGCCATAGATATTTTACCTGCCACACCAGAGCCGTGTCATCTTGATAAGCAATTATAAGATAATCCTCAGTATTTCGCCACTGGATGCATTTAATGGAATACGGGTATCCTGGTATAATGTACAGACTGGAAAATGAGATGATGAGTAACATTTTCAAATCTCCATTGGATATCAGATAGAACTCATTATATACCAATTCATCTCTTCAAGGGAAATGAGCGCAGCGGAGTTGTCCATGGCGATAGAAACTATACATCCACGAAGTCTTGGTCCAACTTGTTCTGCCGGTTCAATGAATTCCTTCACAGGAAGAGCATGTACTGTAAATGTAGCAACCAATTTGCCGTCCCTACATGACGTGATCCTACTTTAGCAATAGGGCCAAGATTCCTTTATACTATGATGAACTCACTCAATGTTCCATATCTTGACAGCACCATCTTGGCCGCCAGAGATAAGGCGCGAAGTGCCAAACACCTTTTCATCTGGAGCATATAGGCTTGTCACCTTGCCATGGTGAGCGTGCCGGATCACCTGGTGTTTATCTCCATACTTGTCTTGGAGAAGCGTGTCTATTGATGCCAAGTGCATCAAAGCCAAAGACAACGGAAGGACTACTATGGTACCGGAATCTTAAGGATATGCCATCAGTAATATTAGTTATCGTTTCAAATGGATGTTAACAGGTAGACCGTGCACTCACCAAACCCAATAGCAAAGTGCTTGTCGTTGATATTGATAGTGGCAATGACATTTCCAAAAGAATGACTTTTGTTTTTTGGCGGTATGGGCCACAAGCTATCACAAGTAGCACGCGCACATTCTATGTTGTGATGTATGAGTTCCCAGGCTTATACATGTGTCGTTACAGCACCAAAAGACAAGTTACCTTTTGCCTCCAAAGACCTTTCGCTTTGATTTTGAACGTTCCTGTGGATGCTTCTCACTAGGAAAGCTGATTGCTTGCTATGATTATAGAATGATATTTGTAATATTACATTATCGCTAAGTTTTTCGTGTGGGACTTGTACAACACAGGCCATGCAACCCAATTGTAGAGGGGACGCTGCAAGGAGAAATTTAGATACATTGTGCAGACAAAAGGACGATATTCAAATGGTTTACCATCGTTTTCAACTACGTATTTATCCAACAATTGAGAACTGGCATTCATGATCAGTCAGTAAATTGGTCGTTAAAATTCATGGTTAAGCCTCATTCATTTGAATTGCCTACCTATAATACAATTGACCCTCACTGGTGACGATATTGCCGGCACCCACACCTTCCGGAGCTTTGATTTCATATGTACATATACATCCATCCTAAACAGTAGACCTTCAGTCACGAAAAATCCATGATACGCTTCATTCATAAAAACAAAACAGTACAAACCGTTGTGCTCAAGTACAGAATACTTTCACCGATGAAGCCTCCGCTTGAAAATTGAGATTCGCCTTCTGCTTTGAGGGATATATGCGGGATGGCTTCTGATTTGCTTAATTGGAAAATCTGGGCAAATATTTTAGTCGGTGCGTAGAAGGTGAGAGTTGAGACAAGAAAGATGTTAACATACGATGGCAGTTTTCGTGGAAATAGCCAAGAAAACATCAGGCTGTGCTGGATGATTTCGCAACGTAATGATATTCCCTTCCAAGCCAGCCAAAGTGAGGTTATCGTATTTATGCTCCTTAGAAATGACCTTCTTTTCCTTGTCAAAGAACCATACCGCCATTGTCCCGTTGTGAACGTACGTGAGAAGTCGTATATTGTTGGTTTCTGTTCGATCATTCGTCAATGTCTACGACTTTTAATGGGCCACAGCTTTTCACTCAAAACACACCTGAATCATGAAACATAGTACATGTCACCCAGTCCTCGTGCCCGCCCCATACTCGGACAACCTGCAACAATCACGGTAAGTCAGCTGCTAGAGAATTACTGCAAAAGTCAAGTAGACATGCCTTCAGCGTGTTGGCGTCCATGATGGTGATTTCATTTTCAAATCCACAGCAGAACACAAACTTATGTGGCTCATCCTGTCAATAAACACCATTAGCAAGATTTTGGGTGCCGCATATAATATGCTTATAGATCGACGCCATATCGTACGTTTGTAACATTACTGCGAACGTGGAGACTACGCGGAATACCAAAGAACCCTTGGCCGTTAGCAGCTAGACAGCGACCATCAGCTGCATTCCAGCGAATGATTTGGCTACAATATAGAAAGAAACTAATGAGTATCTTCAATATATCAATCGTTTACGTCTAGAGAAGTCTTTGTACCCGTCTTCAGAGGCGCTTATCAGGACATCATCGGTTTTTGAAACAGAGTCGGTCTCCGTGGTAGCCAAGCACATTGCTACAACACGAGTACCGTGGCCTAAGAGTAGCAATTTGTACGAGAGCTGCATTCCCGTGTTGTGAGAACAATGTAATTCATGGAATTGTCATGTTTACACCAGTTGTGGTATCCTGTCATTGAACTGTACCTCGAATTCGCCATTGTCGCCCGCTGACAGGGAAAACACCCAGATTGTACCGTCATTTTGACCTGCAAAAACGTGTGGCCATCGAGATATTAAGCATGTTGTATGAAGATTGGGAAAGTTGTGCCAAACTGCTATTGGAACCACCAGTGACGAGGCCATAGCAAGGAATATCCTCGAGTCAGTCTATGCGGTCTGCAGGTCAATATGAAGTCTCCGCTTTTCAACTTTTCGGGAGCATTTTTAAATTTTGAATTTTCAGTCATCCTGTAACGTTTGTTATAATATTTGTGCTATCATTTGTGCCATCTGCTTTTTTTCAATCAATCAATATCTTTTTTATTTGGATTGAGCCTGGTACGATTGCTACAGAAACTAAACACATGTACGAGAAGAAGAAAATAAGAAAGAAAAAAACTGAAAAACATGAGCTAATGGAAGGTTTTCCTATTCGAACTTTCATGTGTTGTCAAAGGTTCGCGCAAAGTGTAATTTGAACAGATTAACGACCGCGGAATTGATCACGGTTATCCTTAAAGAAGTTCTTCAAGCTGATGGGCTCATTGCCGGTGACCTTGCGGATGTCAGAAGTAACCTGGTTGACCTGGTTTTCTCTGACGAGTTCCAAGTAATTCAAGGTTTGATTGATAACAGCATCGGTGAGATATTTGCCTTGGGGAATGAGGTTCTCCTTGTCGTGCTTGGTCTGGGAGTCTTGTGAAGACTTCTCAAATACTTGCATGGAGGAGAGGAGCATGCGCTGGTCTTGGCGAATTTGCTCAAAGTACTGCTTCATTTCTTCCTTGGAAATGCTTTCAAATTGAATTTGTCTGCCTTCCACGGCACGGCTGAGTTCATTGGCAATTTCCCGAGCGCTGATAGCATCTCGGCCAGTGAATTGGAGGGTCTTCTGATTGTACTGTTCGCAAACACAGAACTCTTCATCATTTTGGTTCTTGCAGGCTACTTTGACACTGGCATCCAAGACATCGTTCATGCTAACAGGGGAAAACTTGCTGTCTTCGTTAACATTAAGACGAAGCTTGCCATGGTCTTCAATCATAGGAGACCACAAGTAGAACCATTGTTGTACAAAGTTCAAACTGAAAGTGGGAATAACGACAACATTAGTATGTAAATAGATTTGTAGCATAAAGATATGATTTCTTACCGGAGGATAACCCATCTGCCATTCTGGTACTTGTTCTTGAGACACTCCTCAACCTGCTGGAAGTCATAAAGACCACGCTGGTTCTCGTTGGCACGGTCGCAACCGATGTGAGAGATCAATTGGATACTCTGGCTTCTTTCTTGTTGGGCAGCCTCAATGATGTTACGAGCATCCTGGGCACGCTGTTCACGGTCATTTAGAGTAAGGACAACCAATGAAACGTGTCTCAAGTACTGACGAAGATTTTCTTGATCCTCGTAGCGGACAACATGGATTTCAGCACCACGCTTTTGAAGCTTCTCCAGACCCTCCTTGTTCGAGCAGAGCACGCGGACCTTATAGTTCTTGGAGGAGCGTCTACGTTCCATTTCCTCACAGAGACGGAGAGCAATGTTGTAGCCAATAAAGGTTTCTCCTCCAGTAACGACGATGGTGTTTTGGGATTCAGACATGGTTCAGTTGGTACGATAAAGTAAACGTGAAGCTTTTTCTTTCGCATCGTCGACTCCCCTTGTTATATACTTTGGACCTGGGCGATTTCTCATGTTCTGTTGTTTGCCTCGGCATTATTTTCTAGCCGAAGTGTTGTGCTGGTCGGCGCATGCATCCAATAGATGTAAAGGTTGCGGGGGGCCAAATAACTCGACTTTCCCATGGGACCCGAATCTGTATGAGCAGCCGTTGGCTGAGGACGAGTTCCCATCGTGAATAAGCATAGCAAAGCATTGTCATACCAAAGTGTAGCTCATTGGCAGGGTTATAACGACGTAATGTAATTTTACAAGGTGAAGCAAAAATATATGTAATGTATTATGGCTTTATTACATGGATCTCTATTGCGCATCAGCGAGAACTATATCGTCATCCAATTTTCTCTTCTTTGACTGAGCATTTAGCACGGCAACAAATATCTCTTTGCCAAGATTTACGCCGTTCTTCTTAGCTGTTGCACTGCCATTATTGGAAGATTGAGCTTTTTCGTTGTGTTGACGAGTCGTCAGCCTTCAAATACAAAAATCAATCACATACAAGATGTTATTACTCACCTATTCGGGATAGCGCCTTTTGGCCGTCAGACGCGAAAGAAATGGCTGGATTAGCGGCTTCGTAGGGCTGCCATCGGTTTGCTACATTGGATAAAAGTGGCGATAAACTGTTGCACATTTTACTGATCACGTATTTACTATGCTGGGAGACAGCCATAGATGATCCTTGATTGAGCTGATGAGATTGAATTTTGTCGTTCAGCTCTAAGGCTTGCATCTGACAATCATGAGCCACATAATAGTGCATGAGACACACTTTTGTTGCAGAGTGTGGAGAGTTGTTCAGATATGCCACAAATATTTGCTCCTCTTCTGGTTTCAATGGAAATGAAAGGGCACGTTCGACTACTCCTTCCTGATTATCATCTGAGCGAAGAGAACGAGAGTCAGTAGAAACATTTTACGCATCGTGCATCTAATAAACATAGAATGAGCGACCAACCTGTGAAAATAGCTTCCCAAAGTATATGCAACAACGTTTCTCGCAAAGTATCGTGGCGATCTCCGCATATTTCTCTCTGTAGACATTTGATGATCGTCAATAAGGCGACTCTTTCACCAAAAAATTGACAGACCCGAACCCCTTCCATCAGCATGGAGACTTACCTGAAAGTAAAATGCTCTGACAATATCGCATTTCACAAACAATTTCATTCTTAAGATGATATCTTCCGGAATGTCGCTACGATGTTTGGAGATAGTTGCATACTGGAGAGCAAGCTGATGGCTGGATAGTTCATACAAGGTCTGTAGAATTTTATCTGACCAATCCGCCTCCACTCCTGGGTCTGCCAGTGATTTGACGCCGTCCTTTTGTTCAAGGCGTTAGTTACTGGGAAATTTCACCCACGGTCAATGTGAGCTTTTATTTGCTTTGTTGTCCTTACCTCATATTGGCCATGATCCATTGCCCAATAGCCATCCATTAGCTTTTGAAATTGGGATGGGATAAGATATCTCCGAGCATAACGAGCTTGGCTGGCATTCTTCCAATCAAGTAACAGGTAATAAACAAGGCTTTGCTTCCGCAGTATGTCTAGATCACATTTTTGTATGGCATTGTAAAGCTTGTGAAGGTCATTGCTATTCCTTGGAGGGTAAAGTGATACTTCATCGTATGAAGTCAGTACACAGTGAAGTGGTTTGTTAGCAGTAAAATGTGCCACTTACCATTGACATGAGCAAATTTCAGCAGTTTATCCAAGAACAATTCACTGTGCATTCCTTTCCGTTGTTTCTGTATTGCCTTGACTTCTTTGGAACTATAACAGGTTTTAAACGCCTTTTCATCGAACTGAGCCCATTCTTCAACAACTGAAAACTTCTAAAGAAAAGGTCAAAATGGTGCTAAATCGTGATACGTGATTACTCCAAGAGAATTCGTTCTACTAACCGCCGACGATTCAATGCTATTGACATCTGGCAAAGGTTCTGCTTCAAACAGCCCATTGTATTTCACAAGCTTATTAGGGAATAGCAACAAGCTCTGCGATGCGCCTCTTGCTGGTGCAATATCCTACACCGCAAGCTCGATTAGCTGGTGTGACCTATTGAGCATGGGCAACATTGACATGTATATATCAAACCTGTAGAGTCACTCCATAGCAACATTCACTTATATCTTTTCTGACAATTTCGTCCACGTTTTCTTGATTAATTTTGTATCCTACCAGTTCTGTAGATGTTGACGATTGTGCCTTGGTGGAGAAAACGGCAAACAGGTAGTGGCCGCCGTTTAGATCCACAGCTAAGAGAGTAAGGTGAGATGCTTTTCTTCAATATATTCACGTAGATAAAAACAAGATTTACGAGCGACAGATTTGATGGCCAAGACGCTGGATTCTTTCCACGTTTTATGCGAGAGAATAGATGCTTCAAAGGTACCCAGAACTTTGCGATCAGAATTGGTCATGGTTTGTAAAACGGTGACCCTAGCCTTATTGTTGGAGCTGCGTGGATAAAAGAGTTTATTAATTTTGAAGACACCTTGTATTTGACCACAGAAAAGATCACACACGTCTGATGGTTCAATGGGCTTTGACCAACAATAATGACCGTCTTCTGTTGATCTTGTAGGCGGAAGCACTCTATGTGAGTGACTGGATCTGGATAACATGCGATGAGCTTGAGTCATCAATGAAGCACTTAGTAAAGCAGATACACAGAATTCACATTACCCTGATCTTTTAATAACTCTGTAAGATTTCGACTTGGTATAATAAATTGATTTCCATTGGCAACCTTGTATTTGAAAACATTCAAAAACCCAGAATCGCCTCCAACATAGATCTTTGGATCCATCATGTGCTTGCTTGTCATTGAAGACAGGAGGATGTGTAGTGAACGAATGCCGGATCCAGGTGCTTGTATTTGAGTGACCTCCGATTTCTGTAACATAGCATTTCATTAATAAAAAGCACATCGTATTCTAAATAACCAAGTATAATATATTTCATGCATACAATTTTAAACTTTCCATCCACATTTGAGATGTCTATCAGGTATAGCGAGGCCGATTCTGTACCAAGCACCATGAGGTGGTGAAATCCGTGACTAATATCGTCTATAGTTTCATTCTATTTCATAATATATGCCAATCAGAACATGGCTTTCATGAATCAGTACACCCGAAATGCCAGTACGTACCGGTGTCAGAAAGGCATTAGAGGACATTGTAGCTGCAGTAACGGTGCCTTCGATGATGATAGATAATTCTATCGACTCCCATTTGTTAGCAACAACATCCCATAGTACAATATATGAGTCTCTTGCAACGATTTCGCGAACTATGATAGCCAAATAGTGTCGGTCAGAAAGGACTAAACTGGAAACGGCTGAAATTTCGACCTAGCAAATTGAGCGAATCGTTAGCAAATAGCTTTCAATGAACATGCGCAAGGTATACATGTACATACAGATAGGCCCAAAGATTTAGCAAGATCCTGAGCGCTTAGCGTTCCACAGATCGCTTGCTGGCAGCCATTCACAAAGCGGACCTCCACAGTGCGCTGATTATATCGATAGAGTAAGTAGGGATCAAGCAGTCGGCCAGGTATCGAGCGGTTAGAAATGAATTTGGAGACAGCTGGATCGTCTACTGCAAATGCGTTATTTTGCCGTGAGAATTCTTCTACCGTGTGGTTAAGCATTAAGGCAAAATGGAAATGTTCAATTGCCAACACGAAAGACGGACGCTTTTTTGCAGGTCAAAAAAAAATTCATGGGACGCGAAAATTACCCTATTTCAGCTTTTGCTTCAGCTAGCGGCACAACCAGGAACTTGGCGTGTTATGTACGAAGTGGCCAATGTAAGTGTGCTCTTTATTATATTACATTTCATCTGTATACACTATATCTCATATATAATCGTTGCATGTGTTTGAATTCGATATCAACTCTAGTAAGCTTTCGTTGCCCACTGATAAAGCATCACCAAATGCGACGTCGCTGAGAACAACTTCCTCAATGGAATAATTATCGCTGAAGATATCCATGGTTTGTCCAACGGACGCTTCTGGGTGAGTTGGTAGGACTTTAAGTAGTTCTTTGTCGTCAACCGTGGAGAAGACGTTGATAGGCGGGTGAGACTTTTTCTCGTTTTCATCTGACGCTGATTTTTGTGCAGCAAAAGTATGCTTTGTTGCTGCCTCGCCTGCTCCATTATGCTCGGCCTCTGATTTCTCCTTTTCTCGAAGTTTCCGAAGCAATCCATTATCCAGCAATGGAATATTACCTTCGTTATAATTTTCGTTGTTATCATTGGTGCATAAATCGACATCCAGAACGCCTCGTGAGAACTGTTCCAAGGAAACATTGGTCCAGTTCATACCCAACCAATACGTCTGCATTCGCAAGAGCGCTTTTCTACAAATTTCATAGCTCGCCTGATCAGATGATACATCCAGCCGCTCATTGAAGGGAAGGGTGTTGTATACTTCCAACTGAAATTCATTTGAGAGCCGGTCTTGGATCTTTTTAACAAGAACACATGCGGCGACGTAAATGCATTGATTGATGAAAGGATTAGCCAAGTAGGCCGAGCTGTTCAGTAAATCCACATAACTGAGGAAATCGCTAATAGCTTTAGCTGATGTATAGGCTTGATCCCAGTTACCTAGATTTGGTAGTTTAGAGTTGAGGTTGGTGCTCAAGAAAGTCGGGCAATTGACCAGAATGATCAGAGCATGGATCCAAAAGTGAACCAGTAAAAACCCTCCTGCTTGGGAACGTTCACTATAGACTTGAAAATTTTGAACAGTGAATGCGAACGACGACGGTATACTTTCGTTGAATGCTTGCAAATTTTTCAAAGCTTCTTCTAATTGAGCTAATCGTTGGTCTTTCTCTTCACAAAAGTTCAAAGTGGTGGATATAGTGGCGTTGATTTGCATCATCTGGGCGACATATTTGTAAGGAAGCGGCAAATAGTCTTCCTCTTGATTGTCATAAAAGTCTTTGGGTAAAGTAAGCATCTCGTCCAGTTCATGGTTGTAACTTGGTAAAGCTGTCGATATGGAGCTCTCCCACATGACAAAGCGGCGGCCCAAGCCTATGCTGTTGAGTCTGTCCAGAAAGTACACTGTCCAAAAGACTCTTCGTCGAGTTTCACGTTCGCGTTCGGTTTTGTAAGTGGGTAGTGCCTCGGTACGATAGTGATTTCCTGAATCAGCGTCGCTAGAGTTCCTTTTTACAGAGTCAGACTTGCGGACCGGCACTGGTTCTTTTTCCAAACCAATGTCCTGAGCCATTCGAATGGCCATACCAGCGTACATCCACAAAGCTGAATCTCTATCGGTGGCGAATTCTTGGTGCGTCAGCAATACGAGTGATTGCACCACTTCCAATGACGGAAGTGCTAAAAGCGGAATGATTAATCGTTTCGCTTTGTCCGCAAATGGTTCTCCGTAGGCATATCGCTCTTTCCCCGGTATACAAACTTCAGGATGCGTTGAGTATCTATAAACATTATAGTATGAGTAAAAATGATTCAAAAGGAGAGTCGCTTCATGGATCATGTGAGGTTTACCTTGCACCAATTGCACACATACTATACACTAAGCAGGCACTAGCAGCATCCGCCTCAATATCAGATAAAATGGAAGCCTTACTCTCCCAAGGAAACATAAAGCTTGCATGCACGTAAAACAGATCTATCAAATGCCGTACGACTGCGCGACTCGGTGTATATGTATCCAAATCTAGCTGTCTCAAAGCCGTAGCACTAGACAGTGTAGGACTTCTAGATATAGGAACCGAATTGTTCTTGGCTTGCTGTATTTGTGCCCTAGGTCGTTTCATTCTTAATGTGACAGCGATGCGTTTTAGACCAGGAGCTAGGCGAAGCGTTAGTGCCTTGAAAAATGGTGAAGATAGTGGAAAAGCAACTACTCACCAATTGCAGTTCTGCCCATGTACCGAAAGTAATGTACTTTGACTTTCTCTGTCTCATAGTAGTCGTTGTGATCGTCGTCAAAATCTTTGACAGTTGTGGAGTGATCAGGAGCTATATCAAGATTTTTCATTTGTCAGCTGTGATATCTACGTAAATCATAAAGACAAGCCAGCTTCGTACAGTATAATGTGCTGTTTGGATAATCCAATTTACCATAGTCACCAGATTCATTCTCCAACCGACTTAAATTGGGGGAATTGGTTTTACGGAGCAGTGATTTCGGACCACGTTTCCTCGTAATGGTGTATGAGCATTCTTTGTTTTCCTGCTGACACCGAGTGCATTGCGGACTCAACCCATCACAGCGAACTTTGCGAATTCGGCAAAGTTCGCATGCTCGGCTGGAACGTTTGCGTTTGCATACTAATGGATCCTCAACAATAAAATCGAGTGACATGTCATGACTTGCGGCGCAGAAGAAATGTGTGACTCAGACAGAAAGAAACTCCTGTAGCCATTGTGGCGCGGGACGACCATGAAAGCACGTTCTCTACAATTACGAGCCACCGCCACAAATTCATAGGCCTACGATATTCCTTGAGACATGAATGATACACTTTGGACTGTTTCAACGTCATTGCTTGGTTATATTGCCAACATACGACTTCATCCATGGACTTCATTTGTTTTAATCAGTAGACAAATGAAGAAAATACATAAGGAATTATTTCATATTCTCGCTCAACCATCTTTTTTATTTTTGTCATCATCTCCGTTTGGCTCGGAGTTCATGTTGTATAAGCATTGTACTGTAAAGAATACCCTTTCATGACATGGCCTTTCCCATATAGGAATTTCGATACCCAGCATGCTACACGGAAGCGAAATACCATCCACGTTCAGTACTTACACAGTCCTTTTAGGTGTAGCCAGAAGCTTGCATGCTTGTTTGTCCGTAATGTCGGGTATCCTCTGAACCCCGAGCCAAGCCAAAAAAAAAAGTTAAAACTCTGTTGCCGTCGAGTGGATTCTATTTCTGGTCGGTCTCTAGCGGACTCGTCAGTGAAACAGTCGATCCTTCACTGTGTTAGAGTCTGGACTTTTTTTTTTTTCAGTCATTGTCTTGTTATTTTTTTCTTGGCTGCATCCATATAAAAACCCATCATCACCCCTTTCTTTTCTTCTATCATCACAATTCTACACAATGACTGTTCGTCCAACTCTCCCTCACAGCAACATATCTAGCTCTCGAATCAGCCGAAAAATCACCCTCAATGCTGATGCAAAGCACATCAACGTGCGTCCTGTGATCAAAGGTAAAATATGCATACAATATGTACTACGTCGGAAACATCACGCACTTTACTTAAAACGTTACTTTTTCAAGGTGCCATTAATGAAGCTGGACACACTCTCGCCGATGCCTACGCCAATAATCCTCTTCTTTCATGGATTGTCCACCCTCTCAAGGAAGAATCAAAGCAACATGACATTCGATATCTTTTGTTCAAGGCCGCAGTGAATTCTGCCAGTCTCCAAAGCCGGGATTTCGCCATCCAAGTTGATGGATGTAAAGGAGTTTGCGTCTGGTCAACCAATCAACAACAATTATCGTTTGCCAAGGTTTTAGGATGGAAAATCACCAAGATGGCCAATTTGTCTGTGGCTATGGTAAGTGCTCATTGGTCATTCAATTAAGGTGCATCTGATACCTGCATATTAATGACAAACTCGAATAGCGCATCAATATGACTTTGCAACAATTCTTGGACAAGAGCAAGAAGAGAATCATGAAGACTGAACCTCACATCTATATCAACTACATGGGTGTTCTGCCACAAGAACGAAATAAGGGCCTTGGTACCGCTTTGATACAGCATGTTATTTCCAAAGCCGAGGAAGCACATTTGCCCATCTACATCATTGTTTCGGACAAAACAGCTGTTCCTTTCTTCGAAAAATTGGGTTTCCAAGTGAAGGAAGTTGCTCATTTCAACGATATAACCAGTACCATGTTGGTCCGCCCAGTGGCTACTGCATCAGCATCACCATGCCAATTGAAGTTGAAGCCTGGTAGACGAGACTCAGATGATTCTTTGTAAAGATGATCATACACCACTATAGCATATACTCCATAATAAGCGCACTTTAATAGATTGTATATAACCATGCCCGCAAAACATCATTTGAACCCCTCCATCCAGCATTCACTCTTTAAACCATCAAGCCATCATTCTTTAAACCATACTATTAACTAAGATATCATCCATCATTAAAACCCAATCATGAGAAATCCTTATGATAGCTGCACCCCGAGTCATTTATCTTTGTTTCGAGCCGATCATGCGAAAATGTGTGACATTCAAGTTGCCAAGAATGATCTAGCCCCGAATAGAAATTGCATGGAAGAACTGACGATCACTATGATCCTCTTAGTTTCGTTGTATAAGACCAAAAAAAAAAATTAGAACAAAAAATGCTAGGTATTCTAAACAAAATGATGCTGGTTCTTTTACATAAATTACCCACGTCAAAACTGCTGCTTTAGCGGCTTTTTTATATTCCAACGTCTGGATTGTTGGTTTTGCGTTATACAATATATTGCATTACATTACATGATGTCGCTCTAATCTCTATTTTCTAACCAGTGAGAAAGCTGTTCGTACATTGCAAATTGTATCGCGCCTCCTAAAATAGTGTAAAACTGGTTACTATGAATCAAATTCCGCCTTTCCATTGTCAGAGTCTAGTCTCTTACCTGGAGCAACTCTAATGACTCGTAGCCAAGAACCTCTGAAGAACGATCTGAAACCCTCTTCTCGAGCCATTGATTTTATACATTGCCAGGTATTACGATGGGTGCTTCCTTCGTCTTGCATTCTAGTCCATACTATCGTCAATCGTGAATGCAAATTATTCGCCAGTTTTCGATATAAGGCTTACCTAGTTTTAACAACATCTGGGGGAGAGTTGAGGACGGCAACCAACACGTTGGCTAGACCACCACTAACCTGGAACATTTTAGGTCATAAGAGATGCATGAAGTGCTAAACTCAGCTTAGACAAATTTCATGCTTACCATGTGTTTCCATGGTGCTAGTGGTTGAGAAGGATCATTGGCCGTGGCTTCAAAAATGGCCTTAATTTCTATGTAGCCAGAGAACTTGACAAGTAGACCTATCGAAGTAGTAATGATTGTCAGTTTGAAACAAAAGAGCTTAAGACAGATACATTTGAACTTCCATACCCCAAGATTGACGAACCACAGTGGGTATAAGACCATTGTACAAGGACAGAAATCTGAAATTGATTGTTAGAATGCCTCCTCTAACTCTGGAGAATGCTTGTTCGTACCCTTCGTTTTTAATCATTGTTCTCGCTGTTTGCACAATTCCATGGTATTTTCTCTCATGTGCCGCATTCAGCAAGTCAGTTTGTTGGCGGACTTTAATAGCCTCCAATGGTGTCACTGAAGATGAATTGTTTAACCGATCAGTATCTAACTCAGTACTTGAACTGCTATATCTGAATTTCCTCTCTTACCAAGAGTAACAGCTTGTGTAATGCCAGTGCAAACCTACGATGGAAGTAAGAGATAAATATTTGGATATGAGACATGTCATTTTAGTCAGTCACTTACCCCTGCAAGTCCTGCCGAACTATGAGATGGAATGACCTTTCCTTCGAGTTTTTCAAATATAGGCTTGTACATTGCAAGACCCATATATTGTAACGATACTCGAGGGCCAACGATACAAAGTACTGGAACAGTACCTCGATACAAAGCTGGAGTAACCATTGTCAGATGAAATACTTATTCATATGCAACGCGTTGAATAACGTACCAAGAAATCCCTCGTCTTTTACCACCTTTGTAAACGCTCTCCAGATGCCTTGGTTATATAATGAAGCTGCTCGGAGAGACTGCCACCACCGTTAATAAATTGTTTGGCTATCACACGTAATCAAATTGAACAATAGCACGAATATTAACCTGAAATCTCGTTTTAATGACGTCTGTTGGCTGAATCAAAGTGCAATGTTAGTGTCCTTCGCTAATCTATTATGTGAGAGGTACGGTTACTTACTTGCATAATAAGCACTTCCACTGCACCAGCGCCGGCGCCAGCCATTGTGGAATTCTAGAAGAAATGGTCAGGTAAAGATTTCACTAACAAGCCAGTCAACCCTTTAGAAACATACCAACAGACTCTTGTTCTTTGATTGAGTAGACATTGAGGCAACTAGAGGTCAAGATTCCAGTTCCTGGACTGTCTTCCATAGCCTTTGCAAAAGTTAGAACTCAGAACCCTATAAGCCAGAATCAAACGTCTGATTTGACAGTTCATTGGCTGACTCAAACTGCATACATCTTGGTCTTTAATCGATGAAATCAAATTTTTATCGATGTCTCTGTTCATTCAAGCATTTTAACAACTCTCCATATAACATAATCATTGTGATGTATGATTTTGAGGAATTTTATTGATTTTGAGATTATCTTTAGTGACTTCTTCGACCCTTTCTTTTTTTTAAAAAATTACAACACGCAAAATTCCGACCAAAGAACCTCAGACACTTCGAAAGCGACTTTTAGCCTATTTACTTATAATGTAAAGCCTTGATATTTTTTCCAGTATTCAAACAGTTAAAAGGATAGAGATTTTGAACAGTTAAACATTCTTTTTACCAATATATAACTGCTTGTATGAAAGGCAATGCCGTCAGCAAAGCGTAAGCTTCGCATTGTCGGAGTATCGGCAGGCCATTCAGCAGGCGACTTGCTTTGACCTCATTGTCTGATTCGTAAATTGTACCAATGTCAATCTCAAAGACAACATGGTCGTCAAATGTAACAAATACCATCAACCAGGTTATTATGAATTAAAAATTCTGATCAATATGGGGTACATGTCTATTAAACAGTCTGAATTGAACTATATGACCTCAGAAAGAGATATCTCAGGGAAATACTGCCTTCGTCGATCCTGCCATTGATGCCTTATTTACGAGTCTAAAAAACGAAATGGACGAACAAAATAGGGTCATTGATAATCAAAGAGATGAGCTTGAAGCACTTGCATTCTCCCCTACCAGCTCAGTTGGATTGAAATTGGTACAAAGATGCTCGGCTTTAAAAGCTGAGAACAAAGAACTCGGACACGTACTCCATAATGGGCCCTTGGAAAAATACAAAATGGAAATAGCATTCCAAAACAAGTTGATCAATGAGCTTCAAGTCGCATTAAAAGGTAGTGCTAACGTTGATCTCGACAGTCTCTTATGAACCTAAACATTGATGATTCCCCTGTTCAACAGAGTCCTATGCATATGCTGCTTCTTTGGACAGAGAAATTGAAGCGCTGCAAGACGAACTTTTTGAATGCAAAGCAAATCACACATCTGGATAAACATTCTTTTTTGTTCTGGTAAAAGTGACAGACATTAGTCAACAGGTGTTCGTCATACGTACGCAACAAAAGTCTTTAATTCAAAAACAATAAGATTGCCGATTCAATGTAACTTGTGTGCACAGACCGAACTTTTTTACAATAGCCATAATGTATCGTTGCTTTCATGTTGTTTTCATATCCCACGTTTTACGCAGTTGAAAATATAGTCGTATGATTCAGATTATAATAGCCCGATTGATTTTCAGGAATTTACAGGATATACGAGAGTGTTGCGATTTGCGATATATGATTGGTCGTTGCCTTGGCATTAACCACTGGGATTTCCATTCAGCGCACTGTTAAATTCTACCGACAAGAACGGTATTGTGCGCCAATCCTACTCATCGACACAGAGAGCCTATACCGCATCCGAGATCTAAGTCGGATCCTTGTAGATTGATCTACTTATGAGTTCTATTTTCAAAGCCGTCTATGAAAATAATGTAGAATCCATCAAACAGTTCATTAGGGACGCCGATCGCACAGCACCATCGCTCAGCAGAGATTCCCAGAATGGAGCACAAGGAAGCCGGAGAAAGCAAATCGGCTCAATGACCAATATCAACAAGCGCTCCATTCTTGGAAGAACCGCACTACACCTTGCAGCACACTGGAATAGAGTGGAAATTGTACAATTATTAGTCGACTGTATACACGTGAACGTCAACTTACGAGATAGAGAGAGTGGTTGGACAGCTCTACACCGGTGAGTATGGTAGTTTACTGTGATGTTCATCATATTCATAAAACTAACGCCTCAACCATAATGACACCATGTCAAAAGAGCTCTATATGCAGGTCATATCGAATCAGCACTCATCATTTTGGCACGAGAAGACACTGACCTGTCTGTAAAAGATTTCGAAGGCAATACGGCTCTAGATCTGTACAATTCCACCATAGATGATACAAACCCGTCAGCTAGAGTTATACTACCCGATATGACGCATAAAAGCGATGGAGATCTTTACTCTTTCTCAAAATCCGGCATCTTAGACTCTGACGAACCCAACGGCTTAGCAGGAGGCACCGAGGTTTTCACTTGGGGATACAATACCAATTATGTCTTGGGACAGAGAGATTCTGATAATCGTTCTCGACCAGATAGAGTTCATCTCAACTTGGTTTCCCAGCAGCTCCCCCAGGTACTCAAGCGGCCAGAGTACGTCATTACATCCGTTACCATGTCGAAATTTCACTCGGCTATAATCACAAGCGAACCAGACCAAAATTTGTTGATATGTGGATTCGGCGGAGCCAGACTCGGTCTAGGCAATGAAGATACGCAATTCTTGTTCAAGCCCGTGGCCAGTATCCATGGTCATGTAGCGATCGTTGCACTTGGACGAGATCATACAATCGTTGTCACATCGACTGGCGAGACGTACTCATTTGGAAACAACTTAAATGGACAACTTGGTTATGAGACTGAAAAGCTCCGGGAGCAAAGAGTACCACAATTTACGCCTCGCAAAATCGTAGCGCCAAGCATCAAAAAAGAACGGATTATCGGTGCCGCTGCTTCATCGGTTCATTCGGCTGTATACACCGACACTGATCTTTACACATTTGGATTGAATCAAGGCCAACTTGGGTATTACGCCACGAGCGGGGAGTGCGATCAGGTTCTTCCCAGGAAAGTTTCATTCCTTCCATCCGGTGCACGAATCATTCAAGCAGCTTGTATTGACACCGCAACCATGGTGCTCACGTCGTCGCACGATGTTTTCATATTGTTTGGCCATGGCCACCAAAAAGTCATTTTCCCTATGCAACGGTTTCCACCAGACTTTATTTCATACACTGCGGCGCCCAATTATATCACCAGGATCATGGCTGGAGGTGACGACTTCATGGGTGCTATGTCGAATATGGGAGATTTATTTATATGGTCTCTGCCCTCTAAGAAAGGCCCCACAAGTGGAAAGAAGCCGCGAACTAGTTCTTTAACCCCTACCGCCGAGCCTCAGCGCTCCCGATCTCCAATTTTACCACGGCGTATTTGGGCGCTCAGAAAGTCACATTTGACTTTGTCTGATGCTAGTATTGGCCAAGACGGCTCCGTCATTGTTTGCACAACCTCCGGGCATGTGTTTGTGGGAACTCCAAGAAAAATACCCAAGAAGAACAAGAACTTGGTGGAAAAGAAGCTGTACAAGTTTATCAAGATACCATATATGCAACGATGTATCATGGTAGCAGCAAGTCCCTCTGGGGCATACGCAGCATTAAGAGCTGAGAGATTGTTAAAGAAAGTTCCGGTTCCTGAATCGACTCTGGCAAATGATCTTGTTATGAGCTTACCGCATGTCAAAAATGCATATCACCTGCAGCAGGCTAGGGATGCAGAGGCTCTTGCTAAAAAGGTTTTACAAGAAGTGAGATCCAAGGTACCGTTTTTAACCGAAACGGAGCAAATCGACGAAGATCAAGAAGCAAGTAACGCATTCATTTCACCATCATTGGAATGGAACAAGTATAGCAAAATGACAGATACGGATTATACCATCGATGCAGTCATGCGTGTTGGTGATGTTTGTTATTACTGTCATCAAATATTACTTGCTGCCCGAAGCACAGTATTAAGGGAAATCCTTTCTAGCGAAAAATTCTCCACGAAGGAAAAGATAGAACTACATCACAGGAGCGGACGCATTGTGACAATGAAACTCGTCAATGGATTTAATCACCATGAGTTGCTAGAGATTACCATATCAGACATTCGTATGGAGACAATATGGTTCTTTTTGGATTTCATCTACTCTGATCGATACGACCACCCTATGAACGCATTTTATGGAAAGGCACAACATTATACTGGTAGCTTAAAGGTCATAACCGAGCTGCAAACTCATATTAAGCCTGAGACTTTGCAAAGAGAGCTTCTAGTTTTGTCGGAAGTTTTCCAACTCTCTACTCTTCAAAATTCAATTGCTTCATCCTTCAATTCTCAACCACGGCAATCACTTGCGTTTCAAATCGGTAACGTTCACACTGATGAAAAATCCTTCTCCTTCTTATGTGACGTCAATCTGCAACTGGAAGATGGAGAGCTCCTCTGTCATGAGTTAGTACTTCGCCAGCGATCACCATTCTTTGCTGCACTTTTCAGTCCAGCTAGCGTCTGGACATACAGCCGCCGACAAGACAGCCGTACTTTAATTCCGGTGGATATGAAGAACATCAGCGAAAAGACAATGAAAGTTGTTTTATCATATGTCTATTGTGACAATCGGATAACATTATTCCACGATATCCAAGAATCCCCGGAAGTGATTTTTGATTTAATCAGCAAAGTATTAGAAGCTGCCGATGAACTCATGTTAGACGACCTCAAGGTTGTTTGCGAATCAGCATTACTACATCTCGTTACTCCACGAAACATTTTAAAGGCATTGGAGATATCGGATGACTACAGAGCAGAGCATGTCAAGCAAGCCTGCATTGACTTTTTGGCACATAATATGGACTTTTATCTAGAAACAGGGTACGCGCTACACTAATTCAATCATCAAGCGTATAAGCACGAATCATACTAATCACCTTCACTATAGGTCATTGATTGATCTCAAAGCTTCCTTAATATGTGACATTCAGCGTGATGTCCACAAACTACAATCGAATAAGGCATTTTTATCTAGAAGAGAACTGGATACCAATTGGAATGAGGATGGCCATGCGGACGACCCAGAGCTTAACGCTAAAGTGCAAATGGATTACAGTGAGGAGTCCATTTGGCCAGCATGCGAAGAAACATATTGTACCATCTACCCTGAAAAATCAACAAGTAGCGGTACTGTTAACCTTGATAGTGGCGTTGATGACGACCTGATGTTTCAGCAAGATGAAGACATAATCAAGCAACCAGAAAGCAATGTTCCATCCACACTTGGAAGATCAACCAAACTTACGGATGTTCTCTACGATACACCAGACAACGAGTACGATAATAGCCACTTTCCTGCGCTTGGAAATTCTTTCGAAGGGCGTAGCATGACGAAGGCTGCGAGTATACCAGTTCCAAAACGAGGATGGAGCATTCAAATGCAAGAGTGAGTATGGTGTCAAGATTTTATTTTCAATTAGCTGTCAGCTAAACTTGTTTTTTCCTGCCAGTTCCTCGCCAAAGAAAAACATTAGAGAAATGCTTGAGCGACAAGAAGAGTCTCCTTCAGCAATTAACAAGGTAAGGATTTGACGCCTGGAGTTGAATAAAGCTACTTCTAAGCTAATCATGTTTTACACATACACCCAAGTTGTCTCCAACGCGACCGTTCATCATACCCAAGAAACTTTCTCAGAAAGAGAGACGTAAACTTCAGCAACAAGAAGCTGCTATCAGTGCAGAGTCGACCAACGCCCCCAAGTCGGTTTGGGGAAAGCCTATACAACCAGGACAGGCAGTAACAATGACGCCATCACCGCCAGTTGGTATACCCCTATCTACCCCACCGACACCGAAGTCTCGAAAAGTATCTATTGCTGATATTATGGACGAAGAAAAGGCTCAGAAAAACAAGGGCAAGCAATTAGCCAAAGGCTTGTTCGAAGACTTAGATTCCAAGAAATTGTGAGTATTTATGACAAGTGGTATTTTTCCGTATTGTATTGCGTAGACTGACTTAGCATTTCAAAAGTTTCGTTTCACGGGAGGCGGCTGAACAAAGTATTAAAGCAACAGAGTCAATTGACCCAAGAGAAAGCACTTCAAGTACCTTAGCCAATCCACCCATTCGCATAGCATCCAGTACCTACAAACCCACACTGATTTCGAAAAGAAAAACCACCAAAGATTTGGATCACGGGCAAGGATCCAGTGGAGCAACGCAAGAGTCTGTCAACTCATTTGCTGACATTCAAAGCCAACAACTGAAGGAGAAAATGATTCGAGGACAGAAATTTAAGAAGAGCCTTATTCGTATTCAGCAGGAAGAGCAAGCTATAGCTGCTCTAATGGAGTTTTATACTCAAACCGTAGAAATAGGAACTGGTGAATGGTTTAGAATCACCAGAACAGAATCGCAGTGAAGGCATGTACAATAATTTATATCTTCGCCGTAAATAATTATCATTTTCTTTTCATTGTTTATTTATTGATCATCGGGAGCTTGAAATGCAAAGTACTTATTGCATGCAACATCAGAGTACCTTCAGTCAATGTCACCAAAAAAAATTTATAAGAAAAAATATCAATTTAATGGTCTCTATGAATCACCTTCTTTGACAAATGGCATTTAAATCAATCTACTTTCTTCCAAAATCTGAACTATGTGGATACTATCAATTATACATATTATAAAATTCATTTTCTAATATCTTCTTTCCGTTTAGGCGGCTTGACCATTCACAGCATAACCATTGGTGTGGGCCCGCTTTTCAAGCGCCTCGGATTTGTCCGCTTTGGTTGGGCTGAAGCTATCTACAAGCCTAATGACGTCCGGCCAAACATGAAGCTCAATTCCTTCAGCCCACAAAAAGTCTAGGTGCTCCCATTCGGCAATGTATTTCACATACGCCAGCTCGGGTAGGTCAGCTGAAAGCACCTCAAAGTTGACGAGTGAATCCGATCCACCATAAAAGATAGCGATAGGCGTTTTAATCTGCTTGGTAGGAAACCGCTGAGGAATGTGATCCATTGCACCTTGTTCACTGCGATAAGGAAGAAGGTTTGGTATTTCATCGTACATTTGGAATCTACCGGTTCGTATAATTTGAAACCAATGCTAAGAAAAAAAAGAAGTTAATGGAACCATCTCATTTAGGTGGCAGATCGAATTTTTCCTGTTTTCACTTACCACAAGACACTTGACGCTAGTTGGGCTGTATAAATGCTGATAACTGACCAATTTCTGAGCGTCTGACATATTGCGACCTGTCCAACCGAACAGGAAGTTACAGGACATATCAATGAGCTTGACGAATATTGGAGGGCTAAGTATTCGGCGCCAAAAGTTTGCAATCTGAAGCGGTGATTTGCGACCAAAAAGTAAATAAATAACATTAGGTGTTGCCTTGACAAAAGCATCAATCACAGGATGATGCAAGCCTATATGACGATAATAAGTATACGCAACACATCATAACATTTCAGTTGAGGGCGTTTCTTACCACTTGGTGTTGTTGCAGGGGCTAATGCGATAAACAGATTAATTCTATCATTCAAACGAGGGTTGATCGAGAGTGCTGCAAAAGCCTGCGCTGTTCCCTGACTAAATCCTATATATGTCAAACTGGGTGCGCCTGTAGTTTCCAAAATATACTAAAAGGCAGATTGCGTCAGTCAGTCTAAACGGTGAGACTAACAGTTGATATTGGATTGGCTTATACTTACGTCTACAACATCAGGCAAGTCATACAGAGCCATTTCGTTTAACGAGAATTCCCAGTAAGGTTGACTTTGAGGACGCTTATACATGTGCTGTTGACTGTATTTGTTGCCACGAGCGTTGGCGAACCAAACATCACACCCACGTTCCGCTAAAAGAAATGGGAGGTTTTCTGACTCTTTGAGGTTACATAGCCATATTTCAGATGACATAAGGAAACCATGATTGAGAAGTACGACTGGTTTCCCATTCCATACACCTCGTTTTCTTGATACATCTCGAGATCGATGATCGAAGAAGTTGGGTGTTGCGCTGTCTTGCAAGTTGGGCAAGACAGGTTCTTTAACTCCAATGAAATTGGTGATATTATCTACAACTGCTGTACTTGCGACGATGCTGGCGCTTCTTGTTCGGGATCTACGTTTTCCTGAGTTCATCTTCGGATCCCTTTCCCGCTTGCCATACGGGAGTCGATGCAGACAAAGCAAATATCGATCCTGAGTTTGTACAGAGTGTTGTTCCACGAAGTCATAGCCCCTTTGAATGCAACAAAATTATAAACTGGTAACCTTGGAAGAAAGTTGAACATAGCTGAGACTTACCAGAATCGAGCCATATCTTCGAACGAACCGGCTCTTTCTAGTTTGTTGACTCGGGGCTTGCTTTGATTGCGGTGTGACCATGGAAAAGCTCTGTAAAATACATGGATTAATTACATTCGTCATTCTTTCACTCCAAAAGTCTTCTCCTTTCCACTTTAGTCTGTATAACTGCTGCTCTCCAGTAACAATAGCCGTTGTACGTACGCGTATATAACTTGGTTGATAAAGCGGAGCACGAATTGTGGAATGAACATCACCATGAGTCGAATCAATGCTTCAAAGAAGAAGAACATAAGAGCTAGCACCAGTGACTGGTACTCTGTGAACCCTAGTCTTCCAATGACAGGTATTCTAAATGGCATTTCAGAAGCAGACGAACAAGTTGGTCTCCAAATCTTTCTCTCAGTCCGTTTTATCAAGGTGACAGTCACGGTTGCACGATCCATATTTGGTAATCATTTGAGACGACTGCAACTTTGAGTACCGGAAAAACCAGCTGCAAGCTTGATCCACCAAATATTTTGCAAAGCAGATTCTTGCTATTGTGTAGGGGGCATTTCTGTTATTTTTTCAAAGGAGAAAAGATGTAAGTATCCAAGCGAAGAACATATAAATGTTCTATGATGTGAGCGGTGTTAATGAGATAATTTTATTACACCCAAAAAAAATAAAAAACTCGTAGCAGCGGCTGACATAACATGAACTGTACCTACCGTGAGCCATTGCAACAGTGTACGATGGAACTAATTCGTAGCATAGATTGTCTGTTTCGTTTTAAGATGCAAAAAAAGCGGTACATTGCAGCGAGTTTTATCATACAGCGACCTTCACAAAATTATCACATGCTTTTACTTATTAGTAGCTTTATTTACCTTGAACAGTTACGTTTCTTTCATACTCGATATGTATTTCAAAATCTTAAATGAGCCATCCTTAGCATCATAATCGTAACTATCTTTATGGTGTTATTTCCTTTGCAATGAAATAAGTGGACACATTCATGCCGACGGACAGTCTAGTGCCAGTGGAGTCTTGATCTACAGGCCTTCTGAAACATGTATGATTTGTCAAACATGTGAGAAATTTTACTTAGTTACAGAGATTGTAAAAGATGCCATTACCTTTCCTTGTACTGCAACTTTGGTGAGAAATAAGCACAAATGGGTCATGCTACATCTGACACTCTTAACATCGTGGGTCTGAATATCCTAGCTTGTGCAATACCATAGATGCAAAGTGGCAAAGAATCATCGTTATGAGCATATTCTTGTGGACGACTATGATGTAGTTTACTTCACGTTGATGACCCCACTTTGCTAAGGATATGGGATTCTGGCCATTTCATTTGAGTGTTTTCAGTCGGCCACAAGCAAGTGCCTGATACGGTGTCCCAATGAGGCAAACATATCGTAACGCAAATGACGCTAAAATTTTTACTTAGCATAACTTTTTTGAGTGTCATTCCATACCTGCTAACACAGTTATGTCTGTCATCGAGAACTTAAGCTCCGTCAAGATTGCGCTAATTGTAGCTGCATGCTTTTTCCAATATGGCGTACGTATTACACCTTCACTACCATTTTGCAATGACTAGTTGTTTTCCTTAGCTGACATACGCGATTCCCACTATAGCGATATTGGGCAGATTGGGCCTTTGACTATTATCTCATATGGTCAGATCCTGCTGCTCGGCCCAATGCATTTGCTAATGCAGCTGTAAGTGAGCTTGAACCAGAATACAGGAAACCTTGGTAACAAGCACTAATCTGACACCTTCAACAGTTGTACTATGCAAACCAAAACGACACACCACAAGTTCATCAATACATTTCATGCGTCGATCTCTTGATTGCAAGCATTGGTATTGGAGCTGGTTTGGCTAGCATGCGAGACGCTAATATTCTCTTCGACGGTGCATCGCTAGGTAAGCACTTGTCACTCCTACCTACCCCACATTTCCATGTGATGTGCGGGGCAATCAGCGGAACACAAGTACCACCATTTGCTAACTTATGCTTGATACGACATAGTTTTGATGATATCTGCAATTGCTTCCCATGTTACATCCATTATACCAAGTAAGTAGATAGGCTGAGGAAATTTACGCTACTGAATCGGTGTACTCATGCTTTTGGCGTGTGTAGGTATCGATCTTGTGGCAAAATCTAGTAATGAGGATGAAATAATGGAAGCGCTTAAAAATATTGCTGTCGCACATACCATCATTGTAACAGCAGTGACAGGTAGAGATCATCATGACATGTTTTGAATGCCAGGGTAGATGGGTACTGACAGTTTGAACTATAGGTATTGTTCTTCTACAAGTCGCTCATTATTTCTGCATAAGACGATGGGCAAGAGAAGACGCTGCTGAACATACAAAACACGCAAAGAAACATAAGCATAAAGCGCACTAATATTTCACTGGTTGAAACATTACAAAAGGATCCTATGTAATAAACTAATCAACGTCAAATTTGTTTTCTTCAATGAACTTGTCATGTTTAAGCAAAGTGATTTTCGGATAAGCTATCAATGTATCGTCCATTCTATGCCTCTTTTCTACCTTCTAATCCATTTTTATCGGCTTCCATTAACTCATTGCCAATGGCATTGACAACCACCTTGAGTTCCTTTCTAGCCTGTTCAGTCGAGGAACTAGCCAGTTCCGAGTAGTATTTGATTTTCGGCTCCGTGCCACTTGTGCGAATAGTGAAAACGCAACCATTCTCCAACTTGAAGGTGATCATTTCCGAAGAGCTAGAGACGGGGAGTGTGGGGTAGTTGTCTGGTGTTGCAGAGTCATATCCAATTGTCAAATCCCGGATTCCAGTCACTTTATGGCCACCAATGGTGGCAGGGTAATTAAGCTTGTACTGATACTAAATGGAGGTAATAAAGGGTGAGCAAGTCTGAGTATATTTGGAGAACGTTTTATGATCTGTTTTCACTACCCACCTTTTCATCAGGACACTGTTGCTGCACAAGAAAGAAAGAAGGATACAATGAATAGGCATTCCACAAAACGTTATAAATGAATGCAACTCTAATTCAACTTACTGGGTGGTCTCCATATCGCATTCGAACAAATATTTTTTTGATAGTTTCAGGCTCGCGACAGATGAAGTATGAGTTATCCGTAACGAAGTAACCGTACTTTTGGTACAGACTTTCCAGATAATCGTTGGCAGTTTGTCCGCGGTTATGCAAGTGAATAGCCCACTCAGCGAAGAAACCGAGGGCACTGACACCATCCTTGTCTCTAACGACTTTGCCAACAGTAAAACCAATAGCTTCTTCAAATGCAAAAACAGCATTATATCCTTGTTCTTCTAATTCTTGAGCTCGATTTCCGATCCATTTGAAACCAGTCAAAGTTTCCTCAAACAAGAATCCATTCGCTTCTGCGAGCTTGGCTAAAAATTTGGAAGACACGGTACTTGCCAACATAGCTATTTTGTCGACAGGTTCACCAGAAATTTGCATCCTCTCCAAAGTAGCTCCACCCAAGATAGTACCAATCTGGTTACCGCTGAAGATTATCCATTCGCCACTGTGAAGGTGTTAATATTGCACCACTTACAGCATACCTTAGATGTATTTTCATTACCTTGACTGCTTTTCGGCAATTGCAAGTCGGTCAGCATCAGGATCGTTTGCCAAAATGATGCGCGCATTATTTTCGTTTGCACACTTCATAGCCAGTGCCTACCACGTCAACATTAGCATATGTTCTTGAATTATTTTACTAACCACTCTGCGCCATTCACATACCAAAGCTCCTTTTCCTTCTTCTGGGTTTGGGAAAGCGACAGTTGGAAACTCAGGATCTGGTTCCACTTGTTCTTTAACAGGAATGAACGGCTTTAGTCCAAAAACTTCAAAGGATCTTTTCGCGTATGGAGTACCAACGCCATGCATTGCTGTGTAAACGAACTTCAAATCACTAGCTTCGTTATCAGCGCTAAAGAGGATGAGCATAATATTAGCCGTCTAACAAGGTATTCATATAATATGTGTCTATACCAGCAAAAGCATACCGGAATGCACTCAATGAACCAAGTTCCTTAAAGTAGTTCTCGATAACTCCTTTCTCAGCTGGGTCTTGGCTTTGAGGACTCTCAGTGGCAAGCTTTTCATCCCATATCCAAGGTTCCAAGTTCTCATCAATAGCAGCTGCGATACCCGAGTCGTGAGGAGGGATAATTTGGCAAGCATTTTCCCAGTAAACCTTGTAACCATTGTCATCCTTCGGGTTCTTCAAAATTCATTGTTATTATTAGCAAGTCATTGGTATTTCGAGGCGTACACTATGGAGAGCATGCTTACATGAGAGGCTGTGATCATGATGCCTGCAGCACCACCAAGTTGCTTTACGGTATATGGCTAAATGCAATAAAATTGTTATAAATCAAGTAGTAACGAATAAACCAAGTTTGTTTACATACCACTAATGGCGTATGAACAAGCTGCCTGAAAAACCAAACTTTGAATCCAAGAGAGATGAAGACTGCTGCTGTGAGGTTCGCAAATGTCTGAGAGTGGTGGCGGTGATCGTGGCCAATGACAACGCCTTTCTCTTTGGCGTTGTCTACATTTTTCAGTACATATTTTGCAAGACCCTGTTGATATCGTATATTAATTTTCTAATTTACAGTAAGCAGCACATCGGAGAGACCCATACCTGTGAAGCCTGGATAACCGTCAAATCATTCATTCGCGAGAATCCAGCCTCCATACGAGCTCTCAAACCTGAGGAAATCAGTCATATATAACTTAATCATCTCGATAACAAATTGCACGTACCAGCTGTTCCAAACTCTATACGACTTCCGAGCCTTTGCTTCAAATCCGACAAACGATTGGAGTCCCAGAGCTGTTGAATTTCGGCCCTGGTTTCTGGATTCTATTGTGGGTCAACTTAGGTGCAACGTCAACGCATAAAAACGTAATAGAGTAGACTTACTTGATCCAGTCGCAGCCATTCGTCTACTAGTTGCTTATAATGCTGTGCTTCTGACATTGTTCGAGTTTATACAAAGCCGAATCCTCTCACGATACCCAATTCGGACTTGCTGAATTGAACGCAAAATCACAGTCACTCATTTCGATACAACCACAACAACCAGGCTCAGAAGGGTCCCAAAAAAAAAAGACTGTACATTTCCCCACTCTGGACAGCAGCGTCCAAATCACAAACTGCTTCGGAGACAATGAAGCCACTAACCAACTTACAAAGGCAACGGATTACCCTCAATCTATTTGTAGGCGTTGCATTACTGGCTGTTGGCAGTGTTGCAAGTGCAACGTTCTTACCGTACGTCTCATTCACAACCATCTGCAAAGCTACCGTACATTTACTTAAACTTTTCTTCTCCACTCAGATGCCCTGCATATGATAATTCCGAACGAGCGGCATTTCTAGAGCAACAGCGAAAACTAAAGGAAGAGCGAGGCGAAATAGAAGTTCTAGTACGAAAACGACGGAAAGCCAAAGCGAAGGCATTAGCAGACCAAAATACTGCAAACGAAGAACAGAAACAATAGAATTCCCCTCCTCCCTTCCAAAAGACTTTGCAACATGGATACAATGATGCAGAGTCTGTTCATAGACCAGTAAATAGATACCAAGTTCCAACTCGGAATATAATAATAAAGCATGCAATCTAACATTGCAGTCGGCAATCACTTACTGCCAGCATACCAAAAACTCGGTAAAATCTTTCTGCTAATGACTCGTCAGTAAGAGGTAAAGAACACTTTCAAATGCTTGACCTGGGATTAGTCCTTCATACGTTTGTGCAATGGACATAGAGAGATATTCCCGTGCTCGAGAAAGTTGCATAATGAGTACAATAAATTGCAGTTCTAGCAAATGGCCTTTGGCTTTCGTATCGAAATCAGTATGTTAATATACATAGTCCTCTTTTGAAAATCATAAAGCTGGATTTTAAAAGGCGTCTCGATATTACGAGTGTCCTCATTGCCGACCATATCCGCCGCCTTACTACAGAACTCCAGCACATTTTAAACATTTATTCATGTCGCGGCAGGTATAGCATGTACATTCAGGGTAGTCATAATATGGTTTACTTTGAACTTAGTATTAAATTCATCGATTACCGTTAGATTGCAGGCAAAGAGAGAGATATAGGCGTGTCAAGCGTCGAATCACTCAAGAAATGGGACGACGCACATTTTAGATTGGATCTTACCATCTACATGCGCTAAATTACCGCCACCTCATTCGCATCTTTACTGCATCTTTCTATTTGAAGTCATTTCATACATTAGTTCTCTGTAATGCATATTTTACTCATCGTTTGTATAAACGTTAGAGCCTCCCCTCGATCCTTAACCTCCACCAACGACCTCTTTAGGTAGTTTGGATCTCATATAGCCATCAGCCTCAAACAATTTATTTATTTATTTCTATTATAACATTGTAAAGTGCTCTTAAATAATCCGTCTTCCTATCTGAGATACCGAAGGTGAATCAGATATATGGCCGGTAAAGCACTGACATTCGCAATTTTACTTTAGTTGCAAATGTCACGCGTCCATCGTCTGGCAAGTATGAAACCTGCCTAGCAGAGCGTGGTGACAGCAGAAAACCTCATTTCATAAATGGTTTCCCTCCACGAGGATATTTTAAGCATCATCTGATTCAATTCGCCTTACTTAGGGTACTCGACCGTCAACCAATGAGGTCCATGATATCTTGGAGGTTCATTGTTCTGACTTTGAAACCTTCAAGCAGTGGCACAAGCTCTGGAAATTTTCAATAAAGGATGGCTTCTCATTTTTTTTTACTTCAAACACTTCTCCTTTCCTCTCTCGTTGGCTTACTGGTATTCTACCTATGCAAGAAACAGATTCAATGTCCAAAGAGCTTCATGGAAGTCCTCTTGCTACCCCTTTACAAGCACCTATCGTTGGCCCTGAGACTAGTCCATCACTTGACGATAGCCCAAAGGCTCCCGAAGGTCAGCCGGTATATGATCACAGTGTGGAAAAAGTGATAGACATCTTTGAAAATAGCAACAAGGAAGTTGTTGAAAGTGAACTTGGTGAAATTTTTCACAAAATCGAAGATTCTCCAGTAACTGCAGAAATTACTCCTTTACCTTACTCTAAATTGGTTCCTCTGATGATCGGTCTATGTGCTGGAATGCTACTTTCGTCCATGGACTCAGTCAGTAAGTCTTAAAAAAATTGGATACAACTATTCTGTATCACATCTAAAAGCTTATATTTTCTAGTGTTTGATAATGCTCTTCCCAGAGTGATTAGGTATGTCAGACACCCTTATTGTTATCTTTCTCATTTCATATGTCTTTGACACATAATATTTTTTTTTTAGCGGTTTTAATGCCTTGGATAAAATAGGATGGATTAATGTTGTTTTTGCCATGACTACTGCGTCATTTATTCCTCTTTATGGCTCCTTCAGCGATATCTTTGGGGTAAATTGAATGCAAGATGGTCCCGGTAATATTACAAAGCTAACATTGAAAATTTGGTAGAGAAAAGCTTCCTTGATAGCCGCCATCGTAATCTATGAAATTGGACAAATAATCACTGGTGCTGCCTCTGGTTCAAATGCTGCCATCCAAATTATTATAGGAAGGGCCATTGCGGGCATTGGAAACGGTGGAATTGTAACACTTCTCTTTGTAGTCGTGACTGATGTTGTTCCTGTAAGTGTGCCGACTTGTTTTCATCTCTAATGAAATGCGTGTATGCTGATGTCTTCTTCGGCTTAGAAACGCGACGTACCAAAGTACCAAGGTATTATCAATGCCATATGGGGAATTTCGGCCATTGTTGGACCTCTTCTTTCTGGAATCTTTGTGGATAAGTCTTCATGGAGGTAAGGAGCAATATTTACGTATATACGATACTACATTTTTAGCCAAAAATTACAGCAATTAACTTTAAACCTTTTCCCTGAAGGTGGAATCTGTATCTGGGCACCTTTGTGGCATTGCTAGCAATCACCTGTCTTTATTTCTTCTATAATGTTGAGGCTCCCAAACAAAATGGCTTTGAAAAGATTAAATCAATCGACTGGCCAGGTCTGGTAACCTTAGTAGGAGGATTGGCATGCTTGCTTACGGCTATTGATGCCGGCGGATCTGAAACTTTCGCATGGACTTCTTCTACCTCGATTGCCCTGTTCACTGTTGGAGGTGCTTTTCTGGTAGCTTTCTTAGTCATTGAATGGAAATTTGCAAGTCGACCAATGGTACCACTGCATCTTTTCAAAGCGAGAACAGCTGCAAGCGTCCTTGCTAGCGAATTCTTCTTTGGAATTGCGTTTTTTCCTACTTACGTGTATGCTCCAGTTTACCTCCAAGTCATTTTTCGTTTCACGGGCTTACAGTCTGGGATTCACTTTCTTCCATTTCTTCTTGGTCTCGTTGCTGCTGCCGTTGTTGCTGGAATGGCTATGTCGCTTATGGGTCGCACTCGAGAGGTTTCATGGTTGGCTACGTCATGCTTGGTGGCAGGGACCGGTGCCATGTCCACCTTGGATGAAAATAGCAACGATGCTCACAGAATCGGCTGTATGCTACTGATGGGTATAGCCTGTGGTCTTTGCATCTGCTCACTCTTGCTCAATGCCCAAAACTGTGTTCAGGATAAAAAGTGAGTCTTTGAAACTGTCATATCTTATAATGAACGAAAAAAAAAATTAACCTTAAGTTGTTCAAGTCTCGGTACCATGACAGCTTTAGCAAACTTTGCACAGCAGCTTGGCGGAGCCGTCGGAATCAGCAGTAAGTAAAAAGACTATGGGAAAAACCATGCGCACCATATCTAAATGCTAATTTTCATCATGCTCTAGTTGCGTCCTCAGTTTACATGGAATCCCTGCTTTCTGGCCTTGCCGGTATTCAAAACCTAGGAGAGTCGCCACTGGTACTAATAAGCAACATACAGGCCCTTTGGTCATTGCCGGTCAATTTGCAGCAGCAAGTTGTCTCTATTTGGGGGTCATCTTTCAAACTGATATATTACGTCGGACTGGCTTCGGCGTCTATTTCTTGGTTATGTTCTCTCTTCATAAAGCATTATCCTATGGTACATACTTAATTATACTAATTTTAAAGAAATCAACTATATATTAGTTACGGTAAAGAATTTTGTTCTCATTACTGTATATTCCGTTGTCAGATAGTTATTCTATGTTGTCCAATCCGATTAGAAACATGATTAAATACATATTTGCCTAGTAAGTACCATTCGAGTGCAAGAGTAGACCATTACGGAAGTAAAAGCGATGAAGATACTGGCTAATTTGTCGGAGATCACAGACCGAACGCTACAATTCATTATACGAGTCGTGGATCCTTGATTTGTCCACATCCGCCCACTCTTTCCTTGTTGTTCACCTGTGCTCGTGAGATGCTAAAGTTTATTGATCATCAAAGGTTTTTAAATTTTTTTGTATTGTGAAGTAAGCTCATGAGATGTGAACGCAATCCCAGGATCCAGTTGGCAAAGCAAAAAGACTGTATATTGCTTTTTTTATTATTTTTAAAATGTTTTGTTGTTTTCATTTGTTACTCTCCTCTACTATACACTAATATTGGGCCATTTTTCAAATAAAATAGTGTTACTTTTCAGTCCTTTGATAACACCTCTAAATAAGGGACTTTTGATAACTTCGTCTGAACATGAAGCGAAGGGTCCGAGGGCTTTTGGCGAAGGCTGTTCGTCCTCAGAATCCCTCTTCTTCTGACGGAAGTTGGCAGCTGTAGCAAGTTGTCGCAAGAATTGTTTTCCAATGACTTCGACGGCTTGTGCTTGATTGTTCGTGGCGTCATCTATGCTAAATCCTTTGGTTAACACTAAGCAATCACTGATGAAGACACCTAATGTTTGTCCTTGAAAGAAAGAATCGTGAATAGGCGAACTGCAAGCCAGTACAGAAGGTACGATATCTACTAGTAGACATCTTAGCATATCCAGTGTGCTTGTGAACGCATTTACTGACACGGAAAGAGGTGTCGCAACCAGACATGAACCAATTTCGGCTAAATGAAAGAAGCGTAAATAACATGTAGATGGTACATTGGAGAACATATCGGTACTGTATATTGTGCATACCTGCGCGAACAGCGCCTCCAGCTTGACCGGCTTCTAAGACCTCTTCAACAATAGACAGCATGAACCAACGATTGCCTCCAATTTCTAATGCAGCTTTGAAAATGCTCATATCCAAGTAGTGTGCTTGTTCATCGGGTACATTGTCTTGTGGATGGGATGAGGCGAATGTGTCTGCTTCGACGTCACGCATATACATGGAACGTCCACTTTTCACCATGTATCGAAGCATATCTCGTGCTCGACCAAACAAATTTTCAGGTCCTATAATCCCCGTTTCTGAACCTCGCTCTTGTACATGTTGTCTTTGGCATGTAGCTGAAATTCGACTGTAAATCTCTTGCGCATATGGGGTGATGGCACTAATATCGGGCGATTGAGTATCGTCTTCATTAACTTCTGCTTCAGTTCTGTAGCGAATATCTAATGCATCGAATGTACCAAGGATTTGACTGGCGCTCAGTAAGACAAAAATATCCGGAATATCTTCAGATTGCAGCAACTCCCGCATAATGGTGATGGCCGCTACAGATTTGTTATATAGAAGCTCTGTACAAAGCCAAGACATTGCACTTGGGACTAGCACATAGCTCAAGAACTTTTCCTTGAAATAAGCGATACCTCCCAGCAAGTTCTGTAGACCCATCTCACCGGCTTCGTACGCGTACATTGATCGTTCGAACAAAGTTGGCGAGACTTTGATCAGCAGCTGTGGTGTTGAAGATCTAGAAAGGATGATTGATTAGTTATTTTAACTGAAAAAGGTCACATGTATCGGTTGCTATTGTACAATTCATACCTGAGAAGTGCGTCTGATATGCCATCGTTGCCGAACAATGCGGTCATCCACATTGAAATGAACTGTTCGATGTGGTCATCTGCCATTCCGCTGTCGTAAACAGAAGGATGTTGTAAGAAAAATGTGTAGCAATATCCCGTGGGGTTGACGAATGCGGTGGACAAATCTCCGGATAACTGCATGGTATGTTAGAATTCATTCTCATCTCAAGAAGGTTATGAAAGCAGCGTAACACTCACATCGAATTTGCTAATAAGTAAGTTGATGAGGTACCAGACTTTACCAAAATCTTCAAAACTGGATTGGAGATCATCGACGTCTTGACCTTGGCTACCATATTCGTTGTTATCATCCATGTCCATGGTATAGTTTGATCGATTCCAATCGTTACAAAGAAACTCTAATGGACCCAAAAGATCTGACGGTTGATATAGCTGGAATATCAAATCAAGGAAACATGGATTTTGGGATAACGATTCACAGATTGGAGCCATAGATCTTAAGTCAAGAGAATCTGCCTTTTGACGTATAAACTGTTGAAATGACAGATGTAAGTATCAAAAGTAGTGTAGAGATCACAACCAGCAAAATTATATTACCGTCAATATGAAATCAGTAACTGTTTTAAGATTATTAAGAGAAAGCATTGCAATATTCATGAGATCGGATGTGCCAAAAGATGTAGGATTCTCCTCTATGACTTTAATCCTTTGCTCCAAGTTCTGATTGTAACGTATATCGCATTAATGGCTTGTTTTCAATATCGCAGTGATATCAGGTTAGCCACGAAGCACAAGTTACTCACCTGCTTTATTAGAACATGTTCGTTCTCGTTCTCGTTGCTTGACGTGGTATCGAACGTAAGTTCGCCTCCAAAATCAAGCATACTAGTGTCCAATAATGCGTTGATATCGTCAGCGGTTTCGGTTTTCTGGGCACCTTCCTTGTCTGATGACGGTGATACTTTCGTTAGAAGCTCCTTTGCCACCTCCAGACGTAGAAATTTGTCCTCCAAACAAACTTGTACAATCAGTTGAAAAATGTCCCGCGAACTGACTGAGTTGACAGCTTTGATAACCGCTGGGTTGCTAAGTCCATCATCAACATCACTCATATCATTCAACATCATCATGAGCTCATCTTCATCCGCATTCTTGTTGTTACCACCCGATTCCGCCCAAGAAGCTGGCGTAAACAGTAGTGAGCAACAGGAGTTGGAATTGCAGGCATTAAGAAGCCCGCTAAATGCTTGCAGTTCGAATAATGAAGATTCCAACGCATTATGCTATTGATACAATAGCTGTTAGAGACAAGTACCATGCATGAAATGGCATATTATTGCCAGATAGATTACCTTTATTTGAGCGTCTTCTCCTTCCCCTTCTCCTTCTTGTTGTTTATCTGCAATGTTCTCGGAGTTCAAAGTGATTTCTTCCATCATAGAGGATTTCATTTCTTGAAATTGTTGAATCAGCGAAGGAATCTACGGAGAACGTCAAACGTTTAGATTGAATTGGCGGGTTATATAGTTACAAGTGATTCCTTCATTGAAATCGCACGCTTACCTTAACCAAAACCAATGTCTTCCACAACAATTGATCAGTGACAGTCTTCAGAGTACAATTATGATTGCTCTTTGATGGACCAGCATCCTCCTTTCCACTTTCCATATGAATTTGTGCGCTGGAGCACGCCTGTGTTGCCTCTGCTAGACCTGTAAGACCTGCAAGCCATAGCTCTAAATAGAACGATTCATCAAAAGCGCCCTGTGAAGAAAATGAATATTATGCTTTAGTTGCGAAATAGTTTTGCGTCCAATTTGCATGATTGGTTGTACCTTGATACGTTGGAGTTTCATCATCCTTTCCACGATATCCTTGTCGGGTAAACTTGGTCGAATTTGGGCAATGTGATATATTAATCCCATTAATCCTGCACTTGGCATCGCTCTGGCGGTTCCTTCATCCTCAAGTTCATGATACTTCATGTGTACAATTTTGTGTTTTTCAGAAACGCTTTCGGATAATTGCTTTATCGCGACTAATAGTTTTTGCACGGTTGTGCTGTTGGCGACAGCTGGTGAAGTCGGTGTTTGATTTTCTGGCAGAAGAACGGCGAGTAATCTTGCCTTACGTCCTGAAAAAAAAAGGCATATAAGTAACCCAACTTTGATGAACTAACATTCCTAATCGATAAATCACCTTCTGCTCCATCAGCCTTGAGCATATTTAAGACGTCTTCATCTTCCAGACATTTCATAAAAATCTCAGCAGCTGTTATAGCATTACGAACCCCAATTCTTGTTTTAACGTTGTTTTCGTCGTATTGCTCTGATGTTTGGGAAGCTTCAGCATCCATGGCTGGCTTGGTCTCATCTTCATCTAGCACGACAGTTTCCTCTAGCATATCCAAATCCTGGGTTGCTTCAGGGTCAAATGAAAACTGTGGCGCGCTTTGCATATTGGTGTTGGGTAAAAGTAGTGATGATTGTTCGCGACGTAGGTTGACATCAGACTGCCATCCTAACTCTTGGGGCTCCAGTTCATTACCGTCGGATGAATTGATAATTTGATACAAGCCGTTTCCTAAAATATCAGCTAACAGGCTTAACAAGTCATCGGCTACCGATTTCCATTCATCGTCGCTAGAGGATGGAAACAGTGTTGTTATCCTCACTTCTTCGAGAGCGGCGTGAGTGACTCTCAGCAACACAGCCCACTGGTGTGGTTGAATTGAAATTGTGTTTCGAGGAAGTTTGCTGATTTTTTTCAGGAAAGTGCCAATGGCTATCAATGATCCACTGTTGACTTCCTTTCGAGGTTTACCTTGCGTGTCAAACCGATCCCCCAACACTGCATATTGAAGGTAGTTATGTATTAAGGAAGTTTCTATCGCCGTGGACGAAAATGTATGCTTCAACAAAAGATCTTATTGCCATATTGCATGAGTATATTGTGAGATATTGCGTGTTGTGCCGGGTAAATGAGACCTACCGCAGAGATCATTGGCTTGATCTGTTATTGATGAATTTTGTAGGTATTCGGCAGTGAATTGTGCCCACTGTAAAGAACTGATGAGCTAAACGTGCTATTGATTGCAGTGAAGTTAAGCAAAGGATAATAACCTGCTGACTAGGAAGCCGCCTTGCGTACGAACGCCGTAGTAATGTTTCCAAGGCGTTCGACATGGCGAAACTGTCCAGACACTGTATCTGGACCTGAATTTTTTTGGCGAGCGTCAAGAATCAAAAAAATCGCCAAAGCGCGGAAGGCTGCCATCCTGAGTGGTGACGTCGTTATACTAAAGACCAAAGGTGAACCAATATACCTTTTCCATTGGGACTACAACCTTTGCAGAGCTTTTACTAATATATATTAGGAAGCATCAAAATAAACACTGGAGCCCATGGATAGGTCCCCTTTATTTATGATCTTCTATTCGACTCGTCATAGTATCTAAAAGCAATGTTGGTGTTATCTTTTGAAGAACAGGCTGCTACCATAGCAGCTTTGCCCTCAAATTTCTTTTAGATATCTCCATCTTTAATGCCATCTTATGTATAACGATTCAATTAAAACACAATACCATTGGGCTTGTGCATTTTTTTGCAAAACATCCGGTATACCTTTTCTCGGGGTCATTTTCGTTTCCCTTTTTTACGCCTAATCCCGTTAGAAGTAGACAGTCAAACCGATTTGTGAATCTGAAGTTACCATCACATCATTAGAAAGTGCATCAAGGTATCCGAAGAGCAACATGAGATTGCAAGCGGTTGTAAGTAAGCTAGTTTGCAGGCAGCAGTAGTAAAAGCCCAATCTTGCTCAGAGTGCGGAGTTCCTGATCAATCGCATATGAAAGCACTGGCTCGATCTGAACCTTTTTCGTCCATTTCTCTTCCTTCACTCATCTCATGATCCAGCAGCTCTTTTCAGTGGAGGTAGGAGATAAAGTGCCTGGAGAAACCAGAGTACGAAGATCCATTCTGTCGCCTGACAAGCTAGTCGAAACCCCTGCCCAAAATGTCCACACTCTGTACGACGTGCTTAGGTATAGCGCTCATCACTACACAGATCGCAATGGTTTTGGATTCCGCAAGGAATTAGGTACTGTACAAGAAGAAAAGGAAATAGTCAAACAAGTCAATGGCTCTGAAATTAAAGAGACCAAATCGTGGACCTACTATAAGCTAAGCGACTATCAGTATACCACTTATCAAGAAGCCGCGAAGATCACTCAAATTATCGGATCAGGCTTGAAGCAGTTAGGCATGACAAAAGGAGATAAGCTTGAAATATTTGCCATGACTAGGTGAGTAATAGTTCAACTTGTTATGGTAAAATGAGGATTATTCCACTCTACATGAACTGACATTATGTCCCGGATCGTTAGTTTCGAGTGGATGATGATGGCTCACGGCGCCTTTACGCAGTCGATGACAGTTGTCACAGCTTATGACACATTAGGAGCGGAAGGCCTTGGTTTCTCAATTTGTGAAGTGGAAGCAGTGACTTGCTTCACCAATGCTGATCTCATTCCTGTTCTGCGCAAAGTATTGCCTACGTGCCCATCAGTTCGAAATATCATCTATACTGGGGAACTACCAGAAGCCGAAATACAAGATCTGAAATCAACTTTTCCACAGCTAAGCTCATTTATCAGCTATAATGAACTCCTCCATATTGGAGAAAGCCACATGAGCGAGCCAAACCCACCTCAAAAGCAAGAGTTATGCTGCATTATGTATACAAGTGGTAGTACAGGAACACCTAAAGGTGTCCTTCTCACTCACGCCAATGTTGTCGCAGCCAGTCAGTATTACAATTCAATGCTCATTGATCTTGATAATATTCCTGTGTGCTAATCACCTTCGCTTTCATCAGTTTCTGGCGTGAACCGTATGCTTCAACATTTTATCGAAGATGGGGATACAGTCATGGCATACCTTCCTTTAGCACACGTATTGGAATTTCTTGTTGAGAATGTCTGCATATTTTTCGGATTGACTCTGGGTTATGGAACTGTCAAGACTCTGACAGATGCATCTGTAAGAGAATGCCGTGGTGACTTTGCCGCTTTCCGACCATCTATTGTCACCGGAGTTCCCCAAGTCTGGGAGACCATCAAGAAGACAGTCATGGCAACGGTCGCAGCTAGAGGACCAAGAATTGAGAGTATATTCCACGGTGCGGTTGATTTGAAATCATGGCTACATGACAATGGATACCCTGCTGGAGTTCTTGACAAGGTGGTGTTTAAGAAAGTCAAACAACAACTCGGAGGACGGTTTAGATATGCTCTTAGTGGTGGTGCTCCGCTATCGACTGAGACTCAGCGATTCTTGTCTCTGACAGCTGCCCCAATTCTGGGAGGATATGGAATGACAGAAAGTTGCGGAATGTGCTCAGTCATGACACCCGAACAATTCTCGTACGGTCCCGTTGGCGCACCTGTACCCTGTACTGAAGTCAAGCTAGTGGACGCTCCTGAAGCCGGATATCTTTCAACTAACGAGCCAAAGCCTCAGGGTGAGATTTGGATTCGAGGGCCATCGGTCACTGCTGGTTACTTCAAAAATGAAACCCTAACCAGAGAATCCATTACCTCGGATGGTTGGCTGATGACTGGAGATATAGGCGAATGGAATCAAAACGGCACATTGAGCATTATCGACCGAAGAAAGAATCTCATCAAATTATCTAATGGCGAATATATTGCGCTAGAGAAAATTGAATCGATTTACAAATCATCAACCTTGGCAGAAAACATTTGCGTATATGCTGATTCACTATGCGCTCGCCCGGTTGCATTGTTTGTTCCTGTCGAAAAGTCACTCAAGGACATCTGTCAAGAGAAGGGTATTGGTAATGACAATTGGGAGACACTGTGCAAGGACCGCGCTGTTCGAAATTTGGTGTTGAATCTACTTCATGATCAAGGAAAAAAGTCTGGTTTGAAGGGCTCCGAACTGATCCATGACGTTTGGATTTGCCCAGAGCTTTGGACTACTGATATGGTATGTAAATTACGATACATCGAGCAGTAGCAAGATGCACAGTCTAATTTTCTCTTCTTAACAGGGCTACCTTACTGCTGCACAAAAACTTAATAGAAGGATTATCACTGAAGACTTTAAAGAACAACTAAAAGAAATGTAAGTGACGCATAACCCTAGCGCATGTGTTACTATGATTCATTTAACTAAGTAAAATTTGTTCATAGGAATCAAAGCCAAAAGAATTAATCACTCTGTACTTAACCGCTTGCATCGTTTCATTGCTTTGTGTATAATAGTGTTTATGAGCCATTAAATACAAACAACCTTTCGAGCACATCTCCCATTTATACGTTTCATTTATTGAATGTTTCGCGTACATCTGGCGGCGCTACATTAGTTGCTTCATTCTGAATGTATTCCTCTAGCGTTTCCACCTTTGCACCGATTGTCTCAAGCATGACATCAAGGTCGGCTTTTGATGCGGACAAACCTTTCGGGAGCTGAGTATAGGAGACAAAGACAGAACGATCATCATTGCGTTCCATAAAATAGTCTCCCAATCGAGTTACTATGGGTACCAATTTGGCTTCCTCAATTCTGTTTGTCCTTGAGAAAATGTGGAAAACAGTCGAGTAGTCGGTCAAAACTAATAGAGTGTTAGCACATGGAAAATTCGAAACTTGAATGATTTCCTTCGTGGCACCTACCTTCTGGCTCATCTAAGCTGATGTATTCCGCAACTGACTTGATAAGCGAGAGTTTGTTGACATATGGTGATAGTATGCCATCATTTTGAAAGTGCTCAATTATGTTTACATGGTACCGTTCTTCCTCTGAGGTATCAGAAGTGACATTTGTTTCATTAGGATGGTTTTGTATTGTCGTGGATTCCTTTGGTGACGTGATAAGGCTAGCAGGATCGCTGCCTTGACTTTGACTACTGCTTAGTAAGTTTTGGAGTTTTTCTTCGACGTCGACAACGTTGGCATGCTCTGCAATATTGGTACTACCCTGTGGCGATGATAGCTCATTGTTTAATTCGGTAGCCACCTCGTCGGCCTCCTTATTTCCCCAAAGCATATTCATCGACGCAGTATTATCGAATTTCTTTTCCCACGAGACGTTGGAAATATCAAATTCTGGTGTATCAGCATTTGCTTTTGTGTTAAACTTATAGAATCCTTCTGTACTGCTTTCCTCGTCATGCTCATAATTATGATCAGATGGTGACTCAATGTCCACAGGAGCTGGAAGGGTTTTGGAATCTGTAGAGGGTGTCATATAATCGTCTTCAGCTAAGAAGTCTAGCAAATCTTTGACAATGGCTACACTTACGTATGTAATTAGCCATTTGTAAAAACACATAGCCAGTTATATAGGCATCGTAAGCTGCTTCATGAGCCCTGGATACTTGGTATGCTGGAAAGTCCCAATGCAATTCTAATGAACAGAGTTAAGCTGTGAACTGTGAAATTGCATGATAATGCGTTTTACTAACCGATTTTTGGCCCATCGAATGGTGGCAAACGTGTTTCAAAGTAAATATTTTCAAGGCTTGTGGATTGAAAATGCTATCAGGTTGTTCCAAATGTCAGAAAAACATGACGTATGTTATTTGTAGTAATCATATTAAAACTGACTGCGAGATCCGGTGCTTGCGCGGCGAGGAACTTGGTGTCGATCACACTTTACCGTCTGTTAACAGTGTACACACGATATCCCTGCGCAAGCTATCTTACTCACCTTGGGAATCGTCGATGTACCATATCCTTGAAATCTTTTAAATCTGCCGGCAATGGTGCTATGAATTGATTCACCATATGGCAAAGGTCCAACAGCACATTATGTCCAACTACTGGTTTTTTCGATTGTGATATCAAATCTATCACTTTTCTAAATCCAATAGCCTCTTTCTTTTCTTTCTATCGAAGCAATAATATGTCAGAATAAGATAATACAGCCTAGAGCATAATAATCACATCTTATTACATCAAATTGCATTCTCTTTTCAAGGTAACGCTGTTCTTCCTTCTTTTCATTGACGTAGCATACGCAGATACAATCTTTCTTTCCAAATGCTGTCAACTGAGGATAGCTACGATGAAGAATGAGTATTAGATGCCAGAAAGCAAGAGTTTCATACACATGTGATATTACGAACTTGTTGCGAACTTCCTGATAAACCAAGCGTCGTCGATACCCATTAAGGGCAATTATTTCAAGATTGCCCCTCTTCTTCTTATCCTTTACTTGTAACCATGCATCAATTTTATCTCTAAACCAGCCCAGGAGCAGATCAGAATCATCACTAATAGTCCGTTGCGTACTAGTTTGAAGGCTTACTTGACATCCGACATAAACTCAACCTCCTTACGATCGACTGGTATGTCTGGAATTGCGTTATTTAATCTTTCAAGTCCTTCCTGCTCGAACTTCTTCTCTTCGGCGGGTGTCAAGTATGAGATGCCGCTATATACCCACTGAAAGGCACAATCATTGTTACGAAAAGTTGACTGATGTAATGCGATTGACAGGAAATACAATACCTTATTGAAATCAAAACCACAAGTTGTTAGAAAATCGAATGCCTCGCCCTGTACTCCAAAGCAACGGTTCATTTCCTTTCTGCCTTTAGTGCTCCTCGGGAATACATAAAAGTTGAAGGGTTTGGCAAAGTAACGGTTGGCTGTTTTACTCCAGTGAAATGTGCATATTCCAAATTGTATGATCGCGAAGTTTGACACGGCGCTCACAAATACTTCATATCTCTTTTGAATAGTTTGGAAGCGATGCTGGCTTGGGTACCTGTGTAAACCTGAGTTTTACTTCAGCACGGGGACATGGCATTTTGTCACTTTGCATAAACAAGTACACTGTACCAGTGAATTCGGCGTCTATCGCTAGAAAGTCACAATTCTCAATGGCTTCAGCAACTATAGGTAACCTTTGCTCAAATGTATCTTTAAGGATTTCCATTGTTCGCGAGATGTTGAGTCCAGAGTATCGTTTGGACAGTCGTTTTTCCCTCCACCAAACTGGAGGAGTTCGGTTTTTTCGTTAAGCGATTGTGACGTTGCATAAGTGGTGATGGTTCCTTATTTTATGAGACACTGGTTAGGGACTTGCAGACATATCCAGATGCATATATTGTGCGAGGATTGATTTTCTATAATATCTCTGAATCTGTGTTCATAAGCTTTCGCTGGAGTGAAATAACGCGACAAGTTCAGCGACAATCCGTAATCTTACAGCTTCTGGCAGGAACATCCAAATTAGGAATATTTCTTCCCGAACTAGTTTTTGGGTCCACTCTTCACCATTTACTGTTAACATGCTGTCTAAGGCGGTAACTTTTTCTGCCACTCGCCATGTAGCCATGGTCCTAAGAAGACCAGCTATGTTGAATAGAATAACATTGAAACCTATGGTGACATCGCATGTTCGCACAATGACTATTCTGCGACCTGCAGCTGTACCAATGTCGAACTCGGTCATGTTGAAACGTCTAATTTCAACAACACAACCGCAATCCCACGAACACAAAGTCTGTTGGAAATGCAATCACATTGTGCCTCAGATTGATCTTCACTGTTCAAACGACGATTGCGGCGTCATTCAGAGTACTCCTAAGGATATTAACTTCTTCGAGGCACTTGAAGCTGGCCTCGGTGAAAATGCGTAAGCCATTGATCGTTTCTGACTCTACTATGTCGACTAGTAATTAACCGTACAAATTATAGGGCTGAGCCTATATACGACGTCGACGTTAAGCGATTGAGAATGTCATTTCTTCGTAAGCAACAGCGGGTTCACCCTGACAGCTATGCACAGAAAAGCAGTGTGAGTACAAATGCTCAAATTGACTCATACTTCAAACCCGCTTGAAACTCACTCGGAATATGTCATTTCCACAATAGGAAGAATATCAATTGGCACAGACTCAGTCATCCTATCTGAACAAGGCATATAATACATTGAAGGACCCATTAGCTCGAGCTCAATACATGCTAGCACTAAACGGTGTGGAAGTCGCTGAATCCGAATCTTTGGAGGATCCAGAATTATTGATGGAAGTAATGGAGATTCGAGAGCAGATGGAAGAAGCTGAGACAGAAGAAGACATAAAGAAGCTGAAGCAGGAAAATATTGGTATGTTTTGCACAGTGCTTACGTGCCTTTCCAACGTTTCTTACAAATTATTCAATTGCCTTCAGACAAAATCGAACAAACTGCTGAACAGCTCATCAAGTCTTTCAAATCCAACAACATGGAAGAAGCCAAAGAGCTTACCATTCAAATGCAATATTGGGATAACATTCGCCGTGCAATTGTGGATTGGGCTCCTGGGAAGCGTATTGAGTTACAGCACTAGACAGCAATGCTGCAGCAAAGCCGTCGTGTATATAATTACTATAGACTTTGAACCCAAAAAAAGCCATCTACCCATGTCTTTAGGACTTTTTATTATGCACTTCCAGACAACGATAGATTACGGATTAAATCATTAAATACTTATCGCTTGAAGTTGTGATTTTCGGTATCCCCAGTACTTGCTACGAATTGGATCATATTTTGATGCAAGTTCATCACAAAGCTATGAAAGTGTAATTGTATATTGAGTAAAAATGAGTTGATAACCTTTGTAACGCGGTCATCACATTTAATTCCGAAAAAACTTACCTTTAGTGCCTCGTCATTGATTGATCGCTCTTGCTTCTGAGCTGCGTGCTCATATAACAGTATCTTTGTACTTAATAGATGTGGTGACTGTATATTATCTTTACTCAATTCATCCAGGAATGGTTCAAGTGTTTCAACAGATTGCCCGCATTTTCGCAACACGCTAAACAACAGTTGTATTAGCGTGGAATATAGATCTATTCTTGGTAGGGAGCGACACTTACCCAAGTAAATAGTTCCATGAACTGCCATTGTTGGGTGCAATCTTTATCATTCTTTTGGAGAATCTATGCAAAAGATTGGTAAATTGCCGATGGTTCAGCCATCGTACTTAGTTTCACTTACTCGACTTCGCGTTGAACCGTGGAATCATCAATTTTCGCATCTGGCCTGCTGAAAACAACAAAGTAGCGATGGTTCCAGGCGGAGTTATTTCGTATATCAATCCTAAGATTGTCTTCCACATAACTCAATTCGTTATCCCAAAGGTTGAAGGCTTGAACCACCCATTGTCTACAAGTCCCAAAGATTTAAAACACTATTTTCGACCATGGAATTTGAAAGTAAGCGGCTCAATGTATACCTATATGACCATGCATGGTAATTCTTGGAGTCATCTTCGATTGCTTTGTTGATGAAGGCAATCTCTCGTGACCCATTGCCAAGTTTTTCAACAACCACTTGTCGGTGATGCCTAATACACAATTTAACACTTGTTGAAAACTTGGGATTTTTTTAGGCTATGCCCTTACCATATCTGATAGTTCTTAGACTTCTCTTCCGCCAACACATCAATGAAGTCTAGCTCAGTGTTCAAATCCATCTTCAAAGCATCTAATAAACTCTGTCGATATTGCCTTTGGGAGACAGGTGACACTATAAGAAGATGAAACATATTGGGTTCTACACTGATCACTGAATATTACGTACCAAATGGTATAATGAGCAGGGTTCATATCGATGATATGAGCAGTGAGTTCCAAGACGCGTTGAGACTTTTCATTTACTCGGGCAACAGCTCGAAAGTAGTCCATTGCTTCCGAATCTGTTGAAAACAATGCGTTTAGATGATAGTCAAACGGGTACGTGCAATTTGCCTGTTTAGCTGAAAACATCGCTTAAAGGAAAGTGCTTACATTCGCGAGAATAAGCTATCGGAACCAACGGATTTTCACCATCGTCCTGGGGAATGGGTTGAACATCTTCCCATTCAGGGTTGTTTGCGTAGCTATCCGTTTGCATTTGAATGTGTATGGGTTAAAAAAGTGGAGGTAAGCAACCGAAGTGACAGGTTTTACCAGACTGACTGGCTGAGTGGGGCTGTCCCCTTATTTCGAATCATGCGGTCACAATACTGTTTGCAGCAAGAAAAGGTCCGCCTTGAAGACAATCATTTCACTGCAGTTTTAGAAAATAAACCGTTGTAGTGGTTCAACTCCTAGGCTTTAAAACCTCTTTATAACTCTTTTTTCATAACCTATACCGTAGTTTCGCCGAGATACATTGTGATAGGAGTACCAGTCCCTGTCCCTGCCAGCGTGGCTGCACCTGATATCACGCCAATGAAGGAAAAAAACGGCAGGACGGTATCAAATTGCGGCGATCTTTCTTTCTTTCTTTCACTCTTATCTCACTGCTTTTTTTTCGCTTTAATCTGTCAAAGGGGAGCTTGTCCATAGTACACTACGCGTAATAGAGAAGATGCTTCCAGATGCCACAGAGTCGCAAACATCATCAGAATACTATGGTTCTGAAAAACGACAAATTCCAAAACGATATTATTCTCCACAGCTACAAGAAAAATCAGAAGGCAATGGTAAGCTTCATGAAGTTGCTTTTCAAAAAGTCGCATGAGTTGTTCATACATGTACAAGTTGTTACATAATCTAATTAAAAGGTCATGCAGATCCTTATCGGACGCCTCCCACTCCATCAACCATCACCATGCGCCCAAATACCACATCAAAACGCGACGGTTGCTGCTGCGGATGTTTGTTTGCATGCCTGTTGCTATTTGGAAGCAGTGAGTGCTGTGGATGACAACATTATAAACAAACGGGACCAGAGATATGACACGTGCTGAAACTTATGAAGTGGACATGATCGTCAAGATCATGCCAACATGTTGTATTGTTTCAATTTGACAAAATAAAATTTGCGAGGGCTATACCGCAACGATCTATAATAACATACGAATATGTAGATGTAGCGAATAGAAACTACAATAATATTGGTATACTGGGATGATTGGGAATTACAATAAATTACATGCCAAAACAATACAAAGAAAAAAATAAAACAATCGAATATCAATGCCAGGTATTTGAACTGGAGATTTATGCGTCCTTCTTCTCGTTTTCCTCATCAATGCCGAAACCGGTGGGATCCGTCATAGATCGAGCTGGCAGCCTAAACCGTGTACTGCTATCGTTGGTGGCGTTATCATTGCCAGGTAGCTCGCTGACATCGTCTTTAGACTCCTCCGCAGCATCTTCCATCTCCTTCTCTTTCATCAATGCTTGTTTGCGATGTTCAACGTCATCCAGGCTTCTGTATGTATCTGCTGATAGTCTTCTTTGCTTCTTCCACATTCCCTTTTTCATATTGGTATTGTTATATGTCGCGTTAGGGACAATTTTGTGCGATGCGACAATGAGTCTATCGCCAGCGTTGGTATCCGCTCTCATGGCGGTCAAACTAGCAAGCTTTCGTACATCCGTTTCATCATAGATTTCTTCTTGAATCAATTCTTCCAAGACATCTTCCAAGGTGATGATACCAACCAATTTGGTAGTTGCCGGAACCTTGACACTAGGGGTTGTAGTAGGGAAAGTGCTGAAAGTCTTAAGGCTCTTTGCTTCCATTGCCTTGCTGTCATTATCCTCGCTTTTAGCATGATCCACCACTATGTCTGGCACGTTGTTTCCTGTTTCTATATCCTTCTCAGCATCGCTCTTGCGGCTCTTCCTGTTTCGTCTAAAGAGATGGAAAGAGTTACCAGAGTTACTTGATGCTGTGGTACTTTCTGAGGCGCGTCTATCCCGATGCTTCTTCTTTGAAGAAGGCACGATAGAAGAGTTGGAACCATCGGATACGATTGAATCGGCATCGGATTCAACAACGGTAGCCATATGACCTAAGGAAAAGACAAAATAAGTTTGTATTTGAGTTGTGACATGTAAAAAATGGGGCGCAAAAGCACTTACTTCCACCTTCTTGGAAGACATTCAGAAGTTCAAAGAGATTCATTTTAGGACTAATTGCAGTCATGGTTCCCAACTTGACATCCTTCAATGGAGTATTGTCATCAGGATCCAATAAAATAAGAGACTGGAAGTATGTGTTTAGAAATGAGGATGTTTAAGTTGCGCTGACGTTAACAATTTCCTTACCTTGACAAGCAATACTCCGATGATATTACGTTGGTCAAGAGGTTGATCTGCGGGGCCATCAAAAATCGGAATACGAGAATGTCCGCTTCTCATAATCCTCGTCATAGTTTTACGATCCAATGTTGTATTGATGCTTAGCATGAATACGTCCTTTATATCTGTCATAGCATGAACGACACTTTTTTCCTGAAGATCCAGTGCACCTTGTAAAATGGTAACTGCATCGGTCGTTAGGTCTCCGCCCTTTTCTTGAGTGGTAGCATGTAAAGCGATAAGCTCTTTGAGTTCTAAAGGAGAAATTTACAATGTCAGTAAAACGCTGATGTTAATAATACGCCAAGACGAAAAAAAAAAATATTCAACCTGCGCTGCGATACAGAACTCCATGCTGAGATCCAAGAAGCATATCCAACACCTTGGCAATTGGCCAAGCAACAATGAACAGGGCATAAATGAGAATTCGAACAGGCCATGCAAAGAAAGATCCTATGGCTAAGCCATGACGGGAACAAACAGCTTGAGGAATAATCTCGGAGAAAATGACCAAGAGTACGGTAGACGCAATAACCGCAATGAAACCTATAATCAAGGCATATACACTCCATGTGAGCAGGCAAGTAACTAACCGGTATAATTCCACCACCTTATCAAACCAGTTACTAACCTCCACCAAATATACTATCGAACAGCACAGGCAATGTTTCGTTGATGACAGTGTTGGTAAGCAACAGAGTTGTCAGCAGGAGATGCCCATTTTTTCGAATGGGCACAATACGCTTGGCACGTTTTCTTTGTAATTCGGTCCCGGAGTTAGCTAGGATGGCCAAGTTTGTTTCATCCAAAGACATCTAAATAGAAGTAGTGAATAGATCAATTAGATCAAGGCGTGACAGCAAGGGGAATTGAGAAGAGAAGCAAATGCTAAAATTGATTACATACCAAACCAAGGGTCAAACCTATTGAAGCAATCATAGAAGTACAAGGAGGTCAATATTTAGTGTGGGTTGAATGAACAGAATGCGGCAAGATTCATGTCAGTACCTGCAACGATGCCACTGAGGATGACCAAAATGATGATCACGACGATTTTGACCCAAAATATTGGATCGTTTGTGTTTATAGAAGTAGTTTCATCAGCAGCACGAGCTACAAGTGGTAGCAGTGACAGCAAAGCTATCACCGATGTGAGTAATGTCATAGCGATGTGCAAAAGAAAGAAGAAGGCCTTTCCCGAAGTTCTCAACCGAGAAAAAAGAAGCCTTTTTTGGAAGCACACGTTGCGTCGCCTGCTAGATTTGGCAAAAATTATTGTGCGGCAGATTGTCGTTGCATTTGGTAACCATATCGTTTTTATTTTATCCGACAAGTTCAGCATCTATTTCCTTGCCCTCTTCTACCAATTGACTAACCCACATTGCGATGGATTCTGGTGTAGGGGGCTGCTTATTCAGAGTCTCCATATCAAACTCATTCATCAGAATTTCATAATATTGTCGATACCGGTTGACAATGTTCATCTGGATAGGTCGTAGTAAAATGACTTCCATTTTCCTATCGTCCAGATACTGGCTAAGCCTTCTCATTGTGAAGCTTAAGCGAGCGTTAACAGCCTCACGGAAAGATTCATAAATTTGATACGCTGAGTCTAGAATATAAAAGATATAATGATGTCAGGGCGGTCGGTCTATACAAAAATTGTATTCCGTATGTGACGGTGCTCCGCAGCTTACCTGGCGTAGCAAAAGCTTGGCTTGAAAGTTTGAGCTTTTCACTTCTGCCGTTGTTAGCGACTTGAAAAGCCGAAACTTGCGTAATGAAATTCGATAAGGGTTCTGTCGAAGACTGGCTACATTCCATTATGAAATCTTCGCATATGCGCTTCAATTCTCGGTCTATTTCTCGCCTGGAGTCTATGCTGATCTCAATCACTCTAGGAATACCGCTTTGAGCAAAGTCGAATAATGCATTAGGGTTGAAAATAGATGTCCTTCCCTTGGCGAACGCACTCAGAGCAACTATATTTTAAACAGGAGTCAAAGGCCACATACGTAGATGTGTTGAAGAGAAGCAGCGGATGTCTTACCATTGACATGGGAAAAATCTAACTCTTTTCCGGCGTGCACGAGATTAGCCTCGAACGGCGCCAATTGCTCCTTCAAAATAAGCAAGTGCTTTATCAAGAACAATTGGCCATCTAATTTGCTGTGATTCATCGATATATTCTCACTTGCTGTACCAAGTGATTGTTTGCAAATTGATACAGCCTCCTGTGCCAAATCTTCGAACACGGTTGTCTGCGAGAATTCATGAACATTGATTGGTAAAAGCGAAATGAATGAATTTCACATTAGAAAACAGTACGTACCCGTACGCATCGGTATAATTTTGAAAGGATCCAAAGAGTGCGCTGGAGGGTTGGGAACCATGCTACGTTATTATCGGTGAATGCGTTGGGGGGTGAAGACATGGTAGATGCCGTTGGTGAAGTGTGTTCCTGTACGTCGGCCGATACCTCAGCAACTGATCCGTCACTATCTTCCGAGACATCCAGTGTCGCAGGAGTATTGAATTGAGAGAATGTCGGTTTGACGTCCGAGGCGATGGGAGATAACACAATCGAGCTTCTCCTGTTACCTTTGGAAATAGCATAGTGCAATTAATACGACTGTCAACTCCTCATGGTGTATTATCCGAGTTCTTACTTTGAAGAATGTTGGGGTAATCCAGATCAGCAGTAGTGGGGATATACTTTTCGATTTCGTTGTGGATATAAGATTCTGCGCGGAAAACCAATCGTCCTTGCGCATCCTGCAAGATATTACGAACTAAGTAGCTAAATGCAAGGTTTCGCTCGTTGTTGACATCTAAATAGGAGAATGAGTAACATCGATCAACAAATACATATTTGATCCACAAGATTCCATGAACTTCACTCACCTACGCCTTCCAAATCTCGGATGATTTGCAGCTGGAAAATATTACATAGATCAGAGAGAATCTCAATACGGTTTTCCTTGATAATTCTCGGTCGTAGATAGTCGTATAAATAGCTTAGGAGCAGTTCTAGGTAAGAACTGTATATTCAAGTTAATGAGGTTGTTCACGAATAAAATCAATCATGCACCAGTGCGCTTACTAAAGCTCTTCTTCGCCGCCATCGAAGAAGCAGTAAAACAACTGAAATTCTTCGTAGCAAACATTCATCATGTATCCACATCCATTACGCGCCTGAGTAGTTGATCATGTTAATGCTACTTATGTACTCGCATGTCCAAAAGGATTGGAGTACGTACGAAATCCAACACATTGTCATTATATGGACCAAGCTCTTGAATATTTGCTGTAATAATAGGACTCAAAAGTTGCTGTCGTACTTGTATATAGCTATTAATCGTGTCCGTCAGAAGAGAGTAATATCTGCAACAAACAAACAGGCATTAGTTGCATCCATCTATTACAATTCAAATTGTTCATATTCCTTACTCTTTATGTCCTTTACAGCGTTTTTCCAGTTCAGATGCCAACGGTCTAATCTTCTGACTTTCAGCGCGAAATTTGGCATACAAAAGCGTGGTTTGTGCTGCAGCACTCAATTTTTGTCCCTAATGTCAGTGGTATGTCAATAGCTGTCTCATGATCTCTGACGTATTTATATCGGTCACAGCTACCTTTTGAGATGTCTTCTTGTAAATTTCGTATCCAAGATCTCGTAAGGTTTTAATAATGTACATTTTGATATAAGTCATGCCACGAGTCATACATTGACGAAACCGCATCAGATAAAGCTCAGAATCCCTGTATCGAATCTAAAAGCGTTATATGTTAGTCAATATCCAGTGTTAGTCAAAGTAAGAGCGCATCATAAAAACCAACATTTTTCTCCACATAAGTGATCGATTCATCCAATTGTCGAAGCATTACTAGGAACGACGGACTCATGCATATATCTTCGTTAGCAGCATTAAATTGTTTTGAAATAGGTTCCAAATGGTTGAAGTAAGCTAGACCTTCTGCGAGCGAATCCGCGAGTTTACTCAAACGATCCTATATATTCGAGAAGTTAGCGCTACGAGCATATTGCATACGCTGACCATTTTTTTCTATAGAGCAATTACCTGCTTAGCAAGAAGATCTTCGCAGGTATTCTGCAAAGCCCTAGTCTGTTCTTCAACAAACTTGTAATCTCCTCCCAAACCCGAAAATAGCTGTATAGTGTCGTCAATACATTGCAAAAAATCATCGCATGATTGTCGATACAGAAGAACTGTAGCCAAATAGCTCCTATCAATTCAAATTGTTCAGTCATGAGAAAAGAACAATGCCCCAAAGCTATGTCCACCAAGGTACCTGTATATATCTTCCTGATCTTGTTCCATCTCCAGCTCCGTCTGAGCAAACCAGTCAAAAAATTGCTGGATGTTGTCGATTGGTTTATCGAATCCCATATTTATAGCACCTTTCTGAGCAATCACACTATCAGCAGCTGCTGATTCTGCGAGAAGTTGCGTGGTTGATAAGGAACGTTGTAACGAAGATGATTGCGGAACTAATCTTGCTGTGGGTAAGGCGGTGAATCGGGTAGCTGCTGCTGTTGGCGATCGAGGTGGTGTTTGAAGCTGAGCCTCGGGAGATGCCGTGCCTGGAGTATATATCTGAGGAATTGGAGAACTTGACAAGGTAGGCAGTAACTGCAATTCAATTGGTTAGAAACAACCAAATCTTCAGCGCGTATAATAACCTCACCAAAACGTTACCTCTGCTGGTAAAGGAAGCTCGATGCAGCTGTCATGTAGCTCAAAGACACTTTGTCTTTCTAGCTCGGAGAGCTTCGTTTTCTCCTCCCATTCTTCCAAGCTAGGGCCGTGAAGTGGCCGTGCATTCATTGGATTGGTTTAACTTGCTTGGGAGGACAGATTCGTTGCCTTGCCCTTTTGTGACTTGAATCGCTGAAATTGAATACCCCCATTGGCGGAATTCAAAATGGACGAAACAGCAAACATATCCGCACTCTCTATCAACACAATAAACTGCAACATGAATTTGGCAGAAAGTAACGTCTCAATCGTATCCGTTGTAGGACCCAATGTTGGCAAATGTGGATACTGCCAAGGAAAAGATACTTCACATACCTTTGGCGTATGGGCATATTATTTGACATGCGAGGTACGGAAGTTAGCATAATGACACAATATGACCAACATTCGAGCATGGGATCTATAAACTCACTGGCTGTCACTATCTCAGGACTATCAGCAACTTATTGATAAAGGCTGGAGAAGGTAACATTTCGCAATGTTTATATCAGCGGGAATTCATCAATACAGCCATTAAATGTTACCATTTGTCATCTTCAAGGTCTGGTGAATATGTTTATAAACCAAATCTCAGGACTAGCTGTTGTCCTCAATATGCCATAAAGTAACCCATCAAAAACCTGTTGTAATTGATATTGGCAACGAGATAATGTAACATTTGTGTTGCAGGTTGGATGCAAGCAAATTCAAACCGTCTAAATCACAAAAGAAATTGGTCCACAAGTTCAATCGATTTGTTCAAGGGGACTGGACACCTAATTCGGAGGAAGATGTTAATACAGGAAATAAGAAGTCAGTACATCAAAGGCAATTTATGTGTAATATCCATGCTGATATTCATTGGCGTTAACGTGAACGAAATTTTAGACCGCAGCAGAAATCTGAACCAGCGGGCATGGACACTTTACCGACCCTTTTATCACGAGCAGAACATACGTCAAATGATGAAACTGAACGCCCAAAAAAGTATGAACTGGAGGTAAGCTGTCAAAAGTTCAGTCCGTGCGATGTGCAACGATATTAATTCAAGACGTTTAGATTGAGATGGAACCAAGCTCGTTTACAGCAGAAAAGTACTCGCTCTATCGTAAATATCAAATCGGAATACACCATGACCCTCCAAGCAAATTAAAAGAAAAGTCGTTTAGACAATTCTTGGTCGACTCACCTCTGAAGGTAACATGATTTTCGCGTGCCTCAAATTTCGACCATAGATCGCCCTCATCCTAAAAACTTAATCTATTTTAGCGTTATTCATTTAACCGAGACGATGGAGCGCCTTGCAGTGGATACGGATCGTATCATCAAACATATAGACTAGACGGGAAACTGATAGCCATGGCTGTTCTGGACATATTACCAAATTGTGTGTCATCAGTTTACTTCATGTACGACCCAGAGTACGCCTTCCTTAGCTTGGGAAAGTACAGCGCATTAAGAGAAATTGCATTGACCCAAGAGTTTGAAGAAAAGGTATCCAAAGAATTACACTGGTACTATATGGGTAAGCTCAAAGCAAGGCATGCCGTACGACCATTTGTTGTTTTCATGTAATGTTCATTCGTATTATTTGTATAGGCTATTATATTCACAGCTGCACAAAGATGCGATACAAAGGACAATATAAGCCATCTTATCTACTGGACAGTGAGGCGGCAACATGGGAGCCAATTGAAAAATGCGTTCCGCTATTAGACAAGACAGGCTTTGTACCCTTTCATAAAGCCTTGATGGGTGAGGCTACGGACATGGATAGTACATCGGCAAACGGTGTTGACTCGATTTCCAATTCAGCAAATTGTTTAAGGTCCGTGTTGGCGATTTTCTCTGGTATGCTGGCGCCCATAACGGTAAGTTTTGTTGCATTTCAATTTTCCCCAACCTTGGATTTTTGGAATTAACAATGTTGTTTCCTAGGAGCTTCCATTGTATCATAGCGACGACAGCTTCCGTGAAGAAATGCAAGAATATGTTTCGGCAGTTGGAGAAGATCTTGCCAAAAAGATAATATTGGTGGTTAATTAGAATGGATACTAACCGTTGTGGAAGATATTTCCAATATTTGTGATTATGAAACTCTTTTCCTTGTTTTTTTCCTTTAAGGGGATAATTTTTTAACTGTACATTTTGTAACAAGTTGATGGAACTAAGCAAAAAAAAATTCTGTAGAGATTAGCATCATATAACATGACTACCTTAAAGTTGGACGTGTTGACATTTTTGGATCGATTATTGTTGTTGTTGTTTTTCAGTTAGTTTGTTTTAATCGACAACTGATTTGAAATAGGCAGTAGACATACGAGTTTGACCTCGAACAAGAGATGCTTTGGTTCTGATCCCAATTCTGTATAAAAGATGTAACCTGAAATATGCAAATTTGGTATACCTTCGTTATATATAATGAAATTCCTCCAGGGCATTACTCTCCTCACACTCCTAGGTAGCTTGTCTTCATTGACCTCTGCTAGTGCTATCAATTCAAAGCGCTCCGAAGGTGATGGTTTGCTTCAATTTGGATACAACCCTCCTCGTGTGAACCCTGATTACTGCGTTGGTAAGGCTGCCTGGCGTCATATTTGTTCATTGTCAATTTAGAATACTAGGTGTAACGGAGCAATCGAATTACAGGTGTCAGAATCATCAGCCCTACCTTCCCTGGATTGGCTTTCCAGAATGGTACCATTTCCCAACTTTTCTGGGAAGTTGATGAAGATATTGAACACAATCCCAATATCGTTACCCGTATCCGCGTCCTAAACTCTACTCAACACAACATTCTTGTTGTTGGTGAAAATTTCCGTAAGCATAAACACTTGAATACATAATTTCTCTATGTCTGTCGTTGAGGTCATGATACTAACATTTATGTTCGACATCAGCTATTGTTAACCAGGGAAGAATCGGTTTCCAGACTCACACTATGGACATCGATGCCCCCACTGGTCTTTACCATTACCGCCTTATGGTTAACTACAATGTAGGTCAATGGCAGGCGAATATATAGATGTCACCCCAAAGCTGACTAACATTTTTGTCTACAAACAGAACACCAAGACCCATTGCGTGTACGAATCCATTCCCTTTATGGTTGTTCAAGGTATTTTTTGATGTGAAGCTAAACATGTGTTAAATAATTTATACTAAACTTCTTTCTCTACACTTCATCAAACAGATCCATTCAAAATGCCTGTCCAGAACTAGATGCTGAACAGCTTGATAGTCAGCAATCGATGAAAATTAAATTATTAGTAAAAACAACAAATTATATCACAAAGAAATGATTTAACAATAATGGATGTAGGAAGGCGGCTGTATATTGAATTGTTTGGTGATTTGACCCAGTACTTGAAGGCGCAACGACTGTCAAGGCATTTGTGACTTTCTTTTTTTCTCATAAAAATTGACTCTTTAAGCGGAGCGCAGTTTGCGTGGACTGTCGACTAAATGCCATTCGGACAGGTACTCTAATGCTGTTAATAATGCTATGCATAAGCTTCATATTTTCTGACATGCACATAGCTTGTAGTTGGTCCGCCAGGATCTGGAAAAACAACTTATTGTTGGGGAGCATACCAGTTTTTGACGGCAATTGGAAGGTCAGGGTCAGCTCAACACTCCCAGTCCTCATGGTGTGATTACTAACAATTACCACAGAAAAGTCTCTATAGTAAATATTGACCCAGCAAACGATCATATACCATACCCATGTGCTGTCAACATAGCAGACTTGATCACACTGGACGATGTGATGGATGAATTCGGCTTAGGGCCCAACGGAGGAATGATGTACTGCATGGAATACCTAGAAAAGAATCTCGATTGGTTGATTGAAAAGTTGAAGCCGTTGAAGGGTAAAGTTCAAGTGTATAACGCGAGAAAGGCTGCTGAATACGTTACCAACAATTTATGCTCTTGCAGACGATTACATTTTATTTGACTTTCCTGGACAAGTCGAGCTGTTTACTCATCATAATTCGGTGAAGAACATTTTAGAGCAACTGCAGAAGATAAATTATCGGGTAAGTAACAACTAGCCATCGCCATGTATTTCTACCGTATCTCATAGTTTGCAACTATTCGTAGCTTGTGACTGTTCACTTAGTGGATGCCCATTACTGCACGGATCCTGCGAAATTCATCTCCGTATTACTGTTATCATTGAAGACTATGCTCCAGCTTGAACTTCCGCATGTCAATGTTCTTTCTAAGGTTGATCTAATAGAAACATATGGGAAACTAAGTAAGTGATATTTTTCATAATTATCTTCTGCGGCACGGGTATTCTAAATCTGCCTTCATTGTCTGTAAGATTTTTCACTCGAATACTACACTGAAGTCATGGATTTGAGTTATCTTCTGGAAAGCTTGAATGCTGATGCTTTTGGTAAGAAATATCAAAGCTTAAACAAGGCACTTTGTGAACTGATCGAGGATTTCAGTTTGGTTGGATTCTACACACTCTGTGTTGAGGTGAGTTTGCCGATGAGGATTGTACGAAGCACTGTTTTAGGCACTGACCAATATTCGACGATAGGAAAAAGATTCCATGGCAAAATTACAACAAGTAATCGACAAAGCTGGCGGCTTTGTCTTTGGTGCGCTAACAGAGGGCAATGAAAGCATTATGCTAACAGCCATGAAGAGTGGGAACTGGCAACATGAAGACGTCCGAGATGTTCAAGAAAAATGGATTGACAACGATAATAATGCGGATGAAGATACTGAAAATGAGGCTCTTCAAGGAAACATTGGAGGCATGGGTGGCATCATCAACCGGGCTGTCGATAAGCGAAGCAACCGATTCGGAGCCTCTAAGGAGTTCACTGAAAATGATGTTCCACGCCGAATCATGTAGTAACGTTCAATCTAATATCTATTCAACGGCATTCCACTCTAAACTTCTAGAATACAAAGCATGTACATAAATTTCCAGTTTCAAATGTTGAGACGGAAAAGAAAAAAAAAATAGCGCAATAAAATACGTCTTATTCACACTGATACTTGCAAACCTCTTTCATCCTCTGCTCCACATCAATATCCTCTAGTACATGAGCTTAGCTAATATAAAATGAAGCTTCATTATTAGAATTCTGGATAGCTATTTTTTTTTTATATATTTTTTGATGATTGGTTTGCGTACGACTATATCATAGCATTCCCATACCAGAAGCTCAAGCTAGCATTCATCTTAGCGTAAATCACACATATTCCACACTAATGCAGCATAAAAATAACTTGGATGTGACACATTTATATTTAAGTAGATGCGACGTAATTCAGCTGAACACCACACGGTATAGTGCGCTGCCTTATCGATATGTATTTGTGCTAACTGAAGTTGCTTTTCTGGCTGTACATTTGGAGCGAATGGATCCCAAGTCCGAAGGAGAAAGTCGGTGGGACGCTTGAGGCGGCAGTCTGATCAAGCTGTGGACAAAATGTTATCACGCACTAAGGAGAGTCTGGACACATGAATACGCGTGGCAGCATTGGGCAATGAATGAGATATGTTCGTCAACAGAAGTCTCTGTTACATCCAGGTCAGGTACCCGTGACAAGAAGATTGCCGATTGCCCACAAGGGAAGTCATGGACCCGTGATATTATGGACTATTTCGTTGATTCGCCGAGATCAAAATATACAAGAAAAACACGAATGCAAGCTATAGATCTGGCATCGTAAAACAATGTATATTCTTGCTCTACGAGGAAATCATTGATTACCATAGACAGATAGTGATATAGATTGGATCGCGATGGCACGCTTTTCTTTGCAGCACTTGTGATCGGTCACGCAACTAGTCGGGATGTCCAAAAGCAGCCGGGGTTGATCTCAGCCTGAAAAGTATCAGCATATAACATCCAGGCTTGAGCAAAAGTATTATGTCCTGGTTCACAAGACACAATCGATGCCGTGGTTTGCTCTATTCTCACAGGGTATACAAAAAAAATAAACATGGATATTTTTGGATCTACATATAAAAGGGACCGATGCATTTATTCTTCTTCCTCGCTTTTCAACTTGGTCAGAATTCTTTGCGACTTTGTTCTTCGAGAGGATTTTTGCTACATATCCAGTACCTCCAAAAAATAATAGAATTCGTGGCATATTCTTCACATGGGGCAAGCAGCATCTACGGCACTATCATCGTCAAAATCATCAGTTGTTTTTTACGACAGCGATGAACTAAGCAACCGATTCACCAAAGCAACTTTATCAACACTGGCTGTGCCTATGGTCATTGTGGCCTTTCCCTTCATTAATGCATACACTTTCACATCCGAAGAACTAACCGGTGTCAAGCTCATGGATGGAGCTATCGGTGGTCTATTAGGGGTCATTGGCTGTAAGTGTCCTCCGTGTATGTATTACAACTTCTGCAGACTTGTTATTTAACTTTTTTTTTTTGGTGTCTTCAGGGCCACTGGCACCATTTCTTGCATGCTGGGGAGTATTCGAAGTTTTATTCAAGGACGCACCCCCTGAGCCCTTAGCTATACCACAAGAAATAAAAGACAAGGCAAAGCGAGAATTTGGACTAAACTGCGAGAATTATTACAATATTGCTGTGGCAGGCATCGCGGGAACTGGCAAGGTGAGCTAATCATCAGATGGTTCGTGGCGATGGCAATCACTTGAAAATCAATAGAGATGATTTCCTAGAATGGGATGTGAAGTCAATATGACCAAAAACTGCTTGACGTGGTGGTCATATTGTAACGATGGGTTTCCAGCATGATAAACACATGCAAATGAACATTTTTTTTAAACCACAATTTCTCTTATTACAGTCTTCAGTCGTCAATGGGATTATGGGGATGCACGATAATGATCCACAGGTTAGTTAAAGGCGGGCTTCTGGAATAAAAAGGTTTCTTGTAACCGAGGCACACGTACCACATGACTTACCCAACCCGTATTATTATTTTTATTCTTGGTGTATTCCGATAATCCAGGCTGCTGTGACTGGTGAAACTGAAGCGACCATCAAACCTAGAGCTTACCGGCATCCAGACCTTCGCACCATGGTGCTTTGGGACTTACCTGGAGCTGCCACCCTTCATCACCCAGCTGAAACATATTTCGAGGACAAATTTTTGTGTGCCTTCGACGCACTTATTATAGTCATGGCGGAAAGGTAAATTGAGCTTCTCCGAGCAGCCCACATCAGGATTTTTGTCAACAAACATGCTGTGATCTCACCACCATAAATTGTATTACTTAGGCTTCAGGAAACCGACATAATAATTGCTAAAAAGGCTGAGGAGAAGAAAGTCCCAGTGTTCTTTGTACGTAACAAAGCAGATCAGGTAACTAGGCATTCGTTTTTTGGTGAAACTGGTTTACCACACGTTTAGTCGCCCATGTTAATCATCATATCAGGCGGTGGAGGCAAAAATTCGTCGATACAGTGGAAGTACCCAAGATGAGACGTATAAATGGTCAACGGCAGCAGGGGAACTAGTGAAAGAAGTCAAACAATCGATCTATAAACAGCTCAAGTCAAATAACTTCAGCACACGTAAACTATTTATCTTATCAGCATGGAATCTACAGGAGTTCGTTTCAGCCTTGAGTAAACGAGAATTGGACAAGAATATGCACATCATCGACGAACAGCGATTCATGCGGACTTTGATCGAAGGCGTGTTAACCAAACGCAGAAGAAAGGAAAAGATGAAGTTGAAAATGGAAAAGCAGAAGCAGCGCCAAATCATTGCTGAGGAGCGACAGAGAAACAGACGAAGCGCGGTCGGTGCAGCTTGAAAAATTAATCACTTGAATGTATAAACTACCCAACTCTACACACACACACATACCATCGTAAAAATCTTTTGTAATTACCATCTCGTAGTCAATATTTCATGATCATATGTACATTTTGCTTGTCATTTACGCGTGCAGGATGCTAATCTCACTGCCCTCACAGCGCTTCAAATGAATGCTTTGCTCGGTCATCTATCTCAAACAAAAAAATAAAAATATACCATAGGTAAACTACACTATTGATTTACCGGAAACTGCATCCGTGGGCGTGTTGGGCAACATAGCAGCTGCAATACGACGTCCTTCCTCAGCTAGTACATTGTAGGTGGATGCAGCATTTTTCTGAAAATGACATAAAGGAATCAATGTTACATCTCATTTTATGTATCCACAAGCGAAGCGTTAGGCATGATGATATGCAAACTTACTGTGCTCATTTGATCGACTTGGATTCCCAATTTGAACAGATATGTTCGAAGGTTCTCCGGCAAGGGATAAAAGTTCTTACCCGTTCCAAACAAGATGAGTTCTAATGAGTGAGAGGACATACCGGTTTAATAAAATAACAAGTAGACAAACGCATGAAAAGCGTGCACAAGGAGGTGTGAATGATAACACTGACCTGGCTTTGGGGCGGTTACTTCGAAAATCTTGAGCATTTCTTCAGTCCAGTTCTCAAATGGCGACTTTGCACCCGCTGGAACATTCCACATGAAAGCAGTTCCGTTCAGGAGGATGATTGGGCCATCGACACGAACGTTGTTGGACAAAACGAAGCCATTCTTTGTGATGATTTCAACACCAACATTCGGTCCTCGATCAAACATGTTGTTAAAGGCATCCAGCATGGAGACAGGGACAATGGTGTCTGAGGTTGGAGCTTCTGCAGGATACGTTTGATTGAAGACAGGAGTTGAATATGGCTTCTCATGCGTGTCGTCGTCGCTTGCTTTTCGAGAATGGGGCATGGATGTATGGATTTGCTTAAACGCCGGGATAAAAGCTGGTGTTGAACGAGTGCATGCTTTGATTGTTGGCAACTTGCCGTAGGCCAATGCACGACTGGACAAAGATCTCAAAGACATGTCGAAATTGATCAAGGCGTAATACTCGGACGAGCCAGATTACAGAATTTGTGCTTATGCGGAGTTTCGTTGTGGAGAGGCTGATGAAAAAAATGTCAAACCAATAGACGGATGGACATTTCGTTAAAATCACGATTATCTCGTATATGTAGCAAGTCTTTGTAAATGGTCTACAAAGTGATTTCAAAGAAAACGAAGAAGCAATTCACGTTTTAAACGATGCCCTATCGTTCTTTCTCGAAAATTTAGTTTCATGATAATCATGTCATGTATTCAATCTAACAAGCCTCTATTCATTCACTGCTGATTAAGAGACGCAGACTCCGTTTGGCATCCATTAGTAATGGGGCTCACAGTAGGCTTGTTAATATCTTGCAAAGAGGTTCTCCTTCCAAGCCCGACATAATTCGATGAGGCTTCCCATTGCGGGCAATGTTTGTGCCTGAGCCACAAATGCAAAACCGACAGTAGTAAATTTCGCCACGGCTATATTTCTAAAAATATTCCCCATTTTGCGTGAACTTCGTACGTAAGCAGACGAGCCTCGCTGGTATTGTACATCTTTCCAAAATACGATATAAAGTCACTGACCTTAAGATAGCTTTCTCAACTTCATCCTTTGAATACATCATGAATAAAAATTTCCATCGAGTCATCGCCCTCTTGGTCGCCTTTTCCAGCTTGAGTGCAGCCCTCCCTGTCAGTACCGTTGACAAACATCTTCAGCTTTTAGCCAGAGATGACGCATCAGGAGAAGGTATTCAGCTACCACAGGGTGCGAACTTGAAATTCTCACTGTTTGCCGAAGGAACTCAGGTAAAGAACGAGTGTCCATCCATTCGCTGACATAGTCAAATCTGTATTAATCGACACTTTTCCTTAGAATTATACTTGTGATAGTACAACGCATATGTGGACCAATGTTGGCGCCTTAGCTCATTTATCAAACTCAACCCTCGAATACGATCCAAGCAAACTTGTTGGCTTCCATTATTTCACTGAGCAAGATGGAGTACTTTCTCCAGAGTGGGATTTATCCATATCGGAACCGTACGATGAGAATGGTAATCACGTTATTGCAAAGAAGATCAGTCAATATGCTAGCCCTGACGGACCAGAAAATGTACCTTGGCTTTTGGTACAAGGCATTGAAGGCGACCTTGCAAAATTCGTCACCAGAATTATTACCAAAGGAGGTGTACCACGACAGCCAAACTGTGATCCATCATATAATAACTACCTTACAGTGCCTTATACCTCTCTTTACATGTTCTTTGATTAGTCCTGTTAAAAGAAGATATTTAATGATCCACTTTTGAATGCAGCTGTTTGTAATTCTTGCGCGTTCCCATGCATGAAACCTTATAAAATTTAATTGCGCTAATCCATGATGAGATCGGATGGTTTTAAAGGTGAAAATCATACTTGAATAAATATGAGAGCAAAGCAATAAGGCTCAAGTCAAAGTGTTCAGGGTCGAAAGTCCTCTGCATAATCGGTATAGTGCGTCTTCCTGGGATATAATTGCCAAATTAGGACAACGACCCCAGCTGTCTTTTTTCTTTCCTTGTTCAATCCATTGGACATGACTAGCAGTGCTAAACCAGGACATAAAGTAATCAATGAAGGAAATCGACGAGAGGGACATACAAGTGGTATTGAATACAATGGATGGACCATCACTTCCAAGAAGACGTCCATTTGCAATTCCCAAGACCTTGATCGGTACAGTTAGATGCTTGTTCACATTCGAGATTCCTTTTCGGTCAACCTAATGACCTTGATCTGATACAGGCTACAAAAAGAAATTGGGATACCACTTCCTGAAATGATTTTTGGAAACAACGAAGTCAGTATTCGAAACAAAACAGGTTTTGAGTTGAAATATCGGGCAGAGGACGCTTTACAGCTAGTTGACAAAACTTCGGAGAGCAACAAACACATCAAAGTAGCATATGCGAAGGAATGGGGAAAGAAAAGGTTGGTAAATGAATACAATTGTAGACATGGATGACTAGCTGCTACTATCCATCTCATATCCATTCGTACTAGTTCACAGAATCATGAAAATATTAAGGATGTCATCAAGCCTTATGACTGGACATATACAACATCTTATCAAGGCACTTCAGGCAACCAATTCGTCAATACGGACAAAGACATTGATATCGAACGACTCAAACGATTAGATCCGATCTTATATTATGATGAAAATATACTATTTGAAGACGAACTTGCTGATAACGGTACAGCAACACTTACAACGCGATTGGTGAGTGCGACTTAGTGGACATATATATTCGCACCGGTTGTTGATTGTTATTAATCTTAAATCATTCTTATCATATATCTTACGACAGCGCGTGATGCCAACTTGCTTTTTCCTCTTGCTGCGATTCTTCCTTCGAGTGGATGATGTACTTTTCCGCATAAACGATACACGGATCTACCATGAATTCGGCACTGACTATGTCATACGCGAATATACATCAAAGGAAGATCACTACAACTCTGTCAGAGCGGTAAGTTGCGTATAAAATCATTCAGTAGTATACGCGTTCAACATTAATGAAATTCCGTTGCTTAGCAATTGCCAAAGAAAGTGTCGGAAGATATATCACTTTTGACTGATCCCAACTGGGTGTCAACGGTGCTGCCGACAAATACTCAAACGATAGAAAAACAGATGGCTATTGTCAAATAGCACATTTTTGGGATTGAATGGGCTGCTCAACAATCCACCGTATACATGACGTCATTTAACTTATACTCTTGGGCAAAGTATCTCCAACGCTGACAGTTTGCCTCTCCACACACAACCACACTCGAGCAATAAACTATTTCATCAGCATAATGACTACATTAAAGATCATGACTTTCAATGTTCGCTTCGACTTGAATCAGGTGCCCGAAAGACAGTCGGCTGACACCTCTTTGGACGGTGAACAGCCTTGGTCTACAAGGAAGTGGAAGATCGCAGACACAATCTTGCTGTACGAGCCAGAAATTGTTGGTCTTCAGGTGAGGAAATAATAAACACTGTAGCATCGCTGTAGGTATGATACTGAACCATCGTATAGGAGCCACGTCATCATCAAGTTCTTGATCTGGCCGAGCTTCTGTCGGCTGACTATGTATGGGTTGGCTGTGGTCGTAGCGATGGCAAGGAGGATGGTGAATATTCTCCTATATTTTATAAACGGTATGTGATGACTACATCTATAATTGCGGAAGGAGCAGCTTTAAATAACGAGAACAATAGACAAATTCTTTCGGAAGCCAACTCCAAAACCATTTGGCTCTCCGAGGTATGTATGACAGGAAAAAGGTTGTTTTGTTAATGAGATTGTTCACTTAATTTCCACACAATAGACGCCAGATCAACCAGGTAGCGTAGGATGGGACGCTGATCAGACGAGAATCGCTACTGTTGTCACGTAAGGCTTTGCACATTTGATTCGCTTTGGTATACGCCGAGTAAAGAGATTAACTGAAGACGGTATACAGCTTTGACGTCAAGACAGACAATGGACAGAAACAAATTCGAGTCATCAATACTCACTTCGATAATAAGGGAGAAAAGGCTCGCAAGGAGTCAGCCGGCCTGCTTCTCAAAGAACTCAGTGCGACACAGCTCCCGATGGTAGTCATAGGCGACTTGAACTCAGAAGAAGACAGCGCGCCATACCTTGAATTGACGTCTCATCAGTATACCAAAAGCAATGAGTCGACGGGTATACGCATTGAGAAATTGAACAGGTATAGTGCAGTAGAGGAAGCAAAAAGAACTGGTATGCCTACTCGTACTCCTGGTCACGGTATTGCGCTTCCAACCCACATCCAGTTCAGACCACACAAGCTTGATCCTAAAAATCTCCAACCCATCGTTCAGCAACATGGGTTCAAAGATGCCCGATACGAATTGCAGACCCGACTGGAAGGATTTCCTGGCTTCAGTGGGCCATATGGTCACCAAAACACATTCACAAGCTTTGGTGCGCCTGGAGAGGATCCTCCATCTGTCATTGACTACATACTGCTCGGCAACGAGGTCAAGGTTACAAAGTTTGCAGTGCTCGAAAATAGATACGACGATAAATTGTACATAAGCGATCATAGACCAGTCATGGCAACTGTGAGCTTTTAATCAATCAAGTTATATTAGTTCTATCCCATTTGTATTTTATGTACATGACGAATGATTTATTTTTGGTTGATGATGGCATCGTATTCATTTTGGTCCACCAAGCCTTTCAATTGTTTGGACGAATCTTCCTCCTTTGGTCGGATAATGGCCAAAAATCCTTCATCAAGTGCATGTGTTCGGATAAGATTAGGATCCTCCAATAAGCGAGGATTGACTTCTGCCACTTCACCGTAAACGGTGGCCAGTATAGGGTATGTCTGATCGTCCACGGTGACCTCGCATATGACGGTATTGGGCTTGACTTTCTGACCTTTGGTCTTGCTTTCATAAAAGAATTTACAAGAGATGTTGCCAGTTGATTTTACAGCAGCATGTTCCTTGCTCAGTCCGAGAATGCAGAGCTTGTTGGGTGGTTGTCGTATATATACATGTGACGCTGGTTCGTAATGAATGGTGAAGTACCGGCTCAAAAATATGTCTATGCCCTGGTTCCAATGTGCCGTCTCCTTTGCCCAATGATCGAGATCGTACAATTCCTCAACAGCTGCTGATTTGGACAGCACCTCCTTATCCAGTAATTGGTCCATAATAGTAGATCAAGGTAACTCGATCTTCTCTGCAGCAACTGCACTTACTAGTGACTTGCTTTTTCTCAAAGGGAGACTTTTCTTTTTTTTTTTTTGGGCTGGGAAAAAGAAATGCATTTGTGGATATCAAATTCGTTATTTACACAGGATTAATCTCCAAGGGCATATAAGCTAATAGGGAGAAAAAGGAATACAGTAGAAGGAATGCGTTTGATTCAAGAGATGATAAAAAGAGGACGTTGATGCTCCTCTTGTAGCGGTCAAGCACGTAAAGTGACGGGTAGTGCTAACATATCAAACAAGCGTATTTTGGAAAAAGAAAGATTCAATCGGATTTCTCTAGCGGAATTCATATGTGCCAAAAGATCGTTCTTCGACATGTTCAAGTGTCAAATGTTGAAACCTTGAAAGGAGACGGATATTAGCACGACAGAATTTGGCATTTTTTTCACCAATCAACCTCCATGTTACTTACCATTCGCTTTGATGATGGAAGTAATAGCCTGTGATTTGATTTGTCGAACGCTGATAACATATATAGTAGAATCCATCATAGCTTGCTCCATCAATGCTTCTCAAGTGATGGTCAGAAACCAAGAAATGCTCCTTCCATCTCATAAATATAAAATCCTTGTCGTAAAAGTCGTAAGCAAATCCATCTTGATTGAAAGTTTTCAGGTAAGGCTGAAAGGCTGGGAATCGTTTCTGCAATGGATGATATGATGAGTAATTGTGAGATATTGATATAAGGAGTAAATAAACACTCTAGTTACCCAATGAGTATAATCAAACTGTTCCTCGGCTTGCCATTTTCGAGTCAAGAATGAATGCTTTGGTCCAATAATCTCAGCTTCAAAAAAGGTCTATAATAGCAAGTTCCGAAAAGATACGTTCAAAGATAAAAAAAAGAAGTAGTTCGCGTTAGCGCAAGCGGAAGGGCGGATTAACAACGATAAGTATCGAACATACCGTGAGCTCTGGAAACTCGGTAGTGAGACCCTTTATGTTAAGGTAGCCACTCAGACAAGATTCAGCTAGATCAACATGCTAAGAGAGCAGAGAAAATAAAAGTTTGCACAGTCAGTGAATGATTGAATAGGTGAGGTGCTTTGGAATAGCGTAAAGGTTAAAAGTTCCATATTTGGCGACTATTCCGAATGGTATGAGCCGTTCCCATCAGGAAAACGGTCGCCTCATTCCAAAACTAGTGCAGCACGATCTTGGTATATGGATCAAGACCAATCGCCTTCCTCCCGATGAAGCGCATGCAAGTTACCTGAATCTCCACAGCTACTTCGTAACTGGTCTTTCCACTCTTTTGAACGCCCTTGAACTTGGAACCTGGATATAATGCCCCCATTTTTGTACACCTCAACCGTTGGTTGGAGATATCCACCCACTGCTCGTCCTCTGACCTACAGGCTAGTGACGGTGCTCGTTTGGGTTGCTCTACAGAGGAGCGTGTTTTAAGTTCCCGTTCTACCATCTCGTAAGATTTGGTGAACACTTTGTTAGAGCAGTGCTTTGGGCAGCTGTTGCTATCTCTGCAAACAGGGCATACGATAGGGAGTGGAGTGGTTGTGGTAAGAACAATGGGGGCAGTAGCTGGTATCGGCATGTTTGATTGTGAAGAATGGAGAAGTGCGGGAATAACCTTTTTGACGGAGAATCAAGTTATGGCTGGATTTGAGTCTTGTGATAAGGACAATATGGTTTTTCTATTTGCTGAGGTTATGTCTGTGCTCAGTCGTGATGGCTAATATAACGAAATAAAATGCAAAAAAAAGATACTAAAGATGAGTAGAAGTGAGAGAACGCAGAGTGGATAATCAATCCAACACATTCTTTGTGCGTATTTTTTTTTTATAGAAAAAAAAAAAATTCAGTATACCACATTATTTCAGAAACAGATCCATTCAGAGGCCACGAAAAATTATACAACGATTATTTGTTAATAATATACTGAATGCGAGGAACGAATCATATCATAGACATGAAAGAAATAGCTGGATGAGTACGCATGATATTGTGTTATGCGCAGCCGACTTACAATGCCGATAGTGTTTTGAGGGGGCTAGGTACAGTTCAATGACTCTGTTGTTCAAGGCATAACACCGCGTCTTGTATAATGTTACCATCGCCTTCATATGCTGATGTTTACGAGCAGCAGAAGATCATTTTCGAAGATAATCGCCTCAATGTCACTACAGAACGAGCTATCATCTTACACTTGCAATTTTCAATGCTTGGGAACGCACAAATATAATTGTCTATTATTGCGTTTCCAGCATATTGGATCTAAGAAGCCGGGATTTTTCAGTTGCCCCTAAGTGACCAAGAGCGTACATACAGAAATGACAAATTGACTTTGTCGTCATGGTAATATCCAACAAATATTACAATAATATAGCAAACCTCTTGAAGTTATTGCCATGAATAACATAATATGGCTTTGAGTAAGGCTTAGCCGCACGTGTATGGGTTACAAGAGTTGTGCTGTGGACAATCGAATCGCCTTTTGGTACAGCGACAAAAAACATAAAATAATCCGTCACACGTCTGCCAGGTGGCAACGTCTCTATTAACGACTCGGATCAAACAAGATGGCCTTCTTATCTGGTTTTGTCAAAAGTGGTTTGTCCTTGCTGGGAAAGGATGCATCAGCATTTCCATACACCATTGGTCCAAAGGTCGAATGGTATGAAAACCAATCAATCTGGTCATTGCATCGTGGAACCAAAAAGGTCAGACACTTGATGAATGCAACATGTATAATCTAATCCCCCACACATACTGACTCAAATTGTTGCAGGAGGATAACTCTGAAGTCTCCATTTTCACATTCGACGTAGTAAAGAATCGAAATATGGTTCAGCTTGCCAAACATGCATACAAAAAAATGCGGACCCTTAGACACCCGGATCTGCTGCGATTTCTCGATGGTGTAGAGGTATGGCAGATATATGCCTTCCACTAGCTTGAGGTGACTATGGTGCTGATAAAATTTATCTCAACAGAATGATCAAGCTATAATGATTGTCACAGATGCTGTGGAGCCGCTTTCAGATCAATTGAAACAAAATGCAGACAAAAATCTCACCTTATGGGGCCTGTACAAAATTGCTGTAAGAAACATTCATTATGATGCGAGGAATAATCATTTTGCTAATGGACAGATAATGCTGCAGAGTGCCATCAAGTTCATTAATAATGATTGTGGAATGGTACATGGAAACGTGCGGATATCTTCCATCTTCACTAATAAAGCCGGTGAATGGAAGTTGGGAGGGTTCGAATTACTAGACTCAATGAAAGAAGAAAGCCCAATGATAATGGTAAAAAGAGTACATGAGGGCATGGTAACTGGATGATTTACTAATGACTTGTATACCAGACTTTTGGTGGAATGATACCCGATGCTAATCGCTATGCCTCGCCTGAAATCAAGAAATCAGGCTGGACTGTCATTAAAGAGTAAGCTATCATTGCTACTGAAATCTGCTGAAACCTTTGATCCAAACTAATACCATTTTTATTTCAGCTTACCTACTAGTGCAACTGACAGTTTCCAACTTGGATGTCTCATTTACGAAACTTATAATGGGCATATGGATTCCACTGACAAATTAATGAGTACACGAGGCGATATACCATCAAAGATGCAGAATGTATACAAATTGCTCTTAACGACGTCGCCAAAGGCAAGAATTGATTCAGAGCGATTCCTTGACGAAGGGTTACGACCGCAAGGGTTTTTCTCAAATGAGTTTATTCAAGTCAATTTATTCCTTGAAAATATAACCATCAAGGATCAATCCGAAAAAGATGTTTTCTTCAGGTAGGATGATTTGGTACGAGTAATTTGACGATGGTTGTTGAGCCCGCAGGCTCACCTCATTTGTATCAGAAAATTGGACAATGTTATCGAGACTTTTCCACAAGAGTTCTCTATCCATAAAATTCTTCCAGAACTCATCAACGCTTTTGAATTCGGAGCAGGTAAAGTGATCTATTTTTAAAAGTCATTTTGAAATGCATTGCTTATTATTTATAATCAGGTGGACCCAAGGTGCTCAGCAGTATAATTAAAGTCGGCGGTCACCTTCCTGACGAAGAATATGTGAAGGTCGTCATTCCATGCATTATCCGTATGTATGCCGCGCCTGACAGAGGAATACGGATGGCTCTGTTGGAAATGCTTCCTAGCTATGTGGATCGTTTAACTAAGAAAATTGTCAATGACCAAATTTTCCCACATGTTGTAAGTATGCTTCAGTGTTTACTGCAAAGGTGAGTAAAAGTACTAAACACTTCTTCAATCGGTCAGGCATTGGGCTTCACAGATGGTGTTCCCATGATTCGTGAGCAGACCATCAAGGGAATATTGCTACTGGTACCATTGGTAATGTGAATAATGATGAGATTGTCGATTTGATATATTTTAAGACTTGACGGGCTAAGATTTTCTGTGAAATAGTTGAGTGATCGAGTCATCAACTATGATCTTTTGAAATATCTGGCTAAACTTCAGATGGATGAAGAGCCTGGAATCCGAACAAACACTACTATATGTTTGGGCAAGATAGCGAAGCATTTAAACGCTGCGGTATGTTCAATTTTTATTGATAGATTGCGGACTACAGTTATTGAACGTCATACTTGCATTCATAGACACAGAAGAAGGTGCTGGTTCCAGCATTTGCTAGGAGTTTGAAGGATGGATTTCACCATGCCCGAATTGCTGGTCTAATGGCCCTGAATGGTATGGCCTACCTTCTGATATATCATATATTGTTGCCAGTATTTACTGCATGCTAACTCCTTGCAATGACCAACAGCGACCGCCGAATACTACGATGCCCAAGACTGTGCTACCCGTATCATACCTTGTATTTCATTAGTCCTTCTGGATAAGGAAAAGTAAGTTACATCCATTAACATCAACTGCTTATTTAGACATTGATTGACCATCCTATCCTTCAGACCTGTCAGAACGCAAGCTTTCAAAACTTTGGATGTCTTCATCAAAAGAGTGTCTGTGTTTGCAGACGCAATGGTAAGAGAGACGCCTTAAAATGTCACCAAATCCAACCAATGGAAAAATACTGATAATCCCACGTTACATCAGCCGGATACAGCCATTGTTGAAACAGTAGCATCCCCACAGGTCACAGAAGGCGGACCTGGCGGACCTGGCACGTTTGCAAGATCCAACAGCGCTTCGGCAGCTGCCGCTGGTGTCGCCGGAGTACTGGGAGAGGCCACTAAAGGATTTGCCGGTTGGGCAGTCACATCCATAGCTACGAGAGTAAGCAGCATTTGTGCTCATTGCAGTATTACCAGTGTTTTATCTAATGATTTTTGCATGTCATAGCTTGCTTCTCCTGGAGAAATGGCTAGTAGTGCGCCTGTAACTATGCAATCAGCAAGCGATCCAAGCCTGAACAAATATGCAGCAAGGACTGTACCTGCGCCAGATACCCCTAACCCAGATCGAATTGCTGATCGCTTGGTCCTTGCCGACCTAGATGGAGATCATGGTGACAGTTGGGATAACGATGATAACGATAACCTGATTGGACTCGAAGATGATGCATGGGGTGAGGCGTTTTATTCAACATTATTGATCCCCATGGAAGCTGAATGCTGACCCACTCATTGTTATATTTGTAGAACCACTGGATACAACGCCAGCACAAGCGCCAGAACCTGTAACGTCCTTCGTTCCCAAAAGAAGTATGGCTACATCAGCTGCAAAAACAATTGTGCCGCCAAAGGTTGATAGGGCTTTCAATCCCGGTACTATGAAGCTTGGTCACAAAACAAAGTTTGACGGTCAGTATATAGAAATGTTGCTCGCACGGGGTGTAAAATGTGTATTCTCACACTGATAGGCAAATCAATAGTGGATGACTGGGGCTTCGATGATGATGTTGAAACCAAATCAGCAAATACAGCTGCTGGCCATATGTCTACGAACAGAAGTATATCACCTGTTGTATCTGCACCAGCCACAGTGGCGTCGAACTCGTCTTCAGTGTTATCGAAAGAAGACCGAAAAGCGGAACTTGATCGAAGGAGAGAAGAGAGAAAGCAACGTATGGCGGAGCTCCGGGATAAGAAGAAAACTGGCGGTATAGGTGCTAAAAAAGTATAACGCGCTTCTTGCCATTTTGTCTGTGCTTCTCGCTCCAGGGACAGGTTTTGGTTTTTTTTTTTTTCATTTTAGACATGCTTAAAAAATAACAACCTCCACGTATAATAAAGCCGTGGTGAAATACTGCTATCATTTATTTACAACTTTATTTATCAGCGGGAACATCAAATAGCGGAAATTGTCCCTTATCTTATTCAATTGACGTTTATGGGAGTGTGTGTGGATTCCCGGCTGATATATTATTCCGTCGACTTTCTCGGTAAATCAATGGTGATGGCAACCAATCGCAAGAGCGGTTATGGTCTGAAACGAAAGAAGATGTCGATTACAAGAGCTGGTTCATAAATGATGTATATATGACCTTCATTGTACCAAGCGAGCACTGCGCAAAACCTGTCGGAGTTCCTAATGAAAGACATGATAGCTATAATGCGCTGAAACCCTATTGTTCGGAGTTGTATTTGGTGTGATCTCCCCGGAGGTATATAACTGGGCAATTAGTTGTACTGTCGATACCCAACAACCACTTCCGCATTCACCTCCTATGAGCATCGACAAAACCCTTGAAGAATTCATTACCCAAGCCATTGAAAACAACCGTAAGGATCTTCGTGAGCTAGCCAAGCAGATTCATGACCACCCTGAGGTTGGCTTTGAAGAGAAATTTGCCCACGAGTACCTGACCAAGTTGCTGGAGGAAAAGGGATTCACTGTGGAGCGACACGCTGGAGGCATTGAAACCGCTTTCGTTGCTACTTATGATACTGGAAAGCCAGGACCGCGCATCGGTGTCTGTTCTGAGTTTGATGCGTGAGTATAAATTTTAATTTCTATGATCTGTCATTGTGTGTTCCTGGGAAAAGGCTAACCTAGACCCATTAGCTTGCAACTATCGGAAAAAGTTGTCTGTCACGCCTGCGGTCACAACCTGATTGCCACTGTGGGAGTAGCAACAGCTTTGGGGTTGCGATATGCCGTGGCTGAACCTTCTTACCAAGGCGGAGGCAAAATCGTATTGTTCGGTACTCCGGCCGAAGAAGGACAGGGTGGCAAAAACTACATGCTTGACGCTGGTCTATTCGAACAGGCTGACGTTTGCATGATGGCTCATCCTAGTGGTGGTAACAAGCAATATGGTAGAACTCCTACTATTGCACGTCAATCCTTGAAGGTTGAGTACTTTGGAAAGCCTGCTCACGCTGGTGGTATGCCATGGAAGGGAGTCAACGCTCTGGACGCTATAGTCCTGGCATACAACGGAATCTCCACGCTACGACAGCAATTGAGTCCTAATGACCGTGTTCACGGAATTATCACCAAGTATGTAGCTGAACTTCATTTCTTCAATCTATGCCATATCATATCACTAACCTTTATCTTGTGTAACAGTGGAGGTTCAGCTGCCAATGTTATCCCCGATTATACCTCTGGTCAATTCACTGTTCGAGCTTTGAAAAAGGACCTGCTTGAGCAGCTGCAAAGCAAAGTTGAAAAGATCTTCCGATCGGCCGCGGATGCCACCGGATGCGAGATTAAGTTATCTTGGGACAAGAACCCTTACTTGGACACAATGCACAATAAGAAGATGATGAACGTATTTAGTACGGCAATGGACGGTTTCGGATTTGCCGACGTCAACCCAGGTGTTGAAAACCCACCTCCTGTTACCGCCAGCACTGATTTTGGCAATGTCTCTTACGTTATGCCAGGTATCCACCCTATGTTTGGCATCAATACCCCCCATTTCCCACATACCGCTGCATTCGCTGATGCTGCTGGAACAGACGATGGTTTCGAAGCGGCTCTTGTGACTGCTAAGGCTTTGATTGTTACTGGCATGAAGGTGCTTCAAGATGAGGAGTTCTACAGTCAAGTTGTAGAAGAGTTTAAACAAATAGAAATAGATGGGAAAACAAAGGATGACTCTATTTATTGAAAGTGAGTGCGTATAAACGCAAATAAACTATGTACATGATAATTATGCCTCGAATTTTCTCTTCTTTTTGCTCTTCTTTTCGTCATCACCATCCTTACTTCGCTTCTTCTTCTTGCTTTTACTCTTGTTAGTTGCATCGATAGCATCCAAAACGTTAAGAAGGTCTTTGGGCGCCTTCTTGCGCTTTTCAGTAGCACGTTCATTATCCTCTGCATCATCGTTAGCTTCTTCTTTGGTGTTGCCCGATGCAAACTTCTTCTTCTTCTTGAACACTTTGTCTATGTCATCCATGCCTTCTTGGGCATCCTCCGCAGTATCAGCGTCAATGAGCAACTGTATAAAGATGGTTATTGGTCAGTCACTTCAGAAGCCATGAAATGATCTTGAAATGGTACTTACAGATTTCGAATGATCATTGATCGATTTCTTCTTCTTTCCACCCTTGCTACTGGTCTTTGTCTCCTGGGTTACACCGTCACCGAAGCCCAAATCACCAAGGTTAGGATTGGCAGGTATATTTACGCCAGCAGCAGTCTAAGATTTCAAAGTAAAAAGGTCAATAAATGAAAATCGATGTGTCGAAAAAAGTCAGTATAGGTAACCAACCTGAGCAGCCTTGGTGGATGCCATGGAGGTATCACCGAGAATATCTTTAAACATGTCCTTCTTGCGCTCAATGCCCTTTTCTCTTTCCTCCCACTCTTCTCTCTTGCGTTTAAAGTGGTCGATGTTGCAGTTACGCAAAATGTACTTGCCAAAGAAGTTCTTTGACAAATCGTACTCATGGTTAACAAGGTCTTGCGCGATCTTAGCCTATACAGAAGAAATCGGATATGAGTCTCCTCGAATGAATTCGTCGCGGTAACAATGAGCAAAGCTATACCTTCATGTCAATATCCGCAACCTTCCAGCATTGATCCATCAAATGACTACCGAATTTATCCATGGAAATTTCATGGTACTTGTCTTCCAAGTTCCTTAGAATCTTCTTTTTGATCTTCAGGTTTGCATTTGGTGACGAGAGAATTGACTCATAGACACGAGATCCAGTGGGATCGAAGATCCAACGATAAGTGATAGCTTGAGGCTGTGCCAAAAAGCTGTAGGAAAGAAAGTGTAAGTAAAAACGGTTTCATAAAAGAGTGCATAGACAGGCTTTCTTTAACTGACCTGCTAACAACAATGGTATTGTGCTCTTCAGGAAGCTTCATAAGCGTCTGAATAATAAGGGCACCTTGCATGTGGAACTTTTTGAGACTGCCCTTTTCCTCGTCAGTAGCATGGATCCATTGCTATGAGACACAACAATTTAGTTTCAATCTGACTTTACCCGCATGAGCGTTGATATGCTTACCTGATAGGTCCACATGCGGATAACACAGTTAATGAAATCTTTGCGTTCAGTAGGAGAGTGGGTACCAAAGGCATCTGCTAAGCCAGACACAATCTGTTTCTCGCAAGATTTCATATTGCAGCAGGCATCAACCAAACTGCGGATAACACCAACTTTACCGAATTCTGACAACACAATTAGATTAGTCAGACGATTGATGGTAAACAGAAAGCCCAGTTATGTACTCACTCAGATAATCAGCAAATCCAGGTACGGCTTCCTCAACCATCAATTCAAGTTGCACTGTGGTACGAGCATTGACAAACAATTGTTGTACCACAAAGTTAGCTACAGGATGATGGCAAAGCTTGACCAGTCGATTACGGAAGTAGGTGACAAAGATTTTGTTATAGACTGAAGGAGATGCAGTTTTGAGAATAACTTCGAGCAAATGGGAACCAACTTGATCGCGAAGCAGGGTTTCAAACCAAGAATCTCTGTCGTGATTGGATTGTGTCGATTCTGTGGCTAATTGTTAATTACGGCTTTCTTGCAAAAGATGTATAAAATGGTGTCACACTTACCATCAGAAACAATACCCCACAAAATACGATCAATAATCATGTCTCTTGCATTTTGACCATCCTCTGTTTCAGGTTGAAGTTCCAGCAATAGCTATCATGAAGGATGTTTCAGCACCATTATCCAAGCGAATGCTTTTTCATTTTACATCAATTTGAAATCCTTACCTGCAATACAGGGTTTGCAACTCTGTGGACCGCGAGCGTGCGGATAACAGTCTCTGACAATCCTTCAGTAAGCTCACGAGTCAGTTCATGTAGCATGTCAGTAAATGATTTTGGAACTACCCTTGTTGGGCTAGCTTTGGTAGATAACTATTGATCAAATGTCATTAGAACCTTGCTTCTATATCTGTTCCGTGATTATATATGATCAGATTTTAGCTTCAGTACCTTGATATCCTTATTGTTGTTGGTATTTCTATATTTTTGAGACTTCTTGCTGCGAAGTTGGCCCTTAACATCACTGTCTTCGTCAATTCGCTTTCCTGCCAGCAAGTAGAGCAAAACTCGGATGACATGCGAGGCGAAGGGATCAGAGATGAGGGAGCAAAGTTGAGGCTTCAATTCCTATAGTATATAAAGAAATTAGTATATTAGAAAATTATATGATAGCTTAGTTGCCATGGCACTTACTTTGCAAAGCGAAAGAACCAACTCTTCCATAGAAAGCAATACACCAACATCGCCGCTCTCTTTTGCACCTTCATCTGGTCCAGGTACACTTTCTCCGCGGGCTTCACGCTCAGCCGAATCCGCACCAAGTGTCAACAGAGTTTGGCACACATGTGAGGCAAATCGATGGGTAAATAACTCTGCGTAGCGTCCTGTCAGGCGGTCCATGAACACTCTCAGTTCAAAATCACTGGAAATTTTGAGCAATTTTTCCAGCACCAAAGAGCAAGTATGATCTGTAGCTAATACAAGTTCTTTATCTTGGACTTCCGTATACACATTGGCAACAAAAAGTTGTTGATCTAAAGAGAGATAGTGAGCTTCAATGTGTACAATAGGAGCTTTCACAGTGAATTAAAACTAACCTTGAGTAGTCTCAAATGGTGGATCATCCAATGTTTGTTCGACACTCTTAAAGTATTGCTGAACATCAGCATCAAGAAATCCAAAAAACGCTTGACTAGGGTCGTATCCTCTAGGGCGCTCGAAGTTATGGCTGTCCTGTTGATAACCATTAGGATCTTGGTCGACAACCATGGGCTGCATGGGCTCATTGTTCTCAGCATTTTCGAAACCTTCGTCATAGACTTCTTCTTTGTTGGTCTTTTCCTTCTTTCCTCGCTTTCCTCGAGTTCTACCTTCTCGTTTGTCTCGTGGCATGATTGGCAGTTGACTGAAAAATGAAAAAGTCTTTTCTTTTTTTTTGTCCACTTGCAGAAATTCCGACTTCATTGAAAAAATTGTGACTATCTTTTCAAAGAGCAGTAGCTGTGCCATATTGCAACAACACACCAGAGTATCTTTCACCATCTTCATGTACAAGTATGCTACTCGATGGACGAGGATTTTAACAGCTTTAAGTGCACCGAATTATAGACATATACCCAGTGTACAATTGAAAACGGTAATATACTGACCAACGTACTTCTCGCTAAATCACCTTGTCCTAATACATATCCCCATTTGTTGTTTACAGTCGCAATTGATCACTACTCGCCTACTCTCGAAATCTTCGGGCCCATTGCGTTCGTTTCGACGGGGTGATTGGATATGTCCTAATTGTAAACTACACAACAAAGCTGTGCGATCAGTTTGTTTGGAATGCGGCACTTTGGCAGCTAGCAGTCGACTGGTGAGAAAGGGGGACTGGCTATGTCCTTCGTGCGGATGCTACAACTTTCAGAACAGAATGAGCTGCAAAGAATGCGAGGAGCTTCGAGAAGATGTGAAGGAAAGCTTGAAAGCTTCGGGGATTGATGTATAATTCTTGTACTCAAAGTATTCACCACGGATCAATCATTCATTTCCGTTTGTGCCATTCCCACCATTGTCGGCACCGTTCTCTTACACTATAGAGACTTTACCCTTGCTATCTTACACAAGATAATGTATATATGTCATCGTTTTTCCTTAATACTCTGTGATCATTAAATTTGCACCATTTGAATTATTTATTCCATGCCAATGATTTCGCCGTCCTTCGAAAAAAAAAAAGAAAAAGAAATAGGGAGACTCAGCGGTATTACCGCTTGAACGCTTCCATTTATGATATAACTCCACTAATAACGTTTACAGTTGGCCTATGTTCATGTTGATACCAAATTTGCCATACCGTTATTTCCTATATGATCAGTGGTATTGCTAAATTTACAAAAAAATTATCCCAATATCTACAACGATATGCTCAACAGAGCGATCCTATAGCAAATGAGCGAGCTCCAAAGTAGCCCATTAGCCCTACGTACTGTAAATCAATATTATCAGCCTCATTCTCACTTCTGAGAAGCTTGAGCATAACGTAGCGTCCAGAACTAATTGCAAAAGATTCACTGTCAATAACGTTCCACCTAAAATCATACAGAAAAACTGTAATTACCGCTCTCCTAGGTCAATACATTGCTGTTGTTCTCGCCTAACATGAAACCAAGCTATTGGATCATACCCATCCTCCTTGGGGGATATTTGATCTATATCACAGTCGCGAGTTTGGCTACGCACTTTAGCACAGTGTGCTTTAAAGTCATCCCTGGTGAAACTATCAAACTTTTCTGTGGCTATGTTGGCTGCAGTCAGTGCATGCCCTTGTTTAGACCGGTTAAACTATGATAAAACCTACCTTTTAGATCGATTGGGTGATGCGAGATGAAAATCATGCCTTCTTTGCCTATTGATTACGATGTTGTTAATGAGTTTCAGAAGTGATAACATCATGCCAGAAAGTGTAGTTACATGGGGCGGTAAATCTGTTGATACAAGGTAGTCAGTAAAGTAGTTTTGATTCATGCTCCATTTTAGATTTCATTTACGTACCCTTGTCGAGGGGATCTGATTATTAACTGTGATAATACACAAGGGAGAGTCTTATACATGCCACCGCTACTTGCCGACGGGTTGAACTTGAGCAGTATATTGATTGTGCCCCTCCTTCCTGAGCTACAATTCGGTTTAATGCCTTCCGTCAAAATCATTCAGCCCTCTGAGTCCTTATCATTACTTACCAGTAGACGGTGCTATCATCGTGCAAGATATTTTGAACAGAATATGTTGGTCTGGCGGAGGAGGAATAGAAAATTGTTTGTAAACTTGATCACCGATGCGCTAGAGTAACAAACAGAACAAACTCAGACTTACGAAAAATGGCCTCCGTCAGTTTGTGCAATGTCGAAGGTTAATGGGAAGTAGTCGCAACAGGCCCGTCGACGGGTACTTTGGTGTTTTTGATCAGAGGAGCCGTATATGCCGGTGTTACCATCATCTGCAAGACAAAAGCTGATATTCTCTTCAGACATCGAATTAATATCGTCAGGTTCGATCGATATGGTATGGCTTGGCGACCCGAGGGTAACATGGTGTGTATGGATTCGATATGGAGAGCGGTTCATTTGCAGAACTCGCTGCGATCGACTAGGTAGTGGTAAGCTAGTTAGACTTCGGTGAGAGGGGAAACTATGATAGAGTGCGGAACTTGTGGTAAGTGCTGATGAGCTATCATGAGTTACTGCTGACAATGCTGGCGACAAGGACATGTTAGACATGGCCAGCTTAATGGAACTGACACAAGTGGTTTTGCCTTTAGAATACAAGAATTTTTTTTTCGGTAAGACGGTCGCATGATATCACCGTTTTTCACAAATTTGAGATCGAGTGAGCTACGCCTTCATTTTTAAGCTATTTGACTTTCTATAGATCGCTCAGAGAGTAGCGAAACTGGAAAACGGAAGTGCGTTACTTTGAGATATCGCAGAAAGCAATCTGTTCTTCAGTTTACTGTATGAGAAACCTAGAACGGTGCGCTGCTATGAAGATTCCCACCACATCCTAGTGACCTTGTCCTTGTACAACAAGTTTTCAAAGCTTTGAGCTATTATACTACTGATAGCATGAACGAAATCACTTTGCTTATAGTGTTTAGGAATACTTATAGCTACCTGAATGCAACACTAATACCGAACCATGGTTCTTTTTTGAAAGGACAATGCAGGGGGGACATGTAGCGACTGAATGGCCATGTTTGATAGAGAATATGCAGTAACTTGGAAGATACCCCTTAAATATTCATCCGCACTAGCAGTTACGACAGTAATAGCACGGTTGAATGAGATAATTATTTGGTCAAGCTTGAAGTAACATTGCTTCACGCACTCTATTATAAGACGTGAGAACTTCTATTGAACAAGACCATCAGTCTTGGCACAGTGCAAGTGATACAGTTCACCACTATCCATCTGCTGAGCTACTAAACTATCACCAAGGTAATTGCCGCATTTCTCACAGGTTGAGTCTGACTCTATTATTGTTGGACCTTTATCATCTTGTAGTTTGAACAACCGGTAGGAGACCTGCAAAAGTAAATGATGTCAGAAAACCTAATATAGGAGATCCTAAAGGGGTGATCCAAAATCACTTGCCATCAAATTTTCACCTCGAGAGAGGCCAAGCACAATTTTGGCTTGTAATTTTTCGTCGGTAGCTTTTCTGAAGGCTTGTAATAAATAGCGTTCCACTACATTCACTGGCCATTCATCTGGAAGCAGCTCAAGCACCTGAAAAGGAATAAGTAATGGGTTTACAGTGTGTCAACTATGATTGGTCAATGATATATACCTCTGCAAGATCAAGGTATAGTCCCTGTGTGTTCAGCAGATGAACGCTTCTATACTGTCGTAGATCCCTGTGATTTTTTGTAAGTATATACAATGATATCCCCTCTGCATTTCATAGACAGATAACACGTACTGGTCTGAAATATTCAAATACATCTTGAGAAGTAAGAGGCAGAGCTCCCGTCGCTCTTGTGTCTCTTCCGCTGTCATAACAGGCAGCCTAGGTAATTCCTTTTCCATGCGATGCTTTGCCTTGCGGCTCGAGGTTGATGGTTTTGAAAATTCCTTTTCTTTGTTGGTAGTCGCGCTGCCAATGCTATGCCCGCCTGTTACACAATACAGCTCTGCACCAACAAAGTCATTCAACTCCAATGTCAATATCTGAAGTGCCTCTTCATGCTTGTGTAGCTGTGAGATAAAATACCGTCGTGAATACATCATATATATCAGCTGTAATATATACTGCTCCTCCATACCTTTCCATAGAGTATGGCACGTTCAAGCTGCAACTGTTCACTAGAAATTAAACGCTCCAAGACTGTGTTTGGGTCAAACTGGCGAGACCGCTGAAGTAATTTGAGTAGCCTGAGGCGTAGCTGAACAAATTTCGAAACGGAGGTATGCTGTGCCATGTAAGCCATGAATGTTATTTGAGGCTGGCTTCGGTTTGACGCAGCCATTCGCCTTTCAGATTCAGCAACAAGCTCCTTGTAATCGTATACTGCAGCAGATCAAATAATGAGGACATGAAGACGCGTCCATCCAAGCATAACCAAATGTACTAACCCATTTTCTTAAAAACTTCAACGTTCTTGGGATCTTCCATACCTGATTGGACGTCTTGAGCATAGCTGCAAGCCAGTCGAGTGTGATGCTCGGGGCTCCCGCTGCCCTTTCCTTGAACCAAATATTCTAAGTAGGTTTGAGCAGGTGCATTGCCATAGGTATCGAGCTTGCCAAGTATTTTGTCTGAATCCAAAGAATCTGCAGCTTTCGCCTCCATGAAGACTCGAACGCCATCAGAAGCACTATGATCCATCAACCACCACCCGTACTTTTCAATGATGGGAACAGATTCTTCACTAGCATCTAAATCTGTGATCAACATGTCTCGTATTTGATTTAAACCATCGGTGAAATTTGGATCTTTCAACTCTTGATCATATATCCTATAGGCGTTTTATGAAGTCAGTAATCAGCTGTTGCTATTCGTAGTATCCAAAGTTCGTTACCATACCTTGTCCACATTTCCAGAACATCTGTAAACATGCCTTTTGTTTTGTATAGCAGTGATAAAGCGTAATATCTCTACAGGGTACCATATGAGTACGATGGTAGCAACAAGTCTTGAAAAATAACGCATGTAGATTTACCTGTGCATTCATAAGTGCTTCAACGCTATCGTCGATACAGCAGTCATTAGGGTTGATGACAAGGTCAAATAATAGAGTAGTATCCTCTTTGGTAGCGGAAACTTTGAGCAGTGCGGTGTCTATACACTAAGAAAAGCCGAGCGTTTGTCATTTGTTTGTCCATGACAATTAAACCCCGTTGAGCTACAAAAACTATTTACCTTGCACGTCTTGGATCCTTTAGCATCTCTATTGTACTTAGCTCTTTCTCGTAGCAAATACTTCTGTACAGCTTCGCGAGCATTCAAAAGGAGAACACGCCGAAGTTCAACAGTAGCGGAGGCAGTTTCAACGTCGGGCTGGATGTGTGGACTATAGTTCTTCTCGATATTACGAGCAACTAAGAAAAGTCAAAGCATACATTAGCAACCAGTCGTACACATAAACACAACGGATGTAAACCATCATCACCTATATCTTCAATCCTTCCAATACTATCTACAATTTTTTTGACTCCTTCATAGAGGACCACATCGGGGATGCAATCCTTCTCCTTCTGGATGGTAAGATCTTTGAATAAATCTATGATAACGGTTGGATTGACATTGCCTTTTGACAAAAGACTGAAGGCGTCATCAAATAAAGTCTCTCCAAGGAACAAAAATCCAGCCTTCTGGTAAACGTAGTCTAGCTCGTGTCGCTGATATGAAGGCAAAATGAAATGTTACGCAACCGCAATAACGGGAGGTGCAGTATATATGAGGCTATACTTACGATACGACCTCCACCGCGACTTCCTCCTTGAGCTGAAAGGTTTTGCATCGCTTGGTTTGCTAAAGAAACACCAGCCTCCACCTGATTGGTGTCCAAAAGTGCATCAGCCTGGACTATCATCGGTGTAACTAGCAAACCCATAATACTGTCCTTGTTGTAGAGCAGAAGTCTTGTTGGTACAATATACGACCTGCTGAGTTGCTGATTGATGAAATCACAATCAATATTGTCCAATGGCTCCATATCGCGCGGTGTCCATTGAAACTGTCGTAACCGAGTTGTCAAACCTTCAGCCCAGACTTTAATTCCATGCCCCATACATAATCCTCGAGGTTCAATTCCAGGCTGTAGTTCCAATGTTTGGACACATTGCTGATCTCGAATATTGTGCACTTCAATTGTTCTGTTGCGTAGTAAAGAGATAATATAGGGAAATTGTACGGTTATGGCACGAGGATAACTGCCCCATTGGAGTGTGCCACGAATAGCATCGCCTACGGAATTCACAAAGATACCTATGGTAGTCTGATTATTGACGTTTCCGCTCACAACAAGAAACTCGCCGTCTCCAATAACAGCTATTAAAGGCTTTGGAATAAATCCTCCAGGAGATTGCGGACTAGCCGGCTGGGGGCCAGACACGGATTGTGGAGTTGGTATTAAAGAGGTTGCAGAATTTAATTGTACATTGACGAGTTTATATTGTTGAGTGTCGGCAAGACATAAGCTGTGGCCATGTCGAGCAACTGTAATGGCGCCATTAGGTAGCGGGAGTTCCTTCAAATTTAAGCTTTAATATAAATATATGAATACTAGAATTCTTAATGACTTCAACTTACCTTTTTGAGCTGCACAAGCTCACCGATTTTATATAATTGAATGACTCTACGTTTAATAACACAGAGCTTGATAGTTCCATCTTCGCCAATACGACCTTCTTCTGCAAAATCATGACAGAAACAGCTCACTCCTTTGATATGTGGTATTATAGAAACGGGTATCGGGTCGAAGAATGGGAGGGTATAGAATGATAATGTAGAATCTATCATCGGATATCGAGATTCAGTAAGGGCTACTCTTTCAGAGTACATCTAGCCATAACTAAATGAAACGAAAGTACATACCACAAAGAACAATGGCTTTTGAAACTTGGGGAAGCACCATAATCTTTTCGACAACTTTTCTGCCGAGCTCCAAATTGATTTTGCCTTCCAACTTAGATATATACTGTAGCTCGTTCTGCAACAATATAGCGAAAAACATTAATTGGTCTTCCGTCACATAGTTTCTGTTCATAAATTGATTCACTCCATACCGAGTTGTCAGCCTGCTGTTCTTCTATTATGTAATGGAGGATAAACCCATCGCTGGTTCCGACGTACAAATTGTTATCTATGACATGGCGAGTTAGCTGAGAAGTGGACTCTGTTCTTTCTTATTTTTTTTATCATACCCCATGCTTCCACTGCTTCAATTCCTTGCTTTCCAGTCGAAGTAAGTGACCTGAATCTCGAACCGACTCCAGGTGGTGACGAAGGAGGCGATTTGTGGTCACTGATCGGAGATGTTCGTTGGCGCGAGAAGAGAGTACGCGGGGTGCTAGTAGTGGGCGAAACGGCTCCCGACGGCGGTGAAACTGGCTCTATCGATACATCGTTAAGTATAGTTTGAAGAGTATAAGGTACGAAGGTCATCTTGGACAGGATTCTGCCACAAGTGGCATCTAACGAGCGGAATGCTTGGCTTTAAAGTACACAGGGACGGACTTTTCGCTGAATGGGCAACTCTGGGTTTCGAGAAATCCCACGTGACCGTTTGCAGTCGCAGTGGATATAACTTCGAAGCCATGCAGCTTTCAACAACCCAAACAGCACTATAAATCGAGGATACCGTCATTCAAGATGTAGTTTTACGAAAGAACTTTATGTAATTTGACAGTAACACCCAGCCGCTACATATTTGCTGCTCCAATCTGTGATAACAATGGCTTGACAGTATACTGTCATAATGCAAACCAGGAGCCACTGGCTGTCAAACAAAACCATTCTGTTCTGTCAGTCTATATACAGGATGTTCATAACTTAGCCGCCTCAACTGTTCAGATTAGTCATCGTCGCGATTTAGCGGTCGCTTTTCCATTCGCATTGTTAGGTTTCGCCATTTTTGACCCGTTTGTTTTCGCTGCAATTTGTGCTTAACAGAGTCGTTGAAAGTTTCAGTAAAAGGTCGCCTTATTCAAACTTATAATGATTGACAAAAATATGGTTTACCTAAAGCCTTGTATCCTCGATTCATTAACGTCTCATCACCGCTATTAATCATCGAATTTATTAGACCTCGTAGTAACTGGTCGCTATAAAAAGAATAGAGTCAGTGTATGGTTTCATTGGAGGTCCACTATCCTGAAAGCATACTTTTCCGTCTTTTCCAATTCTGAAGATTCCTCTTCTCTTAGATTCTTGTCCTCGGCATCGGTCGGACCTATTCCGAAATGGTGCATACCAAACCCGTCCAAATATTCCTGATCCATCGGATCCTGGTCTTCGAGCATGTTGAATGTTTCCTCAATCAAACTTGGCTGACCCGGCATATAGTGACCTGTCAAAGATATCGTACTGTTGAAATTTTGAGTCAGCTGAGGTTATTTGATATACGCGCAATATACAGAACATACTTGACACCAGAAGCAGAAAACGCAACAGAATTCCCTTCATAAAAGCATACATCTAACAACTGCGAGTCCATCTTGTAATGGAGTTATGTTAATGATGATTGACGATTAATGACATTTATCTTCAAATATCTCCCATACCGTTTTCATGTTCAAGGAACACAAAACAAAATCTTGACCATCCACCGTTGCCTTGACACACGTCCTTCCTTCTTCAGGTTCTTCCAATAAACAAGCCTAATCGAGAGTGGCGCAAAATTATTTATTTGTTAGCGTTGAGGGCTGTATCACGAGAATATTGGACTGGAATGGCGAGTATTTATACCTGGGTTAGTCGGAAGGATGCATCAACTGTCTGGACGTATTTCCGGCCAGGCAAAAGAGTTAAAGCTGGACAAGTCAATGTGAGTGATTCTGCTTTTACCATGTCAGAGACGTTGAATGATGATGGCCTACCCCATATTCCAGAAGGCATAACAGTGATTGCCTCAAAAGCAGTTGTGAAGGTAAGAAAAAAAATTATCCCAGCGACAAATTTAAATTGCCTAATTTGGAGCAGCAGTCCACGTGACTGGCGAGCGTGCAGTTTCACACCAGCAGTTCACCTGAAAGCAGAGAACGACGTTATGACAATCTGACGAGTGTGAACCTCTTACAAATCAGAGATCTGCCTACTCCAATTTTACCAACACATATAATCATCGGTGCATGGCAGAAGCAGAAGCAATTTCGTCTTCTGTGATAGCTGCACAGGATGTTATAAAGCCACCAGCGCGTTCCCGTGGGCGACCTCGGCGAAAGGGCGGACCATCTCGCACTGTAGTTCCAACACTTTTATCACCCATCACACGCACAGACGGTACTCAGCATACTTCTGCTCATGATCCCGCCGATGTGCGCCCAAGAGAAGAACGTTCATACAAAGAATTCTTTCCAGATCTGGATATAACGCAACCACTCCCAATTGTCCGATCATCGCAACGTGAAAATGACGCGTTACCAGCATCAGAAACTGCTTCCATTGCCGCAGCTTCTTCGCAAAACAAAGTGGTGACAGAAGAAAACGGCTCTGATTCCAGTGGAACATCCCAAACAGAAGTTTCACATACTCTAACCAACGGTCAATTGCTCAACGGCGGCAAATCTCCTTCCGCTACGGCCGAATCTGTCACCTCCGGCGTGCTAGGTGCGATATCCAAAACCCTGACTTTTGCTCGAAATCAATTACAAAGGAAAGAAAACGGGACAACAGCTCCTGAAGAACTCAGCCCTGACTTTGAAGAAAGTGACCTTTCGTCCGTAAGCGATACTGCGGCAACTTCATCAGAGGATGCAGCTAGCTCTTCAAAGAGTATTCTAAAGCATGGTCCACAAGAGAAATCCAACATGGAATCACAGGCCGGGGATTCAAATCCTTACCAAGCACTGTCTACGCGTCCAATGCATGGCGCTAAGGATGTTTCAGGGTCCACCGTTGCATCTGAGCAGCAAGTCACTTTAAATTTACCTAAGCCGTCGTTTTGGAAAATTCAAGATCCAAAACCCAAAAAGTCAAAGCCAGATCGCTTTCAGAATACCACGGAAACATTGGAGATCGATGAAGTATTCAAGCGTCCCGACAATCACTACATACGGTATATAGGTAGGTGCAGGCTTTACCTTCATCATCACCATAGTCTGCCATTCTGATCATATTTATATTACAGAACCTACGGAAATAGATCTCTTTGAGACTGTAGAATATGATATGGACGAACAAGGTACGAATACCGTAACCTCAATAATCACTTCCGCTGCTCTTCATATATCTAACCTTTGATTCATAGATGAAGCATGGTTACGTTTGCTTAATGCCGAAAGGAGGAAGGAAAATTTGGGCTCGTTAAGCACTGATTTATTCGAGACTATTATGGATCAAATAGAGAAAGAATGGTTTGACCTGGTAAGCTGAGATGGATGACATTTGACCGACCAATAACTATCATCGCTCTTTTGCTTATAAACAATTTTTGGTGGGATAGGTCAAAAATCTTCCCAAACAAAGCGCAGATGAGCCTGCGTTGGATTCTGCCTGCGCCATTTGTGACGACGGCGAATGTGAAAATAGCAATGCAATTGTCTTCTGTGACGGCTGTAATTTAGCGGTCCACCAAGGTAAGCAGGTATGGGTTGAACTAGTAGATGAATGCAACTATACTAAACTGGCGCATTAGATTGCTATGGTATCCCGTATATCCCTGAAGGTCAATGGCTTTGCCGTAAGTGCATGGTTTCTCCGGAATTTCCAGTGGTAAGTAAAAGGATGTAAGACAGCATTATTCGCCATTGAAGGCCGACACTGACGCCGTTAATACCAGTCATGCCTCTTTTGTCCAAACGAGGGAGGAGCTTTCAAGCAAACTAATACTAATAAGTGGGCTCACTTGTTATGTGCGATATGGATCCCTGAGGTTGGCGTGAGCAACAGTGTTTATATGGAGCCTATCGACAACATTGAAAATATACCAAAGAGTCGATGGAAACTTTCATGTTTTGTTTGTCGACAACGAACAGGAGCTTGCATCCAATGTGATAACAAGCACTGCTTTACGGCATTCCACGTTACTTGCGCTCGTAAGGCAAAGCTTTACATGAAGATGAAGACGCACAACCCGCACTATGATGGAGGCATGCTACGAGCATACTGTGATAAACATACGCCAAGAGATTACAAGGAACATGTAGATGTCCATAAGACCCTTGCTGCAGCACAGAGAACCTATGGCTCACGGCCAGCCACCGTCACGTATACTATGGAGGATTCAGAAGATGAGGATGACTACATGCCTAGCTCCGATGACGACGAAAAAACGACCTCGCGAAGTTATAAGCAGGCAAGGAAACGAGAACAGCAAAAACAACAAAAATTGAAAGGACGTGATGTAAATTTGCAATCATTGAGCCAACTTTCGCGTAGCTCTAAAGCTGCTCGCGCCCATCAGCACCACTATACGTCGGGAGCCCCCATAGCACCGGAATACATCATTGATAAACTTGAAAACTTGAAAGCTTTACGGTCCGCAAATCATCTTCGGAGGAAAACGCAACTTATCATTACCATCTGTCGCTACTGGTCATTAAAACGTGAATCAAGGCGAGGAGCACCGTTACTCAAGCGTCTTCACTTGGAGGTAAATCTACATTACTTGAAGCGTTAAAAATTAACATTCTCACATCCATACTCACATTGTTAATATTCTTTTATATCAGCCTTGGACTGCATCATCCTCACAAACGAAACAAACGGAAGTCGAAAAAGCACGCAAAGCAGCTGTAAGTCGCATATTCGAACAGAACCCTACTTTACGACAGATACTAACCATCTTTCTTATGTATGCAGGCTATGATGAGTTTACGTGCAGATTTAGAGCGCGTTCGAATGCTCTCAGAACAGGTACAGAAACGAGAACGACATAAGCTGGAAAGGCTTCGTAAACAAAAAGCATATCTCGAAATCATTCTCTTCCCGTTGGAATACATTCTGAAACCTATTTTGGAAGAACTGATGGAGTGAGTAGGAGAGTTACAAAAGCATACACAATGGACATAACCATACTGATGGTCTGCTCTCGTTCTTTCATTAGATTGGATAAGAAAGATTTCTTTGCCTATCCTGTCACCGATGATATAGCTCCGGATTATCGAGATGTTATCCGTCAACCAATGGCGTTTTCAGACATTGTTGAGAAGCTCAATTCCCATACATATACTAGCGTTGAAGAGTTCGAAGTTAGTATCCCTCGACTAATTTTACTGGTTATAGCGCATCAATTTCTAAACCCTTCATCCTGTTACTATAGGCCGATCTACAGCTCATCTGCCGGAACAGCATGACGTACAACAAGACCGACACCGCTTATTATAAACTAGCGCAGAAAATGGAAATCCATGCGCAACCATTACTCAAGCAAGCAAAGCAGGACTATGCAAGCATGAAGATTTCAGAAGAAACGGGCATACTCGACATTGGCCTCCATCCGGAAATATTCACGTACAATTTACTCAAGATACCCACTGCTGAGGAATTAGCTAAAGAGGAGGAGCGTCGACGACAGGCTGCTGAGCAAGAAGAGGCAGCTGCGTTGGCACTGAAAAAAAAGCAAATGGAAGAAGCGCATGCACGTGAACGTCAAGAACGGAAGAAGGCGGCTGCTGAAGCTCGAGCGGCATTGGCTGGTCAAAATAAGGATGGTAAACGATCAACACGTAGTCAACAAAATCAAGTGGCTGCCCTTGATGCACTTAAATCACGGCCAAAGTTGTCGTCGGAAGCCAAACGATTACTTCAAACCAGGGCCATCGAACTTCATCGTTCTGAACCTCTTCCTACTGATAAGAAAGTTCAGCGGGGGTATCTTTACGTCTCAGAAACTGAAACGGAGGACGATGGCGAAGACGAACCGCAACAAGAGAAGAAGGAAGATGAAGAGCGACCTGAGCAAGAAACTAAACAGGAGGAGAAGATGTCTGTCTCGCCAGCACCTCCACGATCTAAGCGTACCGAGACGAAGCGGCAATTACGTAGTCGATCACAGCAAGAAGAGCCGCCTAAAAGGGAAACTAGAGGACGAAAGCCTTCTGCTGCTACTATTGAAGCGCGAAAAAGAAAAGCCCATACGCCTGAACAAGACGGCCGTCATGATTCATCTATGGCAAGAAAGAAGCCAAGGCTAGACAGAAAGGCTAAAGTGAACAAACCAACTGCGACGCCAAAACAACCTGTGAATCCCTTTGAACATGGGCGAATTGTATGGGCTAGAGTGATTGGTTTCCCTGCACATCCAGCAAAAGTAAGTATCTGTTTGGATGTAAGCTCGACGGGTATATAGTCACTAAACATTTCGAACCCTATCATAGGTGATTGATATTTCTAAGATGGATGTGGAGAAACGGATCATGGATCAAAGGAACGACCCTAATCAAGTATTAGTACAGTTCTACGAGGTGAACGAGAAGCATCAGTGGTAAGTTGTTCAAAGGAATAGTCCATCACATGTGAGTGAATGCTTTGTCTAAGCCAATATTTAGGGGTTGGATTTATCGACAAGAAATCGCTATCCTTGGAGACCCAGAAACGGACATTGAAAAGCTTCGAATGGCCCAGCGAACCAGAAAGCTCGCTCGAATCACCGAAGTCAAGCGAGGTTACCTTCATGCAAGTTCTTTCCTTGACATTGACGGACAAGCCATTGTTGACCAAGTGTTTGGAGCTGATTCGAAGAAAAAGTCGAAATCCAAATCTTTGAAAGCATAACATTTCACTTGTACATTTTTTATTTTTTTTATTTGCACACCCTTTTTACCTTTTCTTTTCTCTTTCGCTATTCTCTAATTACACATTTGCGAATTCCTGAGTTTCCTCTGTTGCTACCACTTTTGCACTACGCTATTGAATAAATATTACAATAATTCCCAAATTGACCATCACACACCATGTCGGAAAAGCAAGCAAGGGCTTTTATGGAACAAGCAAAGGAGAAGCTTGGCGCCTGGTCCATGTTCTGGAGCTCTAGTGACAGCCTCGAAACTGCGGCAGAACTGTACATAAAAGCTGGGAATAGTTTCCAGCTGGCTTCAATGTGTAAATATCCTCGGCTGTCATAGTCTATATGGATGCTATACTTACATCCTCCTATTCTCTAATATGCTTAGGGCAAGAAGCTGGAGACGCCTACGTGGAGGCTGCCAAGCTCTATAAACGAGCTGATCACGCTATGTTTGAAGCTGCGCGATCTTTTGAAAAGGCTGCCAAGAGTTATAAGAAAGTGAACCCCAAAGGTAGATATTTCGCGATACCGTCATGGATGCACCCCCCAGATCAAAGCCCTGATACTTCGTTGTAGATGCTCTTACTGCTATGATAGCGGCAGTAGCACTCGATAAAGCCAACGGTAGCTATCGCATAGCTGCCCGACATTTAGAAGAGGTAGCTCAGATCTATCAGGACAAGCTAGACGAACCTCAGAAAGCTTACGATTACTACGATGAAGCAGCCAATCTTTATCACGCCGATAACTCACCAACGTACGTTAAAAGACAGATGGCTGTTTGTCCAAAAAAAAGGCATGAGATTCTTATCCGCTTCTTCATTCCTCTAGGCTTGCAAATCGATGTACATTGAAGGCTGCGGAATTAGCAGCTATCCTCGGTCAATACGATCACGCCATCATCAAATTTGAAACCGTTGCATTTGCTAGCATAGATGACACTCTCCTCAGTTGGTCGGTGAAGGAGTACTTCTTGCAAGCTGCGCTATGCCACATATGTACAAAGGTATTGTTGTTTTTTTTTCACCTTAACAATTTTAAGTTTCAGGAACGCTAATATCTTTGCGAAAAGGATTATGTAGCGTCAAAGAAGCAACTAGAGAAATATGCTGATGCATACGTCGGGTTTGATAATACAAGAGAATACGTGCTACTAAGTGCGATAATACGCAGTGTTGAAGATGAGGATGCTGATGCGTTTACTCAACATGTGTACGACTACGATAAGCTCACCAAGCTGGACAATTGGAAGACGACTATCCTACTGCGAATCAAACGAAGTGTGACGGACGATGAGATCAACCTCAGATGATAACGGCCAGGTTGGAATGTGTAAAATAAAATAAAAGAAATTTGAGGACGGGCGTACAAAGTGTGCGGTCATTGCCATTGACTTCCTTAAAAGGTGTTGAATTGATGTCAGACATTTGCCGAAAAAACAATGAATAAGAAAAAAAGGATCGAGCTTTCTTAAAAATATTTGGTTTTACCTTTGCTCGCCATCTTGGCAAATTTCAACTGGCAATGTCCAGTTCTTTCTTTCCTACCGCATTCACTGCCACATCAGCACTCAATTCATCCGCACTTTCATCCGCCATTTCCACCGCCAATGCAACTAGTATCATACCTACTTCAACCACCACCCCATCCGTCACGGAAGCAGCAACTCTGTCAACCACAAGCTCAGTGGCAACAGCAACAACCACCTTTAATCCATCAGATTGTATCTTACAGCCTTATGAGAGTAATTGTTTTAATGTCACTGGATCAACGGTGAATTCTGCTCAAAACGTGGCCGGATTGTCTGCACAGATGATCACTTGTACGTCTGTGGGAGTCTTGTGTTTTTTGATCTTTTGCGCACTGCGAACGCGGTAAGTAACCCGATCCATCAAAATGCTTCCCAGTTCAACCTGTCACTGACCTATGCTGTGTGTAGATGGACCATTCTCTACCAACCACGTTTACATATGAAACGGTAATTGACGCTGAAACCATCCTTCATATCATACCGTATCGTATTGTGAAATCTCAATGTATTTATCTACTCATCTGTATAGTCATTCTCCTCCAAACTTACCCAAAAGCCTTTTCGGTTGGATTATACCTTTGATTCGTATATCGCACGAAGAAGTTTTGGAAAAGGTCGGCATGGACGCTGTGGTGGTAAGTCAGTCAATCGATACGGTTTTGAATAGCATCGCTATGTTTTAACTCCAGCCATTTTCAATGTCAGATGCTTCAATTTCTGCTGATGGCCTTTAAGCTGTTTGCTTTCTGCAGCTTTTTTGGGGTTACAGTCTTAGTGCCCATCTCAGTCTCAGTCAGTCATGTAGCGAAGGATGACCCATCTGCATTAACCATCATTGCTGTGGAGGATTCGGAAAGATACATGATAGCTTACTTGATATTTACATATCTGTTCAGCTTTGTCTCATTTTGGCTCATGTATGGAAACTACGACGCATATATTCGACTTCGGAGACAGTATCTGATCCGCAATAAGAAGGCTCTAAGCGTCAGAACCGTCATGGTGACTGGAATACCCAAAGCGTTACGAAGCGACCAAAAACTCGCAGAGTATTTTGAGGATCTTGGCCTTGGTGCAGTTGAATCGGTTCATGTTGTACGCCGCGTCAAAAATCTACGAGCTGGTGTGGAACGCCGTGGAGGGTATTTGCGAAACCTTGAAAGTGTGTATGCTAAATATTGGGGTAATCCTGTTCAAGATCCAAATTATGACCCTGACAGCATACTGGACGAAGCCGAGATGGTAGAGCGCTCTGATCACGTAAAGCAAAATACCAATGTTCCTTTTATTGTCAAAAAGAAAGAACGCCCTACCACCCGTACCGGCTTTTGGGGATTGTGGGGACAAAAGGTCGACGCCATAGACTACTACACCGAAAAATTCACCTCGGAAGATGACAAAGTCAACGAATTACGTGCAAAGGTTGACTTTGACCTCAGCTCAGTTGGATTTGTCACCTTTGAAAACATTGTTGGAGCTGTAAGTGGATTTGATCTAATATCTTTTTCGTCTAGGATGATTTTTTATCAGCAATAGTTCTAACTGGATCCCCAATTGTTACAGCAACTGGCCGCTCAAGTCTTGGTCGATGGTCAACCTTTCAAGATGAGAACGAAGCTGGCCAAAGAACCCCGCGATGTATACTGGAAGTCGATCTTGATCCCTGGTCGTATAAAAATTATTCGCGTAATCATCGCTTGGATTATTTTGCTGTTCATTGCTATTTTCTGGGTTGGACCAATTGCCCTTCTTTCTCTTTTAACCAGTCCCCAAACACTGGTGAAAATTGCCCCCGGACTTGTTAACAATCAAAATCCCATTGTTCAAGCTATCTTCCAAGGAATTTTACCGCCTCTGGCCGTTAATATTTTCATGGCCTTAATGCCGTTGATTCTGGATGGTAAGTAGATGCATCTTCTGCTTATATGACCGATTGACTTTTTTCTAAAAAAAATTATCTCGCATACAGCCCTTGGTCAACTTCAAGGAATCTCATCCAGAAGTGATTTAGCAGACGCAACTCTTAGCAAGTAAGACTCTTGATCCATCTAGCTGCTCTCATATCCAACGTATCTTACTTACTAACATCTGCATGTTTACTCTTTTTGCCCGCTTTGATTAGATATTTCTTCTTTCTATTGCTTAATGTTTTGCTGGTGTTCACTTTCTTCAGTTCCCTTGGCAAAACTATCCAAAGTATCATTATGAATCCATCATCGGTTGCTAATTTGTTAGCTTCGTCACTTCCTCAGGTAAGTAAACGGAGGAAAGGTGCTACAACAGTTTACATTCAGGTTCTTATTCTATCTCGCATACAGGTCGCACCGTTCTTTGTCAACTATGTTATTTTGAAAGGAATTATGTTGTAAGTGTCACTCATGACTCGTACATTAATATGCTCGTTTACTAAACGATCACATCAAATGTTGCAGAACACCACTGGAGCTACTTTTGATTGGATCTATCTTTGTTCGCGGATTCAATTACCTCTTCCTATGCAAAACGCCTAGAGACTATGCGGAAGCAAGAGCTCCCCCAACCTTCTCGTATGGATGGTCATATCCCAACTCTCTCTTAGTTTTCGTCATTGTTATGGTATATTCGACCATCTCACCTTTGATTCTACTCTTTGGAATGACTTATTTTGGCCTTCAATACTTTGTTTACAAGTATCAATTCCTCTATGGTAAGTACACTCATTGCCTTTGCAAATTAAGCAGATGATGATGACTTTATTAAAAAAATTTATCAGTTTACTTTACTCCTTATGAAACGGCTGGAGGAGCATGGCCAAATGTGTTTCCAAGACTGTTAGTTGGCATGATTATTTTCCAACTGACCATGACAGGACTTTTCTTCCTCAAAACTTACATTGTCCTTGGCGCTCTCTGTGTTCCGTTGATCGCGTTGACCATTTTGTACTGGGTTGTAATGCACAAGGCATACTATCGTAGTTCCAAGTCGTTACCGCTGCAAATCTTGAAGGAAGATATGATGACGCTTCCAACTCACGTCGATATACAAGATGTATTGAGTAATCGAAAGAAAACAAATCGACCACCAAGTCTTTTAAGTGTTTCTTCTGTGCAGGAAAAAGATCAGAAGGACGGTCCCAGCGTTACATTGCGCGACGCGACTCCTTATCAAGAGGAGACGCTTAGGGACGACCCACCGATTCGAATTGGTTCAGACGGCGCCCTTCCTAGAGATAATGAACCCGTACGAAAGCCGTCCAGGCTCAGGAAGCGAATTGCACTTGATTTCGATGACTATGAAGCTGTCCCTGATAAACTGACAGACTATCGACAACCTCCGCAGAGTTTAAATAGCGGTATCCTTGACACAGGCTTAAGACGCTATGGTAATCCTGCTTTGGTCGGAGTACTACCGCAGCTATGGCTTCCTGTTAAAGCAACAACAGGCGATCAGCCTGCTACTCAACAACGACCAAAATACCGTCCAAGAAGAAGTTCGGGTCATATCCCAGCTGCATTGTCAAATATTGTGAAACGTGCCGAGTCTGCACGTAAAGCAGTATCGGGAAAAGCAAGAACAGTGCGAAGACCACGACGAAAGGCGGCTGTTCAAGTCGCATCGGCAGAAAATGTCGATGGCCAGCAACCTTTAGCTGGTTCTGAAGAAGGTCCAACAGAACCAAAAATACCCATTGATCAAGCCTCTCACCTAACAGCCAGTGGCACTTATCCAACTATCAATGTTGAGGAATACCACGACGCAAACGAGGAAAACACAGATCGATATTCCATGCTTTCGAGACAAGAGCACCCTATTGAGGAGGAAGAGGCTCCTCGCGGGGAAGAACACGATGATGATGATACTACGGGTGGAGACGATAACGACGATTCTGACCAGGAAGCTCCCGAAATTCATAAAACATACTATCATCATCCTGAGAGACACCATTCCTCCAACAATATCGCCAAAAATTCTCAATCATAGATATACCCTCCTGATTGAACGTATACCAAAATGGTTCTAGATTTTGATTTGATGTTATCTAATGTAAATATACCGTATACCTCTTGATCCTTCTTGCTCACAAATAAACATGTGTTAGAAAATATATTGCGAAGCAAGTCTTTGTTCGAAAGAGAAACTCTAGTCATAGAGATGAAACAAAACGGTGTTCGTTAAACGACTTCGACTCATACGCATAACATAAATATTCCTTGAGCCAAAATATGTTGCATCGATTTTATGTTATTTTGTTGAAAGTGCAAATGGTAAACCTCGACAGAGTGCTACAATGTCTTTTGTGTCAATTTTTAAATTGAGTTTGATCAACGCATACGTGACTTTGTTCTACCTGACCAGAAAAAAAAAAAAACGAACTGCACTGCACTACAAACTCGCGTCAACCTTCAAACCAAACGACCATGGCAGAATCCGTTGACAACTCTCTCACCGATCGCATCCTGCGTTTAGTGTCCAAGCAAGACAGTTTGCCCGAGTTTCCAGCCGACGCTGAAGATCTACCTTCGGATTACGAGTATGATCCCGACGCCGACGAGGAGATTGAAGAGGTCGAAGAAATAAGCGAGAATGACTTGTTGCAATACCTAGAAAGTGAGCGGTCAGCACTCTCTGTGGCGAAACAACTCTTTTTTACGGAACAGCTGGAAAATGCGAATCAGCTGCAACTTCAAGTTCTGTCACCAGACGATGTACATACTCTCTACAACGTTGGCGCTGTTGTTATAGACAACGTCATTGACCCAGCTATCATTCGAGGCAAGTAGCAACCATATGACATTTTAAAAGCGCAAAATAATATTAAAAGGTCACATCTGATACAGGTGCTAACCAAGAGGCTGCGGTTATGAAGGACAATGGCGAGTTCCAACCTGCCCAGCAGTATCGCAAGGAAGGCGATGATATGTTTAGAGATGAGACCGCGCGCGATGACCAGACCGTCTGGCTCGATCCGGCAATAGACTATGAACAGGAATCAAAGCAACACCTGAATCAAGTCTTGAGAATGATCAGCCAAGGTCTCCTTCAAGACTTGTCGAAAATCATACATCTCAACGGCAAAGTAGAATACCAATTAGCATACTATCATCCACAAAATGCGCGCTACGAGCGTCACAGGGACGCCTTTCCTGTATCAGACCGAGAAGATGTTACTCAGCGACGTGTGACAGCTATTGTGTACCTCAACCCTGACTGGGTGCAAGGCGATGGTGGCGAACTTCGGATATTTGGAAAGAACGGTGAAGCTGATCAAGATATTGCTCCCATCGCCTCTCGCATGGTTGTATTTCTTAGTGGTGTAGCTGACCATGCTGTCGTTGCCGCCTCTCAAGATCGATATGCTTTGACAGCATGGATTCGATAGACTTATAAAGATATCTATGTACAATATTGCCATTCAAATTGGAAACTGCCAAAATCTTGAAAACTTTTTTATTTCTTTTCAAATCAGATCAGATGAATCAAAACTTACTTTGTTAAATACGCATTGCCAATATAAACAATGTCTTTTTCTTTTTTTCTATGTACATCCCATTACTTCAGCAAGTTTGCCCTCGTTAGCAAGCATGGAAATATCATCGGAGCCACCAATGCTGACACCGTTGACAAATATATTGGGGAAGGTAGTTCTTCGAGACAAATTGTACAAAGCTTGCTTTATGCCCATTTGATCGGCCTGAAGATCGACTTCCAAGACAGTGTATTGGCCCGGGCAATGTTGGTTGAGCACCATCTTTGCTCTCATGCAATAAGGGCTATTGAAAAGGACATGTTGTCAGATGAGTGATTGTTGACATGGCATGCCTGGAGTGTAAAACTTACCAATAAGTCTTGCTAAACATCAGTCTTGGATTGGATTTAATCAAAACTTGAATAAACGCTTGGGTGGGCTCTCTGAGCTTTAATATATGGACAACGGGACCAACATTGACATTGGCGGGGAGGATAGTTTGCCATTCTGCAAAGTTCAAAAGCTGTTGTGGATTCTTCACCAGAGACTCAATGTATGGACGGAATGGCTTGATGGATACCGACTTGAGACCATTTGCAGAGTAGATCACATCGTACAATTCAGAATCATACTTTTCAGGTTCTGAGGTTATCAAATGTGTATATCCGGCAAGAATATACTGATCGGCGTTCTCGTGGTCTTCTTTTTTACTGTATCGCCACGATGGGTATTGTTCACCAAAGCGAGAGGCACCGGTCATGGCTGTCGTGACATCCATATGGACATACACATTTGTTTCGAGTGATTCTAAATGATGGAGAGTCTCCAATGCCTGTCCTCCAGGATAATTATACATGGATATGTAAAGCATGAACGAAGATGCCAAGGTAGAAAGCAACATGGATCCAGCAATGAAGGCCAATAGAGCCTTATTGGCAGCCGATTGTTTACGCGACTTGACATAGACGTTATTGACAGTGATGGCAGCAGCGATAGTGAACATAGGGATGGTATACACGATGAAGCGCCACTCCTTATGAGGGAGAAATGAGAAGGCCAAAACGAACAGAATGCACGGTGTCAGCAGTCTGCGTGCTCGCCTATCGGCAAGGTAGGAAATGCCAGCCAAGGGGTAAGAGACAAGAAGAAGCCTTGGTAAAAATGACAAGAAGTAGGCTGTCATTGGAAGCGTACCCCATTCCGAACTTTTGTTGAGTACTCCGTTAAAGTAAAAAACGGCACCTTCAGGCCATAGTGGGTAAGATTGCCAAAAATATGAATCAATGGGTACAGTGACCAAAAGAGATATAATTGCAGTGACGACACCATTCAAAAGAATATCTCGAACGGATGTACTACGATGGATCACCAATTCAGACAGCAAGATAAAGGCTAGCAAAATGCCGACCTCGAAGCGGAATACCACAGCAGTAAATGTCAGCCATCGAATGGATAGATTAAGTTGTTTTCTATCATTGGTGGCTTGAGCTTGCAGCCAATGTGAGAAGCCTTCCAATACAAGAGGCAGAGCAAGGATATTGGGCAATGTTCTTGACGACCAAAACAAAAAATGAAACTGAGTAGCCAACAGCAACGCTGTCACATTGGCAGTAACGGGACCGAATAGTTTACGAGTGGATAGTAGAAGACGGTAGAGCCCAAGGCATACCATGGATGCAACCACTAGCCGTGCAGCATATTGTTCCAGCAAGCGTGAATTTAACACGGTAGCCGGCCATGTGAACATAGCCACAAAGAGTGGGCCGATAAAGGTTCGGGGGACCACGCCTGGAAACTCGAGATGGTCATATTTTGAAATGTCGGTTTGGTGATGAATAATGTCGTGTACAGCTTGAAGATTGAAGCTCTCTTCTACTTTGGTGAATGGACATAGTATGGCATGAGCGGCCATACCGGCTACCACGACTGCAATGAATTTACTCATGCCGCGTGAACTGGGGGAATATGTAAGCTTGTGCCTGAGAGCAGGGAAAAAAAAAAAAAAAAAGGGTGGTACGCCGGACAGCCAATGTTTTGCAGGCTAAGGGCCTTTCGCGCCATATGTTATGCACGCCGCTGTACTCAAGCAGCAAAGCACGCTTGGTGCAACAAAGCTACTGTGAACTTTTTTATATTTTCAAAAGGAATTACTTTGTTAGTTAAGTCAATTCCCAAACCGAGAGCTCCATTGTGTTAGCATGCTTTCCCAGGTAGGATCAGGTCTGAGGCGGGGGTTCGCAACTTCTCTAAAGTTGAATGTCCATGGTTACCCAAATAAAAAAAATTATATATATAAAGTGGCAATTCAGAATGTGCAACAATCCAGATGCCAATTAATCTTTTCTGCGCTTCTTCACTTTCGATGAAAGACGCTTTTGACGAGATCAGTATTGCCCCATTAGATTCTTACATCGACTTGTGTGGCACTGGAGAAACGCAACCATGTTATATATTCAAAGGTGATATCCATCTCACACTTAATAAACCGGTCAAAATACGGTCTATGGAAATAAAATTCAAAGGCACCACCATGGTCAATATGGGTCTCAACACCATTGGCCTCGGTCACGATACGGCGACGACGTTTGGTAAAATGAAGCAGGTCCTTGTCAACAAATCATCCTTCAGCGCAGGATCTTCAAGTATACCTTGGGAATTTGCCATACCACCGCATTTCCCGCAAACGTTGTCACTCAAGCGAGCGAGTCTAGCATATTCGTTGGAGGTGGTTGTCAGTTTCGGGATCAAAAAATCATTACGTGTCAGCTGTCCCGTGACGATTCGACGACCCACTTTACCGTCTTATCAGCTCGCGCCTTACATGGAATCTCGCTTATATAAAGCAACCATACCCACTAAATTCCACTATGAAATCGAGGCACCCACTTTAGCTTGCATAGAGCAAGAAGAGCTTGTTTATTCTGTTAAATTACTCTTATTCTCGTTGGACAAAACTGTTCGTGCTATCAAAACCACTTTGGTACAAGTGGAATCATACAGGTAGGATGATGGCTTTGTGTTCATTAAAAATCCAACCCATCTTGATGCTAAATTTGGCCTCAATTTTCCTTGTACTTGCATTTGTGCTACTCTTTAGATCTCAGCCGCAAAGCAATCATCAGTGGGGTCATTACTTAAAGCACAGCGCACAACCAGAGTGGAAGCCATCCGAACAATCCTTTGACCACACTTGCCATGTTTTGGATCCAAAATCATTCAGAGCCAATGGAACAGGTACCCTTAGAGACTTGACCAAACCAGCACCCAGCGTAACTCATAATTTGGATGATAATAACATACCATCCTCCTGGACCAAACCGCTTGTACTACGGCAGCCTATTTCACAACAGTTCAACGCCTCGGTCGATTCTCCCCTGCTTACCATATCACATCAGTTACATATTACTCTCACATTAATCCATAAAATTGATGAGATCACTATCAAGGTTCCCATCATACTCTCATCTCATCCCTACACCACACCTATACCACCCACTCAACCAGCCACCACCACCATACTTGATTCCAAGGATTTACGTATTCGTCCACCGAGCGAATACTCCGATGAAGAAATTAGCGAAAAGAACATGGATGAAGAGGACATGATCAGTGAAGATGAGTTAAGCTCTAGTAGTGATGAAGAGGAGGTGAACCAATATACACCCGCCGCAACCACCAAATTCACCTCCGAAAACGCTTTAAGTTCCACTTTGCGTCCACCCTCTAGTATTGCCATGACGCCGACCACCTTGGTGTCAGCCCATACTTTTGGTCGCCCTGTTCGTCGGTTTGCTTCCGCCTTAGATCTTAGTGTCATGCCACAAGACTCATTCGAAGCCCTTTCCAGCAAGCAAAAGCCCCTATTGACAATTGATGTCTCTTTGGCGAATAATCAGCCTGGCCATCTTCGAATACAACAAGCCGCTAAACATTTATCCTTGAGAAAAAGCACGTCTGCTGAACAGTTGATTTCGTTCAGATCATCGGAAACTTTGCCAGAGAGCGACAGACAATTGATGAGCAAACTCTTGCGGTCGGAGCAGAACAAAGCTTATGGCATGTTACACAATCAGGAGAGCAATATTCACTTGAAAGGAGTCAGACTACAGCCCACCACTATCATAGAACAACCATCTTACACCAAAAACAATCCATCTCTTCCATATAAACAACACAGTCGATCTGTTAGTCACCCAACATCCACCGCGTCCATATCCTTCTTGCAATTGGATGACGATAACTTGACGGTATCCTCCCTTTCTAATAATTCTGACGTTGCACCCAGTCTCAGCTCCACTGGGTCTGCATCCACTGGAACCACCCGAAGTAATCCACTGCAATCAAGACCTCCTACCCCTGTCCTGAGTTATGTGCCTGCTTTACCTGGAACCACCATTCTTCATCAGCCCATTCAAAATTATTCGCTTCCCGAAGAAGATTTCCCCGCGCCGTTGACCGCTACCACCGTCCAATCCACCATAGCATCTTCTGGTCTTATTTCACCTGCCAACCCTCGGCTAAGGTCGTATATAACCCATGACTCTAGCTCCGACAAGTACGAAACCTTGACCTTCTCATCCTCCGGACATGAGAGCTTGAAATTCAATACCAGAACACCCAGTACCATCGTTGGACGAGAAGAGGTGATGAGGCGGTATATACGCAGTGCTACACCACAACAGGCTATGCAGAATAGAAGACCTGAAGATGTTTTACGAGTGAAAACAAGTCGTATGACTCGCCTGTATGATGAGGATGCGCATGATGAAGTGTTGGATCCTTTACCGCCCGTGCCCCAAGTACCGCAATACAATGTCAAAGCAAAAACCAGAAGCACCGTCACGGAGTATAGCAGCGATTATGAGTCTAATAGCGATGAGAGTTATGACTTTGATCGGTCGTCGTTTAATTTTCTTGCTCATGATCCGCATGCCCGTAGTACTACACCTCTACCCAGACTACCACGGTTGTCGTTTGGAGCGTCCTTTGCATCTGCGCTAGGGGTAATAGACGATGATGGCCAGTCCTAAGGGTTCTACCTGGTGTCAGAACGATGGTCTTTCTCGCACTTTCATCATTTTCACTATTTATTTATTTTTGCGATGATTTGTGTCAGGAAGGTGTTGTTGTAATACAAGAATTGGGAGGATTCAAATTTGTGTCAAATCTGTGAAATATAAAACAAAAAATTGTACAAAAAAAAAACAAAGAAAGAGAGAGCCAGACCATTGTTGGAATTGCTGTAGTTATTACAATTTATTCCATGGGATTAGTGTATCCTGCTTGAACTTTTTCGATTTTCTGACGAGGACATTTTCGACGTCTACTTTGCTGGTGGGTGCATTCCTCACACAACAAGTCGTATGTGTCCCGTCGAGTAGATAGTACGGGCCACTTCCAGGCAAGAGATCTACGTCCTTGCAACAGGCCATCTATACTTTTTGATTGACTGTAGGTTCGGCGCGAGAGCCATTGCTTCACTGACATGGTAATCTTTTTCGAGTATTACGCTTTTCTGGCCCGAGGACAGTGAAGAAGAGACGCACAAACAAAAAGGAAAAAGAAAAGATGCGTGCTCTATTTATTAAGGCGCAGATTTTATCTGAGCGGTGTAACATGGAAGATAAATCGAATGTGGAAGGAGCAGACCATCATTGCAAGCCAAACAACCTAAAATAACGAAAAGGGTTGGGACAAGCCAAGATATCTGGCTCTTTTTCTCAATGCAGAAATGAATTCTTAACCGCAAAAATCCTTGTACATCCTCTCCCGCAAGCAACCCCATGTTAAAGCATACTTTGGCTTGCCAATGCTGCACCACAATTTGGGGATTACCAAGGTTACCTTGATAACACTTTAAAAATTCCTAGTACCACCACCTCCTCCCCACACACACAAAAAGCCATTGTCGCTTGCAACTCCACACAACCGAATGGTTTTACCTCTTCGATCAACCTGTTCATGAAGTAATTAATTTCTTGATGGAATTATGAGAAGCGGAGGATGGGTTGGGACGTCGGTTGTGAGCGGCGGAGAATAGATAATAATTAAAGGGTTTTTTAATTGTTTTCTATGGACTGCAGTCCAATGCGGTTCAAGGGTAGCGAAGAGATTAGCAAATTTCACAACATACTTGTCTTTCCTTATCTATGCGGCACCTCCTTGCAACACCCCACAAGTTTTGCCTAGATGCATGATCAAATAGGCAAATATCAATGAAAATGGTAATAATGCCCATTAAACTCCACATTTACCAAAGAACCATGTATCAGTCTAAGATGAATTGGCGCGAAGGTGAGTCAGTTGTTTAATCATTTTGGACGAAGAGGAGCCGAAATGCCATGGTTCTATTTTGGGCAAGTTGGCCGTTCTTGCTTGTGGAAAACCCTTTACCCCCACAGTCAAAATATATGGCAAGTGTTTATTTCTATGTTGGTTTTTTTATCATAACTACAAAAATTATTCCGCTTGGAAATGATCCAGCACCTCTTCCTTCCAAACTCTTTTCGTATCAAAAGCTGAATTCAACTTGGTGCACAGTAAGAAGGCGCCTGACAGCTTTTTGTGCAATCCGTATGTTTCATCGGGAGGCGGGGTAAGTCGGTGTCGTAGCATCACAGGGATAGTGTCCCGCACCCGCGCAGTGACGGTCTGCGTCGAGAAATCATATAGTTCAGGAGCGTCACTTCTGAATGGTTCTCCCAGCACCATAACACTATCGATGTGAGCTTCTTTCATGACCTATTGAAGCATGCAGAATCAGTATCTTGGTCATGGTTGTGTGGTATACACGGGTATTAACTCACCGCCGTCTCGTATCCAGTGACAAAGCCTAGGTCCTTGGAATATTGCCAAACACCTTCTCGATCACCTCGTGACGCAGACAATAGAATTTTACCATACTTTGAAAGGAAGTCCGAAGGAAATTCTCGACAAGCTCCAAAGTCCAACAACTCGATCTAGACACAGCAGAAAAATTTAACTTAGTAAAGCCTTCGTGAGTGATTGTGTCATTGCTATTTCGTTTTACCTGGCCGCTTTGCCTATTGTAGAAAAAATTGGACCAATTGGGATCGGTTTGCATGAACTTGAAGGAGAACACCTCACGTAAACATAAGCGGAGCAAGTTTTCACCGAGCTTTTTGATCCATGGTTAGTTTTTTTAAGCATGGTCTAAGACTACGAATTTTCTTACCTTGTTTTTAAGCTCTTGTCGTTCAGTAAGTGCTTTACTTAGCACTTGGCCTCGTAGTCGCTCACTAACTAAAACCATCCGAGTACTCAAATCCTTGACAACGGCGGGGACCTTGTAGCGTTCGTCGCCGTTTAGCAAAGTCTTGAACCGCACAGCATTATCTGCTTCACGGACATAGTCACATTCCCATGCGAGTTCTTGTTTGGTCACTCGAATTGTATTGTCAAGGTAAAGACCTTTTGGTAAAAGATTTGAGAACGTCACAAGCGTCTTTAAGTTGTTTAGATCTGAATCAATGGATTCACTGATGCCTGGATATTGGATCTTAATAGCAAGCGACATTCCATTAGATGCTAATGTAGCAGCATGAACTTGGCCGATGGAGGCAGCCGCTATTGGTATAGGGTCGAATGAACTGAAATTTGAGCGCCATTCACTTCCCAGTTGTTCCTTCATGACTTTCTGTAAGGATAGTAAATTACCAAGGTTGCCATAATTGACTCATAACGCTCAATCTTATCCTAACCTCCATTTGCCATTCTGGCATATAATTTGCACTATCGTGAACGCGGAGCAAGACTTGTTCTAGCTGAGGTGGTAGCATGGACTGACCGGAATTGGCGGCCTGAATACCTTGAATACTTAGCATCTGTCCCATTTTCAACGCAGCTCCTCTCATTTGTGACAATTTTTCCACCAGTCTATCTACATTTTTTTCACTAAGCATAACGCCTAATAACAGGGCCAGAACGTTAGCAGGAAATTTTCGGAAATGTCCTTGGACGCGACGGATAGTGAAAAACAAATGCGTGACTCACCTCCTTCCGCCTTCGATATGCCAGTCATTCGTTTCAAAGATTCATTCATCGCGCCAAAGCCCATGGTGGTCGCCAATGATCCATAGTGCCATAAGCGACTGGTGCGTGATGTAGGTATCCGTGAAGACTTCAAAACACGTCGCTGGCTCTCTTCATCCAATGGCACAGTCCCACCAATGCCACTTGCTTCGTCTAACAATGTTTCTTGGGCTGCAGCAAGTGGCGCTTGTGTTGAGTGAACATCGACAGTTTCTTTTATCAACGGTTCTGTCTCTGCTTTGACATTACGTTTTACGGTTTCTACGGATGGGTTCGAATAGGCTACCGATTCGTTGCTTTCTTTAGCAAATGACGGTTGAGTTTCGGAGCTAGACTGGTTTATCTCTTTGTTCAGCAGTACGCTAGCTGTTTTTTCGTAATTATAAGAGTCATTCTGACGAGATTCTTTAAGATTGGCGGTATCGGACCGAGATTCAACGGTGTTGGGTTGAGAGGCGGCAGCAGGTGACTGTTGAATGGTTGTCTTGGTGGGATTCAGTAAACTGGAGGTTTTGACGTGATGGGTAAGGTGTGCAGCTTCCGCTTTAACCAGTGTCGTCGACACCGATTTCACGGCGGCCGATACACCAACAATGTCGACAAGGACTCTTGCTAGACCCATTATGTCAGGTTGAAGAAACGACGGAGTGCCTTCAGGGCCGGAAATTTGACACTTGCAAATTCGACGTCACAAACAATTTTGACTTACTTTTTGTTGAAGGGGTGGCTGGTTTAACGTTTCTTGAATCACTCGCGCAGCTCATGGCGGACTCAGAAGGCGAGCTGTCATGGCCAGAATATCTCAAGACACGAGTGATGGCTAACATCACTCAGTCGAGCGTTAACAGTCGACTTGAATTCATTCAGCATTCACTACTAATTCGTTTGCGCAGACACGGTAAGGGTTCATCGATCTAGTGGGAGGTGCTTCACTCAGCTCGCAACTAACTGTTTTTATAGATCTGCCCGAAGAGGCTTTACCTGGCTTATTGCATCTTATCTTTTTGACATACACACGCTATCAGGATAGAGAATCTCGCCTTGCAGTGCTGGAAGTCCTCAAGGAATTGAACAAATGGAATTCCAGTGCCTTTCAACATGCCATCATTCCTTCCCTTACCAGGGAAGTAGAAAAGACGGATAAAAAGTCGCCTGACGGGTAAAGTTTGCCGTACAATGATTGAAGCCTGGGGATTTACTTCAAAGTGATTAACTCGTAATCTGTTCTAGAACTTTTACAACTGCTGCGGCCCATCGATTCACTTTGCTCACTTGGATCAACATCTTGCTTACAGCAGCATTGAACTCCAGCGACGATGTAGCATCATCATCCGACGTCAAGAAGGTCTTGCAGTCACAAGCTGTTTTACTCTCTGGCTTAGCGGATGAGAAACGCAAGGGAATTCGCCAAAGTGCTTTCAGCGACACTAGACGCTGCATCCGCAAAAACGCTATATATATTTCTGATTTGTTAGATGTGCTGATGCGCGATGCCGCAAAGATCACGCCTTCCTATCAGAACACTGTGTTGGTTGGAACCATTGTCGATTGCGCACTTCGGCTGAAGCACAATGAGGTGGATGGAAAGGCTACTGTGGAACAAAAGAAGGCCGACATTATTCAATTCTACGTGCAAAGCGTCATCTCCTCCAAATCTGCTGTTCCTACTGCTTCCATGGTTGCATTAAACGACTTTGTCCGAAGCAATGTGACGGAAGCTGATTTTGAGGCAAACTTAATGCCTGTTTTAGAGAAGATGATGTTGCGTGCACCTGAATTGGTCTTGAGAGGTAAAAAAGAATGTTCATGCACTCAATTTTCGGAGCAGTGCCTAATGAAATTCCATTATTTTTTGTAGATCTCGCCCACATGATGCCAGCACTATCATTCGATCCATCAGCATTGTTCGCCAAGAAACTTGTCGATCCTCTTTTGAATCATATGCGCTCAACCTCAGCTCAAACCCGTGTTGATGCCGTCCTTTTATGGACAGCTCTTTCAAAGATCTGTCATGACGAGACTCAATTGACCACAGTTTGTGGTAACGCTGGCAAATTGTTGACAACCGGAAAAGTGACATCTTGGGAACATCGCATTTTGGTCTATCAGGCTATCGCCGGCCTTGCTGATTCAAACTTGCCTGCTGTCAGCCAGAACGCCGCTGAAATCTATGTGACTATGGCTGCAAAGGAAGCGAATGAGCAAGCTTTAGCCACAGCTATCCTCGGTCTTGGACGTCATCTTTCTGTTTTGACCTCGTCTCAAGAAATTTTAGCTAAGCATAAAGCAGTTGTTGAGAAATCCTTCAAGGCAATGGGAGATGGTCTTGCAAGCAACAAAGCTCTCGCTCGCAAATCATGGGCCATGGCTTTGGCCAATCTAGTCATGTCTTTGCCCCAAAATGGAGAACACTTGGCGGATGTCTTACCAAAGTTATTGACAGCCTTATTTTCGACTTTCAAGAAAATCGCTGACAAGCCATTGGCATGGAAGGATGGTCCTATGGAAGCATTCATACTCATCGCCATTGTCACTGGAAAAATCAGCTTGTGGTCAACCACCCCAGCTTCTGTGTCAACCATTTTGAAGGCTGAGAAGTACCCAACCTCGATTTTGACATGCAGCCCCAAACCATCATTCTTTTTGCTTGATCGTGTCTTCACTAAGGCTACCAGTGCTGAAGAAGGCCACTGGTTTGTTGTTGCGTTGGAAAGCACACTGGGTAATACCAGCATCGAGACTTTGGAGAAGAACAAGGCCGTGAACCACTTGGCGCAAGCTTTTATCTGGGCACTCACATCTCACCCTGTACATGCCGTCCGACGTGAAGCTTATCATGCCCTCCAGCGCTTAGCAAAGAAAATTCCTCAGGAATTGGGAACTGTCATCAGATCTGGTTTGAACACATGGCTCCGTGATGTAAGTAATGTTTGGACACTAAAGAGTGTGAGTGGAAATGAACCTATCTGACCTTTATACCACAGATTGAGAACCAAACCAAGGATTCGACCGCTTTCAGCACCGTTAGCAACCAGGAGCTGCCTGATGAGGATAGAGCTTACCGACTTTCAACAGTCTTGACAGCTATCACTAGCTTTGCACCAGATCTGGCTGAGGATATCAAAGAGAAGGAATTGGTTCAATTATTGGTGTTCGCCCATCATAAATATATTGGTAAGGACACCTTTCTCTCTTTTCGCAATTCATGCGTTCCAGGAAAGAAGCTAACGTTGCTGTACACCTTTCAGTTTCGCCTAACGACAAGTATAATTGGATTACGCTTTTGCAACGTGTTTCGGTGAACCCTGGTACTGTTGTCAAAAATCGTCTCGAGACCCTCAAGGAAATGATCTCTGCCAACTTGGCGGATGTCAAGCAAGTAAGTCATACCGCACATCTGCCACTAGAGGTTCACATCACACGTATTTACTAACATACCACCTGTAGTCTCAGCTCTTCTATGATGCCGCTATTGCATCCACCTCAACTATTGTTTTCGTCGACCCTGATACAGCAATGAATGCCGTTATGTCTATGATCGAAGAGGATTTGGACGCAAAGCAATTGAAGGGCATTGGTTCACAAGAAATTGCCATTTGGCGCACTCCTGAGGGCGAAGTCTATGTTGATGGTGAGTTTCCTATCCCATTTTGGTCAAGCATAGATTGACAGGACATATGATTGACCTCTATTTCTGAATTTAGTTCTCAAGCGAGGAAAGAAGAGCGTTGTTGAGGATAGAAATCGTAAAGACTACGCCGAGAAGAAATGGGAGCAGAGTATTCGTGAAGAACTGGCCAAGAAGAAGGGCGTTAACGCTGGCCCTAAGCTTACCAAGGAGGAACAAGCAACTCTTGACGCACAGTTGAGGAAGGAGAAGGATATTCGACGCAACGTTCAGAATATCTTTGACAAACTCACCAAGGGCTTGGATCTCGTGAAAGCCATTGTCAAAGGGAACAGTGAGGAAACAGCAAACCATCTTGTTAGCTTGATTCGATCGCTTTTGAAGCTTTGTGATCGCAATGCCGGTGCATTAGTTGGCGAAGATCTGTTCGATACTTATCTGCAGATCGGAACCTGCACCGACGAATCCCTTGAAAGCATTAGAACTTCGCTTGGCGTTGCTACCCTTCGCTCAATGAAGGCGGAACCCATTCCTGAGAAATGGCAACAGGAGCCTTTGATTGGTAAGTTTTGATGCCCCCACACACCAACACCTTCGTCACCTCAAACTCATCTCGTCTTTTGATATCATAGATATGGCGGTCCGTGTTTTGTACCGACTCAGATTCATTTCAGAACGATCACCTCTTTCGCCTTCTTCATTCGCCTACTGCTTCCCAATTCTTCATCGTATCATTACCGAATCTGGTATTGACTGCGATAAGAAGACAGAGCAAGGCAAAGAAAATGCTTTGGAACAGGTTACTATTGCTGTTGGAATCATTGGATTCCACTGCACCATGGGAGCCGAATCTTCTCTTCCACGACAAGAAATGATTGCCAGTCTATTACTTACCATCAAAGAATTCCCTCAATGCGCTAAAGCAGCAAAGACATCCCTTGTTGATTTGTGTGATGCTCTAGGTGAATCAGCAACACCTGCTGAAATCAACATCTTGTGCCAAGGCGTTATTTCTGGCGAATCCCTTGTACGAGTTGCAGCTCTGAACGGATTGGAGGTAAATTGAAGAGGGTTAATTTGGATAAATATAGTGAGCTGAACCGACGATTGACATTTTGTATGCGTTTATTAGCCTCTTGATCTTACTGATATGACCTATTCTGACGAAATTTGGATTGCCTGTCATGATGAAGATGAGCAGAATGCTAAGTTGGCCTCACAAATCTGGGAAGAGAATGCACTGGACGTTGAAGAAAACTATGCCGACACTTTGCTGGCCTACTTGGGTATGTTTTCATATGCTGTATTTTCAGTATGCATTTGAAAAAAGTTTGATATTCACCAGTCGTTCCTACAGTCCACGATACAAGCTTTGTCCGTGTTTCCGCTGGTAAAGCTTTGGCTTCAGCTGTTCAGATGTACCCAGAGACATCCGCAGATGTGTTACAATCTATCTTTGCCAAATATGGCGAGTTTGCTAGACCCTTGGTTCCAGAATACGATGAATACGGCATGGTGATTCCGGCTAGTCTCAATCGCCAAGATCCTTGGGAAGCACGCACTGGCCTTGCCATGGCATTAACACAAGTTGCCCCTCACATTGATGTATCCGCCGCCGAATCGTTCATTAAGTTCTTGATTCAAGATCAAGCGCTAGGCGATCGCAATGAAACAGTGCGTCAAAAAATGGTTGAAGCTGGTCTGGCCATCGTCAACACTTTTGGCCCAGAGCATGTCCAAGTCATTTTGGCTCCTTTCGAGGATTACTTGAGCACCAATACTACCTCCCACTCTGAAACCCAGGATTACGTTCAACAGGGCGTTGTCATCTTGTACGGTGCGGCTGCTGGCCATCTTGAACCCGGTGACCCCAAGATCCGTAACGCGGTCAACAAATTGATCGAAACCTTGGATACACCTTCTGAGGCTGTCCAATCTGCTGTTGCTACCTGCTTACCCAACTTGATCAAGATGATCAAGGACGATGCGCCAAAACTTGTTGAAGGTCTGTTGGAGAAGCTTGTCAAGGGCGAAAAGTATGCTCACCGAAGAGGTGCTGCATTCGGTTTGGCAGGTGTTGTTAAGGGCCGTGGTATCAGTGCTCTCAAGGAATGTGGTATTATGCAAGCCCTCAAGGACGCTGTTGATAACAAAAAAGTGTACCAGTATCGCCAAGGCGCTTTGTTCGCTTTCGAAACTTTATCTCAGACTCTTGGACGGCTATTTGAACCCTATGTTATTCAAATCTTGCCCATGCTTTTGGCTTGTTTTGGTGACTCCAATCCTGATGTCCGTGAAGCCACCAGCGATGCCGCTCGTGTTATCATGAGTAAGATCAGTGGACATTGTGTCAAGCTTATTTTGCCAACTTTGTTGGCTGGTTTGGATGACCGACAATGGCGTGCTAAGAAGGGATCTGTCGAACTTCTCGGTTCCATGGCCTACTGTGCTCCCAAGCAGCTCTCCATCTCTTTGCCAACAATTGTTCCTCGTATTACTGAAGTCCTTGCTGATTCTCACGCACAGGTTCAAACTGCTGCTAATAACTCTCTCATGTTATTCGGAGAAGTTATTAGCAATCCTGAAATTCAACAACTTGTCCCCATTTTGTTGGATGCTTTGAGCGATCCTAACCGCAAGACCAAGAGCGCTCTTACTGCTTTGTTGCAAACTGCTTTCGTCCATTACATCGATTCTCCCTCTTTGGCTCTTGTCATCCCAATTCTCGAGCGTGGTTTGAAGGAACGCAGCACTGAGATCAAGACCAAATCTGCTCAAATTGTTGGTAACATGTCGTCATTGACCGATCAAAAGGATCTTGTTCCCTACTTGCCTCGTTTGATGCCTGGCGTAAAGGAGGTATTGGTCGACCCTGTTCCGGAAGCTAGAGCAACGGCTGCCAAGGCCCTCGGAAGTTTGGTTGAAAAGCTAGGTGAAGAGAACTTCCCTGATCTCATTACCGAACTTGTCGATACTCTCAAGGTCGACACTGGCGGTGTCGATAGACAAGGTGCAGCTCAAGGTCTTTCAGAAGTCCTTGCTGGCCTTGGAATGGAGAGATTGGATGGCCTCTTGCCCGAGATTATCGCCAACGCTGATAGTCCTAGATCTTATGTCCGTGAAGGTTTCATTTCTCTTCTCATTTACCTGCCAGCCACATTTGGTACCCGCTTCCAACCTTATCTCGGTCGCATCATTCCCCCCATCCTTATGGGTCTTGCTGACGAGTCTGAGTTTGTGCGAGATGCTTCTCTGCGTGCTGGTCGTATGATCGTCATGAACTACGCTACCAAGGCTGTCGATCTTCTTCTACCAGAACTTGAAAAGGGATTGTTCGATGACAACTGGCGTATTCGTCAAAGTTCCGTCCAATTGGTCGGAGACTTGCTGTTCCGTATCACCGGTCAAACCAACAAGACAACAGCTGCTGTTATGGACGAAGCCGCAGACCAGGAAGATGACGAGGACGACGAGTCCGCTGGAAATGAGCATGGAAAGAAAGCATTGTTGGATGTCTTGGGCAAAGAAAAGCGCGACCGCGTTCTTGCCGCTCTATACATTGTTCGCCAAGATAGTGAGTACTTTTCTGAGTGGTTGAGGTAAAATAGAAAATGTTGTGTACTTACTTGTCTTATATTTTATAGCATCTGGTATGGTTCGCCAATCATCTCTCATTGTTTGGAAGTCTCTTGTATCAAACACCCCTCGTACACTCAAGGATATTCTTCCTGTCATGATGTCCATCATCATTCGCAACTTGGCCAGTCCTTCATACGATCGACGTACTGTTGCTGCTAGAACCTTGGGTGATCTTGTCCGTAAACTTGGCGAGAGCATCTTGCTCGAAATCTTGCCTATTTTGGAAGAAGGTCTTGAGTCTAATGATGAAGACACCAGACAAGGTGTTTCCATTGCTCTCAGTGAGGTCATGTCCACCGCTGGCCGTGTACAGGTCAATGATTATGTCGACTCCATTATCCCGTCTGTACGAAAGGCGCTTTGCGACTCGTCCACTGAAGTTCGTGAAGCAGCTGCTCAAGCTTTCGATACCTTGCATCAATGCGTCGGACCTAAAGCCATTGACGAAATTCTTCCTACCTTGCTTAACATGCTTCAGTCTTCAGATGAAGAATCTGTTTATGCTCTGGAAGCACTCAAGGAGATCATGGCTGTTCGTGCCAATGTTGTTTTCCCTGTGCTGATCCCAACCTTGATTGCTACTCCCATTTCTGCATTCAATGCTCGCGCTTTGGGCTCTTTGGCAACCGTCGCTGGATCTGCACTGAACCGACGTATCACCACCATTCTTGGTGCCTTGATGAACTCTCTTTGCCAAGAAAAGGACGAGGAGACTGTTCAAGAATTGAAGAACACTATTCGTTCTGTCTTGTTATCTATTGAAGATGATGAAGGTTTGCATACGTTGATGGCTATGTTGCAAGAATATGCTCGCAGCGAAGATCCTATTAAGAGAGCTGGTGCTTGTGAAACCACCGGTATTTTCTACGGCGAAAACAAACTTGATGCCTCTCGATATGTTAGCGATTGGTTCAGAATTCTCATCTCTCTGTTCGATGACCGTATTCCCGATGTTGTCAAGGCTGCATGGACTGCGCTCACTGCTGTGGCTAAATCTGTCAAGAAGGATGACTTGGACGGCCTTGTTAGCCACATTCGACGTGCTGTCAAGAATGTTGGTGTTGCCGGTGTTGATCTTCCTGGCTTCTGCTTGCCAAAGGTAAGGTTTCCGTTATATAATATAAAGACTTGACAGTAGGCACACACACGTTTCTAACCCAATGATGTGACTACAGGGTATCAGTCCTATTCTTCCCATTTTCTTGAATGGCCTTATGTATGGCTCAACTGATATTCGTGAACAATCAGCTTTGGGTGTTGGTAAGTTATATGCACCATGGTATCGAGATACAACAATGGATGACTGACAAATGCTTGGTTTAGGCGATTTGATTAGCCGAACATCGGCTGAGGCCCTCAAGCCTTTCGTGACCCAAATCACTGGTCCTTTGATTCGTATCATGGGTGATCGTTACCCTCCTCAAGTGAAGGCCGCTATCTTGCAGACCCTCAGGTAAGCTGTTCGTTAGATGACTAATAGATTGGCAATCAACATCTAATCATTGGCCTTGTGCAATATAGTATGCTGCTAAGCAAGGTCCCAACCTACCTCAAGCCCTTCTTACCACAACTCCAGCGTACATTCATCAAATCACTCACAGACCCTACCAGTTCCATTGTACGATCAAGAGCTGCATCAGCACTTGGTATTCTTATTTCATTGCAAACTCGTGTTGATCCCTTGATTGCTGAACTGGTATCTGGCATCAAGACCGCTGAACCAGGCGTCAAGGATACCATGATGAATGCACTTCAGACTGTTGTTGCAAAGGCCGGAGCAGACCTTGGTGACGCCTCAAAGAAGGGTGTTCTTACTGTGATGTCCGAAGGACTTGGTGACTCAGATGGTAAGCTTTCAGCTTCTAGTATATCACATCGTATGCGTTGATTCTCACAACTCTACCCAATAGATGGTATTGTTGTTGCTGCTGCACGTTTGCTTGGTTGCATGGCCAAGGTGCTGTCGCCTGAAGAAGTCAAGTACATTATACAGTAAGTGTTATAATAAGCCGGGTGTATTAAAGTCGGCTTTCACTCACCGCCCATTTTCTAGAACACACGTCCTCATTGAGCAAGCACCACCACTTGGTTCTATCCTTGCTGTCAATGCTATGCTTGTTGAGTCTCCTTCCCAGTTCGAAGATTTGGAAATAGCAGACGACATTCTCGAGAAGGTCTTGAGAGATGTTGCTAGCGAAAAGGTATTATAGTAGTTCATCCTATCTCTCATGCTGCTGGCATGTTTACTTACCATTTCCTTCCCAGCCAAAGGTGCCAGAAGCCGCTCTCCTTGCTTTAGGCAAATTCCTCATGACTACAGAATACCAACGTACAGAAATCATTGAAAAGATCGCTGATGCCTTGACCAATGTCATATCTCAAACAAATGCTGGCGTTGGCGAGAACCGACGACTTGCACTTGTTGTTGTCAGAGCTGTTGGCAGACGCCACCCTGGTGTAAGTATTACCAAGCATTGTCTGTCGAAATGCATTCATAGTTAACTGACTTATTCAATGTAGCTCCTGGAACCATATCTCAGCAAGCTTATTCCACCAACCATGAGCTGTGTAAGAGATCGCAATATTCCCGTTAAGCTTACTGCAGAGCGAGCCATCATGTATCTCCTCCGATTACTTGAAGGAGAGCAAACGCTACAGGTGAGTGAAAAGATGACACTTTCACGAAATACACAAGTGAACATAAGTATTGACTCATTCTTCCCCTTTGTAGGCATATCTTGCTACTGCGGACAGTACCGCTCAGCGTAACCTAAGTGACTACCATCGACGTATCCTGTCCAAGTTGGTCACGCAAGAACAGCAGCGTTTGTCAACTTTGCATGGAGCACAAGACGAGGAAGCTGAAGAAGAAGACAGCGAAGTTTGGGCTGTAGGATCCATTGCTTCCTTTGAAGGAGATGATGAATAAGTTTCTTATAGAAAGAGGAAGACCAAGAAAAAAAGAAAAAGTGACGATTCTAGCCATGAAAATGTATCATAATTATGCTGAAAATATTCATTCAACCAAAAGCAAAATCCTTTAGATTCATGTCCTGTAGCGTTTGGTATTTGCTACACAAAATAAAACTGGAAATGACTGATTTTACCCCAAATTCTACGAGGGTTTGTAAAGAAGTATGTGGTTTGGCTGCATTGCAGTAATGGTCAGGCAAAAAGCGGCAACTTAAATTTTTCTGGTGATCAACGGACAATGAATCCTGATCGCAGGTTCGCTTCATGGTCGACAAAGATCCAAGTCCTGAACCAGCTTCGACCTCCTCTATTGCAGATGGCGAGAATGCTATGGCCACAGATGATTCATCAGAACAGTTTCATGTACAAGGTCGTAACACGCGGCGCATGAGCTTTACGGACACTTCCAAATCAGCCAAAGTGCGGTATCGTAACTCTGCTTCACTGTCGCCATCGCTAAACAGACGGCGCATGCCACCCAGCTCTCCTAATCTAAACGTTACGGGCGGAACAGCTCTCCTTTCTCCAAAAGAAATGACTCGTTTAGCACCCTATACATCCAACAGCTTTGATATGCTAGACTCCATCGTCGATTATCAAGACGGATATGGCCCAGCGCCAGTCAATTCGTCTAGCACTCCCGCTCAACTTAGCAAAAAGAAAAAGAAGCATAAATCCAACAAAAGCACACAGTTTACTCCTCCTCAATCTCCAGTCGCGCAGCAACGTCGAAGAAGTTTAACTCCAGTCGATCAAAATGTGTCCTATCGGCAACCTCTATCGCCAAATGCTCAACCCAGACGTATGGAGAACTTTCAGGCGAAGCAGTATTCGACAAATAAACGACGTTCATTGATATCGAGGTCGTCAGATGATTACAAAAATAGCACGGATTCGATTCTTAATGAAAATAAGGAGAATAGAGCGCCTTCTGTGGTCAGTGGAAATTCGAGTTCAAATGAACAAAAGCCTAGCCATAAAGACAAAGGGGAGGCAAGAGCCAAAATTTCAAAGGAAGAGGATGTCAAAGATTTGCCGGAGAGCAAGCCGTCCTTTTCTATCTGGGATTATCTGAAAGATGAATTGACGGCTTCGGACTTTGACAGTGCACAAGATCTGAAGCGAGAAAGAGTTACGAACTTGCTTGGCGTACCAGGCGCTGTTGAGAAGGTAAGCTATCTTTAAGCATTATAATGTACCATCCTTCGCATTATATTTATTGTTGATGTATGTTCAGCTCATGTCGTTTGGTCAGTTGGTCTGCTTGGACTCGTTCTTATACACCTTCACCATATTGCCTTTGCGGTTTTTCTTTGCACTTGTGCGTTTCTTTGACGTTTCTTTTTGGAATATAGTGAATATAAGGACGTTGGACAGAAGGTAAGCCGCAGCCTATGCATTTTTAATCTTTACCGTACGAATACTAAACACTGGATCTTCAGACATCTTAAGCCATCTCAAAAATGCGATCTACTGAAAGGACTCCTACTTATCTTAACATATTTGGCTATGAGAACGCTTGATGCATCCCGAATGTATCATTCTATACGTGGTCAAGCCGTTCTCAAATTATACGTTATTTTCAACGTATTAGAAATTTGTGACAAACTATGTTGCTCCATTGGCAGCGATATTTTGGATGCCTTGTTTTCCAAGACGACTCTCGGAAACTACCGTGGTCAGCAAACGTCTGGTGAAAGTATTTCGGCCAAAAGACATCTCCGTCCTGTTACCTTCTTCTTGTTAGCCCTGACCTATATGAGTAAGTTTGCTCACACCGCTTATATCATGCAAAAGCTTTACAAGTTACTGATGATCATATCCTTCCAGTTCTACATACCCTCGTTCTCTTCATACAAATGATCACTTTGAACGTAGCCATCAACTTTTACTCGAATGCTCTTTTGACCTTGTTGATTTCGAATCAGTTCGTTGAAATTAAACAATCCGTTTTCAAGAAGTTTGAAAAGGAGAACTTGTTTCAACTTAGTTGCAGTGGTATGATATGTGCTTATATTGCGTTGCAAAAAAAAAATTTGATCTTTCTGTCTAACAATACTTCATGATAGATATCGTTGAGCGGTTTCAACAGGGTATGTTTCTGCTCATTATTACATTGCGCAATGTTATTGAGCTCTCGGAATCGCCCCCATCGCCCTTTTCCATCCTGCCATCCACATTTGTCCCGCTATTTAAGCTGCCCACTACCACGACTTTGGACACGTTAATGACACCTGTCATCATGGTCATTCTTTCTGAGCTTATTGTTGATTGGCTCAAGCATGCATTTATCACCAAGTTCAATCAAATTCGGCCAAGCATATACAGTAAATACATTGATATTCTCTGTCGAGATTTAGTGGTAGGAAGTCCCGGCAGGATGAGCGGCAAGAAAGCAGTAAGTACGGACGGATGAATTACCACACAATACGACATGTTACTCAACAGAGAGTTTTCGTTTAGATCTTCGTAGATCAAGCTCCTATGGTGTCCAGACGTATTGGATTTCCCGCATTACCAATGGCCTGCTTGGTGAGTAAAAATACTCATGACCATCTGTGCTAGATCCAAAAATAACTAACAACCATGCATAGATGACTCTCATTGTACAGCAACTAATTCCAATGCTATTCTCGGCCTCGCCGACCTCATCGATGGATAATGGAGGCACCAAAGTATCTACTTATCTTGTTGAAAGTATTGCCACATTCCTTGTCGATTACTGTGGTAAATGGCTGATTGCCATTGGATCAATGGCTAAGATTGATATTATTGGCCTTGTGCAGTCGATTCTTTTTCGAGGTGGAGCTTTGGATAAGGCGTTGCAGCAGTTCATATGGCTTGGCGCATGGATACTTGGTATCATCGTCACTGGGCTTTGGTATGCATTTATAACCTACATGACGTCCCATGCGATTATCTTCACTCAATCTTTTGTCCCATTTTTGTAGCCTCATTGCTCTGAAAGTACTGGTTGGAATTAATCTACTGGGTTATGCATATAAACGATATGCATCTATGCAAGCCAGAGAAGAAGAGGAGCGTAAGAAGGATGAACTGTACGCGGAAATGGATAAAGATGAAAAGGTATGTGGACGACCAAAATTGAGCCCAAATTAGCAACACCATTTGTACTAACTGTCTTCACCTGTGCATTAGGCTTACAAATCTTCTGTGCACAAGTATCTGAATGATGAAAACGATAATGTTTTAGGAGTGCCTCAGCAAAAGTATACGCTGGATAATGTAGATCGTTTCTCCATGGTTAAAAGTAGAATACCATAAGTATTCTACCCGTTCGATATCTCAAACTACATTTATTGTACATAAACAATTCCCACATTCATGCTTGAAACCAGATACGCTCAGACATTATTATCAAAACCGCATATATCTACAGAATTATAGCATCCAGACTGCCTAAAGCGAAGTAGAGTGCAAGTCCGCAGTAGGAAGAACGGTTTGCATCCTGTATTGACCTTTAGCTCATGATATAATCTAATTTAATGGTTTCATTGATTTGCAGTCATGTATCTGTGTCATGTTGTAGCTCAAACAGATAGGCAAAAAAAATCAAATAACTAACAATGATCACTTTTGACAGCCACCTTTACTAATACTCTTGAGTTTGTGGTTAAGGAGTGCGACCCAACTACTGGGGAACCCGATGAAGAGGGCTATGAAGATGAATACCCTGTTGAAGACAAGTATGTTCTGACCGGTAACTACATCCAGCCCCATCTATGTTTCCATCTTTGCTGACGTATGGGAGCAGCTCGCTGAGGCTGTAGCTTTGGAAAAGGACAAGGGCCTAAGTTGAAAGGTAAATGGTTGTGTTCATAGCTTCATCTGATTTTGTCATCATTGACTCATTTTTTGTGCCTGTTTAGCAGCATGTAACTGCAGCATTGACCTGCTCGGGCATGAAAGCACCAGAAGACTCTTTGTTGCCAAAGTTCAATACTGTACATATATCGATTCTGTACGGCATGTTTATTGGTGGAATCAGGTATTGGCAAGAAGCAGGACGACATTCAGTCCCGGCCACTAGTGTGGTGGCTTTTGAGCTTGCCGTGCGAAGTTAAGACGAAAAATTTTCTCGGTATTGGGAGCTAAGGCTAAAAAAAACACGACGGTATAGCCCATTATGATGATCCATCCACCCATTTCTTAGAGCATAATAAAACAGAAGAAAGGGTACCCATTGTAGGACGAGAAGTAGCCAACATGCATCGGATTCCGGAGTCGACAATTTCCAAAACAGTAAACGTATCCTATGTGTCATACCAGTCGTCTGTACGTTGTCAGATGGCATACATGACAGTTTAGATAACCTTAATCTTCCCATGTGTTCGTCAACACTTACGCTAATATTCGCAAACATGTCTAAATTTCATAAAGAGGGAACAATGATTTCCTAATTGAAACTGTGGCGTAAAGATTTATGCCTATGTTATTGCACATCTTGCTTCATTCGAAGAACGAACATTTTCGCATACATATGCTGCCTATTCATGGCAGGTACTATCTAACAGATGATAACTTTAAACATTCAAACTTGCAGTAATATACCGCCGTTTCCGAAATAGGCAGACTTCATATCAGAAGCCAGCATTTTACACAGCGTTCTACAAGAACAGTCTTACGTACTCCATGTGGACCCTGCATCAATACCTTACCTCAGCTACGCTACTGTAAAAAATCTAGGTAAGATGATTGCTTTCGCTGCGAAATTTTTTCCAATGAAGCCTTAAGTGTTTGTGAAGAAACCATACCAGTAAATTCCGTCATACAGCATTATTTCGACTCTCTTACCTACTGAGACCAGTCCTCGTTCAACCGGACCCGAGTAGTTGGAAAGGATGGTCTTACAGCTTGGAGAGTCTCAGAGCTATCTATGGCAGCATTGAAACAGTTACGTATGCTGGTTTTTTTTTCATCAACGTTAGGGACCATAAATTAATTTTGACGCCATATTCTAGGGACAAAATGATAGCCGCTCCTGAATCAGTTGATATAATAGCGACGTTTTCGGTCACATCTGTTCAAGTTAAAAGTTGATGAAGAAACAGAAAAGGCTGAGTGTTTGACTTCTCCCATTTTATTTACCCAACTCATAATGTTGTGTACCGAAGCTGTTCAAACTGGTTTCTCACAACGTCTAATGGCATTACAAAATTGATAAATTCAAAGGCGGCGCTCCATTCAATTTTCTGTCGAAATTAGGAAACTCGTGAAGTCCATCGGGCTTCCGTACCTGAGCCTAGAGATGCTGGTAAAAGGTATAAATGGTCAGTGATAATGAAGCAGTTCATTTAATTATTTTTCTTTCGCCTGTTCATCACCGTAAAGAAGAGTTTCAACAAAATCTCAGTAAAACACACCCATTGTCAAGGTGTTCGCACCCAAGGAACTTCGTGCAGGTCGAAGAATTGCCAAACCACTTACGATATGCCGTAATGATAACTTAAGGAATTGTACCCCCACTCAGTCATCCAAGGCATTGAATTCTCATCCATTGCCTTCCAAACGGCAATTCAACAAACTACTTTTCAATTTTGAAGATTTGTTAAACCTTTGCAAACCACCAGTATCTCCACATGGCTTCGTAATTTGATGCGTCTCTTGACTTCGGAAAACCGGTTTTTTTCAGTCTGCTCCGTGTCTTGCTTCCTAGCTTTAGTCCGCGACGCTCCATTGTCAGATTTCTCCACTATGGGAGACTGGTTATCTACGGAGGTAATGAATAATCACTATCGCCGCCAACGCTTAAAAAGCAAAATATTACAATTTCGTTTTCAGACTATAGCTCTTCTTTTCCATGTATGCGTTGAAGCAGCATCTGTAGGCTCATGCTTGGAGATCCGATTGTCTCCACATAAGTTCGACAGAAAATCACTAGTTCAGTCCCAAGGACTGAACGAGCATGAGCCAAGAGATTTCCCTCCCTCCTTCCTCAACACATAGGCTCAAGATTTGATCAAAGGAACTGCTTTATTGTCATTAACCACTTTTGCCTTTTGAAAAGAAATTTTCATTATTAGTACGTGGAATTTTGTGACATAAAGAGAAATGTTTACAACCTCTCTAGGCTCCTGTTCGTTCAGCCGCCCTGCGTAAACTAGGAAAGGCTTCAAGGCCAAGTTAATGCTAAATCTCTACATCAGAAACCACTCCAAGCTACAAGGTAAACTCCCACACCATGTTTTGATATTATCCAGTTAATACATAAGGTTGCGCTTTGGTAAGGGTGCAATGGTACTCATCTTGAGGATATCATGTTTGCAGGATTTTGAGCACGGGATGTCACGAGAAGATGTTTTAATAGGCTGCAAAACGAAAAAATTTTCGGTACTTCGTCTTTTGACTTTACAATGCACTCAAAAAGAGCATACATCGTTGCCCTCAAGCGCTATCTATTTCAGCAAAAGAGACTGTACAACATTTCCGCACCACCTCCACGCAAGCAGTATCGCTGACGCCCTCAAAAGATGGATGTTGACTTTCCTCCTCTCAAGGATACCATTGACGTCGACGAGGGATTTGAACTCTGGGGAATGGAAGATTTATACATGGACTACGCTATAGAGTATGCGCAATGCAGTGATGACAGGGACATTTTCCCTCCTTCTCCTGCTATGCAAATTGATTTTACCTCTTTCTTGTGGTAGGCATTCACCTCATCGTTTTACTTCCCCTCTTCCTCGACGTGCTCTTCCTCCTCTTACTTTGCTGGTCGTTCAATGAGGTCCTCTCCTGATGGCGGTTTGGCATCTCTCTCGCCAGGCTCTAAGTCGTTTAACGCCTTGTCCATTGACAATAATTCAAGTGAGGTCGGAAGTACAATGCTCGTTGGCAGACTTCCTTCTCGCTATCCTTTTCGTTCGTGTTCTCGCACATTGTCTCGCTCTCCTTGTCATTCGCGCTCTCGCACAATGTCTGGCACTCCTCCTCTCCTCTTGGCCGTTCGCCTTCTCGCATCGTGTCTCGTTCTCCCTCTCCAGCTGCTGGTTCAGCCTTGTCGTGTCCCTCCTCCACTCCGTCCGCTATTGCCGCTTTTTCGGTCCCTTCCATTCCCTTGTCGTTGGCCACTGAAGACGTAAGTAACCTTCTACACAATCTAACAAAGTAGCAGAAAAATGGACTTACATTAACCTTCCTTCCATCGTTAGGCCCTCGAAAAGAATCAGCTTGTGGATGCTCTACAAGGGCTGGAAGCTGGCAGTCATCAGTCTGGCTTTGGATGTCCCGAGATGGAGATGGATAACTCTCGGTCGTCAGACCCACTTCTTGATGGAGCTGGATTCTCTCGGGGCTACGTTCCAAACGTAAGTTCCTACCTTCCATTCAGGAAACGCATATACGATTTGAAAATTCCATTTAACCATCACCTTCGGTCAATTGTAGGAGCCCCGATATGACGAGCCGGGAGTTGTTGGTGGGATCTAGGATCCCACCAACTGAACGGGGAACGCTGTAAGTGTATCAAATTTTTACATCATTTGATCTTGGAAGTTTGACTCATTATTCTATAATTTCTCGCTATTTTCAGGGGCGCTCCCGAGAAGTTCTAGTTAGCTTGTCTCATGGCCCGAACTCGACAGAATTTGTAAAGTAAGTGGTACTTCCTTATGCACTTTAACAAATTTTCATCGGTTAACGAGAACTGTTCCTTCATATCAATAGATTATCTATTTGTGCGAAAACTATTCCTTTCCACCATGGCTAATACTATGCTATTGGCCTAAAGTACGGCGCCGAGTCGCAAGCGACCTCTGTATAGTTTTCCTTGAGTTTTTCTCTTCCATTTTTCCCTTGTAAATACAAACTCTTAGCTATTTGCGGAGCAAATAGCCTAATAAAACACGCATACAAAAAAAAATTCATATTATCAGATTAAAAAAAATATAGAAAAAAAGGGAAACCAAAGAAATTAGTATTGAAATTGCAGCATTATTGTAACAAAATGACTGAACTTCTTTACATGCTCGCCAGAAATTAAAAAATGAAGAAAAGAAAAGAAAAGAAAAGAAAAGAAAAGAAAAGAAAAGAAAAGAAAAGAAAAGAAAAGGTAGGCACACATACACTTCTCCTCCAATTGCTGATACCACTGCTTCAGTTTTGCCAACCTTTATTCATCACTATAGTTCGAAAAAACAAAAAAAACAAAAAGTTTCTGTGACCTCTGTACCTTCTGTGCCAAACAAAAAATGCTGTCTTGTTGGGGTCCATGTTTAACCTGTTGGATAGGTGGTAAGCAAATCTTTTACTACATTTGAAAAGTGATTTTGGCGACTTGAATGTCCATGTTAATCTCTGAATTTTCAAAGTCCCTGTTCGTCTTCCCGTCGGCTGTTCTCTGGAGGCCAATTTGGCCACCTATTCTGATCTTCCTGGGGAATCGTAATGGTTGTCCAACGCCACGCTGGTAAGTCACTCATTTCATTGTCATAAAGCTTGCCAATTTTTGGTAAGTACCAGTCATACTAAACATTTGTCTGTTTGCAGAGAAGTGTTGTCGATCGGTTAGTACGACCGATCCTGACCGCTTGTGAAACCGAGTACTGTCTGGCCCTAGCTTCACTGGTTCTTGCTACTTCAGGAGCCCTCGAATGTCTAAGCAGAGTAGCGTAGCCTCCAGCTGGTTGTAGTGACGGGCCCTATCAATGATTCCGACTCCTTGCTTGAAATCAGTTCTCGAAAAAGTCAATGAATGCTCGGTTAGCTGATAAGGACAACACAAGAAGAGTTTTCACAGCACTGATGTTAGGGGCTTTGGATTCATATAAGAAGACTAGTTACTTGACCAAGGTTAAAGAACGTCTGTTCCAGGAAGTGGTACAATTGCTTGAAGTCGAGTGTGTTGTCCTCGCCGATCACGTGTGTTTCCGTACCGTCATCAACAAGAGTGTGTCTTTCCTCAATGGCGTGCGTCTTCCGGCTATGATCATCAATTCCATAGTAATAAAGAACGATTTCAATTTTTCCAAAGTCTCGAGTGTTCATTCACCACAGTACTATTCTACGCTTTTAGTCGCTCTAATAGTATCGAGCTCTCATTGTAAACTCATCGTCTCAGACTAAAAAAGTAGTATCATTGATGCACTCAAGGGTCACACGTCTCAATAGTTAACATATGCTTTCAGAGTAGTGAACAAGTAGAGTCTATTATGAATGAGACTTTCTTATTTTATTTTCAAGAAGTGATACAACAAGAATGAAAAAGTATACTATGCTTTGATGCTTATTGCTATTGAAAGAGATGGTGGATTGGAACAGTTAAATTTATGTCATCATACCGCCAGTTTTCTCGGATCCCGATTTTTTCTTGGAGGTAGAAGTGGACTTTGAAGCGCCTTTGCCGCCTTCAGCACTAGAAGTTCGCATCATCATTAACCCACCAGCAGCCTCGCCAGCCGAATAACCTCGCATCAAATTCTTATTTGCTGTAGGGTTTTCCAACAGAGCAGCTCCACGGCGTACATCGGCAGGCATTCGGAATGAATCTCTGGACCCGATTCGCACCTTCACCTTGGAAGCGATTTTGACTTTCTTATCCAAAGCGGCGGCAAGTGATGTGGCTGGCGAAGTGTTTTGTGAGTCGTTCCTAGAACTTGATCCAGAACCGGATTCATCACGTTGCAAGTGACCATCCATACTATCCTGCCCATAAGTTGTATGCTTTTCCGACACGCGACCCCTTGTTTCTTTGGCTCCCCCTAGTTCGTCGTCTGAGCTGGTGCTGAAGCTGGAATCCATTGCACTATGCTGGACGGCTGATCTTCGTTTGTAATGAATACTTGGAGAATCCGCAGGTAGCACTCCGGCAAGATTGCCTTGTGATCGGGTGCGTCGGTGACCCAAGTGCTGAGTGGTTGGTTGCTGTGCTATGCTTTTAGAAGTCCCTTCGTTTAAATTTAGTAGCGGAGGACCTTCACTTGGTATATCATATGTCAATGGACTTGCGACCACGTCTGGATCGACTTTGGAGCGCTTGTGTTCCTCGACTGGGTATTGTTTGATATCACTCAAAATCATTTGTATTTGTGGCGGAATTTGAGAATTTCCCACCGTCTTAGCCCTTTGCCTTCGGGGTAATGCTTGCGATACCATGGATGGCTGCTGAGCAGTTGGCACCACCATGTTTGGAAGTGCGTTGTTCATAGGGCCACCATAGTTAACGGGTGGAGGTCCTGGCGGTAAATCCTGCATCATGGCACCAAGAGGTACTTGTCGAGGCAGAGGAGGGCCCATCATCATATTGTTGGAAGCCTTATTCATGAGGGGTTCCAATGAACGTCTCGCCATTGGATTTTTCACAAAAGATGGTACAACATCAGGTTCAAAAGGACCAGTGAATGGTTTTCCCGTTAAAAACGGATGGTTACGAATTTGGTGAGGCGTCCAGCGCCTTATAGGATCTTGGTTCAAAAGCCCTTGTATGAAGTCAATCAAAGCATGCCGGCTTTGTCGCTCTGTGAATGCCATCCGATTAGTTGTCATGATCCCTTCCAACAAGTCACTCCATCAATACGTACCTCTCTCTTTTTCAACTTCATCAAGCCCATGTCGTGCTTGGTTGTAGTTCAATATCAGCGGCGTTAACTTGGTCTCATTGAAGTACTTCTTGCCAGGTGGCTCGGCCTTAACGTACTCTCGACTATATTCTTCTCTCGTCTTCAGTGCCCATATCCTTCTTCCATCCGGCTTCTCCTTCCTGACAAAGAATTCTCGAGCTGTCTTTCCATTTTCCAGCATGTAAGTCGGAGGCATACTGCAAATATACGAATATCATACCAAATTTTAAGAAGCCGATCTCGTCTGGTTAGTCAATCTGTCACAAAAACGAGGGGCCAGATAATTCCTCCATATTCTCACCCTAACATATCTACAATTCTTGAAACTTGATTATACTCTGAGCAACCTGGGAATAATGGAAGACCAAGAAAAAGTTCGGCAACGATACACCCTAGCGACCACATATCGATGGCACTATTGTACTTTACACCAAACAATACTTCGGGTGAGCGGTAGAACCGAGACTGGATGTAGGTGTAGATTTGATGTGATTCGTGACATGCCGAACCAAAATCGATAATTTTTATGGTTGGTGAATCCAAGCTATAAAGTAGAATTGTAAGCATCATGTTCGTATGCACAGAATCTCCGTAAATACCTACTTTTTCAAAAGAATATTTTCCGGCTTCAAATCACAGTGAATGATTTCCGCATCCTTCAAAATCACCAAGGCATCTACTAATTGATGGGATATGACGCGGACTAAGTTCGTTGATAAGCCTTTGAACGAGTTTTGTTTGATTAGTTCGTACAAGTTGACGCTCAGCAGTTCAAAAACAAGGCAGAGGTGGTTGCGGTGGATGAATGTGTGATATAGTCGCAAGATATGATGCCTATCCTGGGCATCTCGCTCGCCGTTCAACTAGTAAGTTTAGAAAAAAGAATAAGATTAACGAACCTCTTTCTCCTATTGAAACTTCTATTACTATCCATACTAACCTTTTTCAAAATCTCAACTTCCAGTTGACTTTGTACCATGTAGGCTGGCTTGTTTTTAATGACCTTGACGCTGACTAACTCTTTCGTCGAAATACGCTGACATTTGACAACTTGGCCAAATGTTCCCTGGCCGAGTATATCCAACACTCTGTACCTATGTGATGAACTGAGCGTTAGTGCCAAACCATCGATGTTGTCAAAACTCAACGCATACGGCTGACACGTACTCTTGACCCTTCTCATTTCCTAAGGTGTCGTTCACTTTTAATATATAATCACAGTCCTCATTATCAAACCCATCATTTTTGCTTGGCTTGCTTGGCTTTGTGAGTACTCTACGTGGATTTCTGATAGGATTATACTTAAAAACAGGATTGCGCAGTCGATAGGTTTCGCTGATATCGATGGTAAGGGCTTGGAGCGGCTAAAAAAAAAAAAGGGTGGGAGCTGTGTTTGAATCAAATCGGTCTACAGGGATCGTCTAAGGCTTTTTTTAAATGCGCTTACACTAATGAAGCCGCCCTCGGGTCGAGCCCTGCGATACGCAGGCTGTCGATGGACAACTGGTCTAAGGTCGATGGCCTTGTTTATGACCTTTTTAAAGCCCATATGAGGTAGCTGAGCAGGTAATGAGCGATGTTTTGCGGCCTTTTTGATGAGTGCGGCTTGTTTGGAACGCTCATCGTGGTATCTGACGCCGGGTTCGATGGTTTGAGCGTAGTAAGGGGATCCATTGCTGGATTTAAGACTTGGTTTCAGTCGAGCAGGCGACGCAGCAGAGGTGGACAACGACGGACATAGCTGATGTGGTAGTGGTGGTTGTTGTTTCATGTTTTTCCCGTTGTTCATAGGACTGCCATCCTGAACCGCGGATGACCTACGTTGCGTTGTAGTATTAGGTGGCCAGTCAAGCGGTTGGCGCATAATGGATTTAGTAGTAGTGGTTGATTTGGATATGCGAGGACTATCGAAGGGGTCGTAGGGTTGAAAGTCGGTGCTCGAAAGACTCTGGCGTTTACTACCACTTGGATTGCGAGATGGCTTGTTGACTGAAGTGAGTTTATCGGGATTTGTGGCAAGAACACTGGCTGGATCGCTAAGATAAGATGCCATGCCTCCTAATGGGCGCTTACGATGTTGTAAAGCTTGGATGCTGGACATTAACACAAGAAAAAGGCGAAGGAGAAGATTGTTTGTATCATTCTTAAAAAGGAAGCCAGTGCAAGGCACACATTGCGTGTGGTTGGGATCACGATGATGGACAAAAAGAGTTCTATTTATGATGCTTAAGATGTTACATGTACAAAAAGTTGAGCTTTTCTTTAAGATGATGGATATTCAATGTCTGCAATAATGCCCTCTCCAAGTCTTTCGATCTCTGCTAGAATCGCTTCGAAGTTGACTGCTGTCAATTTGGAGCTTCCTTGCTGTAAAATTTTTAGGTTGTTTTGGTTGGTAATTGTTAGTATTACTACTATTTGCCGTTTGTTGTTCTTAATTTTACATACCAATTTCGACCCCTTCTTCATATCCACAGGAATGGCATTGAAGCCTTGATTGACCTTCCATGGCCTTGGTGCGGTGGTCAGTGGGTTCCAGACAATCGCGATCTGATCGCCGCCATGCTTATCGTGGAAGGGGAGTATAAAATCTCCATAGAGACGCTATTATGAAGACATTTCCCAAATAAATAACAAAGTTTCTTTTTGAAAAAAATCTAGGTTTACCACCAGGTCATCTTAGGTCGTTCTGCCCCACTTACCTGAATTTCATCTACCAAATATTGTGCTGGATCGAATTGGACGTAGACTTGGTCGCCAAGCTCTGTGGCTCTTGCTACCAAGTTGCGATACTTTGGTGTAGCCGATGTAAAGTACTCTGCCTCAGGTGAAAGGTTTTCTATGTAACGAGTACAGCGGTTGGGAATAAGCCGGATGATGGCACTATAATCTTGCATCGGTGTAACAAACAAGCGCTGCAAATGAACCCGAGGTCAAAAAAAATACGAAGCGAGTCTCAGCAAGCCTCACTGAAGCACTTTTTTTTTTCTTCCCCTACTTACCTTGAATTCTTTTTGGCTTCCTGAAACAATAGCTTGCTCAAGCTGAATACATGCAGCTCGGGCCAAGGCTTGAATACGAGCGGCAATGATTTTGGAAGGCTTGTCTTTAGACCATCTCTGGCCTTCCAAGTCCTTCTGACTGGCAATGAACATGCTACTGTGCTTCATGTGTGGATCTCTAGCTCGTAACCTATTAAAGTTATCCCGAATTGTGTCTCGGTCTGCTACGGTCATTTCTTCTTCGATATCCAGAATAAGTGGTTCATGCTGGTAGTCCCAAGTTGCCAAGAGATGCATAACTCGCGCAAACCCACTCATGATGCTACCTGGTGCCTGCCAAGGCTGAGCTTCCAAGAACACATACACGCACAATAACTCGATGAATTCATCCGTAACGTGAGGTGATAAAAGATGTGCACTAAACCATCTCTTGGCGATTCGCATAGTGAAGCTGAGTGCAGCAAATCTAGAGCAGAGTGCTTTCATGCTAAATGTATGCGCCTGTTGATGATGGAAGTAATGGAAATATTTATCCAGTGCTTCTTGAGCAAGATCCTTGTTCAACTTGGATTCCTTCTTGTTATCTTTGATGGCCTTGAGTAAACCGATTTCCTTATCAAGTTGGATTCGGCAACGGAACACATAACCTGGTGAATACTGCACATCGAGATATCCTCGAATAGCAAAGGGGTTCTTTTCAAGAATCTCTTCCACAACTTGAGCTTCAACTTGCGCATTTTCCTTCAGTTGTTCAGCTACCTTGAGCAAGAATGCTTGCTTTACATTTTGGATGGCACCGAGATCATCTGGCCATTTTCCAGAGATTTCAAATTGTAGAACAACATCGATTGGTTCGATATATCTGGCTGTAGTCGGGTAAAGGCCAATATTATCGAAGTCATGGGGCTGTGGTAAAAAGACGGTGGAGAAGCGGAGCATCGGACTTGCGGGATGGATATTCGCAATCATGAGAGGAAGTCCATCATCGAGAGCACGAAGCTGTTTAGACAAATTATCGAATGCGGTCATGGCCGGTTGGAACCCAACATTTCTGATTTCTGGATTGAAAAACTTTTCGGGTACAGCCTTGGCATGGTTGATGAAAGCATACAGTTGTCCAGCTGAGTACTCCACATTGTTCGTGATACCAAAGTGGTGTCGTAAAAGATGTGCCACCATACGCTGAACGATTAACGTACGGTCTTCAGCTCCACTGCATTCGAAGACAACACTTTCTCTGATACTACCGTCTTTGAAGCGACGAAGTTCAGCCTTGTCACCCCAAAGCTTGCGGAAGCGATCGCCAGCATCCTTCTCCTCAGGAGAGGGACCAAGTTCCAGCAATCGGCTAGCGTTTTCAGGTAGTAGCATGAAACCAGCTTGAATGGTGTCCAAATCACTAGTTGATAGCTTTTCATCCAAATTCCAAGGTTGGATGGTATTTGCTGTCACAGACAGGATGGAAACGCGATCTGTCAAAGCCTCTTTCATAATGGAATAGAATTTCTTGGAGAAGAAGTCGGCTTTAAGAGGATAGTCGGCCTGTTCGATCTCTCCATAACTGGGGAACTTGGATGGCAACTGGATACGGGCAACATTATCGAACTGCACCTTCATATCATCCACTTGCGTCAAGAACAAAGCATCGAATTGATCTCCTTGGCTGTCGTTAAAGTACTTCATTGCCAAAATAGCTTCATGCTTGACTAGCTCCATAGTAGACCTTGAAATGTTTGCTGCCAAGTTAATCGTTCCTGAAGCATCAACTATTACGACTTCATAATTGTTGACAAAATTCTCAGCACTAAATCCTTCGACATCCGATTTGCCAATGAAAATGGGTGATTGGATGAAATCGTGTGTTGACAGGAAATCTATGGTTCCACGCAAAAGTTGGTAGGAACTGAATCCATGGGCAAGCTTTTTACCTCCGTTAGTGCCTCCGCCTTGCAACAAGTAACACATAATCATACTGAAGATGAATGTGTTGAATCCACCTTTTCCTTGTTCAAAAGTAGCAAGACCTCTCTGATACAACCAAACGCGAGCGAGCTTGATGGCTTCTTTGAGAGCAGTGCTTCGCTTTTCGTGCTGGTACATGAATGCCAAACTCGATGTATAAGAGGTATCTTGAAGCAATGCTGCGTTATACTGAGGTGTAGGTGCAAGGGAATCTACTGGAGTGTCATTCTTGGGACGAACATTGTTGCGACCAGGCCCAAGACGAATAACAGGAAACACGTTGGATGCAACGCAAGGAATGACTCGAATGACGCACTTTGATTTCGTGAAGTCCACGTCGGATTTATCTATAGCTGATATGTTAGAAAGCTTTGCACTACTGCCAAATTATATGATATGTTTACTAACCTCCACTGGCCCGCAAAACCAGAATTGGTCTTCTGATGTCGCCATTGAAAAGTGAAAATTCAGTTTTGACCTTCAGTCCCTTCTTCTTGTCGTTGATGAGGCTGGCCAATACAGACAGATAGTAAGCTCGCTTGTAAAAGTATCTGTAGTTCATGTGATCCTTTTCTTGGAAGAGGGACTAGAGTATGATTTACGGGTTAATGATCAATGCATTGGGGAACAACAAGAAGGCAATGTTAGCTATACTCACAGAGGGCATTTCGACAGCAACATCAACATTGAAGGGCTTTCGTGCACGTGAAATGGATTTGAGGGCATAACTACCAACCAAATGCATACCGGCAGGCTTCTTGTATGCAAATTTATATTGAGCATCAGATGGTGGTCCAGGTTGAGGGAAGGGAATAGTAATATTATGCTTTTCCTTCATGATTTTTTCCACCTGTAGAACCTGTTGGTTTCCGAAACTGTAAGAATGTTTGCAATATAGTACACAGTGTTCATGCCATGAACACTTACTGTGGCATCATTGATATCCTGGCTCTGGTCGAACAAAGCCTTCATTCGATGCAAGACTAATTCGAGCGCATTCATTTTCTTGTAATCAATGTCAACCTCCTTCAGCAACTCATCAATCTAGTTATGTGTGTTAGTTATACAGCTCATTCGAGCGATATGTCGACCAGTGTGTGTACACTCACCTCCATCTTGAAGATGTTGGATTTGAACAGATCAGAAGTTTCTTTCAATCCTTGCATCTCTTGATTTGTGGGAGGCTGATAAAGCTCGGATACATATTGATTCTTTTTGGACTTCTTTCCAGAAGCTTTTCCGTTGATACCATTGTCCTCTTCCTCTTCTTCTTCCTCCTCTTCTTCCTCCTCGTCATCGTCATCATCACTGTCATCGTCTTCTTCATCGTCAACCATGTCATCGTACTTTCCAGACGCAGCAGCAGACATCAAATCTTCAGCGTCGTCGTCGATAAAGTCGTCAGCATTGTCGCTCGAATCTTCGAAAGTTTCAACCTTAGACTTGGATTCGAGCTTCGCAACCTAGTGTCAAGAGTTTAAGAGTGAGAATTGTTACTGAGTGTTTGTTCCAATGTCTTAAAAGACTTGCCTTTTTGCCAGGTTTCTGTAGCGTGTTATTCACAGCTTTTCTCTTCGCAGTAGCCACCATGTGAGTTGAATGAAAGCTGATCTCAGTCCGAGAACGAAGGGTTTTTCTCAATTCAGACAGAGCAGAGCAAAAAAAATTGTGACTTGTTTTTTTGAGGTTAATCTGTTGCAAAGATTACATGCTTAAAATTTGTTGTATTTGCTTCAGACTTTAACGTTTCTCGCAATGCTCGAATAATCTTGCTTATACTCTAAGTATATAAGCCTTGTTCTGCTATAAAATGAGTTTATTGAGTGCGTAAAAGTCCTCGTTCATCTATTCTCATCAATGTCTATTTATACGAGTTCGAAAGTCACGGGACTTTCGAGCCCTTACACAAATTTCGATTGTAAATTTAACATTGAAAAGAATGTGACCGGTTCACAAGTGTGACTTTGGATAGTGGCGACCCTTCTGGTGTCCGCAACCGTGTATATTACGAAGCCAAGAATGTCGACTGTTTGGCAGGTCAGCAAAGATCTTCAAAAGGCGATCCTCGATTGTTCAGAGAGATGCTTGTATATATCAATGAAATGGTAGGGCAGTTCAACTCATCGGCTTGCATTCGCCAGTGTCTCCAGCTAACATTCACCTCAGGGCAGCGGAATTACTTGATGGCATAGATTACGATAAACTCGAAGCAAGTAAAGATAGCAGCGACAATAATCAGCGTTACGAAGACTGTCGGCTTTTAGACTCTTCACTGACTGAATTGGAGAACAACAAATACCTATACGCTCGAGCCCTGTTCGAAGTACGACAGTTTGATAATGCGGCCTTTGTCCTAGCTCAGTTTACGGCACCAAAACTCAGATTTTTGAGACTGTATGCCAAATATCTTGTAAGTCAAATATTGGCATAGAACTTTGTGAAATGGAGCTGATGCCATAGCAAACCATTTAGGCTGGAGAAAAACGCAAAGAGGAACAGAGCCAAGATATAATGGGTTGGTACTTGACGATACAGAGAGTCTGTCCGTGCCATTGCTGACTCGTACACAACAGGACCTATGGATGATTCCTCAGCAGATAATACAGAGCTAACAGCTATATTTGACGAACTCGATCCGCTATATGAAAATAGAGAGTTGGATGCGTTTTGTTTATACTTGTAAGTAGCGACAGAATATTTGCCTTAGACTTTTTACAAGATATGAACGCCATGCTGAAATTTCTGCAGATATGGTGTGGTACTGAGGAAAAGAAAGGCGAACCAAAAAGCTACAGAAGTACTGTTAGAATCAGTTAAAGAATACCCCTATTTCTGGAGCGCCTGGATGGAGTTGGCAACCATGGTAGATACCCGAAAAATGGTATAACGAATGATATCGCTTGAAGAACCAACAGTGTAACACGCGTTTAATGACATTAGCGTTTTAGTTTCAAGACCTTCAAGCAGTACTTGATCAAACGTTTCCGAAACATATTATGAAAGACCTCTTTTTGGCGCATATGGCACTACAGCTACATCAACCTGCCGATCTCTTTCGATCACTTATGGAGCCCATATCTGCTTCTTTTCCACGTAGTACATATATAAAATCACAATGGGCAACGCTCAGATATGACTTACTGGGTAGGTCTTCTTTAGATATGAAAGGAAGTAAGACCAGCAATAACTAATCTGTTTACCAATTTGTAGAATATAATGAGGCGGAAGAACTATTTGATGAACTTCGGAATATGAATCCGTATCGTCTAGATGATATGGACATATTTTCTAATTTACTTTTCGTCAAGGATTCCAAAGAGAAATTGAGTGTTTTGGCTCATCAAAGTGAGCGGATTGACAAGTATCGGCCGGAAACATGTTGTATCATTGGTAAATATGCACAGCTTTAATTCGTACAGGGGCTCAAGGCACTGATTCCTTTTTAGCCAATTATTACAGTGTAAAGTCGGAGATTGCAAAGTCAATTGAATACTTTAAGAAGGCCCTGAAACTCAATCGGAATTACCACTTGGCGTGGACCCTCCTGGGTCATGACTATATGGAAATGAAAAATAGTAATGCTGCGATAGAATGTTACAGAAGAGCCATAAGTAAGAACTGCTTTTTATTGGAATTGCTCAAGAAAGAAAAGCTCACCTTGCCACACATAGACCTTAATCATAAAGACTTCCGTGCGTGGTATGGATTGGGACAAACATATGAAATTCTCAAGTTACCCTATTACGCAATTTACTACTATGAAAAATCTGCTGAATTACGGTAAGATGCCGATCCACTACACGGCCAGATTGCATTAGGGCTTCGGTACTAAAACATATATTGGTCAGACCGCACGATCCTCGCATGTGGGTTGCGCTTGGAAATTGCTTTGAATCATTAGACCGAGATAATCAAGCAAGGGATTGTTATAAACGAGCATCACTGTGCGAAAACGCTGACAAAGAGACAGCTTGGCTTAGACTAGCGCGAGTGTTTCAAAAAACTGGAAATTTGGATGCGGCAGCAACATATTATAAGCAAGTGTTGGAGCTGGACGAACAAGATAGGGTATGTCCCAGGGCTGATTTAATCTTGCTTTAATGAGGTGGGCTATGCTAACGAGGCTCAATCCCTGCAGCATCTAAATGAGAGTGAAGAAATTGGAGATGCGTTGCTTTTCCTTGCGAAATATGAAATGAATCGATTCCGGTATCGAGAAGCAAGCGACTACGCCAAGATTGCAGCCGATTTTCCTTATCCTGTAAGTGGGCGATCAATTTTAATTAGAATGAGAATTGAATTGAATTCAATTAACGTTTGCGTGAACAGTACAATGAGGAGGCCAAGGCACTTTTGGAAGAATTAAGAGCTCGAGGTAGGGCAAGTAATGGTTAATAATAAAATAAAACTTGTTACACACTGGCGTTGACCATGTTGGATGGCTTTTGATTGGGAGTACTGGACCCAATCCAATCCTATCCCCGATCACCAGAGAATCATTTTTATTGGCCATTTTCTGCCTTTGAACCGTCTTTCCAGATCTACTTGCATTCTACAAAAGTTCCTTTCTGTTTGAACCCCTCCCGTTCATTTTATCTCCATGTCAAGAGTGAGATCACCTCCAATATCTCCATCGACTGAGGATCCGGATCAGCACAGTCAATACTCTAGAACATACTCCACTTCATCATCATCACGAAACACTCATCATTCGAGATCACAATCCTTGGCGTCCTCCAATGGTAGACACAACAGCAGCTCAGTAAACTTGGAAGCCTCTGCACGTGTATTTTACCATGAGATAAAGGCTTACATTGCCTCCCTTTTGGCAAGAGGTATGTATCAATAATGATCCAATCATGGATAGAATAATGCAGTTCCTTGCACGCATTCGCCTCCTTTGTTCAAAGACATATGATTGCTCGGAGACGATGGAACGTGCGAAGAGTGACTACAGGCAAAGCATTATCCCCTATATACATTACATTATGAAATTTAGCAATGATTGGACGCAAACATATTTATTGTGCTAATATATTTATTCCTTATGCAGAGGCCGCAGAGGGAGTTAGCCCCCAAAGAGCTGGAGCGAGAGGCAAACTGACGAAATTATCCAACCAGCAATTTCATGAATTATCAATGGATGTTTATGACGAATTGATGCGTAGGAATGCGGATGACAGAATGTGTATGTATCTTTCGACAAAGTGTAGCTTGATGTTGGTCAATTGCTTGACATCTCTGTTTGCTCTCCTTAGTTCCCTTTTTACCTGTACGAGACGATTTCCATCCTAAGCGCAACCAAGCCCGCCAAAAATTGGCAACCCTTCCGAAAACTAGATTCAAAGATTTGGCAAGCGATGTGTTTTACGAAATAGATCACCGTTACCCGCATTTTCAAGACGAGGAGGTATGCAATTGCTATCTTCTGAATTGAATTACGATTTCATTATTCCTGAATGCATGATTCCTTAATTACTAGGCCGATGCAAGACCTCCATTACCCCCTATCCCACCTACTGCAAATGGGCATATGTCAAAAAATATATCAAACGCCATGGCTCAACCAAGTCAGTCAACGAACATTGTTCCGGTTATGGGCACTATGAACATCGAAGTCGTCGATGTCGGTTACAAGTATCAAGGCAATAGCCCTGCTAATTCGCCATACAACTCACCAAAACCCCAATATGCACGTAACGACAACGACATGAACTCATCGCCTGGTTCGCTCTCATCGCGAGGAGAATCTTTTTCGTCAAAAGATGGCAGATTGAACGGAATGTCAAACGGCGCTTCTGCGCCAAATAGCAGAAGTCCTGCTCCAACAAAGTGGGATAGTCCTCCCATGCCCAAGGCTCCCGTTGCTACATCTACCAATAACAACAATGGCGAATCCAACAACTTCCAGTCTTTAGATAGTCTTATGGCTGACCTTGGAAATATGGTGACTAAGGACCAAACAAAGCCCCCTTCTCAACGGGATGATATGGTGCGTATGAATCTACTTCGATCTTTGTAGTTCGGACGAACGAAATGAAGGAATATTAAATTGCTCTCATTATTAGAGCGTCAAGTCGGATTCAACCCGAAACTTTGATGCGCAAATGGACCAATTGAAAACAGATTATGAGTATAAGCTAAATGCTATGCGACAGCGTATAAAGGATCTTGAAATTGAAGCTACGGTACGTGTACAGAACATTTTGTAGAGCTCCATGGGGATATCTTATTGAGATTGTGACTTATTTCTTATATAGGAACGTGAAGAAACGCATAAAAAGGAACTGAAAGTAGCAAGAGAGAAAGAAGCTCCAAAGGTAGGTCAATGGGAGCCTATCCAGGAGTTAATACATCTAGGGATTTTGTTTAGTGACCTAGTATTTTTTCAGGAGCGCAATTCGCAATTCGGCCATCTTCAGGAACAATATGATGAGCTTGAAGATAAATACAAGCAGATGGAGGAGGATTATCAGCATCAACAGGAGGTAGGTCATTCCCAAAAGTTTTGAGATCTTTGACTGTCATGCAAGGTAGCCCTGTCAACTAACTGTCTTTGATTCAACTAATACAGGTCGTTAACGACGTCCGCCGAGAAGTGACCAATTTGTTAGAGGAACTCAAGGATTTGAGCCGGAAAAATGATGAAATGACCATAGAGAAAGAGCAGGCTCTGGATAAACTCTCTGCGGTTGAAAAAGAAGTAAGCATGCACTTCGATCGCCGATGAACGCGTGCCCCTTTGACCCTAATGCTTATCCTATTTTGTGTCCTCTCCCGGTAGTCAAAAGAATGGCAACGAAAGTTCGAAAAAGCAAAGACAGAATTGCGCAATTTGAAAGGTAGGAAGCAGTCAGAGTCGAAAAATGAAGCATGATCGTCGGTATTAACTTTTCTTGCATTTTAGCCACCTCATCCTTTGTACGTCAACCGCCGAAGTTAGAGGTTCTTGGAGACGATTTGTTGCGACCAACTGAAGATGGTGCTATTAGCCAGGATAATGTCATCAACTATCAAGTTGCTGTAGATGATCTTCTCAGAAGTGGCAGGTGAGCTAAACGATTTGATAGCGTCCGCGTTATTGAGCAAAGAAACTATTGGAGATTAATCTTTCGATATTAGATCTGAAAAGCCATCCAGCGTACTGATAGCTATGAAGGCGGTGGTAGTTTCTTGTAAAGCTATCACTGAGGATGTAGAGACATATGAAAACGACGAGACCAAAGATATCGACGCTGACAAGAAGGACCGTCTCTATGCTATGAAATCACAATTCTCTAAGGGATTGAGCAACCTGATGGCAGCAGCAAAGACTCATGCGAACGGCATGGGAATCAGCCCTGTCAGCCTTTTGGATGCCGCTGCTACTCATCTGACGTCCACCGTCGTAGAGCTGATTAAACTGTTTGGTATGCGCAATGGAACAGGATCTGATCGCGATAGTGTTCAACCTGAGGAAAGTGCTAAACAAGCTAGCTCACCGCCTGGTAGCATTCTACGAAAGACCGAGCCGTATAATAGCTACAAGCCTGTTAACTCTAGGCAAGAAAACGGAGATCTTCCCCGTGGTCTTCACCCTGATGATCTAGCTGTAAGTGTCATCTTCACTGGTCAATGTGATTGAGAACGTTACTAACTCTTCTGTCGTTGATAGGCATATTTGAAGCGTCAAACAGACCAGGTAGTCCAGACTATTCAACAACTATTGGCAGCCTTGCGCACGCCATCTCGATGTGAAGAAGTCGCTCCTATCATTACCAGCATTGTGAATATTGTGGGCAACGTTTCGACCGTGTGCAAGTCCTCTTTCAACACTCCCGCTGGATCCCAATTCAGGAAGGACGGCGAAGTGATTTTGCAGGATTTGCAAAGCACACGTAGCAAACTTGTGTCTTTGAGAGACGGTCATTTTACGAAGAACCCATTGGATGCTCCAGCAAATGCAAAGAAAGATTTGGCGAAGGAGTCGTACGAAGTGGCAAAGTTCACCCGAGAGCTTTTGGGCATTTTGTAACGTCCATTCATCTTATTTACATAGCTCTCTATACACTGCGCGTCTTCAACGTGTATAAAGCCTGAATTGTATCATATATTTCTTACTCATATACATACTGGTTATCACTGGAAAGCAGAATGACAAATGTTTCGTTTTCGGTATGGTGGGGTGTGCTGGAATTAATGAATGGTGACCGAAAAAAAGCAGTCAAAACCGCGGTCAAAAATGTACAGCTAACCTGTACGTTGGGTTACTCAAGGTTATGGAACCATACGAAGATCAAGTGCCCGAAGGCGATCTGGCGGAAGAAGAATACTATGACGAAGAAGAATATGATGAATATGAAGATTACGATGCGCCCCAGGTTGGAGATGCCATCATGATTGCAGGAGAGGTACGAAGCGAACTGTAGAGGAACATTCCAGTGCTGTATCCAACTAAATAGTCATTGATCTTGATCTGTCCATACAGGACGGCGATGCTTGGGACGATACAGCTCTGATAGAAGCTTGGGATGAAGCTGTCAAAGAATACCAGACGTATCACAGTACCACCGCCGCAGATGATCCACCCTTCAGCAAAAAGGCGGCGACAAAACCTGCCAAAGTAGTAGCAACACCACAGCAACAAACTTTGTAAGTCATTTTTCCCGACAGATAAATATGTCACGACACAAAGTTTATGGAGGAGCTAACTCGTTTGTATTCCATAGCAAAAAAAGACCCGCGCCTATACCATCAGATTCACAGGTACAAGCATCGACACGCGAAACCCCGAGCCATCAAGTGTCACTAACATTTCGCTTTGCTATTTATCTAGATGAACCCCTCAGCACACAGCAACCACGCCAAACGCGTTAAAAAAACACCATCACAGTCAACTTCTGCATTAGACCAAGAAAGTCGATCAAGTACGCGCAACGATACAACACCAGTTCGAACGGATGAAGGGGAAGCAGACGCCAATGCGTCTGGGTACCAGTATCCAAACTATTGGCCACAACAACCTTATGACAGTAACGCAAGTTCGGCACCACCACCGCCCCCAATGTCACATCCGAGCACCAATGCGCCAGGCGAAGATGAAGCACTTTCCAATCTGATGATGGCATGGTACTATAGCGGATATTATACTGGATACTACCAAGCTATGAGAAAACGATGATAATCATTTTAGATCATGTACTATAAAATTTTAGTTCCCAGTAAACATAATCCTCATTCATACCGATTCATGGGACTGTGTTCTTAGAATACAAGAAGGTAAAATTCCCGTTGAGTTACAAACATGTAGAAGACGTGTGAATGTACAACAATGCTGGATCAGTGTCCACGCAATTAAGTTTCAAACTAAAACTCACGACTGTAGTTCACGGCATGATTATGATGCTGCCACACTCGTATGAAAGTGCCAGCTGATAGTTTCTTTATCTATGACATCTACTGGATAAAGAGAAATATGTACAATGGAGGTCTATTCTCCGCGAATGGAGCTAGAACTACTGAAAATTTTCACACACTTAAAAAAAATTAGAAAATAAACGAAAACTACATAGATTTCAGTAATTTGCATCCAAGTCAGATACGATTCATAGGATGTCTTGCTCGATCGAACATCGGTGCAAAGTTCGTTGGTTTAGAGAGTATGCAATTGATGTGCATAGAATTGTGTCACAATTGCAATTGCCATCTTGGTTGCAGTCGTCTTATCACTACTAAGAGTATCACTCTTGTCAAATAAATTGGCCGCTTGTTGAGCAGCACATGCTTGTAAGTCGCGCTGAATAGATTCTGAATGCTCGATTATTACCGAAGGATTCATGTTGGCTATATCCAACTTCCATTGAGTCAGAGCAAAATGCGCGGCAGCCATGGCTATGGTCCTGTTGCTAATGTAATCCAGGGAACACAAGATATCAGTGATAACTGCATTCAGCTAAAAATTCCCCCAAAAATATTTACCTTAAGTGTGGGTCATTTTCCAAATATGCTCGGTGGTGGCACTCTTTCAAAGCTTCCATAGACATATCCGAGGAATGACTGCCAATAGATGACTGAGAACATCTCCTACATTCACTCATATCGTTATCCGCAAGATCTGGGTATTTTATGCAACCCCTTTGAGAAGTTGAGTCAAGTATTGCGGTATCCGTATCAGCGTCAATAAATTCCCATTGCTGGTTGACGTTGTCAAATGTTTTGACTGGATACAACACCAACTTAGCACCGTCCTCCGAACCCACTGCATGGATATCAAGGTCAATGACCCATTCCTCGTTGCTGAGAGAGTAAATGAAGTAACCAGATTGTTCCCTGTTATATTCGTCCATGGCAGTTCGAACCGCCCATTGTTGGTTTATAGCATCTTCTTGCGGCTTGGCATGGTATAAGCATATTTCTGTATCTTCAATCAATCGCAATCGCCCTGAAAACAGTTCAAGAACAATCAGTACCAAGGAAAAGAAAGGTTATAACCCATTCATTTTACATGCACCATACCTTTTCTTATATCCAGAACAAGGCCAGTTTTCTTGTTTTCCAGAAAGCTGCCTTTCCATCGCCAGTACTCAGCATCGACATGGTGAGGGGTTGGATAAACATAAACCTGCGAACGAAGGAAGTCGCTGGATCGAGATCGATGGCAGGAAATGATACTGCCATCCATAACGGATTTTATCATAAACCATCGTTTAGTTGGAGTCATAATTGACTGTATTAGTCTAGTGAAGTAGATGTAGAAGAGAAAGATGTGGTTTGCGGCCCATGACCCCGCAATTCTATGATCATTGATTCACGGAGTCCCAAACTTAAAAGCTAAATGGCGGAAGCTCAAAGATGATCACTTTGTCCAACTCTCACACGCTGCTTTCGATTGTGAGCTTGTTTCGTTGTTCATTTCACGAGTTCAATATTTGTATCCACTCCATACATATAAAAGGGCTCTTTTTAAAAAAAACTCTTACAACAACATACAGCAGCAGTACAATGTGGGCCTAATTGAACTGCAAACTCCGTCAAACCAACATCATCAGTTTCACCAAAGTTAGATCAAAGCAATGAACCGTCAAAATACTTGTCTCGGAAAAAATAAATCCGATTGGTAGTCTGCCATATCAACGCACGATGTAGTCATTGCAACACCATTGGTTTTATCTTATTCGACAGATTACTGAGCAGAACTGGGGCTGAGTCCTTTATGGGAAGCAAACCAGTTCACATTGTTTTACACAAGGTGCTCTGCACTGCATGTATTCTGAGTAATATGTCCTTACGTTATATGAAATCATATCTAAAAATGACTAAGAATATCTTCAGCCTTGCTAATGAAGGAGTGAGGGATATGAGTGGACAGGTTGCGGCAATACCTGTGACGTTACTTGCATCATGGAAATTTTGGGGGGAAGTCCATCGACAAACTTCTGACCTGCCAATTCTTTCCTTTTACCTTCCCAACCAACCTTGTCATCAAATGGAACAAAAAGACTCTGTTGATCAGCCAGCGACATGCGTAGGCGGATGCGGTTTTTACGGTAACAAGATATACAACGGAATGTGTTCGAAATGCTTTAAAGAATCTCAAGCGCAGCTTAAGAAAGGCAAGTTGTTACATCGCATAGATGAAAGCCACTGTTAGATCAAGCAGCTCAGCATTGAGTGCCTATGATACATCAGATATCGAAGACTTCTTGTACCTCACTATTGTCTCAATGCTGACATGATAATCTCTTTAGATGAGAATACCCCATCGCCTGTTGTAGCGGTTGCCGAGTCTAGCTCCACTACTGCACATAGCCCAGCAGCAAGTGCAACCACAACAGAAGAAGCACAGCACGAAAAGTCCGTGGATACCAAATTACCTTCCACTTATATATTACCAACCTCTCCACGACCAGAAACGATACGAGATACTCCTATTGAATCATCCTCAACGCCTCCACCAGCTGTCAGCAGTCCACACCGCCAAACATCCCCGGGTCAATTTGAGCCCCAAAGTTCTTCTGCACCGATATCAGCGGCTTCAACACCTACCTCAGATGCATCTCCATCAAACAATGAAAAACCTGTTCAATTGAACAAGGGACGCTGCTTTAGTTGCAGAGTAAAGGTAATTTTTTAGCTTCTTATAAAAACGAGCTTTGTAGCAGACCTAACCAACCCCCTATAGATACCACTGGCCAAACAAACTGTAAACAAATGCCGATGCAACTACACATTCTGCGATTCACATCGCTACCCTGACCGACACGACTGCGACTTTGATTATGCAAAACTTGGGCGAGGTATGGAAATTTTGTTTTAGGCATAAGCGCTGTTTGGTTTCACCTTTTTCTGACCCACATCTCTAGATTTATTGGCGAAGAACAATCCAAAGCTCAATCAGCGACCGAAAGGAGGCAGAACATTTCAGAGAATCGATAGCCTGTGAATCCTGCAGGCAGGACCTCATCTTTTTTCTTTCTCGTTTCCTATCATTGGCTTCCCCAGCGTATTGCCGATATTCGCATAATAAAGGCATACCCCCTACCAACTTTTTCTTCCAAAAACCCAGAACACAGTTGAATTACAGTATATGAACCCATTTATATGAACCAATTCACTTTACACTCTATCCACATGTTTATTCATAACATATGATGTCCACCAACTTGCTTGAAATGTGAGGTCCCTTATGACAGCATGAGGTGAAGTATAGCTTGAGCTGCTGCTTAGTTCACCTTCAGTTGAAACCATCTTTTGGCGATTTTCGCGTGACCAATTCTGTCTGGTACCTATCAACCGATGAAAATTATAGTGCGTTGAAATACCTTGAAACAGACCACACAGCTGATGGCCAACAGATGTCTGAGATTTGGCAGGTGTCTTAATATTCGTCATATCGGTCGATATGCCATCCTTGGAGTCTCCTGTGAGACGTCAACGGTTAAATGTTCCGTACTTCAGAAATATCCAGTGTGTTAAACCGAAATGTAGACGTAGCCTGGAACAAACGAAAATAAGTAACTGTTGGATAGTTTGGTCTAATAGCGCATTTTACACCAAGGCGGTCCGTTTGTTGCCTAGGCTCGAATCTAGCCTATCATGAATATGTATTTCCAATATGCTTCATGACGTTGATCCATATACCGTAGAGCTGCCCCCCTAGTGCCCTGGTTTAATAATACAAGCAACTGAAAAGATGCTCTGGGCAGGGAACCTGTTACTATGATTTTATTCACAGATCTTTGTTTCGATGAAATCTAAGCTTGTGTGATAGTGCCACGATCGAATGTTTGGGAGGGAGAGCAAATCGCTCTGGGTTTTTTTAAATCCGCAATGTATGGCTGATATCATCGTCCACATGGTACTGTTTTTCTCTCCCCAATCAGTAAAGCAAAAGTAGAAGAGCTTTATATTTTGTATGCACAGCACAAGCGATATGCAATGCGTTTACGCCACTAGCGGTTGATGAACAGTGTTAACGAGCCTATCAACAGCATCACATATTCATTGTTGCGCGGTAATAGCTTTCAGTAACGTACGCAGACACATCCGGGGCAAGGATTTCAAATTCCGATCCATGCATCTCAGCCTTACTTTTACCAATATTGGGGTTATACCAGACCTTCTCTTTCTCTTTCTTTTCTACTACCAACCCGATGTTGCAAAGTATTGATTGGAACGATAAATCGATCAAAGCGGTTTCAATTACCGCCGCTACTGCGTTGTCTACTTACGTTCTTTACTCTGTACTTTGGCCCAAAAACCCGTTCGCTGACCTCCCAAAAACCAAATACAGCTCTGTTCGCTCATTCACTTACGACCCAGCTAAGCGAGATGTAGATATAGAAGAGGAATATCCAAAATTCGAGAGAAGCTCCTATATTGGAAAGCCATCTATTGTTGTCAACGATATCGACCTTTCACACCATGTCCTTGCACGTCAAGATCGGTACAAACAGGGGCATTTGTTTGGTCGTTCGTTGATGTTTTCTTACACCCATCAACTTTTGTTCGGAGGTAGTACATCAGTTGCATTGCTTACTTTATGGTGTTGCTTAAGTCCGGTTACTCATGAGTTTTTCTTTTATTACACTCATCTGACGTAGGCGTCAATATCGCGAACTCAAACGGCCACGACTGGAAAATCCGACGAGACGTACTGGTACCTCTCTTTCAAGGTCGTGTCATGGTTCCCGACCTTTTGCCTTTCATCGTACGCCGATCTCAACAATTAGTAGAGGAAATTAAAACTCACAAAGGCAAACCAATTGACATTGACGAACGTTACGCCACACTCACAGCAGATGTGATTTGTGAATATCTTTTCGCACAAAGTCCAGGACCAGGCGAGGTCAAATTCGATAATTTTATCAACCCTGCCCAAGCTTTAGCACAGCTCAAGCTGGCGAATTTATATGCAATGTTTGGATTTAAATCATCTGCGACCCGTGAAATCGAACAAAACTGTGCATTTATTCGAAAAATGATTCACAAAATAAAGCGTGGAGAGAAACTACGCGAGAATGGACCCCTTACCTTAGCTGAAAAGCTGCTGCAATTCGAACAATATCAAGGACCCGAAGGAGAAGAGCGCCTCATATTGGAGTTGCTTATTGTGTTCTTTGCTGGTCATGACACCACTGCTCACTCTATGACGATGCTTACCTATACACTGGCGAAAGAACCAGAATGCCAAAAAAAGATTCGAGAGGAAGCAAACGAACTCATACCTGATGATGACAGCCTGACTGCCGCCAACCTAGGCAAGCTGAAATATACATCTGCCGCTATAAAAGAGAACCTCAGGTTACACCCTGTTATTCCTGAGGTGGCGATAGAATGCCATGAAGACAACACATTGGGTCAATGCCATATCCCTGCTGGGTCTACAGTGTAAGCAAGTTTTTATATGCCACCCTTTCGCTTATTTGTACCGCGTAACTCACACTCAAGTGCCCTATAGAATATTGCCAGTAGTGCGTTTGCACAGAGATCCCACCGTTTTCAAGAAACCGCTTTCATTTGAACCGGAAAGATGGCTTCAAGAAGACCTTGATCTTCATTCTGATTTGGAAGCAGTTGGTAGCGGTAAATCCCAGCTTAGCAAGGCATTTTTCACATTCTCTCAGGGTACACACAGTTGCCTGGGCATGAATTTAGCCTATCTTGAGCTTCGTGTGGTGACTGCTCTACTCGCACAGAACTTTGACATACAATACCACGGACCTGTACCAGAAATATGTAATGCTCTATTAAGACTGACCGAGGTTCCTCTCATGGAATTCCATGAACTTAAGAGAGATTAGATTGCAAGTTAATGCTATATAGTTAAATTATGAATAAAATGAGATATGTACTACTTCTATTGTTTGATGGTAAGGCTCTGCAGTGTCTTATTTCTGAAGTTAATGACTGAGTGTACCATCAAGTTACTATGAATAGAAAAACAATTGGTATTGAGTTCATTGACATTTTTTGGCTCTAATTCTGATTTCTATGGAATCTTCTAAACGGCCATTATCGCTTCCATGGCTATCTAACTGTTAAGATTATTAGATGCACCATATGCAAAGTTGCCGCCGTAAGATCCATACAGTCGCAGGGCCCTAGTGCATTTGTTGCCAACGTCTTCCGTTATACTGCAAGTTTTTGGTGTAACAGGCTAGAAGGTTAAAAGGCAGTGAAGGAAATGTGAGACAAAATACCAAAAAAAAAAAATTACCCTGCCAAATGCTGACTTAGTCTTCCTCATGCTGGCCGGATCCCATTCAAATGAGCCTTTCATCAAGGCCGCTTCCATAACTGTTGCCACCCTTCTGTCGGGGTACGCTCTGTATCGCCTTCTAGCTCCCAAAAGCACTTTTGACCACTTGCCAAATTCGACGTTTGTTGCGCCGCATTCCTATATATATGACCACAAGCAACGCGAGCAAGACATCTACGAGGAATATCCGCCGTTTGAGACAGTCATGATTGCAGGATCAAAGGCGTTACTTGTTAATGATCCCGAGTACGCCCATCAGGCACTACTACGACAGGATAGATATAAGCCGGGACATCTCTATGGACGGTCGCCACTCATTTCATCTTTCCATAGTGTTTTGATCGGAGGTAGTTAAGGAAGAAGAACAGAAAAAGAGACAGTCTCTAAGAGAAAAGTTACTAAATGACGGATTTATCCTTTAGGTGCTAATATTGCAAACGCTGCCGGAGAAGACTGGAAGCACCGAAGAGATGTGCTTGTGCCTCATTTTCAAGGTCGCGTTCTGATCCCGGAACTTTTCCCTTTCATTTTGAGATCTACAATAGACTTGGTTGAGGAAATAAGAACTCATGACGGTAAAGCAATTGACATGGATGAACGATTTGTGACACTGACAGCCGATATCATATGTGAATATATTTTTGGTGGAGTTCCTGATGATGGCCATCTCGTATTTGATAACTTCAGTAGGCCAGCGGCTGCCATTGCCACCATCAAATTGAAGCATATTCTAAAATTATTCGGCATCAAAGGGAAATCTTTGCTTGAAATCGAACGAAATTCAGAGATCATTCGCGGTGTTATCCGTGGCGTGAAGCGCGGGGATCGCAAAAGACGTAATGGTTCACCTACGTTGGTAGAAGAAATGTTAAAGCTAGAAGAATTTCAAGGTCCTTCAGGAGAAGAACGTCTGGTGCACGAGCTACTCATTATGATCATGGCAGGACACGATACCACCGCTCATTCTCTCACTATGATCGTCTATGTCCTCGCCCTCCATCCCGAGTGCCAACAAAAGATCAGAGAAGAAGTGAATGCCATCATTTTTGACGATCAGGGTATTACTGCCAGTGACATGGGGAAATTGAAATACACGTCTGCCGCTATTAGAGAGAGTATGCGTTTGCATCCAGTCCTCTCTTCTCTTTTATTACATGCCTACGAGGATACTTCTCTCGGTAATATTCAAATTCCAAAGGGATCAACTATGTAAGTGATTTGAAGCCGTATGTCTTGTAGTCGAACGTATCTAATCTAGACTGCTTTGCAGAGAGATTCCCCAAGTTCGCATTCAGAGGGATCCTGAAATATTCAAAAAGCCACTGGCCTTCAAGCCAGAACGCTGGTTACAGGAAGATTTAGAGCTTCAAGGAGATATCGAGAAGGTCCATGGTGGCAAATCTCAAATGGCCAATGCGTTCTTAGCCTTCTCTCAAGGAACCCATAGTTGCCTTGGTATGAACTTGGCTAATCTTGAGCTTCGTGTAGTCACAGCTCTCCTGGTCAAAAACTTTGATATTCGATATAATGGTCCTGTTCCCGAACAGAAAGGCTTCATCCTTAGAGCGAAGGATAGCCCCTTAATTGAAATGCATCCTCGTATGTCAGACTAAGCGCTACGTCCTACTTATTATCATAATTAAATATCAGTCGCTCGACACTTTAATCCGCGACGTTACTGGTTTAAAGTTATGGATAAGTTGTACTGCATATTATAATGATTGCAACATCCTCTATAGACTTGTCACACCTTTGATCGTACAAAGCAGATCGAAACGACTGGTTTCACCTCATGCGTAACAATGCTTTTATATAACTTTTTCTCAGACATTCACGAATGAGTGCCGATAACCGGAAGTCAAAGCACTGATATACTGTGGCCAACCTACGCCTTTGATCAGACTTTTTTGCGGCCAATGCGTTGCCATTTTGCCCATTGCTAAGGTTCTGTGTAACGTGCATGTACAAAGAGAAATGCACTATAGTTTGTTACATGGATCACGGAGGTACGACCAGAGTTCTTCGCTATGCTGAAAGACTTCGTGCAGCACGATAAAGCGATTCGGTTTGCGGCGGCATCCATTGCTGTAGCGGCTGCCTATATTGCCATATCAAGGGCAATGAGAAATCCGTTTCCAGGCGTTCCCAAGACAAATGCTAACCTTCTCGACATGCCGCTGTATGATCGCAAGAAGCGGGATGAAAAAGGTGAAATGTTACCGCCGTTGGAACAGTTGAACGCTTTGGGGACTACTCTGATTGTCGTCAATGACCCTAAGCTGGCTACCAGCGTACTGGTGGAAGGTCAGAACAAGTACCTATCGGGCCATAAAGTCGGGCGTTCACCCGTCATGGCAGATTTCCACTCCATGTTGATCGGAGGTGAGTGAAACACATTGTAATCGTAGGAAATGTGGATTTAGGTTGCTAATGATCGCTGCACGTATTGTCCTGCATACCTCATTAGGTGAAAATATTGGCAACGCAAGAGGAGAGGGCTGGAGGTGGCGTCGTGACGTGCTTGTTCCTCAATTTCAGCCGCGAAAGCTGGTTTCCCAGGTCCTGCCTTCAGTTATCCAAAAATCCAAGGACTTAATTGATCATGTCAAGGCGCATAATGGAAAACCAGTTGATATTGATAAATACTTTGTGGAATTAACGGGAAACGTTATTTGCGAGTATCTCTTTGGTGAAGTTCCTCAACCAGGGGAGGTCGTTTTTGATAATTTTCGAAGGACCGACGTGATTTTTCTGTCAGTCATGCTGCGGCCGATCTTTCAATTCTTTGGCTTGAAGGGACCCGGAGGGCGGGAAATCAACAACAATAGAAGATATGTTCAGCGCATGATGGATAAAATAAGAAATGGAAACGGTCAGCGGCCGGATGGATCCCTTCCGTTGATGGGGCAGCTCATGGGACTCAAGGTTTATCAGGGCAAACAAGGCGAAGAGCATCTCATCAACGACATGCTGCTTATGATTTTTGCTGGCCATGACACCACCGCTCATTCTTTAACCTATCTGGTCTATGGTCTCACACAGGAGCTCAGCGTGCAAAAAAAAATTCGAGAAGAGGTTACAGGACAATTGCCAGACCTTGATGCCGTCACGCCGTCCTCCCTTACAAAATTGACCTACACTTCGGCAGCCATCAAGGAAAATATGCGAATTCATCCACCTGTCACTGTTGCTATGCATGAAGCCTATGACGATGTAATGATTGACAAAACCTTGGTTCCCAAGGGCACTACCATGTAAGCCTATCTACCCAATTAAGCCGAACGCATGGGCCACCATCACAACCAATATAGCTAAAACACCCATTTTGAACATTTTGCATTGTTACAGAGTCATATCTACTGCACGCATCAATCAACATCCTGAAATATTCAAACAACCTATGGCATTTTTGCCGGAACGATGGTTAGACGAGGATGAAGATATGTTTAACGACCTCGACGCCAATGGCAAAGACAAAGGTCTGATGAACTCAACGTACTTGACATTTTCCAAAGGCACCCATCTGTGCCTGGGCATGAATCTTGCCTATCTTGAGATGCGCATCGTAATAGCCTATCTTGTCACACACTTTGATATCACTTATGATGGACCTATACCTAAGACAGTTGGCATGATCGTCGCTCCCGAAGATGAAATTCTATTCAATTTCCAGCCGATCAATGAATGAAACTATTAATTCACATACAGAGGACCACGAGCTTGCTTAGTCCATACATCCAACTTTTTTGCTTTAGTTTTTGCAGATATTGACTATATCTAGCACCAGTAAATTCACAGAATAAAGAATAAATGCTCGCTTCTAAGGAACAATGGTATTTTTTGGATTCAAATTACTGAGTTGAAACAATCGTACGATACAACAAGAGGGTAGAGACGGCTCAGGTAAGGCGGCACATGAATATACAACACAGTTTAATATGAGTTTTACATTGGTAAAGATTCAATAACATCACAGCCAACACTATTGCATTGCACACCAAGAACCCCCACCACTAATTGCACTTTTGATAGAACCGAGGGCGCTACGGACACTGGTTATAATGAAACTTGACTTTTGATCTTCACCGGGAGTGGACATGATCTGATGAAACCAACCGCAGGTGAACTTTCTGTTACCGCGGTCTTTTTCCAATTGCTCTACAGCGTTGTAGAGTTCCTGAAGATGTCGCTGAGCATAAGCATTGTACCTTATGCGCTGGGTGGTGAGAAAGACCATGGGAGGATCGAACGTTCGCTTGTCCAGTTTGAACACTCTTCGGAGTTCACTCACGAAACCCTCTACAATACAATCACAGTGAGTTGAAGGTTTCTCTGAGAGGGAAAAAAAAAAAAGAAAAAAATTTCAGGTCATAGAAGATGTTAATTACCGTTGGGATCTTCTAATACATCGATGTTATCTTCAAGGAGATCTCTGATATTCTCATCGACATGCGTAAACACCAGAATGACATATTTCCAGAATTCTCGGCCGAGCAGCTGCTCAAACAAGTTCAACATGTTTTGGGTATATGCGTCCAATCTATTTAAAAAGATGCGTCGGTTCAGAAAATTGAGAATTATGAAACAAATTTGATCGGCCCTCACTGGTCTTACCTGGTATCATTGATATTAAAAACCAGCAAAAATGCGCTAACACCGAACGAAAGACTTTTGAAGTAGCGAACGCATTCTTGCATGTTCTCTCGGTCGCGAACTGATGAATCGCACATACCGGGAGTATCGATGAACTGGCAGTACCGAGAGATAGGAGGGTTGGCCCAGGGTCGCAGGACTGATTCGACATGCTTCGTAATGGGCTAAGACGAAAAGGTCAGACATTGCTGTATTCAATACAGGGCTGGGCTGGGTGTGCTTACCTCTGCACCTCTTCCAGTTCGATAGATTTGTTCATCGCAAATGGCGTTGAGCAGACTGCTTTTGCCGTTGCCCATGGCACCGAGGCATGATAAAACTAAAGTTTTGGGATCGCTAGCATAAAATGTGTCATACGAAAGCTCGGTTGTGTTGGCTCTTCCTGCAAGCATTTCGTCTGTAAAGAAAAACGGAGCATTCGAGAAACTCCCAAGCCGCTGCTTTTCAAAAAGCTCACATCACAGCCTGTACCACCACCGTTGAAAGAGTCCCCCAAGCAAATTTTCTCCGGCAAATCCTTTAAACTTATGTTTAACGATGATAGGGAAGCTTGGCGAACCATTCCGTTTCGCGGTGTCATTTTCCATGGGACAATGCAACGAGCGAGCTTTCATAGACAAAGCTGAGGTTCAGCAGCCGTCAAAGTGAAAAAAGGCAAATATGCAACGCAATCATTTTTGCCAATTTTTCATTTCCCTGGACTTCCCTTTCATTTCCCATTACCTTGTTATTTGTTTTTCTTTGCAGTCTTGCTGCGCAATTGTCTGGAAGTCATCAGCGAAGAAACGTAATCGGAAGATGATGACAAAAAACCCCTCATGCAGAGCATTTCCTCTTGCAGAACGTGCAATCAATCCTGCTGCGCCGCGTATTCAACATATTGCAGTAACATTGGTCAGGGCCAAGACGTCAGGGTTGACCGGCGATAAGCTTAGTTGAGGTTGGGCATGCTTGGCGTCGTCATGAAGTGGAATAAAAATGGGGATTTATGGCCATCCGACGTCTTCATTTTATTAACATTACAATAGCTGTGTTGTTTGGAAATGAAATTACTCTAAACTTTGACCGATTTGGCGTTGGCTATAAACGCTTTGATTTTATCAAGATCCTTCACTCCATCGGTTTCTACTCCGCTGGACACATCGACAGCCCAGGGACTAACTGCCACCACAGCTTCGGCAACATTGTCAGGAGTCAATCCACCAGCAAGAAGAATAGGGAAGTTGTTGCTAGAAGGTGCCTCGACGACAGTTCGAGCAATGGACCAATCAAAGCTAATGCCTTGTCCACCTTGGTTTTCAGCACTAAGGTGAGGGACCTTGGCATCCAAAAGAGCAAGTGCATTGTAGCCAGGTTGAGTGATATTGGGTATTTGCATAGTGGAGAATGTATCCGAGTCAATGTGGAAGGCCTTGATGGTGGGTACAGGTAGGTAACGAGAGATATCAGGAGACTCGGTACCGTGAAGTTGAATGAAGTCTAAGTTCAAGGTCGTAGCGACATGGTTCATGTGTTCGACAGATTGGTTCAGGAACACACCAACGAACAAGGGCTTTTTGGAGGCTTTTTCAACCAATCGTGCGTGGGCTGCAAACCAATCGCGAGGAAGCTGGTCATCGTCCACATTGGCCTGATCGGTGGTGGTCAGGGGGCGTTTTTCTCGTACAGCTTTTATGATGTTGTGCGCATCCTCAATGGAGACTTGTCGCTTTGATTTGGCAAATATTAATCCAATAAAGTCCGCACCTGCTTCTGCTGCTGTTAATGCTGCTTCAACGGTCTTAACACCGCAAATTTTGACAAGCGGTGCTTTCTGAACACATTTGTTGGCAGATGACTGCTCGTCTGATTTCTTTTCTAATCCCAAAAGGTCGGCGACGAATTTCTTGGGGTCCTCTGCGCGCATCAATGACTCACCAACAAGGACAGCACCAACACCTTGTTCAACGTAGATTTCAACATCTTTGCGTCCAGTAATACCGCTCAAAGCAGCAAGGACAGTGCCTTCAGGAACCATTTCAGCGAGACGAGACGTTGTTTGCATATCAACGTCAAAGTTGTGAAGGTTGCGGTTGTTGACACCGATGACTTTAGCACCAAGCGCCAAGGCTCGGCTCATTTCCTCATCATTATTAACTTCAACAAGAGGTTCCATACCCAAGGATTTTGAGAAGTTGTACAGTTCCTTGAGGAGGGAGTCATTCAACATGGCGACAATGAGCAAAACGGTATCAGCACCATAGAGTCGTGCTTCCAGAATTTGATAGGTGTCGAGAACAAAATCTTTTCGAAGAATAGCAGGTCGATTAGGAATGGAGGCGAGAGCATCTCGAACAAGTCGCATATCCGTCAATGAACCACGGAACCACTTGGGCTCAGTCAACACTGAGATGACGTTGGCGCCAGCTTGGGCATACTTGATAGCTTGCTCTGCGGCGTTGACAGTAAGATCAATGTTACCCTTGGAAGGAGATGCTCGCTTCACTTCAGCCATCAAGGCGAGAGGAGACTGCTTAACGCGGGCAACGAAGTCAATCAACGGAGGAGCAACATGCAAGGCGATAAGTTTTCGAAGATCCTCAGGAGATTGACCAGGAATAGCCTTTGCGGCATCAACATCCAAAGCACGTTGTTGGTAGATTTTGTTGAGAACAGATGGCTTAGCCACTTGAGCCTTGGCTTCAGCAACTTGGCCGTTCACAGGTTTAGGTGGTGTAACACCAGATTCGAGATTATCCTTCCAGAGACCGCTCTTCATGTTGAGGAAGTTTTGAATCATAGTCTTTCCATATTCGCACAAAATACTTTCAGGATGGAATTGGACACCTTCGATGACATATTCTTTGTGGCGAACCGCCATGATGATGCCATTGTCAGTGCGAGCAGTGACTTCCAAATCGTCAGGCACAGTGTCTACCACACCAGCAAGGGAGTGATATCTTGTGACGTTGATGTTTTGTGGGACAGTTTTGAAGATACCCTTGGCGTCATGACTAATGCTAGAGATCTTGCCGTGAAAGATTTCGCCAGCATAAGAAACCGTTCCGCCAAAGACTTCAAACATACATTGTTGGCCAAGACAAATACCAAAGATAGGGATCTTTCCAGCAAAGTGACGGATAGCAGCTCGAGAAACACCGGCATCAGTGGAAGGATGGCCAGGCCCTGGAGAAATGACAATGTTGCGAGGATTGAGAGCTTCAATCTCTTCGACGGTGATTTTATCGTTACGGAACACAACTACATTGGCACCCAGGGAAGAGAAGTATTGGTAGACGTTCCAAGTGAAACTGTCGTAGTTGTCAATGAGAACCGTCGTCATGGTAAGTTGAAGCGGTTAGGATGGTGGTAGAAACGCTAGGTTTTGTGTCGGCTTTGTCCGAATTGAAAAAAAATTGGGTTCCATTCCACCAAATTTAAGATGCGCACGTGATCTGTGACTCAACTCATAGATTTTGACGTGCGATGACTCTTGAGACCCTGCACACAACAGCTGAACGAACAACATTGATAATGGCTTCTGTGAATAAGACACAGGTATAAATAGCGATTAAATTAAAAAGGAATGTAAAAAAAAAAAAGGAAAGGGAAATTTCACATTGAGGAAAAAACGTAAGGAAACAAAGCAAAAAAAATAATGGAAAATAGAGGACAAGGGCGAAGCAAAACGACGACAGATAAGGCGCAGTAGTGGTGGAGGGTAAGGAGGCGGTACAAAATATTAGTAAATTTGATATGAGTGAATTGAAAATTGTCTAAGCACGAGGAGTGAAGCTCATGATACATCCATCAACAGGGTAGATGGTTGCGAAGATGCTATAAAAAAAATATGTATAATTTAGTTGATGTTTCAACACCCCACTCGAGAATACTTTCAAATTTCAACTTACGAGATTTTGTCACTGTCCTTGGTTCGGTGGTGAACGAAATCAAGTTGCATGGAGGCTTGAGCGACAATGCCAATCAAATGCAAAAAGGCATACTCCTTTCCGAGGCAGTGATGTGGTCCGTTACCGAATACCATAAAGTTCTTAGGGTATTTCTCGGCATGGCCCTCAGGACCCCAGCGGTCAGGATTGAATGATTCGGGTTCAGGGTATGCAACAGGGTCGTGGAGAGCAGGATAAGTGGTAGGGATGACCATGGCACCCTTGGGTACAGTATAGTTATCATTGATAGGCCAGTCCTTCTTGGTCTGGTAAGGAATCATCAAAACTGGTGGGCGAAGACGAAGAATTTCTTTGACGACTTGACGAGTATAAGTCATGGATTCTAAAACGTCGATAGTCAACTTTCCATTGACATCATCACCACGAACAGCAATCTGCTCTTCACGGACGCGAGCGAGAACGTCGGGGTGGTCAGCCAAAAGTTGGAATGCCCAGGTCAAAGCGGAAGATGTGGCATCTTGACTGGCGAACAAAAATGTCAAGATGGTAAGAGCAATTTCACGGTCACCGAACATCTTTCCTCCCTTAACCTGATCCTCGTTCATGGACTTAATCCAAGCGTCCATCATGCAAGTGACACCACCTCCAGCTGACAAACGCTTGCGGCTGTCTTGGACGCCAGCAATGAAGTGATGGACAATGTATTGACGAGCTCTCATAGCCTTCCAAACTTTGGTACCAGGGAAAGGCCAGGGGAAGTTGACAAGCTCGAGGGCAGCGGTAATATCAAAGTATTTTTGAGAGATGGTTGAGCAGACCTCGTCACTAAGGAAATCGCCGAGGAAGACGCGAAGAGAAGCCTCCATGTTGAGCTCACGGAATCTCCATTGATACTGCTCGGACTTGCCATCCAAAGCCAACCACTCCTTGAAGTGCTTGGTGTATACTCGGTCTTGAATAGGGACATAGATACTGGATAAGACTGGTATTAGGTTCTACTCTGCTGATGTTTCGGCTTATCGTCCCCTATCACCGACCAAAAAAAACCCCCCCCCTTCCCGAAAAATGACAAATGTAAAAATTTCCTTACCCAAGAGCCTTGCGAGTGAACAAAACGTTCAATCCCTTGCGGTATTCAACGTGCTCCTTTCCTTCCATGAAAACCCAATTATCAGCGCACAAAATAGTGCGCATGGAGTCAACAACGGTGGGAACGACATAAACAGGGGAGTTGAGGATCTTGCGGCTGAGCTCGCAGGTCGAAGCAATAACGACGAAGCTAAGGTTTTGAATTTTTTTTTTGGGAGAGAAAGCAGTCGTCGGTCATTAAAAAAATATTCAGGCCCATGCTTGTCTCACATTTGTATCCTTTGCTTACCGGTCAAACACACCGACGCAAGACAGCTCTCCGCTCTTCCACTTGGAGAGATAGCCTTCAAAAGTAGGGTTCATAGAATCCATCAATGCACCGATGATAGGGATTTTGTACTTGGGGCCAGGAAGGTTTTGCTTCTTCTTCAAGTAGACATATTGTTCGTAAGCAAACAGTCCAACAAGCGTGGTGACAACGACGGCGGTGGTAGAAACACCACTGTTGGGACCTGTATTTTTCTGGAAGAAAGTCTTAACGGCACTCTGGGCAGCCTTGAAGGCATGGTTATCAAAACTACATGAACGAGATGTCATTGGCTGTGAGTTCGCGTTACCAAGTCATGTGTGCTGACAAAAAGCTATGTTACCTCAAGGACATTGAAGAGGTGAAAGTGGTTGAAGGGATTGACCAACCAAAAGGTGAACGAAAAAAAGAGAGGGAAGAAGAGAGGAAAGGGGAGATCTTGTACGCTAGATTCGAACCCAAAAATATATAATATGAAAAAAAAAAAAAAAAAAGTGGTTCCACTCAGACTGATAAAATATAACCCAGCTATAGAGAAGAGAATTAAAAAGACGCGCAATCTTAAGCGTATTTATGACCGAGGAATCTCGCATTCTACCTACCGACCTTTTTAGATTTCCTAAAACGTTTGGGTCTATCAGAAAAGAACAACGGCTCCAATCTTTATGACATTGGGACCGTCGTCGCCGAACCCGACTGTATCGTCGCGGAATACGGGATAGAGCTAATGTTGAGAATTCGATAGAATAAAAACTTATAAAAAACAAGGTGACCAGGTTGTGTGAAATTAACCTCGCGTATATTCTGACGAAAGCATGCCAATTTTGGTGTGGAGATGGGGATCTTCGTTGGTAAAGAAGTGCTATTATTGGTCGGAAATTCCCCCAATTCACCGAACCCGTCATTCAGCCAGGTGGGTTTTCTTTCTCAGTGTAAAAAAGACAAACACCCACCTCTTGGGAGGAATTACACAAGGGTGTTTCTAATGCTTTGTTCGTACACCTTACCATAATTGACACGCCAATCCTATTTCCCTATTTGAACCAACCATAGCAGTCGGTGAGTGCAGCCGTCACACCCGCTCACATCGTCCCATCCCACTCTAGCGGTTAATTATTACCTCCGCCTCACATCAACAGGGGAGTGGACATCGATGTTATATTGTGCGACGCACGTTTTGCCAATAATGACAATCTTCCACATGTTTTGCGACAATCCAGATAGCAGGAATTCTGAGTAGGACGGGTCATCCGCTGTTATTATGCCCTGTTGTAGTTCCTTGGATGAACAGTTTTGAGAAAAAAAAATCGATGTCGCCCACCTACAAATTCCTGTTCTGGAGGGGATCTGCGGTTCCTGAATGGCAAAAGTAAAAAAAAAAAAAAAAAAACTTTATCTGGGACTGCATTTGGCAAGTGCCGTGCCTCTTGACAGAATCTTCCAAGCGGAGGCAATAGCAGCAACCCTTTGATATCCACTCTTGACTTATTTAACTGGAACCTTTCACGCAGCCACCAAACGGATATAAACAAAGCAGTTACGATGTAACGTGGTTCATCATCCTTTCTTTTATTTTATTTTATGTGTGGTGTTACTCTCTAAAGCTGGATTATGGTAGAGGTGGCCAAAGCCTGGCTAGGTTGGTATGGTTTCTTCTTTTTTTTTTTTACTATTATTAATGGTGTTTTCTACGATTTCCTTTTTTTTTTTGTAATGCGGTGGTTGCTACAATATGTACAAATGAAAGGCGAGATATTGCGCTGGTAAGCAATCAGGTAGACGTAACAAAATTTTAGCTCCGGCCCGACTATTATTGCCGTTGGTTAGGCTGGCTGGCCGCCTCGCCTTTAGCGCTTAAAATTCGGCAATGGCTCCAACAAGACTGGCCTCTGCGCAATATCCAGTAATTGTATTTCAAAGGTTTGAGGAGCTCGTAAATCAGGATCATTATGGTAAGCAATGCCTCTATCGGCTGCCACCGTAATCACCTTCCTTCCGGCTTCAATGGATGGATCTCGGATATGTATATCATGGCCTGGGAATTGCCATAGCAACATTTGATTCTCTTCAATAAATGCTCGCCAAGGCTCTTTGCTTTTGCCAACATCATAGATCCGATAACACCACAAATACCGCGGAGTGGGAGGTGGCCAAGCCCAGTGCTGCGGTGGAGGAGCAAATTCCATACCTCGTTGAAAATATTGCTGTTGTAGAAAATGTAAACGAGCTCGAAACCGGGCAATACGTTCTTGCCGTTTGGAAGGTTGAAAAAAGCCCTTGGACGATGATGAAGAACCAGATGAAATGGCAGGAGGTGGTGGTCCAAGAATACCGGGAGGATATAATGACAGATTAACAGGCATGTGAATAGGCTCATGTGCTCCTATGTCGTAACCACGGGGAAGCTGCGTTTCATCCGATGGATCGTCCTTGGGCCGTAGGGATGGTGACAGCACAGGTGTTGGGCAGTAGTCCCCTTCTGACAGACTATCTTGCCGGTGGAGGGATGGCATTTGACTATAGCTGGTCCTTGAGCTATAGTCACTAGATTGTGACATGCTCCATGGTGAAAGGTTAGGTGTGGACGAAAGGTCGCTAGTCATGAGGGGCGATGACGCATGGTGCTGTTGATTTGACGGGGCTGGTGGATGAAGGTATTGCGACATAACATAAAAGGGGCATATACGCAGGAGAACGGGAAGAAAAAGATCTTGGGAGAAGAAAATAAACCAATTTAAAAGGAAAGCAATAAGTGGCCACCAGGATCGTGATGCTTTATATAACGGGCAGAGAAAAGAAAAGAAAATAAAAACTAAACTGCTTCATAAGGGACTTCCGAACGGACACAACAAAGAGATTCCAGATGCATTATCGATCGCATCCTTTGAACCTTTTTTCCTGCATGTTTAGATATTACACAGTCCAAATAAACCATGTCGACTATTGCATAACCAAGAAAACTGGTTATACCCATGACTTTTTGTCAGGAATGAGGCTAGCACAGTGTTTGTATAAATTCATCCGCCATCATCTTATTAAAAATTTCGCATTGGATCTCATGTCTTCCATGCTTTGTCTCATGAGGTACGTTACGTGGTATACTTCTTTATTGCAACATTTCATCCAAGAATGCATCGTCACTCTCTTGCTTTGATGGTTGTTTGGATTTAGGGATCGGCCGCATGGGAATTTTCTTGAGCCCACTAGGTCGCTTCAAGGACAGCTTGGAACCTAATGACCATCATGGTGTTAGAAACTTTGATCAAGATAAACCCACAAATACATCCCGTCGCGTGATGAGGTGATGGCCTGTGCACAGCACTTACTTTGAACATCCGAACGGTCAGCTGGTGATCCTTGGTTTAAGAGTGAGTCCAGATCGTCTTCATACTGACTATGCTGCTGCGTCGTTTGCTGTTGCTGTTGATTCTCTGCGAAAAAAAGTACGAAAATAGACTTTTTAACTAGGATATATAGGGTTGAATAAATACGTTCAAGATACATACGTGAGTTTCCACTTATGGACACATTGGCGAGCTTGTCTTTAAGAAGGGTAGAAACGATGGTAGGGTGTTATTAGAAATCACAGCATAGATGCTTAGTACGTAGGTTCCTTTGGAGAAGAAGTACTTACTTTTCGTATCACTCATTGGACTTCGCGACCCATGTGCCCGTTGCTGTTCCTGATGCTGCGCTTTCTTGGCAGCCTCCACCTTTTCGTGATTGCTTCTGTCGTTCCTTATCACGATCCCATCCAGCGCCTCTTGTTTTGGCTCAGCCGTAGTCTTCTTGAACAGCACTAAGCCCCTTGCGTTCTTGATAAAACCGGGTACGATTGGCTTGTCGTTTCTTGATCTCTCGTTGTCTGGAAATTCAGGCTTTTCTCACAAAGTTAGGAGGCTTACACAATATATAGCAACTTCATAGAGAAACTAATTACCACAAAAGAATCTGATTCAGGTATACCCATCATCAACCTATACGGTATTCGTGATATCACTCCTTCTAGTTCGGTCAAGTCTAATTGCAGTAAATTTTGATAAAGCTAAACATAAGCAGGTTAAGTTGAAAGAAACATAAAGAGTACAGTGTGAATGAGTTGAATAACACTGAATTGCTGGTACACGAACCTCTTGTTCTTTCTCACTCTGCAATCCTTCATCATCTAACCATTCTTCTTCTTTGAACTTAAAAAACGCCGTGTTGTCACCAGAGTTCTTTAATTCTGTTCAGTTAAAAGTTAGCCATCATCGGTTTGCGTTTCATTTGAGAGCTAGAAATTAGTACCTTGCCCTTCAAGCATGTTCACCAATTCCGTCGTTTCTCTATCTATTCCCATTTCTGCGTCCTGTAATATTTGATCTATATGTTTGGGTCATGTCAGTTTTTCAAGATGGGTATCAATGATAGCCACGATCAGCGACGGCACCAACCCTCTTCTGTAATTTCCTCATATCGATCGCGATTGCTGGCGATCTTCCGTCGAGAAAACCGTCGAGTCTCTTGTTGTGGGCTTTCTGGTTCGGTAGGTTTGGCAGCTATCGGCTGTTCGAATTCACCATTTCGTCGTCGAATGGCCGCGATGCTATTTCCTGAAATCTTGGCCTTTGCCGCCTGCCGTCTAGCTAAAGCAACATCGGCAGCTTCCGTTTCTCCTTGTTTTTTATGTTTGTTCTGGTATCGACGGGACGCCTTTGCTTTGTGTTCGTCCGGTCTCATTATGACTTTTTCGTTTGAAGTTTGGTAAGGTCAGCCCTGTAAAAATTCCACCAAGGATTTCGTAGCTCACGTTTATGCGGCCGGAGATTGACTTCTGCTAATTTCACCAATGGTATATTTCACGTACACCTTTATTATAGCTATAAGATTGGAACCCGTAATTCGCAAAGGAGGGAAGAAGATCGATGTACGAAGTTACATTGGTCACTTTGTCCTCAAATTCTTGAAGGTAGCCTGTATCTGCCATCACCTTGATGGTCATTACTCCTGTTTGATACAATTCTTTGCTAAAAGTTGATTTGTTCTAAACATCATACTAGATGGATTGGTTAGGTATACGAGTATGAACCATAATATGCATCATAGATTCACATTGTCCTTCCGTTCCCCAGCGTTTGTCTAATGTAACAATACGGCGTACATCGAATATTATTAACATGAGATTATTATTCTATTTTCTTTTGTTTTCATTTGATGATCTCCTCGGGTCACCAAGAGGCACTTTTGCCCTTCTTTATTGGATAATGGAAGATAATTTACTCGAGTAACTGCACATATCGCTGATCCAGAATTTTGATAAAAGTAACCATGCGGAAAGATGAATATATCATTATTGGCAAACCTGAATGGAGACATGCATATCACCTTATTCTCAACTGTCCATCGCAGTATATAAGGAAAAATGATCGCAGAATTATATATTCTGTTTTGCTTAACATGAACAAAAATATGCCATAGCCGCAATGATTTGTGCGGCTTTGATCTGCTTGCAGCAGCACTGCCAAAAAACATTTTTATTTTTTATTTGAAGACCATTATCTACACTTTTTAAATAGTGGCTATATGTTATAAAAGTCTTTCTATGAGAATGAATAGATATCTGCAACACTAGAAACATAACCTTGAAGTTCGCAAGCGTACCATTTTCTGACATCTTAAACGTAAATACGGAAGGGCATTTAGATTTTATGGCAAATGATTATAACAAGGTGCATAACACAACCTTTATATCCCATTTTAGGGGCTTTGGAACATACACAATTCATACTAAGCGCCTTGAATACCCAAAGTTAAATAGTGAGAAGGCCATCTTCGTTTGATCTTGCGATGGGCATCAAAGAAATGCGCAGAACGTTACCGAATTGATGAAATAAAGCATTAATTGCGTCTTATTTGCTTTTTCCGGACTGGTTCGATATGGAAGCGTGGCCCTCGATCTTACATAACTTTTATCATGATGGGGTTTTCAACCTACAGACGACTATGCCATGATGGTACGTTGAATTAACTACTTCGATCACTACAAACGCTTGCAGATTCAAGCGGTTACGGAAGGACCATTTTTACAGCTTTTGGAAAAAGCGGGGAAAAACTTGAGCACCCGACATTCACGTGAAGTAGTGACTTTCTGACACTTGTCAGCAACATTATTCCTGAGACAAAACTATAAACTAAAGCCGCAATGCTTCCGATCATGGCACCTTCTCGTTTTCCCCTTCAACACATTGCAAGAATGTCCACCTACGCTACTCGCGTACGTGGTTCTAAAAATACCCCTTCCCATCGCATGTTTATAGGTTAGCATTCTCGTAATGGAACACACATTCACGGCGGTTTTTTTTTTACAACGACTTATCAACTGAAAAACCTTCATATAGAAAAAGACGGCAAGGCGATTTCACCCTTCCATGATATCCCACTTTTTGCCGATGCCGACAAGAAAATATTTAATATGGTGGTTGAGATCCCTCGTTGGACAAATGCCAAAATAGAGGTAAACCCCCTCATTGTCATCATTCACTCCCTGCTCGTAGCCCTAACCTGTCGATTACCCCACTTTTCTTTCTCGTAGATGGCCACAAACGAATACCTTAATCCACTCAAACAAGATACGAAAAAGGGGAAGCTCCGTTTTGTTCGTAACTGCTTCCCGCACAAGGGGTACATATGGAACTATGGAGCCTTGCCTCAAACGTGGGAAGATCCAAATCACGTCCATCCTGATACGCAAGCCAAAGGCGACAACGATCCGATTGATGTGTGTGAGATTGGCGAGGCTGTTGGGTATACCGGTCAGGTCAAGCAAATTAAAGTGCTAGGCGCCATGGCTCTCTTAGATGAAGGAGAGACGGATTGGAAGATCATTGCTGTTGACATCAATGATCCATTGGCCGATAAATTGAGTGGTGAGTACAAAGTGGTAGTCATGACTTTGTGGTTGATCCATGTTGCTAAAGGTGCGTCATATCTGGTTAGATATTGGAGATGTCCAAAAGCATTTGCCAGGTTTATTGGAAGCAACACACCAATGGTTCCGTATTTACAAGATTCCTGACGGTAAGCCAGAAAACCAGTTTGCGTTTGGTGGCAAGGCACAAGGCAGGGTGAGTAAGCCGCTTTTACCTCCGGTTTATTTTTTAAAGCACCGCATTTATGGAGCTCAAACAATGATGATAGGACTATGCCACTCAAGTCATTATGGAGACGCATGACGCTTGGAAGAAGCTCATCATGAGCAATGAGAAGCGACACACAGACACAATGGCCATGTAAGTAAATTCAAGTCGTGTGTTTACATGTTGCAAAATAGGAAGTAATGTTGCAAGGTTCGATATCTTTATTAATTGGTTCTGTGTGACCTTTCAGTGCCAATTTGACCATCGACCAGTCTCCGCATCGCATCTCCGTGGAAGACTCGTCGTACAAGGCAGAGATCGCAAAGGTAAGCAATCTCAGCCAGCCAGGGCAGGGCGGAATAAGATGGGGTTGAGACCGAAGGATGACAGCAATAGCTTTTCCAAAAAACAAACTAGGTGACAAACCGTTACTGACATTCGCTTTTCACAGCTTGAAGCCGCGGAAAAGAGAAGACGGAAAGACAGCGATAACGATAAATGGTTTTTTATTCGACCAAGGATGTGAGGAACGTAATTTAATATCGCAATATAGCCGTACAAAGATATACGAGAGGAGGCATTGAATAGAAATCAATGGGCGATAACAATAAAACATAATGAGCCCTATCCAAGTCATACCTGGCCTGTTCAGGTCAAAATAAAATAGCTGAACCCCCCACTCAGCCAAAGTAGCAAGCCAGACCACCTAATATTTTGAGCCCTCTGTTGTAGCCAGCCAGCCAGCCAGCCCTCTTGATTCTAAGCACCTACATTTCCTTTCCTTCATCCCTTTTTTCTCCATTCTTTTAATTTCGATTCACACTTCCTAAACCTTTGACTTTGATGAGTCTATCCTCCGTCTTCACGCTAGCCTTGGTTTTAAAAAAGGTACAATTCCCGCCACATTTTGCATATAAAACTCATCTTATTATTTTTCTAAGAAAAAACGAAAACATGCAAACCATGAATCATACCTAACCTACTTCATCCGTTTTATCAACTCACAGTTTACTAGAAAAGCCGCGCTGAGAAAACAAGCCCAACGATCAGCGTCATTAAAAACCAAACTATCTGCCACTTCTGATATCGAACAGACTCTAAAATTACAGTCATCCAGCTCATCGACCACTCGTGCGTCCGCTCCAACACGATACAGTGAGTCGGAAACATCATTACAGAGTGAACAACAGAAAGATGAATTAGACACGACGGTAGCAAAGCCCATTGAAATACCGCCATTATCAACCACTGAGGAAGAACAACTTGAAGACCTTGGGCCTGAAGATCCGTCTGGAAAGTCTTGGAGTGCGTCGCTGGCGGCCGCTTCGCTGGTATGTTATAGTGCGATCCTGGTGCAGTAAATTGCATGAACTAACCTGTCAATGTTCCTATTTTGTGTTATTTATATTGCCATACATTTCTGTGCATGTCGCGTTGCATTCGCCCTGCGTTTCAATGGATAGGATTCAAGTTCTGATGAATGTGAGTGAATATAGGGCCTCCTTTTCAATCATGTCATATCATATTTTCTATTCTTTTTACCTGTCTAACGTTATGCTTTTTCAACAGCAAATACAAAAGGGATTCAAAATGTAGTTGTCATCCGTGACTACGCTTACGCATCCTCCCACCCTATGCATCGAGGCATCCCTATATCCCCCATAATAGAATCAACTCGGCCCACTTCCGAAATATCCTTGTCTTCGTCCGAATTCACTGGCCGGCAAGCAAAGGCTCTTTATGATTTTGAGCCAGAATCCGCATCAGAATGTGCACTGCGGACTGGGGATATCATTTGGGTGCAATATAGACAATGTCAGGTGGGTGATGTGGTTAGCGTAGTGTAGTGTGGCGTGGCTGGCCAAAACGCATGAAAGAACAAATTGTCCTAACCGAGCCTGTTTGCTATGCTTAGGGTTGGCTAGTCGCTGATGTGGGTGACGAGACTGGCCTAGTGCCTGAAGAATTTGTTGAATGGATCTAGGTCTATCCATTCTATGTTTTCCACTTTGCCGGGCAAAAAAAAAAAAACCAACCAAAAAACCGTGATGAAAGAAAACAAAGCGCACGCATCACAAGCGCCCCAAAAAAAAATATTATTAAACTTGCCATGGTAATTCTTTAAACTTACCATATTCCCCCTATTATTATGAAATATTATCTCCCATCCTTATGAACCCCCATTTCTTTTCGTCTCATCATCCATGACCAAACCATCATTCTTATTTTGCCACCAAAAAAATAAATAAACACATCCATTCTGGTGACCCATGGTCGGGCTGCTGACAAAACAAATGGGACCCTATTGAAGTGGGCCACCGCAAACAAGCACCCCCCAAGCTAAAGCAAATGACCTCATGGTTGCTAGTGGTGAAAGGGGGGCGTTGTGCATACCGAGAAATGCGAAGGACGTTCCAATATCTAACGGACCCACATTCGGGATAACCATACACGGCATGCCCAAACAAACATGGTTGGCCAATCTTTACAGGGGTGACCTGAGTTGCTCATTTCTAAAAAGTTTAAACATCGGCGAAACGGATGATGGAAACGATGGTGCCCAGAAGAGAGAGGGGGAGGCGCTTACAGAAGGAGGATGAGCTCATGTTACTTGTTTTTCTTTTACCAGGCCATGTAGACTTTGCATTGAAATAACAAAGGGACAAAGGAGGAGTAGCTTAAAGGAGGAGACAATTGCGATGCTGACAGCCAACGTGATGGATAGTAAAAGAGCATTCAAAATATGGGGGTTCGATAATTCTTTTATTTTTCAATTTTGTTAAGGGTTATGTATCCTAAACAAAAAGTGTTGTAATATTATAAGAGGGGGCTTTACTGTTACAGGGAAGGCACAATGCCAACCAAAAACCAAAAGGTGCAGTGCATAGAAACAAGAAACATGAAAAAGAAAAAGAAGAAAAGATAACGGGTTGTGTGTGTGTGTGTGTGTGTGAGTTGTGAGTGTGGGTGTATATGGATGTAGTTGCGCGAGTAGGGACAAGAGCATAAAATGACTCAACAGAAGACCGAAAAGTAAGGAAAATAAAAACCAAACGATACATAAGTAGCAATGAGAATGAAGGAGGGTGTGTTGTTATTACTGTAGCCCAAAAAAAAAGTATGAAAAAGATTCTCAGATCCACAACTTAAAGGGTAGGTGTGAGGGGACAGGTTTGGCCTGGTTTGGATGGGGTTTTGGCGCAGCCAAAAAGGAGAGAGCGAGCTTCCATACTATGAATCTATGTATCCTTTGGCGCCATCGTGAGCCGATGAAAGAGGGGGTGTAGGTAATGAATGATGATATCGCCTATCATCCCGTTTATCCTTACTGGTGATAGAACGTTCCCTAGTTCGGATGGACTGGCGCTTATTTTGGAACCAAATTTGAACGGTTCGTGGGCTCATGCCCAGCTGTCGAGCTAGTTCATTACGCGTTTCGGTGGAAGGGAAGAATGTTTTAGTGAACACTCGATTCAAAGCATCCAACTGTACTGCGCTCGCTCTTTTACGTTTAGCCTTTATGGTAGGTGAATATCGAGGGGACGGTGAAGTCTCATGATAAGAAGGACTAGGGCTGCGATTAAGGTATGACTCGGGCGGCGAAGGCGAGTATGTGTACGTAGCATGGTGGTTAGGAGACTGGCGTTGAGTAGGGCTCCTAAAGGCGGTTGGTCGATGGTATCTTGGTTGATCTTGTTGTGTCCTGTCATCTGCACGAGATGGCCAAGCATCCTGTGTAGGTGAAGACCGTCTTGACTGAGTAGATGATGATACTGGGGACGCTGTGTAGGGTGATATGGGCAATTCGTCGTCAGAGCACAGGAGGTTGGCAATGTCAAGCACGGCTGGTTTACGCTGTGGTTGATTGAGTATGGTATGAATTCTTGGTAGAGTCATGATGGAGGGGATATGACTCGGGACGATTAGGTGGATTGATAGTAAAGAGAGAGGAGAAGAGAGAGAGAAGAGATTACAAAATGAAGCCCATTAAAAAAAAGTAGGGCTTAGCAGGTGTCTTGACTGGGTAAAAGAAAGAGGAAAAAAATCACCAGAAGGGGGGGCGTTCAAGCGTCAATGCTTTTATTATCATACTCTAGAATTTTATCTTGATTTCTAAAATGGCGTATTTCTCCCTTAATCCCCCTTTTCATTGAGGTGTAGCTCCCCCCCCCAGTTTGTCGGCCTTAGCAAACCGGAGACAGATCAGCTCAGCAAAATCTTTCATTTCCCCCGTCTTTCTATGCTGGATTGTTGCATAGTGTCACATTTGGGGGGTGGAGACTTTATCGAAGCATTTTTAAGAGAAAAGAACCACCTTGATCCGCCATCAAGACCAAAGCTCCCATCGGACTCAAACTTTAAAATGCTATTATGGCTCAAAACTGCTGATGCTCACTTTCATTTTTTTTTTTTTCATGGAGGTCCAGATCTCAGAACCCTTCAAAGTTTCATTTTACTATTGTGACGAAATTTTAACCTGTGGCGGAAAGCCAAATATGAAGGTACTCCGAAATCCACGTTGTCACATATCAAATTCGTACCTTTTTTTTCATTTCGGCGAAATATGAACACCTGCTAGGATAGCGACGCGCTTCTCTGATTCCAAGATGGACAACGCTGAGGCATTTCTAAAAAATAATGGAATACACCGGTTTACTATCCTCCCGAATGCTGAACCGAACACCTTTTTGTATCCTTCACCCTAGCAAGTCGGCTCTCCCATCCTTTTCAAACCGGATTATGAATTACTAGCTAACCCAATTTCAACTGGTGCAGATTATCATGAATGAGCTGTTTCTATTTTTTTCCACAACGAAGGAGATTCATGCGACTCCGTTTTGATTGTAATGAATTTGTCACACAAGTGCCTCCTCCGTTTTAGCTTTAAGTAACCGGGCTTCGACAAGCAACACTTCCCTAATATGGATCAAAATCGAACCAGAAAACTTGCCTTTTGCGATATTTTAGGTCTGTCCTTTATCCGCAACAATTGGTCATTTTCCCCCCCAAACATGTTGAGCTGGTAACAACATCTTTGAGTTCAGAGCAACGCCATCTCATTCCAAAAATATGTTGTTGGGTGTTTCATTTCCAAACCACAGGGATCCCCTCAATCCCCCCACCACGCTCGCTCCACCACCTTAGTGCACGGTCCTAGAACCTCATATAATGAATATATGAAATGCAATCAACGGGTTAGAGGATGACGGGGGACATTGGCTGCATCGTAGATCCTTCCTTTCCTCCTTTCACCCTTTATTATTAGACAGCCCCCAAAAACCTGATCTTACCCACACTCCCACATAAGCTGCTGCGAATTTTTTTTTTTGTTATCTTACTCCAAAAACTGCGTTACACACAATTTGTTCTGAGATGGAACACATTCTAGCTTGACGTTATTGCCTGTCTGCCACATTTTGTCCCACCGGACTTCCAGAAACATCCGCAACTGCCCTATTTACTTCGCTGAGCGCTACTACATTCGGGTGGTCCGATCACGTTCGCTCCCCAAAAGGGTTCAACATCCCGGAAAAAGAACAAAAAGGTTGAGCACATTGATGGCCGGCGTTGCCTTCATTAGACGATGTAACATTTGCAAATATTTTATAGCACCAAAGAAGAGCTCTCTCCATTGACATGCTTCACATGTCTTCAACTGACCAGGCGTGCGCTTCTGCATCACGCGCACTACGGGCGTTTTGCCGAAGAAAGTAGTCTTTTTCAAACCCATTGGACCGGTCTATTAAAACCAGTCAGCACCCCATTGCACAGACGTATAGCCACTCAATTTCCACTAACTCACCTACGCCATCCCATCGATAACCAGGAGGAATACCAAACCGATTTGGAGCCCATTGACCCTGGTACGTGGGTCGTCTTGACTTCTTCTTTTTCTTGCTTGCCTAATGGAATAAAAATCAGTCACATTGGCTGAGCCCTGAGCTGAGATGCACTCAGCTCACAAAAAAAAAAAATTTAGTTCCCCCAAAGCTTACACTTAAAAATTGAGCGGCTGGATCGTTCCACAGTTCCCGTTCTTTCAATTCATCATTGAATTCCCGATCGTCAGCATACCTAGAATGGATCATCAATGTCAAATCCCACACATTCCATTGGTGATGCAAGTGTGATCCAAGCATTTGCAACGTATTACAGAAGCATATTAAAAATAAAAATAAAAATTTGTGCGTATTGTGATCAGTAACAAAGCATCTGAGAGTAGCAACAATTTCTTTTTTTCCCATTTGCCTATTTACCGTGCTAATGGCTTGTTCTTTTCTTCTTCCAGTCTTTTTTGTTCGGCTGCCTTCTCTTCGCGTTGGACCAATCCTTTACCCCATTCCATCATTCTTTCTTGCTTTTCCAATTCCTCCTTCTTGCGTCGAGCTTCTTCAGCTTTGAGTACGCCAACATCGAATTTTCGTCCACTTTTATCTCGATATACCGTCGTTGCATCTCGTCCAGATAGCGTTGGATCTAACTCTCGCATTTCTTTATCGCGCTGTTTTTTTAATCGAATCGTTTCCGCTTTGATTTGTTCCGTCGTTTGCAAGCCTACTCGATGTCCACTGGACATTCGAAGTTCGTCTTCGTCCCGATCATCCGAGTTTTGTCGTGATACTCTTAAAGACGGTGGTGATGGGCTGAGTGATCTCATTTGTCGTGAAGGTGTGGTTGATGATGTTTCGCGTGAACGAGGTTGAGGTCGATCCATGGTGGGGACTAGTGCGTGTCATGAGGGTTATGCATGAGTCTACCGTCAATCTATTGCCGGAGTGCCTTATTTTGCAATAGTATTCCTTACCTTCACCAACAATTTGAGGTCTTTCATCTTCTGCTTCTTCTTCCTCTTCTCCTTCACGAATAATCGTCCATCCAGATGTTTTTGGGGTGTAGAGTGATTTGGTTTCTGTTACCGTCGCTTCTTCAGATTCCATGAATGTATCCTCGTCGTCGTCTTGGACTTTGGCTTGCCGCCAGCTATCTTCTTCTTCGTCTATGATGCCGATGTTGCCTTTTTTTATGCGTTTGGGTATCTTCTTTTTTTTCTTTTTGGACTGCCCTTCTTGGCCAGAGCCAAGATATTTACTTGCAATGTACGCTTTGGTAGACTCATCGCCAGGTGCAGTAGCGAGATATTTACGCCTTATATATTCTGCTTTGGCAGCAGCCGCATCAGCATCGTTCATTAGGTCGAGCAATCTTTGGGGTTTGAGAAATGCAAGGGAAAATGTTCACCAACAACCCTGAGGGGAAATCTGTTGTGCGTGCTGCGTCGATGAAAAGGCAGTCACTCGCCCTTTCATGGCATTTGCCAGCCGTTTTGTGCGGTGTGCTGTATTAATCCGTCAAAAAGTATGACAGAACATGAAATGATCCATGAAAGCTATTATTTTACATATCATTTTTGCTATCTAGTTGTCCATGCTGCACTCTGAGGTTTTACGAGGTGTGTTCTTAGCGTTTACTTTCGAGCACTGCAAACAAAATTGCCAGAGTTGTTACAAAGTCCGCCGGTTTAAAAAAAAAAAAATGGGCCATGAACAAAATTTTCGAGTACTCAGTAGCCTTCACGCCTTTTGCAACATGGGAAAGAAAAGAACTCCTGGCCGAAGAAGAGAAGTTGTTGATCACTCTGGTGACTATGACAATAGAACAGAAGGAAAGATCAACGCAATCAACACCTGGAACGATATAGAACATGACGAGGAAGATCAATGTAAGTGTCCCCCCGGGCCATACAGTATTCAACATGATACTGATTACCAGCACCATTTTGCAGTTCATGAAGATCGTGAAAAAGTTTTGCTCGGCTACGAGAAGCAAATGCGTGGAGACGATCAAGGTATGTATCGATCTTATGGCATTGGAGCTTGACATGCCCAGTATCCTTTGCATCTAACTCCCCCCACTTTTTAAACTAGATTCCGAAATGAGCGAGCAAGAAGTTTATGGACTCGAAGGTGTCGACTCTGACGATGAAGAAGACCAAAACGACTATCAATCTGACGACGATGACGAAAAGGACGAGGAAGAAGAAAAGGAGTCGGAATCATGGGGTCAAAGCAAAAAGTCCTACTATGATGCAGACGAAGGTTCTGATTTAGAGGAAATGCGCGAAGAAGAACAAGAAGCCATTCGATTGCAGAAGAAAAGAATAGAAGCTATGGACGAAGAAGACTTCGTCGAAGCTGGATGGGGTGGTGTGTCATTGGAGAAGGTAAGTTCAACACCGGCTCAATGTGTGGATCTTGTTACGGCTTCTTTTTTCTAATCATCAAATATACGGCTTAGGATGATGACGAAGACAGAAAGCTCGTTGAGAGTGTCAACAAAGATTTGGAAGATATTACCTTCTCCAAGTACGTATTTATTCACATCCTTCGCACCGCCTCCATGGTAATGAAAGCCACACCGCTAATATCCCTCCTTCCCCTAGTGACATTGAATCTGAACGGATATCAAAACGTTTAAGATCTAATATGCCTACAACCGAAGTGCTGAAGATTCTACAAAACGAGTCGCCTGAACTTGTGGAACTCTTGAGTGAATTCAAGGATAGGCTCTCTACCATTAAAGAACTTGCACCTGTTATCACAACGTAAGTTCAACCATTCAAAACCAAACTTTGTACTCCTTCATATGTCAAACATCATACTCATTTCCCGTGTCTGCAGTCTCCAACAGGTCACAGACTCTAAAAACAAGGCAGTTGAATTCTTCAAGTTCAAATACCGTAAGTTCAACTTTATGGCAATACCAATTGAATGGAAGAATTTATCATAACCTGTCTTCCTCCACAGACTTGATCCTCAACTATTTGACCAACATTGCGTTCTACTTGTGCCTCAAGGCGTCGGGAGCATCAAATATTCGTGATCACCCAGTCATTGGTAGCTTGGTAGAGTTGCGTACCTCCATTGAGAAAGCGGAAGCTATCGAGAAGAAGTTGAACATGGAAAAGCAAATCAGTCACGTTACCAAGCAGCTTGAAGAACTGGATACTGCACCAAAGAAGGCAGTGAACAAGAATGGAAAGATTAATGGCAAGGCTCCTAAAAAGACAGCGAAGCCAGTGGAGACTGCCGAGCAGCATCCAGAAGAAAGCGATGATGAATCTGAGATTGAGGAAGATCACATTGATGTACCTATGATCGAAGAGGAATTCAAGAGCATGAAGAAGGCAAACAAAAAGCGAAAACGTCAAATTGCGAATGACGATTTCCAAGATTTGGATGCGCTTGACACTGTTGATATTGAAGATAAGGCTGCCAAAAAGAGAAGCTTGAGAGATTATGTAGCCAAGATCGACACAGTAAGTTCAGCGAAGTGATCTTCGTGAGACGAATCCTCCTTATCTCTTGTAAATACTAAACTCACAATCTCCTGTTTGTTTCCTTTCTATCTCACAGAAACAACAAAAGCGAAATGCTAAATATCAAGGTGATTCTGATATCCCGTACAAGGATCGTGCCAAGCGAGACCAGAAGGGTGTTGCCCAGCCACAGGATAACAGTGCCGACCTGGACGATGCTGACTGGGACGATACTGATGTCCAACGGGCTCAAGGCAATGCAGAAGATGAGAACGATGATCTTTATGAACAGGTCAAGGCGAAGAAGGCAGCATTGAAGGAGTCGAAGAAAGCCGACTACGAAGCCACACGTATGCCTATCATTGCCGATGAAGATTTGGCCGATGGAGATAAACGCAGTGTAACCTGGCAGATCTTGAAGAACAGAGGTCTTACCCCCCATCGTAAGAAGGAGAACAGAAACTCTCGTGTCAAGCACCGCAACAAGTACGAGAAGAAGATGAAGAACTTGAGCTCTTTCCGCGCCGTCGCCAAGACTCAAGATGGTGCTTATGGAGGAGAAAAGACTGGTATTCGTACTGGACTTGCCCGCAGTGTCAAACTTGCTTAGTTGCCTATATTACCTTGGTCTTTGCTATTTCCATTACTCTCACCCTCATTTTTTTTTTTTTTTCAAAGAAAAAAAACTTGTACAACATTCAACATCCCTTAAGTCATTGTTTCGGCATTCATTTTTCCTTCATTCCGCTTCAAAATCTAGATACACCCTTTCAATCCAAACAAACTAGCAAAACGTGCAGTAAAATAAAGAAAAAGAAAAAGATTTACTGGTCATATAATGAAGATTTTACATATTGCATATTGAGAGAGAGAAAAAGGGGAGGGTGAAGTATAAACGTTTGGTTTGAAAAAGATGGAGAGAGGGGAAACATTATTATGACATTAAAGCAAAGATACATTACACAGAACATTTACCAAGTCATCATTCTCTAATGACAAATACAAGGTGCTTATAAACCTGACGAGGCGCCCAAGTCTTTGGAACCTTTCTTGCCAAAGGCGTCTGACGTTTCAATCAAATCATCCACATGGTCAAGAAATTCTTGAATGCCTTTAAAGTACTCTGGTCCAAGGCCACTTGATCGTTCCGGTAAGGAGGAGGCTCGTAAAGATGCAGCTCGACGGGAAGTTGAGGTCTGTGATGGGCTTGAATACATGTTGGAATCAAATGCATGCGAGAGCGTCTTGATGGGAGCTGACCGGCGTCGCGTTGGTGGTTTCGGCATCATGTTTGAAAAATCCGTAGACAAGACCACAAGGTCATCTGGTAGTGAATCATCCACGTCCTCTTCTGGATAAATCGGCAAACTTGGGGTAGAATTGTGCGGTGAACTGTCATAATAATTTTCAAGGATGAAATGTGGGCTATCTGGGTCGATGCCAATGGTTCTTAACCATCGACGAGCATACTGCTTTCGACGAAGCGGTTCATCGACTCCTGATGGCTTGAACGATTTGAATACGCTGTCTGGGAAAAGTACGCGGACCTCACTGCCAACCACGGATACTTTAAAATGACCATGGCGCGATAAACGACGTAAAATGGTGATGACATTGTTCAAATGCGTCTGATAAAGCTCAGCAGCGGACTCGACGGATCGTATAAACAGCATATCCAAATAGCCAGAGTTACTTCCTGAAGAACTTGTGGCCGATATCAAATCTGAATCCCACAGTGCGGCACCATCCAATATGAAAGACAGACATATCCGTGGTGTATCCTCGTCACCTAGTAGCATGGGGTGCTTTTCTGGTGGTTTTTTAGGCGTACGTCCTTGTCGCTTGGAACCACCCAAATGGATTTCCGACAAATCATCCGAACGCATAAACTCGTACTGAACATTGCTTTTGGCTTGGTCTGAGGATGAAGGAGAGGTTAATCCAGAGCGACGAGATGCAACCGAGGTACGTCGAACAAGACCAGCAGCGTTTTCGCCGCCTTCAGCTTCATCGGATGGGTCAACCGCTTCAAAGATACCGCGACTCTTTCCAAACATACCATTGTAATAGTTGGTATTGGCATCGCTGGCATTTTCTTCCTTATCGGAAAGGTTTGAGCTCAGAACGGGGCTGGAGGGGCTAGAAGAATTATTTTGGTTCATTTTGCATGTGGCCGTAAAGGTGCGTGACGGTACTTGAGATAAGACACTAGTCTGACTACCGCCTGAAGCGGCGTTGGTAGCTTGGAAGATACTCTGTGGCTTCCCAGTGGAAAAGTTACGAGCAAATGGAGTTCTTGTATAGCCTACAACGGCCGTTCGTGAAAACCCTGCTCCGGCATTGTTACCGGTTTGGCTGATGGCACTGGTGCCAGACGATACAATGGTTCGAAACTGAAACTGTTGTCCTCCTCTTGGCACTGGAAACATGGCGGTAGGTCGAACGGCAGAGCGAGCGGCCATGACTTTGACAACAGGAAACTGCTTTTGTAAAAAGTTCAACAACTGAACTCTCTCTTGCTCAGCAGATAGATGAAATAAGATTTGTTGTTGCTTCTGTTGTTGTTGTAAACGAAGTATGCTCGCCCGGACATTATTTACAACCACGAACGGAGACGGTGGTATTGTAGATAATTTAGGAGGCGGTTGTACCAGCTCCGTCACTTTTGTCCTTAAGAAGTGGCGAAGCTGGTTAAAGCTTGCAAGAATAGTAAACGGTCGCATACTATTGATACATTTGCTCGAGTGAAAGGGGAAAGAAGAGAAGGACGCCAAACGACTGGTCCAATAAAAGATTGTTGGGTAAGTAAGTAGGATAATTTGGCTGGCACACGCAACCTCCATGATAACGTGACAGTTCTTAATAGCCAATGATCGGCCTTCTTTTGTTGCCTGGTGACCGTGACTTGTTTGGGGACAAATGTCTGCTGCTGAATCGCATCGGTTCCACTGCCCCTACGACTCTCAAACAGCTTTTAGCCGATTAAAAAGTGAAAGCTATCATTTATATTGAACTTTTTCATGAGATTTATCTGGTATAATTTTTGTGGGAGCCTAGATTATATCTGGACATGTCTATTGTTTTTGGGTGGGTGGGGTTGCCATTGTATCAGAAATTGGTCATCGATGAAATAAGCTGCAAACTTTGCGCACGCTAAATTTGTATGATTCACATCTCTATAAAAAATGGCCTGTCAAACATACTAAAAGTGAAAAATCTTATACATGGGCGCTGACAGGCGCAGCTGGTTGTGGAGGAGTAGAGAGCAACTTTTGCATATCGCTAACATCAAGAATCCCTTTCAAAGTGGGTCTCGCTATACTCTCAATGACAGCCTCTGCAACTCTATCAACATTAAGAGCAGGCGTGGTCATCAGGGTTCCCATAGGTAGACTTGCAACATCTCGTGAGCAAGGTCCAGTGACAGTGTTGAGTATTTCAATCACGCCAGCGAGAGGGAGAGTATTTGGCCGTGCATCACTGTACATAAAACCTGAAAACATGTATATAGCCTATTAGCCAATATGGACAATCACCATTTGTGACAAATAGCGCTTGAGATGTTACCGGGGCGGAGAACGACCGATCGAAATTCAGGTCGAGAGAAAAGGTATCGCTCAGCTTCACGTTTGGTGGTAATGTAGCGAGGGCTAATACATGGGAAAAGGTCGGTAGCAGAGACATAGACGTAGGATTGAATGGAAGGGCTTTGAGCCGCTGCCTTTGCCAGGGAAATGGCTATTTGACATATTATTAGCGCAACAACAACAACAAGAGAAACCACTGGTTTTAAACTTTTACCTGTGTCACGGTTCATCATTTCGTATGTCACTTTGGGAGTGGAATCTTGTTTGAACGGATTACCATTATCTTTCATTCCGAGGAGCTGGCCAAAAACAGACCCTACTCCATCGATAGCATCTGTCACACTATTTGCCTGTACGATCTTCTTGTAGTCATTTTCCATGAGGATTCCCACCGTGTGGACCACATCTGTCACACCCTCCAGAATTTCCTTGTAGCTGTCTGGCTCTGTGGAATCGCCCGCCACCCATTGCACCTGAGTTTGTTTATATCTGTCAGTCTACAATTTACCCGGGCCGCACTTTGACACAGTCATCGGTTATAATTAGGTTGTTTCCCATACCTCAGATTTCCATTCACCTTGGCTATTTGATGTGATACCTGTAGGTAAACCACGACGGCTATCAAATACATAAGTGTTAGTCAAAAGAAAAAAGGAGTAGAGGAAGTAGATATTAAAGACGCGTGATATGTACCTTAAGCTGATAACTTCCCAACCTCGCCATACAGCCTGCTTGCATACATTCAAACCTAGGTCAAGTGTGAGAATGGGTACAGGATGTTGCTTTGTGTAGCAGTGATCAGTGCATACCTAAAAAACCAGTTCCGCCAACCACTAATATTTTCCTTGCTGCTGACATGGAGGTTGTTGCAGGATTATATGTTCAATTTGCAGTTTGTTGTGGTGTTGGCCCTTAACCGCGCGCACTGGTAGAAAAAATTCCACTCGGAGTATCAAAATTCTCCCAAATTTTTTTTCTGCCGTACATTCAACGCCTCAGTGAAATCACACGAAAGTGCCTTATGGTACACAAGAGCCAATGCAATGACCCCGCCATAAATCAATGTTGTACTAATCATACATGAAATCGTCATATGCGATGGTAAACTATGCGTGGGGGAAATACTTTGGCTGTAAAAGTAGACTATTCTCAATCCCGCTTCAACGGTAAATGTCTCTGTGGAGTCAGGAACGAATCAAAGTGCTTGCCGCCCAGAGTATTGGTTATCAGACTAGCGGTCGAGAACACCAAAGCTTAAAAAATTAAATTTGTAAAAACCAGTCGTAAGCACGTTAAATGGGCGACAGACAGATATTGCTCAATCTCCCACACTTTCCATGTATACTGCAACGTACCAATGTGATCGACGACTGATATTACTTGCTCGCTGTGATTATTGTAGTATTATCACACGTGCAACATGACAGACATTGCAGCTGGCCATGATGTACCAAAACATTAGTGCATGGAAGAACGGTACGACAGAAAGAATTGGATAGTGGCGCTTAATAACCCTAAATCCGATAATCGGAGATGGATTGTTCCATCCACTGTACATCCAAAGGCAAGAGAGGCGTACTTATTGGAAATTATATCTGGCGGCTTGGTCATCAATAGATTTGGGACAGGTTTTTCTAGTCTATGAAAAGATTAAACTGGTTTCCTTCGTTTTGAAAGAGAAATAGCACCTATGGTTTTATTTTGATGCCCAAAGCTCGGGCCATGGCTGTATATCCTATAGAGGAATGGTCTCCACTTCCCTGAGGTTCTGTGCACGCCATGCAGGGTATGATGTTGTTGGCGGTATTCAATATCCGACATTTTTTGGTGTTCAGCTCTCGATGCAATTTATTAATTTTTTTTTCATCGGTCTGCATCAAAGTCACCAATTTTCATTTGTTTCTTTTTACACAAACCACATCATCATCAATTTTGCACTCTCAAGCAACTTTTATACATACAATGGAGAGGGCAGTTGATCCCCTTCAAGCGACGCAGCATTTCGATGCCGGCCTTATTTTCTTATCTTATGTGATTTCAGTCATCGGTGCCCAGACAACCCTCGAATTACTGGGACGACGTACATCAGTGAAAGGAGCGTACAATCTCTTTCTGCTTTGCGGTTCTGCTCTAGCTATGGGCAGTGTTGGCATCTGGAGCATGCATTTTATCGGCAATAACGCACTTAAACTTTCTTACAACGATACAACATATCAACTCGTATACGCACCTGGATTCACATTCATCAGTTTAGTGGTCGCCATTATCTGCATGTTCCTATCATTTGCCTTTGTTTGCTCTACGGAAGAAGTATTGATGACTCGCATTATTTTCAGCGGTGTGATCGCAGGTGTAAGTAGATTTGTAAATGGAAATGCAACGATATTGTGCTCTAATTATTTCTTTTATCAATCTCACAGGCTGGCGTGGTTGTGATGCATTATGTTGGTAAGTGGCCATGCATATCATAACACCGCCGCCCATTTTTCTCTCATGCTGACAAAGTGAATCCCATTTGGTATGCATGCATTTATAGGCCAATATGCTATCATGTTTTTTGTCCTTCATTACTCCGTTCCATACATTGTCGGCGCAGCTTTGATTGGTATCGGAGCTACTACCACAGCGCTCTCTATTTTTTTTAGACTACGCGCGCAATGGGAAAACCAATGGTACAAGCGTTTGGGCTGCTCCATGATTATGGGACTGGCTGTGTGCGGTATGTAACTATAATTTTTTTTTGTACATCCTTACATTTTTCATATTGGGTCAAAGTCATACTCAACATCTAATTTTAGGAATGCACTACGTTGCCATGGTTGGCACTACTTATGAAGTTTTGGATCCAACAGCCACTCCACCTATTCCTGCCTTGACTACCACAGCCCTTATCATTATCATTGCTGCCATCGTGGTTGTTACCTGTGTTGGTCTCATCTCCATCCAAATATGGCAATCCAAGGTTTTACTCAAGAAAACATCTTCTAGCTTGGTGGTCATCGATGCCATCTACTTTGATAATGATGGTAAACTCATGGTCAAAGATGATGGTACTGTTCCCGTGAGCGAGATAAAAATAAATGGAAAACAGGTAAAATCCATGGATTTATATATAACCGAGCCCCCCCCCCCCAATATAATAATGGCAATTTTCCTTTTCGATGATTCTAGTCCGCGGTCGAAAATCTTACTGTGAACAATCCACTTTTTACTATCTTGTTCAAATTGTCTCTTGCCTGGGAGACCAAGAACACCATTCAAAAAGCCATTGATGAAGAACAGCATATTGAATTTCTTCAAGCATTTGACTCGGCTGCCGGTGAACTTGCTGCTCATATAAAAATTAATCATAACGATGTCGGTACTTTGTACGATGGCATGTTATCCAGCGGAACTCAGAAACGTCGTTCAAGACTCAGATTCATGAGCCCCTTCGATAAAGTTTCTCTGGAACAAGACTCAAACAATGGAAACGAGGCTAGAGGGAGCTACACTAAACGGAACTCACAAAAGGGTATCGCCAGCACGCCGACCAGCTCAGTTTTTGATACGTCTCCCAAAACGTACAGTCGTGGAAAGCACTTGTTTTTGGTCAGAAAGCTATCTAATTCATCTGCAGTGAACCATTTCACCGCGCAAGGTTTTCGATTCTCCGATCCCTCATTTATCGCTCAACGCATTGCTGCCAAATTGTCAGTTCCAGACGATTATATGCTTTGGCAGTTGCGTGAAATGCAAATGTTCGCTGATCAAGGTATGCGTATGAGCATGGAAATCGATCGTCCAATCGCTACCAAGGCCATCTCTAGTGTCTATATGGGTCTACTTGTTCTGATTGAGGGTGCAACACCTTCTGAAAGTGCCAGCATTGTAGTGAACAGAGACAGGCGCTTTTGCTTGCCTATTGTCCAACTCAAGGGTGAAGATGTAGCCGAGCATCGTGGTCCACTCAAGCCAAGTGAAAAGGCATATCTTGCCAATCTACAGTTTTCTACTATGTTGGACACTATTATTCCGCAAAGCCGATCGTCTACCTCCAATGAAGCAACTGCCAGTTTCCTGAACACATCAGGACCTTCCGCATTGCATTTTATGAACGCATTCCAACAAGCTGCCAAAGCATTAGCCAACAAATCCACTTACTCTCATCTAATTGCTTCCAGAGCTTCTTTGCATCGAGATGTTATCGAAATGCCAGCATTTTCTCTCACCCATCAACCATGCCAGCTCATTTTATACAAGGCATACATTATCTCGCCCGAGATTGCTGTATCTATCAACTCGTCCTCTACTGATGAAGTCAAATGCTTGTCGTTGCCTCTGTACAGATCTATCTGGGAAGCCACCACACAGGAAGCTATTCAAGCCTATCTGAAAAAACGCCAAACTGCAGTGCAGGCCATGACTCAACGACAGCTCTATGTGACTCAAAGCGTTCAATCCAATTATTCATATGAAGTCAGAAGCCCTGAAACGGACTTGACTTCCTTGACCTCCTTGCCACCTCCTCCGCGTGCCAGACGTTCTCGTACACCCAAGCCTAAACCGGTTCCTAACACAAAGCTAGGGAACTTCCTCGGTGGCAAACTTGGTCGAGAGAATTCGGATGGCTTACAGGAACATGATATGACCGAGTTCACCGAAATGATGCCTATTTTGTCAACCGCTGAGCGGTTTCAATGGTTGGAAGATGTCATTGACGAGATGACAGATTCCTTCTAAACACACTGCCGATATCAACCATGGGTGTTGACTTAATTTCTTCATATCTTTCCATCTCTTAACTTGCAATTTTCACCTATATATTTTTTTTTGGTTTTCTTCTTTTAATTGTCTTATTCATGTATAGTTTTCGCATTATATTTCCCTATTCTTTTGTACACTGTGTTTTGCCTTCATTTTACCTTCGTTTAGATCTTTCAAAAGTGTCTAGATAAACAATACGTGAGGTCTCTCTACATCCCATTCATATAAGTAAGCTATGGCATAGTATGAAAATCATTAATATAGTAGTACGAAGGGGGGTGGTATTTTATTATTTTGACTCTGTCAATTCCAGGCAGGCAACATTGTTTAAGCTGAAAAGATTCCAAGGACAAGGAACATGACCGATCCAACCATTCTAAATGCTGCAAGGCCAGCGGTTGCCCACAGAATAAAGGAGAGGTACGAGTTGCCAGTGGAGGGCGAGAAAAGGTTGCTAAAGCTGGCGGAAGTGACGACGGCAACCAATAGCGCATTGCAAGCAATCCATCCAAGGACCAGTTGTGTTCGGAATGACCGATACCAGTCCTCCTGTTGAGTTTTAGGATCTACAGACTACATATCGACAAGTTAGCGAACAGCATATTATGTTACTACTAGACCGCCTAAACTTACATTGTCATCTTTGTCCCGTTTGGTACTCAAGTCAACCACTGCCTCCTCGTATTGCAAGTTGATATCAATCTGTTCTGCTGGCAGCTCGACTTCAACAGCTTCAATGCCATGCTTCGTGGTGGATTTGGCTATACCCAAATCCTTTTCCAGAGTGTTGACACCTTTTGTACCCCACGAAACGTCATGCGTATTGCAAAATGCATAGACGGTTAACAAGTTGGTAAAGCTAGGAAGGAGCAGCATGTACTGTAGGAAACTTGTAATCAAGTGCCAAGGGTCTCGATGGAGGAAACTGCTGATCACGTAGATGGCATATGTTGCCAGCATGGAAACAACAATGTTGCGGAATTCATTGTTAGCCCAGAAGATAGCCAGATTAGCGTATGCGCTATTGGTCCACTGAGTATCACTGATGTTGGTTGAAATGCCCTTGTACGTTAGCCAGCTGGCAGCGAAGATGACATATGCCATGACAATAGCGAACGTGTACAATGCAAACGCAAACATGAACTTGGATCTGTGTGGGCGAAAAATGAGTAACAACCTCCAAAAACTGTTTGAGTACTATGTCCTGCACAGACTGTGACATACCCTTGTGGCCGATTGCCCATACTGCAGGTAAACACAATGATCAAGAGAAACAAGTAGACGTATCGAAGGCCATCAAAAAATCTGCCTCCCCAGCCATTTCCAAATGGATCGAGAGTAGGGTCAGCCAGACTTTTGGTGACAAAATAGAAAATTATATAGAAGTTGCCCTGTTGAGCCAACACGGGTTAGAAATGGGTGGCAAAAGAATTTTGCCATAGTTCAACACGAAAACATGTCACTTACCAAGGCAAACCAATTAAACAGCAAATTTACAAAGTTATAGATACATTCAATAGAGAGTAGAAGGGTTCTGGTCCAAGAGTGACCACTTCGCCAAATAGAGAAGAAGTTCCAAAGCGCATAGACGGCCGCAAAGAAACTACCGTTCAACCATCTCCTGCGCTGAGAAATAAATTCTGGCAGCTTATCGGGGACGTCGGTTTCACCAAAGGCAGATTTACAATAGTGCAACAGCCATCTCTCTTGTTTCTTGGCAACCAATTCAAAGCAAAGGATGCGATCTTCAGCAAGGTACATGTTTGCGTTGAAAATACCAGCATTCTTTTGTGCATTGGATTCCTCGCCATTAAAGTATCGTTCAAGAGGACCACGTCCATTGACGTCGTTTTGAAGAGCTCGATATCGATAGGCTGAAAAGGCACCAGGAAGAACCGATATATATCCAAAAATCGATTCCATTGGTTTGTCCAGGATATTTGACATTTTGTATTCAAAGTTTTGTGCAGCCACAAGTGGATTCAGCAAATTGACGCCAGCAGAACCCAACATAGCACGGATTTCTCCACAAGCACCACCTACATGTGGGTTTCGATTGAATACTTTCCAAAGCTGGTAGATACTGACGTTGCCCGGGCGAGTTCCAACATCCAGGAGGACGCATACATTAGGATCCAGAATAGGACCAAAGGCATTAAAGAACCATCTATGTGAATTGATCTTCTTGGCATTGTGTTCTTTCATACAAAACATAATCTGTACTGGCACAATTCCCTGTTGTTATAAGGTGATATAAACAGTTAGACACGACCGTGGAAGTTGGAAAGAACCATTTGCAAGGAAATCGATGTGTTAATATTACCTTGTCAGCTCCTTTAAAGTCCAAATTAGGATCTACGGACAATTGTGTAGTAAACTATGACGGTGATCAATAATTAGTATTACATTCTTGCATTGAGTAATCCAAGAAATTTAAAAAACAAAAGTGGCACTTACTTCGTATATATGGGCCTTAACAGGCTTGTCGTTCACAACATTTTTAGCAATTCCTCCTTGGTAGACGCCCAGTGTGGCCAACACACTAAGGACGCGTTTATCACATTGCTTGCGTCCATCAGCAACGATGCAAACGACGACCTTTTGCCAGCCGTCTGGTCCCCATACAGGGGACCCTCGGAGTGTGCATAAATGGGCTATATTCTTCATGATGCCATGCATAGTGCGAGCAAATAAAACTTCATCTTCCTACGAAAAGTGTGTGGATTAGTAACGGTAGCTAGGAAAACGCACCGTACATTCAACGTCCCTTGCTTACATTGTACATTGTAACAACTATAAACAACTCTGTCTGTCTGCCATAAATTCTAGGGCGCAGGGTATATCCGCTTGTTTGGAAATCGTCCGGATCACAGGTAGCGGCGGTATATCTCATGTGAGTGAACTCTTCGCTGTTTCGTCTTGGAATAGCATCTAGTAATTTTTCTGGTATAGCGCAGTCAAGGACGAGATTGCCTTTGACAAGAGGTACCCTTTTGGTTTTGTAACGTCGCAGCTGGTGATGCGGTCTAGTTTTTGATTCTTTCGATGCTGCTTCGTTGGTAATATCGCCTTCTTCCACCAACGTATTGGCACTATCCGAACGTAGTCGCTGTCCAGGATCCACTGTCTTAGGACGATGTCGGACAGGAGGAGGAGGAGAAGTGGCCATCAATGGGATATCGGACTGAGGTCTAGATACATTCGACCTAGCGACACGACCAGGTTGTACTGACATTGGGCGTCTTTCATGGCGATTTACGTCGGCTAAAGGGGTCAAGATTTCAGACAAAGGTGGAGGGGTCGCTGGTGTGTCTGGCAAAGGCTCTCCTAAGGCGGTTTGCTGCGGCTCGTCGGGTTTTCCATAATACCTGCGAAACATGGTTTTTTTAAAAGGATATATTATGTTTCCCAAGCAGTATGAAACGTGAAAAGTCTTCAATCGTTGTGTGCATATTCTTTTGGTTGGTCGCGAATATCTTTTAATTGCCTTTTTGAGCCGTTTGTTTTTGTAACGGCAAAAGGATAATGATGTAAAATAACAATAATAATACCATTCCGTATTATGTTCCATAGCACAGAACATCCAACAATCTTCAGAAGATCTAGGCATAGTTTGACCTTCACGTTTATTAGAAAGCAGCTAGTCGATTTATGCTCCTACAAGTATTGTCGTGAGGATGCTCCAGGCACTTGCCATTTATGACAATTTTTAGAGAGCACAACTTTGTCGTCTGTGGTTGACAAGCAATTTGGTAGAGTGCACCGACAACGCTAGATAAGTTTTTATCATGAATTGCAGAGAAGGCTATCTGTCTTGGTTATTTGCTCGCGACTTCTGGTTCCTGTCAAAGTGAAGTGAAGTCGGAGTGAATTTTTGTTTTTAACTCTGTCGCCGAACGGCTGAACCATTTGACCTAGCCATGGCCGACAAGGAATTACCAATGCCGTCAAGGCAAAAGGACCTATATGATAACTGGAAAGTCTACTCTCAAAGCGACAAGCTCATGTTTCGCTGCAGCAAGTACGCCTCCATTTAATTTAGTGACAATGTTACTGCATCCTTCGTATTTATGGTTTTGAATGCACTACCATCCATTGCAGAAAAAAAGCAGATTGGTACCTTAGTCGGGATCTAGCTGCCTTACTTCCGGAAGACAAGGCAATAAAGCTTTCATTTGTGGCCAAAGGAGATGGACACGCTGAAGGAGATTATATGGTTGAGGACAAGGCTAACATTTGTGTTAGCTGTGGGACGTCCAAAGCTCTCACCTTGCATCACATTGGTAAGAGGTTAATGCTGTGTAGCAACATAAGATACATCAAATAACGAATTGTTCATAGTCCCAGATATGTACAGAAGATGGATGCCAGAGGTCATAAAGTCTAAATCGGTAAGTTCCATTGTTTGATTTATACTCGACGGATAGTTTACTCATCAGGTGGTACCATTTCAGAGCCGGGATTTGGTTGTGTTGTGCAAGAACTGTCACTTGAAATATGAACAGCAGGCGGATAAATACAAGGAATGCATTGCTGCAGAATACGACATGCCTCTGGAGGGTCGTGGTTGGATTTTGACGCCCGATAATAGTATTGTACGAAAAGCGGCTTCAGCTGTGGCCAAATATCGCGACGGGAAATTGCCACTTATACCGTTGGATCGAATACAACATCTTCATAAGGTTGTGGATGACTGGCAACTTGAACAGGGAATGAGCGGTTCTAAAGACGAGATATTGGAATGCGCCTTGCAGTTGACAGATAGGCATAAAGGGGTTCATTTTGTTGACCATGGCCAATATGTTGTGGCTCAGCTCATGGAGGATGAGATGGTGATACAAAACAATAGAACGAGGTGGCCGGATCTTGAAGATTTTGTGAAAAGCTGGCGTAGACATTTCCTCAAATACTGCGATTGCGACTATCTAAGCGAAAAATGGAGCGTTGACGCAGATGTATATGTACAATAGTTGCTGGCTTAATCCTCAAATCCAAATGTTATATAATCACTCTGTATATATTTACATCCATACTTCCATGGTAACCTCATCATGCCACAGACAAGTAAAGTTTATCGGCACGATACCATTGTTTCCATTTGCGGCAATGCCGTTGTCGATACATAGAACGTTATTTTGGTGTTTGACAGACCATTTTGCCAAAAGACTTAGAATAAAATGAACAGCCATGCACATTGAAATATGTTGAATTAGGCTTGCGTACTAAGCGAAGGTCGATTGTGATGGAAAGGGATCATGCCTTCCAAATTTCGCACACTAGAAACATTTTATTAATGTCGATCAGATCAAATGGGATTAAAACATAATCTGGGTCAAGTGATATTTTGAAAAAACAATCAAAATGAAATTCACTGTGATTACAAAAATGAATCCAAAAATCTGAACATGCTTTAGCTAAAGGAACAACGCAACGGAAAAAAAAGGTAGAGAGAGGGTAGGCTGTGGACTGCAGCTAGGTTAGATGAAATCCACCTGACACCGATGTGATACCACATTGACTCTGAAGCCAACGGCATTCTCAAACGTTAAAATAGCTTTACTTAACCCATTGGAGACATGGTTGCTCTGCTGTGGAACAACGTGGTCGACGCTACGGAAAGGTGAACGAGCTTAGAGTAGGGATGTCCCACTGGTCACGTGCGAAGCAATGGGTTTGCCTGTAACAATTGCCAATTTGATACTTTTCAACTGGGCCATCCTATTCTCTACATCTTATACAAGATCAGCAGCACTTCGCCACAAAGCAACCATCTGCAGTAACGGTCCGCTTTAGAGTGAAATTGCGCCATAGCTGAAAAGAGCTATTTGTAATTTCGCCCGCCCACTTGTCTACCCCCCTCGGCACTAATCTTGCGCTAAATAAGCGGATTGGATCTCGATTGCTTCATGCAAACGACTATAACGAAATTATCAGATCACACAGTTGCAAATGTCTGATAATACAGCTGTTGGACTCAGATGGATGGATGGCGGGTCGCCAAAATTACCTTCCGTAGCATCTTTATGTCCAGATCGAGAAAAAGCAAAATGCTTACCGGACCATACACGCGACACTAAGCTGAGTGCATCGCAGCCTACAACGAATATCGCTACAACATGGCAATCAGTGCACTTTGATGTAAATGACAGCCCATCAAATCGAAAACGAAGTAGGGACTATGTGCCAAACGAACAGATACATAAGCGTGCCTGGGTAGACTCCAGAAAATACATCCCTAACGATGCGTATGGTCTGGATGAGAGCGACGTTGACACAGTGAGAATCATGATAACCATATGTAGACAGCCATCACAAAACCGGTATTCATTTAAATCAACCCTTCCTTAGATTTTAGACTGTACCGCTGATATTAGCGGTACACTTGGTCATCATGAATTAAATGTCAGCTCTCCGACGTCGTTTTCACCCTCACCCACGGATGATTCAGGAACAACATCCGCGAGGAGATCGAGGAGTCGTAGTGTAGGAAATTTATCGGATCTAGATATACGAGACCTCGACCGTCTAGTCAGTAAAGCGAACCAGGTGGTTGAAATTTTTGAGAGAGCTAAGCGACGAATATCGGTAGGGATTGGCTATATCTACTCAATTGTCACAGACTCGCGAGCGTAAATTTGCTTACATGTCTCTCAACATATTATCAGGGATCAAGTGGTCCAAGCACGCCGCAGCCATCCATCAGTATGAACGGAGACTATATAGATCCTACTCGATCAAAAACCGAGACCATGGAAGAGCTGGCGGAAATTTCGCAACAGCGACGAGCCATCGCCATGGCAGGAGCGCGCTCTAAACCCGATCTGGGCACGTCGTCCATCTCGATGTTTCGATATGCAGACAACTCGAAAAAGAAACCTGTAAGTGAGATGAACGGCATTGAATATGATAGGAGCACTCGAAACTAAACATGCCTACATTTTAGAAGCGTGCTGGCACAGAAAAGCTAAGGTGTCACTCTTGTCATAGGTAGAGTTTCAATTTCATTGTCCTGCCCGGATAGCATTTCCGTAACGCGTCGTACTGAAATACCGACCGCCCTTTTCCTTTACAGTACGGAAACTCCGGAATGGCGAAAGGGCCCTATGGGACCACGTACGTTGTGCAACGCCTGCGGTTTGATCTGGGCAAAACTTGCACGAAAAAAAGGCCAATCAGGCGATCGAATTAAGTTGCCTAGAGAAGATAGTCCACAAAACCATGTGTCAGCATCCGGCACTGCGTTTACATTCAATTTTTCTGCTGATCCCACAACACACCAATTACCAAGTACAGTGGATTCAAGTAGTAATAGTAGTTCCTCGGACCCCTATTATTTCTTATCGGACTCGCAAGTCGAGACCAACACTCGTCGTCAAGATACCCACAACAGCCGAACTGACGACTCTAGAGGCGATAAGTTTAAGCTATCTTTTCTCTTGGATTGATGAAGTCACTGAGCAAATCGCATCTCAATACCCATCCAAAAACTCTCCATTTTTTTTTTTTTGCTTTTCAGTATCCCCTATCCCCTGCTGTCTATCTGTACCATATCTTTTTGCATGCTTTGTCCTTTAGCCATCCACCCAACGCTGTACTCTTTCCCCCATCATATCTGAAAAAACCCTTCAAATTCAACTGGAATATACTGCATTTCAGAAATATCATAACTCCATTCAAATCAATACCTTTCACAACCATATTTTGTTTAATGAAAAAAATGAAATTAATGCAACTGACAAGATATAAAAGTACATTGGAGAAACACTATGCTTTGGAACCCTGATAAGTAGGGTCCTGGCTAGGATACTTTGTCTGTTTGCCTGCAGAGCTTGGTGGAGCAGGTATTTTCAAGTCTGCGAGGCTGATCTCCTTCGCTGCTGCTGAAGACACAAAGGCAGAGGATTAGTATGTTGTAATTGCAAACTGGGCATACACATTGAATGTTTTCACTCACGTTTCGATGTAGTAGCAGCCTTAGGCTCGGATCGCGGTCCTTGTGGTCTAGGTCTACCCCATGCTACTCGTAATGTGTGGCCCTTAATGATACATCCTGTCTCGGAGGTCCTTTCTGCAGCATTTTCGGCACCAACTCTAGTGGCATAGTTGATGAACGCACAGCGTGACTTGTATACAACCACTACGGACTTGATTTCACCAAATGCGTAAAAGAAATCTCTGTGAATGGATGAAGGTGATGGTTAATACATATTATATGACATTAAAAGAAATAACCAGAATTCGTTCTTACCTCAAGTCTGGTTCGGTGATATCTTCTTCTATGCCAGTAACGAACATTGACGTCTACAATGTATAATTAATAAATTATTCACTCATTGACCAATTCAAACACCTGTATAATACTTACCACTGACTTATCCTCTGGAGGTGTCAGCGCGGTATTGCCACCTCTCACTCTGTTCAGCATTTTCTTAGCGACGGGGTCGTTTGTACCGTAGTATCTGTCTCGTATATTCTGATGCGTCAAATCATTATCTTCAGGAAGTTCGTGTCTACAAAGATAGAAAAAGGTCAGTCATCTATTCTCTTAATGCAAGCTCACTTCTCAACACATACCTATAAGGGCACTCGTCGCCACGTTTACACTCTCCTTTGACAAAGAAGGAACAGATATGGGCTCTGTTACGTTTGTAGTATGGCTCATTTCGAGCGATTCTCTTAAGAACTTCCTTTCCTTGGGCAGATGCTTTGTCGTAGTCAATCAAACTTGACCCATTCTCTATCTAGTTCGGTTGTCAGTACTGGAGTGTTATGCAATTGCACTATTGCTGTCGATCTACTCACCTGTTCATCCATATTTTGAGCAAAGTATTGTCGGTTGATGTCGGATTGTGGAGCGTTGGATGTAATGTTCAAAGCGGCATCTCTGACTTGGGTTGGAAGACCTAATGTCGCCGTGAAAAATGTGAGTATTTTCTAATATCGCAGAGCATTTCACTTGGTGATCCACATACCGTATTGGAGATCAAGTACACAAGTCTGGCACACATTCTTCATTTTGGCGCAGCTCTGGCATACTTCTGTCTTCTTGTATCTCATACCCAAACCTGGGAGCCATCGAAAGACTGTAAACGGTCTACCACAAATCTATCAGGTTGATTAGCGATCATGGTTTCAAACTCATTAAAGTAGCAGTGATTAAGGGAGTAGGTAATTACCTTGCATTCTTTGCCATAGTTTTGCTTGGTCTGAAGACGGTGATCGTGTACGTTAGTGTTCCGTTATGGCTATCCGTAATATATGTGGTGGCATTGCTAACAATTACTTACCATGCGCACATATGGATTCTCTCCAAGACACGTTTCGCAGAGAATAGGGAATTCCTGTAAATGCGATTAGTTCCAAAGTGCATTGAATGGTACCTTTATCAGTTACAAAAACTTACTGCTGCTTCCCATCCTTGCTTGTTAGGATCAGCCTTGGTCAAACTCATTATCAATCGTGCCAACCAGTGGATCAACGAGATCTTAGCAGCTCAAGGAAATTTTAAGTCAACGTCAGACGGTCACGTGCTCGTCGCGTCCCTTTTTTTTTGCTGGTTCCCTACTCGAAAAAAACTGACAAAAAAAACAATTTTTTATAACGCGACTTCACTTCGCTTCATTTCGTCGCTCTAGCCAAAATGTCGAACCCACCATCAACACCTCAAAGGTCACATGGCGATGGAAGTTTTACTACTCCTACTTCCAGAAGACACTCCAATTTCCTATCGTCTCAACCTGATTACCCTTCATCCCCTCTTGCCTATCCTTCATCCACTGGAGACACACCGCGTACACCATTTAGAACACCTGGTAGAAGATCAGACATAGGTGGGTCGTCATTCCATATCGACGATGCAGCATCTTCACCACTTCAATACCCATCGACTCCTATGCGTGGAGATATTGGTTCGCCCAGAACTCCAAGAACTCCCTTCTCCTATGTTCGAACTCCTGGTAACCTTGGTGCTGGCCATAGTACACCGGGTGTTTCAACTGGAGGTCAACATGCAGCATATCCTTCTTCCACTGGAAACTTGGACTCACAAGTTTCAGATCCCTCCATTTCTGTTCGTCTCATTTGGGGAACTACTATCAATATCAACGAAGCCATGGGTAGCTTCCGCGAGTTCTTGACCAACTTTACTCTTCAACAACGAAAGGCACTAGTCAATGAAGAAATTCGCGATGAAGATAATCTTCCATTCTATCCTCGTTTGTTGAATCAGGTAAAATAACCTCATCCTTGTGAGACGTATTAGGGACTAGGAACGCCGAATTTGCGAGGATCGATTCTAACTACCTTTCTCTATACTCGTCTATAGATGCGCACAACCGAGACATTCAATATGAACTTGGATTGCCGAAACCTTCTTGCCTATCGACGTACAAAGAAACTTTATGACCAACTGATCAAGTACCCTCAGGAAATTATTCCTCTGATGGATCACACTTTGACCAACTATTTCTTGGAACAATTTGATGTGGACTTGAATGGTCAACAGCTGAAGGTGCGACCTTTTAACCTTGACCATTCCGTCAACATGCGAGACTTGGATCCACAGAGTAAGTTTGCATGGTATGGAGTATATTTGGTGAAAATGGGTTAAATAACTCATGGCGAATTCGTTCCAGATGTGGATCAACTCATCACTGTCAAGGGTCTGTTGATTCGTGCCTCTCCCATTATTCCGGATATGAAGGAGGCTTTCTTTAGATGTTTGATCTGTGATTATACAACCATGGTCGGCGTTGATCGTGGCCGTATCATTGAGCCCACCAAATGTCCTCGTGCACAATGTCAATCGGAAAATTCCATGTCCCTTATTCACAATCGCTGCGTCTTTGCCGACAAGCAAGTTTGTCGACTGCAAGAAACACCAGGTATGTAAAGTGATTGATTGTGGTGTGGCGAAGAAGTCATGAAAGTGGCTGACATGAGTTTCAAATAGATTCCATTCCTGATGGTCAAACACCTCAGACTGTTTCGATTTGCTTGTATGATGATTTGGTTGATGTTGCCAAGCCCGGTGATCGGTAAGTTGGGCCTAGAGAGTGCAAGCAGGGGTGTGCCAGCACTGGTCGATCATATTGGTTGGCTGGTGATCAAGGGATTACGTGGTGGAAATGATGCACGATCTTGTATGCTAAATATTTCTCTATCTTTCTATAGATTGGAGATCACTGGTATCTTCCGTGGTGTTCCTGTTCGTGTCAACCCAAGACAGAGAACCATCAAGGCACTGTTCCGAACTTACCTTGATGTTGTTCACATTAAGCGATCTGATCAAAAGCGTCTTGCCATCGATCGCAGCATTATCAATAATGGTAATGCCGTTGTCAGGTACTGTATTTTGAAACATGATGTAGTGAAAATTGATAGTATTATTCATACTTAATGATTTCGGTTTTTTTTTCTTAGTTACGATGAAGGTGATGAAATTCATGTTGTCAACACCAGTGAGGAAGACGAAATCAAACAGCTTTCACAAAAGCCAGATCTTTACGACATATTGTCTCGGTCCCTCGGTAAGCAATATCGACAAACAAAAGTGAAGAAGTCCACAAGTATGACTACCATTCTAATACCCTGTTCCACTTGTATCTATAGCACCATCTATCTATGAGTTAGATGATGTGAAGAAGGGAATTCTGTTACAACTATTTGGTGGCACCAATAAGACGTTCACCAAGTCGGGCTCTCCCAGATACAGGTATTGTACTACCCTATTCCTAAAGCATAAACGCCCACTAGCGCTCACCCGATCGATTTGCTCTATATGAACATTGTAGAGGTGATATCAACGTCTTGTTGGTTGGTGACCCTGGTACGAGTAAATCTCAACTATTGCAATACGTTCACAAAATCGCACCACGAGGCATATATACGTCTGGCAAAGGTTCATCCGCCGTAGGTTTAACCGCTTATATCACAAGAGACCCTGACACCAAACAGCTTGTGCTTGAAAGGTATGTAGGAAAGTAGCATCAGAAAATTTAGAACGCGATCACTTTCATTAATTATACCCTTTATCTTTTATCAGTGGTGCTCTTGTACTGAGTGATGGTGGTGTATGCTGTATTGATGAATTTGATAAGATGTCGGATGCCACTCGTAGTGTACTTCACGAAGTGATGGTAAGACAAAGGAAAATGATACACTTATTATGCACTGATAAGGCTGAAAACTTTATATGATATTCATCTAGGAACAACAAACGGTGTCAGTAGCGAAGGCTGGTATTATTACGACACTTAATGCACGAACATCGATCTGTGCTTGTGCCAACCCCATTGGATCTCGCTGGAACAAGCACTTGTCTGTGCCAGCAAATTTAGATTTACCCCCACCTTTGCTTTCCCGTTTCGACTTGCTCTATCTCTTACTAGACAAGGTTGACGAAGATGCTGATCGACGACTCGCTCAACATCTTGTAGCCCTTTACATGGACGACAATGTTGTCACTGGTGGAGTTAACATATTGGTAAGTGAAAATATACCGTGAGTGATTTTCGAAAAGTCGCATCGGGGAGGGGTATATTGATGATTATTTTTTTTCACGGGAATGAACTCTTATCTGATAAAAAAAAATGGTCTTTTTTTCCGAACGATTAGCCTGTGGAGAAACTCACCAAATACATTAGTTACGCCCGTAACAAGTGTAACCCGGTTCTTGGGGAAGACGCTGCTCGAAGACTCATCGATTGTTACGTTGAACTTCGGAAACAAGGTGAAGACCGTAGTTCCTCGGAAAAGAGAATCACAGCCACCACTCGACAGCTTGAATCGATGATTCGAATGTCCGAGGCACATGCGCGTATGAGGTATGTCTTATCAGTTATGAGTGTTACGATCGCACCAAAAAAAAAAAAAAGAAAAAAAAAAAAAGACAAACAGGGCTAATCCGAATTGAACTGCTATTCAGACTGTCTCCAACTGTGGAAGTATCTGATGTCAACGAAGCATCACGTCTTTTGCGTGAAGCCATCAAAGATTATGCCACTGATCCCAAGACAGGTCGTATTGACATGGACTTGATATTGAGTGGCACTGGATCACACGAGCGCCACATTAAGGATGATCGGGTGCGAGAACTCAAGACCCTATTGCTAGCATACGAAAGCAGCAGTATTGGATGGACCAAGTTGATGAATGACTTTAATGAACAAAGCGATGTGGTGAGTGGTGGTAGGATTGCATCATCATTGTATTTCAAATTGTCTAATCGCCCTTTTGATTTCAGCCGGTTGAAGCAAAGGCATTCGAAGAGGCAGTGGAAACACTTCAAACTCAAAATGTTGTCAAGGTTACCGGTGATGGAAGAAAACGGATGGTTCGACGACTGATCAATAGCGACGAAAGCGAGTTTTAATGGGATAAATTAATTAAAAATAGCATATTTCTGACGATCTCACTTTGCTTACCGTAAGAGGCTCTTTTGAGGGCTCAACTTTGCGCATGTGCGTTCGGCAATTTCCTTTCTTGTGCCGGTTCCAACGCTGGGATTCGATCTAGAGTCAGCGCGGGTCAAAAAACCCGTGATGGGGGGTTTCGTCTATGGTTCAAATCTATGCCTAGCCTTAGCAGCTATTGTCAGTTCACAACGTTCTAGGCATGTATACACACTTCCGAAGCGGGTAACTGATAAGATAGTATGCTGTAAAGTGGGTTTACAAAGGGTCATATGTCCGCTAAAAGTTTAAATGCCTTGCGTGTCGGGGGGGAACGCTGATAGCGGTCGGGTGAAAACGGGACGTCATCGAACTGTCCAATCAGGCAAGTTAACCAAACGATGCCAAACATCAGAGACCTACTCAACTGTAGGCAAACACTGAACGCAAAGGTATTGCTGTGATAGTGAATGCTATTGGATGAAAGCTAAGGATGGGGTGTTATGGAAAAGACTGAGGATAGGGGAGTTGATAACGTTGGTGGGTATCTATGGTTGTACGAACTCCATTTATGAAATATGGCATTTACGACAAAGTTAGAAGCTCAGAAAAAACAACGTGAGGTACTTTGAATCCATGATGGCTGGGGGAAGCAAAGCAGTGATAGATTTTTTGACTCCCCGAGCTATCAGGCCACCATCAATACCCGCGGGTCCTTTTGGTTGCGGCTGATTCCTATTTGTTCCACCTTTGCCCTGAACGCTTTGCTTCGTTTTCTTATATACTGTTTTGCTTTACTCCACACGGTATTGCACTCTTTGTATTAGAAACATTGTTGTTTTGATTAAGAATCTGAACAGCGGATATTTTTCATTCGAATGTATTGATCATCCGCATAGCTGTCATTACCTTGGTTCTTTTTTTAAAAGTCATCGTGTTTCTACTCAGAAAGGCAAACCACAGGCTACCCTTCTCCCATTGTAATTATTTATTCTCTGGGTCTTCCCCGAAAGCCGTATTTACTTTTTTTGTTCCAACGCCTCTCCTCACACACACATTTTCTCCAGTAGGACCGAGCATCTCCTTTTCTTCCTTCTTTCTTTCTTTCTTTATTTCCTCTTTACCCCATCTAACGCATGCAGCTTACAAACAAAGGCCATGAGCCTTCTACCCAGCAGCAGCAGCAGGACAGTAAACATCGCAGGTCGATCAAACAGTCTACAGTGGCAGAGAGTCTGTTGAGTGACACGTTGTTTCCTCCGAGGAAGCCAAAGCCGGCTCGTATGATCTACGATGACACTTTCGATAGTGACAATGAACAATCCGAAGACAGTGACAAGGATCCTGTTAAGAAGGATCCGTTGGCTACGCAAGTATGGAGAATGTATACCAAAGCAAAGGACAATCTACCCAACGGCTCCAGACTGGAAAATTTAACGTGGAGAATGATGGCTATGACTTTGAAAAAAAAGGAACGAGAAGCAGCAGCCTCTTCCACCGTATCGTCTCCACAAAGCGATGTCGTCGATGATAGAATCCGGCATACTTCTCAACCTCCTTCCACCTTCAAGTATCATGAAGACGACTACCACCATCCTATGGCTTTGGACCATGACGTCGCAGCCAAGAAAGATAAAAATACCATGCAGCAGTCAGAAGCCCTTGTGCAGTCGCAATACCGAGGTGCAACGGGTACTGACCCACCCGAGTCCGATGATACCACTGCTCTCTTATCATCATCAGCTCCTCCGTACATGTTTGATTTCTTGAACAGCAACCCCGCTTTAACCAATAGAACCGCCACCCAGCCAGATTCCGGAGCCAGCAATACTTTGGTTTCCGGCAGTACCAGAGCCTTGTTACCTGGAAAGTCTACTGGCGCCATGTCGAACCGTGGCGGTCTACACCAACATACGGTGAGTTTCATCGTGCCTTGATGTTCTTTGTTTTGTGCGCGCCCTCAATTAATCAATGGCATTTTTACCCCTTTCTCAAACGTAACCAATCTTAGCCCACTAAACGTGCGTCTGTCGGTGGATATTCTCCAAAGCTCAGCACTCTCAGTAGTATCACTATACCAAGTACTTTACCAGAGGATTCCGATATGGACGAAGATGAACAATCAACTTCTTCTTCCGTTGCAACTTCTCCTTTCGCATTCACATTTGATCAGAAGTCAGCCAGCCACTCTTTACCGGCTTTCGGTCCCTACCACCAACAACAGCAAATGCGCATGTTCCATCCCGGTTCCAGCCCTAATCCTTTAATATCCAGCCCACCACCTATTATTCCAGAACATGAAGCTCAAAACGATGGTTACTTTATGGGTCATCGTTTTTCTGAGCATAGAAGCGCTAGTCCTGGAGCATCTTCACTTTTGAGTCATGGACCCTTGAACCCTGCCAATGCCGGCAGTATGAGTTTTGAAGATCTACTGACTTTGTATTATAATGGCTCAGCACCTGTCCACGATGGAAATCCGGAAATGTTCATGAACCAGAGACCACACATCACCCATCCTTCTACGCCCGATCTTCAACATGAATTTGGGAAATTAGGCATGCTACAAATGAACGGTCCGGCTTCACCGTCTGCCGATTCTGAAGAATCATCCTCTTTTGATAGCAACAGCCATATGACAAATTCGTTTACCAAAGGTAAGGATTTTTTTTAAAAGCGGGGAATTGAATGCATGAAAGTTGTGGTTATCATGTAATCTAAACTTTTTTTTTTTTTGTCGTCCCATTTGATAGACGATTCTGCTGACTCGCAACTAAATTCATATGCATCGGATCGACGGGATAACACGGAGGCAACTTTACCAGATATCTCAGGCAAGCGGGAGTCTCAAGGCCAGCTCAACCTAGCCAAAATGCCTGGAGCAACCAACGGTATCACTCGATGTACCAATTGTAGTACCACGACGACACCTCTTTGGAGAAGAAATCCTGAAGGTCAACCCCTTTGTAATGCTTGTGGATTATTCTTAAAACTTCATGGAGTTGTGCGACCACTCAGCCTGAAGACGGATGTCATTAAGAAGCGTAATCGATCAAGCGGAGCTGCTCAACCAGCCAAGGCTAAGGCGAAATCGACGTCGGGTGTCAATAGTAAACGAATCTCCGCGAACAACAATGACAATCTGAGATCAACCAATAGCTCGGCCGTTTCTAAGCCAGCGCCACCTCCTCAACCACAAACTGTACGATCCATTACCTTTGCAACCGACGTCTCACGTGGAAATTCCACCCTCAATAAACGACAGCGGCGATCTTCACAAGATGATCTGCCTCAGCAAATCGGTTATCAAGATATGCTGAGATTTTCATCATCAGCTCAAAACGATATACAACGACCTTCTATGCAGCCTCGTTCAAACACTTCTCCAGCTGGTACCATGCCTATTGGGAATGCAAAGAATTACTCAAATGAAGCTGCTGATTCGTCTTCGCCTACTGTTGGTAGTTTGCCATCCTCCTTACTACCCTTGTTGGCTGCTGCTACCAGTCAAACGGCCACCGATGAAGAAAAGATGCAGGGAATGATGTTGTTGCAACAAGTTGCTGCTTCATCTGGTTCCTTCAATGTGAACTCTGCATTATCCCATACGTCAGATTGGAGACCATACAATTGATCGGTAAACTAGCAGGTTTACCATTGTTAAAATTCTCGAACTGTATGTCCTATCATTTGCCCTCTCTCTCTTGTTTCGCTTATCCACTCCCCTCCCCTTATTTTTTCATTTTACTCTATTGTGCTTATAGAAATTTTGTTATGGAGATTCCGACCAACTTTGTAAATAAAAAATCTTGCTTTTGGTCCACCTGGTCTCCCCACACCCCGTCATTCGGCGCCTTCCCAACATGTAAAAATCACGAGATCCACTCTTATCACGCTCTCCTTTCTCTCAATCCAAACCAATCGCTACAAAAGCATGAGAAATTATGCAATGACCAATCTTACGCAGGCAAAACCTACCGCCCTGTCTGCGATTCAACAGACCAGTCTCGACAACAAAAAGTGGATTCTAGTCGGAGCTCAACAAGCTGGTGCCAGTCCAAAGCGAATGGCAGAAATCGCTAGTCTCCCCAAAAGTACTGTTCGACGTATTCTATCCAACTTCTCCAGAACTGGCATACCTTCTACATCGAGTTCTCGTTCTCATCCATGTATATATTAGAGTGTAATTCACAAGCTATCCTCACAAATCGGAATGTTGCACTGACTGCCATTTTCATTGGGTTTTTTATAGACAAAGACATGGCAATAGTGGAATACGACTCTGATGGAAAAGTTACAAATTATGATGACAATGTAATCAGTGTACCTTTTGACTATTAAATTCGGAAATTTGACTAACCAATTTTTTGATGTGCGGAACGATGCGATAACAAGGCCTCCACCGTCAGCCAAAGGTCGTACATTCGACCTAGAGCCAAGGATCTAATCGCATATGTCAAGGCTCAAAGAGCTCTGGAAGAGGCAGGAAATAGCAAGGTACGTATATGAATTTCCCGGCTCCTATAGTGTGCAATTATGCTAATTCCATATCATGGGTGATTCATTTAGACTACCACCAAGGCACGCATGCATCAGAATGTGGTCGCAACCACTAGCCATAGCACGCCACCACCGCCCACTTCAGAAAAGTTCCAATTGATGACACCTCCGCAAGAATCAGATACCATGCAGCGACAGGCAAATGCAACGGCGACGATGATTGCTCCACTTGAAAAAAGTGAACGCCGGTTTTCGCTTCCACCTTCCCCGCCGCTCCACCCAGTACCACTGGACACAGCATTGCCCAGCAAATCCTTGCCTCAAGCCTTTTCTGTCCATGAACCTTGGACTAAACAAGATGATGAAATATTGCTCAAACATGTCTTCTCATCCGTTTCTGACGGAGACTGGACTGCCATTGAGAAAAAGCTGCAAGGCCGCCACCGTGCTTCCATATGTCGTGATCGCTGGAGAAAGTTGCAAGCTGCTATGCTCGATGATTAATAGTAAACCATAGCGAACTATAGTTTTTTCCATTCATATTACGTTCTTAACGATGGGCTGTCGTACCTTTCTCGTAGCTTAATCTCCCACGCCCCTATCCTACTTATTCTCTTTAGTATATTGCATATCTCTAGTTCCTTCCCCATCCCTTTCGCAACTCGCTTATGTACATAGCAAATATCTGACACATGTCTCCATGGCCGCAGTAGGCTGTCTGATTGAATATAATTTTTTTTTGTTACAAAATATATATTTATACGCTTGAAATTGATTTGATGGAATTGAATTGAATTGATAGAGGGTATTATATTGTGCATAATGGAGATGATGAGAGAAGAGTATTATGCCATAAAGGTAGCGACGGAACGAATGAAAGCTGGGGTGAGATTAGGGATAATAGTCAATTTCGGTGGAGGCACTGCGCTTTCATCGTCGAGTTTCTGCTGTCTCTGTTGCTCTTTGCGCAGACGAGTGGCCTCATCTTCTTCCTCATCAGCCGAGTCATCGCTGCTATATAGTTCTTGCTCTTCCTCATCTTCACTCATCTCACTGTCGCTTAGGAATTCCAGTTCCTCCATATCTTGAATCATGCCCAGGCCATTATTCTCTTTGGCGAGATCCATGATATTGACATCGGCATCAACGGCCAATTCATCCTTGAGCCCAGTGCCTTCCAGCACCTTTCTACGTGTGCGTTCCAAGTGTCTGATCTTTCGCTGCAAGTGATAATCACACAGTTTGTTGATTTCAACCTTAAGCTGTGCGTATTGTTCTTCATTCAGGTTTTCTTCAACCAGCTTAGCCATATCGACCTTGCCGGGCAGTCCGGTAGACATGGTGGAGAACAGCTTGTCAATGTACGACAACAGGTCATCGAAAAGATGAGTGGTGTCTTGGGAATGGACACTATGGACGAAGCGATAGAAGTTTTGCTCGTGCTTGTCAATGAGTTGTATGAAAGGCTGTACAGTGTTTCTAACATCTAAATTCGAGAAGAAGTTAGCAATGAATGTCAAGCGACATATGCATGAAAAAGCATGTTTCATTTCAATGCCTACCATCAACATCGATTTGTTCAACAAAAGCGATCAAATCGTCAATAAAGGCAGCAAGTTCAATGATGGAGTCTCCGATATTGGCAGCCTTATACACCTGGGCAAGAGGCTGGTAAAAGATGGCAAAGATATCCTTCAACAGATCACCTGTATTGCCCTAGAAGCCAAAAAAAAAAAAAAAACCGTTAATGGGACTGTCTTCATCTATGTTGCATCAGACTGGATGTACGGACGCACCTGGAAGACAAGTTCAGTCAACATCTCCTGATCACGCTTTCGCATATACAAAACATAGAGTTGGTGCAGTCGCTTAACGAGACGGCGGGATTGCGAGTTCTTCTTTTGTGTAGCAAATGCAACCTTGGTGATTTGTTCAGCCGTCAAAGAAGGCTCGATGTCGGCATTTTGTAACAGACTAAGTGTCTTCATAATAGGAGAAAGTTCTATATACGGGTTCAATGATCAGAATCCCATAATACTACTCTATTGCTCCATCCAACAAAGCCCCTTACCATCATTTTCTTCAATTTCAACAGCAATCTCATTCTCTTGGTACACTGAGTTGTAGATCTTCTTGCAGAGACCAGGATCATCGATGATCTTTTCCACGTTTTCGATGTTCTTTTGCGCCTCCTTTGCTTCCTCCATAAGACTAGCCATGATGATGCTGTTATGAAGTAAACAAATATTACATGTAAGTGAAACCGTTCAAACTCAAAACATGGTATTAAAAAAGAAAAGGTTCTCTCCCGTGTGCTTACCGTTGAAACAAGCTGCGTCCGCCAAATGGTTGGGCCATGAATAAATCAAGCACACCCTTGACCATAGCCATAGGATTGGAAATCTTGAGGACGGTTCGGAGCGTCTTGTATGGGATGAGACCATGCGTGCGTTTCAGATTCATTAAATTTTCAGCTGCAGCGTCGGAGGTCACAAAGTAGGTGTGCAAGACAAACGCAAAACTACCAATGGTTTAGTTGTGGTGAATACCATGATCTCATTCATGACGCTTGAAACTTACTTGATCTTTCCCCACTCAAACGCACGTTGTAGAGAATCAGGTAGATCTCTCAATTGGTCTGCCTTCTTGATTTCGTTGAAAAGACTGATGAGACCACCAGGTGCAATGACTTGTTGCTTCAAAGTTTCAAGTTGTTCATTAAGCTGTTCGACTTGCTTATCGACCTCTTGTCGGAATCGCTTTTCCTCTTCAGCTCGGATGCGGTCTATGTTCTTTCTGTTCTCCATATCCTGTCGTTCTTCTTCAGTCAATGTAATGGGGTCAGTGCTCAAAAAGTCGTGGAAGACGTCGCTGTCGGCTAATCTTGTGTTAATGGCGATACGATGAAGAAAAGCTCTGAGTGATAAGCGATCTTTTTCTCTGAGGGCGTGCTTTCCTTTCTCTGAGTCCCGAGATTTGGGAGCTACATTTGGAACGTCAATGGTGGGGAACTTCTTCTTCAAATCATCGTGCAGTTGGCGGAACTGGCCATGACGTTTGGCAACATAGATGGGAAGATTGGGATCTTCACTATCTTCAAAGTAGGTTTGGATAATGAACTCTGCGTGGGGCTTCTCACCACGAAGAGTACGCTTTTCTCCTACTTCTCGCACAGTGACAATATTGATGTCAAGACCATTGGTGCCAACCCACTGCATGTAGGTATCCTCGTTTTCCAAGTCGGCCAAGTCCCGGCTAAGTTTGTTGACAGACGCTTGGTTTTCAGCGGTCTTGCTTTGGTTCAGCATCTGAGCATCGACTTTAATACCTTCTTCCTTTCCTTGCACAGTCTGGATAGCAGCTCCCAGCAAAATGACAATCATCTTTTCCACCTTGTATTCCATTTTCTTTCTCTGCGATACCTCATTCTTGTCGGAGGAACCAATCCTTTTCTTCTGGAATTCAGTTAGGAAAGTCTCGCATTTGCCCCAGAACTTGTCATCTTGCTCCTTCTTCAAAAATGGAAACTCCAGAACAAAGTTTTTAAAGATGTAGCGCAAGAACGGCAAATCGGAGTCGTTCAGGTCTGTATCTTGGTCCAAAAGTGTCTTGAAACTTGCACTCTGTGTCAGTTTATCCAATTCAATATGAATCTCCTGTGTCACTAGTTCTCTTTTGAGATAATGGGTTTCCTTTGCATTCAAGTCGAAAGCTAACAAAGAACAGAGGAGGCTCAGCAGGGGTACAAGAAAATGAACGTGTCACATAGTCGGATACCATCCATATACGTACCTATCATGTTGAATAATCCAGAGGCAAGCTTTGAAAAAGTCTATACAGGGGTTAGGAATGGAGGAAAAGTGAGATGGGAAGAAGTTGGCTTGAGATTCTCGGTTTTATGACCAGCACTGTCGAGAATACTGGCTTTTCATGACGTCGGAAAATCTAGCTGTGGATTGCCTTTTCGGGAATCTGCCAATACAGCTGGGTAACAATGATCCCACTGACGAAATCACTACATGATTTATTACGTTGTGCGCCTTCACACTGACAATCTCACCTCAACACTGTTAACTGCTTCTTGTAAAAGATGGTAGACATTTAAATGCCAAGGGATCATTTGATCCAGGTGGTGGCTGGGGTTCATGCCAGCCGAGTTGCCTTGGCATTTTTGTGAGCGTTTAGTTCCTGATTGGGCGAACCTGGATTATTATTTGTCGGCACCATTTGCTGTGTCTTCATTTCAGCCAGTAATATTGTGATGATTTCTTTTTTATTTTATTTGACGGTTGGGCATGGAAGAATCGGAAAGACGCCGCATGCCAACCACTGGAATAAGTTTTATGTAGCAGCAAGTTGTACATCCTCCCTAATCTCCCCTGCGTGCTTTCTTGGAAAAGTTTCGTTGATAAATTGAGATAGTTAGATAAGTTGCGAACGATGACCAGCCAAGATATGGCAGCATCAACTGAGCAGCTTTACGATCCACTTTCCACCAGGTGTAGATCATGGCTGCTACATTTGCAGTTAGAAAAGCACAGTCTACAGCGGCCAGTTTGACTTTGTGAACACCAAAGAATAAGGGCGTCCAGGCAAAGTTGAGTGCTAATTGCGAGTAATACAAGTTCAAGCCTAGTTGAGCTGAAATACGTTGCCATCCGTTAGTCGATGTATATTCTTGAATTCACCCAGCGTTCTCCATCTTTGCTCCACCGGCTGCACTTACCCAACTCCTTAGTTTCTGGTGACAATGAATACGCCGCATGATTTGCAATCAAATGGCTGCCGTAGCCCATGGCTGTATACAGGCAGGTCCACACAGGTCCAAACACCCAATTCTGCACAAAAAAACGCGGTTAATTGTGAAGCGATGATTTTAAGCAAAAGTGAAGTGAAGACTTACAGGTGGACGAGCTGACGGCTTTTCCAAGTCCTTATACCTAACGGTGTATCAGCTTCCATGGTGTTACCAACAATATAGGGATCTTACTACTCACCATGTATTGACAGAGGTCCTGGTGATAAGGCCCATACCAATTCCTCCAACAACGGGTATAGCAATAGATATTGGTAGATTGGTAGACATTGAATGTGAGGGGGAAGGGATGAAAAATGGGTCAAGTAACATGTCGATTTTTCTGGCATTTATATTTTGCCACAAAAATTTGCCGCCGCCTCCGGATCGAAAAATTACGATCAGTAAGTGCCTCAGGTTTTAGTCATCGGTCGATGCGTTTCCATGAATGATTTGGCTTTATAGTCATTTGAAATGGCTTGTCTTATCGAGATACGACATTGTTTCCATGAACTATTTGTGTCATGGGCGATTTAACCAGCCATCGCCACTGAAGGTGTTGTTGTTAGGGGTCAAAGATAATGATGACGTATGAGACAGCAGCAATTGCTTGTCAGCAGAAACAGCTGGATTGACTATGGATTGTTTTACATTTTTTTTTTTTTTGGAGACAACGTCTTTTATTAACACTATGGTGTACGGAGTGTCTGCTACGGAAGCAGGTGGGTGAATTGAGATGTACTGTCGGGGTTTGTAAATGAGGCTGGTAGCTTGATGTTTGCCCGCTGGAGGGGTATGCAAACCGAACCGAAACCCAGCAGCTGGTTCTGTTTTCATACAGCCTACGTTATGTTTTTAAAGTTTGATGGATGTTCCGCTCATTACGCGATTATTAAGCATTTCAGAATATCTATGAATGCTGTACCTATAGTTTTCCACTGAATGGGTGGTAAAAGAACCCTGTTGTGCCGGACCACTTGTCCGTACAATAGCTTCTTGCTTGAATCCGCCAACGTATGGCCACCTGAAACAATTCTAGAGCATCTATAGCCTTTTTATGAGCATTCGTACGTTGAGCTATCGCTGTGACCGTCAAAAGGAAGGAGAGTAAAAATGACATAAAGGGGCCGCCTCGACGGATCAACTTGTTCCCCACTTTTCTCTTGTATTACAAAAAAAAGAATCATGTCTCCACGCACTTACTTCATCACTGGCAGCTCTCGAGGTATTGGTCTTGAGTTAGTCAAGCAACTTGCTGCCAAGGGCAACATTGTCATCGCGTCCGCTCGTAACCCTGACGGTGCTGAGCAGCTCCAACAGTTGGTAGACAACAAGAAGGTGTTTGCTGTCAAGTTGGATGTTCAAAGCGAGGAATCAGTCAAAGCTGCAGTTGCCAAGGTCAATGAGATTTCCCCTGACGGTATTGATGTAAGTTACATTCCTACAGAACATGGAGTCGACATCGACTGAGGTTGTTAACCATGCTGCATTTATACACAGGTTTTGATCAACAACAGTGGTATCATCGCACCTAAGGGAAGCATTTCTACTACAACGTAAGTGCTGAGAAAAACTGGTAAAGGTTCATCTATAGCATAACTAACAACTCGGCCCTTAGCGATCCCGAAGTCTGGGGAGAAATCTATCAAACCAACGTGGTAGGCGTCGTCCGTGTCACTCAGCAGTTCTTGCCTGTGCTTCGCAAGAAAGACACCAGACAGATCATTCAAATCAGCTCAGATTCTGCCTCCCTTGAGCTGGCAAATCGAGCTAACCTCAACGCTCCCTACCACTGCTCAAAGGCTGGTTTAAACATGTTTTCAAGGTGCTTGTCGCACGACCTTGCCGACGAGAAGTTCACCTGTGTCTGCATTCACCCTGGGTAGGTGGCTATTGTATCTTGTACTTCATGAAAAGTGATGCTAACGCTAATGTGTCGTAGATGGGTCATTACTGATATGGGTGGCTCCAACGCTGATTTGACTACTGAGGTATCTGTCTCAAGCATGTTGAAGGTGTTCGAAAAATACACTCAGAAGGACAATGGCTGGTATGGCAACTGGAAGGGCGAGCGTATGCCATGGTAAATTTGTGATGTTAGCTTTTTGTTATATTTGACCAAATTTTGGCATGTACTGCAATAGCCTGTTCAATATAACTGTTGTATTCTACAAAATATGTATCGTGTATTCATGTGATAGCATTGGTGTTGAGGTAAAAAAAGTAGTGTCTGCTGGTTTATTTGAAATCAGTTATATCACAGCGGTAAGCTTATCTTACATTTTGATGATGCTTGCAAAACAACGGCTGCCAACATAGCGCTATTCATAAAAAATACAATATGTAAATCTATTCCACCTCCGTATTTACCATGGCAAGGTCTTTCCGGAATAATCCTTGAAGCTACCAGTATCTTCTGCTGTAGCTTGGTCAAAGACCTTGAGCATTCCAGAGATCGACTCGGGAGCCTTCAATGGTGCAGAAGCGCCACCCCTAAAGTACCGTGCGCGATTTTTTAGTCCTCGTTCACGGTACGGTTTGACAATCAAAAATGTCCTTTTTTACTTACATATCGGTCGCAACCCATCCAGGATGAATAGCCAAGATGGTAAAGTTGTCGGCCTTGAGGTCTTCAGAGAGCTCCTTGATATACATGTTGACAGCGGCCTTGGAGACATTATAAGGAGCAATGGTGCCAGCATAGTTGGTGAGACCAACGGATCCGAGAATGGAGCTAATGGTGAAGATCTTTCGGTCGGTCTTCTTCTTCAACAAAGGCACGAAGCGCTGAGTCACAATTACAGTACCGACGACATTGGTTTTGAACACGTCGAGCATTGCTTCAGGAGGTCTAGTGTGTGAAACGTATGAGCATGGCATAATGGATGTCAGTTATTCGGCTTCGACAGCTGCGATTGGAAACTTACGTGGTCAAAGAAGAGTGTGAGCGATCAGTGCTAACGCCTGCATTGTTGATGAGGACCTTCAAGAGTATTGCTGTTAGACTTTGTGGGGGCTATCGCAGTATATCGCAGTATATTTAATTGTTTATGTGACGTGGTGTAACAACTTACATCGATGCCGTTGGGAGCAATTTCGTTGACCTTCTCGACAGCAGCCTCGACAGACTTGACATCAACGGTGTCCAAGGCGATGCTATAAACCTGCTTGTTGTCAACCAGCTTTTGCAACTCTTCAGAGTTCTCGGGCTTGCGGGCGGTAGCGATCACGACATGTCCTGCACGCTTGAGTTGAGATACAAACTCAAGTCCGAGTCCTCGGCTAGCGCCAGTAATGAAGTAAGTCTTTGCGGCCATATTTGGTGTTTCTAAGAAAGTAAAATGATAATGGCGAGCTGAAACGCTCCGGTCTGCATTAAATACGCTTATGCTGGCCCGGACATGCGTGACTGTTCTCTATCGGCCACCGCATCGATGATTTGTCATTCAGGGTGCGATCACGTTATTGTTAATGCGCAAGAGGGGTACTGCAATATGGGTACTGCAATATATGTAGTCTACGTTGCTTTCAATATCATTACTTTCAATGTCATTGCTTTCAAATTAGTGATGCGATCTTTGTATGAATTTGTCGAATTTTTGGGCTGTGCAAAGAAAACAACAGTTTCAGAAATGCAGGCGGAACCATCATTATCCATTTTACCGCTGCTTCTCTTGGCACCGAACCGCAGTAGTTACTCATAAGTTTTGTACCATGGGCAAGATCCCTTGGAAACCTGCCTTGTTGATTTCTTATGGCTATTCGAAAGAGGACCGGAGGAAGGCGGCGAGATGATAGGCTTTGTTCGTGGAATCGTGCGTCAAAGAAAGACGCTGAAAGATCGGCAAACCAGACGCCGTGCTTAACATAGTACTGTCATGATGTATGTAGCTCCACATATTCAAGGCTCTTGTAGCGTTGAGTGTAAGTCAAACAATGTTGTTCAGAATCAAAACTATGTTTAGCATACCTTTCAATTTTTTATTTTATACTTTTTGTAAACATACTTTGGTTGAAAACGGTAGAATTCGTAAAGTTGTACACTTGAAGCCTACATAGCGTAAGCTAGATATGCTTCGTGTCCCATAATTATTTCATCCCTCTGCAATATCGGTTTTCCCTGCCATTCGCTCCAAATAGATTCTCTTGTGGAGGAAATACCACGATGGTATGAACACAGTTAACCAGTCATAAACAGCATTAGTTGTACCAAAAACTATCATCTCATCCATGTCGTTTCTGCCAACGGATATTTTTTTCCGAAATCTTCACTTTGCCTAGACATTTTCTGCTGATGTTAAGGAACGAGCTTTCGTAAAATCGAGGATAGTCAGCAATAGCTTAAAATTTTAGAATGTAGGAGCTCCTATTCCGTCACAATAACAACAACATAAAAATCATGGATGGAGTCAACCAGTTCCGAATGGTACCATGGTTACCTTTAAGTGCCCTGATTATAGGCATTCATGTACGCTGATTGTATATTCAAGCCATGGCACATGATTGGATATAAAACATTCCATAATAAGCCGTTGCTCTGTTGTCTAGGCTATGTTATTGTTTCCTTTTCCAATTTCTTATTTGATATGGTCAGGAAGATCAAGATCAATATATCCAGGCTAAATTTCTATTCGTATCAGAAGCATTGGGGTAATTTAGTCATCTCACTCTTCGTAAGACATTGAACGGCGGTGAGATGTCTACAGCAATTTATTAAGTTGCAAACTTAAAACAACCATGCATTCTGACAGGTTATAACAAGTAAGGTAAGAGCAAAAGTGAAGTTGCTATGGTTATCATTTGCCACCCGAATGGGTTGGGCTAAAGGGACTGGCTGTGTAGTGGGGCACGAACAGACCAGAGAAGATTGCGCAACTCATTCTGGCCAATCGCCAACTTTCTATTTTATAAATCAGTTACCCACGCACAAGCTTGGTCTGGCCAGGATCACCATACAAAATTCCTGGCGCTTTACTTACAAGAAAAAACCTGACACTATTTTATAAAGAGCTTGGCGGAAATACTAGCGAGCATATAGTCAGCAAGCTCAATGCAGTTACACAGTGAACTACTAGCGATCGCCATATTTGCTCAGTATGACCCGATTGTGTTTGTTTCATCCATGGATACTTGTGTTATTGTAAGCATTATTGCTCATAGTTTTTCCGAGCCCTTATCATTGGCTTTGGGCTCTGCTGGATTGAAGTATCAAGTACTATTTTTTAATTGGAATGATTCCAGAGATGAGAGCGATTGTAATGAATTTTTAGAACAAAATGGCTTCATTTTCTTGCTTAATTTAATTCTCAAAGACGTTGGCTCGCGATACAACGTGATGTATTGCGACTTTGGCCAAGGAGAAAGTGAGAGGGGTAGATCGGATGATGAGGCAGCTGGTACTCTCAACGGAATAGAATAGCTTTTGACTTGAATGGCATTCCCAAGAGAATGACGACTTTCATAATTTGATTGGTTCCTTGCTGCATCAGCGGGTTACTTATAATTTATGGAGTCATACGCCGGTCGTCAGGCAAGTGGGTGGACAGTTTCTTGCTTGGAGCAGATTAGAGATGTCAGGTGTAAGGTCACGTTTCAAAGTTTTAAAGCCCGAGAGTGAGCGGCCTTATCTTCGTAGCAAAATAAAACTGAGCTTGGCTGTGCCTTGCAAATCCTCTCACCTTCCTCTTTTTTTTTTACCTCTTCCTTTCCCTCTATCATGAAATGCTCCATTGTATCGGCAGTTCTACTTGTAGCAACTGCTCTACCTTTCTCATCAGCTTTACCAACTTCTAACCATGATCTCAGCAAGAATGGTCGAGTTCACTTGGATAACTTTGGTCCTGCACTTTATCACAAAACTTATGAATCCGGTTCATTTACACTTGCTCCTTCCACATTCACAAATGCCCTCAATGCGAATCCTGTAGATATTGCTTTGGAATTTGCCAAGGCCGAACTTGGAGCCTCTGCCTATGTTGTTAAAAACTCCTATACCAGTGACCATAATGGTGTTACACATGTTTATTTACGTCAAACCCATAATGACTTGGAGGTTGTTAACGGTGATATAAATATCAATGTCGACCGGTTCGGACGTATCATCTCCTATGGAGATTCATTCTACAAGGGCAAGACTCACACTGTCAAGGCTGCAAAGGCTGCGGAGAGTAAGCTTCAGGAAATGACATATCAAAACTCAATTTTGGTAAGTTTGTCCCATTTACGAGAGGATCTTCCTTATATGGACCCACACAATACCCACCTACTTCATCATTTCTTTTTATCTATCAATGTTTACTAACTATATACTTTCAGGGCCGTCTTCAACGTGGTGCTAATACCGTCAGCCAAAAGGTATTCGGTGTTCAACAACCCAAGCCTTTGGTGACCGCAGCAGCTCCATTGGATGATTTCCATGTTGTGGACTCCGATCTCACGGTCTTGTCACCTGTCCAGGCTTTGCAAGCCTTGGCTTATTATATCCAACCTGTTCTCAAGGATTCCAGCGTCATATCACTTTTGACTGCTGGCGACTTACCCATCAGCACCACTTCAAGCCTCCACGGTGATGAACCAGAACTTCATATCCATAATGTACCATTTGCTCTTGCTCCCGTTCCTGCTCGTCAGGCTTACGTCCAGTTGGATGATGGCTCTCTTCAACTGGTCTGGGACTTGCAAGTTGAAATGGAAGACAATTGGTTCCATGGTCAAGTAAATGCTCACGACGGAAGCGTTGTTGCTCTCATGGATTGGGTCTCCGATGCTACTCACTACAGAGTCTTCCCCTTCGGTATCAACGATCCTTCCGAAGGTGGCCAGGAACTGTTGACTGACCCTCATGATCCCGTCTCTTCTCCTGATGGATGGCACGTCCAAACCAGCGTCAAGGGACGCTCTCTTACTTTCAATGAAACCGTTGGCAACAATGTGTATGCCCATGAGAACTTTGAAGGCGGCAGCTCGTGGAAGAACAACCAACGCCCTAAGGGTGTTGTTCTAGACGACGGAAGCTTGAGCTTTGACTATAAAGCTCGCGTAGATGTTGATGAACCCAAGACCTACATTCACGCCGCTGTTACTAACTTATTCTACCTGAACAATATGGTAAATAGTGCAAACCAAATTATACTCCTGCGTTTATACATTGGTGCTAATTACCTTTGCTCTCTTTTAGATTCACGACTTGTTCTTCCGATATGGATTCAATGAAGTTGCTGGCAATTTCCAAGAGGAAAACGCTGAAGGTGGTATTGGCGGTGATGCTGTCATTGCCAACGCCCAAGATGGCTCTGGATATAACAATGCCAACTTTGCCACTCCTCCTGATGGTCAACACGGAAAGATGCGTATGTACGTCTGGAATGTCGTTACCCCTATGCGCGACGGTGACTTGGAAGCTGGTATTGTCATCCACGAATACGCCCATGGAATCTCTACTCGCTTGACTGGTGGACCTGCCAACAGTGGCTGTCTCGGCTGGGGAGAAGCTGGAGGCATGGGTGAGGGATGGGGTGATTTCTTCGCCACTATGGTCAGATTGAACTCTACTCATAATCGCGATTCCATCTTTGGTATGGGAGACTGGGCCAACGGTGGTGATGGTATTCGACGATACAAAGTAAGTACCAATGTTTATATCAGGTGCTACTTTCTTTCACGAGTTGTTTACTCACAATGCTTATCTTTTACCAACAGTACTCCACAAGCATGGATGTCAATCCCTCCACCTACAAGATCATGGACAAGCCCGGTTACTGGGGTGTCCACGCCAAGGGTGAAGTTTGGGCTGAAATGCTGTATGAAGTTGCCTGGGATTTGATCGACAAGCACGGTTTCACCCCCAAGTTGTTCCCTCCTTCCTCTGCATCCGTCAATAAGGACAAGAAGAAGAAGAAGCCTACTGACCCTGTTGATGAAGCTAAACTTCACATTCTTTCTCATGGTAACACTCTTGTTTTCCAACTCGTTGTTGATGGCCTCAAGCTTCAGCCATGCCGCCCTTCGTTCATGGATTCTCGTGATGCCATCATTGAAGCCGACAAGCAATTGACCGGTGGTGATAACTTCTGTGTCATCTGGAAGGCGTTCGCTCGTCGTGGTCTTGGCGTTGACGCTCGCTACGACGGTAACGACTGGATGGGTGTCCGTACCGAGAGTTTTGATGCTCCTTCTCAGTGCGCTTAAGTGCATGTAGTTACTTGGTTTCTTTCTATGGTCCATTTTCCGACCACAACATTTTGTTTCGTTTCTATTTGCTTATGTTGTTTGTACATGATTATCGACTTTTTCCCCTTCTCTGCGCTATTACGAATGATCAACACTATACCAACTAGACCACAGGAATCAACTACATATTTAAGAGCTAGTTTTATTGTTTAGTCTAATGGTTTTTTTGTACACAAACTCTTGATATTGATGACACATAAAGAACGATTTATCGATCAGACAGTGGTGACTTGATGTTGAGAATGTAATCGTGATTCAGAGACTAAGGGGATTGTGTGTGTGAGCAGCTACTTCAAAGTTGGTACCATGATGTTGGAAGACAGTGCAGCTTCATACGGAAAAAACGATATAAATTTCAGTCCACTCCGTCTTACCAGCTTGAGACTGTTCTTTTGGAATGCAGGCGATCCGCGTTCAGAACAGCTTCCGTAGCCTGGGATTTGCGAAAGCAAGAGTAGGATTTGGACTGAAGGGTCGAAATGGTATAACCGTAGGACGAGTACGAAGTGTTAGCAGCAACGCTTATGCGTCTTTGCGCAATTCACCGGCCATTCTAGATAGTTGTTTTGAATTGTCAACAGCATTCACCGACAATGCATCCAGCAAAGGCTACAGCATAAACGACTTCTTGGTCTATCCTGATTTTGTAACAAAGGAAGAAAAAGAAACTCTAACATCTATCTGCGAAAAGAAGCTGCGAAGGTCGTTTGGTCCCAAAGTGGAGTACTTCCCAATTCATCCCGACAGTGTTATTCACCAATACCGAGAGTGCAGTGCCAGTCATTGGGGCAAACAGGACGAGTTCATGAAGGAATTCATCAACAAAAAGATCTATTCAATGTTTCCCGATCAAATGGAGTGGCTGGATCCTCATGTTCTAGGTAAAAGATGGAAAGAGCGTAGCAGGAGAAGTGGAAATCTCCATAATGGGAGTAATTCAAACTCATTGTTGATTGTAGACTTGGATGGTGACGGTGAAATTAAGGCTCACGTAGATAATATTGAGGTGGGTTTTTACAAGGTCAAAGCCAAACATTGCATCTTTCAAAGAGCAAACTTACTCAATGGGAATCTCTCTGTCAGTACTCTGGTTCGGTCGTTGCTGGGTTATGTCTGCTATCACCAGCAATTATGACGATGCGACACAAAGATGACTCCAATATACGATTCGATGTGCTACTAGAACCTGGCACATTCTATATACAAAGGTCAGTTCGCTCTCTCTACTATATGCTCAAATTACCGCCGCCTCATGGAGACTAAAGTGTTTCCTTAATACCGTCAGAGATACCATTCGATATTCGTTCACGCATGAAATTAGATTGAGTAACACTACATGGAAAGGAAATGAAGTTGATAGAAGCAGACGGATCTCCCTGTTATTCAGAGTGAGTATATTCATATGATATTAGTTCATCCAATGCATTTACGTATCTGACAGACATCACACCATAGGACAAAAAGATATAACGTGTAAAGAGGCTTGGCCTAAGTAAATTATACAGATACTTTGACATATTTGCTGTTGAAGTCTCAAAAAAGACAAACAACCATCTATAGAGGATGCAAAAGGTGAAATAAATGAAGAAAAATAGTACTATGATCTTGTGCGTACACATGGGTTGGAGATTTGTGTGGTTTTTCTGAGGTTCTACTGTAATTTTTATGGTTTATAGAAATTTTTTTGGGGAATTAACTTTTCATTAATCACTTCCTTTGGAACTAGCTTGCGCCTGGCGATGCTTCTCCTGAGCAGCAGCAATCATATCAGCTCGCCGAGCCTTGTTTGCTTCTTCCCGTTCGTATTCTTTAGCCAGAGCGGTTTGTCGTTCTTCCTCTCGCTTTTGCTCAAGTCTCTTCTCCCAGACCTCCCATGGCCGTGGTGCTTCCATCATAGCTAAGGTTTCTTCAAGTCCGTCACTCTTGTCATGCTGGAGCTTAACCTCGGCAAGCCAAGGATGGCCAACCATAACTCCAGCAGCCACTCTCTTTTCGGAATTCAGATCCAGCATAGGCGTAAGGAAGCTACTGAGGAAGTCTGCGCCGTGTCGTGATAGGTGATACTTATCATGAAGCACATCGCTTAATCGCCAATGCCGAAGCTTATGTATATGTCGCAATTCCCCCTTGCGATTGAAAATTTCATTTGAGTATTTACCAGAGGATGACAATTGTTTTGGAACCGAACCAACGAGTTCAACGATTTGCGCCATATGGTCTAAAAATGGAAGATAGAGAGAGAAAGTGAGACAACAACACTGTATTGCCGACAACCCTATTAACTTTATCGGATCTATGCCTTACCATCATCTTTGCTATATCTGCTTCCAGATTGAGGGTCAAAGAGATAATCACCGGTCAAAAGTTCAAATGTCTAAAACAAACCCAACGCTAATGAGATCATCCGTCTAATACAGCATTCCCTACATTTTGATAGCACTTACCATACACGCAAGACTCCAGACATCAGCACTGATACCCCACTTCGCGCCAACTATGACTTCAGGGCTACGATATTGGCGGGTTTGAATATCATCCGTGAAATGGTGGTCGACCCAGCACGCATTACCCAAATCAGCAATTTTGACCACTATTTCATCAAAGGCATGTTCACTGGATGCACACTGGCTATCAAAAAACGTATCCCCATTTTCGGGTGCGAACTTGGGGGTTTCTGGTGGAACGGCGGTGATATCCAGTACAGACGTAGCTACGGTTTCAGAAGGCTGTTGCTGTTGCTCAGCATCCGTTAACTCTAACATGTCCAGCATATCTCCGACTTGACTGGGGAAGGAAGGGATTTAGAGGGTTGTGCATTACGGGGCGGGCGAAATATCATGTAGAGAACGCATGTTTACCTTATCCGAATTCTTGTGTCCATGGAGACACGACGATCAGCCGAGGGATCCGCAGATTGAGAATCTGCGTCAGAGACAAAGGACTTTTCAGTATTTGATCCTTCGTCCTCTTCATCTCGATCTCTTGCTATCACGGTAGAGGTCATCTTGTTGGCTTGTTTCTTCAGCTTTTGTTTGAGTTTCTTTTTTTGGTTCTTTGTGAGGCTACCTTTGTTGACAGTGGCGCTAGGAGGTGGTGGTGTTGCCTCAGTCTGTTTGATGCCTTGCTCCACAACATTCAAAGTGGAAGTCGAAGCGGGAGATGGCGTATTACTACCGGATCGAGTGGTCGTACCAGATAAAGGTTGGGAGGCCAAAGTCGCCCTTTTGGAAGAATCGTTGCATTTGTGAATATCTGCCATGGACTGCTCTCGTCGTAAAAACCGTTCAACATCTGGTATACAGACCAAAACATTCTCAGGCTTTAAATCGGTATGAATGATATTGCACTCGGTATGTAAATATTCCAGACCGAGCAAAACTTGTTTGGTGATTTGTTTGACAATATTGGTTGGTATACCTCGATGTTTATACCGTTTGATGACCGAAAGAAGATTTTCGCCTAATACTTCAAATGCCATACAAATATGGGTACCATTTGGACCACGATGCGTAAAGTGATCCAATAACTGAGCAACATAGTTTCGGCCCACCGCTTCTGTGTTGGCTGTTGATACACGTTCCAGTAGTTTGATCTCGTCGACGGCCGTTTCAGTGTAGTGGGCTGCGGATTTTACTATTTTCAAAGCAACATGGCGGTCTTTCCTATACGATAAAAGACACAACGTTACAGACTGTCTAAGGAGATGCATATGTCACAAGCTATCTGACACCACTTACTGTAGGTCACGAGCGAGCCATACGGTCGAGAAATGGCCCCATCCAAGTTTTCGAATGATAACATATCTACCGTTACTGAATTTGTCGCCGATAGATACTGGATGATATCCGCCCTTTCGATAGTCCTCCAAGTCCTCCTCTTCGTTTGATATCATAGAGTCAGTGTCGGAATAGTCACTGTCATCCAATGGTTCTGATCGTTTTTCGGGTGCAGTGTGATGAGGTGGGTGTGTATTTACATGGTTTAAATGTGTTTGAAGTGGGTTAAGAGGTGCTGATGGTTTTCTAAGCAAATAGATCAGTATGTAGCAGGCGTAACCGTTGTTAGTTCAATGGAACTTACGGTGAATTTGGAGTAGAGGTTGAAGACTTCTTCGCCAACTCTTCGGGCTTTATAAGCGGTTGAGGTTTGGCTATCTTTTTCTTTCTAGTGGCAGCCTGCTGCTTGGCATTGAGGACAGCTGGATTCACAGGATTGTAAAGTGCATTAGAATTGGTAGAAAATGACGTTAGCCCGAGTCGAAAGGCCACTTCGCGTTATGGTTGTTCCCTACGGCAGAATGCATAGGCTATAACCGAATGGAAGTCAAAGTCATTAACAAACCTGCTTTCCGCTTATCCATCGGTTATGATCTGTGTTTGGATTGGAGCCGTTGGGACAATTAACGAGAACAATGAGAAAAAGGATGGCAAGTGGGTTTTATGTGAGTTTTTTTGCAGTTTCTTCAAATTTTTGTCAGTCACCAGTCGACATTTGCCTCTCCCCCCTTTCTCTCCCGCACGAATATCCCGCCTAACAATCTAAAATGCCAAAGATTGTTTCAAAATCTACTGTATCGTCCTCTGATCAACAAGGAAACAACGAAAACACATCTAGTAGCACACAGTTACACGTATACTACTGCTTGTGCTCCGAGTTCATCCTCGTCATCGATCATGATCTACAGCAATTACCACGACGGGAGACTGATTCCAGTTATGTTGTGTCCAATGCCGGAAGAACTTTCAAGTTGACTGTAGAACAAGGCGAAACCGTTATATTAAGGAGAGAAGAAGGATATGAGAAGCAATATAGACTCGTATGTCCACGTAAGTTCTTGACTGATTGTGTTCTTTTGACGGAGAGAATGTGTAGTAATGCAGGCTTTACAGGGTGTAATTTGTTAATTGGCTATGAGACCACGCCAGAGAGGAGAAAAGGTCCCTACACATATATTCTAGATGGAGCGTTGACGGAGCAACAAGGTTCCTTCGCATAATTAGTGAGATATCAGATTTGTACAGCGCACGACACAATAGATGGTAGCTCTTTCTGCAATAGACTTGTATTATAACTGTCGGCCACATTTATCTGTGATAATTATTTTCTGAATTGAAAGACTGGATCGAAAAAGAACTATTTGGTTTACGCAGGTGTTACTGGAGATATATTGATTAGGGCATTGAACGCGATTTCTGGCACGTTGGAATTAAAATAAGTATGTGGCGATGGATAATCAATCATTTGCGTATCGTATACGCCACACTACAGTCTACTGGTCTTCATGTGAGCTACGTCTTGTAAAGAAAGTATTGGAGACACAACTTGCACCATTTGGTCGTATTTGTAGCTGGCTTGAAATTGTAATATCAAACTTTCAAACCTGACATTGACCAGCATATTGGGCGATTTCGTCGTATATACAGCATGATCGAAATTTTCTAGCTGCTTGACACGTCGTAAGACAACAAGCAAATTGAAAGGGCGTTTATGACCGACCGACAAATGGATTCTTCCAATACGACTGTGCACTTCTTGGGCCTAGCAGTTTGCATGCGTCGTCGGCATAAGTTCGAATATGTATGGTAGCAATTATCTATTTGGGATGTTCTTAATGAAAAGCTAGTGTTGGCGCCTCAGATAGGCGTGATTTGCTTAATAGTGTGAATCGCAACGCCTTGTCCTTCAATACCATGCGTAACAGACGATGATCGATAGCCGCACTTCGCTCGAACTGTAGTGTCCAACCGTCACGGGATGTGATTTTGACAATGTTGAAGAGGCAGGTGCAGGCCTGGTCAATACATATATATTCGAACGCCATGAAGGTGCCTCTGATACGCTCTTTATTTGTAGAGTGGGACTCTGACGCCAACTATACAAGAATCAGCGTTGTCAGAATTTTTTTAAAGGGGTGTTGCCCCCTTAAACCCACAGCAAACCTTCGTATTGGACACGCATGAAAACAGAAAATTTTGCTCCCGTTAAACAGTAATGAGGCGGACGAAGGAATAAATATTGACTGACGTAAAAACTGGAAGAGCCGATGATGCTCAGTCTCCTGAAAGACATATTGCTCGGAAGCAGTCTTACGGCACCGATACCAATTTTGTTTGTTAAGATTGACCATACTCAATAACAATAACAACAATGGGACGTAAACAACATCAGGCTTTTTTGTTCCTGCCGATTGGATCATCTCTTTCGTTCGCCATAAGGTTGTTTTGCAGCCAGCCTTGCATCATGATTACCAGCATATACTTATAAACAAAGCAGTGACAGCTGAGCGACGCTATACCATTTTCAAAAGAACAACGCAAGTTCGTAGGAACGGTCGGCTCGGGTTAGGTTTCTTCCGTTTAGCAATGCCTCCTTTATTTTTTCACTTTTCGTTCGAGAATTGGGATGGAAATAAAACGCTGGAAAACAATTGAGGGGGTTGCTGCGTCGGACTGGTCACTGGATGTGATCCGAGCGCGGTGGTACTGATGAGCAGCATCGTGAGAACATAAGGGTATGCAAGATCTTTCAAGATGAAAATAATCATAAGATAGATGTTGAAAACCACAGTAAGATGATTTTCTGTTTCTTCTTAAGCTCCACCAAAGTCCTCTACTCAGCAAGAAGAACACAGCGACTGGTGATTCGAATTTAGGTATTGATTATTGTGTGGTCCACAATTTGTCGGACTCAATGTCGGAGATGTGAAAGGCGTACCCGTCCATCTCACACTTTTTTGTCGCCTTGTTCCACTTCTTTTCACTTCTGTCCTAATGGGAGCAAATAGCTCGAGAGAAACTACTGGCTCCACCGCATCAGGTGCAGCATCGCCTCAGAAGTACTCAGATCTGGTTGACCTGGGTTCATTGCTACCATGTGGGCTGTATCCCAACTCTCCACAGGATTACGACTATCGTAGCATTCGCAAGTTAATCATTGACCGTCGAATAGCTCCATTTTACAAGGGTGAGTTTCCGGCCATCGCTTAATATCACTAAACGCATCACTGATCTTCTCATTTCCTTCCATCTTACCTCCCTCATCTTGCTACTTTTCTGGTTTATTCACTCAGGCTTGAACGACGTTCCAGATATAGAAGAGGAAGCTCAGAAGCAGCAGCCACCTGTATCGAACGGAGTTGTAGAGTCGCTCTCTGTACCAGTGGCTGTGCCGCAGGCATCTTCATCCACTTCGACGGCAACGACAAAGAAGAGTCCTGTGGTTGGCCGGCCCAGAAGTGCTTCTAGTAGTAGTGTAAATAGCGCTGGTAGACCCACAGGGCAGTCTTTGGCTGTGGACACTGCCAAGGAACGCCAGCGAGCACTCATAGAGCGCATGAAGGCAAGAGAAAAGATTCTATACAACGATGCTGTAGAATGCCCCATCTGTTTCTTGGTATGTTTCGTTCAACATGGATTTCAGAATCAGCGACTTCTCTCACACTGCCCCCTTTTATCTTTCTTTTCAGTACTATCCCTCCAATATTAATCAGTCAAGATGTTGTGATCAACCAATTTGCACTGAATGTTTTATTCAAATCAAAAGACCATCAGAAACGCCAGCTACGCCTGCTTCATGTCCATTCTGCGTGGAGGAAAATTTTGGGGTTATCTATAAACCTCCTCAGTGGAGCCAAGTCTTTGAGGTAAATAAGCTCCGAACCACTAGGACAATTGACCCAAAATGAGCCTTTTTTTCTAACTCAATGTCTTGTACCTAATAGCGAAACCATTTGTTAAAGGATGGGGAGCCGATGAAAGCAGTCCCAATTCGCAACGGAGCTACACATACGACATCTGGTAAAGGAACTGGTACCAGTAAACCACGAAGACAAAGCGTGAGTCACAAAGATCCTGAGGTTGTCCTTGTTGGTAAGGGTTTTTTTTTTTTTTT